ATAAAATATATTTTTAAAATTAAATATTTTTTTAACTTATAACTTTATATATATAATTATTATTACTAATTATATTAATTATTTTTTAATTACTTTTATAATTATAAATAGTATTAATAACTATTAATTTATTTTTATAATATTTATTATAAAAAATATAGCTATTAATAAAAAATACTTTTTTAAAATAGTTTTTAATAATATATTTAAGCTTATTATAAATATAATACTTTTTAGCTTTATAATTATACTTTTATTAATTTTAAGTAATTTTATATTACTATATAATTTTAAAAGTAAAGTAAGCTTATTATTTTTATATAAAGCTTTAAATAATAATACTTTAAATAATACTTAAATATAATTAATTAATTAAGCTAATATTATAGTTATTAAGCTTATTAATATTAAATACTTTTATAGTTTTTTTTTATTACCTTTATTTTATAACTATTTAATTTAGTAATAGTTAAAGTTTATTTATTAAGCTAAAATGCAGTATATTTAAAAAATATATATTTTTATTTAAATATTTTTTAGCTAATTAATTATAAAGTTAAAAAATATTAATAAGCTTATTATAGATTTTTTTTCTTTTAAATTATTTATAGCTTATATAATTACTTTACTAAATTAATAAATTTATTTTTAAATATTATAAAAATTTAAATATTTTTTATTATTAAAGTATTATATTTTAATTTAGCTTTTATTTTTTTATTAAAATTATTATATTTATTTTAAAGTTATTTAAGTAGCTTTATTAAAAAAATAATTTAATTAAAGTAGATTTTTTTTAAATAAAAGTTAATATTAATAGCTATATTATTATTTAAAACTTTTTAATTATATTTATATAGTTTTAATTAATATTATTTTTAAATTTATTTTATAGCTTTTACTATTATATTTTAAAGGTTAAACTTTTATTTTTTATAAAGTTATTATATTAAATAAGTAAGTTAAAAAATTTAAAAAAATAATTAATTTATTATTTATAAAAACTTTATTAATTATAATATTTAAAGTAATAAAGTAATAAAAGTATAAAAAAAATTATAATTATTATTTTTATTATTATTATTATTTAAATTATAGTAAAATTAATTATTAAGTAAATATAAAAGGCTAATATTACTTTTTTTATTATTAAAAAAATTAAAAAATAAAAAGAAAATAAAAGTTTTATTATTATTAAGTATTAAGATAATAGTTATAAAATTATTAAAAAGTATATTTATAAATTATTAAAAAGTAATATTATTTTATTTTTAAATAATTTAAATATTATATATTTAATATTTTATTTATTTTAATATAAAATTAAAAACTATTTTTTATAAATTTATAATTTCAAAGCTTTAATTTATTATTATATTTAACTAATATATATTTTTTTTTATTAATTTTATATTATTTTTTTTAAAAAAAATTTAAAAAAAAGTTTATTTTAATAAACTTTAATATTTAATTTTTTTACTTTATTTTTAAAAAATCTAAATTCTTTAATATTAATTTATTAATTAATTTTTATAAATAATATATAGCTTATAATTTATTTTATAAAGTATATTAATAAATAAATATATAGTATAAAGCTTTTAAAAAATAGCTTTAATATTTATTTTATAATACTTGTTAAATTATATATAAATAAATAAGTTTTAATACTTTATAAATATTAACTTATTTATTAAAATTATAAATAAAACTTTATTAATAAAAATATTATTACTTAATTAGCTTATTTTTTATTTAATATAATTATTAATAAAAGTTATTAAAATATAGTATTATAAAGCTTTTTTTACTTAGTTTTTATAAAAAGCAATAATATTATATTTATTATAAAGTATATTTTTACTTTTTTTATTAATAGTTATTATAATTACTTTATTTATAGTTTTTAATTATTAAAAAATTATTTAAGCTAAAATAAATAGTTTTTTTTATTATTAATAAGGCTTTAATAAAAGAATTATTTATAAATAATAGTTAAGTTAGAGTACTTATTACTATTATAATAATTATTATTATTTTTAAAAAGCTTATTTATTAAAGAAATTAAATTAATTAGTTTAATTAATAAATTAATATTTATATAACTTTTTTAAGCTATAAAGAATTTATATTTTTAAAATTAAAATATTATTTAAACTTTATAATATATAAACTTAAAGTTTATATTAAATTATATAGATTTTAAAAGTAAGCTAGTTTAAAAAAAAAAGGAAGAAAAGAAAGCTTTAGTGAAGCCTTTAGGGCTGCAGCTATAGGGCAGGTAGGCTTTATTAATAAAGGGGTTTTATAGGGACTTACTTAGGGGCCTGTAGGAACTAACTGCCTTAGCTACAGCTACTAGCCTTAATTATTTAAACTTTTTAAATACTAAATTGAAAGTTTAAATATTAAAATTTATATAAATAATTTCTATTTTTAAAACTAATTTTATAATAATAATATAAAGTATATATATATTTATATATTATTTTATTAAATTTAATTTAAAAATTATTTTTATAAAAAGTATAATTTTAATTTTTAAAAATATATATAAAAAAATATATTTATATTTATTTTACTATTTTAAATAACTTTAATATAAATAATTTATATATAATAAATACTTTTTAAATAGCTTATATATTTATTTTAATTTCTTTTTTAATAACTATTATTATTTATATATTAATATAAATACTAAATTTAACTATAATTATATTAAGCTTATAAATATAATAAAATATATATACTTTAATTATTATATTTTTTTTTAATATTTATTTATAATTTTAATAAATAAAAATAATTATATTTTATTTTTATATTTTAATTTTTAATATATTATAAAACTTATTAAACTTTTATTAAATACTAATAATATTTATAATATACATATTAATTATATAATTAATATATTAAAATAGTTATAAATAATAAATTTATAAATTATTTTAAAAAATATAAATTTTATATTAAAAATATAAAATATTTTATTTTTATTATAAATTTATTTTAAAATAAAAGTTTATAATAAAGCTTTTTACTTTTTTAAATAAAAAAAGTTAAATTTTTAATTTTTTTTTAAAAAGCTTTATTAATATTTTAAATAAAATAATATAAATTAATTAATTAAAAACTTTAAATAATCTTTTTTTAATTTAATTTAAATTTAAAATATTATAATAATTAAATATTTATAAATAATTAATATATTATTTATTAAAATAAGCTAATAATTTTAAATTATAATAACTTATAAATAAAAATAATTAAAATATATTTTTTTATATTATAATTATATATTTTAAATATAATTTAATTAAAAAGCTTATATAATAATAATATTTATTATTTTATAAATAATTACTTTTACTATATTATTAAATATTTATATAATAAAATATTAAAACTTTTAATATTATTAATAATATTTACTTATAAATTTTTAAAAATTATATAATAATAAAAAAGATTTAATTATTTTTTAAATATTTTTAATTATTTTTTTATATATTTTAATATATCCTTTATATTAATAAATATATAGCTATTTATATTATTTATATATATTATAAAGGTTTTTTTTATATATTTAAAGCTTTTAATTTATAAACTTAATTAAAAACTTTAGTTTATATTTATATTTATAAATAAGCTATATTAAATCTTTAAACTTAAATAAAATTTAATAATAGCTAAATACTTTTTATTTTAAAAATAAATAAAAGTTTTATTTTAATAAATTAACTAAAAATTAAAAATATTTATTAGTTTTTATTAAAATAATTAAATAATAATTATACTTATTATTAAATTTGTGTGAATAGTAGCGTTAGCGTTTATAGCAAGCTGATTGGTCCGTTGGGCCTACAGCTATAAGTAGGCCTTGGAGGGATGCAGCCTTCAGCTGCTTCCTGCAACCAAGCAAGCAACCCACACCAAATAAAAACTAACATCCCCAAACGCGCATCGTATTCGAATACGTGACTCAGCCAACAAAACTTGTATAAACTTATTTTCCTTATAATATATTAAAAGAATTTTTAAATAATAAAATTCAGTATTATTAAAAATTTGATTTAAATATAAGTAATTATATATTTGTTATTAAAAATATAATTAGTAAATTACTTAAATAATAAGTTTAACTTTTTTTTAAAAGAAAGTATTATTTAAAATTTAAAAAAAATTTATATTTTTTAAATTTAAAATTATTTTAATTATAATAAAATTATAAAATATAATTAGTTTTATTAAAAATTTAAAAAGTTATAATTTAAATAAAAGCTTTTTTAATTTAAAAGTAAAGTAATAAACAATAAAAAGGAATAAAAGGTTAATAAAGTCTTTAATTTTTAATTATATTATAATAACTTTTTAGTAGTTACTTTAAGTATTTACCCTAAATAGCTATAAAGCTTTTAATTTGCTTAAAACTTTACTACTTTAAATACTCCTTTTAATATAAACCTGTTTATTATGTTTGTTAATTAGAAACCAGTGAAATGTTACTACTCTGCACGCTCTTGGATGAGACAGAGAGCGGGAACTGCTTCGGCCCCACAAGGGTCACAGTTGATATATCTGCTCGGCATTGCAACGCAAGGTGGAAACACAAAATCATCCTGCCCCGACAATCCACAGCACCACTTGTTGGCACTCAATCGTATGAAAATGATGACAAGTTTTTTCAATGAGGCTCTGCTCTATGAGGTTTCTTGTCTGGCCGATAATGGCCTCGTGAAACCCAGATAGCCGCTAATGGCTGAGCTGATTCACCTGCTGTCCACTCATAAATCTTAGCTTTGTCGCCTCTGATCTTCGCCGGTGGTGGCGAAGGCGAGCTGAACGCGGCAGTGCAATCTCTTCGTCCGACAGATGTTTTAGTGCAATCAACGATGATGCGGTCAGAAGCTATAAGATGCGCCCAGAGCCCAAGGAGACCCAGTATTAATTATCAAGCTTAGCAGCCTGGCCGGTAATGCAATCATTCAATTATGAGATACTTCTTGGTTCTACTTCTCGCAGTCGCGGTTCCTGAAGTAATTGCTAGCGATAGATACAGGTTCCGCCACTGGCTACCCTACTATGATTATCTATGGGAGAGAAGAGCGGGGGCCTGCGCGCTGCAAATCCAGCAGTATCACAACAACAATCGCACCGAGGTTCGTCGCCGTGCGGTCTGCGCTGTCGTCGTGGACTGCCTGCTGACCAACGTCACCGAGTCCATCAAGAGCAACCTCGCCTCTGCAGACATTCTCCTCGGCCTGACTCCGCAGATCTTAAGTCTTGCCGGGCCCCGTAATGGAGAGTTGGCTCTTTTATCGACGCAGAGACCAGTCCTCACAAGCCTCTTGTCCTTTGGGTTTCCTTCCATGTCTATCTCCGGCTTATTTGTTTCTGTCGACGTAACCTCTCTCCTGAGGAAGCCAGTGGCAAGAACAGCTCGATCCTATCATTTGTGGCTCCACGAACAGACAAAAGGCCGGCAACTGTCCATCTTCACTTTACAGTATGCGTTAGCAGCGGGAGCAGTTGCTAACAGCATTTATACATCGGTCTATCTGGATTCAAGAACCGCATCAGGATGGCGATGCGGCGCGAACTATATGCCCCTTGCCTGGAGCATGTCGGGATCCTTGATCGCAATGGTTGAGATGCTAGCCATTCGAACAAGGTGCTCCTCTCAAGGGTCTACAAGAAGGCGTCCAAAACAACCAATCACTCGTCTCTCCTGGATAAAGTGCCACCTCCACAACAGTATCCGCCCAGAGACGAAGGATACCTGCATGACCGAGATTCTCTTCTGGATTGCAAACTTCATGAGTGTGATACAAACTCTTTTTGGTACTGCTGTGCTTTCTTCCCTCTTGTTCGTATCATTTTTGGACGCCCTGCCCATTCTGGTCCGCTATGGACTTAGTGCCGCCGCATGCAACGTGCTCCTGCGGCTTGAGCTCGGTGGTTTGAGGCGCGAATTAGAGGAGAAACGGGCATCAAGTGACGAGGAGAAGATAAGACACTTCGAGATGGTGGAAAGAAGGTCTGGATGGGACTTACACTTGATGCGAACAATCCGATGAATGGCAGGAAGCGTGGAGTACTTGGTGAAAGCAATTTTGTCCAGTGTAATAATAAGAACCTAGCGAACGAGCTAATGCTAGAATTCTATCAGACGATGCAATTTTCAACTGGGCCAGCGTAGCAAATCGTCTAATGATGTCTTTTAATGACCCATAAGACGATACGTGATTACCTGTGGTGCAAGCGAAATCGGCAGTGCCTCTGTCCTGGCAGACTCAGGTGAGTGCGTCCGGTGGCTCGTAACGCTGTCGATGCGAGAAAACGGTGTTGGGGGCCCTCATTCGCAGTATTGTAATTGTCACGTTCTCAGAAGACCTTCTCCACATCTATAGCAGCTCAAGAAGAGCTTTGCGTAGTGCAGTGATCCACTGTCCGGTCTGAGCGTCAGACTTTGGCAAATGAATGTCCGGCAAATTTGCTTGGTAACAATTATTAAGGCATCTCTCCCAATGACTGCTTTCTCAAAGCACATATCGAAAATGAAGACTGTAGTTTTCCACCATGATATCCGTTGCAGCCCCTGTACTATCTTTCTCAGTGGAGTCGTATTTTCGATCGAGTCTCTTATTCTCCCATACCAGCAGTAGACGCTGTGCTAAAGCCAACAGAGCCGAGAAGAACATGAATGCTGCACAGATGCTCATGCCCTTGACGTATCTGGGTGCCTCGCTGGAAGGAAACCTGGTCGTACCCAGGAACGGCCCGCACTGGCCGATGAGATTGATGATCACGATAGACATTCCGCGGCGGCTGTCACTGCCTTGATTGTCTGGGGGAAGGGACTCTTAGCCTTTGGGAGCCTCCATTCAGATGTGCGTAGAAGACCTACTAAGCGTCAAAGCTAGAATGTTGGGGATGGTTGAGAAAACTCCTGCTGATGCGAGAAAGGTGGCAAAGTAGCGAATCCCGACAGTATCTATTGTAGCAAGAATGGTGTAGCCGACCCCTCCTACCACCGAGGTACAGAAGAGTACGAAGCAGCGCTGCTGAGTCTTGTCTGCTATCCAAGTTGTTAGGAGGGCAAATAAGAAGGCTGCGAAGGAAGGTGGAGCAGAAAGGCCTTGCGCATTGATCGCGGTATAACCTATGTCCTCAAGGATGGTCGGTAAGAAGACTGGCAAGCTCGAGTAAGTCACATTGCCACAGAAATACATCAAACCGCACATCCAAATCTTGACATCAATGAGCGCGGGCCCGATGTCCTTGATGTTGAACTTCCCGACCCTCGAGTTTGGGTCCGTTCCGACCTGTCGTATCGCTCTCGACCGCGTGATGTTTCTCTCATCATCTGTCAGGAACTCGGCCTTTTCAGGCGAGTCTGGGATGAAGAAGAAGGCCACAGCCGCCATTGCGACTGTCGGCAAGCCTTCTACGAGGAACAGCAGCCGCCAGTTGGCAAGGTGTGCGTGGCCGCTAGTGATTCCGAAGGCTAGGGCACCAGCGAACGTAGATGCCAGCGGAGCTGCCGAGGCGAACATGCCACATCTGAATCCGATTTCATTGCGTAGGTAAAAAAAGGACAAGAGATAAATGATACCTGGCCTGGTGGTGGAGGATCACAGCCTCGTTGTTAGTTTCGGGCTTGTAGTACCGTGTTAGGTTGTGAGTTGCGTGATTCGTGACCCACCCGTAAGCCGCTTCAAAGACTCCCAGAAGGAATCTCAGCGCCATCATGCCACTCCACGAATGAGTGCCCGCCTGTATGGTCGCAACGAGGCCCCAGCCAAGCACCACGACTGCACCAACTATATGTGGAGGAAATAGCTTCCATAATATGACTCCAAATTCAGCAACAACGTAGGCAATATAAAAGATGTTGAGCAACCATTGATAATCGCTACTGTCAAGGCTGAGTTCCTTTTGCATGCCTGCAATTCTTGCGTTTCCAATGTTTGACCTATCAAGAAATGCCAACATGTCTTGATAGGTGCGCCTGTCAGCACCTCAATCACGGCGGTTGGGGCCAAAAGTATTTGATTTATGAATGTACTTACATAGGAAGAAAAATAGAGTCATCAGGTTGAGATCAAGCTTGCGGACGACACGCGCTTCCTGGCCCGGTGTGTAAGACACCGCAGTGCTGTGGTCGTGGTCATTTTGTGATTCAGCAGCCTGTGAGGAAGCATGTGTGTGTGCCTCTGACTTTGGTGAGACCGGATTTGTAATCTGCGGCATGGTCCTCATCAGCGTTGACGAGTGTAGGTGGGAACTGTATGCAGCCAAGAACCCCGATGAGAAAGCTTAAAAGGTGTGGAGGTGAAGAGATGAATAAATCGCCCTTTTCAAGCTGATGGGTGAAATGGGGCGTGTGAGGTTGAAGTAAAGTATTCCCCTCTCTTACCTCCTTGCGCTCCTGGCTCCGAGTGGACGCCGAGAGTTTTGAAGCGATGTGATTCTGGACGGTTGGCTTTAACCCTGATGCGAAGTCGGACAGGGAGAACGAATGAAGGGATCCTGGCGTGTCCTCGCCCCTTGGATCCCATGTTTTCGAAAACAGTTCTCGGGGGACAAGATATATGACGTGTAGTAAAACACAGAAAGTTCTCAGTTCCACTATAACGTGTACCTCTTTTGTTCTCCAGCCTAGGCACATACAATTTGCAACAGATGGCTGCTCTTGACGAGTTCCGGCCCTTGCTTCCTACAGGAGCTGCAGTGACTTCTTCATGTTATGTGACGGACTGCCCCATCGGGTTGGCTTGATATACGTTCAAGGCGCGCTGCGGCGATGTAACTATTCGTCCAGCTACGTCCCTGGGTTCACGGGATTGGGTAGGTGCACATCTGATCTGACCACCCTCTCCAGGGGGGAATAAGCAATTGCCAATGCTTGCCCACTTGTGGTCACATTGAATGTGATGCGACGCAAATAATTATGCGATTGATGAAGTCTGCTTAAATAGGCTCTCCGACCACGCAGCTCTTCGCAGTTACCTTCGGAAACGCAGTGTTGTATCTGTTCGGACGTATGTCGTAACTTCGGCGCCTACGGCTAGCAGTCTCGCAGTCTGCTACCTTTGTGTGCTGTGAGACCGTACCGATCAGTTACTCCGTGCAAAATACGCGCGAGGAAGGCGCTCCGGTTCTTGGATGGCGCATTAGCTTTCATATGGCTGCTTACCTGCCAACATGGTCGGTCGCGTTTTGAGTTGTGGTACTCTTGAGGGGATTTCCTATATCACAACCACCGTAATGCTCACATCCCGATCATGGGCGTCTGCCGCGCCTTCGCTTTCTCCCCCTTTCACATTTCTCTTTAAACATCCTTCACGGCTTCTATATTGCAGAGCTATTGCCCCCCCCCCCCCTTCCCGGGCAAACTCCTCTACGAGCACGTCGGGACCCGGTCGGACATGTCCGCATATAAACTTACTCCAGCGCAAGAGGCTCTTGATTATGACACGAGACAGCCGGCGCTCTGGGCATCACTTGTTGCCTTCGTCATCATTAACAATCTTGCCATCTTCGCAAGGACCTGGATTAAGTGGGTAACAAAGCTGAATGGCAAGAGGATCACTGCAGAGGATATATTTGTATGTGGTCTTTTCAGTCCTAGATGATATTCGGTTCTTCTTCAAAACCGACTGTCAAGCTCACATCAGCTTTAATCGTCGTTAATTGGTCTGGGGGAGATGTTGACACTCGGAAAACAACAACAGGTCATCCTGAGTGGAGTAGGCAGAGTGCTCTGAATGCCCCCTCAAAAGCGTGGAACTGTCGTTCTGACCAGCCATTCAGATATTTGTGAACGCAGTGATAGCGAATCTCATGTTAGCAACTTATTACGGTCTTGGTTTACATACGTTCAGTGTGAACTTGAGAGATCCGGACTATCCAACGAATCTCTCTCACACTTTCAGGGTAAAATAATACTCTTCGCAACATATGTTGTATTCTAACCAAGCGTATATCATCCAGAGCTCAGCTGACCACATCTCAAAACATATAGCATGTTTGGATCACCATGGTCTTAATGGCCAGCTTCTTCCTCTGCATCAAGATGACCTTGCTATTCTTCTATAAAAGACTGTTCTTGGTCACTATTGTAAGTTGTCTATAGGACAAAGATGACATTTCTTGGGCTGTTTTTAGGGCGGGGGATCTTTCCTTAAAGCATTATGAAGCTTCATGTTTTCACATCTGAAGAGAGAGTCACTACCGATTCGGGAGCGTACATCCCTGATATTCCCACCAATCATACTTCGTCTACATCGAATTTTATTTCTGACTTACTTCGACAGCTCGGAAAAACGATGCGTGTTTTCTGGTGGGTGAACCTAGTCTATGTCATTCTGTGGTGGATTGGTGCAACGGGCTTCTACCTCTTCCAATGCAGCCCAGTACAATGGTACTTCATACAGTACTATGCGAGGTTTGGCAAGCCAGTACCTGGAGGAGTCAAAGGCCAGTGTAAAGCCACAAAGGTACTGAATGTTGCGCTTCCCGTGGTCTTTAGCCTCGTATCAGATGTGGGGCTTATGGTCCTACCAATATGGGCCATCTCCAGATTGAAGGTTAGCAAAAAGAGGAAGTATGGTCTATTGGCAGTCTTTGGGTTGGGTGCGATCGCTTGTATGCTGGAGCTGGGGCGGATACTGGATCTTCTTCTCGATACTGATGACAAAACTGACCCTAGTTGTGAGTAATCAACCACGGGGATGGCCTGCCGTGGAGAGCTTCAAGCCCAAAGTCAGTGGTGATATCGTGGCTGACTCTTATTCTCTGCAGGGGGCGTCGCCATCTTCCTGATTCTCACCGCCGCAATCGAGACCGCCGCGGTGGTGTGCGCTTGTCTTCCTGTGATCGGACCTCAGCTAATCAAAGGATACAAGAAACTTGCCGGCACCAGATCTGACTACCCATCCTATGGGAATAGCAGTGGACTAAGCGCCGACAATAAGTTAGTTCTCCTGCAGAACAGGCGAAGTAAAAGTACGCAGGGGAACTCCAATAACGACCAAATAGGGCTCAAAGGGAGCTTCCGAGGGGAAGATGGAATTCAACTGGCCGATTTTGTTGCCCGCGACGAGAACTCTTATGATGAAGGCGACGCCTCGAACGGCCCGCATTGGAGATCACACGCTTTTGTCGAGGACACCAGAACATGGCCGGTCTTGCCGCCGCCAGCCCTGGGACGCGTACTTGTTCAGGCGGACGTTGAGATTGAGGTATGTCCTACAATCGAATTTGTTCATCTGGAAAACAGACTGCTTACCGAAACTGCCTCACGTCACAGAGCGGCCCTGGGTCAGGAGTTAGACTGCATTCCCACCTACACAAGAGCAACAACCACGCTTTCGCAACAACGGCTAGGTTCTAGCCAGCAAACCCGAAGTGTGTGAAAATACGTGATTATATAATTAGATTGATGGCTGTGCCAAATTTTCTTGAACAAGGTTATAAAACTTTTAATAGTCAAATCGAGCCTTCGTGCTGTGACATTATACATATCCCCATAGGAAATGTCAATTACGAGCTACCCGGGGTCTGCTTCAGTTACATAAAGGTCGTTACCGGACTCATTTAGCCTTAGATTCACCCCTCGCTCGGGACTCATTACAAGTTGACCCCCAAGTGCTTTCTACAATAATGGATCGTTCTATTACAAGTGCGTTCCACAAGGGTTGTTGGTGCCGACTCCAGTCCCTTCGCCAGGCAGACGCTCTCGGGCGGAGAATTGAATACTAAAACATATTACCAACACTCGACAATTGAGTCAGACCTCTAGGACAACTTAAAGTCAGAGGCTCAGCTCACAATAATTCGTTTCACCGGACATAGTATGCGCAAATCAATTCTTTAAAGAGGAAGGTACACGGTGAAATCCCCCACTGCCATTAGCCCATCCGACTATGGAGACTACAACAGTCAAGCCGCGTGTTGTCGACCGCGCCGTCTTCAAAGAGCAGCTTACGGCGCTGCGAGACCGCGAGAAGGCGCATACCCGCGAGGGCGACGCTATCGCCGCCGCCCGCCGCCGCCTGCCAATGGTAGAGGTTGACAGCGCTACACGGTTGGTCGGAACGGCCGGCGAGTCGACTCTGCTCGACGCCTTCGAGGGCCGCAAGCAGTTGCTCGTCTACTTTCACAGTAAGCAGCTTCCGGAAGGGATTTTAACTTCTCCAGGGAGCAGCATCCGCCATATGCGTGGCCTGTCTCACTGCTTGAACTAGAGCCCTTTGTTAGACCGCACTATCCGAGACAGACACTGGGCATATGGTGGTCTACTTCAACCTCTACCCCAATGGAACTTCCTCTTTGATGCTTTGATGGCTAACTCTAAACGCTGCAGTGTGGCACGACGGCAAGCCCGCCCCGGACCAGTGCGAGGGCTGCACCTTTTTCAATGGCCACGTGCGCGAGATGTCGGTCCTGCACTCCCGCGAGGTCTCCTACGCCACCTTTTGCAAAGGGCCCTGGGAGCAGATCTCGCGCTACAGGGACTTCCTCGGGCTGGACGTCCCATGGTACCACCTCTCCGAGGAGGCGGCCGACAGCATCGCCGACGGCGCCCTCGTCGCCTACCTGCGCGTTGGGGACCGCGTCTTCCAAACATACGCAGCCACCGGCCGGGGGTGTGAAGTGATGTCAAATTCCTATGGGCTCCTTGACCTGACCATTTACGGCCGCCAGGAGGCCTTCGAGGACTCGCCTGAAGGCTGGCCCCGGGCGTACGGGGACCGTGGCACCCAGTTCCGTACGGGGACTCGCCCTATCCTCCAATGGCCCCGTGTCGACGCGGGGTATTGCGACGACCTAAGTGGCGCTTCAAGTGTCGAGATCGAGGACCACCCCACACTTGCCTGAACTAGGAGTCAGCCAGGCGAGTAAAGACTTGCAGAATTGACGAAAGTGTCTTCTAATCAATTGTTTCTCTTGTGAAATTGACAGAGGTACAAGGCCAATGAGGCTTATCTACGCAGATCATATCCTGTGCACCAGGTTGCCGGTTTCAACTATTGTGGCAGTAAGACTGTTTTGCGCATTTTACCAGATTATGGCCCCCTGTGGTGAGGACTTTCGGATATGTTACTAGAAGGCAGCTCGAGGTCTGATATTGCTGATATTAGTGTGGACATCGTGACGACTGTCGCCCGATGTGCGCGATTGTTGACACCTCGGATTTGAGTTTCATCTAATTATCATACCCTGGGTAGCCTGATGATGTCGACAAAGGCTTGAACGACATCTCAGCGATGCTGCCCCCCGACCCCGGCGGGCACTCGATGAGACTTTGATGCTATCTCTCTTGCCGGCCGTGATTACTCTTTGTATAATGAAAGCACCTTGATGGTCGGTAGTTGCTGTCGGGATCCGGTTCTACGCGAAGACGAGAGTTTGGAAAAAAGCGACGCACGAATAATTTCAAGTCCTCTTCCAAGGCAAGACTTATATTCACGGGAATATTCGCCAGTTTGACCTTTTTTTCATCTCACCGCGTATCAGGCATTCTCCTGTTCGCCCTGGTATGCAGGCCTGAGCCCCGCATCAATTGTTGTGGCTGACCAGGATTGCAAGCTTGATCTTCTGGCACGGGACTCGATCTTTCTTCATTCAGCTTGTCAAGGAATTGCCCACCATCCTTAGGACTTTCGAGCCATTCACTTGCCTCATTTTCTCTACGTAAGTGCTCCTTATTGAGACCAACTAAATGATCATGGTGCCCTGCAAAGGCTGGTTCCCAAAATTACCTACATAGCGCATGAATTTTATGTTCCCCAGCTTTGTGCGCCGTGAAGTACACCGTACTTATCTAACTCCGAACGGATCTTCGCTATTGGTAAATCCCGTGATGCTATCTTCTGGGCAATTTCTTGTTTTCGGTTTCGGCCTTCAGTACATATTAACCCAGCACAACAAGACAGTCCCGCCGGAAGCATAACCCGAGGATATTAGCTGGAGACAGGCGTGCCGCAGGATATACCGGATAGCTGCTGCTAGTATAGTTTATTGAGTCTTTTCGATGGATAGCCAGGATCAAGCGATCTGGGTTGGAAGGGCTAGACTCTGGTAGTAAGTCAACCATTTCCCACCATGTAAGGAATGAAAGCCTTACCCATTCACACAATTTTAGGATGGGCGAATTTTCCAGCATCTTGCTGGTTGCATAGCGTCCATCCTCCCCTCGATTTTGGTGGCATCTGCGTGGAGACAAGGTCCAGACGATGAGTTACAAAGTCACCCATCAAAGGCGGTAGCTCGAACTCAAGATTCAATAGGTCTCTGGCTAACACACCTAGAATAACGCGTACGTGGAGCCTGACCGACAATGGGAGACGTGGTCGTTTTACCACATGTAGATATATCACGAGAGCGGTCACAATGTAAGGCTGTAAAGGCAGGATGCCATCTTGTCTTCAAGTTCGGGTCAGTTGTGTGGCTCCACTGCTTAACTCTAGGACCTCTCGAGGAGGTACCTAGCCAGCCGCACACGACTCAAATCTATGTGTTTTTGCCGTCTCAAGAGTGCGTTAAGCACAATCATCAGGCACAGTCGTGCGTACGATATTTTATACTATTGAAAGGCCCGTTATGCTTCACCGACCCAAATCTTGGATAAGACTTCCTGCGTCATCATACCACTGCTCCACACCGCCCTCATGACATCTGCTATCGATTCCTCCAGAAGCTCCAAAAAAGCACCTTCCGGGCGTCAGATCAGGGCACGAAACGCTAAGCTCCATATCGTCCACCTCGGGCAACGGTTGTCTTGGGTTCCCCCACGAGAGAAGTCAGTGTTACATTTAAAACACTGGCATAGAGAGAAGCATCTCATAAACCGGTTGCAATGGCGGTCACCGCCGCTTTCGGCTACCGGGAGCTGCAGCATTGTTTTGAATGTAGCCTTCCTTACCTATGGCATCTGGCTGAGCGCACGAGCCCAGGCTGGGATCAGTGGGAGGACAAAACGTTCCTCTGCCATAAGGCGGAACGTCCAGACGGGACCTTAGCTTGAGTTTAAGAAATTATTCTGCCATTAAAATTGCCTTAACGCCACGGCCTCTTGTGTCTCGGGCGAGTTGTAATCAAAAGGCATCTCTGTTTCAAAAACAATTGTGTCGGTAGGAAAGGTGGGTGCGGCTTCGGGCTGGCCCGAGTCAAAGAATGGTAAATTGTGTATATCGATTCCACCGGCTGCGCGGAAGTACCACCCACGCGCAGTTGTTCTGGGATCGAATATAAGAGGCATGGTTGTAATGCCCCGTCAGAATGGCCCAGGAAGAGTGCGAAAAACGGAAGACGCTCTCGTGGATGACCCGGGCCATAGCAATGGCGTTCCTCAGGGGACTGGGTAGGGATTCACTCCGTGAAACGGATGCAGGTTCACACCGATTTCTACGACGAAGAGCGCAATATCTGTCTTCTGTATGAGTTCAAGCCCGGTCTGTGGACCAAGGCGTCGCTTCGACGAGCGTTGGCGCATTCGCATGTCGTATATACGAAACAAGTTCCAAGTCCTCTACTCTTAGAAGTGTGTAGGAACGCCTTTTACGCTCAACTGTGCCGGGTTTCCATGTCTCTGGATCGGGGTCACTTGGATCCTGGATTTACAGGCTAATAGCATTCTCCCGAGTCTCGCGAGGACTTCAAGCGCTCAAGATGCCAAACAGGCAGTGAAATGCTGACGAGAACGCCTCACCATTAGCTTTCACTGCCTGTTTGGCATCTTCACGGTCCAAGCCCTGCTCGAAGAGGTGGACGGTATCATCAGAGCATGGCGGCAGGATGACTCCCAGAATCGAGGTCCCAGGTCATAGCTCCGCTGCTCTCCTTGGATAATTTTGGAGCATTGAGTCAGTCATGATGATGTATAATCAGCCTTGAGGGGTCGAACCCATTTCTGATAAAACCATGGGCTGCTCGTTCAAATTCGCCGTTGCTAGGATGATGATGGGACCGGACAGGGACTTTATGAAAGATCTGTTCTCAAGTGGAAATCTCACTGGCATCGAAATCCTCGAGCTCGGTACTTTTGATCCCGGGGAACGAAAATCTTGCCCCTTTCTTAGTTCATGTTGCCCCTTTGGAGAGACGACCGTAAGTGTTGCCCGGCGATGAGTACAGTGTTGGGGTGTCTTTGTCAAGTGACGGGACAGATGCAAGTCGTGCTGGCCGCTGTGCACGTCCGCGGCAATCTTCGCTGCAATCTTGTCAGTGAGTTCTTGGGGCAAGCATCCCGTCTCTAGTGAACGAGAATGTGTTCGGCAGCAAGTGAGCGTTGCTCGTGTTGACGGGAGGCGACAATCTGGAAGGAAGACGAAATTTGTGTTGGGTTCATGAGAGACAAGCGGAATTGCGGCTTGCGGCACAGCAATGCTACATCTATGGGGTGGATGCCGGTGGTGCTCGTCAACTCTTCACACCGCCACCAAGATGTCGATTTCTATTGTTGTTACCGAACCTTGTAACAACACCTGCTTTACTAGCATTACGCGCCCCAGGCTCGGGCTTCGACCGGCGCATGGCCTTGACCATCTTTGTTTCCACTGACTGGTCATAGAATGTGTACTCAAGGAGTTAATTGGCTAAGAACACGGTCCCAGTATTTGCACTCGTCAACACGACTCGCATAGTTAGTTGGAAATGGCGAGTCGCAATATTGTGTGTATAGCCATACAGCAATTGGTCACTCGCAATTCTATCAAGCTTTGAGTGGTTCACTAACCCTATCAGGTCTGCATAGTTGGCCTCGGTTGCGGCCCGACTCGAGCAGCTCATTGGATCTCCTCAATACAACTTGAGCAAACCTTGTTGTTTCGAGGCAAGAAGGCTTTGAGTCGTAGAAAATTAGAATGCATGACCTCGTCCAGTTGATGGGTTGCAGGATACTCTGGGCAAAAACATTGAAGCAGACGTTCAAACATCGGTGATTTGGCGAAGACGTGAGATTGTGTATTAAAATGTACTAGTACATCAAATTCTTGGCAGATACTCCGTCTCAACTCAGGGCTTGGCGTCCATCCCCATCAAGTAGAACAACGGGTATACAAGGGATGGATCAGATGGCCGGTGCCGATAACTACAGAAATCTCAATGCCCCTTCTATTCCACCGTAAAACTCTTGAGTTCGCCAATATCGCTAGGCGAGACGCTGCCATTTCGATCTAGAGACATAGTCCTTTTGGAAGCGTGCGCTGTTTCCTGGTGTGCACATTACACCACTGACTCTATTATCAGCTTCGAGGTAGAGCGACAGGGGGGTTGTACTTATTGACTGACCCTTTCAGGAAATTACTGTCACCTCTTACACCACAAAAGCGTCCTTGTTGCTCCGTTCCGTGCAGCAGGAGATTATTCGACCAAGCAGTATCGTTCCGACGAAGACGCAGAAAACGAAGATGTACATGAAAACAGCCCAGTCTAAATCCATCTTGGTGTGTTGGAACGGGAACGGGAATGTCGTGGCGGTTGGAGCCGCCTGGCGTGCGATTAGTACGGCATCCATGATCGAGTTTCGAGGGCTGACAAAGCTCGTTGGCGGTGACAGTGGCGTGGGTTTAAGCGAAGCGTAGTAGTGCAACCTGTGCACCTAGTAAAAAGAGTGTGGTTCGTCCTTCACCAACGCGAACCCAGCTGACCAGCAGGGGGAAAATCGACTTGTCGTACGATAGTCGTGATGCACCAGGCACAAGAAAGTATAATTCGCACTTAAGGAAAACAAAAAGTGGAATGGAGAGGACTTGGGAGGAAAAAGTGGCCTGATTTTTTGCAAGAACCCACGGGGTATGCCAGATGGGATAAATGGGAAACCTGGGGGAGGCTCACTTTGGACGAGATGGTGTGTGTGCCCCTGACAGGAAGATCAGACCGAAGGTGTCACACCACCATCGTTGCCAACGTATGTGAACAAGACTAAGCAAACCAAGAACGGCCACTAGCTCATTAGCGGTCTTGGCATCGAGGAAATGCCACTGAATGCGTCCAGCATGAGATTAGGTTTGAGATCTCCCCAGCACTAGATCGACCATTTCTATGGGAGACTTCGTTCGGGCCGCCGGGGGCTGATACGGCTCTCAGTCTCACCAATGTCCACACGTCCCGGGCTTCGCGCCGATGAGGCATGTCCCTGAGCGATGACGTCCATCGCATCAGAGGGAGACAATGAGCCCCTTCTTGCCCTTCCACTTACTATAGGCCCATTTTCCTCGAAGAAAAATCGGCATACTCATTCTCGACGTGACCTGAAACTGCAGGAGACATGGACCTGACCGGCAGCAGAATTTTTTCAAGCTACGGTTCATTAGACCAGCATCCCACAATGTCACCAGAAGCGAGGGAGTACATCTCTCCAAGTCGGAGACATATATGATGATAATCTAGACAGAAATGCAAGGCTCGATAAAGTCAAGGTCTCTGAAACAGCGATCTTAATGGATGGACATGGCCTCTGGACATACCGACAGCAGCTTGTTGTTCTATGGTGTCGGAACCCACATTGCGTTTGACGCTCCGAATTGGGGCGACTGAGCAGCAATTACGGCAGACCGGACTTTGCCCCGACTGTAAAACAATAGATAACTGAATTTACATGCCCACGTCCAAGATCTGCACCGGCTGCTACTCTTCGTGCATCAGCTTGCTCTCAGGATACTCACGAAATGCCTCGCCATGCATCTGCGGCTCAAATGGCAGAGCTGAGATGCTGAGCTACTTACGAGGGTTCCTCCAAGTTATCAAGAAGACGAACGTCTCACCAGTACGCCTCTTTCTCCCATGAGCTCTGCTTCTTCTTTTCCGTAGCGCTAATTTCGTCCAGATGGTAGTTCAGGCCTACATACTTCATGGGCGGCCCACAATCTCTTGATCGAGACTTGGACGCGTTGATACTAAGTGATCAAAGAAACCACCAACCCGCCCACCACCCCTCTCTCTTTCTGTGCCTCTCTCTCTCTCTCTCTCTCTCTCTCTCTCTCTCTCTCTCTGTCTGTGTGTGTGTCTGTGTGTGTGGGGGGGGGGGGGCCATGCCGCGGAGGCGTACCGGTCTGATCATTAGCGGCCCTGGCTAGTCCTTTTACGCCTTGGGGTTGCTTGACCTCACAACCGAAGATCATCGATCATCTGTCTGCCGGAATCAGTGTGGCATAGGCTTACTCGTCTTTCGACAAAATCCCCGATGGTCACATTTGTATTTGTCTCTTCTCTGGTTATGATAAGTGGCTTCGCGGGGATGAAGTTAAAGAAGACCGAAGACACCATTGCTCGGTATCCCGATTACGAGCCAGATTATGGCCTGGCGCTCGAAAGTGAACTCGTCGCCCAGCTTGGTGGAAACAATCGGGTCACTGCAGACGTAGGCCACTGTTTAGGCGTGCAGCCCGAATGATTCCCCTCACACTGATCACGACGAAATACGAGATGAGGTATAGGCTGGCCCGGCTTCTCATTCGTTCTGTTAAGGGCACGCTATCGTGCTTCTCGAAGTGCCCAGAAATCAGGTTTCCGTGCTGTGGTCATCCCTCTTGATGAGTTAGTCGGAGAACTTCGACATGCCTGGAAGCAGATTAGGGCATGGCAAATAGTGTAATCATAACGAGAAACTTTGCTCCAAAAAAGTGAGAAAATCAGACAAGGGCAAGTTGAGAGTTCGTACACTAGAGGAAAGTTTACGGAAAGAATTCGGAGGAAGGGAGCGGTTTAGACTACCGGGTCCTCTTTGATAGAGGTTGTGTCTAAGGCGTCCTTTAGCGTGCACATCACCATATCTGGGGAGCGCAATCGGTTAGCATAGCGCCTTCAACCCTTCTAATCTATGCTCACCGATTCTCGGGGCTTAGACATGGCGGCAGGAAAGGCCGAGAACGTGTGTAACTCGCTCAATTAACCTGTTGGTTGTAGTATCTCCGGGTAGTGCAGCGGGAATTATTCCCTAAGCGTTATGTCTCTGAGAGACGGGGGAAGGAGTGCTAGGTTCTTGTGTTGCCGGCTGTTTTCCCCATGACTGATGCTTACGATTAGAGAAAACATAACTTCACCGAAGTCCGTATCTGTCTGCATTTAGGTGATTTTGCCGAACTTGACAAAGAGCTTGAAGCCGATAGCTTATATAAACGGGAAGCGGTCACTTGTCTGGCCGTCCTCACGCAAAGGAAGCTTGTGGCAAGAATATCGTTGGAGTGCCACGCCAGAAATAAAGATTGTGATATTCACATGGTTATTCTCGGACTGTAGTACAGGGAATACCTGACTAATGATTGGAACATATGATATTCAATAACAACGCTGTCTTATCTTATACCTCTCTTGACGAAATATAGGAACCGGCTCGTGACTCAACCCACGGTCTCCTCGGCTGCTTACTCAACCTCCTACCCTCATAGTTTGAGAACAGCGAGGTTCTGCTCATGTTGCTCGGCGGGAACTCCTGCCAGCGGACGGATCTCTTTCTACTCAGTGCAAGTGCGGCGCCATTCGCCCGACTCAGAAGCCCTCCGGTGTTACGACCCGCCCTTGTATCGTTCACAGCGCGGCTTCCGTTTTGGCCGGGCCTCTCACTAACATCCAGGACACCCCAATCCTCCGTCTCGGCCCACATTTCCTCCTCGGAGACATCACTATACCGTAGCGGCACGGTGGCCCCGAACCTGAAGCTTCGGGTGGCAGGTGCCATGAGTGCCTCGTCGGCACGCATGCGAGCCATATGCCACTGAATCCAATACATCTGCTCGTGCTCGCGCAAGTATCGTTCGCCGTGGAAACCTTTGAGGACGACACCACGCGAGAGCATGCCGAGCTCGCGACGGAATTCAGCCTTCTCGTACATACGGCGAGTAAGCCATTCCACGTCAGAGTCCCTGATGACGTCTGGTAATGTGAGACTCGGGGGCACCGCTTCTTTGTCGCCAACTTCGCCTGTGAACTTGGACCACGCGCCCACCATAGACAGCATGGATATTTGTGCGCGAGCCAGTGCCACGGGGTCGTTGGGTGGGACGACCTCGCCGTACTTGCGATCCTGATCATCAGGGTCTGTCAAGACTAGCGCAGTGGCACCGACGGAAGTAGCAACAATGGGCACGCCTGCGAGCGCGGCCTCGGCGATGGCAAGAGGCAGACCTTCGGACAGGGACGAGTTCATGAATAACCAGGCATCCTTGAGAACCTCTTGTGGCCGGCCGAACCCACCCAGGATAACCTTGTCAGACATCTTGCACTGTTGTATAAGCTTTACCATGTCAATTGTGTAACTCGGCTCGCGGTCTTGAGCGCCATACACGACGAGCTTGTAGTCCTTGAAGCCGAATTTGTTGATGATGACGTCCGCGGCCAGGATGGCCGTCCTCACATCCTTGATAAACTGTACGTTGGACAGCATGATGACGGTAGGCACTTCGGTGCGGACCTGGTCCACTGGCTCAAATGCGTCCATGTTGCCAACGCCATTCACAATGGGATCGATTTTGCGGCGGAACTGGTTCCTGTGGCTGACCTTGCCCATGTCGGTGCCAAGATCAGCTTCCCATATGGGGTTGAAGAAGGAAGTGCAAGGCAGGATAACATCGGCGTGGAAATACGCCAACTTTGTCGCCAGGCCTATTCCGGCAAGAAGCATAGACTGCACCGGGATCGAGAGCTCACACTGCGCCGGCGAGATGTTGAGGCAGCACTCCCGCCAAAGGATGGCGTGATCCCAGATGCCGAACGTGGTGCCTCGCTTGTACTTCAGCAGCATGCCGAACAGACTGCTAATGCCATGGTGGGTGCTCTGGAATACCTGTGGGCAGTTCTCAGGGGACTGAACGCTGAAGATGAAGAAGTATGACTTGTAGATGGCCAGCGCATCCCTGAAGTCTGTCATGCTCGGGCGGGACAGCTCGAACCAGTCGGACGGATCCGTGATGTCAGCGTCGTCGTAACTCTCCAGCCAAGCCTCAGCCCACGCAGCAGCGACCTCCTTGCTGTTATATGCCTCGTTGTAGTCCTTGTGCTCAAAGAATTTGAACATGGTAAGCATGATGTTGCTATAGTGGAGAAGTCCAGCCCGGTCTATGTGGCGCGACCTTGCCCCCTTGACGAACTGCTTGAGCAGTGGCACAAATGTGTTGATGATGTCCCGCTTGATTTCAGTATTTCCGATCTTGCGGTCGACTTCGGACTGAAGAAGATTGTCGATAACACCGTGATTGGGCGTCTTGCCGTCCAAGCCCCATAGTGGCAGAATTTTCAGGGACTGGACGTTCTTCTCAATCTGGAAGCGAGGAATACCATACTCGTTCGCAGACTCGGCAAGGACATGATTCCGGATCGTGCTGTGGCCATTCACCAAATCACGTCGGCAGTTGGACACACCACCAGGCGATTCGGGCCAGCAACCGACGTCGTTGAAGATGACCGAAATACGCTCTTGTGTGTCCTTAAAGCAATCTTCTGGGCGGGTAGTCATCTGGTTTGCGTCTTTACCCAGACCCATGGCATACAAATCAGAAGCCTTGATGGGCAACATGCAAACTTCCGAGACGTCCTTCTCCAGCTCGATAGCGGCGACAATCCGTTCAATGTTCTCGTCAAGCTCCCTCTTCGCGGCGGTCAGCTGCCCAGACGAGCGGTATGACCAGTACTTTAGCAGTGTGGGTTCCTCGCGAAGAATCAACTCATCCATCCAGCATGCCGTGATGCCGTCGAGCGAGTTGGACTTGAGCCAGTTGTTCCAGAGTTCCGTTCGGAGCCACCAGGTGGGTACGCGTGAGTAGACCTTCTTCTTGTGCCAATAGTTCCATGCACCAGGATTGATCATCGTCCTCAGAGACTTGACAGCACGGTTGCTACCAATGTACTTGCAGATACGGCGGACATCAGACCGGCGATGCCGGATGAACAAATCGTCGTTCTCGAACGAGACGTCTGTCGGCCGGGTCTGCATAATCTGCTCCTCTGGGAAAACCTGCGGAGGTTGCGCCACCAGGCAGCGCGCACCGGCCTCTTCCATGACAGTGACCATGGTTGGGTCACGTCGGTGAGCGTAGTTGCTGGTAGTCGTGTACGTCTTGGTGTCGATCTTGCGCACAATCCGACAGACACGATCCGAGGGGACCCAGTCGAGCTTTGTGCCTACGTCAGCACGGAGAGGCACACCCCAGTAGACGACCAAGATGTCGCCGTTGATGGCCTTGGCAAGCTTGAACTCAGCACGCAGGATTTCGTGGCTGCTCTTGGGACTGGACTTGTAAGAGTAGGTGAACTCATATTCCTTGTCGCCAAATAGCATGTCACCATGGGTGACGCGCCCGTACTTATCGTAATAGCATTTCTTGTAATTCTGGCCGTCGACAACCTCTTTAAAGGCTGGCCATCTCGAACGCGAGTCCTCAGCGTAGTTGTATGTGGCAAAGGTCCAGGGATTAGCCTTCTTGTTCTTGCCAGTCGACTTGTCCTGACGGTTGGAGAGTCTGAAGACATTGTCGTACACTGCTGTGGATATTGGCTCAACATCTGTGGGACGAGTCGAGAGCTGCTTGTCGTAGATCTCCAGAGTGATCGAGTTTTGCTCGTTGCGTACCGCAAAACCGGTAATGACCTTCCTCAGCTGCTCAATGACGACTCGATCTTTGACCAGTGTCCTGGATGCCCCCTTCTTTGCCAGGCGGGAAATGCGCACCAAGTTTTTGCGGTGATAGATGAGCAGGACGTAGACCCAAACGTTCTTGAAGAACCAGCAGAAGCGCCAAAACGTGAGGAGCACCCACAGGATCGGGCCTCGGGCGTAGGAGTACCGGAACTTGTACCACAACTCTCTCTCCACATCTGAACCAGCACCGGTGATTATGCCCACCCACTTGGTAAATGTATTCGGAATGGACGAGATGGTTTCGACAAGGCCCAAGAAGAAAGTCTGCTGACGAGGCCCCATATGCACCGGCGCACAGTGAAGCTCTGATTTGGAAAGTGGCGTTGTGCCGGTCTCCAGCGAGTAGTCGGCGTTGATGTGCTCACGCTCCAGTGTCTTTAGGTAGATGGTTAAGGCGGTCTCAAGGTGGAAATCTGACGTCTGCAGGTCAATGGAGTTGTTGGCCATGAACTGATGCAAGTCTCGAGACACCGACACAGGGTCACCGAGGATGCGGCAAAAGATGACCTCACGGACATAGGGCGGCAGATCACGCCACTTGCTATCGACATGGATGCCAAGGCAGAGGTGCTTCATGATCTTGAGATTGGTCTTGCGCTGAATCTCAAGGAGAGTGGGAAGGTCGGACGTGGACAGCTCAAAGTCAATGCGCCGAGACAGTTGCTCCGTCTCATGGAGGAAATGCTCAGCCTGGATGGCGCGCTGGCGGTCCATATGAAATATGGCGCGAGCGGTGTGAAACAGGATGGCTTCGGTGGCGAAGTAAGCGAGGAGAGGCTGCCATGTAGGAACGTTGATCTCGTCCTCCAGGAGATAACCCGTCGAGATCTCCAGCATATTTCCGTCGTATCGACTGAAGGACATTGAGCTGCCAAAGCCCATTTCGATGAAGGAAGTACGGGTACTGAGGTTCAGCTCAATTCTGCCTGCCTTCCACATCTCGAGGGCCACCTTCAAGACATCTTCTGACCATGCTGCATTTTGGGCATGCACATTGGGCTGGCCAATTCCCAGGCGCAACAGCTCTGGAATTCTGTCGCAAATGAGATTTGATGAATTGACCGTGACCTTATTCCCGGGGAGGTCTTTCCAGGTGGCAACTTCTGAAGTCTCCGAGACGGCCATGCTCGGGTTGGATAGACGAGGCTGTGTCCACCCCGTCGGGGCTCCGTTGGGTGTCTGGTTCTTCCGTGATGGCTTCTGGATGTGTAGGTCCTTCCAGACGAAGAACGTCGTCAAGAAAGCAGCCATCAGCGCGGCAGTGTTTAAGGCGATTACGTCTGTGTAGAATGGCTGCTCTTTGCCGTAAATTCCATGGAGGGTGCAGCCAACGATGAAGCCCGCCACACCGCCAGAGAGGATCGAACCGACGTGGTATTTAACATCCGTCGTGAAGCAACGGTTGAACTGGAAGATCATAACAGCGGTGTAAGCAATGACGTACGCGTAGTATAGGACGATGAGTTGTTGATTTGAGACAAAGAGCCAGACAAAAATGGAAGAGAAGCCAAGCCAGAAGACCAGTCTCTGGGACAGCTCGAGGAGAGCGCCCAGATACTTTCTTCGCCGGTTCTTCTCCCAGTCCTGCTGGACACGCTTGGCGTGGTCAAAGCTGGTCAGTTTCTCCTCAGACAACGTGTAGTTACCTGACCAATAATTCTGTAGTGTTCCATCAAGGGTCATGACGGAGGAGCAGAAGTACAGAATGGCGAAGCAGATGGCATAACGGGCCGTATCATCGACGAAAATGATGATAGGATCGTTGCGAGCGCTCATGACGATGCTGACCCATCTGTCCATCAGCGCAACCAAGAACAGGCCGACACTGGAGCCAATGTCGAAGCGGGCATAGCGGAATAAAATGAAGATGTTGTGTTCCTTGAGACCTTGGGCTAACTGCTCCTGCGTTTTCAAGGCCTGGTTAACCTGGCCAAACCAGCCAGTAGTGAGGGTCTCTGCCCTGGGCCTTGCAGGATCGTCCTTTTTCAGGAGCCAGTCCAGATATGGCATGCCCTGGGCCACACGCGTGACCACTGGATCGGCGTGCTTGGTTCGGCCAAAGCCAAATATACCGTCGCTGTACGCCTCTACTTCCTTGCGAAAAGCCAGCAGCGCCAGCTTCTTCTTGGCTTCGGGGGACAGGTTCTCTTCCGTCTTGGTCCTGGCGAGGCACTTCCCGGTCTCTGAAGCCATTTCAGTTGATTCCTCCTCTGCCCTCGCCTCCATCTTGGCACTGTACCAGCTGATTATGTCTTTCTCTGTGATGCGAGGGATCTTGGTCATCCAAGTTGACCACTCATGGCAAAGTTGTCGGTATTGAAAGAGAATGACTACCAGGAAGCCGTAGATCACGGGGAGGTATACTTCAAGGTCGTGGCCGGGGACGAAAGTTGAGATGAGGGGCGAAAGAAAGAACATGGGGATAGTACGCCACAGGACTGTGCGGCCTGAGGTGAGAGGACTACCGTGTTGATGCATCGTAGCCATGACACCTAAGCAATTACCTGTTAGTATATACTTTATCAAGTCGAGGTAACTGGAAGAGAGGCATACCCAGGACATTCAGATACATTGAGATGGCAATGAGGTACAGAATGAACACAATGCCGGTGCCGATGTTGACCTTGACAGTGAAGATGATGAAGCCCACAATTCCAACAAGGACGGTGAGGACGAAGCCACCTGAAAGTCTCTGTACGTGGAAGTAGATCATGTTGTCATACGCATACTGGCTCTCTGTCAGCAACGATACTCCTAGTTTTGATTGGCAACGCAGGCCTGATCACAACTTACATTGCAAATGTAGTAGTTACCGATGCTTCCAACCCAGCCGGTAACACCAGCAGAGATGAGCAACGACATCAGAAGCGCATAGCATGCGGCAATTAGGTGTTCATTACCAAGCCATGCCGTCATGAACAGCCCGCGGCCGAGAAAGGTCAGCAGCAGGATGTCGATGATGGCGGGGAGGCAGAAGATGGAAAGTGCGCCGAATTCTGCAAACTTCTTGCGCAGATGAGTGACCGTTTTCACGAAGCCCTTACGTGACGGGCCATCTGGATCCATCTCATCACTTCCCGCAGAACCATCCGGCTTGGCGAAGGCTGTCATGATCTTCTTGTCCTTGAAACCTTCTGGTGGGGGATGCTCCGCAAGGAATTTGCGATAGCGGTCGTAGATGATTTCACCCAAGTCCCGAGGAAGCATGCCGAAATAAGCCTCGCACTGGGAGCCGAGAGCCCAGAGTTCGGAGAAGACAGCGGCCTGGTCTGGTTGGGAAAGAAAGAACGGACACCGGTCTGTGGTCTCGATGTAGACGTCTTCAAAGGCGCCCTTTCGCAGGGCGGAGAAGAATATCAACGCGAAGAGATCCGCGTTCACGTCAACATACTCACAGTCTGAGGTCCACGAGCCCCAGGGATCGTAGGCGTGAAGCAGCGCGTCGTTCAGCGTGTTGAGCTTTTCACGGTCTCCGGCGAAGAGGGCATCGACCACGATCTTGTCAACGTAGCGGGAAAGCAGCAGTAGGTTAGAAATGGAAGGAAGCCTATTTGCTCCCAGTCGTACAAAGTCCTGAGATCGACGACGGAAGAGGGTCTCCATATCCGATGACCCGCTGAGAACCCCTTGAGAGGCCGCATGGTTCCATGATTCCGTCGCGGCCTGATCCAGAAGGACTGAGCGGCAGTGCTCCTCGATGCCGTATTTGAAATGGTGCGTCATGTCGGACACCTTGATCTGCTCAAGCAGGAATAGTGTTTCGGCCGGGGTGGCATTCTCAATCTGATGCCTGATGCTGAGGGGCAAAGCAACATCGGTGAGCTCGGGGCTGAGGATGCGCTCAAACTGCAGCTCTTCCTCGTACCGCTCAATGCGGGGGACATCGTGGTGTGCCAGCCACGTGTGCAAGATCGCGCCGATGTCACTTGGGCAGCGCCGCGAGATGAACAAGTCGATCTCACCCAGAGTAGAGTCACGGTGAGAATTCGCCTTGCCTACATTATGCGCAGCGGAAACACCCCAGAACTCAGCAGTATTATCGGGCATTGTGAATCCGCTGCCGAGGCCTTTATACAAGTGAATCTTTCGCTGCTTAAGGCCACCCACGAGGTTCCCAACGAGGTCGGCGTATTTGGATGTCGCTGAGAATCGTTCGAGCCCCTGAATCAGCTTGGTCAATTCGGCATCCGTGATGCGCTGCAGCATCTTCAGGTTCCGGAGATGGATCTGTGTGTCCAAGATGGCCTCGTGCTGAGCAGTCGTGGGTTCACTGAGGAGCGGCACACAGCCGTAGAGTGATATCTGCTCGCCCTGAGATGTGCGCTCCCAAAAGTCTTCTCGGTACGGCCCATCAGGGACGTAGTCTGGGGGCGACACCTTGATAGGTCGCTCCACCCTCAAAGCCTGCAGGTCTTCAGGCAGAGGGAGCGGTCTGAGAAGCTCGTCGATGTTTGGGATGATCTGTTGCAATTCGCCAAATGGCAGACTCGCGACCTTCTCGATCGAGTCTCGTCGCCCATTCCCAACATGCGTGATCCGCTTTCGTTGCATCCACGAGCTCTGCAACTCGGACGTCTCTGGCCGCCGCAGATACTCGAACGCACTTAAGCTCGCGGGCATCTTGGCCGGAGCACCTGGTGAGCTCGTTGGCGATGTCACCGGCCCATGCTCGAGGACTGCCGCAAAGTGGTCTGACAGCTTTGCCGACCGACGTACCACAGCAGCGGAGGGACGGGCATTCCAGCGGTCGAAGAAGCCCACAAAGAAGCTCGGCCGCTCAACCCGCTGGTCCGCACACTTGGCCATGACATCCCGCAGCGCCACGGAGCGGAAATAGTCCCTCCTCTTCCCATCCTCGAGGATACAGGCATTTTCGATGATGATGCCAGCAAGGAATTTGAGATTGATGGCCTTGAGGAGCTTGCTGTCATGGTGGCACTTGAGCACCACAGGCACCTGGAGCTCGCACAGCCGAACCAGAATGTCGGGGATGAAAGCCACACCATTGTCTCCGAGTAGGCCGACGTCGATGACAAGACCTACCACAGCGTTATCGCTGTATATGGTGAAGAGGTAGTCCACTGTCCTTGAAATTGTGGACTGTGACACGCTCTCTGGCCCCAAGTCTTGGCCGTCGACCAGCCCAAGGACGGGCGTCGATGGCGGCACCCCGGCGATGGTGCTTGATGTCTCGGAGAATGAACCTTGGTCAGTGTCGTCAAGGGCAGCGGCGGCTGCGAGGAACGGCACAGCAATGACGAGAAGGTCATGATCAGCACTCGTCTTCCCCAGGTTTGGGACAGGGCTGTCCTTCCCAAAGATACAGAAGGACTGCACTGCAGTTAGGTCCAGGCATGGGGATGGCTCCAGCGCCTTGGCTCTCTCGATCGTTTTGGCTTTATTGGAACTGCTATGTGGTCAGCCCAAGGCCGCGATGCACCCAGCCTACGCGTAAGTTTGCACGCACCTTTTCCTCGATCTGTTCCATGACCGCAGGGACTTTAATGATCGATCTCCTAGATATAAGAGTGTCGGGACTCCGAGGGCGACAACGGCCAATATGAAGGTGAACCATTGCACCGGGGAGACGAGGCGGTCCTCGCCAGGCAGGACGGAGTTGCAGTATATCTCCCAGTGGCTATCGTTATTGCATTTGTCGATTGCCGGGTCTCCATTCAGAGGAGGCTGGAAGAAGGACGCCATGATGTTGGACAAAAAATGGGAAGCTGAGAGATCGCAATGCAGTACAGCGATGCGAACACCCGACGACTAAGAGCGTCCAAGGGAAGACGACGACGAGTGAAGCGAGCGTGACATTAATGATTATTGTAGGCAACACAGAACATCTGGGGTATCAAAACATGGCTCGGATGGTATCAAGACAGATTTGTCGGCGAAAGGGATGACGACTAAGACGGGGGCAGTCGATCAACCTTCTCGTCTCTCTCTGGGTGAGGTTTGAGGGACAAGCGATTGATAGATGAGATAGATATCCGAGTCCTGGGCCGTATCGAGACAAGGGGACCGGGAGACAGAAGAAGTAAGTGCAAAAATAGAAGAATACCGGAGTGGGATGACGAGACTTGCTATCCGCGCATATCGAAAATGGCCATGGTTCGGGAGGGCAGGATCCAGCTTCGGGTCGAAATGGAACAGAGGGAGGACAAAGACAAGAGAGTGTACGGTATACCTGGCTAGGTAGCTAGGTAGGAAACGCAACAGGCAACACAAGATGGACTGGCCAACAAAGCAAATGCTAGTCCATCTCAAAACACGAACGAAATCGTCAATCATCCGAAATAGAGCCAGGCCCCGGCACTGCCAGGCTGGACGGTCGGACATGCTCTGTGTGCATGTGGGCCCCAGTTCTTGGTCCTAGCAGAGAGCAGTAGGAGGCCCAGTGACGGCCAGGAGGACCAGGAGCAGGTTTGCTCAGGTGCGCACTCGCCTTGACGCCGGCTGGACCGACTAGGGTCCGTGATGGGCATGGCAAGGGTCTGAGTCTGGTGAGCCAGCATCTGGGCACGTCAGGGATGTTGGATGTCCTGGCACAGGGGGATTTGCGATTCGTTGGTAGCATATGATCCACACGAGGTACATGCCGTTACAGTGCTGACTGTGTATGCACGTATGGATATAGTCTAGTCCGGTGCGTTACAGTCCAACCAACCCCACCCCGCTAACCAGCCTCCAGCCCGGCCCGGCAGGTAGTCGTACCAAGATAGTACTTGAGCGGTGCCGTCTGTGTCACAGCGCTAGGGCGCCGCCGGCGCATGTGTTGGTATTATTACACTGTAGGCAGCACGATGATCCAACAAAGAAGATCGTGGGTTGGCCACAGTGAACGGGCGGAATAGTTCAGGTGGAAACAGCACGCTTGACGGGCACGGCTCGCCACCGTGGGAACTTGCCGGCTGGGGCTGAAGGGAGACATGCCTCGTACATCCTTGGAGCTGCAGCAATGCGCAGAGCCGAGGGAGAGCTCGAGCTGAGCTGACCCGAAGTCGTGCAAGCACGTAGTTAGCACACAGTAGATAGACAGATGGTCTCGTCTTGTTGAGCTGCGAACAAACCAGCAGGCTTCTCTCACCGCTTCTGGAAGACGAGTGCGGCCCGGAAACGAGAGCTGGATTGCAGATGCAGATGCAGATGCAGATGCAGATTTCCACCTGGCCGCTGAGACAGAATTTGAAGGCTTACGCTTGGCCGCATCCAGGCTTGTTGAATTCTCCTCGGTAAAGGCATTACCCCCCTTAGTGGGAGTGTAACCTTCCCTTCTCTTCCCAGTCCCCGCGGCGGCCCCTTTTAATTTATCTCCACATGGAGCCAATACCGAATGGCATCAACGGACTTGGGGTTTTCGAAATTACCCGGACTGCTGATGAATACAAAGTGCCTCTATGTTGAGGATCCGCCGAGGGACCAAAACAGAACAGATTCGGACTGCACTACAGCTAGAGTTTACTGTATCTGTCTAGAAAAGCATCGCTTGACATGGCGCGCAGGCAGGAAGGGAAGGATGCGGTGTAGATGCCGCCCTGCTTCCGAACATTGGAATATTGTCCATCTGTAACTGGACCGAGCGGGCCGCTCCCGGAAGCGATTGGCAACAGTGGATGTCTGGGTGAAACAAATGCGTTCAGTAGGACTGCCACAGCGTGCGAGTCGCCTTGACTCGAGCCTGGGCTGTTGGACTACAACGCAGACTGCGGAAGAAGCCTGTGAGCATTGAGATCACCACCATCACGAGGTGACACGGCCATGCCAATGTTGGGCGCGTGCGTGCAACCCTCGGCGCCACGCGGGCAGATCGGCACAACCAGAGAGAAGATGCAGAGGGACAGAGACAGAGACAGAGACAAGACACAGAGACACACATGTGCTGCGGACAGCGGGCACGAGCGGGCTCAATCCCAACCGCGGGGGCCGAGAGAAGACCATGCCGCCGTGCCGCCTGTGCCGTGCCGTGCCGTGCTGATGCTGCTGCTGGATGCTGCTGCTGGATGCTACTGTTGCTGCTGCTGACGACGCTGATGCTGGTGCTGATGCTGGTGATGGTGATGCGCGCATTGAGGCAAGCCCGTGGGCCATTTTTGGGAGCCGGGCTGGTGGGCTTGGTGGTGTTGGTGCAACCCCGGATTTCGCTGGAAATTGCTGGGTGACACAACACGGCGCTCAAGGTCGGAATTGCGAGTGCGAATGGCAGGGGCCGGGGAAGAGGGCAAAAAAAAAGTGGCTGCAGATCGATCATCCTCATCCGATCAATGCTACCTGGTCCTCATAGTACGCGATGGAGCGATCACTGAGAGTGTGCTCGAAGATACATGTCAACAAGCGATATGCACACATGCACCGTGTACCCGCTGTTCCGCATCGTCAATATGTAACAAGCTGGAGCCTCCAGGCCTGCTATGGCATGACCAGGAGGCTTACATCAGCACAGGGTATGGGCCAGTGTACGAGCATTAATGTATCTAAACATGGAAATGTGAAATGAGGGTCACTGCGAAAAAGGGGTGTGCTGCCATTCCTCGAGGGGGAGGGAGAAAAGGGGGATGAGGTTGGGAGGCGTAGGAAGAAGCGACGAGTACTACCACGGCAGTCCATAGCGCAACATGTACAAGACCGGTACTCACGGTTCCTTTTTCCTGGGCGGCGAGGAGTTTTAAGCTTATTTTAGTGTGTGTCTCTTATGCTTGTACTGGAGGAGGCTTTCTGGTTTTTGTCTCGTATCACTCACACTTGACCCATTGCATATCAGTGGATACGCAGATACGGTACATTTGAAGACACAGGTCTCCCAGTCTGTCGACACGCTTACAGGCATAGATAGCATACGTGAATCACACTGAACTTACCCACATGGTCCCCACCTGCGTGATACCCGCTCCACTCGAATTGAGCCTCACCTGACCGGCATGATGGTTACGGTGGGCCCCCTCCGCTCGGGGAAAATGCTCATGCCGATGGGTCCTCGGGGCCATGGCAGCATGGACGCAGCAGTAGCGTCTGTAGTTTTGCAGGGTCCAGTCGCCACACCTCTACCTGATGCTGGCTTGACTGGCAGTGACTGGCAGACACAGAGAAGCACACACGGATTTGTGGGAACAGCCACACCTGGCTGCTAGGCCATGCACCCGGTGCTCTTGGCAGAGCTCGTGTTCATTTTCTATTTTCACCTGCCCACTCTGTTCCACGGTGCTGTCTGCTCTTTGCTGGCGTGCTGGCGTGCTGGCTAACTGGTTCAGCCCTCGCATCATCATCCAGTGAGCCGCCGGCCATTCCAGCCATCTATCTCATGCTGCTGTCAGAACCTTCAAGGAGCGCCAACGCATCAACATGAACATGCTGCACAGCCACCGACCAATGCACCAGCCAGACGGGCTGAACAGTCAGTACAGAGCCCAATAGTCGAGTGCAGTAGTCGAGTACAGTAGTCAAGCCAGGCTAGGCCTTTCCGTTGCCCGACACACTCGCCTCGCCTCGCCTCGTCTCGCCTCGCCTTGCCCCACACACCACCATCGGATGGCTCGCTCTGCTAAGGGAAACCAACCAACGGTTCAACCCCTTTTCTTCGTACCCGTACAGCGACGAAAACCAACGGCAAGGACCAAAGCAAAGCACAGCACATCACATCACAGCACCGCAAAGGCAAAAAAAAAAAAAGTAAAGCAGCAAAGCACCGACACGACGGGCCACCCACACTGCCTGGCTGCCTGACTCACCATACTGACTCGGCGTGTGCACTGGCTGTTTTGTTTGTTTACCGACAATTTGGACGGGCCTGACGGCACCACAGCACGCTACGCTGCGCTACGCGCCGCGTGGGTTATCTTGCTCCCCTCATCTTACTTTGTGTGGTTTCCGCTCTCCACCACGTGGTGGTGCTAGTACTCCAAGTGGCGTTTGCAAAGACGTGCTTCCTTCTTCAGCACCGCATGGCCGCGCCATGAATAAACGGGCGAGGCCACCCACTCCAGCTCCAGCCCGCTTCACGTGCACGAGCACGATTCCGTCGTGGGCTGACACTCGCGCCGAAGCTTCTTCCTTCCTGACTGAGACTGCTTAAGCTTTCCCGTCCTTTTGTGTTGTGTTCTGTGCCGACGTCCAGCGTGGATGGGATGAATAAATAGCCCGACCCAGAAAAGCGGCCCTCCTTTTGCATGGCTGCATGCACCTTGGGGACCTGGGCCATCGCCCGAAGAAGCTCCAGACTCCAATTTCAAAAATTCCAATTCGGGAGGAGGGGCCTTTTTGCAGCCCACCATGCCATCCACGGTGGACCTTGCTCCGTGCGACTGTTGACGGACCCGAAACGCCGAGCTGCCCTCGGATGACAAGTACTTGGTCTACATACGGCCCCTTGCTCACCCCGGCGCATGCTCTTACGGCGTTGTTGTGTCTGCTAGGCAGTATGCTCATATGCCCCACATATGTCAATATGCTCATATACCCCTGGCACCAAGCCCATAACAGCATGGCCAGGTATTGCCTAGGTGGCTAGTCAGCGGGTACGTGCCTGGGTGCCCCGTCTGAGGGCCGGCTGGCTCGCTCAATGGGCCGGCTTGCTTCACTTCAGCCTCTCCCGCAACTATTTCCGCTTAACTCACAGTGGCGCCAAGTGCCCCTGGCTAAGAGCACAGAGGCTTGATTTTCGCGCGACCGAAGGAAAAAAAAAAACAACAACCAGGTTTTGATCCGTCATCCCACCTCGGAATGCCTCCAGCGTGCTTGGCTCGTCAGAGCTGCTCTACTAGGGCGACCTCATAGCGCGCCGCACGCTTTTCCTTCGCCATCTGCTTCTCGCTCTCGATCTCGGGGCTTGAACCCGACGGCAGACGGACGAGCCCCCTCTCAGCTGAACTCGCAAAACACACCCCCGTGGCCAGCATGGCGAGACCCGACGCTGCTTCCTTCTAGTGCCTCGCCTCGAATTGGGTTCTACAGCATGCACTGCTACAACCCTCCTCCGCGGCGTACTGTGTCGGGGGCCACTCCTACGCAGCAGCACAGCTTCAGCGTCGTATCTAGATCACGCATTATCCCTCCAATCTCCAGCCTGTGCGCTCGACTATCGTCTGCTCAGCTGCCCTGAGCCCGGGCTGCCCTGGCTGGGGGCTTTCTTCTTCCCCCACCCCCCTCCCTGCACCCTCCCCCCGGCCCATCGACTGGTTGGTACGGCATGCGGCTCTCACCGTCACTCAAGACTCAAGCCATGTTGCATCTTGCGACTTGCAGCAGCTTGCTTCTTCCTGCCCTTTTCGTACGCCCAGTGGCTTCTCTGAACCAGCACACCGGGCTCGTGGCCGCGTGGCTTGCCTTGCTCTTCCCAAACTCGGCCATGCCATCATCTGCAGAGTAAATGGCCCTCCCCCGGGTGGCGTCGGTGGTTTCCTCAATGGTTTGCGGCCCCGTTGTGGGATGGGGTCCCTAGCGTCGAAACATTCTCTACTCACGCCTTGCCCCTGGACCTGGTCGCCCGCCCACACGGCCGCCGTCATTACGAGGTTTGGAAGGAGGCAAGCGCTTGCAACTAAACCCCTGGTGCCTGTGCCATGTCCTTAGCTTCTTGGCGTTGCAGTAATTCATCCAGCCTGATATTAGCAATACCGCCGTACGGTCTCCCCTCTAGCCAACACCAACAAAACTCTTCACCGGAAAGCCATCCGGAGGAACAAGCACAGAGCCGGTGTTGGAAGAGGGGGGGGCCGTCTTGATGAAGCACTGAGGACTGTCGCTCGAGTGGAACCACAAGTGGCATGGTCTGTATAATACGTGTAAAGCGAGGTGACAAGGTCATTGTCGTGCACGCTGCTGGCCCGGGGCCAAGTTCTGAACATCGATCGGTCCACCCGACTGTGTGGTGCGTGCTAGGGAAGGGGGCTACCAACCTTTCCTGTTTGTGTTGGTCTTGCTCGTGCACGTCCTGTCATTGCTCTGTTTCACCAACACCCGTTTTTCTCTCCCGCCCATGCTACTATTTACGGCTGCCTACCACCATCTGCAAGCTATAATCTTCTGGCCGAGGGCCGTAGCTCGCTTCGTTCCGGCGGGCGTCTGAAGTTGGATCCACGAGGAGCTGACCGGCCTATCGCGGACCGTCACCACTCAATATTGGTTTCTGTGCTCAGGCTGAAATTGATCTTCTACTTCTCTACCTGTCCTACCTTAGCCGGTATATCATCGCCCACCAGACCGTCCTCCCTCAGACGATGCGTTTCTAGTGCCGCTTCACCCGGCCTTCCCCCACCGAGACTATCGTCTCTCCTCCCGCTTACCTGCTCATCATCTTGCATGGCTACGACGTGATCTTGAGTCTAGAACCCCCCTCGTTCGTTACAAAAGAAGCCCTTCGTTTCTAGAAATATTCCCCAGTCTTCCCGCTCCTCTCATCCAAGCTCATCATCACCACTACCATCTTCATCACTCGTTTCGCACAGCAACATATCACACACACTCATTCACAGCAATGGTAGCACAACAGTCCCAGGTATCCTTGCGACTTGCCTCAAACATGGACAACTACACATCATCACAGATCTCGACGGACGGCTCGTCTCTGTCCGCGGGCTCACCTCTTACCAACTCCCCTCTCAGCACACCTGACACCACCGACCTCGAAGATGCGCCACCTCTGAATGTATCAGACAACCATGGGCTGGGGCTTGGGCTCCACTCCGGAACATCTGACCCTACATTCGTTCTCGTCATTGGCGGTCTTGGCTTCATTGGATCACACACAGTCCTTGAGCTTCTACGGGCGGGTTTCAATGGTATGTATAGTCCTCCTGGAACATGACGGCCATGCCAGCATGTCTTGGGCTTCCCATATAGCTGACACGAAAGCAGTCATCGTGGTGGACAACCTGAGCAACAGCTATGAGAGCGTGCTGCACAACATCAAGACCATTGCTGGCAAAGAGTACAAGGAGAGGAACGCACAGATGCCGCTTGTCCACTTCCACCGCGTCGACTACAGGAGCCGCTCAATGCGCTTCCTCCTGGAGAGCTACACAGACCTCGTCCCCGTGCGGGAGAGCTCACCATCGCAATCAGACTCGGATGATTCTGACAGGCAGCGTATGACCTACCAGTCGCGCATCACGGGCGTGATCCACTTCGCCGCCTTTAAGTCGGTATCGGAGTCAATCGACAAGCCGCTCCAGTACTACAACAACAACGTGTGTGGGCTCGTCTCCCTCCTCGAGCTGCTCGACAAGTTCTCCATCCGAAACTTCATCTTCAGCAGCTCGGCCACCGTCTATGGCTCCAAGGCCAACGCGGGCATCCGCCTGCGGGAAGAAGACCTTGTTCACCTTCCAGAAACCGCCCACGACCCGGCGACCAATGAGACCGTCGAGCTCACACCCGCCGTCGCCGGCTTGACGTGCCCCTACGGACGGACAAAGTACATGGCTGAGGCCATCCTGGCAGACCTCGCCGAGGCGGACGACCGATGGCGCATCATCGCGCTGCGCTACTTCAACCCTGTCGGCTGCGACCCGTCGGGACTGCTGGGCGAGAACCCCCGAAACGTCCCCACCAACCTGTACCCTGTCATCACACAGGTCCTCACTGGCGACCGGCCCAAGCTCGACGTCTTCGGGTCTGACTGGGACACGCGAGACGGCAGCGCAGTCCGAGACTTTGTGCACGTGCTGGACGTCGCACGTGGGCATATCGCTGCCCTGCGGCCCGCGCCAGCGGTCAAGAAGGTCGAGTCGGCCCCTGACTCGAGCGCTAAGCTGGCCACCGGATTCCGCGCCTACAACCTCGGCAGCGGCAACGGCACGACTGTCATCGAGGCCGTGCGCTCGCTAGAGCAGGCCGCGGGGAAGCCCATCCCCGTCAACATGCAAGGCCGCAGGGCCGGCGACGTCGGCAGCTGTGTTGCCAGCAACGAGCGCGCGTCACGCGAGCTCGGCTGGACGCCACGCGAGAGCATCACGCAGTGTGCTGTGGACCTGTGGAACTTTGTGAGCAAGGTCGTCACAGTCAAGCCGGCTGCATGATCTGGATCTGTATCTGGCATCTGCATCTGGCATCTGGATCTTGGGCATGGTTGTGAATGGACGCATGAAGTGGGTGTGGTCGCTTAGAGGAACAGGAATCTGTCAGTGGCGATCACCTGCGGGCCGGTGGGCCGTGGCTGGTCCGGGGCGCCGATCCTCTGCGCTGCACCCCGAACCCGAGCAATATCTCGCCCGACCGACCCTCTTTCACTTTCTTTGGTGGGCCCGATGAGTCCGGGTCAGTCTGACAGCATGATATGGGAATCTACGGTATGGATGGGGGAGGATCCGCCCCGCGCGTTCAGCCACGCGGATCGGATCGCTCCAGAGTACAGTCAGCGCACCTAAAAATCTGGGGCGTGTTGCAGGTGTGGTTTTTCAACTGTGTCATTTTGGACTCGCTTATGCTGTCACGTTTCGGTCGGCATTGTGCTTCTCTCTGCATAAGCCGTGACCCGGAGTTGGTTTTGTTTGAGCTGGATAAACTGCATGCGCATGGGACAGGGGTAAAATGGGCCGAAGCAAAAGTTTGGACTTGAAATTTGTTCTTTTTGTGCAGCGATTCTCATCTAGGTACCAAATTCATAATGTCTACTGTACACATATACCATGACCTAGAGTCCAATACAAAATTAATAGACTGTTGGACAATCGATATTCCCATGTGCAGGCTGGTGTGCGACATTGCCCCGCGTCAGCTGCTCAACTACTAAGCAGGTAATATATGGTTGCAGCACCAAGGTGCAATATTGAACCATCCTCCTCGCAAGCTTTACAATTCCTACGTTACCACTTTCCAGTCCTGGGTACTCGCGTCATCAGATCGAAGCTCGTCGACTTCACATATTCTGCAACTCGGCTCTGTACCACCCTCCTGTTCGGCGACCGAGGTTCGAGCAGGTGGGCCTGCTGATGAGAGAATCAGAATTAGCTTCTCACATCATCTACAGAGCAAAAATTAGACTGGATTACAAAAAGCGCGCACCTGCTCGCATCGCAGCAAGTGCAGCATTAGCCTTGGTGACGCGTTCATGTCATTTACAACGGAACGCGGCCCGACATCTCTAGATGGAAGGCGTGATGAGAGTGCATAGGTCTGTCTGCAATACAATTCTTTTGATTTTCATCTACCGTCACATTACATGCGTAGCTCTGGAAAACCAGATCTTGGAAATCAACTTGGCCTAAGTCCCGACCCCTGATCCCGTACCAATTATTCCGTTGCCTATAGTTATAACGCCAAAAACCCTGCACATGCATGCCCCATGGAAGAACTACCAACTTCCAAAACCGCAGTAGCGAACGTCGATCACAGCCACAATTCCTCAGCAGGCCTGCAAGATATCATTTGTTAGAGTCCGGAGGCTGGAAGGTCATGGGAACAGTCGTTATCGACGGCAGTAGTACTCACATTAGCCCTAGGCGCTGGGCAGCCCCCTTGGGATTTGATGAAGCAGGCCTGTGCGGCAGAAGCCTTGCACTGGCAGATCTGTTTTGCATTACATCACATCAGTTCACGGTTCAAATTTGACTTGTTGGCGCTTATACTGACACTCTTCGCATTCATCCGCGGGTCGCAGACTGGCGTCGGGCAGACACATGCCACCTTGAACTCGGGGACGTCCTGGTCGGCGGCGTGGTCCGTGACGTTGGTGCCATTGTGGTTCTTCCGAGGCAGAATGAGGTCGTACTCATCGGCTAGGGCAGAAGGGTGGGCCAGTGCTAGGGCCTGGAGGCAGGAGATGACCAGGAGGGAGAGTTGCATTTTGTTGTTTACTTGAGGCGAAACCCAAACACGTATTTTCAGTTCGAGGCGGTGTATACCTTGCAGCGTAGTGAGTGTATGAAGAAGAAAGACTGAAAGGCTTTAAACGATTGTACAATAGAGTTGGGAATAGGCGAGCATCCACAACTTGAAAATCACATTTGTACACCCCTCAGGACATGGAGGCAGCGTCCCTTTTTGAGTACGGGCTTGAAGGGCTCGAGCCTGGGACTGGAAAACCAGAACACGACGGCGTACACAAATCCCGTTTCCACGCTTAAGCCGGCGAAGGTGCCGGCCGTGTCACCATACTCAAGGCAGTCAGGGGCAACTCAGCCGCCGGTGTTCTGCACAAAGAACTGGTAATGTCAAAGCGGAAAGACGTGGTATACGAGCCCGAGCTGAAGGCGCCCACTGATTCGGGCCTGCTACAGGTCATTGGTCTCGTCGGGTCTGGTCTTGAGGCTGTGGCCTGTGGCCTGGAGACTCGTGGGCTGTGGCGCCGACAGAGAACAAAGAAAGACACCGGCAATATGGGCATCCAGACACTACGTAGGGCTGGATCAGGGCTGGATCATCGGGCCAGTGGGAGAGCCGTCTCAGAACGCCAACAGTGGAGTGCCCGAAAGCGGACTTCGTAGAGGCTGATAGTTAGTCGTTCTTCTCGGGCGCTGGAGCCAGTCCTGACTTAACACGCCCCTCGGGATGCACACTCCCCCCCTCCCCAAACACGCACACCCTTTCTCCAAACCCAACGAACGGAAAAGCATCGGTGAGCGTGCCTTTTTTAACTTTAAGCACTGCATGGCACTACCGAGACGGTGTCTCTGCCAAGTCTCAGAGGCAAAGTCGAGCAGGTTTCCCGTGATTCTAGAAGGGGAAGCACCAGGCCTAGTCTGCCATGTGTGCAAGTGTGCATATAGTCACCCCGATGACTGATAGATGCATGTTTGCATATGAACGAAGATAGCTAGGTCGATTGCCCCGAGCTGCTGGATTCCCGAACCCGAACCGTCCTGTCCACGAGCGAGGTACTACACACTACGGGCACATCTGACGATCTCGGGGATCCTGACCTCATCAGCAGCTCTGCCAGGCATGACGCCAAACACGTACGGGCGGCCAACTTGGGGTGTTGAATCATCGTACGTGATATGACGAGCATGGGATGCAAAACCAGGCAGCAACTACCGAACCAGAGCTGAGACGTCGTTAGTCGTGCCTGTGTGGTAGATCATCCGAAGTCCAGTACTGCTCCTGGAGAGACAGAGGCCAAGCTGGGAGGATTGACATGCCCGCAGTGGGGCTGCCGAGCAATAATCCGAGGTTTTGGTCATGCCCAGGCCGGCATCTTCCCTACAGGATCTGACCACCCGAGTGCACGGATCTGTTTGTGTCCGGACGAAACATTGGACATATGCGCTGGCACCTTCCAGGAGTCGGGGTCTGGAATAGAATTTGCGTTCCTCGTATCCAGCTGCTGAAGAGCCGCATGCTGCTACTGCAACCGCGTAGACTACAGCTCTCATGGACGAGGATGGCATCATGATATTGGGGCGAAGGATCGCAGTGGGGCGAAGAAGGGCGACCTGTGACAAACCTTATACACGTCAAGCACGGCACCTTGACCTTGGCCTTGGCCTTGGCTTTGACCTTGACCGCGTTCTTCTTCTGATGCTTTGCACTAGGTCAACGCAACAGCACCAAAACACTTGAGGATGCTGACGCGCAGGCTTGCTAGCCTGCTGGCCTGCTCGCCTGCTGGATCGCGCACGAAGGATCCGCGATACTTATTTATTCGCCTACCGGGGCGCTAGGGAGGTCCATGTCGTTCATGTCTTTGAGTCCCCTTGTATATGGATCAAGAAGGGATTTAAGCTTGTTCGGGTTAGCTGTCGATCAGCTACCTGGCACTTCTCGATCTCCAGGAACCACCCCAGCCTTTCGTTTCATAATGGAGTCATGGCTAAGCCAACAACCTCACGGGCCGCACCTTACTTGCTGGCTTCTCGTATTCAATCTTTTTCTCCCTTGTCGCCCCCATGTCACTCCCCACCGTATCCACTATCGTCCCGGTCTCCGCTCGGATCTGATCACTCGATCGAGAGTTCCATTGCTCTGCTCTTTCGCTCCCCTGCTGGCCCACGGTGGAGTTAACAGCACGGTTTGTTTGTTCTTTTGGTTGATTTATCGTCTTTCCATATCTCTGTTGGAGTATGCATCTATCGGTGCCCTTGATGCATGTACCATGATCATGGCATGGTCATTTCATGCTCGAGCGTGCAGGTACAGAATCTCCGCGCGGCGACCGAGCCATGTCGCGCTCTGTTTGCAGCAACTCGTGCCACCTTGTGATTTTCTTCACCAGCCGCTCTGCATTGCATTTGCTGGTGCTCCTCCTCCGTCGTCTCCCTTCTGGCCGAGGATCACGCCATCTGCTCCTGCACTGGACAAGCAGGGATCACTTGTGATTTACATGCGATGATTGGCGCTTCCTGATGCTGTTGAGGGGGCTCTGAGGTGGCACGCTTCCCTCCTTCAGCCACACATGTGGCTCGGGGTTGTTGTGCGTGCTGTGCTGCCCAAAGCCCGGTATTTCCGACCCGGCCGCCGCTGGTTTTACGTAAAATATTGACCGTGTGCATGCCGTGGCCTTCAGGGACTGGCCTCGCCCTCCAGTAGGTGGCCCGGCAAGCACGGCGACAGCTCGAGCCTGCTGGACTGGCGGCTTCTGACGCTTCCCCAAAGCTAGAAAGCCTGTTTCGATGCTTCAGGATCGTGTTGCACTGACCAGTGAGCTTGGAATTGAGCCAAACTCCAGGCCGCAGCATGACTGCAGGCATCTTCATGAGAGGGTGTGTCCGTCAGCACTACTACATACAGCCAGAGAGGCAGCCGGTGTACGACTATGGATATCACAAGATGGCGTCTTCCCGTCGGCCGTCGGGTGATAATATCGTGCAATTTTGAGACGGATCCCGTCGACAGCTTGTGAAAGTCAGCCCAACCACAAACCCACAACCACTCCAGGAACCTCTCGTCATCCTACACAAGTAGTTCCCTTGTACTGCAACTTGAGCCCTCATCTGGGCGACCCGAGCGCGATCCAAGCCCCTGACTACTATATGTACACTCCCGCGTAGTACGTGCCCGAGACCACGCAGATCCGTGACCACCCACCATTCAGCCCTTCGGTGCTACCATGGCCATCCTGCCTTCCAGCCCAGTGCTAGGACTACACGGGCTTCACGCCGAAGGCATCCGCGCAAACGACAGCCCGTTCCCATCCCTGGGAGATGGCGCCACATCAGCGAGCTGGGCCCGTAGCGGGCGTCTGTGTGCACGTGTGCGATCCCAGCTGCTTTGCTAGATGGCTGTCCGCCGCGCCACCTCCTGGACGAATTCCGGCCACGAGGGGCACCACTCCTCGTACCCGGGCCTGGTGGTGATGAACTGGCCCGAGCAGCCCAGCTCATAGCACTTCCTGCTGAGCTGCCCGATCTCGACGGGCCCGCCTGCCGCGCTGTGTGCCACGGCGATCGACTTTTTCCTCAGGGGCCGCGGCAGGCGTGAGAAGCCCTGCGTCACGACCGGCGCGTTCCATTGCCGCGAGGCATTCTCAAAAGCGACGATGTAGTCTGCTGCTAGGTAGAAAATGGGGTCGACGACGACGCCCGGGTTGTAGATGACAATGGCGGTGGAGTTGGCCGGCGGCGGTGGCGCCGGTGGCCCCGCCGGTGGCCTTGATGCCGTTGGTGATGCTGGATCTCGCGAGCGGGGAGACGCAGGGCTGGCAGTCGAGGTTGGCGATGCCAGGTCAAGCTCCTCGGCTGAGACGTCGTTCGCCTCATCACTTGGGTCCGCGTCATACCCTGCATCCACGGGAGCAGGATTCCGGTTGAGGATGGTCTTGGTGGCATTCGATAGCGAGGTCATGTACTGGACGAATACGGTACTGGATGGAACCTCGTCAAAGAAGATGCCGTCCACGACGATGGTCTGTGTAGCAGGTGTCAGCTACCATATAGATGCCGAGTATCCGGCCGTCTGCCCTGTTCCGAGACACCCTCCAATGCAACGGCAACTGCGCCGAGGGGAAGCAAGAACATACCTTCCCGTCCTCTCTGCTCTCTGAGGCGTGCGTCCACCCGCGGTACGCGCTCACCTCGACCACGATCTCGTCCAGCAGCCTCTTCCCGTAGCTGCAGTGGACATAGCCAATGACCTTGACGTTGGGGGCCGCGGTCAGCCTGGCCAAGGCCTCGATGTAGTTGGCATCGGGAAGAATATCGGGCCCTGGCCCGCTATTCGGGTTGACCACCACGAGGAAGTCCAGCTCGGGATGGGAGTCGACCGCCACGTAGAGGGGCTCCCAGGCCGTCGGGAACGGGTATATGTACAGCGGAACGAGTACGAAAGGCTTGTTTGTGACAAGCGAGGGTGAGGGCTTAGAGCCAGGGGTCGAGGCGGCCATCACTACTCAGGAATGTTGCGGCGCCAGAAGGGGGGCCGCTGTCCTAAATTTCCTTGTTAGGCGTTGAGAAACGAGGTGAGGAGCGAGACGGTGGAGGGACAGGACCGGACGCAAGCGAATCGGCTGCTAGAGGAGATTGAACATGAAGTGGCTTCCTGTCTTTGTCCTTTGACAGATAAAAGGCGACTGACGCCGATGGCTGGCAGCCGCCCCGGATCGGGCCACTGACTCCTCTTCTCTCCTCTCCTCTCGTGTCCTTTCCTTCAGCCTACAGGCGGGCCTCGATGCATCAAAGTAATTAACCGGTCAATTGGTGGATAATCAGTCAACCAGTCACTCATTCAACACCTGTCGGGTCTGTCGACCATTTGTCAAGCGCGGTCCCGCCAAGATAGATAGATAGATGCCTTATCACTGTTGCGAGTAGGATTGGTTAGCTGCTACGGTCCAGAACGGCTGAGTCGCGGTTCTAATTGATGAAGCAGCAGCAGCAGCTCCCAGGCGCCACTGGCCGTCAAAACCCCGCGCCAACAGCTGCCTCCCGTGCAACCATCACTCGTCGTCGTCAGCCATCTACTTTAGCCATCCGGCTGGCGCCGCTGTAAAAATGAGTCTCGGCAGATTAGGACCACGATGCTACAGTGCTCTATGTAGACTATATTGGAATAAGATGTTAAATACCGCCCACCCATAAATTACAAATTTTAGGTCAGCCTAAGCCCAGAATACAGCGCCACGCAACCCTCTGTTTGATATTTGATAGGAGCCCGCTACACCATTTATGCACTAATTCGAAGCACTGTTTTACACGGTAGTCGTCGTCGTCGTCGTCGTCCTCGGGCGTCAACCCGGCTCGGGGCCTCTGGCCGGTTTACTGCCCATCGGTTGTATATGTGTCGCCGTTGCAATACTGGACCCACCCACTGAGGTTCATGTACTTTAGAACCGTATTGAAGCCCTCTCCGTTATTACTGGTGCCCTTGTCACAACTCTTGTCCACGGTGTTGGTTGCGAACGCCTTGACGTCCGTGTCGCCGTCACCAGCCGGGTACTCGATGTTGAAGACGGGCTTGTCGTTGTTGGGGAAGGCCGCGAAGTCAGCACACTCATCGTACTGCACGCACTGCTCGTTCACCGAGAAGTGGACAACATCGATGACGCTGTCGATGATGGCGGCAGCGTTCTTGAGCCCGGTGATCATGCCCTTGTTCGCGGCCTCCTTGGCCAAGAAGCGCATGAAGTCGATCGAGTCTTCCTCGCTCAGGTCGAGCCCGTTCTCGTTGTCGTACCCGTCCACGTTGTCCGGGTCGATTGCGTTGCAGCCCATGTCGGCAGCGATGGCGATGCGGTCCGTCATGATGTCGCGCACGTTCTGGCTGGTCAGCTTGAGCCAGTACTCGCCAGGCCAGCCGTCCAGCTCCTTGCCCTTGTCATCGTCCTGGAACCTCCACGAGTCGGGCCGGTTGGGCTCGTAGGACCCGGCACTAAAGTAGCAGATGACTGTCATGTTGAGCTCCTGCAGGTCGCGGACGACGGTCAGGTTCTGGTGGAGGAACATGTCGATGTCGTAGACAGACACGCCTGGGTTGCTCGTGTTGCTAGGGGAGACCTGGCCGTTGTCGTCGACCGAGAGGGTCTCGCTGAGCACGATCTGCCACTGGGAGCCCAGCGTCAGGTTGCTCGTGGGGGTGGGGAATGTGCTGTTCCCTGGGCCGGTTGGCTCGCCGCCATTCCCACTGCCGTTGTCGCCCTCGTCACCGCCGCCGTTGTTACGGAGCCCTAGTCCAAGCCCCAGACCCAGTGCCAGTGCCAGTATTACGACGAGGGCAACTATGGCAATTGCCCACTTCTTCCAGCCGAAGCGGCGATGGGCCTTGGGCCCATCGACTACGTGAGGTTTGTCATCGGAGATGGCTCCGATGGACTGGGTAGATCGTTGCGAGTCGCCCATCATAAGATCTACGGGTGCAGCAGTCAAGAAAAGATAGAAAGGCGGCTGGGGGCCGGCAATCGAAAATCGGATCGCAGTGGTGGTAGCGTAGTGTGGCGGACGATTGAGTGGTCAACGATGGGCATCAACAGTAATGATGCGGCCGGGACAAAGAGAGGACGCCGTAGACGGTGATCGACAGCAGGCGGAACAAAGAAGACGTTGAATGTCTTGGCTTGGATGGGAGGGGACCGCAGGGAGGGAAAAGAGGTGACTGATGGATGGATTCAGTCAGAAGAAGAAGGATTCATACGAAGCGAGGCGCGGCAGGACAACATCACCATACTAGGTGCATCGTGAGGAGCCCAGAGCGTAGCATAGCCACAAACGACGAGCGCGGGAAGGTGATGCAAATGCAGGTGCGAGTGAGCAAGTGCAAATGCAAATGCAAATGCAAATTGTAAGATGCCGTGCTTAGCTGATTAGCTGCTGCGGTTAGGTTAGTCGGAGGACGGGAGATTGGTTGGGACTAACTACCCCGTGCCGGTGGCTGAGAAGGGGGAGGGGGGCAGCATCAGGCACGATTGTTTTGGTTCAGCTCAGCTCGGTTCGGCACACTTCATTCAGCCTCTCATTTACTCACTGCAGTGCACGGGTGAGCTGTGCCTGTGCCAGTGCCAGTGCCAGTGCCAGTTCCAGTGCCAGTTACAGGTGGCCTAGAACTTTCAAGGCTGCCAGAGCAAAGCACTATTTAGTGCAGAATGTAGGACGGATATCATGTGCACCGAGAAAAGAGGCGCCCAGCCAGCCCCAGAGAGGCCTGACTGACCTTGACTTTGACTTTTGACTGGACTTGACTTGATTTGACTTTGACTTTGACTTGGCTTGACAGACTGGCAGGACTGTGACCAGACCTGACACTAGCAGTCTGGCAGTCGCTGGCAGTCGCTGGCAGTCAGGTCACTTTCACTTTAGGAGGCTAGCGTGTGGTCAAAGAGCGAAGACCCAACCCCGAGCCAGGCCGCATGCGGAAAGGAGGCCAAAACCCAAAGGAAAAAAGGGTAGTTGCGAAGATGGGGGGGTGTGAAGTCGAAATTAGGTGTGGAAGGAAGGTTGGAAGGAGCAGGCCTACAGGGGGGACGGAAACGGGAAGAGCAAGCGGTGGATGACAAAGAAGGAAAGCACGAGGTCAGAGCGGTACCGCAGTAGGCAATAGTGTGGGCCTGGATCAGAAGAGTCAGAACATTAAAAACATGGGGGGGGGGTGTGTGGTGGTGGGGAGACCAGGGAGAGACTCACGGTCCACCGTCACCATCCACGGTGCACAGGTCGAGAAGTGGTAGCCTGCCCCGCCTAGGCCTAGCCCCCAGCCCCTCCACCTCCACCTCCACCTTCCACATACAATCCACTCTTTTGCCCGTGAGTACCCGACTTGCGATATGCATCTATCGAGATACCTGGACAGTGCAGGGATTCCTGGCCCACCTATGTATCTCCAAGTACCTCCACGCCCACATAATCATTGGCTGCTGGTCTACCCGCCCGCCAGGACATGGCACAACCATGGATGGGCATGGCATCCCATCCCATCACATCCCCACAAAGCTCGGATTATTATTCCAATTTTTCTTATTCTTTCTAAGTTGAGAAGCATGCAGTCCCGTTTTAGCCTGCATTGGTTTCAAGGGTCCTGCTTACCCTGTGCGTCTCTGCAGTTTTTTGAAATTGCTGTGGCTGCTCTCCTGCTGCTGCTCTCTCTCTCTAACAGCAGCACTAAGCAGACCAAGCCCTAGTCCTCGTCCTCGTCCTCGTCCTCGCCCTTCGTCCTTCTCGTCCCTTCTCCTTGTGCCCCCTGCTGCCTGGACCTCTGGGCGCCCGTATTCAATCGCCAAGCAAATCTACGCTCCCATGCCGACACGTCATCTAGACAGCCAAACATCACTAGCCATGCCCGCCATGCCCACCATGCCCACCCCTGCTCGTGTCACGAACAAGACATGCCATCCCATCAACACACCCAGTGGCGCCAGTCAGTCAGTCAGTGTGCTGCTGTGCGTCAGGTCGCTGGCGCCCCGCGGCCAAATGATTCGCTTGGGCCCTTCCAAAAATAATACCACCTGCTAGAGCAGGCACTGGGCACGCGGACACGCAGGCATGCAGACACGCAGGTGACAACATGAGACGGCTCAAGCAGAAGGGCTGCTGGGAAATACAATGTCGTCGACTCACTATCGTCGACCTAGAACCAGATCCTGCGCCCAACAATCGATAGCGCTTATCGAAACGCCCACCCAGACCGCACCAGACCACACGATATGGGACCAGACCACACCGCTGGGTCTTGGAACCCCGGGAGCTGGAAGTCGAAGTCGAAATCGAAGTCGAAGCCGAAGCCGAAGCCGAAGCCAAAACCGAAGCTCAGGTCCAACCAAGCCGGCGCGCCGGGTCAGGGCAGTGTAATTAACACGAAAACGCACCAGCCCGTTGATGCTATGTAGCTAGCCCGCCTCAGGAGCAGCAGAGCACGAGCACGCCCGTCCTCCTTTTTTTTCCACCCCCAGCCCCACGGCCATGGTCTTGGCCTCGGACTCGGCATGGCCCTTGCTCATCTGATTGTCTCCAGTCTCTTTCTTTGAGGCTGAGCGGGCACGGTCGATGCTAAAGCTGGCCGTCGTTAGACCCCAGTGCTTGCCCCTGGGTCCGTCACCATCACCATCAACCGTCGCCCTCACCATCACCAGCCAGCCCAGACAGCTCAGCTCAGCTCAGCTCAGCCAGCACATCCGAGCAACGACTAGACCATAGAGCAGCGGGTATAGGCCTTGCCGGCGCCGGCTGTCTCTTCCCCCACAAGCGTGATGGATGCCATCCATACCCCAGGGCCAAGATCATCACCACCCGCTAGACCATGTATCTGATCATCTTCAGCGACTAGGATACCTGCCGGTGTACCCGCTTTGTTCTGCCATATGCGTGTGTTGCGCGTGGGGCCAGTTTCCTTCTTGGCTGACCTCCTTCATCCACACCCTCACTCTCTCAATTAACCTCACCCACTCCCCGTGTAGGTACTGGTAGTCTAGGGGCTGCAAGTAGTGTAGCGCCACCGTCATGTCCCTGGGTCCTCGGTCCTCGTACGGCATCCCGTCTCCCGGTAGTCCACCCGGTTGCCATGCCCGCTAGCACTCCTGCCCATCGGGTCCCCATATGGTGTACATGTCGATGGGCTGATGCCTGCTGTGTCCAAGGCTGGGCGGGCTAGTGGTTGTTGAGACTCTCGACCTCTCCCATATCCTCGTCACCACCGTCTTTGCCTCACCTCACCTCACCTAACCAACCCTGCCTTGCCCAGCCCAGCCCAGCCCAGCCCTGTCCTAACCATCTGCGTGCTTGCTCGACACTCCTTTCCCTCTCCCTGTCGCTCCTGTCGCTAGCTAGTGCCGGCTCCTTTCCGCCCCACATCCTCCTGCTGCCACAATTTCTCTTTGTTTGTCCGATCGTTTCGTATTTGGTGCTGGGACGAACATGCTAGCCGCTTGCTCTTGGGCCCCCCCATCATCGGATCACAAGCGGCGGGGCCTTTTCTCAGCCGCCCAGCTAGGTCATCCCGACGCCCGCGAACGGATCCAGCGCGAGTGCAAGAGCAGCAGAAGCGTGCGTCTTTTGACTCTTTGCAGTCAGGCAGCCTCCGGCCCCTACTCATCTCGTTGCCACGAGGCCTTGGCTTCCACTGCGTGCTCACCTCACTGCGGCCAAAGGGGGTGGGGCCAGGGGACCATGCCATCGACTTTCTTATAATACCCTCCGCCTCGCGGATGAAACCCTGTTTTTTATTTTCGTTATAATCCTCATCACTCACTCTCTGTCTCCCTTGACCGCCCATCAGTCTTGGGACAACTGCCTTGCAGTCGCTTGGGCATACTTTCTTTATCAACCCAACCCACCTTCGTTGTTCACTCGTTGTTGACGACGTTCTCGTCGTTGTATCCTAAAAACATTAATATCGTGTCTCTTGACATCCTCTCCCGCCACCGTACCTAGATTTCGGGGTAGACCAGAGCACAACATGAAGCTGTTCTCCACGGCTTCCGCCTTGCTGGCGCTACACACAAGTGTAGTTGCCGCTGCGAACTCCGTCTCCAACACCATCCTGGTCTTCGCTAGAGACTCTGCCTCTGCCAACGTTGCCACCCTGGGGTTCCAAGGCTATGGCATCCCATACCAGACCGTGCTTGTGCCTCAGTCTGGTGTCGCCCTGCCAGCTCTCAACTCTTCTGCTACCCAGGGTAACTATGGCGGTATCCTAGTGCTGAGCGAGGTCTCGTACCAGTACTCTACAGGTTTCCTGAGTGCCCTCAACACCTCGCAGTGGCAGACCTTGTATGATTACCAGACCGCTTTTGGTGTTCGCATGGTTCGCCTGGACGTGTATCCCACCCCTGATATGGGTAAGCCCACTCATCCAATCCTGTTGTTCCAGCACTTGAACCAAGATCGTCTCTGACGTAGCATCTGATATATAGGTGTCACAACATACATTGCCGGTTCTGGATGCTGTGATGCTGGTGTCGAGCAGCTCATCAGCTTCAACGACACCACTGCATTCCCCACGGCTAATGTCAAGAGTGGCGCAACTGCCAGCACGGCCGGCCTGTGGCACTACCCAGCACAGATCACCAACAGCAGCATTGCCACGGCTTTCGCCAAGTTTGCGCCTGCGGGCTCTTTCACCGCTGATACGACTGCTGCCGTCATCAACAAGATCGGTGGTCGTCAACAGATGGTCTTTTTCATCAGCTGGGCTACTGACTGGTCGCTGACCTCCAACTATCTGCAGCACGCGTACATCAGCTGGTTGACCCGTGGTCTTTTCGTCGGGAAGCGAAAGGTTTACCTGAGCACCCAGGTCGATGATATGCACCTTGAGACAGGTCTATACTACCCAAACAACACAAACTTCCGCATTCGCACCAGGGATCTCGACGCTCACAAGGCCTGGCAGACAGACATCAACACGCGTCTGGCTGCTGGTTCCAACTACTTCGTTGAGATTGGCCACAACGGAAACGGTGATATCGACAATGCCACCAGCCAAAATAGTGGCGCGACTCTGTGCACGCCCGCGTATGCTGTCGATTACAACTCTCCCCCTGACACAGCCCTCGAGTTCCAAAAGCCGCTTGGCAGCGGTGCCGACCTGTGGCCTGCAGAGTTCAAGAACTACACCTGGAGCTTGAACTGCGCCAAGCTGGACCCAGTCGCCACCTGGTTCAACACGAACCCAAACGTTTTCGCTGCCGTATCGCACACTTTCTCTCACGAGGAGCTCAACAACGCCACCTATTACGATGCTAACCGTGAGATCTACTTCAACATTGCGTGGATGAAGCAGATCGGTATTTCGGCTGGTAACAAGTTCTCTCCCAAGGGTCTCATCCCTCCTGCCATCACGGGTCTGCACAACGGTGATGCCATCAAGGCATGGATGGACAACGGCATCAAGTTCGTCGTCGGCGACAACACTCGTCCTGTGCTACGCAACGCGAACCCATATTACGCTCTTACTACAACCGTCGCTGGCAACGGCTACGCGGGTCTGACCGTTATCCCCCGTTGGGCGACCACCATCTACTACAACTGTGACACGCAGGCTTGCACCACCAATGAGTGGATCGCCACGTCTGGTGGCTCCGGCACCTTCACCAACCTGCTCAACGACGCTAGGACTGTCAACACCCGCTACCTTCTGGGTCTGCACCCCGACCCGTACATGTTCCACCAGGCCAACATGCGATGGGGTGACACTGACCAGATCACTGTTGGCACTGTGTCCGGCAAGCTCTCCCTGATGCAGATCTGGGTGGAGACCATCACGCAGGAGTTGTTGCGCCTGACCAACTGGCCTGTCTCCTCTCTGACGCACGACAACCTTGGCCAGCTGTTCCTGGACAGGGCCACTCTTGAGTAAGCCCCCCCCTCCTGCACCCTCTCTCTAAGCTTCATGTTTTGACCATCGATACTGATTACTTTCTTAGTGCGTGCAATCCCAATCTCAAGTACAACTACTCTGCCGACGGCAAGACCATTGTCTCGGTCACTGTCACAACCACTGGCAACACCTGCGGCGTCAAGGTTCCCGTCACGGTTCCAGCCACGGCAACCGGAAGTGGTACCTTGGACAAGGTCGGAACCGAGCCAGCTATTTACTGGACCACGATGTCCAGCTCGCCGGTGACCTACACTCTGAGCTCGCCAGTTGCTATCTAATATTCTTGTAACTTGGAATTACGGCAAACCATGAAACAAAAAAGGTGGTTGTGAACTTTTAACAAATTTGGATAAAGCACAGGCTACTATCTTCTCGTCTTTCGTTCAGAAATCTTTACATAACAGTTTATAAGTGTTGGCGGTGGTAGGAGTACAAAATTGGGTAGCTCCTCAGACGAATATAACGGCCGGCATGAGTACAGGGTCCTTGCTGAACAAGGCAAGCATTCAAGAAGGTTCATCAAGTGAGGATGGGATCATGGGTATGGCGTCTCAATAGTGGCTAATATTAATGGTTTCACTCTTTAATCACCCCGTTCTATTGCCTCTCATGACAAATCTAGTACTGCTTGCAATCAAACATCGTAGTCCGTTCGTAGTCCGTTAACGGTCCTATCAGCTTCGCGTAGCTGACTCCTCGGGGGAAAATTTGGTTCGGAGTGCTCGGTAATGGATGAGGTCGGGGCAGAGTCCGAGACCGAGACATATACGTCTTGCCGAAAACTGAGCCGCATTCGGTTCTACCTTGCCCAAACACAGACAAAAATACGCCAAGCTCAGTAGCGCACAGCCCGATACCCCTTAGGACCATTCAGTGCAAAAGTTTTCCAAATAGTACAATGTTTCGGAGAACAATAGGAAGGCTCACCAGGTGCAACCTTCAGGGCCACTCACTCACTTCGAAGAATGCCCTGGTGGTGGCAGCCGTTGGCATGTACGATGATACCTACATCCAGCGGCGCCCTCCCACTTTGTTTGATGTCCTACATATTCCCGACTGAAAATTTTCAGAAGCCATTAAACTCACAGAGAAGGCAAATTCTGGGCAGCTCTTTGGGAAAGAAGTCAGCCCGGCGACGAGCTCGATACTGAAAGAAATGCCCGGGGGTAGACCCGTGCAGATCACTCGGCCATGCCAGGCGAGGAAGAGAGGCAAGGCCAGCTGCAAGCCGACCAGCAAGTTCATTCGAACTAATGAATCATTCTCATTCAGGCGTCCCAGCCCCAAGCGCAAGGAACAAAGAACAGCTTGAAACCACTTGCATTACTTGCTCGGACCTGTTGATGGTTATTTTGGCGTGCTTGATGCGAGACATGGTGTGGTATTGATCGTGACCCCCTCATCAACTCTTGTTCTTTGGTCTCCAACTATCTCGGCGAGCGTCTTTTGGAGTAAGGCTGATTCATTTGGGGTCAGTCCATGCTCAGCAGTCGGTTGTGGCAACAGGCCGTTGCTGACCCCATATTGTTATCCTTGGCTTAGGCTGGCATGGCCCACTTGAGTTTCATAGAAACTTATCTGCACTGAAGGAAGGCCTTTCATTCATCAACCAATCTGCCTTGACATGATGGCGCTTACTCACAATAGTCTGTGCCTGTCTCAGACATGCTCTATCTTCTCATTTTGCCATGCGTTCATGTCCATGTGTGCCTCGCCGCTGACACAATACGGTATTCTACCATATAAACCACAGAATGCTGCGATCTAGGGGCAGCGGATGTCCGCAGTTTACACATTCTAAAGAAGACAGCGAGAGCACTGTCTGTGCATCTGATTTTCCCTGCGAGCATCCGACCGGGAGAGTTTCTATAGCCATTAATATAAGGACACAGAGACCCCCAGCCAGCCTCAATTCAGGCCACGGGAATAAGGCCATCTGAACACATGCGTATCGAAAACTTATCTGTATTGGACAGCCCGCGCGATGCGGATTATAATTGGACTGACATTTGCAGGCCTCCGGGGGATTTGTTCTTAATACGTGATTCATCCGGAAAATTGTAGCAAGGGTCAACTAGGATTATTTTCGAATACGAATGAACTCATTGTACTGCTCCGCCTGAACTGTGAACGCTGGTTCAGATATATACTCTTGAGGATGCTTTGCAGGTGTTGATGACCGCTTCTCATGACACATCTGGTAATTCTGGGTACGGTTCGTGGATGCTTGAGCCAGGATTTTGAGCAGTAGCGAGAGTGTCAGGAATCTCAATACTGGAAGAACCTTGTCCACTAACGATCCCGTTTACATGAGACCAGGCACAGTTACTCCGTATGAGCATGTAGCCGAATGTGATTCGATGCTATATACACATGGTACTCAAGGCTAGAGTTGCTTCGTTTTCGCACTCCTGCCTGCAACCTCCAATCCATCCAACAACAGTCAATTGCCAGAAGGCCAAAATCCATCATGTGTGTTCTCTGATTCAGAGCTAGGTATTTCATATGCAACTCGAGACGGTTACACAAATACTATGTACCTGTAACGTGATTGGCGTTCGACAGTGGATATTGCTCAGGGAACAGAAACAGACGGCGCTCAATTGCCTGCATCAGGCAGATGACCCGAGAAGCTTACACGATAAAGCGTGCGATTTCATCAGCGGCAAGCGGGGATGGAAGTTGTTATGCTAGTTTCATTTGTCTCGGATGGAAATTCTAAGAAATCACGAAGGGCACCGCCGCTGAAGTGACCTGAAACCGTACGAGTAGAGGCCGTACAGTGAGATGGTTGGCTCGATGTTTATTTTTGCAAGCAAGGGTGACCATGAAAAAAGTAATCGATGCACAAGATTGAAGTATTGCTGGAAAATTTGTCTTGAGTTCACGGGTTTGGGACGGGAGTGTTGCCGACAAAGACTACTCAAAGGCTGAGGACGGGACAGTTGACATGGTGAGTATACAAAGAGCTGACCGCCTTCTGTGTTACCCATCTATCTTACTCTTTCCATCGATCTGATATTCAATCCATCTGCGTGGGTCAAATTTCAATCTAGCGCACAAAAGGTGCTCTCCACGTTGCAACTCTTTTCACGTTGTCCAAGCGGCCTGGGCCACCCAGAGAATGAATTTATGCTTCACGCTGTTTGCATTCGCTTCGACAAATCGATAATTCGAAGAGGAGCTTTCAGGGAACCTATGGTGTAGACGAAGTGGCTTTGTCATACGATCAAGACATGGGGAAACATCACATGAGGCTCACACCCAAGCATTGCGATCATAAATATGAATCCAAGCTCGATACCATTACGTGTCCCCAGAGCCCTGCCAATAATAATTAGGGACTGGTGGATGTTGGCCGCCAGATGGCAATCTCGGCTGATATGGGAGTCCATATGTTGATGGCTAAATACCACTCGGCTGAATGTATGCAGCGCCCGAACATGGCATGCTCTCCTATCACACGAATGCTTGACTTCTTGCCACGGTCTGTGTACTTCGATAAAGCGCATTGTCATTGCATCGAATACACGGGAATATTCAACTGGTAGAAAGAGCTGCCCGGGATCGCAGAGCTTGTATGGTGCGAGGGCAGGTCTATGAACACTAACTCATACAGCCCAATGTTGTGTGTGAAATAAGACCTTTTGGACGACGAATCGATAGGCCTCATTCCTGGCTTGTCTTATTGCCATATTTGTTCAAGGTAAGCAGTCCCAGTTCAGGGATTGAGCTGCAAGTGAGAGTCAAAATGCTGAATGAATACTCATCGTAGTAATGCGCAGGGCAAGGCAATATTGGATATGAGATGGCCAAAGTCTATAGACAGGTCGACGAAACTAGGATTGGTCCGGGTCTTGATTGTCGACTGAAGCACTTAGAATGGCCCCTTCATATGCCCCTGCTTTCCACTGAGGAGGAAATAGCCTCGAGAAGGTCTCGCAGCCAATAGGCCAGTCACAGCCCAGTCGTTCCGGGCACCCTGACATATCCAGCCTACTTGCACTCAATCAGACAACGGTGCCCCCTGGGCTCAGTAAAGGCAATCATCTCGGGCTCCATATCCATCTCTGACATTCCGTCTATTGAGGACATCCGGGCTGCTGGGAAGGCACGGAAGAAACAAGCTGCACCTAAACGCAATTCTGTCCGGGCTAGATGGACACCAAGGCATACTACAGATAAAGGGTTGACCGTTAGCGTACAAGCAGCGTATGGAGACCGCTCTGTGTTGTATCAGGGGCAAAGAAGGATAGCGGGCAGTTTCAGCAGATGAATGGAGATAATGAGGCAAACAACAACCAATGAGGGTATCGCAGTGTCTCAGTCGTGTTGATCACTCACCCCGTGCTCCTCCACCCCATACCATCATTGCATGCCTCATCTCGTACGTCGGACTTTCCCATCGGGTTGGGTCGAACTCATCCGGCCTTGGGAATATGTCTGGGTCGCGTTGTAGGCTGTACGCCTGACAGCTCACGGTCGATCCTCGTGGGATTTGACGGCCAGCAATGTTAGCTCCTTCAGGGGGCACCACCCTCAAAAGACCTGTCGCTACTGCAGGGTAGAGCCGTAGTGTCTCCTCAATAACTTGATTTAGGTATTTCAAGGATTTTAGTTGTGCATCGTCGAAGCTCTCTGGCAGTCTGCTGAGCTCTTCCAGAAGAGTGGCCTTCACCACTGGGTTCTGGCAGATAATCCAGGTCAGGTAGGTCAGAGTATTTGCGGTAGTGTCAGTGCCAGCGACTAGGAAAGTAAGAGCGTTGCTTCTAACTTCTTGCCAATTGAGCTTTTCTTCGCTCTCGGCCTGAAAAAGCTTCGTAAAAAACGATTGTTGGGGGTGATCTGCGTCTGCCATGACGGCCTGACGATGGTTAGTGAGCATCTCATCGGCGCGTTTAAAGGTCTGCTTTCTAGCTATGCAAGCCTGGGTCACAATTCCGAGCGGGACGTGCTCGGCAATTTTTATAATGAAAGGCAGGGTGAGTCGAAGAGCAGCCAGCACCGCGCCTCCGTTGCCTAAGTCACTGGTGAATTCATCTTTCTAGAGACTCACGTCAGCAATGGTTTTCATGATGCGAATACATTGCTGCACACTTACCTTTCCTTCCTCGAGAATCCTGAAGGACTGGCCGAAAGTCAGCTCCCCCGTAATTTCCGAAGTCATGAAAGTCCACCACTTGTAGATATCTGCAGCTCCTCTTGCCTCTGTTTCCTCTCTCATCCGCTGAATTGTCAGGGCGACTTTGGAATGGACGGAAGGACACATCTGGGTCACCGAGGTCTCAGAGAGGCCTGGAGCCAGGAGCCGTCGATGTCTTCTGTGCAACTCGACATCGGCAGTGCTGAAAATGGATGGAGCTGGCGAGTCGGTGATAGTCTCATACAACGGAGACTTGACAAATGTCTCCTTGGTATTGTAGATCTGTTTAAATGCCGACAGATCGCAGAAGCATATTTCCTTTGGGCCAACTCTCACGACCGGTCCTATGTGGGTGTGAGTGCCTGAGAGTGGCAGGCGAAATATGGCCAATAACAACGCCGAGACGTACCGTATTTCTTGAAGAGAGAGTGTACGTATTGAGGCTGCTTTCCCCTGATCAACTGGACCAGGGACTCGATATTTGTCCATCTTGAGAGCCTAGTACCCGGAAGGCTTGAAATGGGGTCGTGTTTGGAGCGGACCCACAGCTATCTCCCCTATTAGGCCACTGCTGAACTTGTGGGACGAAGGTGTGCGTGGTGGAAAGCAGAGTGAGCTTACGTATAGGAATATAGCGACGGAGATTGCGCCCACCAGCGTGGTGGCGAAGCCGCTGCTGCCCATCGGAGTCTCGCCGCTGCCTCGAGCACCAGGGATCTAGAGAGGCGAGTCGGTGCTGTAGTCGGCTGCTGGCAAGTCCAAATTATCGGTGCGGATTGGCGCTACAGGCTGTGAGCAGTGTATTATTGATGTGAAAGGCAACTCAAACGGTTGGTGGGTTAGAATCACTGCAAGGTAGTGAGTGACTGCCGGCCGTCATGAACCTCACCCCAGGTCCCGACCGCCTGATTTCGAAACTCCAGATGGTTCTTCCCTGCTCGCTGTGAACTCTATTTCTCGCTTGCCCCTGACTAGTTCCAGCAGAGCTAATCACATCCCAGAATCCGCCTCCACAGCTCCCCATACGGCCTCGCTCGCCATCACCTCTAGAGACTCGAGAGCTGTCACAAATCCTACATTTTGATGTGGGTACTCTCGAAGGATTGGTTTTCGAACACGCTAAAACTTTTGCAGTGGCCACGCTGTCACCCGTCCCGGCCCCAGCAGGAGAGTACCCCGAGAAGTCTTCCTGATCAATAGCTCTTTCCGGCCGACCGGAGAAACAGCGGTCTTCTTTACACATTTTGCCGAACGGCAGCCGCCCGGGCGCTTCCGGTGCCATTTGTGCTCCGTCCATGGCCACACACCGACACCCAGTCTGACACCGAGCTCTATAGCCCTACGAACTGGATCGCCGCATTCGCTTACAGGCGAGTCAGTTCCGCTGTCCGCGGCCTGGTGTGCCAGCCTACCTGACCAGTTTGGAAATCCTCTACGATGTCGAGATGCCAGGCATCATCGGCGTCATATGGACAATCAACCATACAAGCATCGCCATCGCCATCGCCATCGCCATCGCCATCGCCATCGCCATCGCCATCGATGATGAAGGGTTAATCAGTCAGTGTGCGTTCTTGTTAAACTGAGTTGTAGCAAAGGACCCAGGGCTGGCTGTTGGCCTGCACAACGTCTACAACGCGCCCTCCAACGACAGCGACCTGGACGATTTCGAGTCATCTGGCGGTGGATTTGCACAAGCCCTTTCGGGGGAATAGGTGTCGATATTGGCCTATCTCCGAGTCTTTCAATCCAGACGAGACAGCTGATTTGGATCGTCCGCTGTTTGCTCCATGGTGATGTTGCCTTTGATCTATCTCTACCAAACCAGAGTCCCCACAAGACAACGGGATCCAGCACCTGAACGAGCCCTTACTGTGTATGACAAAATGATCATAGGGGAGGTCTGAACGTCTCGCGCATCATTAGGCCCTTCGAGCTTCGTTCGCCTGATAGCTGTGAACCAATGTCCGCCGTAGATGGCCGATTCGGGCCAAGCCAGCATGAAAGTGGTGACAACTTGCAGACACTCAGTAGACTAGACGACGTCAAGATCGGGCCCGCTTCAACTTAGAAAGAGAAGTGACTCTGAGTGGCACTCTCTTTCTCCGGTCGCTGACAACTTCTTCTTAAGACTCCTTGATGTTACAGGTTGAGTGGAGATACATTGTACTGCTCACCTCGGTCCAGCCTGACAGGTGGAGCAGTCAACTTGGCTCTCCGCTCAGTGGAACAGCTTTGATGAGCAAAAAGAGATCGGAAGTCCACAGTCCTGAAGATTAGATGTGAGAGATTGATCGGCTGGTTGTATCCGCCAGTGCCGCCCACCCTCAATTTCTTGGTTGCTTGTGGGCTTGTCCCGCAGGGTCCGAGTGCTTGTGGGCCGGCGCAGATTCAAATACCGAGCTGCGGGCCGGCGGAGAAAGCGGCTGCTAATCACTGTGTGTTGTCTGTGACCAGTGCTCTGTGAGAGGCATTTGGTTAGTGCGGACGCTTTCAACGTGCGCTGGCTTTTCCATGAAAGCATTCTGCATTGCACTAAGGAGCGGCGACTTGCTCTTCTTGGTATGGCGGAGACAAGGAGATGAGCGCCGTTGAGGTAGGCATGTCATGTCGTCTGTCAGTGGTCTGTGTATCCAGTGTTATCGCTTCCGCTCAGACCTCGGGACCTCATTAGTAGCGAAACCATCAGATCTTGAACTACGGAGCTTGACGAACTCAATTCAGAGTGTGAACAGTGCGCAGCAGGTCTGTCTGTCGGGATGCAAGACGTGACAGGTCCGGGACGGCCGTGCAGCGTTGAATGGACCCTGGAAAGTTCGAGCCTGCTGGAGAGCAACAAAAACATATTTAACACTGACATTAGCCGCACAATACCACGCGCAGTTCCTTCACCAGCCAGTTTCTATTGCGGACGGCCCAGGACAGACCGATCTGGACCGCGTGATAGCAGTCTTTTGCACATGTGGGGAGAGAAAGGAAACACTACCTTATTTTGGGATGTTCTCAAGGGTAACGGAATGGTAACGGAAGTCGTAAGATGATCACCAGATTTTCTAGATAGCGCCAACCTTGTCCCTGCGCCCATGCTCTCTATTTAGCTGGTTTTCAAGGTTGCGTACGCTGGGAGGCACAACATGAGACGACAGGAACATCAGTGCGTGGTGACGGGAAGACGAGGATTCCGCCGCCAGGGTCAGGGCCTTCAGTCCACTGCCTGCCCTGCCTGCCTGTCTTCCTAGGTAGTGCCCATGTAGGCAGTGACTGTGGCGTTTTCATACACATGAGGTTTCCAGCACGTGGTAGCCCCCGCCCTCTGAGGCCGGGGCAAGTCAGCTTTTGCATCCGTGCAGTAGTCGGCAGCCACACAGCAGTAGTGCATCTGGTGCATGCATGCACTATGTGGTAATGCCTATAGTACCACAGTAGCATGCAAGTACCCACACTCATGCGAGTCATGGCTGTCATAAGCAGGCTGGGGAGGATGTGAGAACCGACAGCCTTACTGTGCAAGACATTCAAGTGGCGGCAGTGGCATTGGACAGATATTCTCCTTTTCGGAGGCTCATGAAAGCTTGATGTGCATACGCTGAAAACGTGCGACTCGGCGAGGAGAAGCAGATGCCAATGTCTATGAACTCAATGTTGAGCAAACGCACGGCTTGGATGTTGCCGACTAAGAGGAACAGATAAGGGTTGCATCGGGCGTGACCCCGGACGTGACAGGAGGGCTCTCTACCCTGAGCCGGCAGAAGCCCACAGGTTCGCGGGTCCACGAGTAATTCCCCGGAAGGTGTGTGTGAGCCTGCTGACTGGGATGCCGCAGTCACGGCCGGCCGCGAAGCATGCTCGCTCAGTCAAGTGTGGATGGCCTTGTGCATGCATGGTATGGGGGCATGGGCACGGCACCGCATGGCTTGACTCTTTTGACGACGAGTTTGAGGGGGAGAGGCAGAGGGAACCGCCACGCAGGAAGGGGCTTGGGGTTCGCCGTGGAAGCGAGGTGGGTGTTCGTCAGCGCTCTGGACATGCTGCACTTGGGTTGGGTCATTGATCTCCCATCGCAGATCTGTCGGGCAGTCAGGCAGCCCAGTTAGCCCCTGAGGGTCAAAGCTACACTCCATTATACGCCATGTGGAGACACCACACGAACCTCATTTTGGCGCCAGCACGCCAATCTCCCAATGGACGAAAGATCTATCAGTCAGTCAGTGGTTCATGGGCTAGCCATAAGCAACTAGCCGTGGCGGGCAACTTGGCCCAACATGAGAAAGGTCAGGGAAGGGTTTTCACGGCTGGTTTTTCTCCCGCTTGCCTCGGTCGGGAGAATCGAACGATAAAACCCCTTCACATGGGCGCACTGTGTCATCGAGATTCAGAGCTGGCTTGTTATCGACCCCTGAAAGCCCTTGTTGGAAGGATGGGATGGTGTTGTTCGAGTGTTCATGATCCGACTCATGGTTGTTGGACCCGGAGCTGAAGAAAGGAAGCCCTCGTACTAGGGCTTGCTGTGGCCAGGGCTGGCCATGGCCAGGGTGCGTGCAAGTGCCGCAAGGATGGCTGGTTAGAAGAAATCCATATCTCACCCAGCTGCAACTCGAATCGGATTGTCAAGATACCCGATTCGACAGCTCACATCTGGTCCAGCTGGCCGGCAGGCTGGTCCCCTGAAACCTGGAGATGCTAGCGGCCATCACCATCGTACCGCAATTTGCAGTACCATAGTACCCAATCTTTTGTGGCCCAGACCACGTTGTCCATCGGCGGGGTGCTGGGCAGAGTTCCTCTTCCCGCCTGTCCGGTTGCCTGCTCCCACCATCTTCGCCTGGAGACATTTTCTGGTTCAGCACCAGGGCGGCCGCAGTGGTTGTGCTGCTCCGGATATTAGCCGGACTTGCCCTGGAGCGGTCTCGTCGGCAATGCACACTTAGAGGGCCTGTAGTGTATATTTACCTGTCAGTATGGAGATCAATGCAGCCCTTATTGCTTTTTCTCGAGCAGCCGGGTCCCGAGGCGAGATGGAGGCTCGAACGGACCTCGGGCGATGTCACCCACGGCGGAAGCCAGTCCCCTTCGAGCGACGCTCCCCTGGACGCCTCTGGACGTTCCTTGGTCGCTGGACAATGTCGCATAACAACATCAAGATTCGGCCTCGTAATAACGGACCAGATTTCGACAACATGTCAGCGCTATGCTGCATCCAATCCCACGGGCCAGATAGGCCGCCATCGCCTCGATAATCGAGTTGCGAGTGTGCTGCGAGAGTCTGTTCGCGTGTCACACACATGGCAACCTTGGAGGCTCCGGGGAAGATGGAAGATGCGGGGGTGGCTGCATTGCGCTTCTGGACCTGTCAGTGCAGGCGATACCCTGGCTTTGTCCAAGTCGACATCGCATGTGAATGTCGCCATCGGAGCCCCTTGTTGTGCCCCCTTGATGTTTGGTGGTGCTGATCAATGGTTTCTCTGGTCTGCTCACTGTATACATAACCGAAGCCTTTGGGGGACGGGGACGGGATGAGCGCGGCTTCTTTGTCTCCCGCCAGTCGGCCAGGCCCGTTCGAGAGACGATGTGCGTAGGAGGCATGTAGATCCCATCTAGGAAATCAAAGTCGACTCTTGTCCCAAAAAGCCCTTGCGTGCGCGGTAGAAGCTTGAACTACGGGTTCTGGCGGCCACATGTCGGGTCCAACCTGTCCCGTGAGACCAATCGCGACTCGAGGGCCCTCAGCAAATCTCTCTGTTGGCTGTCACCACAGCGCGGACCCAGCTGAAAGCCTTAGTGTTTCTTGACACTTGCGGGGCTCCTTGGCCCGGGGCGTTTGTTACTACCCATTAGCTCCAGGGTGACGAAGATTACGGTTTTTCACAAAACCCCCCAATCATCCTCCTAGTCCCCATCCTGTATCCCAGAGCACGTATCTATGTACACATGTACACACGTGCGCAGCGAACGAAGCCCGGAGCGCGCGACACCACAGCACAGCACATCGCCTTCTAGGCCCAAGATGCCGCGGATGCTTGAGCCGTCTTTGTGCAAGGCGCGCCGAGGCTTTACGCAACGGGTGTACGCAGTGCCTTGAAAGAACCTAACCAGCACGCTTAGAGAAATCGGCCCGGGACCAGAAATCAACATCGGAAGCCTCCTGTGCCCACCAGCCAAGGGGGATATCAGGAAAACCCCGTCTCCACTGTTCGTGCGCAGCAGGGGAGATGCCAGGCTTGACTGCCAGGGATTTACTTGCAGTCGCCTCTGGAGAGGGGCACACACAGGGGTTGCCTAACAAGAGCAACACATGTGTGTTGTTGGTGGAGGGCGATCCCAGGCCATTGGGAATGAGGGACGAGGGACGTAGCTTGATAAATAATGAAGGAGCTCTCTCCCCAAAGACCGTTCGCCAGCACGCGAGCTCCCCTTCTTTTGACCCGATCTCCCCTTTTCCTTTCTGTTCCTCTCATATACCCCATTTCTTCGTTGTCGTCTCATCATTCTTTGATTACCAGGGTGCGTAATTGTATCATCTTGCTGCCGGAAAGTGGCCCACCTGCCATTGTCACTATCTTATCCCACCCCCATAAGGCGCGGCGGTGTCTTGTCCGTGTCGAGTCAACACCTGTCACGACTCGGTTGTAGGAGCCCTCGGCCCAGCCATAAGCGGCAATGGCTCCCAGAAAGAAGGAGACGGCTCTTGAGCTGTGTGACAAAGCAACAGTTCTCGGCAACACCATAGCAATTCGAATGCTGGAGTACCTCAGCACCGTCAAACATCATGTACAAGGCTTCAAGGAGCTCGCAAATGAGTTCCTCGAGGTGTGCCGGATCTTGTGGGCGATCGAGTCCGGGCTCAGCACCAACAAGACCACAAACCTCCCTGCCGATATGACAGTGGAGCTTGAGAAGCGCTTCCGCCAGGCCAATGACGACTTTATCGTGCTGAACCAGTTGGTAACCAGATTCCTCGATAATGATAAGAAGCATGGCTTCGCGCGGCTTTCCAAGGGCTTCAAGATGATGTTTGCCGACTCGGACGTGCATAAGATGCGTGCGAGCCTGGAGAAGACACGGGAGGCGTTGAGAATGTCTGCCCTTGTCTTCCGATGGTCCCTCGGGGACGCGGACGTTGATGGCACCATAGGCATCGGATACACAGGTCTGGCGGCTGCCCTGGACCGGTTGAACGGCACGAAACGGACCAACTCGACAAACACCGTCCAGCCCAACACGGCACACTCGCAAGGAGGCCTTTCGACGCCCCAGCCCGCTCGCTCAGAGGTAAGCCGACCACCGACATTCGACCAAGGGCACGACCTCCCTCCCGCGTTACCGCCACTGAACATCATGGACCGGCAGTCAACGACGAGCCATGACTTTATGGGTAACCGCATCACCGGCACGACGGCGGTCGATGACCTCCCGGATCTCCCGGACCTGCCAGATATCGTTGGAATGCCGGATCGTGCTCCTTCCAGGTCGGTAAGAGATGGTCCTGGCAGCTTGCGGTCCTCCAAGGGGCCAGCCCAGAGCTTGGTAAGGGAAATCCCGCCATCGGACATCTCCAGCCCGACAGGAAGCAGCAGCCGTGGTAACAGCACCACTCAGACAGACAACGCGTCCACCCACACGGCCGAGACCGAGACGTTACTCGAGGACCTCTTGTCCGAGGCCGACCTCAACGACAACAAGATCCCGCCGCAAGTCACCCGCATCAAGGCCGACCCCGCTACCGTCCCCCGGTGGACGCCAAGGTACAGCACGGGCAGCAACGTTCCGCAATACAAGGCCGTGCTGGCACAGGCGGTGCAGAAGAAGAACCACGGCGTTATCGAGCAGCTCCTCGACAGGGGCGTGTCCCCTGACACTATCGCAGAAATCAACCTCCTCCGTGAATCCGTCATGAATCGGGATTCCGAGTCGGTTCGACTCCTGCTTCTCTTTGGCGCCGACCCAAACAGCGTCGACAAGAACGGCTTCACCCCCCTGTTCACCGCCACCGAGTTGGGCTACACCGACGGTGCAAAGATGCTCATCAAGTACGGCGCGGACCCCAACCTCAGCGCCGGTCCCGACGCAGACTCTCCCCTGGCCATGGCCGTGCTGGAGAACAAGCTGGAGATGGTGCAGCTGTTCCTCATGTACGGCGGTGACCCCAACCGCGTCATGGCGAATGGCAACACGGTGTTGATCCGCGCCATCAACCGCAAGACGCCCAAACGGGTCGTCGAGCTGATGCTCAACTACGGCAGCGACCCCGACGGCAAGAACGGCGAGGGAACCAGCCCGATGTACCAGTGCATCAGCGTCCAGCGTCTCGACATCGCCATCTTGCTGCTGGACCGCGGTGCAAGCGCCGACCTGCCTGGGCCTAAGCACCTCCTGTGGCCCAGCGCGTACCAGCCCCAATTCCTCAAGCTCCTGCTGTCGCGCGGCGCCGACTTCCGCAAGGCTCCTGGCATCATGGAGCTCGCGACAAGTATCAACAACATCGAGTCGGTCCGAACGCTCCTCAGTGCCGGCGTCGACCCCAACGCCAAGAAGGACGGCGTCTACACCCCCCTGTGTTCTGCCATCCGCGACAATCGCGGCGAGATCGTGACGCTCTTGCTTGCCAGCGGTGCGGACCCAAACCTGCCCGCGAGCGAGTACCCTTGCTTCAAGTGCGTCACGCACCACCGGAGCCACTTCCTGCCTCAGGTGATCGAGGCTGGTGGAGACCCAACTGAGCCCAAGGGCATCATCGAGCAGGCTGTCCAGCACAACAACAAGGACGCGCTCGTCTACCTGCTCGACTTCGGGGTGAACGTGAATACCAAGTCACCCGAGGGCTACACACCACTCACCACTGCCATCCGCGAGGACCGTGCCGACATGGTGGACCTCCTGCTCGCCCGTGGTGCCGACCCTGGCATCCGTGGCCAGGACTGGCCGCTCTGCATGGCGGTCAAGCGGCCCAACATCCTCAAGAAGTTGCTCCCCGCCGTGTCGAACCCCAAGATGTTCAAGGGTGTGGTGGAGATGGCCGTCTGCGCCAACCAGCTCGAGAGCATCAAGCTGCTGCTGTCAGCAGGGTTCTCGGTCGAGGCCAAGAACGGCGGCGTCTTCTCGCCTCTTACCAGCGCCATTCGCGAGGGACACAAGAACATCGTGCACTACCTCATCGACGAGGCTGGCGCAGACGTCAACGCGCCGGGCGAGCACCTGCCCATCATCAAGTCCATCCGCCGTATGCGCAACAACGACACCGAGATATTAGAACTGCTGCTGGCTCGGGGTGCCGACATCAACCTGATGTACCGAGGGTGGAACGCCGTGCTGCAAGCGGTTGAGAATGGCGACGCGCATGTGCTCAAGATTCTGGTGGAGAAGGGCAACGGTATTGATCTGGAGCAGCGGGACGAGAACGGGCGGACGGTGATGGACATCGTGCAGAGTCATGGCTGGGACGAGGCCGTGGCTATCATTAACGGCGGCGGAAGGCGGTAGGTGTTGTCACGTCATAATGTGTATGTCGGCTCCAGATCCAGTCTCATCACCTCCCCACCCTTCACCTCAGTCTATCGGTATGACAACTTTTATCTCCCCACATGTCTTCGGCCCAAACTTGTTTTCCCCCATGCCCTGCTGAACCATCGACTAATCCGATCTGGCGTCGCCTTATAAGTTGATCTTCTGCTAACCTCGGCGTGTTTCATCAGACTAAGTGTATTCTCGTCTTTATCGTGGGGCGTGATTCTGGGCGAGAATGGAGAATCAACTTCAACGTCAATGTCCAGGACATCAATGGACACGATACGGGAGCCAGAAGACGAATAGGTGAAGAACAAGAGATCCATGGTCAGAATGATGATGATGAGGGGCCGTCGAGTCGGGGTAATAGGCTCGCGTGTTGTGCCGGTAGGACCAGGCGTCCAATTTCTCCTTTGTCGCGGCGAGTAATATACCATGAATGTGTTGTACGATTCTATGTCGAATATTTAGTGCCTAGTCAATGTTGGGATTATCAAATGGTCTCAGCCCGGTGTCTCAATGCATCGCGTTACGTTGCACAAGTACAAGGCACATGTCGTAGCCAGTCTCCGTCGACGTCTCGTCTTTTTGAAACTGAAACTTTGTGGGACCGGTGGAATGATGCCGGCTGCTCGTAATCAGAATGTAATGGATGAGTTCTGTCAGTCCTGCCTGCAAAGCTGCCAGTCGGTCCGCCTCCTCGCAAGATGTGATGCGTTGGTTTTGGTGCGAATTTGGTTTTCTTGATCCTGGGCATAGGCCGATTCAAGGGTGGGAAGGTTCGTCCCATGTAAAGTTGAGATAAACTGTATCTGGATAGGCCTAACTGATGGCAATGGCCATGGCCATGGCCGTGACCGTGCAGTGGCGAAAGAAGTGAGCTGCACGATGCAGGAGATAATGAGCTAATCTGCAGCAACCACTTTAGCATGATATATTTCAAGGTCAGCGGACTGTGCGAACACGATCGATTTGTGATTTTGTGACGGGTCACTTATTCGCGATCTGCTAGTTCCGGTTGTCGACAGCACACCTTGCCGCCCTTGCCCGTCACGCACAGCCAAGGCAGGGGAGGGGATACTGCCGTGAAGACCTTCTATTGAGACATCATAGACTTCATCAAAGGTTGTGGCATTAAATCTTAAGAATAGTTGTTGGCTTCTCACTCATGATGCGCAAGACACGAGCGTGGGCACGGCGTGGAACATGACCTTGCACTTGTACAGCCGCCCAATGCCGCTCATTGATGACATGAACGCATCCTCTGATAGAAGCCCATCCAAAGCCCCATCGACAAAAATAGATCATGAGCTAAATTTGCCTTCCGGCTCCAGATCCCCGTGATATCGTTGCCCAAATAGTGGTACACGCATTCCCAGATGTCCTTCATGTACAATATAACGCCTGTACTCATGAAAAATGTCTTCCTGTGATTTCCGCTCGCATATTTCCCCATGAAACCTCTCCAAAGACAATGGTGCGCTATGCAGGATGTAACAAACGGTTGACATGACGAAAAAAGACTGAAAAAAAAAATGTGGTGATGTAGTTGTTGCAGAGAGATTGTTGTGCCTTGTCCGCCTGTTGTCAAGACTCAACCATCGTCGCCCCACTCCGGAAGCATCCCTACGGCACTGATTCTAGCTGCCTTCTTTCTCGTTTGGGGTTGCTGTTCCCTGGGCTGTTCCTCGATTTGCGAATCCTCGTCGTAATGACTCGACGACGACTCCGGCCTCTCCGCGACGGGTGCAATTTTGTGGCGATAAGCATTCCCTGGGTCTCGATCTGGTCTGTTGTACGCGTGTTCGGAGGAGGGTCTCGTTTTATGTTTCGTCGATTCAGAATCGGCTCGCGCCTGTCGTACAGCCTTCTGCGGTGTGCGATAGCTAGTTGCCGCTGCAGCCGATGATGCGCGGCTGTGCGAAGACTTTGGCGTGCTCGCAGTGACCGTCGATGAGCTTGCAGGGGCAGGGAAAAGCTCTAGGCCGTCCATGAGGAAACTACTCGGGTCGGAGCTAGGGTCTACCACGTCGTGTGCCTCATTGATGGTGGAGCCAAGATAAAGCATTACCTGCTCGTGCTTTTCAGGACTTGTGCCTGCGTCGCCGGAACGTATCGAACTGGATGTTGTGGAAGGCGGCTTAGGGAAAAGCATGGCTGTCGCATCCTTCTTGCTGTTGCGGCCACTGGCGGTGCCGGAGACGCGATGATGACTGACTGGCGGTGGATGAAGCGTCGTGGCTTTCACTGTCTTGATGCTCGATAGGGACTCCTTCTTCGAGGCCGTCCTGTCATCCTGCCCGCGGTCCAGCTCAGGTTCAGCCAGCTCAGCAATTTGGTGATTCTCACGCATGCGTGCCCGCTTTGCTCTCATGGCGGCGAGAAGGAGTTCCTCTTGCCGGGTGACAGCCATAAATCTCTCATCTTCAAGAGTGCCCGTGCCGCTAAGGGTCAAGATTGGACCCCCATGGTCGGAGGCGGGATTGTGTTGGCTGTGAATTACGAATTCCATGCTCGATGGGCTGATAGGCGGTGTGGGCTGGCTTCGTCGCGGGGAAAGGTGTGCTCGGGGACTGTTGTGCTGATTTTCGCTTGCACCGCCTAGTTCGTGATGACCGTGTCCTGACGGCGCAGCACGGGATTGCAACATGGCAATGTGGTGTACCTCAGGACTTTGTCTTGCACCACTCCCGTGGGCTGGAGAAGGATGGGGACGAGAGAGTTGGCTCGCGATTGATTCAGACGTCGAAGTGGATACCTGTGACAGTCGAGATGGCGATCGCACGGAAGAAGCTGTGGTAGATGTGGAAGGAGCCGCTCCCGGCCGCGAGCTGCTAGAGGCCATTGCGCTCGCGAGTGAGCTCGCGAGTGAACTGGTACGAGGATTGATTGGTGGCGGAGATGTGCTCGTGCTCGTCGCATTCTCGGGAATGGCGAGGAATTGACCCTGGGCGTTCATGCTTGGACGGAATTTGCTCTTGGGTTGTTTGCGTACTGGGTCCTGCAAAGGAGAGGTGCTCGATGGCCTGCGACTGTCAATGGGACTGGAGCCGCTGTCAAGCGAGGTGACGCTGGGAATGGACAGGGCTGTTCTCGGTGGTTCTGCGTCATCATCCTCAGAGTCAGATGAAAGCGACAGAAGACTAGTCGTGTTTGGATCAAAGTCTGTAAAGCTCTGGTCTGTCCTCTTAGAAGCCTTGGAGGTGCGGGTGTGTCTGCTGGACACGCTGGCAGCATAGTCAGTTGGAGGCGAAACCAAGCCCGAATTCGTGACTGCAAGCGGTGAATCCTGCATTGGGCCATGGCCATGGTCCTGAGGAAATATGGAGTACGGTTGACGGGTAACTGCAGACAAGGATGGCGAAATGTGATGTCTGGGCTTATTCGGAGGCGCCGATGCTACCGAGACACTCTGTCGAGCTCCTGGTCGCGAGGCAGCGAGTGACTCCGGCTCAGTGCTGCGGGCCCCCTGCCGTGAAGCCGGCCTTGGGCCGGATGGATCGCCGCTCATCGTGTCGCGGAAGGACGTATCTTCATAGTGCTGGTAGAGATTATAAAGCGTGCCAGTGTCCGTCGCCCGCTTGCGCAAATTTGCGCTCTTGACGTCGGAGCTCGATGTACTGGTGCGATCCGGCCTCGGGCCCCTTAGGCTCCGAAGGCTCTCTTTAGTAAGTTTTCTCCGCAACCCTTTTTCAGGCTTGGGTTCGCATTCAGATGGTGATGAGGCTGGTGACGATGAGGACATGAAAGAAGGCGATCGTGTCATCAAGTCGGGTCCCAATACCAGACTGCTGCCCTTTTGGGTAAGTTTCGAGAATGCTCTCCTGGATGACGCCCCCGCGGTAGGCAAGAGATGTGTCAAATCTAACCGGGTCGGCTTCTTTCGCTCAGGTTTTGGGGGTGCGGGTGCGGGCCGAGGAGAATCCAAATCCAAGAGCTCCCATGCCTTGTCCGGCAGACCCTTCGCTATGGCCGAATTGGCGGTCTGCTGGGATATCGACAACGGTAGCTTCGTCTTGTCGTAATAGGAAACGATGGTGGAGCTTGACCGGCGTCGCCTGAGACTCGACGCGTCCGTGATGGTGTCCAGGTTGTGAGTCCGCCCAGCGTTGCTGCCGCTGACCCCAAGATCCCTCGGTATTATGTCTGACTCTTGCTCCCAGGCCGGTCTTGCATTGGTCCTGCTAGGGGCCACGTCGGGACCCTCCTTGACGGTGCTCAAAGGCGAACGGGATCTGCAGATGCTGCCAGACGCGGTGGTTTCTGATATGGTGACGCTGATTCCGCTGACGCCCGAGACGGCGGAATGTGTTTCCCAGAGTCTGGAATGGTCACTGGTGCTGGATATGGGCGAGGCCGAATCAATGTTGATCTCCGCAGCTCCGAGTAGCTTGCTGGCCTTATTGGTCATCGGCGCCGAGATGCTCTGTACCTCTTGCGGCCTCTCCCTCTGCCGCCGGTGCGGCATGGGAAACTTGAACTTGGTCGTTCCGCCCATGGTGAGGGTGGCTGCCGAGAAGCCCCGAATCCCAGCCCGGCGTGCCTCCCGATCTTCCCTCGCGCGTCCTCACGTCTGTCTCGATAAGTCTCGATGCGCCCGCAGCTGTCGCGCCAATGGGTGGTGGGCGACTGGCGGGAAAGTTGGACAGGAATGAACAGGATTCCTCCCCCGAATCCATCTGAGGACTGAAACCCCAGGCTACGACTTCCCCGAATCCGAAAAAAGAAAAAACCGGAGCCCAGGAGAGGACAAGACGGAAAGAGACAGAACAGGACAGGAGGGGCGAGACAATGGGGAGCGATCGGTAGCTATATTAAGGGTGAGGATTCCGCTGTCATTAAAGCATGCGTGGAGGTGGGTCCTGGCCCTGGACTGGTGAGTGGCACGTGGGGTGCGATCGCCGACAGCAACGGCGACGGCGAAAGTCGAGTGTGTCCCGAGCGGCCCGGGGGAGGGGACCAGAGGAGCGTCGTGGAGCTCAGGTGGGAAATTTGGCGGCAGTGCTGATTGCGATGGCGATGGTGATGGCGCACTTTGCGGACGCGACGAGGGTAGGGCCAGACGAAGAGCTGACGTGGAGAAGAGGGAACAGGCCCCAAGAGGCGTGTAGGTAGGTAGCAGTTGTATTTGCAAGATTCCTTGCCAAATAACAATAATGGATGAGAGTTGATTTTGGGTATTGGTAGGGTAGGGGGAGCGGGTGCAGGGGTTTCTGGCTGTCAGGTTGTACAGAAGCAAGCATTTCTCATCTGGTCACAGACGGCATATCCCCTGACCCTGACGAGTGGGTTGGAAATTCAAAATGAGTCGACGAGGGACAACAGCGTGATAGGACGGACGCACGCAAAGACTCAAGGTAGCGAGCCGAGGAAGAGGTGCGCATAAGATTTGGTTATGACAGGTCGCGTGGGTCGTGCTGAAGCCAAAGAAAGCCAGAGCCAGCTTGCGGTACGGGCTGGGCTGAGCAGAGCAGAGCTTGGTTGAAGACTGGTCGAGACTGAGAAGTGACGACAATCACCTCATGCCTCAAACGAGCCTGGCCGTACAGTGGTACTGTGGCAGACCAGGGGCGCACGGGCGGGAGGCGATGGCAATAGCAACAGAGAGAGGGCGACCGGGCCAACCTTGAGGATTATCTCAGTCGGCGCTGGACAGTGCAGCCAGAACCCTGCGGTAGCGTATTGTGGAGATCCACTGCCGGCGTTGTGTTAAATTAAGCCCACGAGGAAAGGAGGGATGTGAGGGAGAGGAGACGAGTTGTGACGACAAAAGTGGCAAAGCTCGGGAGATAATCGAGGGCGCAAATTACGACCTGGCCATTTTCGGACAAGAAACAAAATAGTCAGAATCTAGAATACGGAGGAGGACAGGTCGAGGGCCAGGAATCCCGAACGGGCGCAGAAACGAGCTGGATGAGCTGGCTGAGCTGGACAAGCTGAACAGACTGGACAGGTTGGAAAGGGCGGGGAGGTAGAGGAGTCGTCCCTAGTCTCGTCTCGTCTCGTCTCGAGTCGAGTTGCAAGGAGGAGACGGTGGGGGAGGAGGGAGGGAGAGAGGAGGCTTGGATGCCAGATGCCAGATGGCAAATGTCAGACACCAGATGATGTTGGGTGTTGAAGGTCAAAGCTGATGGGTGAAGGGTGGGAGCGGCGAAGAGCAAAACAGAGCAGAGCAGAGTAGAGGGCAGGGTAAGGTGAAGAAGGAGGAAGAAAATGCAGACAGAGATGCAACCTTGATTGTTTCTCCTTCACCTTGGGGTGGAGGCGGGCAGGTGGGCAGGTGGGCAGTTTCCTGTCCATATTGCTCCTGATATGATCCATCTCACAAGGGAAAGGGCGCTGGTCGGACATGCATGGCTGCAGTTGCCGAAAGTAAATCAATCAACCACTGCTGGAAGGCACACAAGAGGGAGAGAGAAGAAAAAAATGGGTAACATGACCTCTTGTGGCCCGAATGCGCTGCTGCACGGAATACTACCTGCTCCAAGGTACAGTCCTGGTCAAACCTTGGAAGTCCCACCACATGTACCTGGTATCTTGCATTGCCTACTGCGTAGATGCAGCAACAGGCAACAAACAGCAAGCAGCACACAGCACAGTAACATGGCAGGAAGGGGAAGGTGGGACTGGGGGCAGAACGGGCAGAAGAACGGGCAGAATTAGCAAGGACTGGGTGACAGGAGCAGAGAAATTACGGTCGCACAGACGGCCAGGGGAGGTGCGCCTGCTCCGCTCGCCTGCCTCCGTCTGCTCCGTCCTCTCCGTCCCTCCCCCAAATGCCCTCCGTCTCGCTCTCCTGTTCCTGTTAGTGCCCCTGGTAAACCTTGCGTGCCTTGGGTACGTGCCTTGGTACGTGCCTTGGTAGGCATCGACTTCTGTGCGTGCGTGATTCAGTCTGGTCTTTCTTGATGCCCTCACGCGACTCATTCGGGCTGTGCCTGTCGCCCATCGGCCTCGTTCCCACATCTGCTACTGTCAGATCCCCCATGTGCAGTGCAGCGCAGCAAAGCAATCCGTCAAATTATTCCGTGCTGTCATCAATTCGCCGTGTGCAGAGCCGCATCTGCAAGTCCTGCAAGCAAGCTCTGGCAAGCTCTGACAGGACGGAGCTCTGCCAAATCGGCTAGTACCAGTACAGCACACGACGGTAGTCGACCAAAGAAAGACCTGAGAAACACACATGCAGGACTGAAACAAGACCCCCGCCCTCCCTCCAGCCATCTCTCGACCTCCCCCCAACCTTGCCTCCCCCGCAGTGTCGTCGTTTTAATCTATCTGAGGTTGTAGGTTGCTGTTCGTGTTTGACGCTGGCGGGCCTGGTGCCATTCGACCACCAAACAACTCCATCATGTGCCATCTCGACGCTCGAGTCGCCAGTTCGTGCCAATGATGAGCACTGACGCCCAGCTGTCACCACCGCACCGAGCTTTCAAGAGCGAGTCCGCCCATGGTCGCCGCCCACACGACAGCATGACGGCACCCAGCTCCATGTCAGTGCAGCCACACCGAACTACCCAAACTATTCAAACTATGCGGCAAGCTCCCCGAGCTCGTGCTCAAAATCAATTCCTGGCTTTCTGGCTTTCACTTTCGCCCTGTTGCGGCCGTGACCGTGTGCGCGACGTTCTCAGCACACCGCAAAAGTTTCGCCTCGCCAATCTACCAGCCCTTTGACCCCAGAAACATGCCTCGTCATTCTGGGTGATGAACGCTGTTCCCGGCCCGGGCACAGAGCTTTGAGGCTATCGACCCCTCTGCCAGATGCCAGCGCCCCTCCAGTGTGCCTCATCGATGCAACGCAGCTACTCCAAAGGGCCCGGTGACAGGCATGTCGTCACAGTCCAGCACGCGCAGAACAGGATACCCCAAGCTCGACGGCTTGCCCCCGTGGGAACTGCACCATCATGACAATGTGCCTGGCCTACGCCAGACTACAACGTGCATGCCTGAACATTCACCAAGATTGGAGCAACGAGCGGGCGAGCGCCACTGCCGGTCGATCGATCTGGGCTAGCCTCTCAATTGGGCTCTGCCGTTTGCTCAACGCTATCCGCAGCGCGCGCATGTACTCAACACCCTCCCTGCCCGCTTGTGCCACCAATATGCAGGACAGGTACCGTGAAATCAGATTGCCGAGCCTGGAGGCGGCCTGGCTTTGACGCCGGGCGGGGTGACGACCGGGATGGGGAGGGTGCGAAGCGTTTGCCGGCAGGCAGGCAATGAGCGCGCGTGCTTTCCTCACCGCGACTTCAGAGAGTATAGTAGAATTTCTAGGTCTCTCGGACTTAGCATGTCGTGACGCGGTGCCTCGACACGACAACGTGATGCCTTGCCATTCTCCCTCCCGTCGACCACGCACACTGCAACCTCCTTCATTTAGCATTGTCGCAGACAATGCCCTGCTATTTGTGCCCGTGCTCGCCACGATAGGTAAACACAACACACTTATTTCATCCCCATAGCGCAGCGAGCACCCAAGGGTTAGAGAATGCCCTGGTCCGCGTGCCGGGCTGTATTCTTCCGCCGCCAATGGTAGCATTGCTACCTTGGCAGCAGTGCGACGCTGGAAGTGGCAATCCGACTAAATTATGAGGCTCGAGAGCCGTCCAGGAACCAGGGACAATCACTTAATTCCCAGGCCGACCAGCAACTTGGATAAGCACAATCTTACCTTCTCTGGCAAAGCCGTGGTGTAGCGCAGCCACCAGCGCCATGAGGCAACCACATACCTACCATAGTAGATACGGACCATGTGCGGGCGGCGTGAAGGAATTTCGTCCCGGGTAGCCGAGTTTCAGACCCTGGGCTCGCCCTGGCACATCGGTTTTGTCAAACAAGCCAGACAGCTCAGAAAGCATCGCCACAAAGCCGACTGCGCGAGTACTGTTATAATCTTGCTGTTATGCTATGTTCTGTGGCCTGCTATAAGACTGTCGGATGAGCACCGAGGGGAGGCACCCGACTGGGCGTCTGTGAGCTCAGCCTCCAAGTAGACATCTGGACTAGGGGTTTGGTTGGCCCAGATCCAGATTGTCGACACCTTGGGCCGCAAATCCCGCCCGGTCCTTGCCGTCCCGCCCCCGAGAGGATTTTTCTCGGCTCACGGTTTATGCCGAACCAGTTTCGCACCGACTCTGGTGGGTTCATCCTCTCTAGCTCTCCCAAGGTTGTGCCCATTTGCGGCTTGAATGCTCCTTGGGGCCCATCTCGGGAAGAGACCCCCCCCCCGATGTGGGGTTAGGGCTAGCCTCTGCCTGTCAAAAGTGCAATATTTGGGAGGAAGATAAATATGTTATTTCGGTCTGCTAATTACCTCTGGTTTATTTTGCAATTTGATTTTAAGCAGACCAGTCTCTTTCTTATAGCATGGGTAGGGTAAGCCGTCGTCTTATTCCTATCCTTGTAGTAGGACAAGAAACAGCCAAAATGGAACTTCGTATGACCACCATAGTCCTCTTCTCACATAGAGTCACGTAAATGATATGCGGACTGCTAGTACGGGATGCTTCACGACGGGCCGAGTAAAACTATAGCTCACAGGATCGACTTTTGCAAGAGACGAGCAGTATTTATAACGAAGACGACGAATTCACGTCTTTCATTATGATCAACATAACGCGAATGATCATCACGAGAGCTTGCCAGCTTTTGACCATGCGGCGGAAAATATCATTTCCGGCATAGAACTGCAAGAGAATTCCGCTGAACGGCTTTCAGACATGATCATATTACAAAGCTTGACTTGTGCCTTCTGCTACAGGCCTTGTTTGCTACAAAAAATCAAGTCAAAACTCAAATATGCACTCTCATCCTTGCGCGCTGAAGAGATACTCCCAAGACGTTTGCAACCTCCCTGGCCATGTCAGACTTGCGACCTAGGTACCAGAGAGCCTTGACGCAATCTTGGCAGCGCTCGGAATTGTCCCTGAGTTCGTCCACCGAAGTTTCGGACACAACGTTGTCTTCAACGTGTGAGAGTCCCATGCCCTCCAGAAGAGTAACCGCGGCTCGAGAGAATGTCCTGATCAAAATCATCGTCCACTACGATGACCCAAGTCAGCGAATGTTCAACTTAACCTTGCTCAGATTCCACTCATGGAGCCTCCAAGCCTGTCTCGCAGGCTAAATGCCACTGTTTCACTATGGAATATCAGAGGGATGGGAAAGGTGCTCACAGGCTCTGTCAACAAGGCACCTTCGCTCACTGCATGGTGGAAGTTTACTAGTTCTCCGTAGTCGTCATGGCGGGGTGCAGACGCTTTCGCCAAGTCAGATATCATGCGGACGCTGACATATCGAATGTGCCGAGCTTCTCTCGTCTTGGTCCGCCGCCAAGACCCAACCTCAATGCGCGAAGCTCGCTGATCCACGGACTCGACCAGGTCCGCCATTAGAAGCGTAGCAAGCAGCCAGTGCCCAAGCAGGCACACGTACCAGCTCTGAATCCGAGCAGAGAGGGAAAGGTGATGTTGAATACAGTCGGAAAATAGCGGGTGGTATAAATGATCCCAATGGCGGTAAACCATCAACGAGTCCTCAATCGCATCCTGGATCGTGTCCCCATCGACGTCCATGGCTATTAGGGACTGAAGGCGAGTGACTTTTCGATAGAGAAGCACCTTGACAGGCGCCGCATCTATCAGTTCCTGTGCAATAACCTCGTCCGAAAGTGGGAATCGGAGTCCGGCCACTTTTGTGTGCTGGTCCTTGGACAGTATGATATTCCATTGTTTGGATACATTACCCGTGACAGAGGAAGAAGATTGTGAGAAACCCACGCTACCACTGTCCTCGTCCGATACAGTGAGGGGCCTTTCTGTCATGGCTTTTCATGATTTGTTAGCATATTTCTGGCAGAGACGAAAGTAAAGTTCAGCAGGACGAGGATGCTCTTCTCAAGACTGCACCAGCATAATTCATGTCGAGCACAGCCAACGCCTTGTCTCTCAACCAAGCGTGCACGTATGCGGAAGCAGAAGCAAACCGTGAGCAGGGCGCAAGCGTACGAGGAAAGCATGATGGGAGTGTTCTCAACTGAACTTTGCCAAAGGGTGGAGGGGAGACACCAGAGAAATTGAATTACCAGCGCTGATTGTATCAAACATGACTGCCAACCAGAAGAGAAGGTCGATTGTCTTCTTGGACTCATCATCGCATCGCCCGTGCCCCCTGTCCCCCTTTTTCTGCAGGTTCCTGTCGTGCAGCTCGACCCGGCGCCTGAGAACGTGTAATCGTCTCGTCGCTCGTTCCAGCCAGATTTGTTGGCTGTCTTCTCGTAGTATTTCCTCCACGGTTTCCGACGTGTCAACGTTGCGGCCCGACCGTGGAGGATCTTGCTGTTCTGCAGAGGTCTCAGCATACTTCTGCGTCAAGCCGAATATAATCTCCGCAAAAACCACTCGAAACGAGTCGATCTCGCTGCAGTCATCCAAAGCCCGGCGGGCCTGGTTCCAGAATGATTTCTGCAGCGTTCGGTCGAATTCTTCTTCCAGGTCAGGCTCCAGCGGCTGGAACATGTGTGACAAATTCAAGCTGTCTGCGGTAGACCAGCGTGCTTTGCTCCTCTGGCTCGATTGTGCCCACTGCGCCGTAAAGGCCATGACCGCCGAGTTGAGAGCGTGCGATACCTTCCTCTCTTCAGAAGGGTTCAGTTTCTTCAGACCCAGCGAGTTAGCCATCCGGTCGAGCTTGATGACACGCCGATATACGCGGTTAGACCAGTCGGGGCCCCAGTCGGCCTGCATGTTCTGGAATGTTCCGAATTGCTGCTGGCTATCACTGCTCGTAGAGCTTGGGGTTGATGGCAGAGACTTGTACGGACATGTATGCTCCACCAGCCAGCATGACAGTGCACCTTCCATCACATCATGGTAGATCTTCATCATCGTCTCCCCGATCATGAAGCTGTTCGTCGTCGCCGCTAGCCGATTGCCCGACATTAAATCCCATGGTGGTGCCGAGGTTGGCATGGGAATGAGTGAGCGGCCTGTACTCGTCCTGCGTCGTTTCCGGGTGGGATTCAGATCATCGGAAGAAGGGGGACTGCTGACAGATAAAGAGGCCGGGCTCGACCAGACATCGGCACCAAACGTGTTAAGCGCATCGGAAGTACTGTGCAAGCCATTAGATTGGCTCGTAGGTCCTGTCGAAAATGAGTCGAGACCGTACTGGGTAAGTTGGTTGCTTTCAGGTATGAAGTGAGGCTGGATATGCTGACTGCTATCCCTCATGTCCAGGGGTAGAAATGGTGGCGCCAGTGCATCGTCCCTGAAGGTAGCAGCCGGCTGGAATCTATCGGGACTGGGTCCTGGGTATGGGCAACTCTCAAGCCCAAGCTGATCTTCCGCAAGGATGCTGTCGGGGCGGTGAGCGTAGGGACCATCGAATGGTAGTATCTGCGTTGATGGATGGAGCGGACGCAAGGGGATGCTCGACGGCGCGGGCGTAGCCGCCGGTGCTGTCAGCTTCTTTGCTGAAGGCGTCGACACATCAGATGCGAGCTGCTGCTTTTCCTTCCGTTGGATCTGCTGGCTGTGGACCCACTCGAAGGTGCACTGCTTGTTGGTTCTCACGCAGTTTGTACACGGCCCCAACAAGTCAAGCTGGTCGTCTGTACCTGGAGTCGTGTTAGTCTCACCTGCAATATCCAGCAGTAAATGTCCGTTTCCGTTCCCACCCGCGCCCGCGTCTACGTGGTTGATTTTGGGGGCCAGAGAATACCTCCATGACTCGAAATGGCTGGTGTGCCCGGCGCCTGCGGGGGCTTTATAACACTGCTGGCCGCATCGAGTGCCCGCTGGTCTCGCAGCCAGACGGCGTCGCAAGCTCGTTTACCCTTCCTGCACTGGTCGCAGCTGGAGTTCTGTCGCCGGCTCATTGTCATCGGTAAGCCATAAGGGTATGTGCATGAGGGTGGCCAGCTGTTGTGAGGTCACAAAGGCAAGGCGAGGCGACAGAGTCCGACGCACGTCGGATCTAGCGCAGAGAGAGTTCGGCCGGGATGGAACGCTCGCTGACGGCACATGACTTCACACTCTAGCTTCACCCTGGGCAAATGCAGACAAGCATGGCCCCTGAATCACCTCAATGGCCGCCCCCGCATTCAGCTCGCCCGTCGAGCCGGGTGAGGCGCAGGGCGACATTACACTCAGGCGCCCCATAGACTTGCAATGCGCTGCACTCGACCCGATCAGCTTACCCACCTAGCTAATATGTGAAATGGCTGGGTGGGCGTACATCTTGCGGGGACAGTGCAGTAGAAACGGACATTGGCTCCCAGTGCTCCAACTCTCAGTTCCAAAGACCACCCTGCCCGCTCTGGGCTTCTCCCACCTCGAACAGAACCCATGTGTAACGACGCTCGCATGACCTGGCTACTGGGGATTTGGTGCGGACAGACTAGTCTACTGGACGGCTCAGGATCTGCAGCGCAGATTTCTCAGTGGCTCAAAACCATCTGAAGGGCTCAGTCGCCACAAGCCGTGCACGACGCTTCATTGACCTCCAATTGCGCTTTGTTACAAACCAGACGAATGGCGTATCAACAACCGCGTGTAGATCACTCAACCAGTAACCCTGACTGCCTCAAACCAAGGGTCTAAAATACCCCATGGCCGCAAATCAGGTCCTAGATTTCGCAATTGCCAACGGACCGAGTTCGTTTCGGACTATGTCGGTCTTGACCACAAGAGTGATCCCGTTACCTATTGACATTTGCAACGCAGAACCTTCCATATGTGACCGCGAATTTGCGTCTAGAATTGCTATGGTCGTGATGGGGCCGTCCATGAAAACCATCTCTATATTTGCAGCTGTTAGAGAGGTTTGATTTCAACCATCCTGCTCCTATTGCTCATAATTTGAGGCCCAACACACCTTTCGAATACGTGTGCCTAGTGCTGCCACATTGTGCAATCCGTAGCGAACGTTTTCGTTTACAATGAAGAGATCTGTACTGGAAAACGACTGAGATTGCCCGATTCCCTAGCTGCCTCTTTGTACCGAAATATAGCTCGAGAAGAAGACTATAGGAATTCAAGGCCATTGATATCGAGCTCGGAAAGTCCTCGGTCACAAAGAAGAGGGTCATACGGGAACAGACAAGTATAATAATGGGTTGCACATCATCCAGATGAGCTCGTGCTTGTCGACCCGGAGACACATGCGTGGCCAGACGACGTGGCTCAGTTGGTCGTTTTCACACGTGCTCAGATCAAGCGGGCCTTTCTATGTACATCTGGCCCCCTTCATGTGAGTCTTCTCCATTCCAGAAATTTTGATGCAGCAATCTGATTTCCTTAATCCGCAACTTATTCACCCTCAACACGTGCAAGTAAACCAGTAGTGGGTTGCGCCCGCTGAGGAATAAGAGAAACGACCCACAATGCACACGATTCGTGCTGACAAGTTGTCCGCAATGCATATTGAAAATACATTTAAGACACAGTGACGGAGACAAGAAATTTACTCTCAGAGGCGGTCCCCACTTCATCATATTGGATATAGATTTTAGAAAGTGGACAAGTTTTATCATCCCGGCGCCGTGGCAGAGTGGTCTAATGCGATAGACTAGAACTTCTCCTAGAGAGAATCTGGTTATCTATTCTCTTCGGAGGCGCATGTTCGAATCATGCCGGCGTCGACATCTTTTGTCTTACTGTTTTGAAGTGATTCAATCAAACATAGGCACCTAGAATATTCTTTTTCCTCCAGGAGGGAACGCGTGTGTCTAGAGTAATGTTGTGAGAACATGCTTCTGGGCTGATGAAGACATGTTGTTGTCTCTCTGCCTCTCTACCCGTCTTCTTTTGTAATGGTAATACGGTGATGATTCTCTGTGTGTATGACAAGTGACATGATTCCTGGCTGGAAACGCGGATGAGCCGGCTTGGAAAGCCGGGCGCCGCTGACAATAAAAACATGTATGTTAGGAGAACGAGCACCAGCTAAATTTTCCACCTTTAAACTCACAACAACTGGTAACATTGAAAGCGGTGGTTTCAGCTTGTTCATGGACATTTGGGTAGCCTCTTCTATATCTCATAGAAAGTGTACATAATTGAGGCTAGAAGATCCTTATTTTTTTTTAAAATGTATGACAAAGGTGGTTTTGATATTAAGTTTATGATCATGTGGATTTGAGGATTTAAATACTACAGAGGCCTTTTATAAAGAGACTTCGTCTAGGACAATATTTAGAAAGAAGTACTAAGATAAATACATTAAGAAACAGTAACCTGTCTGTAGGCCGGGAACGTTAGCAATATAATATCAAGGTCGTCGTTGTGCACATTAATAGTATCAAAGTTTTTAGAGGACCTTATCAAGTCCAGACTAATACGACAGACTTGCAAGTCTTGTATGCAAGCATAGTTATACAGAAGCCTGTACTCATTGTAGTGCTGTTTATTGCATGCCTCTCACGAGAACCTGAAATATACTGAGGTATGTTCACTATTAAATGTGATATACGTTGTATCTCGAAAGCCCAATGATGATATCAAGACGGCAAAGCTCTGGTGAAGAGATTCAGATTTTAGAGTTTAGAGCTTCACAGCGGAAGGTCGGCAGATACCTCGAGCACCGAGCAACACATCCGACATCACAGTTGTATCGCTTGGCCCTCGTGGCAAAGTCTATGATGTTGTATCAGCATGAGAAAGCTTAGACCCATGATTGGATCTTCCATTCATTGGTGACTGTGCAGTCAGCCTTCGTACTCGCGAAGACCAAGTGGTTTTGAACTTTTTGCTGTCTAGAATGGCGGATCCAATTTATAAACTACAAACACTTATGCCCACGGTTCAACGCGATTATAAGAAGTCTTGTAAGAACAGCGCCAAATACAGAAAGATTTACTACGACCGTAACATAACGTACTGTTGCACCTTCCAGTATCTCGAGACCATCAATCTCATATAGAACATGCATTCCACCTAGGGTGCGTCAAAGCTGTCTCTTTCTGATGGTTGTTTCCATAGGAGGCTCATGTAGCCTACGGTTCATAGATCAGCTTTTTTTCCCGCACAAAAATATGTCACACTCGAAGAATATCGGCATGGTTCAACACTGCTTGCGAGCGCTGGTGTTGCAGTACAGAACTAGCGCTTGAAGTTTCATATTGTCACAGTGTTATGGAAGGTCCTGACGAGAACTTGTTGTTGCGCGAAGAGAGTAGAACTAGAAAGCTACAAGCCATAGACGAAATCATGGCGTTTATATAATGAGCTGCGATGGTGGGCACTGCATCACATATGGAGACGCAGCTACTTGATTGCTCAGGAAGCAACAAGAATAGATTGCCGGAAGCTCAAATTTTACTGAGAGATGCATGTTGCACACTCTGGAATGAGAGTGGCCTTTGAAACTGAATTTGCATCTGTAGAAGCAGTTAGGACTAAACATCTCAAGGCTACTAAGGTCTCGAGATTAGGCAGCACAATGTACCATATAATTGTACCCTCTCAAGTTGTCCGTTGGGGAGCGATTCAATTCAGATCTGTGACAGACTTTGACAAAGCAGACTCAACTCAAGAGTAAGCGCCCACTACATCAGCCAGCACGGTGAGTGTCGTTAGAGTTCTAGGGGAGCCAAAGACATCTTCTATGAAAGGTCTGCCTCAATGATTTTCGCTGAAGATTGGGAATTGACTAAAATGTCTGTCTGCTATCAGCCCTAGCAGCAGTCTGCGAACTTAAATAACGTCATTTCGTATCAAGGGCTAATTGATCAAACAGAACGACCGTCCTATCCCCTAGAGTAGGATGCTATTTATCCTCTGCCATTCGTGTTTACTGGTATATTTACTTTGAATTTACAAACAGACTGGTCTTTATAAATAGCAGCACCCAGTAAGCAGCCTGGAACAAACAGCGAGCAACGCATGATGTTCCTTATTTTGACCTCTATTACGATAATATCTATACTAGACCAGTAGTACGCTCTTTGTTGTCGAGTTGCGCCGCTGAATCAAGGGTCTCGGGCTGGTTTCGAATCCCTACAACTAAGATTCAGGACCTCGGCTCAAGTTGAGAATGACGGTGATAAGCTTCAAATACAATGAAAAAGGGTAGAACTTCAAAATGAAGGTGAAAATGGAATGGCTTGAAAGGGGCGACAAAAAGAATTGTTCGTTCTGTAAATAAAAAATGGACCATACCAGGATCGAACTGGTGACCTTCGCATCTCTTGCCATATGGAAGCACAAAGGCTTACATATAAGAACGACGAGATAATCCACTACTCCAATGGTCCCTAGCGTGCACCTCAAGTCCAAGATTTATATCCCATATCCCAATGTCAGATTTGACACTCGTCTGCGGCTACCACCCCCAAGTGTTTCTGCAGAGCGTGATTAGAGACAGCAGAAAATCATCTCTTATTATACACTTTTTCATTTGAAGACAACTTATGCATATGCACTGTTTGTCTGTATGATTACTTCCCCCTTCTAGCACCCAGGAATGCCCATCGAACTTGACCAAATATGTCCCTGCTGCAAGCAAAATGGAATTGTGTCCGGGCTGTCTTTCCCACGAAGCATTCTAGTAAGACGGCGGACGAAGTATTGCAGCAATGTTTTCGAAGTACTGGCGAATATGTTGACCGATCAAGGTCACGATATTTGCAAGTGCACTGCGCCAGGCACCAGCAACTAAGGTATCCCAATGTCCTAAGACACCGCAGCTCAACATGAAAGTTACCCGAAAGATTTTGCATTCATGCCGCTGGACGGTTGTGATCATCTTCAATCACGTCTCACTGCGCTCTAGAGGCGCATGTCTCATCAAAATGACTGGACTGACAGTTTGGACAACCTGCAATGCCCAACCGTCTACAGTGATGGGTACGACCTCGATGCAGTCTTGTGTTCAAACCAACATCCATTTTCCATAATTAAGATATTTTACTTCATCACTAATCATCTGATGAGCGGCTGTGATCAATGCTAACCTTAGAAGCAGGAGTAACCAACTTACTTAGGCATCTTCAAAATGGCCACCCTCGAGCGTCGGCGTTTTTGTGCTTGGCACTCCAATTACTAAGAAGAAGAGGCTACCATCTTCTGCAAACAGTTGTCTCCTTTGCGCAACCTCAGTACATGGCTCTTGCGCGGCCTACTCGGCGCGCTTGACTGCCAGCGTAATGTGATCGCCGACGCCGCTGACACAAGACTGCAGCCAGATCACGACTGCCGATGGCAAGCACCTCGACCTCGACATCACAAGCCATGCAGTAAGGCGTGACGAGTGTACTGGCACTGGCGATAATGCAGACTTGCTGACATGTATTTGGCGCTGGTATAGGGTGTCAGTAGGTGCCAGGGGGCAGTATAGGTAGGGGCCACCACGAATTGAGCATGTGGGAACAATAGTTGCTCAGTGTTTGTCTCGTATTTGCTCGTATCACGGGGCGCAGACACAAGAGCTAGCTGATCAGAGGCAAGCTGGATTTGCGGTGCTGCATTTTGCATCAAAACCACTCTTGGCATTGGATGACGCCGACATCCCCCTCACACCGGTGAGCAGCATTGATAAGGCCTGTGAACCCCCGAGTGCCCCGGAATCTGCGTACTGTACCTGCAGTGCAGAATCCTTCTGGACTTTCTCCAGTTGAGCCGACTCACTAGTCTGACACAGCTCAATCTAAACGGCGCGTCTCTTGCCTGTCACCTGTCAGACGAGGATGAATGATAGCCTCCAGTCGAAACAAACGTTCGTGGTGACCGATTGGTGCCTGGGATTTGCCCCTAGGTCTGGCGCTATATGTCCTTTGGTCCGACGAGGAACAGGAACAGTATCTCGGCAGCGATTTGCTCTTCTTGGGGTCTGGGTATCCTGGTTGTGGATTTACTGGGCTACCCGGTTCACATTATACAGTAATCAATGAATTCAGAATCCAGGCTGACTCGAGTGTAGTTCTTTCGAGCGGGCTTCGATGCTGGAACAGTGAAGTGTGTGCAGCAAAATCTCGGACGTGACTCTTCAAAGCTAGGACATGAGCACTTTCCAATCTCTCGAACCCACAATACATAAATCATTTGGACTACTGGCCTGCCGGGCGGCCGGGATGGGGGGGGGGGGGCAAAGCCAGTCAACCTGCGAAGGCCCCCAGGATCGGAATCAAGGCCGAGGTGACAGGCTTCTCCACTCCGGGGATTTTATGCTCGGGTGCCGGAAGTGCAGGGTGCAGGATGCAGGAATGCCCTATGCAAGCTGCGAAATTCTGTGTGCATAAAATATACGGTCTCGACCTCACAGTACAAGTGGGCTGTTACGACAAGTCAGTCACGTCCTCGGACATGCGAACGGTACCTCGACGCTTACGGCTGCAATATCTGGACGCCGTACCTAGTGGAGTGACCTACCGTGGGGAGAACAGACTACATAGTCCATCCAGGCTGCCCAGCTAATGTATCTCCGAGCCCGAAGGCGCGCCAAGCTTACGAGACACGCTGCTATTGACCTCATAGCGGCCCTCTCTGCGACAGAGACTGCAGGAATCAAGCATCCTGCACCATGCACCTGACAATCACCCATTCGATCTGCAGTCTCAAGGCCAGGGGGCGTCAGGTATTTGCCATCCAGTCAGCACCCTCGCGAGCCGCGGTTACATCGTGCAATTGCCGAGCAGCGGCCAATTAAGCGACCAGCAGATCCCCACGAGAGATGAAATGGAGGTGAGCGCCAATTGTCCACACCTCGCCACCCACACTCATATCCACACCCACACTTTCTGGCCACTGGCTGCTGAAAACGGGATGGAGAGGCGGATTCTCTCACATATTGCGCACTTTCTCGCTACCGCCCGCAGCTGGATTGGTGTCTATAACAAGGGATCCGTTTCCGTGATATAGGGCCACCAAAACTGCTACTTTCCTGCGACTCTCGTACGATAGAACGCCGACTGATCTGCCCTTTCCGGGACTATTTTCCTCGTGTCCGCGGAGCTCCAGACAATCATATACCCGTTCAATTCCGTGATCATCAATATGCATCGGTGCTGTGACAACCAAGATGGGCCCCAATGTGGACTGAGATGAAATCCAAATCAGAAGCAGGCACCCTACCGAATGCTAATTCCATTTTCGGTCGAGCGGCCTCAGGTGCAACCCCTTTTGGGAAATCGCTCACAGGCCCAAGTGGTCATCATATCCGCCATGAGTGACATCGGTATTTGGCGTGGCTGCCAACAGACCCCCTCCACAATCATGCCTAGGTAGTGCTGGAGCTGAGAGGCAGCAGAGCAGGGAAGACCTAGTGGGGCGCCGATCCCAGCAGGATTGCTTGTTGGACACTGTCTACCACAGTACACGCATGTTCTCGGCTTGGCCTCCGACGACAGTCTTCCGGGGGGCAACTCTCCGAATCCTCAGGGAAAGGAGTGTTCCGTATTCCAAACCAGCCGGAGCTTGGCTTACAAATATTGCCAATGGTAATAGGACGAAAGGTGGCTTAGGAGGCATCGTGCGGTCGGCCCACCTGCTCAGCCCGGGGTCAACAACACAGAAATTGCGGAGCTTAATCGGGTGCTACTCGCGGTCAGGTGCTGGTCTGTAATAAGGTTTTCGACGCGACAACGGGCGCAAATGAGATCGATATCACATAGATGGCTGTCTCCAGGCCAAGAAGACCTAAACATGAGCCCAAACCTGGAACACCAAGTGGACGCTGCTTCACGTAGGAAAACAAGCTCTTGTCATATCTCGGTGTGATGACCAGCCGTTCGTCATGGTTCCCGGCTTTCGCTCTTGACGAATAGCCCGCGACATCTGCAAGACACTCGAGCAATCTCGGACCTACGATCCAGAACCAAGATGTCTTGAAATAAGGCTCGGGTTCAACCGAGACCACACCCATGAGTCGATTCTGTTCTTAACGCATTATTACTCTGTGGCTGAAAATCCCTCTCAAACCATTGAACCATATCTGGGTCACAATAATTTAATCACATATCATATAAAGCTAGAAAGCTCTCCGTAGTCTGCTACCTTGCCGAGCTTGATTTCGTGGAATGGCAGGCATCAATGGTACAAGGCTCCATTGTTCGACTTGAATATATACCTGGAAGCTCAATATAGTGCAAGTGGAATAAGCATGCCTACCAATTTTTGAATAGTACAAACTCGCTGTCAAACAGTCAAAGTCTGAGCTTGTTGACATTTGCACCAAGAACCAATTATGTAACGAAACCAGAGGCGAACAGACCTCCGTTTTCTATTACCGAGGAGTCGGCTTTTCCGGGAAGCCTTGGCTCAGTGGGCGGGCTTCCTTCACAATGGCTTGCCTTGCATGCTGGGTTTGTGATCAAGTCCCATCAGTATCACATCACTCTGGTGGTGGCATTGCCCAAACACAAGCGCTATCAAGGTCTTCAACCGCATTGTAAAGCATCTTGAAACAGTGGCTTCTTGTACAGCTGCTGGTGATATCGAATATCTCGCCATCTCCTTTGTGAAAGTGGCAGGGATCCTCGTCGTTTCAAACTCATGGAACGATAATACCGTCGCGCGACCAGAGCAGCCCATCTCCAGAAGCTTGTGCGTTGTAGTAGCCCTGCGAGGTACCAACATGTATAGTTGCAATATTCATCTAGCCTTTCACAATCGGTGTCTGCTAGGTCATATGTCGAGATACAAATCCCGCAGAAACGCAAAGACATGGCCAGAAAACGACAAGCCCGAACGCTCCGCCAGAAGAACTTTAAGCTAATATGATCTGATACAGGTCATGGATCAAAGGTTGGTCGGCAACTTCTGTCACATATCTCAATTCACACACAATAACTCGTTCATACGAAAAAGAATTCCCCTCCGACCTCCAAGTGGCCTCGAGGTGGCTGGGAGAGGCCAGAGTCAGAACAACGGCGTCACCGAAGCTTGACGCTATGGCAGCAACATCATGGTTGCGCGATTCGGACAAGGTTCGAGTCTGCCGCCTGAACCAGACTTTGAGCTACAGGCGGGGCACCAATTTCGAAGGAAGTCTGGTTGCGGTGGAACTCTGGTTCAGGGGCGGGGATGACGGACGAAGACGATTTCGCTACCATGGGAGTCTGCCCACCAACACTTGGCCGGGCCGCTGACGGACAACCACTGTATGGTCATCCATGGACACGAATCGACTACATGCCACGTTGTCATCATGACTCGATGGACATGTATTTGCTGGTCGAGTGGTTGACGTTGATTACGCGGCAGGAAGCGTGGGACGAAGAAGAAACATCACGGTCTGAGATACCCGGGATTTGCTGGACGAGCGGAGATCGCGCAGACAAGGACCAGCCATTCCGTTGGTCTCCTTCCTCGGTTGCCGAGGCGTGTTCACTCTGGTCCAACAAAGCCCAAGTGACGTTCACCCTCGTAGCCTCTTGATATGGGGGCGGACAAACTGGGGCAGACAATTTATGCCTGAGCTTGGATGATGAGAGAAGATTCTATGAGCCCATAATCGTGTTATTTGAAACGGTCGCTCGTCACTTCATGGCCAGTTTCGCCATAGCTCGCACCAAAAACATTTGCGCTCACCGAACGCTCTCAGCCACTGACCCGAGGGCACGCACGCATGAACAGAACCAGTCAACGCCGGACTAAGAAAGGACACACTGTGAACAAACTTCTGCTTGCAGCATGGACCGCAGGACGCCGCATTCCATCTGCAACTAACTGTCACAGTTCTTGTCCGGAGGGAGTACCCACTGTACGTCATGCATTGGTTAACCAAAATTTACAAGCGGGGAACGTGCCGGGTACTAACTTTCGGTCCCATTCATTGCGATCTCAGACGTTGGGCGCCCTGTGATCGGACACGAGATCTTGGGTGAAAGGAGCATCTGATAGGCACAGGAACACTCAGGCCGCCAGCCACAACGTTTGAAGTAGACCCAATTGTGCAACAAGAGCATGTTCGAGAACAATGCCTTCCATTGTTTGAAGAGGTCTCTTGCACAGATCCACCGTACAAAGTGGGTTGGAAATCAGTCGATATCTACAGGCTAGCCGTACATGCCTTTAGGAATGAGCGAACCCGGCGCAGCCTTGTAGGGTTCGAGACCCACAAACAGGAGCTACGAATTGAAACTTCGCATTGACAGGTCTCAGAGAACTTTAACCGACTATGCCATTGCTATAGAATTCGAACCCGCCTTTTCCGTGACAACCTTTCCTTTTACCGGTACCAAAGTGAGAACCGAGAGCGCCGCCCCAGTGGAGACGAATATCATGCCTGCGCCACTGGCTGAAACTACGAAACAATACAGAAGAAACAAGCGATATGGAAACAACATGGGTATCCACATCAGAGGTATGGCATTGCTCCTTAGCCGGCCGATGGTGATCATACAAAGCAGAGTTTCGGACGAACCATCTCGCGTGCCCGGGGCTGGAGTCATCTGTCAATCTGTCAAGACATCGTGACAAGGAAATGAGGCTGGCCGGCTATTTACAACGTCGCCCATCCCAGCGTAGACCCCCAAAAAGGACGATATGGATGCCCTGCTGAAACTCTGCCCTGCTTGCAACGGAAATCTCCGGAGTGCGGCCGCCGCGGGCGCGTCAACAGTAGAAGCTAAGCATACCCGAGCAGCACCATTAGATCTGGCGTGCCTATCAAGCTGGGCGATTTACTTTTCGCATGCCCAGATTTTAGCATATCGTTCCAAGGAGCGCTGTGAGCGGGCGTCTCACATCCCTGTATCCCAATGCTACGTAGTACACAAATAGTGTCATTTCATCCACATCTCCGTCCACTTTCCGATCGCATACTACCAAATATCTTGGGAGGGAGATGAGTGATCCACAACAAGGCTATTCAACATGTGAGTGGCCACACTTGAGAGGTCGGGAATGAGCAGGAAATGGTGGTCCCAGATACCGGGGTCACTAGCCATGCTGGGCTGGCAAATGGACTGCCGAGATGGCAGACGCCCGCTCTATAGGCGAAACAGCTTTCAGCTAGGCTCTGGCTAAATGGCCATTCTAACCCGGCAGAGGCTAGGCAGGAAATGTGTGGGTTTGGGTGTCAACTGTTGGCAACTCAACCCTCGTCGAAAACCGCTATCATGACCGTTGTAGGTATAGTTCTGACGCACGGCACTCGCGAAAGAACGGGTATATGGTGTCCGCTATTTCGGGACATGCGAGTCGCCAAAGGGAGAAAAAAAAAGGAAGAAGTCAAACCATAAAAAGTGGTACTGAGTAGTCATGGACATGGGCTCGAGGCAAGGAGGAAAACAACAGCAAAGGGATCGAGAAAGACAAGTACAGTGTGTGTAGGAAACAGAAAATTTGGTGAGGAGATATTTCTACCGGGAATGGTAACCGGTTCGATTCTTGGGTCACTCACTCAACGATCAACACCAAGAGGTGAAAGCCACACTCCACGATTCGTGAATTAGCGGTTAGATTAATGGCTGACATCACCACGGAGATTTGGCCCGTGTCAAGTCGGCAGATCGCCGAAAAGATCAATCATCAGATCGGGACAAGGATGTCATCCCATCTTCATCTGAAGGGCAGCTGATGATCGGTGGGGAGGGTAGCAGAATGGAAGGGGGTGGGATAGATTCGCAAGGAAGGACTGGACCAAGAGCGCTGCCTGTCTTGGCGAAAAAGGTACAGTGTGACCGTGGTAGGCGCCTGATGCATGTCCGTCTCAGACGGCCGAGGCAGATGGAGGAAGAAGATTTCGGGTAGATCAGATCGGGACGCCAAACTCGGGATGAAAGATTGCCAGCATCGTAGCGCCATCAAACGGCCCACCTGCATGTCGTTCTGGCCCATGCCTGTGCCCAAGGCCGTTGGAACCCCGAGCGCTCGATCGGCTGCACCCGAGCGCCGTGACATTGCAACGGGAAACGGCAGCTGCCTCGGCGATGGAAGAAGAGGTGATTGGCAGCCGGGCGGAAACACATTGAAGATTTTCCCAGCACGGACTAGCCTGCGACCACGTTCCCCGGCCTGTGCCCTATCCGGCAGCAAGGTTCAAGGCATAGGCCGGTGTGACGCGGGAAGGAATCCCAGGAAGGGCACCAGCAGGGCAACAAGCAGCAGCACGTCGATCAAACAGGCTGCAGCGGGCGGGAAAAGGCAGCATGTCATGGGATGGGGCTGGGCCTATGTGATGTGATGTGGAGAGGGCGGGCAGCTCACACACAGGCCTCCGCCCTGTCGAGAGAGATAAATGCCCCGTCGTGGCTCGGGACGCGACAGCCCGTGACAAAAGGAGGGTGGGGAGGAGAGCGCAGGTGTCGGCGGCGTTTGCCAAGGAGGGGCGGAACACTGCTGGGTGTAGTGTGCAGTACATAGTCTACATCATCTAGACTACAGACATACAGCATGTTCTCACGCCGGTACCACGAGGCAGGCTTTCTTGACCTGTTGGCACGTTTATGCAGGGTTTGTGTAACATCAGATCCGAGACAGCGGCCATCGCGTCACCGCCCAAAGGCTAGGGAGACGGGATGAGCTTTGGCGTCCCTTGTTAATGCGCCGGCCAAAGCGGACAATCAGAGGGCACCCAAAGCGCAACTGTCCACACGGCCGGGCGCCTCGCCGAAGATGCTTCGGTGATGGTCGATGTATGGTGTGGTAGCCCCACCTGCGGGGTTGCTGCTGGTGATTCATGCATGATAGATGACAGATGGTGTACAGTAGTGTGTACCGGGTTTCCAGAGGATGACTGCTTGGCTCTCTGTCCAGAGGCATGATGGAGGGGAAGGACGTGGATCAGGGTCGGCTGGCTTGACGACCTCCTTCCTGCACCCAGGTCCTCGGCAGACCGAAGATAGCCATCCGCCGAGTGGGCTGGGATGTTCTGGTCTGGTCTGGCAGCGGCATATCCGGCAGCTGTCAAGATCACGAACTCCTGGGGCACCACTCGTCTGATGTCGGCCACAACGCATGAAATCTGCGATCAGCCGGCAGTAGGCTGTCGCCAGGGAGAGGGCCATGATGTCAGGCGACGAAACAAGGGTCGCTGGAATTTGAGTTTAAACCAGAGATGCCGGGCAGGACCAACGGGCCGTGATCCGCCTGGAACTTCCTCGCATTGACGCTGGTGATGCCGAGGATGGGTGGATGTCGGCACAGGGCTGCCAGGCCATGGAGAGCTGGCGATGAGGGTGGCAGGCCCCAGGGCCGGACCGGGGCCGGCGGAGGTGGTTGTTGGCGGTTGTTGGGCGGTGCTGATCAGGCAGAGGGCAACGATCAAGAAGCCGCCTTCATCTCGGATGGAAGCGGGCGGATGGACGGCAACAGTGTGGCTGGCTGGCGGATCACAGATTGTGCCAACGCTGGACAAGGGGTGAGCTTGCTGGCAGCTGGCAGCTGGCAGGTGCTGCAATAAGACCAGTTGCTATGTAGGCCTACATAGTGCTGTGCTGTGCTGTAGATAGAGGTGCGAAGGGGTCGAGGGTTGGACATGGATATGGATGCGGACATGGACATGGGACATGGACATGGGCGCGAGAACGAGACCGAGAAGGGCCATGGCATGGTGAGAAGGGAGAGCAAGACTTGGCGCACACAACGGCGATGTCTGTGCTCAGGGCTCAAGAAAGAGGGCTGAGCTGACAGGCAAGCGCCCCCTCTCTCAACGGCGACGGGACCGCCGTCACCAGCACCAGAGCAGCAGAAAACAGCCCACAGTAGAAGCATCAGAAGCACCGGCTCCAAGACGGGACACGGAGTCAGTGCCCAGCCCACCTAGCGCGCCGATGTCAGAACTTCGGCAATCGGAACCGTCGCACCATCAGCACGGAGTTTGGAGTCGTTTTGGGATTGACAGCTCTCGCCCAGCCAGGCCATGCGCGGTGGCGACTGCGGTAAGGTAGGCTCATAATGTACTGTACTGTGTAAGCCAGGGTAAGAACAGACAAGGCAAGGAAAAACACACAGACACACAGACACAGACGCCGACAAGGCAGGCAGGGCTTATGGGTTGTAGGCGTGCAGCCGGCGAGGTGTCGCGCATGAAGGAGGCGATGCAGTCAGGTGCCATCCGATGTCAGACCGCGCGGGAGGAAGAAGGAGACTGTTATTATGGTTAGGGGTAGGTGGGATATGGCGATGGCTTGGTTGCTTGATAGGATGACATGGGAACATCAAACCCGGGGCAGGGCAGGATCAGCGTAACCGGTGGTGGTGGCGGTGGTGGTAGTGGTGGTGATGATGGGTGGTGGTGATGGGTGGTGATGGTAGTGGAACTGAACTTGGTGGGAACTGGTGGGTCAGTAGACCGACAGACAGACACCTTGTCAATGGACCGACGTACATGCGCGGAACGGTACGTGCTGACATCAGTGTACTGTGGTAGAACACAATAGACGGATGGACATTGGCTTTGAACTACTGTGTGTGGCGCTGTCTGTGGATAGCAAGCTCAGAATTCACTCTTGGGCAGGTCTTCCAAGGTTGGTCTCTGCCTTGGCCCTGTTGCTGAGTTGAGGATGAGGACGAGGACGTGGTCGAGGACAAGGTCGAGGTCGGGGGGCAAGGGGTCTGCATTGATCAGGATGCCCCTGCCTGCCATTGCTCGCTCCTGCCTTTGCTGCTGCTGCTGCTCCTGCTGCTGCTCTTGCTGCTGCTCTTGCTGCTGCTCTTGCTTCTTACCTCTTACCTCACATTCATATTCACGCTGCTGCCCTGCCCCCTGCCCCCTGGCCCCTGGCCCCTGCCCAGGTTGTCTGCTGCCCCATGCCTGCCCTGCCCTGCCCTGCCCTGTCCTGTCCTGCCCTGGTCTACCTTGTCCTTGCATGCTGACCCCTCAGCCCCCTGGCCCCTGGCACTTGCCCCCCTTGGTCACTCGTCCCTGGCAGGTGGGTCAGCCCAGACCAACTCTGGAGACAGCCCAACCCTTGGGGAGGGACGAGAAGGGCAGTCTCCGGAGGTAAGGAGGTGTGGGAGGGCGAAGGTGGTTGCCCGCGACCAGGGCCAGGACTGGAGTTCATGCCTGGTGCTGCAATGGTTCGTTCTTCCTGCCCGTCCTCTCCTCGCCTGAGGTATCAGGGCATTTTTTGAGTTTGACCTGGGAGAGTCAGGAGGCGGCAAGACCCGACAGACAGGTGGTCGATGCTTAATTCTCCGACTGCTGCGCGCCCAGGTCGGAGGTCTGCCGTGCCGTCTGCCGCCTGCCGCTCGCCTGTCAACTGCCTGTCAACTGCCTGCCTGACCTCCCTGCCTGCCTGCCTCAGGCGCCCGCGCCTGACATGCATGTGTCTCCTCCATCATCATCACCACCACCACCCACCCCCAATCCACTCATCCATCCATCATCCACCCCAAGGCTGTGTCGAGATCCGAAGACCCTCGCAGCCCACCCCCCCTTGGCCTTCACCTCCACCCTCCACTCCTCACGCCCCCATTTTCCCGTCTACACCCCGGAGAGGACGCAGGTGGACACGTGATGGCCACAGTGACCAGGGCAAAGCGTCGAATGCGACGAGGCACGGGGCAGGACATGACAGAGCACGACAGAACACGACACGACACGACAGGAACAGGAACAGAAACAGGCCAGGTTCAACGCCCTTGACTCTGTTCGCACATTCTTCGGACAAACCGGTGTCATTATTTACTTGGTTTGACCCAAGTCCGCCCTAAGATTGGTTGATCCTAACATCAGGGTTTGAAAACCTGGCTGCATAGTCTATATATGTACTGTGCATTATCATGGTAGAACGACAGCGTTGGTGCAGCGGTACGTGAGTACCCACAACGTTGAGTATGCCTTTGCATTATACCTGCTTGGTCGCGACTCACAGCAAGGAATGGCCAATGCCCACTGCGAACTATGTAGAGAGGAAAAAGGGGCTTACGAGGGAGAGCAAATAGCTTGGCTGGGCTGGGCTGGACCGGGCCGGGCTGGACATTGCTGCTCGCAATAGTCTCGGTGCTATGTAGTCAGTCTGCTTGAGCAGTTACTTCTCTTCTGCAGAGGCAGTCTAGTAGCTCGCCATCATCTCGCTCGCAGGAGACGCAGAGGAGAGGTGGTTGGCCCTGATGCTCATATAGTCCACTGTGCATCGCCTCTCGACGCGTCTGAGGGCCTGCGTTGCCCTGCGTTTGCCCTGCCATGCCATGCCATACCTGCATTACGCTGCATTGCCCTGCATCGCAATCTATTCCAACGTTGCACTAGGCTGCCATCCACCCTCTTAGCCGTGCTGCACCTGGCCACCTGGGCACACGTGCTATAGGCCTACACGTGTATACCGATGTGTACACGTACAGGGACTGTCTACAGTACAGTGCACTGCACTACACATCCATTCTGGGTACGGGGCTGCGAGAACACAGCTGCAGGTCCAGTTTTTAGCATTGACCCAGCAGGTCTGGCCAGAGATCAGAGATGACAGTTGTGAACCGTGCGCTCAACCATCCTGTCAGTCTGTCCACTGCGAAGGAGGCAGGGAGAGGCAGGGAGGCAACCGCCTTTTCCTTGCGCACAGCATGTATGTGCCTGCCAGTTGCAATGTCTTTCTCCAACCTTGGAAGCCGTACCCCCGTACCCCCGTACCCTTGTTCCATGTACCCACCTTCTCATGTACCCATGTACCTATGCACCCAATCCACACACTGCAGTGCAGTATCCAAGTATGTACGGCTTTGCCAGAGCCAGACAGACATCCAGATGCCAGATGAGGGAACAAGCAACGCGACCTTTGGCCCCCGGCAACCTTGCAGCCTGCCACCTGCCACCTGCCAACCTGCCAACCTCTGCCCGCCAAAACTCAACAATTCAACACTGCAGACGGACAGACAACAAGCAAAAAGTCAACAAACAATGCAGCACCCAGTCGCCCCCCCGAACCGAGTCGAATTGAGCCAAGTCGAGTCTAGTCGATTGAGTCGACCTATTGGGTTGGGTCTCCAGTCGCCCACGCCGCACAGAGCCGACAAATCAAACGCCCATCTCCACCAAGGGCAATCTCCATGTCGCCCGTCATGTCATGTCTCCCCGACTATCGACGGCTCACATCACTGTTCGAGGCCATGCCACGACTCTCTTAATGCCCGCCAGACGACTAGTCACTGCATGTTTATTTGCCTGTCTCCACCCGTACGGAGTACATGAGCGCGCCTTGGGCAGCCCGTCCAACCGCCGGCCCCACGACCGAACCTATACTTGTCGCCCATATAGGTGGGCCACCCACCTCACGTCGAACCAGCTTCGACCGGTGGGCGGGACAATCGCCCAAGCCCAAGCAACAAGTCCGAGCCAGGCCCTGAGCTTGGAAGTTGGGGCACAACCCGACCAGCCGGCCATACCGGCTTCCATACACAGTACGTGATGCCACCCGGGCGTCTTTCACGGAACAAACCACCACAAACGCCTCTCTCTCCGCAAGACATCCCCGCAATACACATCAATCATACACTCCCTGGTCTGCCTACCAATCATGTCGACATGGGGCCTGGACGATTCTGCCTCTCGTATCATTTCCTTGCTTCTACCAAGATTCCGCGTCCCGAGTCCCCTCTCCTGCAGCCCGGCAGGAAACAAAAATAATCCATCCTTTCGGCCGCGGGGCCCGTTCTGGCAGCTGCTCTCTCCTGCTGTGGGCCGCAAGTGCGACGAAACGGGCTGTAGGGGTTGAAACATCTCCTTCCAAGCCCCCTTTCAGGAGGCTCAGAGGCTCGAAACGGCACCGCCTCCCCCACTTTTTGTCCAATCCTGCAGGGCAATCTTTCTTTTTGACAGATTTGACAGCTACCTTACAGGCATCATTTATTCCCAGCCATTATGCTCCGTAGTAATGCAGTTCGGAAAAATCACCGCGAGCCGTCCCTTTTGTCTGTTGCACCGGCAAGTATCCCCCTGTTCATCCTTTGCCCAACCGCGAGCGATGCAGCACAGGAGAGATCTACTACGGTGGCAACGTCTTGGCTCTCATTGCTGCCATTGCAGTGGCCAAGTCTGTACTATGTACCGCCTAGATTTGGTTACAGACTCAGAACACAAGGGTTTGTTAATTGTCTTGGTACCCATGTTTGCCATGCTCCTGTCCAGCTTCTGAGCTTGTCCGATGTTTTCGGCGCCGACACGGAGCTCGTCCGCTGGATACTGCCTTTCTAGCATACTTGGGGACAACTACCGAAACAAAGTAACATTAGCAGCTCACAGCCCGCACATCACGGCCGTGGGCAGCGAACAAGTGGGGACAGTTCCGCTAGCGACGTCAGCATTGACGACCTTCCTTGGGTGCTGGCCGTCTGATCACTTCCATCTAGATCGCCTCATGTCATCATTGGCATGGCATGGCATGCTCACGGCTTTCGGTTGATTCAGCAAGGCTGGCCAGCTAGCTGTCTCGTCCGGTGTTCCAGCTAAACTTGCTGTCTTTTCGAGTCCAAATCTTGGGGTAAAAGCCTTGCAAGCATGGTGTGAATTGCCTCGTAGAGGTCCAGTGGGCAGAGAGAAGGTATGGTCTCCAAACCGTTAGCTCATGACCATGACTCATCCAAGATTCTGCGGCCCCCCCCCCGGGCTTGTAGAATGCGCCTATGTACGGTGGAGCTGAGGCGGGCCAAGGGCCATGCATCAGTTGACCACCAATTGATGCGGAACCAATGGCCAGTCAATGCACAACAGAGAGCGGTGACAAGTCTCTAACCTCCACCAGTACTACTCTCATGATGAGTACTCCCACGATGAGCGGAAGATCCTGCCCAAAATGCCACCTCACAAATGGAGTGCTCTGCAGCCCTGAAGGCGCGGGGCAGAGAAGCGACTACCCGAGCAATCAACGTGTGCCGATAAACAGCCATTTGCACAGTTTGAAATATCACAGCTCCGAACCAGAAGGCACACGCAACAGCCTTAGGCCACCACACTGGTTCCGCCTGAGGCCAGCTAGTTTTCTGCGCTGCGGCTCGGCAGTCCAAGTTTCCCGACGTGGGCGCGACAAAGGCGTCCGTCTGCAGCGTCTCCGGTTAGCCGTTCTCAGCTGCCCGCGCAGCAAAACGCTAGCAACACAGACCAGAAAGATTACTCACGCACCGGGAAGAGCAGTCTCAAGTCCAAAATCCCCTTTGGACCATCCCCATTGAGAGACGTCGTACCGACGGCGACGACGGTGGCCGCGACAACGAATGTGACAAAATGAAATCGCTACTGCCCCCCTAAACAAGGAAGATGAACAACAACAAGACCACCAGAGAATAGACCAGACGAAGCGAGATGACGAACTGGGATTGGTTGGCGCTGCCCTGGCCTTGCTCATCTCAGCCTGGCGGTCTGTTGTGTCGGGACCATCCTCGTTCAACCTTCTACTAGCTTCGATCTTGTACCGGCGACGTTGGAGCTAGGGATGTAACCCCCACGATCAAATTCGGGTAGAACGTATCGCGATGATACTCTTGATCTCTTGATTCCTTGATCTCCACGACGCAAATATCGGACGAATCTACTGCTGTGCTGTGTTCAGCCCTCATGATCGCGGTGTGCATTGAATGAGACTCACTGCGCAGGGGCTTGTCCCAATCCCGGCGTGCAAGTCGTCGGAGAGCTGTTCATGTGCCAAATTCCTTTGTCAGCTCGACAAGCAGACGCCCGGCTCAATCTGCCAAGAACTAGGATTGGTCCGGAGGCCAGTTCCGCCCTGCCGCACGTTTGAATTGCCTCGACCCTGAAGAAATGAGCCCGCTCAACGCCTTCTCACGTCCTAACCCGCAAAGCATCACACGAATGTCTGGCACGCTTGACAAGATAGTCAACGGCTGCCGGGTAGTGGGGTGGGCGCCCCTTGTCTCGTGGGCCAGGAAAGACGCCCTGTGAGCATCCCCACACCGTCCAGGCACGAATCTGCGAGGAACCCACCCGGAACTTGAAATTCATGCGGAACGTACAAAAATAAAACCCGAACGGACAACGGGACTGGAACAGCGCGCAGTGCCATAGCACGGTAACCAGGAAGGAAAGGAATCCAGCAACGGCGCAGAATGCCGCACAGGTCCTATCGGACAAGCTAGGAGCGTCTCGGACCGTGATTCTCAAGTCTAAGATGCCTGTTGGAACCCCGGGCCCACCAAGCCAGTGCTGACCGTTGGCGCCATCAATGCTAACAGCACTGCGTTCGGCAACGGTTTCGTGGCCAAACCGAAGCCGGGTACCTGAGGAACCGAAATCCCATGCTCACATGATCTGCTGCTGCTTTCAAGTGGCAGAGCACGAGAAGCATTGAACCTGGCTTGAGGGTTTGTGAGATCAGCGAGGCAGATCATGGCGGCATCTCGACCCTGAAGGGCAGAGCCTCCGGATACAGAGCCAAAACTTGCACATCCATAAGCAATGCTACAGTATGTACCTCTTGAAGGTACGGACCCACACAATATGGCATCCACGCGGAAGATCCCAAACCCTTGTTCAAGCTTGGACCAACCCGCCATCGGGGGCCCATCGGGCTAACCCAGCCTGCAGCACACCTTGTCCACCTCCCATCACCAGACTCACCTCGTCTCTAGCCTGAGACCCCCCCCCCATTTTACCCGTGTTTTCAAATCTTTATCAGAAATGACGAAGAAGTCCCCTGTCTCACCACCGAGCGCACCATCCATGTTTTTGTCAGCGCTCCATTTGCTCTATTTCCTTCGTTTTTCGCGCGTCATGTCCGCCCACTCGTATGGCTGGATCACTCCCACTTTCCACATGGCTCCATCTAGGTTGGTAGTCATGCCAGAAGAAAGAGCCACGATGCAAATCGCTGGCTGTTGCTGATTTTGGCGGTGGGCACAAGGGGCCTTTACCATGTTCGGGGCGTTTGACCCGGCTCGGCTCCGCTTGGCCATTGCAAACGAGCACTCAGCAGCACCGAAGCTCACTTATCAAAATGCTCCGAGCGGGTCACTACATGAGAGAAGTCGCCTCGACTCAGATCCCGACAATTTCTCCTCGATTGGGCCAGCTTTGACCTTGTAAACCCTGTCATCGCTAAGACAGGCGGCACTGGTGAGCTCTCTTCGCCTGGGTAGAGAAGCTGCGTCTTGGTAACAAGCTGTCTCATTATGAAAGCGCTGCGCTGTCTAGGCTTCAGCTGCTGTGAGAGCTGTGGCGGAAGAAAGTCCTCCCAGTGGGGAGGTCATGCCAGACAATGTAGACAGGGAACGCCAACCGCTGGCTCATCCGCAGATCTGGGGGGCCGGGCATCTCGGCGAGGTACCTGAACGTACATCAAGAAGCTTGAAACCTCATGCCTCAATCTTGTCAAAGACAAGGGTCGGGGTAGCATGGATTCAGGATATGGACCGGGGAGGTGAAGCTCTGCAGTCATTGTGTCTCCAGCCCCCCACTCGTGGGCCTGTGTCAACGCTTTGAATACAAGTCTCCACCGAGACGCTTCCCCTGTCTGCTATAGCAACTACTCCTTTACCCCTGCTGTCTTGCTTCCTCGAAGACGCACTACGTACCTCTTGGTGCAAGAGCAGGACATCGTCGGTCGTGAAATTCAGGGCCTGGCCCCGAACGATCTCCGTCGACGATCATATCGAAGCTCCCCTGCATGACTTAATACCATCTCTTCCAACCTCACAGCTCGAAAACTTCCATCACTTCTGTATGAGCATCACGACGAGTACGCCGCCATCTTAGACCGGCCCAATGACTGATGTCACCCGTCAATGCCACGCCCAATATCATGCTGACCGTCCTATAACGCCGTCTTCTAATCTCTCTGGACATTTCCCTTCTACCTCCTTGCTGGGAACCGCCAACCACAGGGCATACAGTTCGTCCCCTCAAGTTGATATTGGCGCATCGCGTCTGAGAACGTCGATCCTCTTCAAACACACCCGACACGACCTTCTCGACTACACCGTCATCGCTGGAAAAGCCGGAAGTGACCCTAATCCAGCAGCGAGGCCTCACTCATCATACCTTGAGGGCTAATTTCCCTCGAGTCTGATCACGACGAGCTTGGCAAGCGATTCGAACTTGTCCAGCACGGCTGTGAAACTCTATTACTGTGCGCGCACAACCGACGGCACGAGCGAAGCCAGGAAGCACGACAGCGAGGGTTCACGCCGCCTCCAAGAGACTGCGGTCCCTGCCGCCCACCGCCATCGCCATCGCAAGCATACTCCCGTACCGGACCGATATCCTCTCAACCACGGCATTGATGAGCCCCCGTTCGCATGCGCGCAGCGTACCAGAGTTCTCAGCGCCCACTGAAATACGTAGATGAGCCAACAGGGTCTACATCGACCAACTCTCGTCCCATCATTCTCCTCATCTCCAAAGACACTTCACCCCAGGCATCGTATCGGCCTCAAAGACGAAGACTGGGTATCCTGGATCTCTATCTCCCCCAACCTAGACAGTCAAGGATTCATACCTGGGACGAATAGGAAGGAGCAGTCGCCTTGACCTTACCGAGCACGACACTACAGCATCATTGTATCAAAAGGCCTGGGAATCGTCTAGAAGCGCACACTCTCCGCTACGTCCTGCTACTCCCCGGCCATTGGCTCTGACGCAAGGTACCGCTGCGCAATTTTGAGCTTGGTACCTCTAGTCAGCGGGCGCCCCCTTCTGAATCTCAGCAACTCTGGGTCTCCTTGCGCGGCTTCAGTCCTGGCATCTGCCAGAATTATAGCGTCGACCAGACCTGCTCTACCAATACCCTACATCCCCGCTGGTTCCCAAGCGAGCCCACCTCGCGATCCAACCCAGCCCGGAGCAAAATCAATCATTTTGAGCACTAGCGTGGCAGGCAATCATCCCCTTGCAGTCTTGATACTTTGGTACAATCACCCTGCACTGGACTGGCCTTGTCCACGTCAACCGTCGTTCGGAGCAGATCTAACATATCTACGAGCACTACCCTCTCCACTCCTGTATCACGATCTCTGGGTAGATCTGTCCACCTACGCAGCCGAAACCATCCCGACCGGCACCATCAATTTGGATCGAAATTTGCTCGCTGCAACTGTGGTCATTTCTCGAATCAACTGTGGATACTATATGCGCCAGCATTTGAACAACATCGAGGGCTTGTAGTGACCCTGCACTGCCGCGTATCACGGATTACCTTTCTTCCAAGCTTCCTTGCATCCATCGTTGGAATTATCGCAGTGCCGTTGTCCCCAGGGAAGCTCCGTCTCTGTCCAAGAGTTGGCTCCCCACGAACTCGGCAGAAAACATTCATTCTCGCTCTACTGTCTTTAGAAATCACTTTCATTTGCTTACTCTTTATACTCTGCGAGCGTTTGGATGGACTTTGCGACCTCAAAGTTTCCGCGTCTCCCGCACTAGTACAGCCGCCTCCATTTGCGACGAGGAGAGCAGAGCAGTCGATCGCCACACCAAGTTTACGAGGACTGCGGGCCACCATCATCCATCGTGGTAGAAGTACCCGATACGGACTTTACCATCTAAATTTTAAGCAGCCACTTGGCCCAGTCACTTCACGTTTGTAGAAGCCAGACGATCGCGGAGGTGCACATTACGCCTGGATTCACTCGACCGAAACCTGCCAACGAATGCAAAATAAAGTCGAGAAAACTACTGTCAAATCTCTTGTCTTTTTTATTTGAAGGTCAGTTTATCTCTATTTGCTTTGCGCTATGCGGCACTGTCTCTTTCCTTCTGCTGCTCATCTTGCGCCTCATGCTGTATACGCAGTTGGCACTATGGGGTTCGGAAGCAGTACACACAAGAAAAGGGAGATTTATACCTCTATTTGGTTTCGAAACTTATCCTCGATGTTGCTTTTGCCTCGCAGCAATTCGTCATTTAAGTTGGAACAAATAGAAGGTGTCCTTTGATAGGAACGCTTAGAGTGCTGACCCTGACTTCGACAGCGCAAGCTGGGCCGAACAATTATCGCAGGTGGCAGTTGCTATTTGGACACAGATTCACAGACGGATTAATCTTTCAGGCGACACTTACTCCCGAGTTGCTAAATACAGAGCGATCGAATCGAGCGCGGATACGAGCGAAGCAACTATTGTCTTGCGCGCACCCAGGCAGCGGCGATGGCTGCGTACGACTTTTCAGGAAACCCACAATGGGGACCGTTGTATCCGTTGGGAGGATCGTCACAAAACCTCCTACCTCATGTATCCCATGCTCCCCAGCCAATGTCGTCGTCCTGGGATCACAGCTCTCCGTACCGGTTGACAATGAAACAACAGCCAGAGAGAGCAAAAGCCGCCAATGCAAAGGACAAAGACCGAAAACCAGTTGACCCACCTCCAGTTCTGCAACTTGATGTGGACCCGAATCAAGATCCGCTGCAGGTCTACATCACCTCTCCGTACCTGTTTGTTCAAACATTTCTCATAGGTGCTTCCGAGTCCGACCCGGATCCGGACTTGAATGCACTCACCGGAAATACTTGCACAAGTGGACACGTTGTCAAGGACGACCGGGGTGTGCATAACATGATGTTTTGCTTGAATGATATTTCTATCAAAAAAGAGGGCACTTACAGATTAAAGTTCTGTCTGTTCAAGCTCAATACGACAACAGGAGATGTCGAAAATCTTACATCTGTCTGTTCGGAACCATTCACAACTTACAGTGGAAGACATTTTCCAGGAATGTCAGAATCAACATCAATGACGAGGCTATTGGTCGATGCTGGGGTCCGTCTCCGTCTTCGGAAGGAATCGAAGGCGATGAGCACCAAAAAAAAGAACAACGCATTCGCGCATATGATGAGCCGCAGGGGCCGTGACGATGACGAGGACAGGCCTGGAAAACGTCTGCGTTCCGAGGGTGGAGACGAGAAGCCAATGAATTACTCGAAACATGGCAGTTTTTCCCAACCTCATTCGTTTGCAACACATTCGACCCCTTCCTCTTCGATGGGACACTACCCAGGTGGATTCCATGCGGTCACTTCGTCTCCAGGCCAGAACATTGCTCCGATGAGTTCCATGCCGACAGCTTACAACCAAGGGATACATTCGGCCTCACCAATGCTGAGCCTTGATACGCACGTGAATCACTACCACAACAGTCCAACTTCGACCGGATCGAGCTACCACTCTCCAGTACGACAGTCTCCAACAGCAGGATACCAGCTCCAGGCGACGGTGGCGTCTTCGCAGGGTCTCGTGGCGACGAGTCCATTGGCCCAGTACAGCAGTAGCCATACGACGCAGCCTCCAATACTACCACCAGTTGATATGATGAACCCGCACGCCGGCTCCTCTCCCGACCTGAATTATACGACATCGGCGAATTACAGTGGAGGGTATCTCCCTTCGGCGCAATCGAGACATCTGCCTTCAATGCAACAGAGGTCGACAAGCTGGGGCTCGAGTATGCCAATGCGAATGAACGCGCCGATGATGCAGAATACACAGTCTTTACCATCTGTGAGCGGACCATACAGCGAGGGAAGCATGTTCGAGCAGTACAATTACGGGCCGAGGGATGGCCATTGATTGGGGCTCTCAGCAATCTTGGTGGCCGTGGAGTCTGTCACAAGTCACGGCTTGGTAGAATGGACGACTGGAGGCGACTGCGATATGCAACGGCGCCTATAATCGACCTTGATGCACATAACGAAGGTGGCCGTTTTCAGTTCTAGCATCTTGGGCTGTCCCGCTGGTCCAAATCCAACGGGAGGCTGCATTTGACGCCTAATACCTTTTATTCAACCCACGGTTTTTCCTAGCTACTACATACAACTCACCGAGCATTTTGGGCGGGCAAAAGAGATATTTAGGCAGAGGAGGCGGAGTGTCATTTCATGAAACAACAGGAAATTTCCCAAGATACCCCCATACCCCTTGATAGCATGTTCTTTTAGGATTTTTCATTTGTGCATCTCTCCCAGGCATCATTGTATGGAGTTCTTTGGACTGCAACTGTCAGTCTCGAGCATACCCTACCCCAACTCGACCTCTTTTTCCTTTCACATCTTATTCGCAATCTAAATCCCATGTTGATCACAGAACAGAAAGAACCTTCTGTCACAAAGTTCCCAATTTCTAGTTCAATGTGTTGCGCCTCGGCGTCATGAAATTATTGTCCTATGGAAATAGGATAGGATAGGAGTCTTGGCTAGGTTCTGAAAAACGGGGTCGGGCATGTCTCTATTGTATCTAACAAACATAGGCCTCGAGATGAAGTACATGGCCCAAGGAGTGAAAAATGGGTACAGATTCAATTCATCGTTTGAAATCCAACAACACGCGTCGCTCTTGGAAACCTCGAGATTGCATCGAGGGCGGACAAGTCACCCAGTCCCGGGCGCTCAGGAAGGGCTGTTCTTTCTTAGTGCTGTGACGTTGCACAAGCTCTCTGCTCGGTCAGGTCTTTGTGATACTCTTCTAATGAAAGGTCGAGCAGGCTTGGCGCGCTATCCCTATCAGGGCGTGCCGGGCAACTCGGATGCGGCAGAGTTCCGCCGGACAGGGGCCGATGCCGGATGTATTGCGACTAGATGTGCGTCTCGTCTATCTTGCCCACCGGCGTTACAGACATTGATACTACAGTACAAGTAGGGCGTGTTTGTGGAGGAGCACGCTTACAGACGCAGTTCTCATTCCGCTTGAGTCTCAACCTTGCAAGGTAACATAGCTCAAATGGCCGCATCAGACACCATCGTCAACCCCTTTCACCCGTCTGTGGTCGACAAAATCGACCCTGACTTTGCTAGGATCTACAACCTCTACCAAGGTAGTTTCGCTGATCAGATTGAGTCGGACACCAGCCGGCTAACCATTCCCAGCTCCGACTTTGCGGGCTGATCAAGTGCCGTACGAGGAATATAACAAGGATCGAGCAAAGTACACGTTTCCTACTTATAAGGTCGAAGGCCCGTGTCCAGATGTCGGTAGCACCACAGTACACAAGATCCCGGCAACACAACCGGTGGGAGAAATCTCCGTACAAATTATCAAGCCAACAAGCGATGCCATCGCTCAAGGCGGGCTGAGCAACAACGGCCGTCTCCCCGCGTACCTTGACTTTCACGGCGGCGGCTTCGTGATTGGGAATCTGGCCACCGACGAGCTCTTTTGCAAGAACACCGCCCAAAAGGTTGGCTGCGTCGTTGTCAACGTCGAATACCGAACATCTCCCGAGTATCCTCACCCCACACCGGTACTGGACAGTTTCAATGCGCTGAAGTGGGTTGTCAACAATGCTGACACTCTCGACATCGACACGTCCCGCCTTGCCGTTGGAGGCTTCTCTGCGGGCGGATGTATCGCCGCTGCGCTGGCTCTTATGGCAAGGGATGATCCGGCCATCCCACCGCTAAAGCTCCAGCTACTGGTTGTGCCTGTTTTGGACGCAAGATTCGTGCCGGAGGAGGGCTCGTGCGACCCTAAGACGGTTCCTTACGAGAGCTATGTGAGTTTGGAGCACGCTCCGTGCCTGCCACTCAATCGTCTGCGGTGGTTCTACAATCTATGGCTCGGAAGGGGCAAAGAGAGGATTGAAAAGGCCAACGACTTCCGAGCATCCCCAATGGTAGCGGGCGATTTCTCAAACCTGGCTCCTGCCAGCATACATTCTGCCGAGATAGACCCATTGGTGGATGAGGGCAAATTATACCACGACAAGCTTGTGGCTGCAGGAACACCCAGTGGCCTGCAGGTGTACAAGGGCGTCGGACATCCGTTTGGTCACTGGGTTGGTGAGCTGCCCGCTGCAAGGGAGTTCTACAAGAACGCGCACTCGGCATTGCGGGCTTCTTTCACAGTCAGCCAATAGATTGGGAGAAGTGTGGCGGACACAAAGGGTTGCGACGCAGTGTAATAACCTCGGCGAATCGGCGATGATCACATCAGAGAAGTCGACAATTCTGGAAGTAAGCCGGTCATCCGCTTGATGACAGGTGACGAATTGCAGCGCTTGGCCTACCTTCTCTGCATTTCTGATTCACCCGCTGCGTCCTTTACCCCTCGATTTCATGCATAATGATTATTGCAGTAAGTGTCGAGTCGTTGTGGCTGAATTTGCACGGATCTGCAGTACCTGGACCATCGTTAAGGACGTCCGAGTGCAGCAAGTAGTTCCGCACTTTGATGTACAGTGGCAAGAAGAATATGACCGCATGTGGAACTGGGCGCAAAGTGGAGCACATGCATTTGTAACCACAGATACGGTAAGACGACTGCATAGGATCAAGATAGAGGGGGTGCTTACTATGACTATTGATGTACATACGTGCATATAAGACACATATCCAATGTTCAGCCACTGCAAGTGGTCGCACTACGCTCTTCCACTCTTGATATCCAACCACACAGGCAAAGACTCAGCCAACAAGATGGCGGAACCAGCACCAGACCTAAAGATTGAGCCTTCGGCAGCTACTGTTGATGTCCGCAGTGCGTTTACTCTGGTCACTATCGTATTCTACTAATAGACTGAATTTGGGTTCCCATCGTACTTCTTCGATCATTTGACATGATGTATAATTACTGAATCATGTATTCGCAGTCATCGATACTACGTCATGGGTTTATGCGATGCCGGCGAAATTCTTTTTCGAACCTCACATTAAAGGCTTTGATGATCTCTCGGCTCCTTCATACAGTTTTCTGATTGAGCACCCGTCTGGACGCAAGCTGCTCTTCGATTTAGGTGTACGAAAGGACTGGGAAAATCTCTCACCAGCTACCACCAGCATGATTCAACACATTGGCCCTGGAAAGGCTGACGTGAAGAAAGGCGTTCGAGAGCTATTGGAAGAACACGGAGTCGCGGGGTCGAGTATCGAGGGAATAGTTTGGTCTCACTGGCACTTCGATCATACTGGTGATCCATCAACTTTCGAGCCACACACGGCTCTGATTGTCGGTCCTGGGTTCAAAGAGGCATTTGTTCCCGGATACCCTGCCAACCCGGACTCTGTAATTCTAGAGTCCGATTACGCCGGAAGAGAGCGTAAGTAGCTCAGTGTGAAGCCTCACAGACCCAGACCCTTTGTAACGACCATCTTTGGAGGCTCTTTGTCGGCAAAAGTGCCAAAGTGATAACTGACAAGTTTCATAGTTCGCGAGATCCCTTTTACTCCAGAGAAAAAGGTAGGTCGCTTTGAGGCTTTCGATTACTTCGGTGACGGGTCATACTACATCCTCAACGCCCCTGGTCACGCAATTGGCCACATCTGTGCCCTAGCCAGAGTTACCAGCAATCCCGACTCTTACATTTTCATGGGAGGCGATGCATCGCACCAAGCCGGCGAATTCCGACCATCGAAATATCTGCCGCTGCCGGACTCGATCACACCGCATCCACTGGACGCCGGTTCGGTCACCCCATGTCCGGGCGCTCTTTTTGAGCATCTCCTTCAGGGTGGTGACAAGACGAGACAGTTCTTCAACGTGGCAAAGGACGGTGTCTCCCTCGACGTTGCTGAGACCGAAAGGACGATCGAGAAGCTACAGGAAGCTGATGCTCATGACAAGATTCTGGTTGTCATAGCCCATGATAAAAGTATCCTCTCACTTCTTGACTTCTTCCCCAAGTATGCCAACGAATTCGCATTGAAGAATTGGGTTGAAAAAGGTCGTTGGGCGTTTTTGAAGGAGTTTAAGGAAGCGTTGGAATAGGACGATAGGCGCTAGTCTTTTTTGCTGGTTTCTAGTCTTGAACCTACAATTCTTGTTTGCTGTGAATTTGGATTTCAAAGGAAACTTAATTCTCAGTCAATTTTAATCGCAGCAATCCAATTCAAGTTGTCTTCATTAGTCGTATTGGTACGTGATTCTACAGGAGTGGCTCTTCACAGACAGAATGGGTTCTTGGAAGTCAGAAATAAACTACAAAGAATCCTCCCGAGGACTGAGACATAACAAGCGAAGAAAAGTCTTTGTGTGCTACACATTGTTCGTGCACAATGGATTGTGAATAAAAGGTAATATATCGGTCATCATGACTGATACTTAAGTCTGGCGTAATCGCACTTAATAATATCTATCTCACTCCAACTGGATCTATATTACGCATATCCTTGCTTTTACCTGTCTACCATTGCTGCGAAGTTTCCAGAGCAGCTTCCGTTGCCAAGCCATCAATACCCACAAGAAGACCCTTGTTGACTCACGAGAAAGGCCATGTCCTCGGACGCGTCTTCCGTGTACAAGCGGCTTCCAGGGGCCTTCCCGCCGGAGGTTGTCCATAGCCAGACTACCAAGAAGTTTGCACCGGAAGTAACTTCTCAGCAGCGGTTGTCGTCCTCACAGGAAGGGCAATCGACCGAAGAAGAGTGGTTGAGAGCACTTGGCCAATTGGAAGCCCAGCCCTTGGGAAACTCAGAAGGACAATAACGACGGTGGAATCGCCTCAAGTGCGTCACAAGCAGCTTTCGGTTCGGCAGCGGGAGGGGATGGACGATGAAGATGTGCTGGATGCACTGGAGCGTGGAGAATTATGATGTAAACTCGAGGATGGCGCTAATAATGTTCTATTTAGTCATAAAACTATATAATTGAAGGGTCATATTCATATACACGATAACTCAGTATTCACGGTGTCTCTCCGATCTGTCCAAGAAGTCCGGATAAGGTGGAGGAACAAGCCAATCATACACGGACATTGGAATGAGTTCTTCGAAAGCTTTTGGTCTACTAGCAAAACGCCCATTTGGCCTGTCACATTTCCTCTGTAATCCACAATACAGACTCGGCCCCACACAAAGCGAATTCCACCAATTCACCCGTGCGTTATAGCTGCTGAACAATAAGGTTTGGACGGATGAACAGTTTATGGTATGGAGACCTATTTTTGTGCAAAAGCCAAGTGTTATTTTGCCTTGGTGCATGTTCCTCTAGATGGCCTATCTCACGCTTTTCAAGCGTCGACCGCCTTGATTTATTGAATTCGCGCCGATAGTGAAGCTTTACGGGATAATTTCAAGGCTTGCAAGTCAGACTCACGGGCAACTGCTGTCTGCCCAAGTTATTTTCTGCAATCCCTTTGTCGTCCTTGGACAAATTGTCAATGGTTGTCTCAAAGGCTCGACGCAAGCATGCTGGCAAGGCGAACTGTGCTATTGAGAAATTACAATCGCCTCTAACAACAGGCTCTACCGAATTGGCCATGACCGGGAGACTCGGGTCAGAGTGGCGCAATGCATGATAGTATTATAGAGTTCCCTACTTCGGTATCGACGGGCACCAAAGCCACTCATCCGATGTACTAGTCCTTGGCAATTGCTCCGAAATAACTTCGGACTTCGGCACCTCCATTGGTCATGGCGGTCAACATGTGGCTCAAACATGAAACATCAGATTGCTGGAATCAACGGGGCTACCACCATAACGCAATTTAAGCGTATGACATCAGGAGCTTAACTGACTCGGCACCTGTAGGGCTACAGGGCTGCCGTCCAAGGTTTACACCACCGAATACGTTTACGGGCGGTCCGATCCGGTTAAGACTTGCAGGCTGTTCGCACCGCGACTCATGGATATCCAGGACAGATTCTCTTGGCCCCGGAGTCAACGCGGTAACGGCGTTAAAGTGTAACGATAAGCGAATTGTTCAAGGGAGCTCTGGGGCTGACTGGGGCTATTTTTATAAGCATCTGTGAGGGGCCCTGATGGTCATGCCGTAGATCATGGCCAGCACGAATCGCCACACTTCAAGGTTCCCCAATGTGAACGATAACGTGACGACGATCATAGATTAAAGGACATATGCCATGGGTCTTAATGTACAACCCTCTCGACTATTTGTTCGAGAGAGTTGACATCGCTGTCATTCTGGTTCAACCCTATGACCTCTAGCCGCCGCACGAGCGATGGCGACAATGAGCTATCAGATACACTTGAGGCCGGTGGTCAACTGGGACGCAAAGCCCTTACCACCACTCCCACTCGACCCTGGGCGCTCTCGCAGGCCTCACAAACCAGCATTCAACAATGACACCGAAAAGTCAATAGCGAGAGCGCATAGGGGGGGCAAGGTCTTCCCTCAGGAGCTTGACATCAGCAAAGTTCTGGAGGCCGACTCTCGTGTCGTCGTGGACAAGCCTAGGCGGGCACGCCAAACCTGCCAATCCCCATCAGTAGCCAGCGTGCCCAAAGACTTCATGTCAGTGAAGAGGCCAGAGGACCAAGACCGTGACATAGCCGGACACTCGCGCCAAATGTCTGACCAGTCGACGAATCGCTTCATCCGCAGCACACCCCTACCTTCAGCCATTACTTCAGTAGAGGACCTAAGTCTCCCGCCGAAGGTTAGACAAATCATTGGCATTGATAGTCCTCGCGTGGCAAGAACAACACCATGGAACCCGACTTCGACACAGGCTGCCCCAAACTCGTCAACGTTGCCTCGCCCGACATCGACTGCGACTGCGTATAGCCAGGCGAGTGGTCATAGACGGGATGTCGACATGTTATTCCACATGGAGGAAATCGTGGAGGAACAGGGAAAGGCCGAGGACGATGATGAAATACTTAGGCGTTTGGATAGCTTGATCCGCTCGCCTGGATACGCAGCTATTCGGTGCCACCCTGACAGCTTGGTATCACAATCTAATTTTTCACTCTCGGCTGCGAATTCACACGAAGACATGCCACGGCAACAAACACCAATGTCCCACCCCGAACAGCCACCGCAAGACCAGAGGAGCAGTCGAGAAATGTACCACGACTTGGTAGTAGAGTTGGCCCAGAGCGCACCGGCCGCATTACCACCACCGCCAAAGCCCCCGACTGAGCTTGGCGGAGGCCTATCGGACTCGTCGTCCTTGCATCACCGTCGACATCGCTCTACACCATCGAAACAGGCAGGCCAATTGCACCGCGGAAACGCATCGTGCCCGCAGCTCAGCAGACCAACGACAAGATCTCCGCACATCAGTGTCTTCGATCACGAATCTTCGGACTCGGAATCAGATTCAGACTCGAAGCCTCTCTGGTCGCCCAAATTCGCTTTCTTGGGACGAAGACCAATTTCGAAGCCGAGCAAGCGGCGATGATCGCAAGGAGTTTCCTCCTAAGTTGGTGTCTACAGCTGGGCTGACAAGCTGCTTGAAAGAATCGGCTTGCATTCGGTCTCAAGTAGAATGACTGAGTTGGACTGTTGTGCAATGACATTGAGTGTTATAAAGTGAGCGGTTGTTACATAGTCAAACCCGGATAAATCCGGAAAAACGAACATTACGAGGCAGCCATATCCATATATCTCCGCGACGATGGATCATGAACAATGCCCCTGAGATGGGGTGGACCGTCTGCGTGGACGCCTTGGATTTGAAGAATTCATCTTCCGAGGCTCCTTTCACATTTTCAGTATACCCAGATTCCATGCCATTTTTTCACGTCATTTATGTAAATAGGATTTTGAGACACAGATATTCCCCTGAGACATTCTGGGCAATGTATATGAATGAATTATGAGACACTTCTGCGCCACTTGAGCTACAGGTTCCATTTGCACACTGTATCAATCACTAATTTGGAGGTATGTAACAGAAAGTCAATTAGACTATTGGAACAACACCGCCACACGCCCAAAAATGACAACACGTCATTACGGAGCCTCCTGTGGCTTGCATCCCTATACAGATCTATCCTACAAGAAAGCAGCCTACAGCTAATTACCTCAAAGGAAATTATCCTCTAAAAGGTTATCTTATAAAAGATTGTATACTCTTGAAGGTAATAGTATAAGTATATAAAAAGTTATTCTATAAGAAGTTATCTTACAGGAGGTTATCCCATAGGAGGTTACTTTATAGGAGGTTATTCTATTCCCCTATTTCCGTCGAGTTATTGCAGAGATACTGTGGCCGCGAAGCGAACACTCGACCTTAAGCTCGTATGTTCAAGTGATGCATCATCCATGCTGTAATCCTCAGGCGACAGAGGCGACAGGTCCTAATGTGTCTTACTCGTGTTCATCCTGGGCAGATTAACGCAGGTGTCAGATATATGCAGTTTACGCATGTATTACCTCCCATCTCGTGCTTAAAAGACCGTGTATTCGGGTATATACCTAGATCGCATTACTATGGACAGCTTCATGGCCTCTAGACCACAGGCCCGGACCTGACAATCAATTTATCGGCTTTTTGCCAGTCCCATAGTATATATATGTGAGGTTGTCGTCTACATCTACAGGCAAGCACACTAATGATTATTCCTTTATTGCTTCATTCCTTCATCAATCGTCTTTGCCAGAGACTAGGAACGCTGGTTCATGTTGCTACCTCTATTCCTTCATGTATGTGGCGAGGCGACAGTCCTCTGAGGCGCAAGTCACCGTTTCGCCCTTTCTGCAACCTGGTGCCCAAAAATTTTGTCCAAAACACACTGGGGTATCCAACTCACTAAACAAACCATGCTTGCCGTAATTACGCTAAATGACGTGCCAGACATCCCACGCCGCATCCATCGTGCTCTCCCCATCCATCCACATTTGCAGCACCTTTCCGTGGGTGTGGCCCTCGGGCGGTGCGCCGGGGAACACCAAGGGGCTGTAGAGGCCTTCGATATCAAAAGGCATAGCAAGGTTGGCCTCGAGGGCCTCGTCACCCCCGAGACAGACTCCATTGGTCCATGCCATTTCATCCTCACTCGTGCTGGCGTGCTCTTTAAACCGCAAGGGCCGTATCCGGTCCACGAGCTCCGTCAGATCCTTGAGTACGCCCAGACAGTCTGATGCATAACCTGTTGGCCTTGATCCCTTCCCTATGTTGCTATTTCTGTTAGTTTTGGACAGGCACTCCGTCTGGGCCTCCCTCTCAAAGGTCTGAATTGCGGTACGGAGCGCTGGCGCGTCCCCCGAATGAAACGAGGTGAATACCATCTGATACAGAAGCATGATCACCGCTGCGTTGAAGATGTGGTGGAGGTCCATCATGATCGGTTTGCCTGGCGGTTTTTCACCAGGGTTGCACCGCATCAAAATGTGCCGCCCCAGCCGTAGGTTGCGTCGTGCGGCATTGGCGCACTCCTGGAGGAAACTAATGTGCTCGTGATCATAAATGTCACGCGGCACTTTGATCAAGTCCCCACCAATGTAGGATTTCACGGCGAGAAAGAAAATCGGGCGGAGTGTGAGAATTATCAGCTGATACGGCATTGTCAGGTCGCTGCGTTGCCAGGTCGCTGCATTGCGATCGGTGGGTCATGGAATCTTTGGGTGCATGGACACAGCGAAACTCACCTGGTTACACTTCATGTGTAATGTGCATAGAGCTCGATCTGTGTACAACTCATCGGGATCGTCGTGCATGCCATCATGGAACGGTATCTGGGGCTGTGCTTGAAGATCCAAAGGCATTTGAAGACGGTCTGGAAGCTCCCTTCGCCACTTTTCCAATTTGTTCATGGGCTCCTGGACTTGAGCTTGCAAGTCCTGGTCGGCCTCTACAGTAGGCGCAATGGAGTATGTGTTGGAGACGATATAGCCCGCAATCCTAGCCAGCTCAACGTGAGCTATCAAGCCGTCCGGAGAAGGCAACCCCCTGGAAACGATTTAGTCCATTAGCAGTAACCCCGTGTAAGCTTGGCCATACTTACATCACTCTCCGAGGTTCGTGTAGCTGGAAAGCTTCGTCTGGGTACATGGGCGGCCTACCCATGAGACAACCGACGTCTCTGGTCAGGCAGAAGAGTGTCCATACTATGCGGATATCTTTCTCGTCCCCCGAGAGGCCTCTCAGTCCACCGCACATGCAACAAATGCTCATAGCATGAGACAAGTAGTTGTACGAATTATCTCGCCGATTGACTTCCGCCATGTACATGGCCATGAGAGCCAGGGCAGGAACATCTCGAATGCTATAGCGCGAAATGTCCCAAGGGTCCCCGAGGATCTTGCGAGCTGTTGCAAGGAACAATTCTCCCAACTGCCCATCTTGCCTAGAGTTGGCCGTAGTCAGGGAGAATATAGTTCCCAGCGCGAAGGCAGCATGGTAGAGCGCAAGTTCCCGGCCTTGCGCGCTTTTCCAACCCTGTAACGAAAGGTCGCCAAAATAGTAGATTCCCCCACACGGCCACTGGCCCGTGGGGCTCTGTACGTGTTTGTTGACTTGGAAAAGCAAGCGCTCGGCCTGTTCATCACTGATCTGGGCAACTGCGTTGGCGTTGTCGAGTGTGGGCATGTAGAGTAGTCGCGAGTCCGAAGTCTGGTATTGCCCGCGAGAGGCTAAAAAGGAGGAGCCGGGAGCTGTCTCGGTGGGCGTTTCGTTGTATCCAAGGGCGGATTTCAGTGTGTGCATAAAATTCTTGAGATGGTCCAGGAACGTGGCACCCGAGGTCCCACCCAGCCAACGTTTGGTACCATCGTGATCCTGGAGCAAAGACCCTTCAGTGGGTGCCGCATCGGCATCGCCAGTAGTGTGTGTTGATTGATGGCTTCGGTGTTGCTGGGATGAGCTGCTTTGTGGAGACGAGCCTAAAGTTGAGCTGGACGTGGCGGGCGACATGTGTTGCTGTTCGTCGTCACGAGTAGATGCCACGCTGGGGGCCATGGAATCAACGACTTGTTGTAGTTGTGCTTGGAACCTCATGCGGGCACCGACATCGGGCACCTCTAATATGGCTTGCTCGAGCGTCTGCTGCAGGGTGTCTCTCGTTGCGATAAGGTTTTCCAGCTTCGAGCGTGAGATGGGGACATTGTCAGCGGGAGGTGGGTAGAAGCATTTGCGGCCGCTCTGCACGCATTGAGAACATGGCTGTTCGCCTGTACACTTGACGCGTTTTTGATTGCAGGGCGTGCAACTAGAGGCACCATGTCAGCAACCAGGGACGTATCGGAAGTGAGGGTGCGTCCAAACAGACACGTACACATGCATCGCAGTGCAGAAAGGCGACTAAGATTAAGCAAGACCACAAGTGAATGGACTGGGAAATCGAGATTAAAACTTACGCCTGGGATACCCGTTTTCTGGCGCCCTGGGGAACATGGTATTTGCGAGGGTTTACGGCCAGTCGGCCATCCGATCTGGGCACGCTCGCTCTGGAGGGAGCTGCCGAAGGAGCAGGTGTACGCATTGCGAAAGGCGGACGTGGTTGTCTGAGGCAGCACTATCTCAGTCGGGGAGTGGTGCTTAACAAGAAGTTTGTCTGGGAGGCTGGCACGGGGCAACCGTTTTGATGTTGACTACCACGAGAATCATCGAAGCGGATGCAGTGTGTCCGCAGTGGAGATTCTTATACCAGGAATGAGGGAGAAGCAATCACGGCGCGAATGCGTCTCGTCATGAATGCAGGCTGCAACGATGACCTGAAGCGGCCCGCTCGAGCCAGGTTGCTGTCTTGAAGCGGTTCCTCGCACCTTTTTCTCCCCCACTTTGCAAAGGGAAAGCCCAGCTCGTGAAGGGCCTCAAAGCCGGCCAGACGACCTCGCGTTCCCCCTCGCCTCCTCGAAGAGCACCCGATCCAGCTTTCCCGTTGTGTCGCTTCGTACCCCGGTGCCGCTGCCGCCGTCGCCGCTGCTGTCGTGACCAGGGGCGGTTACTCGGACTGTGGAGCTGCCCAATTCACTTGGACGGCCTTCAGGGCGATGAAAAGCACTGCAAGCCTGGTAATGTAGTTCGTTGGGGTATTGATGCATCTAAACAGTAGGTGTGCCATAATAAGAAACGCAACACGTCGATGTCTCCAGAGGAGACAGGCTTGCGCCGGGGGCTGAGAAGCCGCTGGCAAAACGCGGGAGCGGGAGAGCAGCAGTTGGGCATTTGGATTGGCGATCCCTTGATCTCCGGCCACTCAGCACCCACTGGACCAGCCGCGGTGGCGGGGGACAGCGTCTGAACCTGGCACGCCTAGGTGCTGCAGTGTTCATGTGCTCTAGACCTATGGCAGAAGACGATCTCTCAGTGGGTGGGGCTCGGCTTGATCGTGGACATCACCCCGCATGTCCCTGCGCCCAAGATTGCATTTGATGCTGACAGACGACTGGCAGATTGCCTCAACAAAGCAAACAGGCGTCTAGGATTCTACGCCGCTCCCAGCGATGTGGCCAATGCGAGGTAGTCTCAGCGAGGTTACACAGCCCGTCTACACAAGGTATTCTGCTCGCAGAGTTGTGTGGAACCGAGGACGCCAAACGAGCGGGGGGCGCGCTCCAGCCTGTGCAGCCTTGTCTAGTGCATCAGATCGCAAACTGATAGATCCTTTGCTTTTTGTGTCCTCAGGGATTAACGCGATCATGACGAGTCATAGACCTTGGGGACGAGCAGTCTGCGTACGGATTGTACTGCGTAATTTGTACAGGTGTAATGGACATGTGCCAATATTGAGAGACCAAGCATTCGTCGGGTCGGATCGGTCTGCACCCTCTTTCGACTTTAGGCCGGTCTGATACGCTGCCTGTACATAGCCGAGCCCCGCGAGCCACCTCCCTTCAGATATCCCTGAAGAATCTTTCCTCTTCAGTGCCTAATGTCTTAGAGTGCTTCGCTATGTCCGCCACTGTCAACTGGCCTCGCTCAGTGATGTAGATATCGACAAGCTCGGGGGGAATCCACTCGAAGAACACGTTGCGAACGCGCACATCGACCACATCGTTGTTCACCTCGTCGACTCCATGATGCGGATGATATGCATCCTGTACGGTAGCACCGCCGGCGACAGAGGGTATCGTACCCGCAGCACTTCTGATCCTCTCGCTATTGAAGCCCGCCGTCCATGCATGCATCAGCTGAGCGGGGTCGTTATTTTCCACAACATGGGCAGCTGCAGCCCCTGGGGTTGCGACCTTTTCCGTCTCGCTTACGATGACTATCTTTGCTTTTGGCGAGACATGCTTAGCGCTGAGGATCGCAGGCAGCGAGCCCGTCTTATTGCTGACTGCTCCGGATTCCGCAATTCTATCCGCACCTATCAGAACGACATCCACATCATCCGAAGCAAGAGCCGAAGATGCATCCGTGTAGAGCGTGAGTTGAAGTTTCGGGATGGGGTCTTTGCGTGGCCGTCCGGGCTCATTTGTCGCCTCATCTGTCGAAAATTGAGAAGAAGGTACGGATTTGGAAAGCTCGCTGGCCAGAGATACGCCCTCGAACAGAGGCCGCGACTCTAGGATGCGCAGGTCCAGCGAAATCCCAGTGTTGGCGATGACTTCGCGAAGCGCACATGTGATTGTGGAACTCTCGGAGACGGTTAGCACTTTGATCGGCCGAGCTTGCCCAAGCTTGGACGCGATGTGTTCTTTTATGAAGCTGGAGAAGGTGGTGGAAATTGCCCTGGCCGTATCTTGCCTTGAAGCGATCACACTGTCGAGCTCTTCGACCGCAGCGTCTCTCCATCGCAACACCGATTTGTCCTCAAGTCGTTGTATCCTTGCCTCGATACCACTCAGGGCAGAGAGCAAGACGCTCAATACAGCCGCCCCCATTGATTCACGGCCATTCTTCCAGATATGCCAGGAGGCAAATCGAACTCGAGTCCACCACTGTTCGGGTGGCTGATGCGTGTCCATCTTGAAGACGATCTCGCGCAGAATCTCGAGCCCAATACCGGCGAGCTGCCGTGCACCGCTTTGATGATCATTCTTGAGTCTTTCGAGCCCATTCGTGAGGACAGCACCAGCTTCGAGGCCCAGATCTTTTTCGAACCTGAATTCGCAGTTAGATACCCACATGATCTGGCAATTTTCAGCGAGTTCAGGAGCTATGCCAGTGATCGTATTAAGCTCTGCTTTGGAAGCACCGCATACGGTCTCGACCGTGTTTCATATACAACGGACTCGTTCGGGTCCTGACAGCGCTCCCAAGACACGCCATGATGTATGGATTCGGGGGAAAAAGTCGAATAAACACTGACCAGACTCGCCGCAAGCTTTCTGCCAGGCGTGGAACAGCTCCAAAATTTTCTGAATCCTCAACCTCGAAAGGGTCGTACCATGCCCAGGTGTCGTGTTCCCAATCGAGTTGGATACCTTTCTCACCCTCTCCACCCTCGCTTGCATCCTTCAGCCGGAAGGCAAATGGATAGATGGTCCACTCTCTGCCAATAGATTCATCCGGCAAGACGTAGCTCTTACCCTGGCGCATGAGTTCGAGGGAAGACGGCGTCAGTGTGGTCTCTTCCCGGATCTCTCTCCAGGCTGCCGCTTGAGGCGAAGGGTCCTCTGGGTCGATGCTGCCAGACACCACTGCCCAGCGATGCCTAGGCGATGTGTTAGCCACTGTTCAGACGCACAGATCACCACAGAGAGCCCGAGCAGGTAGACACGGACGAACGGGCCGTTGGGAGCCACCGAACTGGACCAGGGCACAGGCCGGTGAGTTTCAGGGAGGCCATCCTGTGGAGAGCGGAATGTCGGAGGAGCGGCAAGAAAAGCACACAGCTCGCATGCATGTGCAGCAAAAAGCACGGCAGCACTTACTGATATGTACGCACTTGGCCACTCCGCTTGAACAAGGCAACTTTGGCCTTGCGCTCGCCATCCTCGTCGACGAATTTGTAGAGGAACGAGGAGACAACAGATCGCTTCTGCAGAGCCGGCTTTCCGCCATCACCGGCCGAGGCCATGGTGGAATGACTGCGAGCAACGCCCAAGGAAGGATGTATGCTGTGAAGTGAAGCTTGAATTCGTCGAGCAGGACCGGCGCAGGAGCGTCTGCAGGACAACGGCGAGCGCAAGATAGTGCAGAGGGGTAGGTGCAGCGTCATGGTCTATCTCATCATCCTGACCAGAGTAATCATGGCTGTTTCAATTAGCCGATTTCGATGACCGATTAATTCGGTTGCCTTGAGAGGGATTGATTGAATCCAGGCTCAGGTCAAGTCGCCGGGATTCCGGCGGATGTCGGGGCGTGATGCGACCGAAAGACGAACTGATGATGGTTTAAACGGGCGGGCAGCCTGGCCGAGGGGGAAACCGCCTGGTTGAAACATGCCAGCTGCCCGATTGGCGATCGCAGCTGTGCACAGCTGGTGCTGACCTCCCTTCCCGCCCTCACCTCCCTCCCCCGCGCTCAACACCCCCTACCGACCCAAGTCAGACGTCCTGTCTTTTCAGCAGTGCCGTGAGGCCTTGCAGACTTTGGAGCCACTAAGCAGATGGTGCTGCTCTCCCCTATGTGGCAGCCTAACTTCAATGGGTCCACCAGGCAGTCAACACCAAAGAGAACCAGGCAACCGTATAAGCAGGTGTCTTATAAGCCAAGCCAGAGCTACAATGCCCAGGTGCCTGATCATGTTAGAGATCCAGTGAATGTTGGTAATTGCAAATAGGACGCATGCAATGAGCCAGATGCCCTCTCTACATGAAGCCAAGCCGGCCGGCAGAGAAGGCCTCTCGCTTGAACACTCTGCCCATGAGTATCAAGTGCTTATGCAAGATGGCCATCTCAGCAGTGAGGACCTTGTGAATTACTTTCTAGACCAGATCGAGCGGCACAATGATCTCGGGCTGAAGCTCAAAGCTATCCTGTCCGTATGCCCCCGTGACCTGGCCATCTCACAGGCGAAAGTGCTCGACGAGGAGCGCAGGCAGGGAAAGGTCAGGAGTGACCTGCATGGGATTCCAATTGTCGTCAAGGTGGGAGAGACCCTGGCGCAGCAGATCTTTCGGAGGGGCTCACTGACACCCTCAGGACTGCCTTGTCACAGCACCCTCGCTGGGCATGGTCTCTTCGGCAGGCTCAAGTGCCATTGCATCTCTCCAAGCCACTCGGAATGCAAGCCTAGTCGACAGACTTCTCGAGGCAGGAATGATAGTCTTGGGTAAAGGCAATCTTACCGAGTTCTGTGGCCTCAAGTCAGTCCAGTACCTCTCTCCAACCTGTTCATTTACACACTCTGACTGTTGCGCCCCCCCCAGATCTGACAACACTCCGATGGGATGGAGTGCATACGGAGGCCAGACATTGTCTCCGTACAGACGGGAAGACCTCCCTGAGAAAGACCAGCCTATATGCGGAGGCTCGTCTTGCGGACCCGCGGTCTCCATCACAGCAGGTTTTTCACCCCTGGGCATTGGCACCGAAACAGGCGGCTCAAATGTCTTCCCCGCCAGTCTCGGCGGGCTCTACGGCCTGACTTTGCCACATGGCTCCGTTCCGATAGACGGCGTGTGTAGGATTAGCGAGACGTTCGATCGCGTCGGACAAATGGCCCGAGACCCGCGTGACCTAGCCTCGGTAGCTAAGATCTTGGTCAAGTCGGATGAACACCTCACAGAGCGCCTTGAAGATGAAGATACGCCACCTGAGGGCCTTTGGAGGGGGCTTTCTATTGGCGTCTTGGACAGTGAATGGGGGACAGACCCGGGCTCCAAGTGGAAATGGGGCTCAGTGGAAGTGGTAAGCTCATGACAACCTGGGCCGTTGCCTGACATTTCAGCTCACTTACTGGCCACGGCCTCGTTTCTAGAAAGACAAATACGCCTCGGTTGTGCGGAATATGGAGGCTTTGGGTGCTCGAGTGGTGTTTCCCCTGGCAAATGCATCTGACCCTGAAAGACTGAAATATGAGGGCGAGACTCTCCACAGTGTTGCCTGTCAGTCTATCGCCACACGAGAATGCTTTTGTGCGGCTGGAGCGTGTGGCTAAACTTTTACCAGATCACGAATTCTCTGAAGTTCTTGAGGATTTCATCTCGACCAACTTCGAGTCTGACGCCAAGATCACCAACCTAGCTGACTGTAAGTAATGCAAACCGTTAGTCGCCATCCCTGGTGGAGCGTCTCGGTGCCAGACTACCTCATAAGGAGTACCTCAGCCCGGAGTCCTTGGTCCTCGCTCCACCTACAATGTTTCATCTTGCCACCCCTCACCCTTTCTGCAAAGCTTGATCGGCACTAGGAAGAGCTGACTCCATTTGTGAAAGTGATCGCCTGGAATGAGGAGCACGCTGCTCAAGCATTACCTGGACGTGAGTTTTTGCCCCTGTCAACTCGTACTTTCTGCTGACAAATTGCCCCCAGAGTTCAGCACGCAAACGGAGCTCATTAAATGCCGTGACGATGCCATGACCAAGGAAAAGCATGATGCAGCCGCGGCAGCCCTGCGCCGGCTCGCTCGAGAGGAGGGCATGGCACAGCTCATGCGCGACCAAGATCTTGACATCGTCCTGTCCTCCTCGGACGCAACGCTCATCTCATTTTCGGCTTGCGCAGGATGGCCTGTGGCTACAGTCCCGGTGGGCAACTTGACCAAGAACGGCCAGCCCTGGGGCTTTTTTGCCTTGGCGAGGGATGGGAGCGTTGACGTGCTTTTGCGATTCATGAAGGCATTTCACGGATCTTTTGCTCGCGTAAAAGGCCCGACGACGCCTTTTGAGTAGCCTGTTGTCAGAAATGACAGGTCTGGACTATCTATAGAAGAGGGAATTTGCAGCAAGGGCATTCTATATTCGCTTTCCATGGCCCATGAAATGTGTTGAGCTGCGTCGATGGAAGTCGCTCTACACTGCGTCCACGAGAGTGGCCATTTGTTAGACACTGTTTCTTAGAGCTCGATTATTCCTTTCGTATCAACTGTATAGTACGTGGAAGCCATCTTCTCACAAGCACATGCGAAATACGGGAGAAAACAAACACATGTGACAGCAGAAAATAGGTCGCCTCCTTGCTCGCGCTGCACTGAAGTGCTCCTCAGGATCGGAGTGGCGACTAGTGACAAGTCCCACTATTATTCTCGGAATTCTTTTCTCTCTGGGAATATAACTCATTGTTTCCACATTAGAATGACGGTAATAGGCATCCCCACGATGCAGTGTACAGCTCCAGCGAAGCTGATCCCGGTCCGGGCAACACTTTGGTGGACCATGCTGGGGTTGCTCTGATATTGCACGGCATTAGCCTCAATAATATTAGACGAATTATCTAGAAGTGTTTAACAGATTGCTTTGAGTCTTCTTAAAGGGTTCAAGTATCAAGAATAACCTGATTGATGTCGAATTCGAGGTCATCGTCGACAGTCTGACGCCCGTTCGTGCTACGCCCGCATGTGGTGGCAACGCGGTCAAACACTTCACCTTCCTCGATCAAAGACATTATTTCCTTCTGAATAGGGATATCACGAGAAGAAATTATCTCACAGCCTGCAATATTATTTGAAATTTGAAGAATCTGTACGTGGGCCAGTCGGCGATTTGGCAGCGGATAGCGAGGTACGGAGACGTTGCGTCGCGATGGGCACCACCCCGACTTCACCTGTCGAAGCTATGCTGCGAAGCGCTTTCCTCAAACGGATGAATGATTCATGTTTTGTAAAATGATCTGCTTCCTTTTGGTCACACCGCTGGTGCAAACCTGACATTTCCGATCGTCTAAAAGGCCAAGTCTAACATGGGACTCGCCAAGAGAACTTGGGCGAGACATTCCGTGACAGATGTGGAGATGGATCCAATGCTAAACGCTCATGCAAATCACGGCATACATGTAATTACGCTAAATTTACCCGGGAAAAGTCTGCAACTTTATCTGAACGGGTTGTTTCCCCTGGCACGATCGTGTTGAGTAGACTGCTTGTTGCCCTCGGCATGTTGGGACCTAGACGACGGCTCGCCCTGGGCAGCTCACCTTCGGGAGCTCCACGAGGGGTGGGAATCTCGGTGCAATGCTGTCGCCGTAGAAGATACTATGTTGATTGCGCTGGAAGAAGGCGGAATTGTGCATATTGGAATTCTGCTGGCACGGTCTGGACTGAACTGAACAAGGTTGGCGAGCCGATGAGTCCTTGTCAGGCAGTTCGCTTGGTGCTCAGCTGGCCCTGGCCTCGCTTCACTATCGTCCCCAAAACTGCCACGACCGTAGCACGACTCAGAAGGGCTTGCTTGATTTTCTTGTGGCCACAGTCATAGAGCGCAGTCATAATGACATGCTCACAGGTAAAGGTCTCTTGGTAATGATTCCAGGGCCAAGCAACAACTAGTAAGCATCTCTTGAGCATCAAATTTAACCACGATAGATCGATTCGAACAACCCGTCGTATCGACGATGTATTCAGTAGACAGAAAAACGAGGCCACACAAAAACCTCCGTGCGAAGCGACCCGAAGCGCCGATTGCCTGCCAAAGCGGAGGTCTCCCGGGATGGGCCGACAACGGAAACCCTAGTGAGATCACAGGAATGGCACTGTTCGGACAGGGCTGTCGGAGATCGAGGCTCGGTCGGGCAGATGGGGTAGAAAGTGAGCTTGCATGATCCGGCTTTTGTCAAGCCGATCTATTAAAATCAGCCCCGTGAACCTGGCACCTCCAGGGACCAGGGCTACATGACTATTAGCAACCACACCTGTCCCATTGCTGTTAGTTTTAGGTAACGAAGTCCCACCACGCAGATCCACCATCGTACTTGCATCGACCGATGGAGAGTTTACTTGGCGTGGTGGTGCTGCCCCCGGAAAAGCTGTTTGCCAGGCACTGCCAGGCTGCCAGGAGCCCGCTCAGCAGAAGGGAGAGAGGTTAAGCTCCGTCGTCGGGAGGAGCACAGATCGTCTTGAGGGTGCTGTGAATCCACCGTCCTTCACTTGTGGCCAGTGACATGAGCTGCCCATTTGTAGCCTCGGACATTATACATGCTGCCCGTCGATGGCACTCTGCACGGATATCTGGAATAGGCAGCTCGTGTGCTTGCGGACAAAAATGACGCAAACAGGCCACCCCCCACGAAGAGGAATGAGTCGGTTCATAGACTTGGCCTATAGCATAGGGAAGGTAAGCAACAAGCAAGTGGTTAGTGACTTGATGTCTATTGTGGAAAGTGGCTGACGCCCTTGTTCGTGGCCGATGCAGGTCAGACGTCTGGCCCATAACAGAACCACGTCTGTCCCCATGGCGAGATGCAGAGTTTATTTTAGCCGCAAGATTTGCAAGATAAGTTTTCACTGTATCCAGGCACTCGGAAAGCAGGAGTCGGCGATCAGTTACAATCGTTCAACCTTCCAGAAGCACCCCATGTCAGATTGTACTGTGGTACCCAGCGTATCAGAAGAGCTGGGACAGACACTTGTTGCTCGTCCTGATCTGCATTAGGAGGGACCAAAAGAAGCAAAATCGGGGAGTGTTCTGTCCCAGGCTGGTGGTGTTGAAGATCATGGAACCATGTGACGGTCCTGCATCGGCCAACTGACAAATGACACTAGAATAAGCCTGGATACGACCCTGATGAGTCGAAACTGTGGGAGCGAGAATAGACGTTGTAGATCTCTGCAAGGGTTGAATTAATGGTTGCTACCGATGTAATCCACGGACATCAGGAGCAGACTGATGCGAGGCATCATGAACACGAGGAGACCACTCGATGGCGGAGACCTCAGTGCTGACTCGTCTGATGCATTGTGCGATGGCATCAACGGAACCCGTCGGCTTGTGGTATCTGTATCCGGGTCTAGCATGAAAAAATTGGTCGCGGCAGCGCTTCTACCTGTCAGGGGGACAGGAAAAATTTGCTGGCGCGGTGGTTACCGACTTCGCTGTGTTGTTTCAGTCCAAGCGGAGGAAGAGGTAAAAATACAGGCGGAGCAACCAAACAGAAAAGGCAGAGAGAGAGAGCAATGGGGAGGTGAGGGGCGGGCTGTGTGGGACTGCTGCTGATGAAGGAACATGGAGTCAAGCTTGGTGATCCTGGTCTTAGTCTGTGATCCCACGCTGCCAAGAGTTGTCCTGGGGCGATGTGATCTTATCAGATCATCTCAGGCCAATGAGAGATGACTAGTGTTGTTCATGGCCGAGGTACAAAGGGTCCACTGGGAGTTCCTTGTGCGTTGTGGGTCTTGTGGTGAAAGATCTGACGAGCTCTCAGTCATAGCTTTGGGCGCTGGCCAATGGGATGGGCCCAGGCGTGCTCCAGGGGGCCCGCATTACACGGCGCCGACGAGGCCTTGCTGCGTCATTAACGCGAAACCCTGGCACTCCGCCGAGCGAACCGTGACTGCGAGCAGTGCTCCATTGGGACGGGCCGTCTGCCTGCAGGTGTCAGCAAAGGCGAAACGGTCGTTTTGGGAGATGGTGAAGCGGGCGTATGGAGAGGATCTTCACGTGGTCGTATTGCTGTGGTGGGCGGAGATCGGGTCGTTTCGTCGTCCTGCAGCCAAAAAGTTGCTGATGGATGGGGTGATCGAGGTGTCGTCGGCGGCGGGGCCCACAATTCCAGTGCTGATTGATCTTATCAGATCCAGAGATAATCACCGATGTCGCCCGAAACGGAGACGTTACTGTGGTGCAGCCCCACAGTTGGCGCACCGCCGTCTTTTGTCGCCACCAAAGCTGGCAATACGTGCCGAAGCAGCCCCAACCTCCCATGCCCTTTCCAGGCACTCAGTGGGCGGTAAAGTTTCGCTAGCGGCCTCTGGCTGGGTCCTCCCGGGTTGCAGAGTGGATGACGATGCGCACTCTCTGAATTTTTGCTCCGCTGATCCTACCTGAAGGGGTGTTGAGACCCTGGAAGGTCGGGCCATGGATGAACGGGTCGGTCCAAGACGTGAGGCTTGTCACTTTCACCACCTCCAGGGAGGGGGGGTCTAAGTGCCTGAGAGGGCTCGATGCGAGCACACCTAACATCCAAGCCGCGGTTTAGTGGTGCCATCATAGGTGATGTTGATGGTACGACAGCCTTCCCCTGTTTGCTTGCAGGACAAGTCGGCGAGAGCTGTATTGGTACTTAACCGCCCTCCTCCCTCACCTGGATCTTAGCGTGAGGTTCTTGATGCCTTGCAACGTTTTCCTCTTCCCCTATTGATACCCCCTTCTCGCGATACCCATTGCACGTCTACAGACAAGTACCTTATCTACTGTCTTTGTGTGATACTGTAGCATTCTCCAGCTGCACGCAAGACCGGGAAACACCGTCCCACGCTGAGCCAGGCCCATTGTTGCTACTCAGCATCTTCACACATTCAAAACCAAAGAAATGGCACCACACAGTGAATTTGACGGCCACGAGGCCAACGGCAATGGTGTTTCAAATGGCATCAACGGCCATGCCCAAGTGGCACCCCCGGCGGCAGCGCCACACAACGTACACCGGAACAGGTCTGCCCATCTTCAGGCGTCTGACCTGGAGTCGGTCCACGACCTGCTCTGCGTCGGTTTCGGCCCAGCAAGTCTTGCAATTGCTGTGGCCCTCCACGATTCCCTCGAAGCTGGAACTCTCAACCAGACTCCGAATGTGCTGTTCCTGGAGAAGCAGCCCAGATTCGCCTGGCACGCAGGCATGCTGCTCCCTGGAGCCAAGATGCAGATCTCTTTCCTGAAGGATATGGCCTCCCTGCGCGACCCCAGGTCTCAGTTCACCTTCCTCAACTATGTCCACAGCCAGGGCCGTCTGCTCGACTTCATCAACCTGGACACTTTCCTGCCCGCCAGAACGGAGTACGAGGACTATCTCCGGTGGTGTGCCAGCCACTTTGACGATGTGGTGCGATACAACAGCGAGGTTGTTTCTGTGTCGCCCGAGGAGGACTCGAACGGCGTCAAGATATTCACAGTTGTGGAGCGTAACGCCAAGACGGGCGCTCTGAGCTCGCACCGCGCTCGCAACGTCGTTGTTGCCGTTGGTGGACAGGCCACGATCCCGAAGCCCCTGCCGGCAAAGAGCCCAAGGGTGATCCACTCCTCCCAGTATGCGTACATGATGCCCAAGATTCTGTCCGACCGCAACGCACCAGTCCGAGTCGCCGTCATTGGCGGTGGGCAGAGTGCTGCTGAGATTTTCAACAACGTGTCGACTTTGTACCCCAACTCCAAGACGTACCTGATCCACAAGGCCGAGTTCATCAAGCCGAGTGACGACTCTCCATTGTGAGTGACCGCACGGCCAAACGAATGCGTGATTCGAAACTAACATGTGTCCACAGCGTGAACTGCATCTTCAACCCGGAATGGGTCGACAGACTGTACCCCAAGCCCGCCGAGTACAGACAGAGTCTCATCAAGGAATCCAAGGCCACCAACTACGGCGTAGTCCGACTGAATCTCATCGAGTCGCTGTTTGAGATGATGTACGACCAGAAGCGAGAGATCGGCCACGACGAGACCCAGTGGCCTCACCGCATCATGGGCGGCAGACAGCTCGCGGCAGTCGAGGAGCATGACGACAAGCTGCGCCTCAGCGTGTCTCAGGCAAGGCCTGGATGGGAGCTCGCGCTCGAGGCAGACGGCCTTGCCGAGGTTCAGGGAGGCCCGCTGGACTCTGCCTCGGAGATCCTTGACGTCGACCTCGTTGTGGCCGCAACCGGCTACCAGCGCAAGGCGCACATTGATATGCTGAAGGATGCCTGGAAGATGCTGCCATCGCTCCAGGATGGTGTGAGCAGCCTCAAGCCTCGATCTGACCAGTGGTCTGTGCAGACCGATGATGGTGAGAGGCGAGTGATGGAAGTCTCTCGCGACTACAGGGTCAAATTCGCCGATGGCGTGGTCTCTTCAGGATCTGGAGTCTATTTGCAAGGTTGCTGCGAAGGCACCCACGGTGTGAGTATTTTCAGCCCCATTGGTCTGCGGGCCGCCTGATGTGGTCTCGACACTAACGTTATTCACAGCTGAGTGACACTCTTTTGTCCATTCTGTCGGTGAGGTCTGGTGAGATCGTGAATGCGATCTTTGGGAAGTCTGCATAAAAATTGTCAGGGAAGCTGGCACGCTGGGGGAACGACACCCTCGTTGGATCTGAACATCAGGAGCGAAGGCTCAAGGCCACATTCTTGTTGATAATTGGAGCAGGAGCAGCTTAGACGAGAGGACGTGCGCAAAAAACACAGAAAGACACGGCTGTACATATCGAAGTCTTAGGAGTTCAGAGAAGGTTGACATTTCACGCTTTATTTCTAGAGAGCATAGCATGGGGAAAAAGGTGGACGAGCATTGAGAGGAGGGTGTCCTGCATTTCAGACAACATTGAGGTCAAAATCGAATTATGTTTATCACCTATTGACGACGAGATGCTATCTGTATAAGCTATTCGCAGCCTCTCCGTCGCGCTCAGACGCGCAAGACTGCCACTGTACAACTTGCCAACAATTTCCCGGCAAAGGTAGGTAGACAGAGCCCAACACAGGACAGAATAAGACGACACAACTACCGAGGTATCTGTCTGTGATGGACGGATCGGTGGGTGGGCATGGTAACGGAGCGAGTTCACAATAAGAGGTCCTTCGCCGCAAAGAACCAAGTTCGGCGTCAAGTGCTAGGGTGAGTGGTGTACTTGGTGGTCTGGTCGCAGCAGGCATTAGATCACAGGCAGGCAAGCAGGTGGCCAGAGGAGCCGGTACCCATGCACATCGCAAGATGTTCTGCAGCAATTTCCAATGCAACGGGGCGCAGAGTGCATCGCAGGCACACTTGCAGCCGATGACGGCCGCTAAGAAGGGTACTCCACGCCCTGAAAAGAAAGGCACCTCCCACCTGTGACGGTTCCTTTACAGCGTGTGTTCCTTCACATGGGTGAATCTGCTCCTCTCATCTGCGCAGGTGGGCACCTGTCTCCCTCTTACTTACCATTCTGGGCCGGGTCAGAAAATGATGACGCAATCGAAGTGGGCAGCATCTCTCACTCCTGACCTCAACATCGTGGATCCCAAGCGTATTACAGTACCTACATATGCACCTAGGCATGGTACTTAGAAGCCCAGACTCAAGACATCTCGTTTAAAACATCAAGCAGGGCCATACATCCCACGGTGATGACCATTGTCTTGATCCTCATAGGTCCCCCCACACCCCCCCGTCCATCCTTGACAACCTCGCCTAAAGTTGGAACCGTTGCCTCGCGACACTAAGACTCCATCGAGTACTTTTGCTTTTTTTTGCACAGAAAACGACGGTACAAGCCACCCAAAACAGCACGAGCACGAGACAAATCGAGAAACGGGCCCCGACAAGCGAATCACATCTCAACCATTTCAAATCAGACAGCCGTCTCGACCCCCTCCCCCAGGCACGCATGCGCCAGATCCCGCACTAGACTAGACGTTGTTGGACAAGCATCAGACGGATGGTCATCTCGAGGACCCTGCAGCGTCACCACTTGATGCAAACCTCCAGCCTCCCACGCCCGGTGCTACCTCCTGTATCCACACCTCCCTCAGTGTCACACGAGCCCAATCAGCCCCCCCTAGGACACAAGAACCCACCGAGCTGGTGGTGTCGACGTGACCCTGGCTACTGCAAGTGCCTCCCAGTCCACGGGCTCGATACAACGGTACATACAGCACCCACTCACAGACCCGGTTCGTGGTGTTGACTACCAAGTTATCCCGTGATACCTGATACCCAGGCATCAACCAGAAACAGTGGGACTTGCAAAGCCCTCAGTTTCGTCTCCGTTTGTGCCAGTCAGCCCACCCACCCCCAGCCTTGGATGTCGACGTTCCGTTTCCCTCAGACACCTCACCTACCTCGCCGTGATGTCGATGACGCTCCCAGCACACGCGATTTTGTTTAGGACACAGGTCTTCGCTCGGATATCAGTCGTGTCAGGCCTGCTTTGCTCCCTAACATCTCGACGATCATGGATACACAAGATCTTCATAACACCACAGAGATGATGGCTTCGCCTGCCCCATCACTGTCTATACTCAACCCCAATCCCAAGAGACTCCCTGGTCCTTCACTCCTACATGAACTTGTCAGTGACAGTTCAACTCCGGCGTACGCTCTCGACTACCGGGCACCAGACGGGACTCGCACCACATTCTCCTATTCGGAGCTTCACAATCAAGCCGAGAGACTTGCGAGGAGGATAGCCGGCGCCCTTTCGAAGCATCAGGGGCTGGGCCAATTTGTTGTCCCGCTGCTCCTACCACAGAGCCCTCTGTTGTACATATCACAGCTTGCTATTCTGAAGGCTGGTGGAGCTTTCTGCCCTCTGAACCTTGATGCGCCTCCTGAACGGGTCAGATTCATTCTCGGGGATGTCAACGCCAAGGTCATCGTTGCTTCTGCGGCTTTACGCCCCAAGATTGATAGTCTCGGGCTTGACGTGAGAGTGGTAGTGGTAGATGGCGACGAGGACGAAATTGATCAGAGTCATCTCAGCGATGTCTTTCGAAAAGCAACGCCGGATAACCTCGCTTATGTGATGTACACTTCTGGCTCCACAGGAACGCCCAAAGGAGTCGGCATCTCACATGTCGCCGCTACACAAGCCCTTCTTGCCCACGACCGCCACATTCCACCTTTCTCCAGATTTTTACAGTTCGCCGCTCCAACATTTGATGTCTCTGTCTTCGAGATCTTCTTCCCCCTCTTCCGAGGCGCCACTCTCGTATGCTGCAGCAGGGCGGACCTGTTGAACGACTTGCCCGCGGTTTTGAGAGACATGCAAGTGGACGCATGCGAACTCACACCAACAGTAGCGGGTAGTCTCCTGAGGAGCCGGAACAATGCTCCCGGGCTTCGTTTGCTCTTGACGATAGGGGAGATGCTGACGGTACCCGTCATTAGGGAATTTGGGAGAGACGAGAACAAGCCCGGCATTCTCTGGGCCATGTACGGCCCAACAGAAGCCACAATCCACTGCACCCTTCAACCGTTGTGCGAAGCATCCTCGTCTCCCCGCAACGTCGGCTTCCCTCTTGACACCGCATCTGCATTTATTCTCGAGCCTCTTTCCGATAGCACCTCTGGAGGTTTCAAGGTGGCGCCCTTTGGCGAGATGGGTGAGCTAGCCATTGGTGGCAACCAGAACGCGGTAGGCTACATCAATAGGGCAGAGCAAACGTCACAAGTCTTCATTGAGACTCCTTATGGCCGGCTCTACCGAACTGGCGATAAAGCCCGTATGCTCCAAAACGGTACGATCGAGTGTTTCGGTCGCATATCAGATGGCCAAGTCAAGCTCCGTGGGCAAAGAATCGAGCTTGGCGAAATTGAACAAGCTGTTCTACACACGCCGCAATGCCGTGGCGCGGTAGCATCAGTCATCGGGGGCATCATCGTTGTCTTCTGTGAGCAAGATAGTCCAGACGACACTTTTACAGAGAATGTGTTGCAAACATGTCGGAGATGGCTGCCCGCATTCATGGTACCAGGAGATGTTGTCCTACACGAGGCTTTCCCGCGTTTGCCTTCCGGAAAAGTAGATCGGAAGCAGTTGAAGGCGGACTACGAGAAGAAAGCAAGCGGCGCTGTTGCGTCAATGAACGAATACAGGGATAGTACAGAACGTGAGATAGCTCAACTCACTCATGAGGCGGTCGGCATCCGTTTACAATCGTCTTCCGTCCTGTCTGCTGCAGGTGTGGACTCCCTCGCGGCAATCAGGCTGGCGTCTTGTCTCCGTCAAGCCGGCTTTTCTGTTACTGCTATTGATGTTCTGAACTCCAACACTCTTTCGGACCTGCGGTCTCGCATGCAACAAAAAAGGGGTCGGGTTGACAGCGCTGTTGGAATTGACGACCAATTACCAGGCTCGAAGCCTCCTACAATATCCGCGATGGAGTCTTTGAAGGGAATTCCGGAGTTTGCAGAAAGCCTTGACGCTATCGATGCCGTTTTGCCCTGTACTCCCACCCAGACTTCGATGTTGGCGGAAACTTTGCGTGACAGTGAGGCCTACTGCAACTGGATTGAGCTTCAAATCCTGGGCAATCATGCTGTCGAGACGATTGTGTCATGGTTCCGACAGCTTGCTGAGTACAACGAAATCCTGCGTACAGGATTTATCTCTTCAAGCGGCATATTTAGACAAGTCGTCTGGAAAGAGCTTCACCCCAGCCAGATCTGCGCCGTCGAGAATCTGGACAGGAGCTTTCGACTTGACGAAGCTGGTCTGTCCAAGCCATTTTCAATACAGATTCAGAGCAATCAGCCGCGCAAGACCAGCGTCTTGCTCCAGATCCATCACGCTCTATACGATGGCTGGTCAATGGACATACTCCTAGCCGACCTAAATGTTCTCGAGCAGGGTGGTCAGCTCAGTGATCGACCTTCCTTTCGCCTAGTTTCGGACTACTATCAGTCTGCGGAATTTGCGCGCGATGCCAACTCTGCACGTGCTTACTGGGCGGAACACCTCTTGGGTTACCAACCGACCCCGATGCCTCAGCTTCTGGCAAAGGAATCGAAGAGCGGCCAGATTCTCTCCGCTGAGCGTATCTTGGGAACAAAGGCTCCCGCCGTCCAGACTGTTTCAAAACAGCTAGACGTGAGTGTACAAGTCCTATTCCAGACATGCGTATTCTGGCTCTGGGCACGCATCTTGGGTACTGAAGACGTCGTGATCGGCAATGTCACGTCGGGTCGAACCATCCCCATCCAGGGCATTGAGGACGTGATGGGCCCATGTCTCACGACCATCCCTCTAAGGTCAAGGTTGGAGCAAGTGCGGACTATTAGAGAGCTCATCGAAAGCATTCACACGTCAAACCGAGAAAGTCTTGCCCATTGCACGCTGCCACTCGCCGAGATCAAAAAGTCTGCTGGCATCATTCCAGGACAGCCTCTCTATGATGCGCTATATGTTTACCAGGAATCACTTCACAGTCGGGCAACCTGCCGGCAAACCGACAATGTCAAACAAATTGCTCACCAGGACCAATTGGAGACGAATTTACTCATCGAAATTGAGCCTGTCGACGATGTTTTCCGACTTCGTGCGACCTATCACACTGATGCCCTGGATCACGACTACATAGAGCTAGTCCTTCAACAGTTTGATTGCATCCTTGGTTATATCATCAGTAATCTCGATCGTGAGACTTCATCGATTTTTGGATGCTTCACAGACAACCTGCTTTCTCAGCACAATCAAGATATCACATCTTACAAGGGCTCTGCCGACCTGGCAATATTATTTGAGAACATGGCGGCTAAAGTACCTAAGCAACCCGCACTCTGTTTCGCGGAGTCCATTGAAAATGGTGGCGCCGAACTGAGTTACATCTCATATGAGGAGTTGAACATCAAGTCAAACAAGATCGCTCGACATATTCAGTCCTTAGGCGCAGCTGAGGGAACCGCCGTGACAATCATAATGGAGAAGTCGATCATGTTGTATGCGGGTATCCTGGGCATTCTAAAAGCAGGCTGTGCATACTTGCCTCTCCTTCCAAGCACGCCGCTGCCGAGGATTCTGGGAATCTTAGAACAGGCAGATGTACGGCTTTGCCTGTGCGATGAGAATGTTCGAGGTGATCTTTCTACTCTTTCCGCATGCAACTCTATCAATCTTCTGGAGACAAATCTCGACGCTTACGATGGGAGTGACCTTCAAACCCCCCAGAACCCGTGGAGAATTGCCAATATTATTTACACTTCGGGTAGCACAGGTGTGCCGAAGGGTGTCTCAGTCACTCAGCTCAACATCACGAGCAATTTGGACGTTCTCTCCCGGATATACCCCGTCAAAAGCAACTCTCGCATGCTCCAGGCTTGCTCTCAAGCATTTGATGTATCGGTTTTTGAAATATTCTTTGCCCTGACCCGTGGCATGTGCCTCTGCGCTGCAACTAATGATGTTCTCTTCGGCGATCTCGAGCGAACAATCAGAGCAATGGATGTCACGCACCTTAGCATGACACCGACTGTCGCGTCTCTCGTCAATCCTACCAAAATTCCCAAAGTTGAGTTCCTTGTCACTTCAGGCGAGCCCATGACAAGCGAGGTCGCAAGAAAGTGGATGGGCAAGCTTTATCAAGGCTACGGTCCCTCAGAGACAACCAATATCTGCTCAGTGAAGAAGATGTCCCCAGAGGATAGAATACGACACCTCGGTCATACTCTCGAGAACACATCCGCTTTCGTTCTCGCTCACGACGGCCTAGACCTCCTTCCAATAGGTTGCGTGGGCGAGTTCTGCTTCGGTGGCGACCAAGTCGTGGCTGGATACCTGAATATGCTTGATATTACACGAGACAAGTTTATTGACCACCCGAGGTGTGGCCGTATCTATCGATCCGGCGACATTGGTCGCATGCTGCCTGACGGGTCGCTGCTTATTGTTGGACGGATCGATGACCAAATCAAGCTCCGTGGCCAACGTATTGAGCTTGGCGAAGTCAGTGCTGCCGTCGCTTCGTTGACCGAGGTCTCAAACTGCACGGCCATGCTGGTAAATAAAGAACAGCAACTGGCTTGTTTTTATGTACCACACACAGCAGTAAGGGGCAAATTCAACTTTATCCCAGCTGAGGAAGGACTAGTGAAGATGAATAAGTCCATTTACCGCACCTTGCAATCCCGACTCCCAGGCTACATGATTCCATCCTGCCTGATTCCTATTACGACCGTCCCGATGACTTCTTCTGGAAAGATCGATAAAGCCAGACTAAGGAGTCTTTTCGAAAATCTGAGCGTCAAAGAGCTAGAATCTTTTAGTGTGGCGGCCGACTGTGGAGACATTGATGGTGACTGGTCTGAAGACGAGCGCAAGGTCGCCGCGGTAGTTGCCAAATGTCTGGATGCACATCCTCAGGATGTGGGAAGATGGACACCGCTGACAAGCTTGGGACTGGATTCCATCTCAGCAATTTCAGTCTCGAAAGAATTGCATAGTACCTTTTCGCAGAGGGTTCCGATCTCGGCTATCTTGCAGAACCCTTCCACAGCGAAGCTTGCTGGGCTGCTTGCTGGAAGTACAGTGGAAACCGTCCAAGATGGGAATCGTCTGGAAATCTTCTCGAAAGACTTCTTGGAGATGATCAGAACGTCTTTCAGCTCAAAAAATGTCGAGGTCGAGTTGATCTTGCCATGCACGCCTCTGCAAGAGGCGATGCTGTCAGCTTCGACCCGCGATGCGTCATACCTCAACAAGATGCTATTCCGTCTCAATATTGACCCCACGGCAATGCGAAAGCATTGGGATGCGATGTTTCGAAGACATGCAATCCTCAGAACAGCCTTTTTCAGCACCGATGACCGAGATCATGCCATTGCGCAGTGTGTCCTTGAAGACTGGGCACCTAAGTGGCTTACCTTTGACACGGACGCGGACTTGCTGGGTGAAACAATAAGCAGACATGCAGCAACTTTGCCTGATGCCCTCAACTCTGGAATACCGCCAGTCTCTATAGCCATCATCCGGCAAGACTCACTTACGTATCTATCTTTTGTCTGCCACCACGCCATGTATGATGGCGTTGCAATATCACGGCTACTCCATGAGGTTGAGCAGGTTGCATGCGGCGCCGAGCTCCCGCAGCCTCCATCTTACAAGCCTTTCTTGCAGGAGGTATTGGCTCTGCCGAAATCCACCGACGAGTTCTGGAAGACACACTTGAATGGACTAGACCCAAAGCCATTGCCGCGATCATCGGAGACAGACAAAGGTCGTGGCCTCCTGACAAAAGCCTTGGATTTGCCTCTTCCCTCAATTGAAAAACGCTTGAGGATGCTCAACGTGTCTCTCTTATCCCTACTTCAGGCGACCTGGAGCAACCTGTTGGGAGTCATCCGCGGTTCTGACGATATTTGTTTCGGCAATGTCCTCAACGGCCGCACTGGCACGCTTGAAAGGGTAGACGAGCTCATCGCACCCTGTTTCAATACTATTCCAGCACGTGTTGGACTGAATGATATGAAGCGGAACATTGAGCTTGTCAAATTCTTTCAAAAACTGAACCCTGAGCTGCTACAGTATCAGTTCACGCCTTTGCGGCGCATCCAGGCTTTGTGCTCCAACGGTTCAACGCTATTCGATACGCTTTTGTTACTGCAGCAGCCTCCGAAAAGTTTGGACGAGAATATATGGACTCTGGAAAAGGATGATGGGGACATGGATTTCCCGTTAGTTTGTGAGGTGACTCCAATCCATGAAAATGGGATATTGGAATTCAAAATACATTTTGACCGGTGAGTCTGGGTCATATGGGGCTTGTGCAAGACTACTGCTGACAATTCCCAGTTCTTATGTTTCTGATTCATTTGCGTTGTTTGCATATGATACCCTTACACACATTCTCTTAAACTTGCTGGACTTTCCCTCGTCTCATATAATATCCAGGCAGTCGCTGCCTTTGCCAATCCGAGAAAGGCTGGACAGGCTGGGTCTCATTCAGCTATCAAAAGCCAGTGACAAGGATAAACTGTCAAATACGGCTGTACATCAAGATTGGTCTGACCTCGAGAGGACCGTTCGTGCTGTACTCTCGGATATCTCCAAGTTCAAGGAGGACAGCATTAGCCGGCACATGACAATATTTCAAATGGGACTCGACAGCATCAATGCCGTTCAGGTGGCAGCCATGTTGCGCAAGGCTGGCTACCCTGGAGCCACGGCTACGGATGTGCTCGAGAACCCGACCTGTTCGGGCCTGGCGATAAAACTATCCGCACAGCAGCCCACTAGTGATACCTCCGCCGAGTATGACCTGGGTAGCTTTGAGAAGGCGGCGAAGGACTTGCTAACTGACAGTTTCTCAAATTGGGAATCTGTTCAAGCTATCTTCCCATGCACGCCACTTCAGATGGCGATGCTCACTCAATTCACCAACTCGAACGGCAATGACTACTTCAACTTCATAAGTCTTCGTTTTGAGGAACATGTCAACGCCTCTCAGATCACCAGTGGCTGGAGGAAGCTTGTTGAATCTCACCCAATTTTACGATCCGGCTTCATCCCGATAGACCACAAAGATGTATCATTCGCTATGTTACAGTACGCTCTGGAGGAAGATAAATTGCCTCTAAATATCGAGGCTGATGTCAAATTCAATGTCCAAGACTGGCGTTTGGCAGCTTCGACGGGAGCCCTCAAGAATCTGCGCGAGCCTCCGTGGAAGGTTGCTCTTGTGCCTGACAGCAAAGGTGTCGAAATGCACCTCGCCATTCATCACGCTATTTATGACGCCTTCTCACTTCAGAAAATTCTGGAAAATTTGGAGAAAGCGATCCGTGAAGAGCCCTTCAACGTAAGCCCAGGGCTGGCTTCTGTCGTTCAAGACATAATGACACAAACGCGGAGCAGCAAAGAGGACGCTGCGGAGTTCTGGACAAAGCAAGCATCAGATGCCGTTGTCAATAAGTTTCCTGTCATGACACCGCTCAGAGTGGACAACCGAAATATCTCAGTGAGACAGAGAACATGCACTCTGTCCTTGAGCACCTTGACAGACGTCATCAGGAACGAGGGCTTCACAATCCAGGCAGTAGCGCAAGCTGCATGGTCGAGGATTCTATCCTCGTATATTGGAGAGCCGTCTGTGGTTTTTGGCACAATTCTTTCGGGTCGGAATTCTGATGCTACGCAAGATGTCGTGTTCCCATGCATTACGACTCTACCCGTCATAGCTCAATATTCGCCCTCGAATCGCAAACTCCTGCAGGCCATGATGGAGTACAACATTGGGCTCCAGCGACACCAGCGAACACCGCTGACGGAGATTCAGAAGCACCTTGGTCTTCCAAACACGAGACTGTTCGATACTCTACTGGTATATCAGAAGTTCGATGGGGACGGGCAACACTCAAGGCCGTGGTCTATAATTGATGAGAAGGCTGCCGTTGACTACCCAGTGTCTATCGAGGTAGGGCCTGACTGTGACTCTCTGCAGCTTCGTGTCACTTTCTTCGATGATGTCTTGCCAGAGCAACAGGCAGAAATCTTGCTGCAGCAATTCGATGCCGTCTTCTCCGATTTAGCGCAACATCCCGATGGCAACGATGAGGACGTACTGCAGAATCATCCAGAACTGTCCGCTGTCATACCTGCTGAACAGCCTGAATTGGTATCAGATGTGACCCTCCTGCACGGTCTCGTGGAATCCTGTGCTGCGAAGCTTCCCGAAAAGATCGCGCTGGAGTTCATTTCGAGCTTCGAGGGCAGCCGGCCAGTGTCTCAACGATGGACCTACAAAGAGCTGGACCAGAACGGCAACAGAGTGGCGAATATGCTGGCATCCCATGTTCAGACCGGCGATATCGTCGCCATTTGCTTTGATAAAAGTCCAGAAGCACACTTTGCGATGCTTGGCATTCTCAAAGCCGGTTGTGCACTGCTTGCTCTGGATCCAGGAGCACCGTCGTCTCGGAAGGAGTTTATCATGAAAGACTCCAGAGCATCAGTACTTTTGACAGATAAGACAAGGAGCATGAACCTTGATTTCAAAGTCGAGGTTCCAATTGTCATGGTTGATGAGGGCAGCCTGGTGCCAGCCGATGCTTCGAGACCTAAGCTCAACCGTCCGTTGGTCCCGGCTGATAGGAGCTATTGTCTCTACACTTCTGGTACGACGGGGACCCCCAAAGGTTGCGAGATCACGCACGAAAACGCAGTGCAGGCGATGCTTGCTTTTCAGAAGTTGTTCGAAGGGCATTGGGATGACAGCTCCAAATGGCTTCAATTCGCATCCTATCACTTCGATGTCTCCGTCCTTGAGCAATACTGGACATGGTCCGTTGGCATCACTTTGGTTGCTGCTCCTCGAGATGTGATCCTTGAAGATCTCGCAGGCATCATCTCACGCCTCGAGATCACACACATTGACCTCACACCCAGCCTAGCTCGCTTGTTGCATCCTGATGATGTTCCCAGTCTTTGCAGAGGAGTGTTCATCACCGGCGGAGAGCAGTTGAAGCAAGAGATTCTCGATGTTTGGGGGCCGAAGCGTGTCATCCACAATTTCTACGGGCCGACAGAGGCTACCATTGGAGTGACCACGTACCCCTGTGTGCCAATAAATGGGCGTTCATCGAATATCGGAAGGCAGTTTGCCAATGTGGGCTCGTACATTCTTCGACCAAACACGGAAACACCTGTCCTCCGGGGTGGTGTGGGTGAGCTTTGTGTCTCTGGCAAGCTAGTCGGTAAAGGCTATCTCAACAGAGTTGAGCTCACCGCTGAGCGCTTCCCAACCCTAAAGACATTCAAGGATCGTGTGTATCGGACTGGAGATTTGGTTCGAGTGCTACACGATGGCTGCTTTGATTTCCTCGGTCGAGCTGATGATCAAGTCAAGCTTCGGGGCCAGCGTCTTGAAATTGGTGAGATCAACCACTGCATCAAGTCCGCTGTGCCCGATGTCACCGATGTGGTGACCCTGGTCATTCGTAACGAGAAGCAGCAAAAGGATCTACTCGTGTCGTTCGTCGTCACAGCACGAATGCAGGCTCGCAGGCTTAAAGATCTGCGAATCATTGATGGGGATGAAGCAACAAGCCTCAGCCAGAGTGTTAAGCGGGCGTGCCGAGACAAGCTCCCAGGTTACATGGTCCCGACATATGTCTTGATTTTGCCCTTTATTCCACTGTCGCCGAACAACAAGGCAGAGGTCAAGGAGCTCAGAACACTGTTCAACAACCTCTCTCCTGAACAACTCGTGGCGCCGTCTTCTGTCGCGAATGGTGATCTAGGAGAGGTTGGAAAGAAGATTTGCGGAGCACTCAGCAGCGTATATGACCTACAAGAGAAGCTTATCTCGCCATCCGCAAATACCTTCGAGCTCGGCGTGGACTCCATTTCTGTCATGAAATTGGTGAGAGCGCTGAAGCTTGAGGGCCTCAGTCGGGCCCACGCCGCTGTGATCCTGAAAAACCCCATCGTTGCGGATTTAGCGTATGCGCTTCAGTCACTGCAGCGATCGAGTGAGGCCTCGATCGGTGTTCTGGAGGCATCGCAGGCGATCGAGGCCTGTCAGCATAGACATAGAGGGTTCGTATGCAGAGAACTCGGCCTCAGTCCGGAAGACTTGGAGTATGTGGCGCCTTGTTCGCCGCTCCAGCATGGCATGATCTCCCGTTCACTAACCGATGAAAATGAGGGGTCATATTTCAACACCTTCCGTTACGAGCTGGCGGACGACCTTGAGTTGAAAAGGCTCCGCTCTGCCTGGAAATACCTTGTGCAGAGGCATGCGGTTCTGCGTACTAGATTCGTCTCGACCACAGACGGGTACGTACAAGTCGCCACCAAGGCACAGACGATCCCTTGGGAGGACCTCTCACTGAGATTAGACGATGACATCGAGACTGTGCTGGCTGAACGGCGTCAATTATGGATTCGCAGTAACAATCGAAACATCGACAAGCCTCTGGAGCTGATGACAGTCAGTAGCGCTGAAAAGCGATTGCTTGCTGTGCACATCTTTCACGGGATCTACGATGCCAATAGCTACGATTTGATGATTGATGAGGTGGTGAGGCTTTACGAAAGAAAAGAGGACAGAAATCCTGATGCACCGAGTTTCTTCGATGCGCTCCTTCACGGACCATTGAAGAATCACTCCTTCTGCAGAGAATTCTGGTCAGAGCACCTGCAAGGTGTGAATTCGCAGTCGCTATCTCAGATATCGCCAACACCCAGTGATTACAATCTCTGTGTCTCGCGCTCGATCGACTTCCATTTTCTGGACGATGTGCGAAAGTCACTGGGCGTCACGCAACAAGCCATTATTCAGGCTCTGTGGAGCTCAGTTTTAGACCAATATTGCTCCTCTGGAGTTACATTCGGTATCATTGTTTCAGGCCGTTCAATAGAGCCGGAGAACATTGATAGGACAATCGGGCCGCTTTTCAACACAGTTCCGTATCATCACCGCTTTGCTCAGGGGCAGACATGGGCTTCTGCGATCCGAAATTGCCATGACTTCAACACGGCAATACTTCCATTCCAGCATGTGCCTCTGAGGGATGTGCAAAAATGGTGCTCAGGAGGAAAGCCAATCTTTGACACTCTTTTCTCATTTCAACGAGCGTCTGCCGCTGAAGGCACAAGCGCGGATTTGTGGACCGAGATCGAGTCAAACATCAACCCGGACTACCCTCTTGCTTTTGAGGCTACTCTATTCCCGGATGGCGCACTGAAAGTATTAATCGTCACACAAAAGGGTGTATCTGATGAGAAAACACTGGAAAAGATGCTCGATGACTTCGAAGCCAACGCAAAGGCTGTAGTCAAAGACCTGGAGAGCCTGGTACTCCCTGACCTTGTGAACGGCTTCGTCGACAAGACACAAGATGTGCCCGATTATTCAGATGCGGCAAACCCACCTACTCAATCCAAGACATTCGCAGAATCTCCCTCTTCTTTTGAATGGTCGCATCAGGCCTTGACCATTCGCAAAGAACTTGCAGCCTTGGCCGAACTAGACGAGTCTTCCATCACGCAGAGCACGACACTTCTGGAGCTTGGACTTGACAGCATTGACACCATCAAGTTGTCAGCGCGACTCAGGCGAACTGGTATTACATTGAGTAACAGCGAACTGATCAAAGGCCAGAATATCGCGAACTTCGTGGACATTCTGCAGACCAATGAGAGCAGGAGGGACGGGATCCATGACAGCGGATATTCCTCGGATGTCGAGGACTCATCGTCATCCCTCAAAACGTATCTCACGAAGCATGGCCGAGACCTCAGTGATGTTGAGACTGTCCTGCCACCGACAGCTCTGCAAGATTCCATGGTGTCAGAGATGGTGCAGTCAGGTTTCCAGCGGTATTTCAACCATGATGTCCTCGAGCTAGCACCTGATGTGGAAGTCCAGCGACTCAAGCATGCTTGGGTGACCGTCATCAAGCACTCGCCGATTCTGAGAACTGTTTTCACTGAAGTTGAAGGCATAGAATTTGATTTCGCATACGCGCAGTTGGTCTTGAAAAACTACTCGCCCGCACTTAGGGAAATCGAGATCCAGTCTCCGGACGACCTGTTGTCTGTGATGGAACAGACGCGTAAGATGGCCCAGGAGGGATACGCACAGTCGAATCTCTTACAGATCACATTCGTCACGACGAGTCAATCAACGTACATGATTCTGTCAATTGCGCATGCACTTTACGATGGCTGGTCACTTGGTCTGTTGCATAGAGACATCGAATCGGCCTACCTCGGAACCTACAAGCCTCGCGAGCCGTACATCGAGTGCTTGCATGGAACAATTAGGTCCCTCAAACAAGATGGCAAGGATTTCTGGTCAGACTATGTTTCAGAAGCAGTACCTGTGCTGTTTCCACCTCGGGGGCAGAAAGATCCTGGAGCCGGTGTCAACAGAGCAGAAGCCTCGCCTCCTATCCCAGCCTCTGCCCTCAAGGAATTTTGCAAGCGTCATGCGGTCAGCCAACAAGTTGTTGCACAAGCATGCTGGGCCACTATTCTAGCCACGCATTGCAAGACTTTGGACGTGGCTTTCGGTGTCGTTCTGTCCGGCAGAGATACTGAGGCTTCCGAGGCGATGCTGTTCCCTACAATGAACACTGTGCCGGTTCGAGCGGTTTTGTATGGGTCGGTGTCGTCTTTCTTGCATTACATGCAGGACAATATGGCTGGTGTCAGCCAGTTCCAGAACTACCCGCTGCGGAAGATACAGGCTTTAGTCCAGGATCGCCAGACGAGTCTCTTCAATACCCTCTTTATCATGCAGAAGAGCGGCGTCGAGACCACTGGAGAAAGCCGAGCTGAAGCCCGGAAGCCGCTGATGAAATCAATTGACAGTTCGTCTGCCGTTGACTATCCAGTGTGTGTAGAGATGGAGATCTCTGGAGAGAACATTATTTGGCGCACAGCGTGTGACAATGGCTATCTATCCCCGGACGACACGCATCATCTTCTAGAGGAGCTGAAAAATGTCCTTAAATTCTTGATCAACTCGCCTGAGAAAGACGTTCTGCAGTTTAGCGATGACGGCGTGTCTGTTTGTGGCTTGCCTGCATTTCAACCACAAGGAAGGACAAACTTGGAGCAGACGCAAGAGTTGAAGGAGCCGAGAATTGTTGGCAAAGATGATGTGTGGTCAGACGCAGAGGGGACAATCAGGCAGGTCCTCGCTGGTATGTCTGGCCTTGAGGAAGCGTCAATTCGGAAGAGCTATAATCTCTATCACCTCGGCCTCGACTCTATCAGCGCGATTAAAGTAAGCTCAGCACTTCGTCGGCAAGGGCTGAACGTCAGTGTACGGGACATGATACAGGCCACATCGATCAGTGAAATGGCCACGAAGATTTCTAAGAGCCCGGATGCCACGTCTTTGGAAAGTTCTTTTCAAAGTCAAAACGACACTCAGATTTTGAACAAAATATCCGGAGGTGTCAGTCCAAATGATCTGCTCCAATCAGCAAGCATCGACCTGAGGGAGGTGCAGGAGGTATCACAAGCCACTGCGATGCAGACGCACATGCTTAGCGTGTGGCAGAACACTCAAGGGACTGTCTTCTTTCCCGAATTCCAGTACAGACTGTCTGGCATAGCTGACCGAGATGCCATCGAGGCTGCGTGGAAGGATCTCGTTGGACAAATACCGGTGCTGAGAACAATTTTCCTTGCCACTAGCCACAACAGCACACCGTTTCTCCAGGTGGTTCTGTCAGAAAAGTCGGAAACGAAAAATCCATTCGTGTCACTTCGACTGCAGCCAAACGGGGTCAGAAACTGGGTGTTGCGTCTCAAGATTCATCATGCTTTGTACGATGGAGTCAGCTTGCCGATGATCATGGAGCGTTTCAAGGACCTACTCAGCCAGGGAGCGGCGACAGGTAAGCGGGAGAACGGACTGGCCTCGTGGGGAGGATTGGTCTTCTCGTCGATGAACGAACAAACACGAACAAGCCAGAAATCCTTCTGGACGCAGTACCTTGATGGAGCCAAAGCCGTACCACTACGCCTAGCAAATTCCAACAGTACGTCGATGGGCAAACGCGTTAGCTTCCTCATGCAAACAGCCGTCAGCAATACGAGCAGGCTCAAAGCTCTGTGCTTGCAACACGGCATCAGCATCCAGTCCGCATTCCTCGCCGCATACGCGAGGGTCCTCTCAAAACTCTCAGGACGCAACGACGTCGTGTTTGGTGTCTACATCGCCAACAGGAGCATCGAGCAAACCTCAACATACCCTACACTCTGCCTTATACCTCTGCGTGTCAGAGTCCCAGAAGCTTTCGACATTGTTGAAGTCGCAAGCGTCATCCAGCGGGACATCTTCGATATATCAAAACCGGAGAACGTGACCGTTGGGCTGTGGGAGATCAAGGACTGGACTGGTGTCCTAGTTGAGACTTTTGTGAACTTCTTGAGCTTGCCTGAAGACGACTCTTCCACGGGCAAGGACGACGGCGTGGTCGAGCTTGAGGCCATCCGTTTCGACGACGCCACAACGGCCGTAGAAGACGAGAGCACTGCTGTTGACCCAAGACAGGTGTCATGGCTGGAGAAAAATACTGTTAGCGATGCTTATCCAGTGAGTCAAGATCTACCTTACCTCTAACTTATAGTGATCGTCGCAGCTGACAATGACGTGCCAGGACGCTGTTGATATTGAAGTTTCAATGCAAGATAATGGTGCAATGGATATAGGAGTGTTCGGTAGCTTCGGGAAACTGGGTGAACACGGCGCAGAGGACTTGGAAGGAATGCTTGTGGATGTGTTGAGCATTTAGGTAGATGTCTTCATGTTTTCCTTTGAATTTCAATTCTCAAGTTATCTTGTCTCATTTTAAGGATTTCGTTTATTAGACGTGTGCGAAACATGACACGCGGCAACGTAATGAATTTACAGCAAGGCTTGGGGGTATCATTTTTTTCAAATTGTTTGATTTTACATAAAAAGTCGAATCTGCATCATTTTTGCCGTATGTTTTTGGGCTTGCGCTTCTTGAACGCCACCGCGGGCACATCTTGTGCTCCTGCCGACTCAGCTGCGCTTGCGCCATCCTCCGTCTTGAGAACAGGTGGGTCAGCTTTCGGGCTTGTATCTGTCCCGACCTCTGCCAGCGCCGAAACCCCTTCGTCTAACGGCTCCTTCTTGATTGGCGAGAGTTCCTGCTCCTCCTTTTTGACTGGTACGGGTTCAGCCGCAGGCTCAGAATCCTCCTCCTTCTTCACTGTGTCTTCCTCCTGCTTTTTGACCACGAGGCCTCCACTTAGTAAAGCATCCAGATCCGCACTGTCGCCATCCCCAGCGACTGTCCTGGAGTCCCGGCCCCAGCGCCTCGGTTTCTTAAAGAGGCCCTTGATAGCCTTCTCCTCTTCAATCTCCTCCTCTGTGCGCTCACGCTTGTGTACGCCGCGCGCCGAGGCACCCGGGTTGTTCTCGTCTGTCTCGGTGAAAATCGTAGTCGAGGTCACCTGCCAGTCGCCCGCCATGGCCAAGTCCTTCCTGAACTCATCGGGGAGGCTGACCCCGAGGGAGGCGAGTTGCTCGGCCTGGCGCTTGCGCTCTGCCTCGGACAGCGGGCCGGCTCCTCCACCACCACCACCTCCTCCGGAACTGGCCCCAGGCCTCGGTCTTGACGAAGAAGCCGCATTTGCAGTAGACGTAGACCCTGAGCCATCAGAGGAGACGACGCCGTTGAGGCGCTCGATCTCCCTCTTTGCCCGCTCCTTCTCTCTCTCCTCCCGCTCGTGGCCGCGGTGTAGATCGCGCAGGGCGCGTTTGATGGCGCCCTGGTGCTTGGCTGTTGCTTCGTGGTTTTGCCGCTCAAGCTTGGTGTCGCGAACGTAGACGGAGCAATTCTTGCACCAATACTTGGGAGTGGACTTCCAGTATTCGGCCATGTTGGCTTGGGCGAAACACAAAAGACGAGTGGGCTAGGCGACGGGCAAAGAAAATGATGAGGTGGTTTGGAGGTGGGAGTGAGAGCCGAATTGCTTGGAGTGGTTATGGGGTTAGGGAATGTCTGTGAATTGCCACCGGCATCGATAAGCCCGGGACATGCTTATCGGTCACCGCGGCAGGCAACTTGGGTACGTAAGGCAGCTTGAGAAGGGTGTCGTTTGTCACTTGCGGACTTCGAAGCGCGTAAGTCACCACAAACACCATCACCACTCTGTCGCCTCTAGTCTTCATCATCATCACGGGCATCACAATCATCACCATTTATAATAAATACCAGGGAGGTTGATTTATGAACTTGTGTTTCTTTGTCCGGTCTGGCCTATGTACAGGGGCATGAATCCTATTACGACCCTGTGGGCAACAAAGCAGCCGAGTCCAGTCTCAAACCACCGCGAGATGCGGTGCCAGAGAAGGGAGACACCCCTCAATTAAGAGCAGCATCCTCAGCCAACGTCCCACGACCTTTACCAAACCCCCGTTATTCGGGATTACCATGCCCTGCGATGCGATGGCGTTCAGTCATTTCCGATCTCACCCTGGAACCAAAGTCCGAAACAGTGGACGGGTATTAAAACCATGACCCCATATGCGTGTCGAAAAGCAGAGCAGAAACAGAAGCGCGACCCTGGAAAATTCATTACATCCCACCGAAACAGGGTGTTCGTTGTTGCACCATGCTTTCATTGGACCCGAAAGCGAAATGTAGCCTTTCCGAAAATCAACTCCCTTCATGAACCAAAGCAGCAGGCAAGTTCCTGCAAGACGGCAACAGCAGGCAGCGGGGCCACCATCGCATCCGCATTAGAAGCATGACCCCCACACATGTGTCGCAATTGTTCGAGGAGCTGGGAACGCAAGCTCAAGTTTCGGGTTGAATCCAGCAGGAGAATTAGTACGAGGCGATCGTTTAGATGAAAGCGACAGCGCCGATAACGCCGATGAAAAGAGCTGCCATGGAAGCCGCCTGGACTGTGGCACCGCCGGTGGCCGGCGCAGAGGTGGCCGCGGTGGTGGAAGGCGTAGTGCCCGAAGATCCAACTGACGTGGCCGTGGTGGCGAGCGTGGTGCCAGACGAGGCGGGCTGCGTCTCGGAAGGCAGGACGACGCTGCTGGCCGACGGGGCGGGAGCACCAGGAGCGCTGGCAGCAGGGGGGGCTGAAGGCGACACTGCAGGTGGCGCCGGCGCCGGGTTCGTCACAGTAGGAACGGACGCTGGCGGGGTCACGTTGATTTGACCATCAGTCTGCTGGGAGACAGGCGCTGGGTTCGAAATTGCCACAGGCGTCGTGGTGATGCTAGCGCAAGGCGTAGTGCCAACCTGGACCTGGCCTTGGGTTGCTGTCAGCACGTGATCTGAAAAGACTGCGAAATTGGATTGATGCAACTTACCGTCCGCGATTTGAGAGACCTGGCACACGGGGATGCCGGTAGTCGTGGTCCGGACTTGAGGCTGGCCATCGCTTAGGGCGGAGACGACAGTGGTGGTGACTATCTGAGTGCCAACGACCTGTCCGTCGCCGGCCTGGCTTGCCGTGCCCTCGCCACAAGGCATGATGATGATCTCAACGGGCGAGCACTGCGGAGCCCACGAGCGGTCATACAGGTTGTAAAAGTCACCACTGGCGCACTGATAAAAGACAGCCGAACCGCCCAGGGCAAGGGAGCCGTTAGAACAGGCCGAGAAGCCCGCGGTGTAAATTGCACCAGTCTGAGGGGGGCCGTCGAACTGGAATTGGTAATTGGCTGCGACGTATCCAGTTCGAGCCTGAGCGTCCTTGAGAATACCGTCCTGCAGTTGCGCGACCAGAATGCCGTTGGTGGAGCAGTCACCGCGCTTCTGTTTGAGATGGTCAGCCACAACGTTTGGTTGTGATGGGTGCCCCCCTCCAGCGGGGTCTACGCCACCAAAGCAGCGACACAGCAAGGAAAGCAAGCAGGGGGGACAAAGCAAACGTGCTCGTTGAAGCCAAGTAACCTGGCAGCCATCGCGAGAAGGGTGTTGAAGCAGACAGACGCTGGGTTGCAGTGCTGAACGATTCGATAAGGCACGCGAGCTTCCTGGAAACTTCGACGTGGTGTCTTCTGTGCTGTGCTTCCCTCCGCTCCTGGTGCAAACGACAGGCGACAAGGGCGAGGAGCAGGTGAAGCGCATAAGGGGTGTGGCCATCTCAGGAGTGAACTTACGGCGATGGTGTTGACGGACCGCTTTGCGGCGCCCTCAACTTTGGCGACCGTGATCTCAAACTTGCCCGAGTACGAGCCAGAGCAGCCGGCTGGGAATCCAGCCTGAGGCGAGATCGCGGAGGTGACACCCTGGGCAGAGACTGTGGTCACAGCCAGGGTGAAAAAGGCAAGGATGAAGGACAAAGACTTCATGGTGTCGGTCGACGGTGATGCCGGAGAAAGAGTGATTGACAAGAGACTGATGGTTGAGAACGAAGAACGAGTGTGAGTTCGTTGACGACTGAACAGATCAAGAGTTGCTTGTGGAGGCAAGACAGTAAGTAAGAAAGAGGAATGCGATGGCTGGTGGCGGTGGAAGATGGAAGAAACGTTGCAGGGGGAAAGAGGTGCAAGCGGGATGTCGATGGTTCGGGATGGGAGCTGGTGAATCAAGGGAGCTGCCACAACAACAAAAAAAGAGCTTTTTGTGGCTGGCAACCAAACACTGCACAAGCTAACTAAATTAGGTCGATTACAAAGCGAAGGTCCAAGCAGTCAGTATCGTGGGCCCGTGGGAAACAACCAGCAGTCGGTGCTAGCTGTGGTGGTTAAGGTTGCGGATACTCATCGAAGGGATGGGGTGCGAGGGGAGGCCTGATATATGGAACACGCGGCAGAAAGCTTCACTTGGCACCCCTGGAAAGGAATGGCCACAGCAGGCAGGGTCAAATCTCATGGTTGATCACTATTATGGAGCTAGCAGGACTACAGAGACACAACAAAAGGAAAAAGTGGTTGAACCGAGACATCTGATTCACCAAGTACTTTACCGTGTAGGCCACTTTCCGGGAGCAGTAGGTAGCCACACACAGACAGACATGGATGAGCAAGAGGGGAAATGTGCACAAACCACACACATTGGCCACGACCAGGCTGGTTGGCAGGGTGTGCTTGACATGGGCCCTGCATGCATTGGGGGAAGGACGGACGATCAACCAGCCCCGGCAAAAAGAGCTCGCCTCAAGCTATGAACCTTGAAAGGTGGGCAAGTGGTTTTGGGGTGGTTGGGTGGAATGTACCTCTCCAACTGAGGTACATGTTGCCCCAGCTATGTTTGTTTCCTGTTGGGCCACTGACTGAATACTGACCACTGGCCACAATGACTTTGTCTGCGGAACCATTCGGGCTCCAGCAACGGCTGTGGCTTGAACTGGCAAGACGGAAACCCGATGTTTGGGGGGCACACGGCCAGAGGTCTCCCGCCTCTCTCACCACCGGTACATGACAGCATCTTGCTGTGATCTTGAGTGCAGCTTCGGGGACGGGCGGATCATGGCATCCAGGTCACTCACACGCTGATGCATATGACTCGACTGGGCAGCTGGGGGCCATGACGACACTTGCTGTAGACTGTGCTACTGCATACGTACGTTGGCTGACCTGGCTGGCCTGTCACGACTGTCTGCCTGTACGTGGAGTTCTGGTGGAGTTCTCCTTGTGGGGTCCGTCTTGTGGAGCTTTCTCCATGTGCAGAAGACTGGACTCCACCTGATCTTTTGACATCGGGAATGCCTGGAAATCACATCAACATTGACATGGATCCATATATATAAATCGATGACAACATGGAGAAGCAAAGAAGCTTGAGAGAGCAGGAAGGAGAAGGCCCAGATCGATCGGCAGGGGCATCAAATCTTGCAGTGGATTGCTACGGCCCCGCTGGATCTCCCGAGCCGGCGCGGTCTTGTCAGAATCCGGAAAAGACGAAAGTACATTTCCTACGTAATTTGAATGTGTGGTACGACGGGGGCGCCGTCAGCCTCAACCAGCCTTTTGCCTCGCACGGGGGCACGGCGAACCCAGAATAGCGAGAGGCGTTCGACGCTGGTCTCAGACCCACCTGCTCGGCCTGCCTGGGCACAGAATAGGCTGTCGGAGGACGAGACACAGGGCGCCTCTTTCTTAATTAGGAGGCTTACCGCCGAATGCAGGACCGAAAGGACTGCAAGATGAAGCGGCTCGTAGCGCAGCCCTAGCTAGCCGCAGCAGCGTGGCCGGGAATGGAAACGAGATGGGATGGGCCAGGGACAGAACAAACAGAACAAACGGGACATACATACGGAACAAACACCTGAGACAGCCAGATGCACACGCAACAAAAAGTGGGTGGCTGCATGTTGGAGGCTCTTGTCCCCCGTCTCGCAGCGTCGTTGCCGACGAGGGACGACTCGGGCAGCGGCAGCACTTGGGAGGAGGCAGCAGACGACCACCGTCCGCCCAGTGTCAAGGACATGGCTCGCGGGTTCAATGGGGCAATGGTTCATCGAGGGCCCCCGCCCTGCTTAGTCCAGGATTGGACATGTCCAGACTGCTGTCGCACGGCCACAACCATGATGGGAAGGGAGGTAACTGCAGGTCGTATTGACAGGGCGGGACAAGACTTGGTGAAGTCTAATAAGAAGGCTTGCTGAGCTTGATGATGATGCTTTCGTCCTGGCAGCCTGGGCGAGAGAGAAGAAACGTCCTAGCCGGCCAGCCGGGCAATTTGTATTCATCTGGCTTTAGCCGTTAGCAGCCCCCAGCCTCCTCTGGACTGACAGAAATGTAAATGACGGGCCGGAGAGCGTGGAAGTCGGTTGGTGGATCGATCAACGTGAAACGCCTGACAGATGTATCCTCTGAGGGGAGGTACATGCGAGACCCACAAGCGCAGCGTGCCCCGCTCACGGCGGCCCTGTCGGCCTTCCAGCTGTAGATCTAAGTGGCACGCCTGCAGGCCTCGTCTGTCTTCAAGAGACTACGACGACACACTACTACCATGCTATTGTGCCTGTGCACCTCCGTCTGTCGCAGAAAGGGGGCGAACATACGCATTGTCCAGGAACTATTGCTTGCCTCCTCACCCGAGCGTTCACCTCCTGTGCCCTCTGGCAGCATGGAGCGCGAGGCTGGGAGGATTTGTTCCGCGGCCTGGTTGTTGGTGGGCGGAATTGCAGCTCGGCATGTCTGTCTCTTTGTCGAACGTACTCTTTGCCCCGAGCACCCCAACCAAGAACTTTATGATTGGTCAATTAAGCCCTCATACGAGGACCAGCTATGAAGAGCTAGGCTCGCTCTACTGCACGATTTGCTGCAACCTTCGTGGAGCTGCACCGTCTCACTGCAGGATGCAGGCTCCTCACGCTGATCCACGTAAGACCAGACCTCTCGGATATCACAGCAAGCATGATGCCTACCAAACAAAGGAACGACCAACATCCAAGTTTGTCGAAAAAGCCGCAGCGTTTTACCAACACGAACAAGGCCTTTGAAAGATTCTGCAGCGCCGTCTCTCTGCTAGTCTCGCATTCACGGACCCGAGCACCGGGATTTCGCACCTAAGGCCATGGTCTGTTCCCGTATAAACTCTCTGCCAAATATTCGGGCCTATATTTCGATAGACCTAGACAGAGGCATCCTGGCATCACGATATGGCACGGACGATCCTCAACACATGCGATATCTGCTATATCTCTCGTCAGAAGACCGGTTCATGGCCGGATCCGGTCAGCATGGACGTCTGCTGTGGATACCGGGTATTGTGGGTCTCGGGCGATTCTTTCCCCAGTTGCCCAAGCCGCGTTCCCGGCTCGCTAAGAAGATTAACACAACAAGCTTCTGCCAGAACCAGGGCCGGGCCAGCACCAGCCTGGCACTGCCGGATCCTCAACCAGGATTCGAGTCCATGGACTGTCGCTCTGGGCAGATTGGCACAAAGTCAAGGAACTGGCAGAGAGGGAAAAAAGGATGAATATGATGCTTTTGTCATGTCACTCTTCTGTCAGAAGCAGATCTGGAAAATGGGTGTGCGGTGAACTCCAATTCCCTCATGGTTAAATCGGCGATCCATCTAGTCCATCCTGTCCTGTTGGTTCACCCACCAACAGCGAGCTCTCGTCTTCCACACCCCGGCCTTGGCAGGGGCAAGGCACAAGCCAAAAATACAACATGCCAGTGGCGGCATCTGCACCAGGACGCTTCTGACGCTTAGCTAGCCGCCAAATTGCGGGGAGCTAGCCGGAAGTCGGTCGCCTGGAGAGGAAGCTCCTACGAAGGCGTGCTGTCCGGCATGGGATTTTGATGATGGGAATCCTCGACGTGAGCGGCCGGTCGATCGTCGACTTGGAGAGAAGCGACTCGAGTACTAATTGCCCACACAGCCAACATAATGACAGTTGACCAAACCGACAGACTGCCAACTTGTGGCACGCGAGCGCTCAAGAGCCGAATCCTCCATGCAGGAAGCCTGCAAGACAAGGTCCTGCAGATACGGAGGCTTCCTCACCTTATCTTCACATGAACAGCATATCGCCAACCAACGTACACTGCAGCCATTACGTCCGAGTGATTGGCAACTAGACTAGAGGAATGGAGAGTTTGCCCATGGGATTGTCAGATGGCTTGATTGTATCGTTGTTGTCTTCGGCAAGATGCAGAAACATCTACCAACAACACCCAACAATGCCGTCTTCCGGCACAGCTCTCCCATACATTGTCTTTTCGGCCCCCAGGTTGAAGAGTGTCTAGACCCGTAATACATATCGCTACTTCTAGCCTGCTTTGGATGCCCTCCCACCGATGCACCCAGGCTCGCACCTTGTCCCAGTCCCAGATGTGTCAACTGATTCTTTGGCTCCAACGACCATGTCGGAGGTCGATTTTATGATCCTTATGCTATAGGAAACACCACATACACGAGCAAGGTCTCCCATCTCCAAGCCGGTCACGACGTGACATCGGCGGATATTCAAACAGCAGAACCAAGTTTCTGCCAAGTTCACCTTGTCGGCGGGGCGGGGGACATTTACCCCATCTTCACTCATCAACACCCTAGAGAAAGGTGCACGAGTATTAGCCGCCTTACAGCACTGAAACACGCCACCCGGATGACTCGGTCGATTTTCCTTGGACAGTCTTGCTGAGCGCCAATTTTTCATGTGGCTGGGTTTATAGTGCAGAAGCCTGCAGCGCGCGCCCAAAAGCGGCCGGTTTGCTGGCAAGCAAAAGTTGATGGCGCCTATTACGATCCAGGATTCCGAATTGTTTGCGCACTCGGAGGCACCTCCGCAAGAGGGGGGGGGGGCGGGTTGGAGCGGAAATTGATTTTCCGGATGGACGAATGAAGCATTCCATTATCTAATTGCATTGGTCCATTGTTTACATCAAAGAAATATCTCATCATGGGAGCTTTGCAGATTGTTTGCCTATTGGCACAAAGAGAGGGAAACATCGCAAAGTGAATCAGGAGGCTTCCGATGTGGCACGATCACGGATCGCGTGCCGACAGGTCTCACTCGAATAAACACGAGCAGCCAACGGTAAGCCACTGCGCGAGTTGACAGGCGTGGGGTGTTGCTTTTTAACTCCGTGTACTTTTATTTCTTTTCCATGGCTTGGCTAGGTGTCATCATGTGACCGGCTGCAATGTAGATGAAACTATCTGCGCATCTCGAGCCGACGGACGAGATGCCCTTAAAGGCAAACCTGTTAAACATCACTGGTTCTATAGGAATAATTACACATTATTACTAGGTTCACTATGAGGATGATACGACCCCTTGCCACAATACCAGTGATATTGAGGAGCAGTCCATACTGTTGCAAGGCTTTTGTAACGGGTGCGATTTGATTGTCCCGCTGCCATCGCCTTTCAAGATTTCCTGCCATGAGGCTTGGCAACTCTGTATGATTTTACTGTTGACACCATTTACGCATGTTGAACTCTTCTGTGGATCGCGCTTGTTCCTAGCAAAGAGAAATGAGCGATATTATCACAGGCGTTTTTACCTTTGCAAAAAGCGGACTCAAAAAGCTGTTCAAAGGCATGTCGCTGTCGTGTGCAGAGTCTCAAGAGACGCTTTCAAGTCGATCTGCTCGGAGAGGGACGCACGAATTCTGACTGCGCCGTCGGTCTTGCCAGGCAAATGATTTAATGCTGAGATAGCGTTCCAGACCGGCCTTTGATTGACAAGGAAGTTAACTGATACTTACATACAATCACAAATTGATCTACTTCTTTTCACAAAACGAAAAGGGATCCAGAATGACAAGGTTCTCTCATTTTTTTCTGAAAGAGAGGGAGAGCTGAGTGTGCTCCATTAAGTGATATAAGAGAATTTGCAATGTATAACTAGCTTTAGAATTATACCGAAGTTTTTACTACCTTTGGCATGTTGTGTTGAATGCACTTGATGTACTTCATATGACTCGAATGTATTTGATACACTTGATAGACTTAATATGGTTTGCTTGATGTATTTGACTTACTTGGGGTACGTGAAAGGCTCGAACAGCAAATCCTCGTCTTCCAAAGACGGTCAATGCAGTAGCCACAGTGAGATTTACGGCTATGGGAATGAGCCATGTTGACGCCTCGCCTTCCATAACCTTGTGCCAGCAGCCTCCAGGTCTAGATTCATTAGTACTGCCGGTCTGATCTCTGAGACGGCATAATATGGCGAGGGGAAGAGCAGGAGGAAAAGAATTCTGGTGAATACCTCGAAGTCCACCAGAGGGGAGGTAGGCGCCGCTGGCTGGTGTGCACTCTTGTACTATGCAACCTTCCCGCGCCCTATTCCTGCCTGACAACTTGCAATGCTTAGGAGTGTCATTGCGGCACGTTCGACCAAGAGAAGCGAAGCAAAGGAAAAAACCAGTTGAATATGGCCCGATTGCATCAAGCCTACTTACAGAGGAAGGTTTGGTGATGTGAAGAGTCGACAAACAAACATTCGCTCGAATAATTTGTCGCCTCAGTTCCCTTCTTCTCCTCTTTTCTGATCAGGTTGTTCACGATCCTCCCGGCGTCGATTCTCCACTTCCATTCCAACCAGGTCTTTGGTCTGTCCAGACATCGTATTCTTCTACTTGGTTTCATTTCGGATTCGTTCCCATCCCATTCCATCCCTCATCTGGATGGCTGTCCCAGAGCACCGACTTGTGCCTGCAGGCTTGCATTATACTATTCTGACTATGTCTCATTCCAGAGCCCACAGTTTGGGACGAATCCCTGTACCTCGACCAACGGCATGCTGCTTATGATGCATCTCTTTGTCCGTGATCACTGGATCAGGTCGGAGAAGACGACTTCATTCCCATCGCCTGCGGCTTTCACTTCAACGGCAAGGCTATCAATGTCCTCATCTCATTGTCTCCCTAGGACGGCGCGTTGAAATTTCATAATTTCCTCATCGAAAAATTCGTCTCAGTTATCGACCGAGCTTAGGTATGCGTTCTCTGGTGTGGCGAACCATCACCGGTACGGGTTGATAGCCGTGTCTTCTCATCACAGACGATGTGTTGTCATCCTGTCAAGGTGCGGACCCTCTCAGTGATCCGCTCCCCTTCCTACCAGAGACCCAAAACCATTTAGGCCGCAATCTGGATAAAATCTTCTCACTATCTAGATAATGTGGAGGAAGTCATCCATGGAGAGGTGTGCGTGTGGGGGAGGTGAGGGAGGGTCGGGTTTCTATACTTTTCTTTTCCGCACCGCACTCAGCCGACCCATGACCTTTCGTGGGGGCTTTCTGGCCGCCAGCATTGATTCGGCACCGCGCTATCCGGTGAGATTCGCACCATTGCAAGGTTAGTGATGAGATTTGGATGAAGAAGCGCACAAGTTCTGTGGACTACTTGGCAGGTAGTCTAGGAATGATTTAGAAGAAGGTGATCATAATGGAACCAACCTCACTGGCACCCACGTACCGTATATGTAGAATAGTGGCAGAATTTCATTTCAGTCCTTAGTACCTAAAAAGTGTGCTCATTTCTTGTCAGTACCACATGGAATGGTGGAATCGTGCCCAATGAACAGTGCCTACCTAGGGCAAGACCTTTTTCGGCGGCGCGAAGCTTTTCCCAGCCCAACCCAAACAGACGCTATCTATTATTAGGCTTACACTTGTATCAGTCATGGGCCAGAAAGTAGCTAAGAGTGGAATGAATGAGACGAAGCTGGGTACGGAAACACAAAATTCAGACCGAAAACATGAAGCATAGATAATTATCCCAGCTAGGATCATGACCAATTCAAAGTCTCTTTCCAACTAATTATGACCCTATCTATATAACTCCGAGCACAGAGTATAGAAGCCTAGCAGGTCACTAGCTACCAGAAGAACTCAATACACAAGCAGACCAATGCACCAAGTCACCAACCAGAAAGAACCACTGCCCAAGCAAAAGAATGTAACGAGACCACAGCTACAAGTAGATCAATCCCCTTCATTCAGGTCTGGATCGTCATACTCCATCAGTTTTGCATCCGGTTCCTGCCAGAATTCCGGGTCGTCAGGGAGTCTCGGCTCGCCACGTCGTATCCGTTCCGAAAAGGCCAAGTATCCCTTGTAAGCTTGCTTTACTGCCAGCTTATAGGCCTCCTGAGACTTCTCATCCGTGAAGATGTATCGACGTCCCCATGAGAGGCGCAGACGGCAGCCATTGATGGGAAAACCCTGCATCTGAGCCATGGCCATCTCGGCCACCTTGCGGTCAGCAAATTGGACAAAACCACACGTGTATCCTTCGTCTCCTTCTTGCCCTCCTTCTTCATCCTGTCCTTCTTGTACTATGTTTTCTTCTTTTTCTCCGACTTCTTCTTCTGCCTTCTTGTTCACGTACAGAAGCTCGCCAAACCCTTTAAACCAGAAGCGAAGTTCATCGTCTGTCATCTTCTTCCGCAGCCCACCCACGAAGATCGTTGTATTATGCCAATCCGTGTACTGATTTCTTCGGCGTTTCCCGTAGTATTGCCCGTTGTGAACACAGCAGGAATGATTGGAGGAAACCGTGGATTCGGATGGTAGTTGCGGGTTGGCGCAGTGAGGATGGACAACCCATGGTCTACGCCCATTCAAGGGAGGCCAGTTGGATAGGACCTCACAAGAAGACTGGTCTTTGTTCTGAGCAGGTGGGTTACCCTGGTGCTCACAAGCGTGGTCCTGAGGACATTGTCGTTGAACAATGTAAGGACTACTATCCGGATGGTATCCAAATTCCTGATACAGAGGATTATATAAAGGTGGTTTCATGGTTTGAGGCATGTTGATCACCTGACCTTTGTCGGTCAGGCCAAACCAGCCTGTCGTCGGGTGTCGAGCAAACCTCGTGACCTCGGAATACTTCTTATCGGTGAGCAAGAAAGGTATGAGGGGCTTGGGAAGGACAACGACCCAGTGCCAAGACTCGTCCTTGAGTGTTATCGCATAGATGTACATGATTTGAAAGTTATGTTTGGGGACACAAGTCAGAAGGTCCTTCCTCTGAGTCTTCGGGACTCGATCATGAGTTGGGTTGGTGACGGGGTATGGGGACGGGTCATTTGGAATTCGGGACAGCACGAAAGAACGTTCTGTTTCGCGGACCCATCGACAGCTGAAGCAGTTGCAGTGCTCTTCGTAGTGTGGGACATAAATCCTGGGGAGCCAAGAGTGGGCACGTGCGTGCATTTTGGCCCACAGGCACATGCAATGACGAGCATCCCGCGCCTTGCAACACCGCATTGGCGAGTTTCGAGCCATTGTGGTAATGATCTTGGAACCGTACAATGGATTTGGCGATATTGGATGAAGTGCGGGATTTTGAAGCAGAATGTGGCCACTGGGTTGACAGCTTAAGCCTGAATATCTAAGTCAACGTAGCTGAAAGCGTTGGATGTGGGAGGTTGGCTGCTTTCTTCAAAAGACAAAATCGGAAAGACTGAAGAAATTTCGGCATCATCGATAACTGAAAGATGTGGGAGATCTTCTTAGAGCCTATCAATTCGTGCAATATATGTTCGGACCTGATGAAATACCTTCAATTGTGACAGTAGTCTCCATTAGGCTGGTGGGGACTCCAACTAACAATGTAAACACCATCCGAAGACCATATAATTTAGTTAAATAGCTCGAGATAATATTTGGTTACCATGATATGTCAACGAAGCGGAAAATCTGTTCGACAAATCGGCAATGGCACGATCGACTCTCGCAAAGCAGTCCCTCATCGATGATGCCCTCCACTTCATCACGCGGTGACTAAGTGATTGTAAATATCTGTCGCTGTAAGTCGGTAGTTCCCAAGAAATGCTTCTTGCATGATTTCTAATGACAATTGTTTACATTGCAAAATAGAATAGTGACTAGGGTTGTAACTATGACGGCACACAATCAAGATTACATGGCAACTGGCAGGTAATATTATTGGACGGCAGGCGATGTACTGAGAAAAGCCTTGATCAATCCCTGTGGAATTTCTCGGTGCTTCGATGACTCCAGAGGCGATCGGTGCCTAGTACTGTACCATCGTGGCCGTACCGACCACAGGTTGAGAGTGCAGCTACAGACCTTGAACTTAGAAAATCAGATCGGCATTGAAACGAGGTATTGGCGATTTTATATCACATGGGCAAGCTCAGGACCACCCGGCTGTTGGGCCGAGGTAGGGGGAAAAACGAAAGACGCACCTTTAGAACTAGATAATATGGTGACTTGCCATTCTCTTGGGCAAGTAGGAATACGTTTCCGTCAGACAATCAAATGTATGATTACTTCTTGAATGGGATCATCTCTTGTGGGAGTACTGTCATGGGATAACCTGCTGTGGGATCACTGACTACGTCCCTCCAATGGGAAAAGTTGTTGATGGACAAACGTGCAGGATAATTTTCTATGGGATGACCTCTCGTCGGGTGACTTTCCACACGCTATGAGATGGAATGTGATAAGACAACCAGTCTTGGGATCTGAGTACGCAGGCTGAAGTGTGTGTGTGCTACCAATTCGCTCTCTTGAACTCGCGGGTAGTCTTTCGTTGGTTGTGAATGGTGCCGATTTGACTGGGCCTTCAGCGATCTGTATAAAATCCCGGCAAGCAAGCGTCACTTGAACACATAGTGCGTTGTCAATATTCTGGAAATGGACCTGAGGCTCAAAAATGACCAACTCGACGTAGATTAGAGCCACATCCTTCGGTACCTAGATTCCTATGGTTGAAGTTGCACCAAAGAGGATCTACCGAAATGAAGTTGGAGACAACCCTGGTCAGTGGATTGATAACTGAACACTCGAGAGCCTCCAGGCAGACGGAAGTCAGGCCACTGACTCAGACAGTAACTAGTGCTATATGTAATACGCTGAGATAGCATTCCTTGTCAAAGGAAGATGCTACAAGTGGCCCAGGTCTGCGAGGTGCAGTAGTGAGCGCGGCAGTCTGCACGTCCGAGATGGTTTCTGTCGGTGCCGAGCGATCTTAATGATCTTCAAGGATCTGGGCGCTCGCATGTAAGCCGCCAAGGATCGCATTCTCCCTGTCTAGCCCAGCCCCTCTTCTTGTTGATTCGGAAGGGGACATTAGAACGCCTCCCCAGGCACAAAAACCCTGTTGTAATGAGCGTGGCGTTGCGGTCGACCGGGAGCGAATGTTACGCTGCGGCGCCCGTATGATTGTGCTTCGCCATGTCGGTACTTCTGGATTACCCTAATTGTTCCTTCCGCTCATCGTGGTACTTAAGCATAGAGTTTAGGCCCACGCGTTTTTTAAACATTTTTCAACCTCACTCTCATCTGCCCGCCACCCTCGGCGAATCTCGATGGGGACACTGCATGACTTGCAGTTCAAGATGCGGTTCCTTCCGGTTATAATTGTGCTCGTGCTAGGCGTTTCCTCAAGATCATTGGATGCTCTGGCTTACAGTGCACCCGAGGCGCGCACCATCGATGCTGTGTGTCTCCGCGATGCCTTCCCATGCAAAGGAATATTGACTGACTAGCAATATAGTGCAATGCACTTTTCTCTCTGCTGCCGGACGACGTGGTCTACCCTAACTCGACGGCGTACATCACGGAAAACACCTACTGGTCGAACAGACAGGGCGAAGTGAAGCCAGCATGCTTCGTCACGCCGAGGTCTACAGCCAATGTCAGCGCCATCGTGAAGTCTCTGATCTCACTTCAGGCACCTTTCAGTGTCAAGGCTGGCGGACACACTGCCTTCGCCGGGGGCTCCAACGTTGATCAAGGCGTGACAATCGACTTGCTGAAGATGGCCGACATCCTCGTATCGGACGACTCGCAAACAGTCTCTGTTGGACCTGGCAGCCGATGGATCCAAGTGACTGAGGTTCTCGACCCGCTGGGCCTTGCGGTGGTGGGCGGCCGGGTTTCCGACGTCGGTGTGAGCGGCCTCCTCCTCGGCGGTGGTATATCCTACTTTTCCGGCTTCCGGGGCTGGGCTTGCGACAATGTGCAGAACTACGAGGTCGTCTTGTCCTCTGGAGAGGTAGTCAACGCATCCCCGACGGAGAACAACGACCTGTTCTGGGCGCTCCGCGGCGGCGGCGGATCCAACTTCGGCATCGTGACCCGCTTCGATCTCGATGTGTTTCCCCAGGGAAAACTATGGGCGAACGACATCTTATATCCTGGTGCTCTCAACACTACTTTGATACCCATTTTCGCCAATCTCACCATTAATGGGCTCCCAGAAGATCCGCAGGCGCATACCTATTTCATCATGACTTACTATCCAGAGGCGGGTGGCTTTGTGACTGCTGTCAGCATGTATCATGCGACACCTCCCGCGGCAAATACGACGCCAGCGGTCTTCGCCCCGCTTAAGTCGCCCCCAGGGATCTTGTCAGACACGACCACCGTAGAAAACGTCTCTACAGCGCTCCTTGCCATCAATCAGCCATACGGAGACCGACAGACGTGGTGGGACACGTCCGTGTTTGTCACAGGATCCGATTTGCTGACGGATATTGTGCCATTGTGGGAAGAGGTTGTCGCTACCTTTCTCTCAGCTGCAGCTGAGAATGCTGGACCGAATGGCACCGCTTCAAGCGTCACGCCATACCTTGTTTACCAGCCCATTCCCATGAATGTCCTCATGGCAATGCAGAAGAACGGCGGCAACGCGCTGGGACTGGAAACGAGTGACGGTCCGGTGATGCTGGTTCAGCTCACCATCACCTGGGATGATGCAGCTCTGGACGACGTGATAGAAAGTGAGTCGAGTAATCTCATAAAGAAAGTCGAGGCCATGGCGGCAGAGAGAAATGAGTTAAAGGGATTTGTGTATATGAACTACGCGGGTAGTACGCAGGAGGTGCTGAAGAGGTATGGCCCGGAAAACTATAAAAGACTCAGGGATGTGGCAGGGAAGTATGATCCCGAAGGTCTGCTACAACAATTTTGGAAGGGCTATTTTCAGCTAGAAGGTGTCCAGTAGACATTATCGCCGACCTTCTTATGATCAAGTGAGATTATAGAAGGTTTCAAAGTTCATAAAGCAACTTCTACTCTAACTAGAAATACAATATATGGCCCCCATCGCAATGAATGACACAAAACAGCTGCGCCGCGAGCCCCCTATTTCGCTTGGCCTTTCATAATTGATGAGTACATTACTTAGTACGCCAGATTTTCTGTCATCCAATGATGATCCATCCTTCAGAGTAAGTCTTCGGAAGAAGCGCTCATTTTCTACCACCCTCCCCGTCAAGCTCAATCAGACACCTGTGACCGCTGGGCACCATGAGGAAATGCAAGGCAGGCTCCATGTCCTTGTCACACATGCCCTCCAATTCAGAGACGGTGGCATTCGGGAAGTTGCGGAAGAAGCGAGCGGCCATGAGGCGCAGCTCAATGCGAGCCAGGTGTCGACCGAGGCAGGCTATTTGGACGTTTGTTAGAATTATTCCAATGACACCAGCGCTCAAGGGACCAATTTGAGGCGCAGTACTTACTTCTGGCACCGCCACCGAAAGGCATGGTGCAGTCCTTCATCTCCTGCGTTGTATGCGCCCATCTGTCGGGGTTAAATCGGTACGGATCAGGGAAAGCGTTCTCATCACGGTGCAGTGAATACGATTGCGTGGCCACCGTTGCCCCGCCAGGGATGAACTGGCCCGCGAGCTCGGCGCCACCGACGGGCACGATCCGCGGCAGGCCGCACGGCAGGGCGTTGTAGAGGCGCAGCGTCTCGTTGACGCACCAGTTGAGGTAGGGCATGTCCTTGAGGTGGTCGTAGGTGAAGTCCTCGGGGACGGTAGCCAGCTCCTTGAGGAGCTTCGCCTTGACGTCGGGCAGCTTGCAGATGGCCCAGATGAGGTAGATCATGGAATTGGCCGTGGTGTCGCTGCCGCCGACGATGAAGACCTGCGCGTTGTCGCGGATCTCGATCGGCGACCAGGAGTCCTCGGCGCCGGCCGTGTAGAGCTTGGAGAACACGGTTGGCTTCAAGTCCTCGCCCTGCTCTTCCACGCGCTTGGCGTGGCGGTCCAACGCGCTCTGGGCGTAGTCGAAGGTCCGGTACTGGATCTTGGTGGCGTCTTGGAAAACGGGGATGGGGAGATACAGGGAGAGCCATGAAATAGTAGGGAACATAGAGCGCAGGCCGCCGACGAAGCCCAGACTGACGAAGTCGTTGATGGACCGGTTTTTCTACATCAAATCAGCATTCGTAAACAGCACATATCACATGGCCGTTACATACCTGTCCACTCTCCAGTTGACCGAACCCTTCACCAAAGGTCAAGTCACCAATAACATCAAAAGACAGAAACATGAACCACTTGGCAACATCCGCAGCGCCGCGCGTCTTGTTCTCCTCGCGGATGCGCTCGATAGCGAGGCGCACCTTTCCGTCAATGCGCGGCAGGAAGGTCTTGAGGCCCGTCTCAGACATGGGGTTCGACAGCAGACGCTTGTACTTGCGGTGGATCTCGGGACGGATCTCGTTGAAGACGCTGGACGAGTCGGTGATGAGCAGCGAGTAGAAGGGCGACTTGAGGAAGCCGCCCTTGACACTGTGGATGCGCTGGCATGTCGGCGCGTCCGAGATGTCTACCTCATGCGGGCTGATGCGTACTGCCGGGCCGTACTTTTCGTGTAAGGCGTGCACCCAGTCCGGGTGATGAGCGGTGATCACGTAGTAGGTTGATACCAGCGTGGTGAATCGTGTGTACCACGGCCCTGGGATGTTTGACAGAGGGTTTGTGAGGCCGGCGTAGATGTACTGTGATTTTACGTGTCAGTCGTGGAAGCTTGAGCTGGGAATTGTCTTCGTACCGCAGCCAGGGCGACGCAGATGAGCGCGCCTCCGACATAGAGTGCATTCGGTTTAATGAAATCCATTTTCTCAACACAATAACACCGACTATGGCGGCGGAATACTCGCCAGACCAATCCACGTCGCAAGGCCCTACAAGACCCATCGTTTTTATTATATACACAGGAAGCTTTTGTTTTGTCCGTATTTCATCACCTATGTCCGTCGGAGGACCCCAATTAGACCGTACGGACAACTAGGTGGCAGGGTAGCAGGTTGGTTTCGATATGAAACGAAATTATGCGGGTCGCCGGCTCGTCTGATTGTGTTCACAAGTGCCTGACGTGGAAACGACAAGCTACTATTGGATGGCTTAGGTACCTTTTGATGTTTCCAGTGTCTTCAATAACCAATGTAAAGGTCTTCTTCAACGTTAGACTTTCAGTAGTATTAGCAATACTCTGTGTGGAGCAGCACTGCCCCTCCAACTCTTTTTTCGCTTCGCTTTCCCACCTACGCATGGTCGGCTCAAGCCTTCGGTGCCGATGAAAAAGACTTTCACTGATTGTCGCCCTCGGAACGCGGCAAACCCAAGTCACCCACGACCACGACCCGATCTGCCGACGCCGGCTTTGTCCACCACGAAGCCCACCTCCTGATCTGCTCTAAATCTGTGTCGTGCTGTTCGGCAGGCATATAACCCCACCTGCCTTTCTCCTTCAGCCAGCATCGATTCGGAAGGTAAGCCTCGAGCATGTAGTAGTTGTCCCTATGGAAAGGGAAGTCCGACGACGGCGGCCCGCTCCTCTCCAGGAAAGTGTCGGTCCCACTCGCCATGTCCTGAAGCGTCATCCGGAACCGGGGCCGCTTATTGCCCTTGTTGGCACTGTGCCTCGATATAGCTCTCACGGTCGACGCGAGATGGGCTTCGAGGATAGCGGCGTACCATAAGGGTGACGCACAGCCATTGACAGCGGGATTGACAGCCTTCAGTACGACAGCTTCATGCGAGCTCAAGAGTTGGCTGTTCCACCTTGGCTGCTTGCCCCGCGGGATGATGGGGAGTGGGTCGCCCTTGTCCAGGTTGTCTTGCCAGTGGGCGAAGTCGACAGCGAGGCAGAGGAGGTTCCACCGCAGGATGCATGTCATGCAGGTACACACCAGTGACGGGTTAGGCGGCGAGACATGCTGATAGTAGGGCCGCCTGTGGATCTCGAGCTTCTTCTGCCTCTCTGGGTGCTGCACCAGGTCTCGAAGGTCCGGGTCTCTGATGTCGGAGAGCAGAGCTGGCAGACGTATGCATTTCTCCAAGCAGGAGTAGCGCCTCTGGATGATGGTACGCGCTAATAATGCAGGATGCTCTTGGAGGAGAAATGTGTTGAGCGCATGGCATGTGCGAGAGAGCCGGAAGACGTCACTGGGTCGGATGAAGCCGAGAACATGGATCAATATGTCGAAGGGGAGGTCAAGAAAGCTGCGATCCTCGCCCGAAGGCTTGCTGCGACGCTTCTTCCTACGGATTCGCTCGCTTCGCTTCGAGTAGACGGTGAGGCTGCCGTCCTCGGCAACCCTTTCGCGGCCTGATTTTGGGATGGTCTTGGATTCCGCTCCAGCGGTGTCTGCATTTGGCGGTCCGTCCATCGCAGCTGGCTGCTGCATTGTCTCCTCCTCACCCATTTTCGATGTCCTCGAGTGAGAAGGTGCCTAAAATTTCGAGCACAGCGAAGTCAAGGTTAGATGTGAGCGTTGAGCCAAACTGCCTAGTTCAAGTGAGTAGATCCATGTGGAAAGTCGCCACGCGTGCCCCACCTTGATCTACTGAGTCAGCACAGGCGAATGTGCGAGACCGTCTAAGAACAACCGTCACTCGGCTTTTGCCGTGGTTTGCTTAACACCGTGTGCCAACAGACAGGAACCAAGTCAGGACCAGCAGCAGTGCCAGAGCTCTTTTCAGCGAAAGGGGGAATCATTGATATCTCTGTCTAGGTCTGGGAATGGTATAAACAACAACAACATAAGGGTAATCCACAAAACACCTTCATCTAATCATTATGAAAAGGCTGGGCAGTGCACACCACTATTCATCCCACCCCTATGTACTTTTTTCCACCGGGTCATCATTGGTCATTATCTTTAAGCAGCACCGGAAACCTTCAGGACCTGCTCGTGGCCCTGGAAAAGCTCTGGCTTGGCCTTGTATAGGCTCTGGACGATGCGCTGCACGAGCTGGCGCGTCTCATCCTGGAGCTGCTCCTCGGGCGGGCTCAGCACCTTCTCAAAGACCCCGATGAGCTTTGGTGTCAGGCTCTGGACGGTAGGCTCATTGGCTTCGTCTGCGAAAGGTTAGCCACCCTGTCTTGGATCGGGGACGCTAAGGTCAACTTACAGAGCTTGTACAAGCACTCGTACACGGGCGTGTTCTCCTCAAAGTCCTCCTTCAGGGGCAGCAGGCCAACGAGGACAGGGAGCACGTCGGCAATAGGCATTCTCTCAGGGTGGGAGATGATCATACGGCAGACGCAACCTGTCGCGTTGTCCTTGAGGCGCGCGTGGTCGATGGAAAGCATGGGCTCCAACTTGGTAAGGATGTCGGTGTAGCTTGCCAGATACGTGTTGGCATCGGTAGAGTGGTAAATGAGCTGGCCAGTTGCATAAGCAGCGTTGCTCTTCGTCTCGGGGTCGGGGTCAGTGAGACGCTTGAGCAAGAGCTTGAGGATCGCAGGCGTGTACGGGGACACAGCCGCGCCCATGTGTGCGGCGCACTCAGCAATGACGCCGACCGATGTTGACCTCTCGAGATCCTCTTGAGAGGATGCGAACTTCATGACAGGCTTCTCGAAGATCTTCCACAGCTCGCCGAACTGAGCACCCATCGCGGCAGCCATTCCTATGACCACATCGAGGGCGGTGTCGATGATGAGCCAGTCATACTCAGAAGACCCAGCCTCGGCGTCTTGCTCCTCCTCGTCACCAAGATCTTGCTGGCAGGGATGCGAGCGGGTGATCAGGGTGGTCAGGACGGTAACAGTCTGCTCGACCATCTTTGCCTGCGTCAGGATAGCAGGCCCGCAAGCTTTCAGAGTCGCAGCAACGTTGCGGTTGATATCGGTGACGACGTTGCTTCAATGGTTGTTAGCCTTTGTACATGCAAAAGTCATGCGTGTGCAAAATAGAGTGGAGATAGGTTTCAGGAGTAGATGTGACGTTTTCTCAGCAACCGCAATGTTTTTTGCGTCTGAGTGAGCTGGGTATAACGCTGTATGCTCATCATAAAAGGAAAGTAGTCCACGAAAAGGGAGGTTTAACGTACCGATCGGTCTCATCAGGCCACAGCTTCAATGTTGCCGCAGAAACAATCTCACCCAGCTTGACCAGAGTCTCTGACGGAGCCTGCTTGGGAGGGAAGCCAGCCTCCCACTTGGTGCCAGTCTGCTCCTCGAACAGCTCGTAGACACGGGCGTATGACCGCCACAAAGTGCTAATGGCCGCCTTGCGGCAGCCTTCGTAGCTGTGCTCGACGAGTGGTGTGATGTTCTCCAGCGCCTTCTCGAGATATTGCGAGATCTCAGCAAGACCACAAGCATGGGTGACCACATCTCCAAGGACTTCGATGGCGACCTCCTTCTCCATAGCTTCGGGAGTGACGCCGTAATCTCCCCAGTCGTCGTCATCGTCGTCTTCGAAGCCGTCATCTTCCATGGCCTCCTCACCCTCTTCAGGTTCTCGGATCTTGATCTTCTTGCCACCCTGGATGATGCCATCCTCTGTGCCAATGATGGCCTTCTCCTCTTCGGACAGGTTCAGGACAAGCTCTTCCTCCTCGAGCTCCAGGCTGTCGAACAGACCCTTGAACACTCCGGCGATGAAGGGGGCAAAGTCCTTGCCGTAGACCTTGGACAAGGCACTCCACAGTATGAAGCTCGTCTCCCGCAGCCTTGGGTTTCCAAGGTTGAGCGCCTCCTCACTTGCCTTCATGAGCTCCATAACATAAGGCTGGAACTTCTGGGGGCCTACTGCCGTGGCGATGCGACCCATAGCGTCGCACACGCCGCTTCGAAGGTCAAGCTCATCTTCACTATCCTTGATCTGGATAAAGGGTCCCAAGGCAGTCATTGTGTTCTCAAAGTAAGGAGCGAAGTGCTCCTCCATGGCGCCAGCAACGGCACCTAGGGCTCCAGCGGCGGCTCCCTTGACCTTGAAGTCGGGGTGCGACAGGAGATTGCCGATGGGGGTGATCAGCTCTGGTCCGTACTTCTGCATGACATCAGAGTCGAACCCAGACGCCAAAGCATCCAGGGCAGCACAAGCACATCGCATGATCTCGATGTTCTTCTTGGCAGCGTCTGCATCAGATGTCTCGGCGCTAGCAGCCTGGATGTTCTTGAGCAGCGCCGCGACGAGAGCGTCGCGGTCATCGGACAGTTCCTCAGCCATCTCATCGGCAATGCGAGTCAGACCAATGAGCGCGGTGTGGCGAACTCCAGCATCGGGGTCATTGAGCAGACGCAGAACGATAGGCATGATCATCTTTAGCTGGGTGGAGACAAAGTCTGGAGCACCCTCAGCCACAGTACCGAGAGCAAGGACGCCGGACTTGCGGAAGCCAGGCTCTGCGGACGATGCGTACTTGGGCAGAGCATCGAGCAAGGGCACGATGACCTGACGCGGGGGCAGATCGCTTGCCAGCTGGTCGAGAAGGGACAGAGCAGCCCGCGCCGGGGTGATCTCGTCCTCATCCTCGTCATCATCAATCTCGGTGAGGATCTCCATGCTCTTGAGAGTCAGCTGGGAGCCCATGTCCTTCATGCCCTGAACCTTCATCCTGCGGTAACGGACAGCCTGGGCCAAGAAGGCCAGAGCCTGACAGCGCACCTCCGGATCGGCATTCTTGTTGGCAGCCAATTCGGCCATGAAAGCCATGAGGTCTCGCAGGTGGGGACCGAGAAGGACAGGCTCATAGGCAAGGAACTGCTGGAAGACCTCAAATGACTGCTTGGTCTTCTCCTCGTCGTTGCTCTCCACGGCGTCCTTCAGAACGTTGACCATGGGAGAAATGAGCTGTTGAACAGCTGTGACAGCAGCCTCGTCCTCTTCAGGCTCGACAAGCATCAACACAGCACCGATAGACATCATGGTGTTGACCCGGACATCCCTGCTCTGAGGATCCTTGATGGTGTTGGAAAAGAGAGAGAGCAAGTCGCGAACCTTCTCAGCAAAGTGTGTGGGGTTCTCGTCCAGGATGGCGTAGATGATGTAGGACCCGACCTCACGGTGGGAGACATCGTTGTTTCCGGCGAGGCTGAAGAGGGAAGGGATCAGGTCTGGCCATGCGTTCTCGTCGAGGTCGAGGCTCGCAATGCTGGCGATGACACGAGACTCGGAGTGTCTGCACTTGGCATGCTGCTCCTTCATGGTGGCCTCGACCAGGTGCTGCCGGACGCCAGCCTTCTGCTCTGCGGGTATCTTCTCCCAGTACTTGGAGACGAGTCGAGCAGCCTGCACGGCGGCTTGCTGACGGAGGTTGACATCCTCGTTGGTGCAGACGATCTCGACCAGGAGGAGCAGGGACTCGGGCTTGGAGTAGAAGTTCTTCTGGAGCTCTGCCGTGACGGCCTTGACCCTCTGTGTGTCGGCTGTTTGAAAGAGAGAGCGCGGTTAGTCGAAAGCTATAGGCAAGAGACAGAAATGCAGGAAGCGAGAAAACCTCTCCATGTCCCAGGCCTACGCGGCTTGGACGGACGAGGGGAAGAGGGCGCGAGGGACGCGCCAGCAGCAGTACTTACGGATCTGGCTCTCTTGGAGCAGAGTAACCAATCGTTGACGATCCATCTTCACCAAACAGAGAACAGCTAGCCCTGGGAAATACAGAAAGGAAAGGAGGGAGACTCCAAGGGCATGGAGGAGAAAAAGAAAAGGCAAAAGAGGACGAATGGTCGGGCAGCAGAACCCTGCATGAAGAGGAAAATTTGCGGCGCGGCCTACAAAAATTTAGGCCCCTCATTCCGTGTTATCGCTTATCGCGCCTCATGGGGTTTGTGCTCTGCTGTGCTGTGGTAGCCGTGTGAAGTACCTCGGGCAAGAGGACAAGACGGGTGACTGGGACATCATCACCTGCTGTGCACAAATTTACAAGTTGAGACCTGAGTAATGTGAATATTGTGAAGGTCCATGACAGCATTGGCATTGACTTCAAAAATTCACCGTCACTTAGTGTCCTATATTCCTCTAAGTCCAAGGACAGTTCACCTCATTGTCCCGCCCTTTGATCACCGCAACCCTGGATGAACTCTGCCTCCAACTAACCCCCCTCCCCCCTCTTTACAAGCCACAATAACCAAAGCAAAACCCTCATGACCTTTCCGACTTGGTGTAACCAGCCCACTGCTTCGCCCTGGCCTCAAATGTTGCTGCCGGTTTCTCTCCACGAACATCACTATCACGCTGCAGGCTGTTCAAAAATTCCATGATGGGTCTGAATTCAGGCCGCCTGTACAGCAGCATCAGCATGCTTCCGTCTTCTGACACACTGTCTCCGCCAACTGCCTGTCCTTTGAGGATGAGAATGAATTGCAGTGCTGTTCCCAGCGGAAACGCCGCAATCATGAGGTTGGCTTTGCCTGCGTTGGGGTTGAAGAAGAACGGCATGAGCCGACTCATGTTGCTGACGTATTGGCCAAGGTCCATAGCATCCTGAGGGAGGAAAGGCGGTACATCAGCTGGCCTGCGCCGACTGTGCACCTGCATGGCGTTGAAAAGGTACAGACATATCGACCAGTACAGCAGCATTGTGTACATGTCTGGCAAGGCTTCAATTGCTTTTTCATCTTCCATTTCAAGACCAGATGTGTCCACATATCTTTGCTCCGGCGGTAGAGCATTGAACCACTCCTGTAGACGGGCGTAAAGGTCGAGGCAGATGGCTATGAGCCGCTCGTACTCCTCATGTTTCGTCTTAAGGTCGGTCAGGATTTCACATCTGTCGATATCTTCCAGGAATCCGGGAACTTCGACGAAAATGTCCATAAGTATGTCCTTTGGCTGCTTTGGATGTATCAACCAAGGAACAGTCTTCCACTCCTGCCGGCTCAGCGGTGTCCGCTTGCGCTGTTTGATCCCGTCGATAATCTACGTTATTCTATGGTCAGTTGATTGTGGACAAGCGTTAGTCGTGTCTGAGCCAATTTCACTCACCCAGAACAATCGACTATCCAGGAAAATATGGTGGCCGTCCCCTTCGATGGCACTCCATGGCGTTCTCGCCTCCATGATGGCCAACGACCCAAGGTTGTGCGAGCGCCACCGGTGCGACAGATCCAAGAGATTCCCAGTCCTCCCACCGAACAACATCTCATACGTGGTCATGAATTTGCTTGCAAGCAATACTGCGTCGCTCTTGACTCGGGAAGGTGACCTGAGCGCGGCGGTCTCTTCTAGGAGTGCCCTCCCATACGCCCTCACGCCCTCTTCCCTCATCCGTTGACAGTTCTCTTTTTCAGCAAGCATTGCGAGGCTCACAGCCAGCACCGCAGATTTCAAAGCTGGTTCTGTTCGGAGCAGGCTTTGAGAGGATTTGGCCCACTCCCTCGAGGCGACTGGATTCCGGCACCTGGGCAAGAACAAGTCCCAATAGAGGGAGATATACTTCTCTTCTCTGGCAGTCCTGCAGAGAGATCCAGGGAGAGTGATCTCGATGGCTTGAGACTTGACATGACGCTGATGTGTCAGGAAGGCAGACGACGTGACTATACGATTTGATGGAGGATTCCGCTTCGTTGCCACCGAGTCTGCTTCTCGAGACTCTATTGCCGCCTTGTGTGTTGAAACATTAGAGTGCACGAAGATACGTTCACGCTCATAACCGTTGCATTGAATGCCGACTTTGATACACTGTGTACATGACGGGCGTTGATAGTCGCACTAGGTACGACTTGACCATCAGCTTCATCGCGTTCCTAAGCAGTTCCAACACGAACGGGGACTGAATTTGGCCGAACGGAGGGTCACTTACCCCCTTCTTCCTTTTTCGACACGTGAGGCATGCCTTTGATCGTCCAGGAACTCCCACCATATCGGCTCAGAATCAATAAGATCGAACCATACCGCGTACAACTGAGGGGCGCGCAATGCTTCTCTTTTGAGTTACTGGCGACTTGGCGGTTACCAACGGAGCGTCGTCATGGATATGAATCTAGGAGCAAGCCATCTGCACGTAAAGAATCCTACGGGCCGCAGCTACTACAAGCCGCCACTCTGTCAGGCCCAAGGCCGGGGGTTTTAGTTGATTTCTGACGACTTGGAGCTGAATACCCCGTTACATTTATCAGGCACTGACTGATACCATTGGGGACAAAGGTTGGCTAGCACTGCCTGGTCTGGCTTGGTAAGCTACGCGTATGGATCATGGCCCAAGAACTTTGGCCGATGGTGCTTACGCCTCAACGCTCACTTGGCGTACGCTAAACCGTACTTGGAAGCATTGCGCGCCAGGAGTCTGGGTGTTAGCGACTGTTGTGATATCTACAACGGCAAGCGTTCTCGCTTTCGCAAGGCTTGGATGACGAGCAGAACGCCCATTGAAGGAGCGGAGTCAGAAGTGCAGAGTAACTGCTCGTAATCCGAGCGTGTTTGCGCAGATTTGTCAATCCATAATAGGAAACAATGCGCGCCACCATCACTAGAAGTACAATACTCTCTAAGTATAAATATGGCAGGGACGCATTGTACTGTATGTTCCTAGGTCGCCGTCGACATCTCTTTCTTCTCTACCCATCTCCGCCCCAGAATTCAGTACACCAAACGCGTAGACTTTGGCAAAAGAGCACGCTTGGAATCAACACCCCTACAACCTGTTGATCAATATGGCAAACTTGGACAAAGCAACAGAAAGCTCCTTCTTGGGCACCATGCGCAAAGTTTATCATCCTATCGGCTTCAAGAAAGGCTACAACTTCGTTCTGTGGTTCATCTTTGCGGGTGCCCTCATGGGCTTCACTCTGGCGAGGCTGCAATACCTCGACTTCTACGGGATCTTTTGTAGCATTGGGGACTCCGGAGGCAACCACGCAGCCCCTGGAGAGTGCATGTACTACCTCCGTGGGCATGAGAAGGTCGGCATCATACTGCATCTCGCAACGATACTACCGGCGTCCTTCCTTGTCGTCTTCCAGTTCATTCCGGCCATTCGCTACAAGGCTATGCTTTTTCATAGGCTGAACGGATACCTTGTGATCATACTTTCTTTCATCGGGATAGCGGGCGTGTTCATGATTACAAGGCACGCCTTCGGGGGCACTCTAGCAACCCAATATGCCACTGGCTTCCTCTCTATCGCATTTATCGGCGCTTTGATGATGGCATACATCAACATCAAAAAGCTGCAGATCGAGCAACACCGGGCCTGGATGTTAAGGGCATGGTTTTATGTGGGTAACCTCCAATTCTTGATTCCATATCATCTTCTCCAGCAGCTTTGCATTATGTCAGTGGTGTATACGAGTGAGATCAAAGCTGACACATAAACATAACAGGCTGGCTGTATCATCACTATCCGGATCGTTCAAATCATTGCCGCACAGATTGTCTCGCAAATCGGAGGTTATTACGACGCGCGGCCGTGCGACCAAGTCGAGAATATACTCGGCTCTCAAGAGGACTCCATTGCTGCCTTTCCGGATTGCGCTCCTTATTTCAACGGATCCGATTTCTCTAAGCAGGTTGCCGTCGAAGCCGATTTCAATGGCAACCCAGTCCAGGTGGCTGTGGCTCTGGGATCAAATTTCGGCCCGGCAATGTGGCTGGCATTCGCAATACATGCTATTGGCGTTGAAATATATGTGAGTTGACAGCGGTCTTGATTCTCTTTGCTAATTGACAACGGATCTGGTTGTAAGTGGGAGGCTAACAGAAGTACGCCTATAGCTTAAGCTTACCCCTGCCGAGTCGGAGCGGCTTCGGAACGTTTCTTACCAAAGACAGCTCGAGGCAGGAATGAAGAATCCAGGAAGAGCCGGGTTAACGGTAGACCGCTTTGGTGATTCAGAGAAATGGGTCCCCAAGGGTTACCGAAGCGAGAGCGACGCAAATGTCCAGGCCACTGCCCAGAAACTTTCTGATCCAAACGTTGATGCTTGATGTGGAAACTTGAAAACTGTGCGGGAAGTGCAAATTTGGCAAAACTTTGCAGTGAGATGATTATTTAGATGTTGCAAACCCAGGTTCATAAAGTCCTTCGTGACACATAATACATAAAATGATCTAAGTTCTATATACATCCGCACCCCCTGCTGATCATGATGATGATGAACGCCGAATAGACATTATCCAGTCTCCAGCGCTTGGATGACAGGAATTATTTCTTCTTCCTTAAAGATATCTCCATGGCGCCGTATTATAATGCTGTCTCATAACCCAAGCTGCTATTGAACACTGGCCTGACGGGCGAAGGCGGTGACAAGACGATGTGAATTGGCGTGTGTGGTGTCTCGTCTTGATAGAACGTGCAAGTTTAGTCGGAGAAGGTCAAATTTGGCGAGCTGGCGGTGGAAGATATTGACTGGTTTGATGAAACGGATGACATGGAGTCGCTCCTCGTGAAGGATATGCCGCCGGAGTGTCGACTTGGGTCCCTCCTTTTGCTGATGTTGAGCGGGAGCGGGACAGGTGAGCTTGGTACATTGCATGGACTGAAGCCAAGCTCGTCGATAAAATCGTCGATAGCGCTGATGATGAGGTTTGTGGTCTTCTGGGCCATAGTGTTCCAGCGTGGTTGAGGAGTTGATGTAAATAATTTTAGGCGGCTTCGTGGCGGTTCGGGAGAAGAATTGTAGCAGGAAGTATTTGAGGAATCTCTAGACCATGTCATATAGAAGCTGGTAGACTGATTTCGAGACCATCGCAAAATGGAAACGGTGATGCATCGCTCTCTTTATCTGGATCATGATTCTTACGGTGGCCTAAGTTGCTGCGGACGGAGGATCCACCAAAGGGTGGGTATCATTGCAGGAGGGCTTGAACTACTGCGGCGCAGACACCAAATTATGGAGACATCTTTGTCCCTGCAGCGATGCTATGCCACATACGCGTGGCCTAGGCTAGTTTTTGTCAGCAGACTCTCCCAACTTGCCACCTAGCTAGATTGGACTTCCGACACCTCACAATGCGATCATGAGCCATGATTAAAGGAAGAAACCCCAGCTGCTTTTGTTCAGCTCAGCACTGGTTCACTCTGTGTTTGTGCCAATAAGTTCCGAGTCTGGACCAATTGTTTCATACTTGTTCAATTAATGCTCACACATCCCGACGGATTGGGGGAGGGTGGTACGAAAGCAGAGGTGGGTGTGCTAGTAATCCAGTGGCTCAGCGCTGCAGGTCAACGGGACCGAGCTGAAAATAGAAGTACAACGAATAACTTTAAGCGCCGACAAGTCAGAACCACGAGTTCTGGAACCACGAGCTCTGGGTCAGGTGACGTTCTTTGTTGACCGACACTTCTCCTCCATGGGGACCATCCGAACATACCGATTGGATAGCTCGGAGGCAGCAATTCTGATCATGTTATTGCAATTCAAGGCACCCTTTTTTTCGAACAACAGTTGCCCTTGGCACTCCTCAGTGGCCCTCTGAGGTCTGAAAACTTCTATTCGATCAAGAAATGCTCCAGTCACTGCAATCAGACGTGCTTGATGAATGTAGCCTGAAGTCTGTCTTGTTATCTCAACAGTCAGTTGGAAGCCGACTTAGGACCCTCATAAAATCAACCAATATTGAGGAATTTCAGTCGTGTGCTTCCACCATCTCAATGGCCTTGTTGTCCAGTCCAGGCCACTTGGCTTTGCCCCATAGAATCCAGTACATAATAGAACCTATAATTATTACAGCATAAATTGGACCAGCGTAGTTCATATTGGCTCCAGTGACTGGTATCGTAGTTGGGAACGGCAGCCAGATCGTCACATAAATCGACCATACGAGAGCATAGATGTTGAGGGGCAAGCCAATTCCAGATGGTAAAGTCCAATTGCCGAACTGCACAGGGTGTCGTGGCCCTTTTCCAATTCGTCCCGACAGCCGTGCATGAATCATACAGCCGATTGCAATGATGTACGAGCTATACAGACCGAGCATACTCAGAGATGTGAATGCCGAAAAGATGGTTGATGTCGCTGTGTTTCCCACGGTAAAGAGCGCAAGGCAGCTGACGATGGCTATTGGTAACAAAGTTGAGCGAATCGGAACTCGGTGGACTGGGTCGACTTTTGCAAACCAAGCTGGCAGGCCGCGATCTCTAGCCCAAGCCCAGGTGATGCGCGATACTGAAGCCAGAGATCCAGCCACCACACAGAACGTAATGACCAGAAGGCTGATCACCATTGCCGTTCCGCCTCGTTGCCCAACCGCACCGAAACAAAGTGGGATTATGGGGTACGGAGACTTCAGGGTTTCTGTGGCGTCGTCACCCATTGCAAAGAGTAAAACCAACATGATGCCGTAGGCCTGTATGCCGTTCAGAACAATGGTCCAGATCATTGCCCTTGGTACCGCATGCTTTGCCCGGCGGACCTCCTCGCTCATATGAACTACTCCATCAAAGCCAACAAAGCCCCAAGATGTGACGAGAAGGCCCAAGTTCCAGGAGACCACTCCATTCGTCCAACCGGACGTAGAGCTTCTCTCAAAGAAGACGAACCTGGCGTCACTCCTGCCTCCATGAATCGCGAAGACCACGATGAAGATGAACCAGATGATGACATGAAGAGCGCCGCCAATTGTCTCCAGCCATGGAACGGACCGGAATGCAAAAATGTTTATCAGTCCAACCACGAAAAGCTGGGCGATGATAAGTAATGTCAAGTGCCATGGCTTGTAGACATATTCCGGATGGTTGACGGTCACGAGCCCTAGGAGAATATTGGCCATGGAAGAAGTCGATCCAGCTAGAGAGGATACCCAAGCGAACCATGTAACCCATCCCTGCATCCACGTGAGCAGTCTTGCACGCTGCCGTTCATTTTCCGCTGACGAGGATGATGCCACAAGGAACTTCGTCCAGTGGTACTGGGCTCCGGCAATGGGCTGGATGGATGCGAGCTCGGCCATGGATGCGGCGAGAGCCAGAGCGCCACCGACAACGAGTAGCATGCCCCAGGCGAGGGCTTGTGGTCCTCCATTATAGAAACTTGCGCCTAAGTTCATTGCTATGACCTCCCAGCTCGACATAAAGCAGAGTGCGAATGTGAGGAGTTGAGTCGAAGAAAAGAGACGCTGAGTTGTGGTCAGCCCGAGTTCTCAACTCCGATTTCCTCGCTTTATCATCGAGGAAGTCAACTTGGCAACCTACTCTGAGAGTTGAGGCATCATCTTGGTAAATCCTTGAGCTGGTCTCGACATTCGAGATCTCTGTCGTCGGTTTCTGAATGTCACTGTTGTCTGTAGAGCTCGCCCCGATATTCAGCGGCTGCATCTCCATTACTCCAAGTATGATGATATAGGTTTATTCAAAGTAACTAGGAGAGCGAGGACTCGATTCATAAGTGGCAAAGAAGCAGATAAAATGGGGAATTGGTGAGCAAGCCAAGAGAGGGCTTCACTAATAACTATCTCGGCAGATTAAATAGGTGCTAGAAGCCGATAGACTCCTATCTACGATAGCCTATAGACGCAATGCAACGTCGCTCAACATTAGTCGCAAACGAGGGGTGCAGATCGGAGGGACAAGTACGCAGTAAGTAGTCTAGAAACCAGGGGCAAATCCCCGTTGTCTTGCTTTTTGGCCCAAATTGTCTCACCACGCGCGCATGCGGAAAAGAGCACGCGACGCAGAAATTCGAGAAGAACAAAAGGAACACTACTCGAGACATTCCAAAGCGACGTTTTCTCGGTTGCATACCGAGCTATGAATGTGACAATGCAGGTAAACATAACGTCATAAATATTATCTAGTTGCGATGCTCAGATGCCAGAGGAGCTGTGGCAGAAATGGATGAGTCCGAAAGGGGCGTATAGCACACACTCTGGTATGAGCCAAATAATTCCTTCCACGAAAGAGTTCATCAGCCATAACGCGACTTTTCGTCGCGTATCATCACAGCTGCTTCCCCCACCTCACCGCAAATATTTAAACCTGTTCTTCCATTTCCGCTGGTTCCTTCGGCGTACCCAAATCCGTATCTGAATCGCTGGGCGCGCATAATACGATCCCTATCTTTCTTCCGAAGAGTTGACATGCCCTCCATTGTGCTCAACATCCATGAGTCAGACACATAGAACATAGCCCCCACGATCGTTCTCGGATCAACAGGCATATGTGGCCACTGTATAAAAAAAGAGTACACTATGACGAGTATCATAAGTGCAAGAATTGTTATGCTGAACCATGCGCACACGAGCTGTGTTTCGTAAGTATCGAGATGACTGAAAGGCACATGTGACAGAGTGACGGGAAGGAAGAGCTCGGCAAGAACGGTCGTGAAAGAGACAGCCCCGAGGAAGGGAGATCTTTGTTGGAAAGCAGAGTACATCCCGTAGAAAGCATTCGTCGGAGGTGAGAGCAGGATAGAGCGTTCGGCGGGGAGTTGTTGCTTGGAGAGTTGTTGGTACGGCGAAATGATGGCCACGGATCGAAAGAACGTCTCCATGCACGCGCCAAAAATTACACCGAGAGCAGTGAAGAAAAAGCGTACACCAAAGCCACGGCTGTCCATGAATCGCTCGAAACCGCTGCTGATTGAGGTGTTCTCGTAGTACGTCAAAATGATAAAGACGCACGCGAAGACGAAGAGGAGACAACAGCGTCCCCACCAAGTCAATAATACAAATGGCTGAGTATTCTTCTTCAAAGGTCTTCGGTCAAGTTTTTCTCTTTGCGTAGATACGTCGCTCTTCACCAGACTTTTGGTATCGTCTTTGTTCGTCCTAACAATTATTCCATACCCCCGGGTGCTGACAGAGCGGGGATTAGATGATACGCAGAATCCATCGAGAGCGTATTTGCTTTCAGCGAGGGACTCGAGAATTTGGTCTTCTTTTGGAAATCCATGCGTATCTTGGGCCATTTTCTGGATGCTGTCCCTCATCTTAAGGTTTAGACTAAGACTCGCCATGCCCGCTATGCTCCATGGATTGTGGCTTACACCGGTCTTCCACTGGAAAACATTAAGGAGGATGATCAGAGCCATCAGGAGAGCCATCATGATAGCCATCAAAGCCTCCAGAAATCGACCGGGAATTGTCGTCACTCCAAGGCTGCCAAAGCAACCCAGGTCGCACCCGTCTGGAACGCGAACAGACACTGTTTCGGCTGCAATGGGCGCGAGCAACGCCGCGCCAAATACTAGTAGATCCGAGATCACGATGATTGGTTGCCTGAATTTGATCGAACGAGGCAATGACAGCGCGCCCGACCAGTTGTAGAACCGCAGGAAGATCGATGATTCTGGAGATGCCCCTCCGAGCGAGCTTGCTGTTGCCAGCGTATGGAATGGCTGCATCAACCTAGCGTTGATGTTTATGAGTTTGAAAGGATACGCAATTATCGCGGCCAGTATTGTTGGAAGAAAAGCACCGAGCATGTACTCTTTCAGCCCGAGTCCGTAGACTATCACATTGACATTGCCCGTATTTTGTGTGCCATTCGAAGTGGCGGAGCTTGTTGAAGCCGGTGTGGCGATGACAGTCAAAACAGTGGTGGATGCTGGCGTGCCACCTCGGACAGTTGTATATGAGGATGTTGTCAATTGGCCTTCGCTGTTTGTAAACGTTGTTTCGATGACCTCGGTCGATCCGCCTATAGTCGTGGGAATCACCGTGGACAGAGTTGTGAGTCTGTCCCCTGATTGAACCGGGGTCGCTAAGACGATGGGTACTGTTTTCAGAGTGGGCGTTCCGTGGATCGTTCTTGTGTACGAAGACGTTCTGAGGTGTCCCTCACCGTCGATGTATGTTGTCTGCAGAGCTTCTATCGTTCCTCCTTCTGTTGTCGGAACATAAGTCGGCATTGTGATCACTTTGTATCCTGGCGGAAGTGATGTGGCGACGAAATAAGTGCGGGTAACAAGCCCACTTTGACCGCCTATGATGGACTCGTACGATGAAGTAGTTGTGTGACCCTCAGCATCGACATACGTCGCCTGTATGATTTGAGTTATGCCCCCGCGTATAGTTGAAATCACCTTTGGGATGGCCACCAGAGTTTCTCCCGGCCTCATCGTCAAAAGAGTCTCAAGAACGCTCGTCTCGCCTGGAATGTTCGTAGTCACGGTCTGAACCACAGTACGGCCACTCGAGTCAGTCATAGTACGCTCGAGTGTTGCTTTGCTTGAGGGCCACGTCTCAGTCTGTCGAATGACCGTTATATCATCTTGATGAACTTCTGGAGACAAGGTTTGAGTTGATTGATATACACTTGTCATGCCCGGGAGCGTGATTTCATGGCCCCCATCCTCGGTTTCTCGAACCCGAGACGTGGGTGTCGGTGAATCCGCAATTTTTCCCGTTTCGAGATGGCCAGGATCAGGAAGCGTTGAGGTCGTCGATCCCAGATTGAGGTATCCCCCTGTCGTGAAAAATGAGGTCACCGCAGAGCTCGATACAATAGTCTGCGATCCATTTCCAAGGTATGCGCTCCCAGCTGTGGTCCCTAGATGTGTGGTAGAAGTGGTTGAAGATGGGGTTGTGAGCACAAAAGAATCTGTCTCGGTCGGCTCTCCGAAGGAAATGGGTTGCATCGTCGAGGTCAGGATATGCGAGTCTGGAGATATTGAAGACATCGTCTCCGCAGGCGTTTCTATTGTCGAGGACGAATAACCAAGGGCAAGAAAATCGCTAGTAAATATAGAGTATGCTCCGGGTTGGCTGGATGTTGCATTGCTAGGTACCCTAGCTAGGCGTCGGTACGACGCTTGTTTTCGCTCTGGTGCTGGAGCTTTATTCCCATACTGTTTTTCAATACTCCTTGACCAGAGCTGAGACGGCAGATCTTGTTCATTGTTAACCAGCAATGTTTGGATGGCATATTCGGTCAGACCTAAGGACGTGGCAAGGCAGACAATAAGAAGTCCATGGAACCACCACCGCAGGGCTGTAGGCTTGTAATCCTCATGCTTTCGTGGTGTCGCCGTCCGTTTTAATGATGTTATCGATAGATCATCTGGGCTGTCGGCCTCGACCACCGTGTGGCCCAGTTTGTACTTGGTCTCGACGCATTCGTATGTTAACCCACCCTTTTTTAAAGAATGAATTCGTTGAGTTTCTGAAACTACGCGAGACATTGTGAATGCCAACACAGCATAAACAAATGCAAAGGAATGGCGAATACCAAACAATGTTGGTATTCTGACAGGCAGCGGGGAGCTCTACTTTTGAACTTACTCTGTACAGTGATAGAATGCTTCAGTATGGAACTTCCAATCATTGCCGATGATCACCCAATCAGGCACTGGTTTCCTGCTTGCCTAGAAGATGTAATGTTGGGGGCGGTTTATGCAGCTTCATGTAGTGGAACAGAGTCAATGGTGCATACATGGTGGCTGCTGACTGCATATCACAATTCTGCTCTGGTATTGGTGGAGGTGGTAGCAATCGTATCTGCAGAGCTCCAAGCTAGCTCAGCCCCCCTAAATCGAGCGCGTGCTCCTCGAGGCTTCACGGAATATGCATTGCAGCCGAAGCCCCTAAAATAGGATGGATTATGGCATGATAGAGGCATGTCAGCCGGGGAACAGCAGCTCCCTCAGGTTTTCGCCCATAAATACGTGGGGGCTATCACACTCGGTTCCTGTGGCGCTACATCTGAAGCCAGTCCTATGTGGGATAGTGGAATCTTTCCAATTGATTATTGGATTGGACAGAAGAGTTTGTGGTATGGTCCTAGGTGCGCAAAGGTGTGTACCTATCTTTCAGTTCACGAGACAAGTAATTCATTAGATTCAAGATGTGATTTTCCGGACAAAACGCACGCTTTGCCTTCATCATCCTGTACTTAAGAAAAGGGCTTAGGAGCATGTGCTCTATTAGCCTGCAGGCTATCAACGCGTCCTCTTGATCCAATTAAGGAACCCTCTGAGATGCTCGTAGCACTGAGGCGTTCTTGGAACTTTATAAGATAGTCGCATAATACGGGCTGCTTCTTAAGATTAATAAGAGGAATGTCATGACTTTGTTTGATGCTGCGATACTTCCAAGGTAAGCAATGCAACTTGATCTCCGTTTTGGAGTCACTGTCAAGGGGCATTTTTTGTACAGTCATAAGCAGACAAAGAGTTCGCCAAATATTTCGACTGAATAACCATATTGTCGAGGCCGAGTGAAATCAGCTGCTGAAATAAAGACCAAAGTTCTATAGCACATTGTGGAAAGCTAGCAGCACTTCAATACCTTCTTGGTCTCTGCTGCACCCAACAAGAGACCCACAGCTCTTGGCGGTAACTTGCTAAAAAAAAAAAAAATTACAATATGTAGTGCACGTAGTTTAGCAGGTAATAGAAAACTACCTTTCAACCCCATTACAACTTGATAATGTCTATCGCGATGCTAGAGTCATTGTCCATAAATCCCGCATCAACATCGTCCTTGCGATCCCGTGACCTCTGCCCGCGATCCCATGTGCATGAAGGAGGACAAACCTATCACAATCCTTCCGACACATCCTACAGCGGAAGAGGATATCGCGGAGAGATACAGAATAGAACAATGGCCTTGCCATCAATGTGTACCCTTTCTTGCAAAATATTTAAACCCGTCACCCAGTCCCTGAAGTTCAAACTCTCCTCCCTTCCCAAACATAACCAAACGGCTATGGGAAGAAGCCCATTCCTAACAGAAGCACTGGGATGCAAATAAGACTTTTCTGACACCAAAGATCTCAGTGAGTCAAGAGCCCTTCTGCAAGTTCCGCACTTCAAAGCTAATTTGTAGTCGATACATCTAGCAAATCGTTTCACCCGTCTTTCAAATGCTCGGCGTCACTGAAGTAGAAGGAGGATTACACACTGAGCCTACCATCAGTATATCCCCCTCTTCAGTCTCCGATCATCCTTTAAAGTTTCCATGGAGCAAGAGACAGGCTCGTCATCAGCTAGGTCATCGGTCCAGCCCCCACCGATCAAAGGCTTGACCAGACGAATAATCAAGCAGCGGCCAGCAGTGAGCCGCTGGTCGAGTTGAAAAGGAAAATCAAATCAAAAGGAGAAGAGAACCCTCCCAATTCCATCACCGCAACAGCAGAGAAAGCCGAAGAGGGCCAAAAGTCTCTGATCGGTAGGGACGCCATAGGGCGTGCACGCGCAACATTTATGTCCACCTCGGGACCGAGTTCACGAAATGCGCCTCTGGGACAAACTAGAGCGTCACCTCACCCAGTCCCAACCGCCAATTTTTCATTCTTTAAAAAGGTAAAATAATAAGAGACAATCTATTGCGTAACGTGAATAACAGCTGAGTTCTGTGAACAGAAATATCACCGAAACGGCAACCTAAGTGAACGATTACACACTTAAATATTCAAGGAAAATTTCCCCCGGTGACGTTGAAAACCGGCCCAAGTACTGAGAATACCCTCAACTACGCAGCACAAGCGGTGCTCGAATACATTCAGCAGCAGCAAGGAGCACACAGCTGTTTTTCGACCGGGAACTGAAGCTTCCACAACCACCGGACAGCAGATCTGAGACCACCACCACAGGCAATTATGCACACATCAAAGATGCAGTAACGACATCCACATCTGGCCACAGAGCGTGCTGGACTTTGACCTGCAGTCATTCAAGAAGATAGCCTCGCTCCTATGGCTTGCCGAGGAGCGTCTCGACAAGCTCTACCACCCTGCGCGCAACATTTCGAAGAACCCTTCTGCTTGTCCCTCTGAATTTCCTCGAAGTTGACACTCGAAAAAAAACTACCAGTGACAGGAAGCATTCATGTTCACGACACTTTCTCAGGACTAGTGAGCCTTCCCGCGTCGAGGAAAAAGAAAGCTATCAATCATTTGGAAGGCCACTGACCGACACCAATTGCGAGGGATCCTCCAGATCAGGTTTACATTTTGAGCGGTACGACTCAAAGATGTGAGCATTTCGACAGAGACTAAGTTAATACCCAACCACAAGATGCGCGGGAAGGCTGCAGTCCCAGCAAGTCATCCGGGCCATCAAGGTCCAGCGGGACTGCCTTGGCTCCATGTTTTCCTGAATCAAAGCTGCAGATCAAATCCTGAAAGGAAAGACAAATGATTTGTTGACGCCCATAACCAATGGTGGCGGTCACAACTCTCCACCCAAGCCGGTGCCTCTCCTACAACTGTCCCTGAACCCACAACTCAAGCTGACGCGACCATTGGCAATGCTGTTGAGGCGCCACGCGGAAACACTTCCGTTGCGACCAGGGAGAACGTCGACTTAGCAGAATTGCTCGTCTGCGTACCTTCTTGCCGAACAGTAGCCCCGGATCTCGCAGAGGGGATGCAGAAATCCCGACTACGGTGCAAGACGACGGTCTAGTTCCATGAGCTTGTGGGTGATTCTAGATCGATAATCATCGACTAAGCCATCGCTGGAGGAGGACATCAGACTCTCCGCAGAACAGTGCTGGACCCGGCCAATACTTGGCTGTTTTATCAACGCGCGAGGCATGCTTAAAACCCCTCTCACGAACAGATTCGACTCAACGTAACACTTTTCGATTTGGAATATTTCTAATCTGAAAGTATTGGGGAACGATATCTCCTCTGGTCGCAACACTAAGCAACACTAGATTCCTCAGCTTGCCTGCACGGATACTATGATCCGGAGGGAAATGGAAGGATGGATAGCTTTGGGTTAGCCACAGTCCCTCGCACAGCCAAGACTGGATTTCGCTAGCCCAACTGTTTGGTTTCACAGCACGCAGACCTTTTCTTGGAGTACAAACGCCGCAGGCCCCAGGAATGGCCAGGACGAAAACGAAGAAGAAATGAAATACTGCACGGGCATTTACATCGCTGGCTGCAGGTCTAAACTGCAAATCAGCATGCGAACATATAAGAGTGAGAACGCAAAGAATCCTCGAAAAATTGTTGCCGCAAAGCTGGGCTTTTCCTAAGCCCGACAGGCACTCAACATCTGAACTCAGCCCAAGGATAAAAGAATATGATATATCGGACGCCCCCAAGACCGGTAGCAAGCACCGGCTCGTCACACGAAGCGACGAGATGTCAGTCACCCGAGAAAAGCCACCATATGACCTCTTCGAACAGACCTTTGAACAAGATTCGCAGACAACAACTCTATTTGTGGTAATTGGGAAAACCGCGTTACAAGAGAATATTGCAGCGCGAGAGACCGAGGAGGACTCGCTTGCGCCCCATATTGATAGCAGCGGCACGCGCTCATCTTTTGAGATCCTAGGATGCACCCTCCTCTCAGAGAGACGTGCTGAGCAGAACCAGATGAGTGGCTCAAGATTGATAAGACCATCTTCAATAGTCAGTATGTCCCAGGTCCGGGGTATATGTTCGGCCAACCCTACAGTGGAGGAACCTTCTGCAGAAGGACGGACCTTCAGACCCGAGCCTTTTGGGCATCTCGACGCTCCAACTGTCCTCAAACGTAGCCAACACTGCCGCTTGTGGGGGATTTCCCTTGCGCTTCACTTCAAGACAACGGCCAAAACTAGCTCCGGAGATGGCTTGTGTCCTGCGTCTTGTCATGCTTCATGACCGCCTGTCTAACGACAAGTTGAGAAGCCGTCAGAACCGGCTGCGTGCCTCAAGCTTTATGACTGCTTCACAACTCTTGATTGTCCTTTATCTACTCCTTTTCCAAGGCTACATAACAGCTGTCTACGACTTCATAGTGCAGTTTGATTATTTTTCTTCGAAATCGTCATACAATGGACGAGATGGCACCGCCTATTTCTTCCGGTGTCGAGCTCGAATGTATGGTTCAAGTTAAGCATCGGCCAGACAACATGGCAGCTGGCCCGTGGCCCAGGACTATACCTGTCTCAACAAAACTCCCGATTTACAGCTCTAGGACACGGCAAGAGGTTGGCCTGTCCTATTCTCATCAGCAGATAACACCAAGCTGACGATTTCCCTCTGGCCATGGATTCTACCACTATTCTCGCCTATGGAGACTGCACAATCATGACTGCGTCTCTCAGACCGGTGGTGTTTGTTATACCGCGTCTTGGGGGCCTCAAGATGGCTTTCTGTGGAACCAGCTTCGAGGCTGTCTTTGCGTGGACAGACGCGCCCGGCACAATTTCAACTCTATTGATTTGATGAATTTGAAGTGTAAAGTAAATTGTATACTTACATCAACAACAGCATATTTATGGAGCATGGAAGGGCGACGAACTTGGATAGGGGCAGACGCCATCTCAATTTCCTGGAACAAAGCCGCCGAACAACACCCTGGGGACCACGACACCAGAAATTCGCGCAGAACGCGAACCTCGACAAAATGTCGCCGCAAAATCGGGGAAACCTGCAACAATGACTACTACAAACGACGACATCGTGAAGAGGCTCAGGCCTCATTGTTCACTGGTCCAGATACCACGGAACTTCTCAATTACACTTCAAATGAGCTGAGCCGCTAACTGCAATTGCAAAGGCATGGAATCCAGTGGCCTCTTGGACCAGTTGCATTTCGCATGCCGCCTCGGTTTCCTGGCACAGTGCCTCCGACCAATTCACCACAGGTGATGACTGGCACAGATATACATACATCTGTGTTTGAACTGCCAACGAGCATACCTCAATTTTCTAACCATGTCAACGACATAGAAGCGAGCCTCAGTTGCACAGAGTTTAGGAGGATTTCCAATAATAAGGCCTGCGCTCACAGGGAAATCCAGCCTCACAACAGAATCGAGCAGGACATCTCGTAAAGAATGATAATTCGTGTTTGTGATTACAATTTTCAAGATAAAAACGGTAACAGCGAGGACGAGGAAGAGTAGGGACAGTTGAATACATGGCAATACTCGTAGGTACAAATTTAATACATTATCCAAACTGAACGCTTATAAGAATAGCGGCATTCCTCTAAAACTCTTTGTTCGTGACCACCAGGTCTATATGTTTTATCATGAGGTTTCAAGATATTTCAGAACTGAAGCACTAGCTGGAGCGTGCCTAGATGGCATAACTAGATCTTGTCTTTCGGTATACCCCAGATAGAAGCAAACCGGGTAGAGAAAACGAGGCGTGGGTGAGTCGCTGTGCCAAAGTATGACAACGATTGATCATAATGCCATAGAAAAGCGCAATTAGTTTCTCTCGGATTAGGCCAATGGCACGATTGTTTGTCTATTACGGCTGTGGCCATACGTAGCCGAGAGTCGCTACACAGGCACGGTCATTATGAGAAGTAGTTCGCACAGCCAAGCTTCTGAAAGGATGTCATCAATTTTTGTCAAAAAGTGCTCCGAGAGCCCGAGCACGAATCTCTATATTTGTGCATTTTGTGACGCAGTCCTCCCGAAATGCAAGGCATATCAATTCGCGGGACCAGGAAAATGGCTTCTGCTTCAGCCCAGATCCTCTCCATCCAGCAACCTGACAACCAGTCTACAAGATACTGTAGTGGTAGTGCTTCTGGTTGTTCGCCTGCTTGTTGACCGACCACTCATTCCTCCTCTGGTGGGCATGCTCCACCTTGCGGCTTCGCTGAGCCGCCTTGCTGACCTCCTTCTTCTTCTTGTCCGAGACACCCAGCATGCCACCGCCACCCTCGGCGCCGCGGCCCGCAAGCTGCCTTCTCTGGTCACGGACGCGCCCGCTGAGGACAACCTGCTTACCATTCTCACCCTCCTCGCCATCAATGTCCATGGCATCCGAGTCACCGTCCTCAAGAGCCAGCTGCTGCTGTTGGTAACCCTCGAGGAATGGTCGCTCGCGAAGGTTCTGGCGGTAGTACTTGTTCAGAGATCTATGACCAACAGCTCTGCCGCTTGGGAGGTGAAGTTCGTAATCGTCGTAGAAAACTGCGCGAGTGGGTTTGTGAGAGTGTGAATGCCAACCGTCTTTCTGGTGATGAGGCCTCGAATCACTACGTGAGTGGTGCGCATGTTTCTCCAATCGCTCGTACTGGTGGTAGTGATTCTCCGCAGGGACAGCAGTGAGATCGGCCGAGTCGAGTGATGAGGCCGAGGAATCTGTCTCCCAACCTGCATCCTCGGCTTCTTCGATCTCCTCACCGTCCTCGTTCGTGGTGACTGCCGCCCGCTTGCCACCAAGCTTTACGCCTCCGGCTTGTGGCGATTCTTCGTCGTCCGAGTCTTCATCCATCTCATCGTCAGAGTAGGTACTGCGGAAGTCGTAGAACTCTCCGATCTCGAGCTGCTCATCCTCGGTGGTGTAGGGAATCTTGCAGTGGCCAGTGTCACGCATATGCGTTTGCGCCGCGAAGGCGTTTGCCTTCGCCTTGCCGCAGACCAAACATTCGTGGTATTCCTGTATGCGCTCTTGCAGGGATCGCAACAAGCCCTCAATATCGACCAGATATTGCTTCTCGGGGATGAACATGCCGTGAGTCTTTTCCATGTGGCTGACATTTTGAGCCACGTCAGGAGACTCGTGATTACAAAACAGGCATGATTTGAGTGACAGTTTTGCTTGTGCATCGTCAGCAGCCTTCGATGGGGTCGGTGTCACCGACTGCTGTTCACTGGATGCCTCTGAAACTGGATGGTCGACCGTGTGCTGACTCCTTGCCAAAATCTGAGGGTTGGAGGGTCGCTTGACTGGCGATGGGCGTTTTTGCTGCTCTGATATACCGGTCTTCTTCATGCCCTCGACGATGTGACTGAACTCCTCCTCGGCATCCGAGTCCACCTCGGAGGTGTTGGATGCGACAGGATCTCCAAGGGAGAAGGTGGAGCTGATCATGGAGCTGGCATCATCGGCAGAGACGCCATTCCGGCCCTTCCTCAGCAGAGCAGCGGCCTTGGCCTTGTGCTTCTGGCTCCCGATGTGGTTCTGGTACGAGTTCTCACTGTAATATGTCTTGTTGCAGATGGTGCACTCTGTCTGGAAACCGGCGCGTTCGGCCTCGGCGGTAGTGGAAGCTCGAGCCTGGAGGACCTTTTCCGTGAAGACCTCGGAGGAGATGGGCGGAAGAGTCGCAACGCGGCGCTTGAGGTTGTATCGGCTGGACGAGGGGAGACAAAGAGTCAGATAGGTTCTGCGATACGCACTGGTACAGGAACTAGAGGTTGTGAAGACTTACTGCCAGTCGTTCCTCATGTGACCCTTCTGCAGGTCGCTGTTGCGGAAGGCTACCTGACAGGTATTGCAGGTGTATGGATGAGAGGCAGAAACGTCCTGTGCGGAAACAGCACCGCGACTGCCACTGATGGTCGCCATTTTGAAGGGCTGTCTGTGGTCGTGTGTGGGTGTGCGCCTGTGTTTGGCTCTGATGGCGGGGTCCTCTGCGACTGACGTCGACGACTATCTTCTGAAAGCTGCCACCAAGTGTCGAGTGTTGCAGGAGATTTGTTTGCGTCGCGGCCTTGATGGGGCGGGGACGATCGCAGGAGAGCAGAGTAGGTTATTCCCGCTGGGCACAGAGGAGTCAAAGGCAAATTCGGATTAGTAAAAGAGGCCTTGATATCACACATGTCTAGTGGCGATGATTTCTCAGTTGACTCGACCAGGCCCTGGCCTGGCTGGGCTGGCAGGGCTCATTTTTCGGTGGGGCAGCACCATGGACCTCGATAAGCGAGCGAGCGATAAAGGGCCCTGCTCAGGCCTACGTCAATCGTAAGGGGACCGACCCCTCCCTCCTCAGGCAGAGCCAGTGCGGAATGCCTGTGCTGTGCCTGTGCTGTGTGCATGAATGAGAACGGACGGGCGGGCGAACGCACTCTGCACGGTCGCAGTCTAGTTCATGGGCGGTCCCTCTGGTCGGCCTCATCGCCCAGAACTGCCAGAGTAGAGTTCAGGTTGCCGTCTCTTGGCAACAGCAATCATCACCCAAGATCGGGAGCCTATCGACTAGAGACCACATGTTTCCAAAGAATAAGATTTGTACCACGAGATGGAGACCTCACAATGACATGTGCGTGCAAATCAATCTCAAGTGGGAGGGCTGTTAGATACATATTGGCTGTGCTGTGATTAATTGTCGGCGAACTGAGCATCAAGTGCGTTAACATCCAGCGTCCAGCGTCCAGCGTCGACCGTCGACCGTCGACCATCGTCCGTCGACCGTTTCAGGATTGGCCCCCCTCCTCCAACCAGCCCCTGGCCCTGCAGAGCGTCACAATCACGCCCTGGGGGTAATTGGAACCGGGCACGGCGTACGGCGAAGGCCCTTAGAGCAGAAGGACTGCATACATACCATATATGCACAACACTGAATACGGTACGGGTACGGCACACAGTAAGCAAAGAACAGCCTGGGAAGGCCCCTGGCTCTCGATAGCCCTGCCTGCGGTCTATTTGCAATCGAGGCCCTGCACCCTCCTAAAGCCCCATCCCCCAGGATTGGAAAAGACAACTCCATCCTTGTCCATCCCAACCTGCTATGCCCTTGACTTATTGGTCTTCTTGGTCTTCTTCCGCCTCGACTCGAGGACCATCACGAGGACAGCCTGCGCACATCCAACTCTAATCTTCTTCGTCTCGTCCTCTTGCCCTGTGTCTTTGTTGGCAGCCTTGCCGACTCGACTGGTGCTTTCTCCCGGTCCATCTTTGCGCCACTCCCGCATCATTCTTACCCTGCTGTCTCGTTCCCGCTTTGGACCACTTGCCGCCGCCGCTATCGTAATTCTCCGAACCAACGCATACTCAGCTTGCTGTTCCTCCGTGATACCCTTCCGAGCCTCCTGCGTCCAGACCATCCTCCAACACTCAAACAATCCCCATATTACCTTGTTCTGCTCCGCTCCAATCGCCCGACCGATCCCGACCTGCTAGCCGTGCTGAGGCAGACTTCCCGCCGTCGAGGCTCTACCCGTTGTCCCTTATGTCATGACGCGAGACGCCACTCGGCCACTCGACGCTGGGCCCGGCCCCCATCACATCCATCACGATGTTGAAACCGATCTACTGGCTGGGCTCTGGGAGACTGCTCCTTTTGCTCGTCTACCCTGGGATGCGCCGCCCGAGTTGAAAGAGTTGGTCGAGGACATACAAAACCCGCGCAGGGTCTATGCCATACATCAGGCCAGTCGCCGGCATGGCTTCCAGCAGCTGGTCGAGAAGTTTATCGTTCAACTACGGGACGGATGCGGCTCCAACTATTGCAGCACCCCGACTTGTTTCTCCTTTCGAAAGCGGAGTGTTGGACGCATACCAATACGGCGGTACAATGTCACGAGCGCAAGGGTCCTGGCTGTCTACATGGCTGGCCAGGACAATCCAGAAAATGCCCTGTGTCCAGCCCTCAGGAGTCCCAAGATGCCTCCCGCTGCCTTAGACTCCCTCATCTTCTACCGGAAACCCAGCCTACAGCATACCGAAGAGAGAACACGGCCGCCCGGGAAAGGCCGCACTACGGCAGATAAAGAAGGGCAATCCAAGAGCCGGCAAGTTCGGGTAAAGGCCAAAGTTCAGGTGCATTCGAGTTCGAGGGAGTCGAGCGCTGGGAAGGAGAGGAACACGCCCGCTTCACCCCAAGAGACGCCGGCCGCCTATGACGGCCCTAAATTCGAGGTCACCGAGAGGCATACCGGCAAAGACTACCGGTCCTTCGCAGCAAATATGTTCGGTACCGTGGCTTTCAAAATGCTGGAGTGGTTGACACCCAATGCGCTCGACGATATGCACGAGACGGCCTGTGATCTGGAGAAGGACAACCGCGAGGAGGACTTCAGGACCCCAAAACCTCGTCGGAGGAAGTCGTCTCCTCGACCAGAGTCACCTCGTCAGGATTCGCCACCAGCCTCGCCCAAGGAGCATGATGCCAATGATTTCTCCATTGCCGAAGAGGCCACTGCCGAAGTCAAGCCATTGAATGGCAAGGCGGAGATTGAGCAACGCGAGAAAGAGAACGAGCCGCTTGTGAATGGGAATGGGCCAGTGTCCACTCGCAGGCCTGGAAGTGTACGCCGCAATTCTAATGCCAGGGTACGCACCAACTCGGCCACCAAGCCGAAGCGAAAACTGTCATTGGACACCTATCCTCCTGATCTGGTTTCTGATGAGCCGGTAAATGGGCTTAAGTCACCGCGCTTGCCAGGGTTCCAGGCGGAGAAGAACAGCAGGTCTTGCAAGACAACAACCTCTACCTTCTCCCGGCCACCGCCTCAGGCGGCATCAGCAGACTACCTGGCAAGGACTCGTATAGAGGAGTCCTCGCCTGCGCCACCTCAGGACAGGAACAAGCCTGATACAACGCAAATAGACGAGGGTCTGGGGCAACGAGGAGCGGCTGCTCAAGAATCTGATCATCAAAGCACCCCCTCGGAAATCTCAGCGAGCGATTATTCCATGGCGCCACCCGACGGTGATACCGAGGTTACGTACGATTCGTTCCTTCCGCAGGCCATCTCGCGTCTGAACGTCGACGTTGTTGACTTCGTCTGCGATGTGCTACAAGATGATGGCACACGCGAGCAACATCTACTAGAGCCGGCAGAGGTGCCAAAATCGCTCGCAGCCACGACAACGAAGCGAGTCAGTAAATTAAAGAGAAGACATAAATCCAGGAGATGCTCCTACCCCGCGGATCTCAAGAAGGAATGGAAGTTGTTCATCGAACAGAGCCTCTTTTATACGCTCAGCGACCCTCACGCTCTCATTCACTCATTCACACACAAAGGCGAACTTATCGACTCCCAGGCGCTCTGGTATTGCATGCTCCGGATGACAAGAGTTGCGCCTACCCTGGTCTACCACTGTCTCTGGCTGTCCGCCGCGCACCTCTTTGCGCCCCCTAAATCCGTCCAATCCCTTCGGTCGCCCACTGCCAGACTCTTCCCAAAACAGGAAGTCTCGTTGTCCAATGCTGAAGCAGGACGTCTGATGTCCATATGTCTTCACGCTCTGATTGCCGCGGCACCCATGGTGTCGGAGAAATCTCAGCTCACAGAGATGTCGCGATTGCGATCACAAGGACTGAGCTTGGCAGCGAGTGGTAGTCAACCTGCGGAACTTTGTCTGCAATATGACGACGCATTTTCCCACGACTTAGCAATGAGGCTGGCGAGAAGGCTTCTGTCCGCTATTACGGCGCGGAGGTACTTCGACGATATGCTCAGCCAAGAGACCCCCTTCGGTGACGCTAGTGAGGGCGAGCCAGATGTTCTGGCACCCCTGTTCACGCAACTCGATGCCCTTAGTGTGAGCAACGAGGAAGGCCTTCACGAAACGCGCATGTCGACATTGCTACTTGATTGGGCACGAGCTGTCATGTTCTACGAGTGGGACGGAAGCCCAGAAGTCCCAGAAGATGGCCCGTTTGGTGGTGCCCTTGCATTGACAGATGCCATCAGTGAGTTCATGAGCGGGGACCACATCCTGCGGTCGAAATGTTTGGCTAACAAATATCGCAGACAAGAAGAGCCAGGCCCTACGGATCACCCACAAACAGCTTCTTGCCGATTACTTTTCGGAGCGACTTGACAACGTCGATATGCCTGTTGCATGGTTATCTTTCACATCCACCAGACAGAAGGGTCATTTACTGGACCATCCCTATATTTTCAACCCGGACACTCTCGTGTCCTACTTTCGTGCTATTAACTTTTCGAGAATGAGCCATGTCTATGAAGAGGCAGCCTCACTGCAGAACCGACTGGATCGTCTCTTTGAGCAGGCAACGCTGATCGTGAATCGGCACCACAAAACCGTGCTGCAAGATCTTCTCCGCACCGCAAGGTCGAGATACCTGATCCTAGATATTGGTCGGAAAACGGTACTACGGGATGCCTTTGACCAACTCTGGCGCCGTGAGGAGAGGGAGTTGCTCAGACCACTGAAAGTGCATCTAGGCGAGGACTCGGGCGAGGAGGGATTCGATTCGGGTGGCGTTCAGCAAGAATTCTTCCGCCTTGCCATAGCCGAGGCTCTAAATCCTGATTACGGCGCGTTCACCATCGATGAGCGGAATAGGATGGCATGGTTCCAACCTGGGTCGACAGAGCCGGACTGGAAATTCGAACTCGTGGGGCTGCTTGTCGGTCTAGCCGTGTACAACGGTCTTACCCTACCCGTCAGCTTCCCTAAGGCTCTTTATCGCAAGCTCCTCGGTGAGCCGGTCACAGACATCCACCACATTAATGACGGATGGCCGCAGATAGCCAGTAGCTTGACAGAGCTTCTGGAATGGGACGAGTCAAATGGTGCGGTTGAGGACATATTCGCTGTCACCTACGAATTCTCCGCCAACATGCTCAACGAGCATGTCTCGAGGGAAATGCACTCTCTCACTCCTGGATCGCAAACCCCTTCCGACCATGAATGGCCTCAGTTCCCTCCTTCAAGCAACATTGGCAACCAACAGCGAGACTGGACATTATCCTGCGAGAACCCTGAGGACGCACCTTTTGTTACTGACGCAAACCGTAATGCTTACGTTTCCGATTACATCCGCTACATGACGGACGTCTCGGTCCGCCCGCAGTACGAAGCTTTTGCGAAGGGGTTCCGCTCAATTCTACACCCCAAATCACTCACCCTCCTCAGCCCAGAGCTTCTACAGAACCTTGTCGAGGGCCAGCAAGAGATCGATGTCAGCGAGCTCCGCCGCGCTGCACGGTACGTTGGCTACTCCTCCGCCTCGAGGACGATTAAGGACTTCTGGAAGATTGTCAGGGAGTACGATGACCAGATGAAGCGCAAGCTGCTCGAGTTCGTCACCGCGAGCGACAGGGTGCCAGTCGGGGGTGTCAAGAACATCCAGTTCGTAGTACAGAAGAACGGCGAGGAGGACGGCCACGACGGCCACTTGCCCACGGCATACACCTGCTATGGCACCCTCCTGCTGCCCGAGTACCGGGACCGGGAGGTCTTGAAGGAGAGGTTGAGCATGGCGTTGGAGAACGCCCAGGGTTTCGGGTTTGCTTGAGATAGAACGAGGTGGGCGAGGTGGATGGAGGGGAGGTGGGGGATCTTTTCTCTGTGTGTACTATATAACGTCTTCCACACCTCCCGGTTCTTGTATGTTTGGGCAAGCGAAAATATCGGATTTTTCAAATACAGAGAGCCTGACGTGTTTTACGCAAGTGGAATATGAATGCCATTGCTGGCTTTTACCGTTGGGCTTCCAGTGTGCTTTCCCAAGAGTCAGGGCGCATGTATAATGGGGAGAGACCTCAGCTACTTAGATTATAGTCACACCATCCCGCTTGTTGAGGACGAGATGGTCCACCAGAGGTGTTGGGATTTTGGCTTTGCAGTTTTGGTATCTATAGATCCACGCCAATCATCTATTGATGTGTCCTGGTTCTACCCCACGCAGGCGCCTGCTCTGTACAATTGCCAGCTACACGCACATACATACATATCCCAAGCCGCTCCTTTTACCTCATCCCGTGATCTAGAAGTCGTCCTCCCCGCTTCCGCTGACAATGACGTTGTTGACCTTGAGCACCATCCTGCACAGCTGGGTTGCGAGCATGAGCTGCTGCTTCTTGCTGATGAGCGGGTCGATGACGAAGGCGTCCTTCATGTTGTTGCTGCCCTTCTGCATGCAGTCGACGCCGAGCCTGCCGCGGTCGCCGCCGGCCTTGACCTGCTGCGACTTGATCTCGGCCAGGGTGGCGATGGGGTTCAGGCCGCTGTTCTCGGCCAGCGCCATGGGCACCGAGTCGAGGGCCTCGGAGAAGGCGCGCATCGCGTACTGCTCGAGGCCGGGCGTCTTGACGGCCGCGTCCTCGACGGCCAGCGAGCAGGCGATCTCTGCCGCGCCACCGCCGTAGACGACGCGGTTGTCGCGGACAAGGTTGCGGACTACGCACAGGGCGTCGTGGAGGGAGCGCTTGGCCTCGTCGATGATCTACAAGTAGTAGTTGTCAGTCATCCGGTTTGAAGGATAGTGTTCTGCGCAAAGAAGGCTCTTACCATCTTGTTGCTGCCACGCACGAAAACTGTGACGGCTCTCGTGTTTGCACACTCCTCGATGACGAGCATCTTCTCCCTCGTGGTACCAAAAGACATCTCCCGCACGATGCCGGCCTTACCCAGCTTCTCGGCCTTCAGGTCCTCAAATCTGGGCACTATCCTGCCATTTGTCGCAATGGCAATTAGCTCGATCTCGGGACCGCCAACCCATCGCACAGCTGGAAGTTCGTTCTGCAGGAGCAAGTGGTTGGCCTCGTCGTCGAAACCCCACTGGCAAATCGCCAGGTTTGCGCCTGTGTCCTTGATCTGCTGGATCATCTCGATAAACTTCTCCCGCTCGTAGTTTTGTAGCTTTTTGAACTCCTCCACCGTTGTGATATCCAACTTGTGCTTAGTCTTGGGCTTTGGGGGCTCGAATGCACACGTCAGGATGGCGATCTTGGCATCCCGGACCTCAGAGGGCATCTGCGGGTGCGAGAAGTCCTTGTCGACGATGACTCCCTTGACCAACAGCGTGTCTTCTAGCGATCCGCCCACCTTTCCGTCCACCTTGATCAGCTCGAAGTCGACGTCTTTCCGCTCGAGGTCGGCAACGGACATGATGGCGTCGACGGCAATGTTTGCGAACTGGTCGTGTGCCTTGGAAACGATCTTGCTGCCCAAACTCGTCCTTGCCACCTTGAAGAGGTTCTCAGTCTGGTCCTTGCTGAAATCAATGGTGTCGGCGATCTTGTCCAGCTCCGAAACTGCTATGTCACAGGCCTGGTCGTAGCCATCGGCGATACGGATGGGGTGGATTCCCTTGTCGATCAGCTCGGCAGCCTGCTCAAGCAGAGCACCAGCCAGGACGACAACACCAGTGGTACCGTCTCCTATCTCGTCATCTTGTGATTTGGAAAGCTCGACGAGAAGCTTGGCGACGTGGTTCGTGATCTCCATCTGTTGCAGGATGGTAGCACCGTCGTTTGTGACTGTGATGTCTCCATCGGGGGAGATCAGGATCTTGTCGAGGCCACGGGGTCCAAGGGAGCTCTTGACAATGTTTGCGACTGTTCGTGCGGCGAGGATGTGCGACTTGACGGCCTCGTTGCCAAACTGCCTCTTCTTCTTGCCCTGGCTGTACGCAGCAAGTTAGTCCGCGTTTCCAGTCGGCTTCAGGAAGGTCTCACGCACTCCCGGACAACAATGAATGGCCTGCCCTGCTCATCCTTCGTCACCACAGCTAAAGCCTCGTGTCAGTGTGTGTGTGTTGGTTCAGAGTACCCTCGATTAGTGCATACCATTCGACAAGTCCAGGTCTAAATAGTCTCGGTTAGCAGGTGCAAAGTGCATAGGTGAAAGGGGCTTGCGACTCACTCATCGCCATTTTGGAAGCTGTTTCTCAAGATCCAAACTCCAGAACGATAATCCTGCCAGGCTCGCTCAGAGGGGGGTGTGCAGACAAGGTACCTAGGTAGGGAGTTGGCAAGTCAGGAGAAGGCCAAGGGGTCCAGCTGTAGACAAGCACGATGGACGGTGGACGTGTTTAGGCGCGCCCCCAGAGCTGCGGCTGCTGCCATGCCAAAATTTCCCCCCTGTCACCTCGTCCTTGGGGTGGAGACTAGTCCCGCCAGCAGGACCCCTCAGCTGCCAGGCGCAGAGCTGCAGCCCGGAACTTCCAGCGGACCGAAGAAAAAAACCCAGCTATCGTTATCGCAGCGTTCTTATCGGGCTTGCAAATCACTGTGCAGGGGCTGGCTGGCTGGGCAGCGGTGGGAGCTTGCTTGCCTGCAGATGGCCCCACCACGTCTCTGCAATACGTCAGTGAGGCCCCCCCCCAATTTGCCCCTCCTAATCCCGAGTCTGGTCATGATCTGGTCATTTACATCGGTGACAATAGGTCCTTGACACTCCAGTATTCACAGCGTTTGGTGGCTATTTGGCCCAGGTGGAAGACAAGGCCATTTCGAATTTTTTACAGTTCTCAGAGACGATTGTATTTGAACCAGGCAGTCTACAATCGAGCCGTCTGGCCACAACCAGCTCAAATAATCTTCAGATCTCTTGTCCGAGGACAGACCGACATATTCCTTGCCCATCGAGCCGCACAGCCCCCAGCGGACTGTTACTTTCAAGATGTCTCGTCACCGCATGTACCAGAACTACGATTACGAAAATGACCTGGACGAATTTGACGGGAACGAGCTCGCGGAAGAGGAGGAGGAGGAGCTGAGCCCCGAGGACAAGGCCCAGATGACTGCTGCCACAGCTGAAGTGAAGAGCATGCTGGGCCCCCAGGCCAGCAAGGTCACAACACAGCAGATTCAAGAGTCCCTATGGCATTACTACTACGACGTCGACAAGACCATCGCCTACCTCATTAGCAAGTACGTCGATCCAACACCGAAGCCAGCGGCCAAGACAAAGGCTCCCAAGGCCGCGCCACCACCATCTGACGGTAAGAACTATTCTGATTTCCCCTTGCCATTGACTCCCCCTGACCGACAGGTGCCTCCGAAGCAGATCCCTGGAGAGTATGCGCGACCACTACCAGGCAAAGATCCTCGTGTGCAAGCTTCTTTGCCGACATGCCCTGGTTGAATATCCCGGAGGACCGCAGGACCGTCTTCACCAAGCCACCACGTCTACGCGGTGGTGGTCTCCTGGGTGGATCTTCAGAACCACCAAAAATGTCCAAGCTACAGGCCCTCGCCGCGGCCAGGAAAAAGAAGCGGGAGGAGAAGCAGCCAGAGACAGCGCAGGACGCCACAGCCAAGAAGGAGGCGCCCGAGACGGATACTTTGCGAAACAAGATCTCTCAGATGAAGATTTCCCAGAAGGAGGCACCTCAAGTTCCATCATCAGCTGTCCCTCTTACTCCATCGGACTCTCTATCTGGGCCAGGGCCCGCTCTCGACGGAACTATCGAACCTCAGGATCCCGTTCCAATCGTGGAAAAGGCGCAGCCTTCAACATTTGCGCAAGCTCTCTTCAAGTCTGCTTCGGAGACGCCACAACCCCAACAACAACTTTATGCGCCACCTTGGTTGACCTTCACTACCGATGAGGCCCTGGTCGAGGCCTTTTCCAAGCCGTCTCCTGACGATGTTGTGCAGGCGGCCCAGTCGCAAGGTTCGCGGTTCGCGAGAAAATGAGGGACAGCTGCTGACCCCCTCTGCAGCAGGGAAGAAGTTCACGTCTAATGCGCCAAACGCAAAGAACAAAGACGCGGCGGAGACTGCAAAGAGCTTGAAAGAACTAAAAATTGCTGAGACACCACTGCCAAAAAGCAAGAATCTGAACGTACTAAAAGAGTACGAGAAGAGCAATCGGAAGAAGAGCGCCAGCTTCGTGGTTGTGGGCCACGTTGATTCCGGGAAAAGTACTATGACTGGTCGGTTACTTCTTGACCTAGGCGAGGTCGACCAGCGGACGGTAGACAAGTATCGGAAAGAGGCCGAGAAAGAAGGGAAATCCTCCTTTGCGCTCGCTTGGGTGCTGGACACGCGGACAGAGGAGAGGTCTAGAGGAGTCACTATCGACATCGCCACCAAGAATTTCGAGACCGAATCGACGCTGTTCACGATAGTTGATTCGCCTGGCCACAAAGATTATGTGCCCAACATGATCGCTGGAGCGAGTCAGGCAGATTTTGCTGTCTTGGTTGTCGATGCAGCCAAGGGCGCATTCGAGGCAGGCCTCAAGGGTCAGACAAGAGAACACGCTCTGCTGCTACGGAGTATGGGAGTGTTCCGGCTGATTGTTGCTGTCAACAAACTTGACACATCGCAATGGGATCAGGACCGATTCGACGAGATCAAGGACCAGATCATGGGATCCCTGAGGGCTCTGAAATTCCCAGAAAAGAACATCAGCTTTGTACCCGTCTCTGGTCTTAACGGGGACAATATTATCACGCGCTCCAAAAATCCGGCCGCATCGTGGTACACGGGCCCGACACTCATAGAAGAGCTCGAGGCATCGGAACCTGCGGCTCGACCACTTGACAAGCCCCTTCGGATGACCATCTCGGATCTTTGGGATACCCGTCTCAGCCCCATCACCGTATCTGGACGATTAGAGGCTGGATCTCTTCAAGTCGGCGACGCCCTTCTTGTGCAACCGAGCGGCGAGAAGGCTTATGTGAAAGCACTTGAGCTGAATGGCGAACCAGTTGACTGGGCCGTTGCGGGCCAGCACATCGTTATTTACCTATCGCATGTCGAAGAGGAACACATTCGCATCGGAGATGTCATCTGTCCTCCCTCGGCAGCGGTACCATGCGTCGATACGTTCATCATGAAGGCGCTGGCCTTCGACACCTTCTTCCCCATGCCAGTCGACATTCACAAGGGTAGGCTGCACGTGCCAGGGAAGATCTACCAACTGCGAGCTGTGCTTGACATCCACACCGGTGCTATCATGAAAAAGACGCCGCAGATCGTAAAGGCTGGCAGCGTGGCGCGGATCAGGATGAAGACGGATGAGAAGGTCCCATTGGAGAAGGGCGAGAGGGTGGTAATCAGATACAACGGAGACACGGTGGCGGCTGGTCTGCTGGAAGAGACCCAATGACCTATATACCCCCGTGCGGTATGGTAGCACATGATCCAACTAAGACACGCTGCAAGCTGCTTTTCATGATGCATAGATATAGTAGCCGATTATACCAATGGAAGGGAACGAGAGGGGGAAAAGTCAACAAATTCGGATCTGCTCATCCAAAGACAATGTTCTCGTCAGCATTACTCGAAGTACCGTTGTGATCGAAACGTAGCCCATGTTTTGATCCATTGTCTGGGTGGTGTTCACTCATCCACTTCTCCCATACGTCTAAGATTGACATGCCACGGCCCTGTCATCCGACCTCTACTCGGAGCATCCGTGTCACGCGGGAGGGGTGGTCTGTGCCATCGGGGCCGAGCTGACCCATGTGATTCGGATGAGTGCCAAGTGGGTTTCTATGTCGAGCCGCTGCATGTCTTGCGAGATTTCCCGATGAGTACACAACAGTCCCTACCCTACGGCAGTTCGCAATAATTCCTAGAATTATGAGGACAGCGAATAAGGATTCGTGTCCGCGTTCAGGCTTAAAGAATTATGCCATCAGAGCAAAGCATACGTGTGGCCGGGCGTCTACTTACAGTACACGTATGCACCAGAAACTATAGATAGTAAATTATAGTAGATCATGGAGCCGTGGTGACCCACCAGAGGAAATTCAGAGATGTTTCTCGAAGGGCATACCATGGGGGCAAGGTGGAGCTTGCCCGCATGAAGCTTATTGCATGAAGCCCCCTGGCCCAGTCAGTTTATAATCATGGAGGACACGCTGGCAGGCAAAGCTGTCAACAGAGATGTGGCGAAGGAGAGTGAAGCCGAGAAGCTGTGACAGCGAAGCCTTTGCCTCTAGTCATCTCCACGGTGGCCATTGAATGTGCTAGAATCCCATGTCTACAGGGGCAGTGAAGAGTCACAGGTGTTCATGCAGTGAATGGGTTCAGAACATCCATCAATAGAAGCTGTCAGAATTCGGGAGGCTGATGATGCCAACTGGCCTGAAGGGCCCCTTCACCTATAATCAAGCATAAAGTTGGATGTACTGTCTGGAGCAAGAGCTGCCCACACTATCTACCGCCGCCGAGACGGCCACTATGAGCTGTTAAGGATTAAGGTGGGTCGGTGGGGCTCTACTTGAGAACCAGGGGCTATCGATTACAGACCCCTGCCCACAAGACGACTTAATCCCTGTGGGCGCTGGTGGGCGCTAGTTAATTTTGGTGTGAAATCTGGCTTCCCAAAGAGAACTGGACACATCGACACTTACAGCTTCGATATTTCTATGTCGGCTTCCCTTTCCACCCACGATCTTAACCCGCTTGTCTTTCTCCCAACACCATCACAACCACCACTCACACTTCTCGCCTTCCACACAGGCTTGAGCAAGTGACCACCACTTTCTTTTCTCATACCCTTTCTTAGCTCTCTTGATACCCTCTTCTTTTCGCTCCAAATTGTCCCAACCTATACTTTTCTCGCACAACTCGATCCGCAATGGAGCCGCGGTCGAGAAGCACCTGGGCCGTGGGCCTGGGTATGGTGTTCTGGATGTTCCTTCTCTTCTCGCCTCTGGCTTGGGTTGGTCAAGCCAAGGCTGATGACACTGAGAGCTACGGAACAGTGATTGGAATCGTGAGTTGCCCTCGAGTGCTTGCGGCTCTCAGCTTGCCGTGTTTCTTGGGGCGCAGTGCTCCAACAAGACCACTAGAACAAAAACTAATTACTCGCTGCAACAGGATCTTGGAACTACTTACAGCTGTGTCGGTGTTATGAAGAATGGCAAAGTCGAGATTCTCGTCAACGACCAAGGTACGTCCTGTCGTTTTCCCCTGTCTCCACCCTACTTCAGTGACAGCATCTTGTACTGACCAGCTTCCTACCAACAGGAAACCGTATTACCCCATCATACGTCGCCTTTACCGAGGAGGAGCGTTTGGTCGGAGATGCCGCAAAGAACCAGGCTGCGGCGAACCCAGCCAACACCATTTTCGACGTCAAGTACGTGGCCTTTATGCGACATTCGGCATGATGTTCGTCAGCTAACAAATGGATTTTACAGGCGTCTAATCGGCCAAAAGTTCTCTGATGACGCTGTTCAGCGTGACATCAAGCACTTCCCCTTCAAGGTTACCAACAAGGATGGCAAGCCATTCGTGACTGTCGCCGTCAACGGCCAGGACAAGAAGTTCTCCCCCGAGGAGATCTCCGCCATGATTCTGGGCAAGATGAAGGAGGTGGCCGAGAACTACCTTGGAGAGAAGGTCACCCACGCTGTCGTTACTGTCCCCGCGTACTTCAACGACAACCAGCGTCAGGCCACCAAGGATGCCGGTATCATCGCCGGTCTCAACGTTCTCCGTATCGTCAACGAGCCTACGGCCGCTGCCATCGCATACGGTCTGGACAAGACTGACGCTGGTGAGCGTCAGATCATCGTCTACGATCTTGGTGGTGGTACTTTCGATGTCTCCCTGCTCTCTATCGACCAGGGTGTCTTCGAGGTTTTGGCTACTGCCGGTGACACCCACCTTGGTGGTGAGGACTTCGACCAGCGTGTTATCAACCACTTCGCGAAGACCTACAACAAGAAGAACAGCGTCGACATCACCAAGGACCAGAAGGCCATGGGCAAGCTCAAGCGCGAAGCCGAGAAGGCCAAGCGTTCCCTCTCCTCCCAGATGTCCACTCGTATTGAGATCGAGGCCTTCTTCGATGGCAAGGATTTCTCCGAGACTCTGACTCGGGCCAAGTTCGAGGAGCTCAACATGGATCTCTTCAAGAAGACGATCAAGCCTGTCGAGCAGGTTCTCAAGGATGCCAAGGTTAAGAAGGACGAGGTTGATGACATCGTTCTTGTCGGTGGCTCCACTCGTATTCCTAAGGTTCAGTCCCTCATTGAGGAGTACTTCAACGGCAAGAAGGCCAGCAAGGGTATCAACCCTGATGAGGCCGTCGCTTTTGGTGCCGCTGTTCAGGCTGGTGTTCTCTCCGGCGAGGAGGGTACTGCGGACGTTGTCCTCATGGACGTCAACCCGCTGACCCTGGGTATCGAGACCACTGGAGGTGTCATGACCAAGCTGATTCCCCGCAACACTCCTATCCCCACCCGCAAGAGCCAGATCTTCTCCACGGCTGCTGATAACCAGCCCGTCGTCCTGATTCAAGTGTTCGAGGGCGAGCGTTCTATGACGAAGGACAACAACCTCCTCGGCAAGTTCGAGTTGACTGGTATTCCCCCAGCTCCCCGTGGCCAACCCCAGATCGAGGTCTCTTTCGAGCTTGATGCCAACGGAATTCTGAAGGTCTCGGCCGTCGACAAGGGAACTGGCAAGGGCGAGTCTATCACCATCAACAACGACAAGGGCCGTCTGACCCAGGAGGAGATTGAGCGTATGGTTGCCGAGGCTGAGAAGTACGCCGAGGAGGACAAGGCCACCCGTGAGCGCATTGAGGCTCGTAACGGTCTTGAGAACTACGCCTTCAACCTGAAGAACCAGGTCAACGACGAGGAGGGTCTCGGTGGCAAGATCGATGATGACGACAAGGAGACTGTGAGTTTACCTACCCCAATTCCCCGTAAGAATTTCTTTCGGCAGTTTGCTAATACCTCAATCAGCTTCTGGAGGCTGTCAAGGAGGCCACCGATTGGCTCGAGGAGAACGCCGCCACCGCGGCCGCCGAGGACTTCGAGGAGCAGAAGGAGAAGCTGTCCAACGTGGCCTACCCCATCACTAGCAAGCTCTACGAGTCTGCTGGTGCCGCCGGTGGCGACGATGAGCCTGTGGACCACGACGAGCTCTAAACATACCAAGTGGAAGGAATTAGACCCTCCCATGGATGATGAGAGTAACGTTTACAAAAGTCTACATTGAGTAATCATGATATTTTTTTTTTCCTGCATGCGCCCTTCTTGCGGTGCTACTGGTAACGGTGATTGGGAACATGGATGCATTGACTGGTGTAGTGGTAGAAAGCCACATGCGTCTTGTATGATATGATACACAGGAGTCCCGTAGTCTTATAGGCTTTATCTTGATACCAACCGCACTGCGTGCCTCCTCAAGACAGTGACATGGTCGGGACTCGGTAGGTTGTGACCTGCATCAATCTGGCGTGCAGCGAATGCCTCTTCTCAGACATGAACGCTGTGCCTACTGCCTACGAGGTGCGGCGCAGTCAACGTAGTCCACGCTATCCCGACAGCACGGGTCATAAATAAGAGTTGGACGAGCCCAGCCGCATATCTGTTTTCTGACTCTGGGAAGACCCGCCGGTCTGCTTACGAAGGAACCACCCGCCTCGGCTCGCCCCGAGCCATGTACTGTGTCAGCTTGCGCGGACCCGCGGATGGTGTGCAATATGCCGTGGGCGTGGTGTGGGTTTTGTCACACGCAGTCGCAGTGAAAAGAGCGAAGAATGGGCTGGGTCGGTCTCAGACCACAATGAAGGCGAGCATGTGTTGCGCGACAGAGAAGCGGGCTTGATGGGAAATAGAGTGTTCACATTAGAGCCGTCATGTCTTGAAGCCTGCTTGATCCTCATAGTTGCATTGGACGGGGGGCCGGGGGGCCGGGGGGCCGGGGGTGTAGGGCTGGCGGCATGTCGCAGGCTTTGGAGGTTGCTCTGGAACGAATCCGTGATATTGTGTGGAAGGGGATTCAAATTGGCTATGGAGGTATCTATCTCGCGGGAACAAAGATGCTGAGCATCGACAGGTGTAGAAATCGACCAGGGCGGGGGAGGTGCTTGGAATTAAGTAGACATGGACGACAACCCAAGGATCTGGGAATAGATTACTGGGGGATAGATCCTTCCTGCTGACTTCCTACGACCTTAAATCAGAAAGCCACCCATGGGTTAGAACGGCAAGTGAGCGACGCTACTCTCATTCACCAAGCTGGCTCGTTGCGCTCCACCTTGGGGGTCACGACGGCGTTGCGGTCTGCAAAGGGGTCGTTCTCATCTTCGTCCTCTTCGTCAGATGCGTCGGCATAGTCCGCGGGGGGGCGTCCAGGGACAGACAATTGAGACGAGGGCTTCGACACGGCCGACGGCCTCGGGGGTGCCGCCGGGCGGGGTGGTTGGGCTGGCGGCGAGTCGATATGGAGACCAGCCATGGCTGAAGTTGGGCTGCCGGGGGAGGTGGGCGACTTGACCTTCTCGGACATCATGCGGTACATATGGGCCTGCTCGGCCAGCTCGTCGTCCGAGTCGCTGTCGGCGTCGATGGAGCGGTCGAGCTGCTCGAAGGTCATGAGAGCCTGGACGAGCTCGTCGTTGGCGTGTAGGAGGGAGCCGAGCCACTGCTCGGACTCGACGTGGTGAATCTGGTGTGATTTGCTTTGTCAGTAACCCCCCAGGCTTCTATAGCCACGTTCACCCTCATGGTACTCACATATCGCAAAATCTTGCGCCGCAGCTGCTTGCACGCCTCGAAATGCTGCACGGCCAGTTGGTTCTCCGATATCCGCTCCTTCTCACGGTTGATGCTCTGCAATGCGTTCATCAGATTCGTGGCGGCTATCGATGCTTCTGCGATGGCCGTCTTCATCGAGTCTTTCTCGGCTTCAAGGTTGAATTTTCGGTGTTTGGACTTTTTCTTATCCTTGTCCTTGCTCTTCTTCTTGTCCTTTGAGGAAGAAACATGGCTGAATGAGTTGATTTGCCCTGTTACGGGTGTGCTGAAGTTTGGCGGTGGAGAACGAGAAGATGAGGGCTGTGCTGGTTCTGGAGATGCCGGCTGCTCGTCCTCATCCTCCCCGAATGGATTCTCAGTCTCGCGGATGACACGGGACCGTTCCTGGGTGACGACCTGTTTGCGCTTCGGGAGCTCCTTGTACAACTTGGCGATGCGTTCCAGACCAGGGGTGTTCTTGTACTCAGTAGCCCAGCTCCGAAATAGCTCAGAGCACTTCTTCTTCACGTCAGGGTCCGACAGATCAGAAGTGCCACACACACGTAGCCGTTCAAGCAGCGGCTCGTCAGCGAATGCGCGTTGAAAGCGCGGCCCAGCGTTCTGGATCAGCCCATCGAGGATAGTCAAAGCCCTTAGCTGGCGATGGACGCTGCCGTACTTGAGCTTCTTCCGGATGGCGCGTGCGGCCTCGGTTGGCCCAGTGGCCTGCAGTTTGACGACCTCTACGAGGTCAGGGATTCCACTGAGATCATCCTCCTCGTAGGCCTCACTTGTCAGATTCTCGACGGTAACAGTGACGGCCGAAAATGGCTTCTTCTGTGAAGGGTGTTAGTGATGCTCTTGGCTGTCAAGGTTCAAGATGAGCGATGTTGTGAGGCAACGTGGTCGACCGATGTATTGCCGCTGCTCTGCCTGAAGAGACAACGACTTACTTGGGAGAACATGATGCCGGCTCGTATCTGCGATCAACCACCTCGGCAGTGACACACGGCTTCCTCTGCTGCTGCTGAAGTTAGGATCTCCGGTTGAGATAAGGACAGCAGCCCGTCGTCGTACAGACCCAGAGACACTCAGCTTTCATCCGAAGATGAAGGCGGGGCGGAGACTGTTTGGCTCGTGAAACTCAGCAAGCTTCCTCAGGGCGGATCGCGCCGTACGATAGCTGCAGTGGGGTCCACAAAGGGGGATACTTTAGACAGCGGGAGCAGCAATCAGGTGCATAAGGCAAACAACAGCTCATACATGGCTAATGCTGGCTTCAGGTGGGCAGCGAGACTGCACTGCTACTGTAGAGTGCCAGCCAAAAGGTCATGAGGGCAGGGCGGGGATGACGTTGCACTGCCCCGGTTCACCAGCGGTGATAAGATAAACCCCACCACTACCCTCCATTCCCCCCCCTCCCCCCCCCAAAAAAAGAGCCGACACCTAACCCTACAGTCCCTACAGTAGCACATACTTCACACATGGAACAAGAAGCTCCCCTCATAAAGTTGGTCTGATCCCAATGTTTAATGCAGGTTTGAAAAGTGACTTTATTGCGGTTTGAAGCCAACGTCCGGTCGAGCACGAATTTCAGCATGAAAACAAGTGATCAGATCGCATGGCCGTAGCCAAAAGCCGCCCGCTACCTCCGGAGGCCTGCCATTTGGTCCCCGATATCTAGGAGCTAGAAGTCGCCCGGATCTCCATGTGATAGACCTTGGGCTCCTTGGTTGAGAACTTCTTGGCATCCTCGTAGAAGGAAGCATTCTTCTCCTCACCCAAGTCCTTCAGCGACTTTTCCAGAGCCTCCTTGCTCTCAAATACCGCCTGGAAAACGGCCTCGTACGGGTCGTCGTCGGTCAGAGACGTGGCTGCCGTCCAGCGCACCATGGCCGGATCATTCCCTTGGGGCCGCATTTCTTGTCAGCCATCACTACTTCCGTTGATCTTCGGACAGGGAAAGATGCCAGTCGCTGCCAGTGCACTTACAGGTTGAGGTCACAAGTGGGATATGCTTGTTGACATAGTAGTCTTTGTCCACATTGGACCCCTTCTCGTAGGCTGCGACGAAAGCGACGGGCATTTTGTCTAGGCTGATGATAGAAACAGTGTGTTTAATATTGATATAATCTTCTCAAACCAAAGACATTGATATAGAATATGAGTTGATCGTTAGCAATGATCGACGAACTGCTTGGGCAAACTCCCTCTTATATATTAAAGTCCATACTCCGTCCGAACGCCTCATATCTATACATTTATTTTCCGCGCGCGCGCTCGTTGCCATAATGAGTCGTGACGAACTGCTTAAACATGCGGGGTGTTTCGACGCGTCACATCTATGCGTGAAGGCTCTCGTCCCGATCATGCCGCCGTTTGCCATCGGGACATATCCCAGCTTGCCTAGGCAATGCAAAGCCTGCGGCCGTAGTTTACAATGCGATGCTCTGCGATGGGAATTCTTTTCTCCCGCTAAAATGTGATTTAAGGGGACTGCTTAAGTACCGAGGTGAATCAGGTAGGTAGAACTCCATCTCAAGGCAATTGGCGATAAGGCCGCAGATGGTTATAGGTGTTTCATGTTTGAGGCCGCTTGTCGTTGGCTCCCATGAGTGTTCGTACAACTTCGGGTGCAGCTCATGTTTCTATTCAATGCCTTCTCCATTCGCCGGAAACATTGAAGTCCAACACACGGCTCATATTTTTGAAGCATTCCAAATTTGAACGGGATTTCGGCAATTCGAGGCTGTCAGAATAAACTCGAGTTCGTGGCCACAATTTCAAATACTGCAATTAAAAACTGCGGACTTCTCCGATCCACATGCGCAAGACATGATAGACGAATCCTGTGATCTTGTGAATATTAATGTTGAGGGTATCTCACTCAAACCATCAACCGGTCAAGCGAAAAAGAAAATCAGCCAGATACCTGGCCACAGCCGACCGGCCATGAGGCAAGCTACTGTGCAAAGAGAGAATGAACAATGTCTAAGATTATGTTCGAGTAGTCAGATTTAGTACCAGGATTTGTATATCGAGCTCCCAGGTCCTGCCGTATATTTGCAGGCATGGGGACGCCGTCTTTCTCAGAACTGGCATATCTCGCAAGGCTTTGCAGGGATCCACGGCTCAGGAAGCTGTCATCCCTCGTCCAGTCGAAATTTCTCGCCGGATTCTTTCGCTTAAAATTGGTTGAAAAGAGACATTGCATTTCAAGCAGTCCATTACTTGTCCATGCCCTCTCGAGGCATGCCGACAGCAAGTTAGGCTGCTCAGGTACATAGGTAGGGTGAAGAGGATGACAAGCTCATGGAAACACCTCATTGTCGAAGATGATCCAAACTAAATTCTATTGAGCTCCAAAGATGACAAGCAACCTGTGCTCGTCTGTTCCTTCGTAAATCTGCCGCTTGTGTTTTTCAACAAATCCACCTTTGTATGTACAATATCTACGCAGGTAAGATTTGTTGTTTCTGCGGCAGAACACGGTCTATGCAGTTTTTGGCAAGGAAGAATATGTTCACAGGTTGAGACTTTCCAATTGTTAGAAGTGAGGTCGGAGATATTGCCTATGCTTCATTTAGCCTCCTGCTTGCAACGGATGGTTGGTGTGTAAGTGTCTAGTGCTCAGTCGAAAACATTACGCTGAGGTAAAAATTTCAAGGATATTCGAGTTGTTCTGAGTCTTTTTTTTTAAGAAAAGATAATGTGAAAAGAAACTACACTTCATCATATGAAAATGCTACGTGAGGCTGAGTTAGCTAGAGAAAACAAATATTGAAAGCAGCGGAATGTCTGCCCAACCCCGGACCAGTTTAACCAACCTAAGGCGTTATGGATACGTGGCATGCATGGCCCCAGAGGGTCGTTGCAGTGGATCTGTGGCTGAGTTGTCGCTGGATGCGGTCTTCACCATTTCAAGTTATCAGCCCTCGTTTTTCCACTTTGTAAATCCCACTGAAGCAAGCCCCTCAGTAAGCTCAATGAGGTCACACTTCTACTTCTCCTAAATTCATTATCCCTCCCGGGGATCATCTCCTTACAGCATGTTTTGATTGCTTACAGATTTTTTTCCCGCGTTCATGCCCTGCCAGAAGACATGGATCCAGTATCTGCAATCGGCCTTGTGGGCTCTGTCCTTGGCATTGTCGACATCATCACCAAGAGTGTAACATACCTCTCCAGCTTGCAATCGAGTTACAAGGTCGCAGATTTGAAAGTGAGCCTGTTGATCGGACAACTATCAACGCTGAAGGCTGCACTCGATCAGGTTGCAAGTCTCATCAGTTCCAGGCCAGAGATACCAAGAGACCATAAGCTAGTCAACGATCTTTCGGTAGCCTTGACTTGCGTTGAGGCCGTCATCTTGGCGGTGGATGATCGACTGTCTGATCTTGAAAGAAATGGGAACGATAGCTTGAGAAGTTTGAGTAAGATCGGTTTTGTTTGCGATGAACAGACCATGAACGATTACTTGAATCTATTGAACAATCAAGTCAATGCACTCAACCTGTTTCTCACAGCCTTGCAATGGTTAGTCATGCCAAAGCCTGAATCTTTTCAAGTAACTTGTGTGCTGATGGTAGCTCTCAAGCCGGACCACTTTTGAACAGGCTGGAGTGGTAAAGGGGCTCGAATGTCAGGGTCTCTTGCGTCTAGTTAGAGATGACACGTCGTCATTGCTCTGGTTAAAAGACTCGCAATCCATCGGCACCTACAGAAGTACGGGACCGCAGGACTTTGGAACCATCAACATAACTTTCGACTTTGACACGGAAGTATTTGCTTCAAAGGTGTATCGAACGGCCACACGGTCAAGCATGTTACGCACTCTCTTATTGGATGCTAGGCCGGACGATCAACAAGGCTTCATTGACCCAACATCAAGCCCTTCGACCAGGCAGGTGGAGTCTAGATTGCACGTCGCCAATGAGCCAACAACAGATCAGCTGAGTGTCAGTAGCACTCCTACTCCCGAGGAACGGACTCCGAGTGAGAATAGGGACAACACACCTGACACCGAGCTTCAGCAGCTGCCCTCGCCTACGGCCTTGCCAAAGTACACAATATACACTCTGGAGACTCTACAAAGACTTCCCCTTGCTCCCGCTCCCCTAAAGACTTCGTCACTGCCGGATGAAAGTCAACAGAGAGTCAGAAGACGAAGACCACTTCTTACTCGACCGTGGCTAGCTAAGCCCTCTCATCCAACCCCAACTGCACTTGTTTACAGCCAGATGGCAAAACCGACCGTGAAGGTTCTCATGATGGGTATATCTGAAAGTGGCAAGAGCACTTTTATCAAATCTCTTAAGGCAGGATACATGGGAGGATACAACGAGGAGAGCCGCCGTCTATACAGGGAAACCATACTGCAAAACCTCTTGGAGACTGCGAAAAGTATTGCGATGGCTGTACGTATGGAGGATGAGGTCGCCGGGAACATCTCGCAGCAAGTAAGAGAAGACGACAAGGCGTGCGTGGCTGCTTGTGATTTTCTGAACGATTTCAAAGACGATGAATTTGATAACAATAGGACCGTGTCAGAAGTCTCCGAAGTCAGTCTGCGAACAGATGTTGCATCAGCTATTCAAACCCTATGGAGCGAGACACGATCCTGTCAGGTGCTTGATAAATCCATCCTACAACCCTCGTTCGACGTCATGGACAATGCGAATTAGTGAGTACTTTGGGGACGAATAGCATCTTTAGAGGAGAAATGTTCTCACATTTGCTAACAGGAAAGTAGTTACGGAAGTTCATTAGACCGCATCTTAGATACGAATTATGTTCCTTCCGTCGAGGATATACTTTACTGCCGAACGAAGACCTTTGGTATAAATGAGACACGGTTTGTTCATGACGACGCTGTCTACGATGTCTTCGATCTTGGGGGTGTGAGGAGCCAGCGGAAGAAATGGATCCATGTTTTCGACAACGTGAATGCTATCATCTTCACATGTGACGTCTCGTGCTACGATACTGTCCTTCTTGAAGACAGCACCCAAAACAGAATGCTCGAGCAACTCAACATTTTCGAGACTGTCGTCAATTCGAAATGGTTCATCAACAGCCAGATTGTCGTCGTGTTCACTAAGGAGGACAAGTTGACGGCCCGGAAACTTCTCGCCTCTCCGTTCCAGGCTATGTTCCCTGACTACAATGGCCATCAGGAGAGTATTGAAGACATACTCAACTATTTGGTTTTCCGATTTAAAAATGTGGACAGAGCACCAAATGGCACAAATCCCAATGTTGTCTTTTGTCGCTCGGATAGTATAGCCTCCTCAACTACAAACATGGGGGAGATTGCCATTAATGCCATACAGAAGAGGGGCAGTTTTTAACTTAAGAAGGTCACTTGGAATCCATATCACAGTGTCTCGGTAATGCCCTCACTTCTAAATTGACTTGTCATTCTTTGATGTGAACAGTTATTGGATATGGCTTGGAACAATGCTGAGTGCATATCAGGGTCTCAAATATGCACGATGCAGCCAGTCAGATACAGTAAAGATATACATACCACCTCATCAGCTCGACGAGTGTGTAAGGTTGTCTACCTGCACAGATTTATTTGTGACCGGAAGAATTGTCCCTGGCGAGCGGCTGCACTTAATTGGAGTGAAGACAGTCTGCACAGCACAGTAGACAGCTGCTCGCAGTGGGCACGTGCATGCAGTGCTACCTGGCAGCTTCGGTACGTACCTTGATCCATCCCCACCTGTGTGCATTTCTAGACCAGTGACTCGACCTGTTCGGGGTCCTGCTGTGGGGTGCTCCCGACAGCACTAGCACCACAAGTGGAAAGGGGAGAGGGAAAAGAAGTGGGCTTCTTACTGATTAACTTTCGAAGTTCCACGACGCACTTACAAGCTGCGCCTGTCTTCCTTCCACACCGTCCTCGAACTTTCCATCAACACCCACCTCCCTCTCCATAACCTTGTGATTTGGACAGCCCTTCCTGTCAAGTCCCTCCTACTGGTTACTGTCTCTTGGTCTCCTGTATTGTCTCCCTTCTCACCAGTTGCCTGCGCACACAATGGCTTCCCCTGCCCAGGAGCTGTCTGCCGCCCAGAAGCTGGCCCAGGAACATGCTGCCGAGGGTCACCATGTCACCATCGAGGACGTCCCCGATGACGACCTGAAGCCCCACGATGCCTCTGCCGAAGCCACCGAGCCTGCTGCCCTGTCCGCAAAGGCAGCTGGAAAGCAGAAGGAGACAGCCCCTGCTGCCCGCACCCTCGACACCCAGTCTCGAGAGCTGTTCCCCGACCTTGGCGGCCCCAAGTCCCAGCCCACTGCGAAGACTGCTCCCAAGTGGAACGTCCTCTCCGACAAGACAAACGGCCACAACCCCGCCAACGGCACCCCCCGAGCTGCTACTCCTTCCTCCGGCGCAGCCACCCCTACTGCAAAGTCCGCTGTTCCCCTCGTCTCCATCCCTGGCCGGAAGAACATCGAGACCATCCGCCTGCGCCCTGAGCACATGAAGGGCCGAGACCAGCTGAGGCGTCCTCTTCCCGACATCATCAAGGACCTCAACCGCACCTCTCGCGCCAACATCTCCATTGGAAACACCAACTCGAGTGGAACTGCTTTTGAGGCCACTGGTCCCCAGGACGCTGCCCAGCGGGCCCTCAAGGAACTTGTTAAGCAGATTGGCACTCCCGTATGTCTTCCTGTCTTTCTATGAGCACAACGTCCCAGCAGTAGTCAGTACTAACCAATTACAGCAATCTATCACGGTTCCCATCCCCCAGTCTGCGCGTGCCCATGTCATCGGAAAGCAAGGTTCTACTATCAAGTCCCTGCAAGAGAAGACCGGAGCTCGTATCGAGGTTCCCAAGGACGACAAGAACAGCGCACCTGTCGACGAACTCGATGACGACGTCTATATCAATGTGAAGATCGAGGGAAACACCATCTCTGCTGCCCAAGCGAAGCAAGAGATCGAAAGGATCGTCGGCGAGCGGGCCGCCAAGGTCAACACCAAGTTGAAGGGAATCCCTGCCGAGTTCTATCCCTTCATTGCGAGCTCCAGGGAAGACCTGCTCAGCAAGCCCAATGTTGGCAGTGGAGCGCAGATCCGCATCCCGCCTCACCGCACTTGGTCATCCCAGGCCACCACTGCTGCACCTGGGCCTGGCCAGCGCCCAGTTTTCCAGCCTGCCGCCGACCACCACATCCAGCTGGAGGGCGAGCGCGCCGCTGTACTGGCTCTCAAGGCAGAGATTGAGCGTCGTGCCGCCGAGCTCCGCGAACAACTACTTCTGCAGCAGCTCGAGATTCAGCGTGGTCGTCACCAGTTCATCATTGGCGAGTCGGCGCTGTCACCCGAGGAGTTCTTCGATCAGACAGGGTGTGCCATCATTCTGCCAACTGACGAAGACGATGATGCCATCACCATCGTTGGTCCCGCAGACCAAATCGCTGAGGGTTTGGAGAAGGCAGAGCAGTTGGCGATGAGCATGCAGATGAACAACGTTGACCACCTTAAGTGGACCAACAAGCAGGCCCCTGGTCAAGGTGCAGTGCACTCCAAGAATGTCACGCGCTACCTTCGGCAGCGCAGGGAGATTGACCGCCTGGAGAAGCAGTACCATGCTCACATCAACACTCCGTTCTCTGGGGATGGCGCCCTTCCCTGGGAGCTCTACATTCCTCAGGGCCAAAAGCTGGCTGCGGCTTCCTCTGATATCAGGAGTCTTTTCGAAAGCCACCCGCCCTCAAGGTTCAGCGCCTTGGGCCAGAGCGAAGTTGACCCATTCTACTACCCTTACATGCAGAATGAAATCAGACCCCATGTTCGGGAGCACTACGGTGTCCAGGTGGTCATCCCCGATCCGTCTGACCCTGGCAGCCCCATCCTCCTCGTCTACGAGGCTCCAGGTCCGGCCAGCAACTCCTATGAGATTCCCCGCGCAGCACCATCTCAAGAGGATGTACGGAAGTTCCAGCAGGGTTTGAACGATGCCCGGAAGCACATCCAGAGCCTCTTGAACCAGCAAGAGGAGATTGTGGCCGAGACCGTCGAAGTGCCCCACAAATTCCACGACAAGCTGAAGAAATTCATCGCAAAGGAGCAGGACAAGCGACCAGCCAACCAGCCAAGGATTCGAGTTAGCCAACTGGGTCTGAACGTCACACTGCGCGGTCCGGCCTCAGCTGTCAAGAACCTTGCTGCCAAGGTACGAGCCTTCGTCGAGCAGGAGAAGGCTGACGAGAAAGAACGTGATTTCACTCTGGAATTTGACTTCCCCCAGAAGTTCGCCAACCATCTCATTGGCAAGGGTGGTAGCAACATCAAGGAGCTTCGTGACAAATTCGATGTCGATATCCAGGTTGAAAACGGCCAGGTCCAGCTCAAGGGACCCAAGGCCAAGGCCGCTGCTGCGCGGTCACACATCGAGTCTCTTGGCAAGAGCTGGGCAGATGAGACCACGATGCGACTCCAAGTTGATCCCAAGTTCCATCGCGAATTGATCGGAGCTCAGGGCAGTGAGATCAACAAGCTGCAGAACCGGTACAAGGTTCTTATATTCTTCCCTCGTGGCGAGAAGGCCAGCAAGGATGACGAGGCCCATGCCGATGCAGGTGATGAAGCAGGAAAAAACCGCCGCCAACAAGCTGCGGATGAAGTTATCATTCGGGGCCCAAGCAAGGGCGTTTCAGAGGCCTACGATGAGCTGAAGGAGTTGGTCACTTGGTTGAAGACGAACTCTTTCACAGCAACAGTGACTGTCCAGCGGAAGCAGCTGCCATCCTTGATTGGGCAAGCTGGCACTGCAATGGAGGCTATCCGCCAGCAGACCGAGACGAAGATTGACGTGCCAAACGACAGAGACTCTACTGACTCTGTCGTGGAGATCCAAATCAAGGGCAAGAAGGACAACGTCCAAAAGGCCAAGAAAATTCTTGAGGACAAGAAGGCCGTATTTGACGACACTGTCGTCAAGACCATCGACGTGGAGAGGAAGTACCACAGGGCCCTCATCGGTGCTCAAGGTTAGTTCATCCTCGCAATAAAATCGATATTTCGACTTTGGTAGCTAACCATTCCTAGGCTCAAACCTGCGAAGCATGATTCTTGAAGCCGGCGGTTCCGACGAACCACGTGAGAGGGCTAGAATTATCCAGTTTCCGAAGCAGGAAGCCGACGGCAACACCATCAAGCTCGAGGGTCGCACTGATGTGGTTGAAAAGCTTATCAAGCAGATTGAGGCCTTCGTAGCCCACCGCGAGAGCCAGGTCACGACCACAGTCGATGTGCCAACCGAGAAGCACAGGTCGCTGATCGGCCGTGGGGGTGACGCCAAGAAGCAGATAGAGTCGCAGTTCAAGGTCTCGATCGACATTCCCAGGCAAGGAAGCGGTGAGACGGCCGTCAAGATCACCGGCCAAGAGGCCGACGTCGAGAAAGCCAAGGAGCACATTGTCAACTTGACCAAGGAGAAGCCAGCGGAAACCATCCAAGTTCCTCGAAGTGTTCACCAGGCCATCTCGAATGGCGGACAATTTTTCCGCAAGCTGAGGAACGACTTCCACGTCACAGTCGATCATGCCGGCCAGACACCCCCACCCAAGATCACTGCCGCTCCTCGCGCCAATGGAGGCGCGCTGCCGCTCATCACCGATGACGAAGCCTCCGCTGACGATGTCCACTCCTGGAACGTCGTTGAAAGCACCTCGAGCGAGGAGGGCGATATCCCTTGGGTTCTCAAGGGCTCTCCTGAGAAAATTGAGAAGGCGAAGAAGGCCATCACCACGGCCATGGAGCAAGCCCAGAACAATGTTACTGGCTACCTGGTCCTGCCTGACCCCAAGACGTACCGTCATGTCATTGGACAGGGCGGCAGCAAGGTGAACTCGATCCGCAAGCAGAGTGGTTGCAAGATCAACGTGCCGCGTGACCAGGGCGAGGCCATCGAGGTTATCGGCACCAAGGAGGGAGTTGAGAAGGCCAAGGACCTGATTCTGGCTGCTGTGCGTGACGGTGTCAATGGTTCCAGGGCCAGGGAGTAGAGCAGCTCTGGCTCTGACCATCAGATGCTGGAGGTCGATGGCACGCAAGGGTTGTGATGGTTGGTGACGGGCATGATGAGTTGCTTAGGAGTAGGAGGCAAAAGTACTTTTTTGGAGTTTGCTTTCTGGGTTGCGAAGCATCCTGATATAAATAAACATGACCTCTTCCACAACATCCAGCTAGATGTGTCAGCATGAGCGCATATAGCAGTCTAGCATGGGTCAAGGTCGCTTGTGAAATGAAAGATGCGGCTGCGAAGAGTAACATTGTTGCACTTGAGTTGCCGTACGTGACCTCAGCTCTCAATTGCGCGAAGCCTTGCTCTATACCATTGAAATATGGTAGTATACAGGAGAAAGACCGCCGCTCTCTCTGGTATATCGAGTCATGCCCAATTTCTCGAGGTGTGTTTGCTCTTGTAGCCTTTCACTTACATAAACATGGCCATGGATTCTATCGCGGTTGTCTCCCAGAACAGAGACTGTGATCGCGCTCTTCTTTCAGCAGCCCAGTCCTCTTTGTTTCCCACTGCTAAGTGGTTCTGTCCTGTCTGGACTTGCCACTAGAGGTTGACACTTGGAATATACCAGCTCAAAGTGTGCGCGGATTCATCACTCCATCTCACACCATGGCAATCTACTATGTGGCACCCTAAAATCTGGCATTCTATTTCATGCCTTCGGATAGTATGGCGTTGGTGTAGTGACATTTTCACTCGCACATGGCCCTGTGATATTGCCCTATGGTGTTTGAACATGGAGTGCTTTCGCGTCTGTGTGCCTGGCTTTGTCTGCGCCGGCGAATATCTTTCCAACGTGTCGGCGAACTTCTGTGAATTTCTGCACGGCACCACACAGCATATGGGTCCTCCTCCCCAGCTGGTCCCGGCGATACTCGGCGAGCATCTCAGCCATCCTCGTAAGGTGGGTCAATACTGATGCCACTTGCTCCCCGGTACCAAGGTAGCTTTGGGGTGATGCTTCATTATCTTGACGACACCGTACCACATTCTTACTTGTTCCGGTTCCTTCTAAGCGGACGACATCACTGGCATTTCACCGGCTGGGAACTGCCACATGGTTTTCCTTCCACCTTTTGAAACTGTCCGCCTCTCATCGCCAACCTACGCGTCTCGACCACCTTCTCTCGTATTCTGATTCCTTACCATACTCGCAGCAGAATACCCACACGATGGAGCAAGATCAGAATTACAGCGCGGTCGAGCATCCGCCCGATCTCACTGCTGGTGGACTTGTAAGAGTCTTTGGCTGGTAAGTGGCCTGCGTAACCATTGCCCGAGAACGTGCTCGCCGCTCTTTGTTTTCAGATCACTTCCTAACGCCAGAGCACTGGGATGATGGCGCCCTGTTGGGTCCCTTTCCAATCACCAGCGGCTAGACACTAACATGATTTGCAACACAACAGCTCGACTTGGTCAGGAGGAGTAGCGCACGACTGTGTCGTCACCTTCTTCACCAGCGATCACGGAATAATCTTCAACGCCCTCACGTACAAGAACGCCATCGCCCAAGGCTCAGTGCGTCTGCGTAACCCGCTGTCTCGGGAAAACGCCGACGCCAATGGCCTCACCAGACTCTTTTTCAACATCGATCCCATCACGGCAATCCTGGGCGACAATGCCCTGGATCAAGTTGGCAGGATACTCTGGGTGGTGCGATATTTGCAGTTCAAGTGTAAGTGGGCTTGTGCGCCTGGGCGACAGCAGTCCATTGTTCTTCGCTCGAATGTCTTTAACAGAAGCTTTCCTCAGATGACCACCCGGGAAACAATCCCCTGCCTGGTGGGCTTGGCCTGTTGTCGAATAACCTGGGCATCTCGGTCTGCATCGACTTGCACACCATTGCACATTTCTTCGAGGTTGTACGTCTCCAAACTGACACCGGTCTCTGGATATCTTGCTTTACCGAAAACGAGATGACGAGCCACCTCCTCATCGTCACCGAGAATTTTCTAGGAGAAGCGCATTTCAAGCCGTACAACAACCCTAGCCTCCTAGAGCATGTCGCCCTTGCCGTCGAGAGGGCCACCCACATCGTGCCAGGCAACAGCAACATGTGGTTCCCCATAGCGCGTTTCTACTTCGCCATGCTGCAAGTTCTGTACGCCGACGGCGGAGACCAAGCCAGGCGGCAGATATCGCGGCTCGCCCGCTACCACGGCTTCGCTTCGGCCTGGACGCAGGTTAGCATCAACGCGCGGCCCCTCAACCCCGAGGGCATCTTCCCACCGAGGAGGAATGCGCATTTTCTGCAGAAGCCGTGTGCCTGCAGGGGCTGCAGTAAGATTATCTGGCGTGGGGACTTCTTTCAGCTGACGAACGGGCTGGTCGCTGCCGGAGTGGTCCAGAAGTACGCGCTGGTGAACCCATTCGACGGCTATAGGAGTATGTTCTGCGACTTCTGTCGCCAGGGTTGCGGTTCGCCTTGGGGCACCAATGTGCCACGTGCTCCACACAACTAGAGTTACTCTTCTCGTACGCAGACACTTGGCAGCTGTACCTGACGAGGGTCGAGGAGGGTTGGGATCGCCTCATCTGGCACTGATAAGGCCGAGGACTGGAGACGGACTTCCTGCCTATGATTCTCGATCGATGACTTGATGCCAAACTTGGCTCATCGAAAAGAAGACGATGGTCCACCGGGTTTAGGAGTCTGAAGGGAAATATCACACCCACTATCTCCTCCTCTAGATGTGGACCACACTATTGTGGTACTGCGAAGAACAGGAGGGAGAGGAATGTACAAACACAAAATCAAGAAAGAGAAAGTATAAAAAAATCAAAAAATAAATATATATATTAAAAAAAAGGGGGAGGGCATTCAGTGGTATGGGAGAATAGGAGCTGGTGGGCCATGCTCGTTTCAACAGCTTCACTTCCGTCGGTATTACATCTGAAGTCCCGTAGGCTGCCCATTATACAGCATCAGGATGTCGCTAGTTGTGGATTGAAAGATGACCCATCACAACACAGCTTCCGTCTTGGGAAAGGAACGGATGGAACACGACTTTCGTCGCTGCTAGGCTTTCTCTCGTGTTTGATGTTTTCCTTGGTGTTTTCCTCCCGGGCCGACGCGGCTGGCAGCCGAGAGTTACACACTGCCGAAACGAGACTTGACCAAAGCTCACCCGCGAAGCTCTTCTCTCCCGACATAGATGTGTACATGCAGGATGATGGGCACGCTATGAGCCCGTCCTTACCTTAGTGGCCATGCACTTTTCTCTCCCCGCGACGAACGCGAGCGCGAGCACGCCGGTCTTTCTCGCATTGAGTCTTTCTCGCATTGACAGCCTATGGCAAGTGAGGGCTTGGCCTTGAGCCCATTTGGTCCGCAGCTGCTTGGTCCGATGTTTTTGGTTATCCGAGCTCAGGATACGAACCGGGCCCGGCTTCAGCAGGCCGGCAGCTCGGATGGCCGGTGGCGCTCGACCTCACTTGAGGCCTGGTTCGCCTCTCGAGACCGGGTGTTGAGCTCAGAGTTATAAGCTCAGAAGGGATGGTCCATAAGCCAGGCTGCTTTGTGGGCGTCATCCGAGAATTCACTTCTCTGAAGGAATTCCTAGTGGCATCTGACCGCCAGCAAGTGTCCAAATTTGCCCAGTGACCCTTGTCTCTCGTCTGATGTCTTCCTGACCGTGCCTCCTCTGATGACAAGAGGGTGCCTCGGTTGTGATGGTGTCTTGTGTCATCTCATGGAGCAGTTGTCGATGTCTACGTCACCGAAGAAACAGGGACTGACTGTTCATCGGGAGGAGGGCCACTCAGATAAACAAGAGTGTTTGGCCATCGAAAACGGTAGTCCGAAGGCAATAGATGAGGTGAGGGTTTTGACTGGGGAGTCAGGAAGTCTGGACGGCCTGTGGCAAATCATTGCCTCATTTAACGTAGTCGCACACAGGACCAAGGGGGGGCCAGAAGTGAGGACCAGCTCGGTTACACGGAAGCAGAAGCCGTCCTTGAAGGTGGCAGAGATGGCGCAGAGCCGTCCATGATCAATTTATGCTCCCTGCTTTCTCCCCGGAAACAAATCACAATAAACAACCCTTGGAATAGACTTTTATTTGGCTCGGACCCTGCATGTGCAATGCTCCCCTTGTTTAGGCAACTGCGAGAATTTTCTTCCGCCCTGGCTTTTTTCTTCTTCTCTCGGCTGTATAGGTGGTTTCAAGGCTCAGATTTGTGCTGGGTTGTTGGCTGTTGGGAACTGGAGAGAGCACAGGAATTGGTAGACAAACAAACAAAAGGGTAGCTGTGTCCCAAGGTGGGATGCACGCGAGGGAAGAGGGAAGTCCTTCGTCTGTCTGTCGTCAGTCTGCATTGAACACAGTAGGTTGACTGCAGTAGCAGTAGCAGTAACAGCGGGAAGAAAGGGCTGGAATCTTGGAAGCTACAACAGGGGCTGCGGGCTGCTGGGTGCTGGGTGCTGGGCTGTTTTGACTTCTTGGCCCAATGCTCTCCCTAGTGGGGCACCCCACCACGACTTGTTCCCGCGGACCCCTGCACCCCTTCCACTTAGCGCCGTCACGATGCGCACTGTACCGCCCCGGCGAAAACACCACGACAACAACGTCACGCACCGTGCGAACTTCCTCACCAACCACGACAAAGCCACCATTATATACTGTATACAATGCCCTTGTACCTGCCCCTTCGCGCTGGGGGGTGGCTGCCAAAACTGCAGGTGCGAAAAGGAGCAGCTTCCAATCGGGCCAGTTGTTGACCTTGAAAGAAGCAGCAAACAGGGCCGCAGCAAAGCAGCAAAGCAGCAAAGCAGCAAAGCAGCAAGCAGCAACAAGCAGCAGCAAGCAAAACTTCGTACCAGCCCTGTGACTGCCCAACAGTACACAGTTACCGTACCTATCTGGGTAGGCGCCTCGCTGAAAAAGCAAGGAACGCAGCCCGAATCACCTCATCGGCCTTGACCTAAATCTGGACCTTGACCTTGACTTGACCTTGACCTTGACTGACCCGTCCTCGAAACGACAAGAGACAGGAGCGTCTGGTGATCAGGAGCTCGAGAAAACTGAGTCCAGCCCAGCCCAGCCCAGGTCAGTCCGTTCAGTCCAGCCCAGCACCGTCTCGGTCTCGTCTTGCAACGGTCGTCGGCTGCTCCCTCTCGTCGCCAAAACCTTGGGACCTTGGAACCTTGGAACAACACCACAGACGTCGCGCTACGCTGCTGCACCTTACCCTTACCGCACTAGCAGTCAGTCAGTCACAGTCAGTTCCGTCACCAGTCACCGTTGATTGACTGGCCGTCTGTCTTACTTTTGGGGTGGGTGGTCGTACGCGCCTCGACCCAGAACGGTCCGCATTCCACCAGCTTCATTGGCTTCCCCCTCCGTCTCCAACTCACAATCTCACTGCTCTGTCGCCTATCGCCGCCTGTCGCCCGACGCCTGTCTCTCTGTCTGCCCATTGCTCTCTGGCCTCTGCCACTACTACAGACACGCCCGCCGCACGCCCACCCCCTCGCCGCGCCGCGCCTATCACCTGTCGCGTCGTGCCCCTCTTCGTCTGAAAGGAGGGCCCCATCAGGAGCAGGGAGAGCAAGGGCAAGCGGGCCACTCAGCGCCTCCGTCCTGACGCAACCCACACAAGGACACCCCATCGTTGATCACCCTGATCCCTTGCCCAAAACCTCCGACCCCACTGCTCACCCGCACACGCAACTTCGAGGCCCCGTCGAAGCCCCGTCCACACGAGGACGGCTTCCATCGAAGCTTGCCAGCTCAAAAGCCTGGGGAACAATTGCCACCGTGTGAGCAACAGCCATAGACACAGTCACTTTGCCGTGAGGAATCAGCTGCATTTCTTCTCGGCGGCCCTGCTGTAAAGCCGCTTGATGCTGCAGGGGGAGAAGGAGACCCAGCAGCAGAAGCAGAAGCAGCCAGCGGCACCAGCAGCAGCAATAGTGGGGGGGTACGTACAACAACTTTTGTTAATTGCATCGCAAGAGAGGAGCAGGCGAGCAGCCAGCCCATTGTCACCTGTGCTGCCACTGCACACACCGTACATACAAACCTGCCTACCTAACCATTCATCACCACCAGCGTGGCCTTTCAAGGTTGCGCGGCCTGCGCCAACCGCAGCAAGCAACACGCAAGTTTATCAACGGGACCCGGATTGCCCTTCTCAGCAGGCAGGTCAGGTCCACGGCCAAGACAAAGCTTCCAGGTTTCCCTAGGCAAAAGGGCGACATTGTTCATTTCCAACGTGCACCATTCCCCATCCGCTCGTTCGATCGCATTGCTCAGTGCATTTTTCTCTGGTTCTCTGGCTCTGGCTGCACCTGTCCAGGCCCAGGCGCTCATGCTTAGGCTCGGCCTCGCAACTTCCAGCGCGCATCCCTCTGCTCATCTCCGTCCGACGTCTTCATTGGTAGACCGTCCAGAGGCTCGGGCCCCTTCCGCCTTCTCATCCCACACGCCCTGCCCTGTCTCGCCTGTCCGTCCATCTCCCGGCTTTCATACCGTCAGCATTCTTCCGTTTTACCTTTCTTACCCCCCTCCTTTCCGCCCGGTCTTCGACGTTGCGTTGGATCATGGACGGCTCAAGCCAAAACAACACTAATCTCGCCTCGAGCACCTCCTCGCGACGCAGACTTACAAAGAAACCACCCAGTTCACACAGCCAGTACCAGCACTCGTACCAGCACCGCAGCTCCAACAGCATCGATGGTCGGTTTGACGCCCAATCTATCCAGAGCAAACGCAGCTCCACGAGTCTGAGGCGAGCGCCAAGTGCTCCACCCGCAAGGACTCCCACCTCCAACGCGTCAAACAGTTCCTCACCACGGCATCCTCCCAACTCTTCCCACAGCGGTGCTGCCACTTCCGGTGCCACTTATTCCCAGCGGTCACTGAATCCCTCCCCGATCGTGCCCAGCAGCGAGTTTGCTGGCCTTTCCTTCTCCTCCTACCCCCAATCCGCCGGTGCCAACCGCGACCCTGCCCGCAGGGACCACTATCGTCTGTCCGATCCCCACAACAACAATCTTAATCACGGCACGGCCTCGGCCACGTCCACTCATCGTCGCCTCCATTCCAAGGCTTCCGAAGAATTCATCGGCGCCCCATTCGACGGATCTGCGATCCTCAACCGCATCGAAGCCACGAAATCCCCCACCACCCACCAGCGACCGACGATCCCACACCCTGCCTACGCCTCGCCAGATCCCCGCGCACCTGGCCCGTCTCTCGAACAGTCCGCCAGCTTCTCGGCTGCTCCTGACATCATGGCCGCCGAGAAGTCGCAGGGCGCCAAGGTGTCCGAGAATCAATTGAATGGGCCCAAGAGATTCTCGGATGAGGCAAAGGAGCCCAAGATGCCGTCGGTGTTGAGGAAGAAGTCTGGCTTCACCGGCTTCATGACCAGTCTGGTCGGCTCGCCCAAGAAGCCGCTCATCTCAGCGCCCGAGAATCCTGTTCATGTCACCCACGTTGGCTATGATAGTTCCACTGGCCAGTTCACGGTTGGTCGCCTCCCTCAACCTCACCTCACGACTGACCTGGACCCGCCAATTGAGCATGGAGTTCACCTACTAACTTGTGCCTCCGACAGGGACTACCGAAGGAATGGCAGCGACTGATCAACGAGAGTGGCATCCCTGAGAAGGACAGACAGGCGAATCCCCAGATGCTCGTCGACGTGCTCACATTCTACAAGGAGACAACAGAGAAGCCTCACGAGGACCAGAACCTGGAGAAGTTCCATGATGTTCGAGCCCCCGAGATGCGCCAGATGAGCTCTCAGCCTGGGTCGGCCACGTTGCCCCCACCTGGATATACGGGTATGTCACCTATGATAAGCCCGCCTGCTAGCCCGCGGTTTCCTCAGAATATTGAAGGCAGTTTCGAAAATCCCCGGTCACCCCCTCCGGTCCCGAAAGGTTATGGCTCCCATCCTTCCAAGGATATCAACCTGATGCCCAATCGGCCAGCCCCCAAGCCCCCGGTCTCCATGTCGAACCGTGCGAATGCCCCGGCTCCCTATCCGACCAAAGATTCAGGCATCGGTATGCCCTCAGGCGGCGAAGAAGGCCCATACAACCCCCCGAAGGAGGCCCCGACCATGCTACCCGAAGAGCACCGATCAAGGTCCAGGTCGAACTCCCGAGTCAACGTCCCCACCCCCGCCCCCGCCCCTTCCCCTCCCGTTCAGCCTTCCCCGGCCGCGTACCAGCAGCAATTGATGCAGCAGCAGCAAGAGCAGGCCATGGCCCAGGCGCAAGCCGCAATGTCTGGACAGATCGGCCGAGCACCAAGCAAGAGACAGCAGAACCAGCAGCCGACTCCACCTCAGTCGCAACACCAGTTCAATCAGAACGGTGCGCAGCGGCCCCCACAGCCGCAGGTTGGCGCCGTGCCAGGTGCCCGGCCTCGCAACCGACAGAGGCACAGCAACGGCATCGACGTCATTGCTTCGCTCAAGCGTATCTGTTCAGAAGGTGACCCTCGAGAGATCTACCGTGGGTTCTCCAAGATCGGCCAGGGCGCCTCTGGCGGAGTGTTTACTGGACACGAGAGAGGCAGCAACAGGCTGGTCGCCATTAAGCAGATGAACCTGGAGCAGCAGCCCAAGAAGGATCTCATCATCAACGAGATCTTGGTCATGAAGGAGAGCTCGCACCCTAACATCGTCAACTTTATCGACAGCTACCTCTGCGGAGGAGAGCTCTGGGTCGTCATGGAGTACATGGAGGGAGGAAGTCTGACTGACGTTGTCACGTTCAACATTATGACTGAGGGGCAGATTGCGTCCGTTTGCAGGGAGACTTTGAAGGGACTGCAACATCTTCACTCCAAGGGCGTCATCCACCGCGATATCAAGTCGGACAACATCCTGTTGTCGATGGAGGGCAACATCAAGCTCAGTAAGTGAATTACATGTGGTCGGCATATTTTGAGTGCTAACGTGGTGAAACAGCTGATTTTGGATTCTGTGCTACCATCAACGAGGCTCACAACAAGAGAACGACGATGGTCGGAACACCATACTGGATGGCTCCTGAGGTTGTCACCCGCAAGGAATACGGAAGAAAGGTCGACATTTGGTCGCTCGGCATCATGGCCATCGAGATGATCGAGGGAGAGCCTCCATACTTGACCGAGTCCCCTCTGAGGGCTCTGTGGCTCATCGCTACCAACGGTACTCCAACTATCAAGGATGAGAACAGCCTCACTCCAGTTTTCCGGGACTTTTTGTACTTCGCCCTCAAGGTGGACCCGGAGAAGCGAGCGAGCGCACATGACCTCCTCAGAGTGCGTTGATTTCCTTTCCTCATCGTTGACTTGGCGAGAGATGCTAACAAAAGATTTGTAGCATGAATTTATGAAGGAGTGCGTTGATTTGGCTCAACTGTCACCCCTCGTGCGCGCAGCACGCGATGCCAGAGCTCAGGAAAAGGCACGCAAGGGCGGCCAATGAACAAACCTAATACCCAAGTCCACTTCGACGTTTATTTCGCGCAAGCGATCAGCCTTTGTAAACAACATCAGCGTCCATGTTGCCAACATCAACACTCTCATATATCGATTCGCCTGCACATATTTGACCACAGACTTCAAGCATCTTTATGGGCCTGTCTGGTCACAATTTCGATTACTGCATCCTGCGGAAGCCCGTCGATGGCTTTCTCGTTTTATTGAGTACTTGGCTCAAGTTCGTCAAGGGGACTTGTTGATAAGTTCTGAGATTATGCTCAGGAGAAGATTCCTTGGAGACCACCTCGCACGCCTGATGGCAGGGACAATTTCCTAGCCTAGAAAGTTCCGGAGGGGCTGTCGAGTAAATGCCTGCATGGTTGCGGTAAAGACGGCTTCAAAACGCGGACCCGGGGGTCCACCTTAACCTCACCCTCTGGGCAAGCCGTCTGTATTGGATGGGCATAAGTCTCCGCCCCCTTTTGTGTCGTTTTCGGAGACAGGGCCGGCCTGGCCATTGATGACGTGGATGAATGGATGGAATATGTACTACTGTGTTTTTCTACTTTGCTATGCTGCAAAGAACCCGGCAACGCTGGTTTGAGGCATTCAGGGCCGACAAGTCGTCTGCTTCGTGGGCCTGGGTGGCCATGTGTATGGAACACTATGTACTGATCATATGGAATGTCGGGATGACATAGAACGGATAGGAGGATTTCCATGTCTGGGAGATGGCACAAGTTGACGGCGGGCTGTAGTGTGTGGCTGCAGTGAAGACTTATCTCATCTTCAAACTCTCGTGGTTCCTTGGACAGAGAGACAATTGTGTGGAAATTCCAGGGGCGTTGAAAGGAATGGAAAGGGCCGGTCTGGCAGGTTTGGCCATTGACCATTGACAATTGGTCCCTATGATAGGGACAATCAGGCAGGTATACGCGGTGTTTTCTGCGCACGCCTGCCCATACTTCGGACTGCACAATAGGGGACTGCGGTAGAGAGAAGTGGAAATTCGAAATCGGTTTCCTGTCAGAGACCCCCAAGACTTGATTGTGTTGTCATCTGTGCCGTGCAACGCTACTTCCTGGTTGAGTGATGAAAGATGAATAAAGGAAAAACAGGGATTGTCAGAAGGCAAAACAACGTCCCTTCCGCCTTAGTCAAATTCGAGACATGTTGAGGTGAGAGGTTCTGCTCTGTGGGCTGCCTAGCTAGGGAACAAACACATCTTTGAGCCCTGTTGAAACTCATGATGTTGATGGTCTCTCTCTCTCTCTCTCTCTCTATCTCTCTCTCTCTCTCTCTCTCTCTCTCTCTCTCTCTCTCTCTCTCTCTCTCTCTCTCTCTCTCTCTCTCTAAAAAAAAAAGGAGGTCGGAGCGAGACCACTGCTGCCTGCCTATGCACGTCCATAAAATCCTGTTTCAGGCGAGGATATCTTCACTACAAATCTATAGCCATCCGCTCTCAATTTCTAACCTTCCACTTTTCGCAGCGCTGCTATGGTTCATTGGTCGAAAAATGTACCTTGCTCTTCTGTACTTCGCTTAACGCGGTTCTTGACTTTAGTCCGCCCTAACATGCCCTCGCATGAGCACATTGACTTGCTCGCCAACATTCAAGTCAAGTGTAAGTCGCAACGGTAACCTGAGTCTCGTACGGTGAAGCTGAAATTGTTTTGATAGCAGCATCCTTCGTCCATGACCCAGCAAACGGCGCCGGATATGCTATCATCACTCCCAGTCGAGCTGTTGACCAATGTGGTCGATCAACTCAGCTGGATCGACTACATGGCTTGCCGACTCACCTGTAGGCGCATTGAGGCGGTCACGTCCCCGTCCTTCTCCCGCGATGCATTTACAACATGCTGTATCATACGCACGCCTGAGAGCATCCAGACACTCATTGACGTATCGAAATCACGCATGAGTTCTCATGTCAAAACCCTTGTCGTCTCGACGGAAGTTCTCTGTTTCCCTAATGAGTCTTTCAGTGACCAAGACGCCTTCATTTCAACTGGGTGTGACAGAGAAATGCTCACCGAAGCCCTTCAAAATCTGCATTCGATCCAGACGGTCCAGCTGCGTACCATATCTCCTTCTCGTTCAGTAAATATGTCAGCAACGCCTCGAGATCCGTCTCTGAAGCGGAGAAGCTTTGGGATGAAGAAGATTATTTTTGAGCAAGAAAAGATGATGGGATCAGATGGGAAGATATTACGTCCAACTTTGGCAGGAAACTCCCATTTCAACAGGCTCGGCTTCCACTCTACACTTCTCGCTCTGGGCAAGGCCAATGCTCGCCCGAAAGGACTAAGCATTTTCGGCATGGGAAGTACCCGCGATCCTATATCACTACGCATTCCGCGGTGCATTGCACTGTCAGCAATTCCGGTCCTCGCGCGGCTGGAGAAGCTTGCTCTAGATGTTTGTCCCGGCACTCATAAAGGTTCAGTCTCGAACCCAGCCTACCCGCGGGTGGAAAATCGAGTGGTTTCGACCCATGATCTGCGCAGCTTTCTGCAGCATGTGCCTCGCCTCAAGTCGCTTTGCCTCTTCCTCAACTGTTTTGAGAATCAGGGCGATGGATTCGTTGAGTGGTTGGGGTCGGATCCGCCTCCTGAGGGGCTCGCTTTGGGTTTACAGCCCAGACCATCCCCGGCAATCACCTTCAACTACCTTCAAGCACTGACCATCTGCTTTATCCGGGGAGTGCGCGTGCAGGCTATGCTTTCTGTCTTGCGCAAGTTTGCACCGACACTGGTGATATTGCAGCTTGAAGGTGTGCATCTGGAAAACAGTCTGTCAGATCACGCGTCGCCGCCCAGTGCTCCGGGCAGCGTTTGGGCTGAACTCTTGGAACACATCAAAGCCGAACCTAGTCACAAGCTGTGGAAACTGAGTCTTTTAGAGCTGATGGAAACCGACCACGCCAGTCCCGCGCCTCTTGAGTCTCGAGCGCTCCGCGAGGTGACGTTCGCCGTGGGACAAAAACAGTACGAGAATTGTAGCTATGAAGGTCGTGAGATGGGGAAGGCGGTCGAAGGCATGGTACGTTTGCTCAGAGGTGACAGTTCCTGGACTCCCAGCTTCCGGGACGGAAGGTTCGAAGTTACAGGAAGTAAGTATGGATTCGGACTCTTGACTCTTGACACCATTGTGCTGACGTCCATGTCCATAGTCAAAGCCTAGTGGACTCTGGATCGCCCCAAGCCGGCCTGGGAGTGTTTTGATTCGAATTTGGACTGTGCGCTCTTGAAATCTACGGGACAAAAAGGATAGGTAACGGAGTACGACACAGAGTCTTGCATGGATTTGCACGTGCATGTAAATCGTCTGTACAACATGACTTGCGCACTTATTGATAATTAGAGATGTGTGAGGAGAAGAGACAGGCAGCAGAACTGGGAGCATGCTCGGCTAGGTGGATTGAAGATCACAGTTTCGATAGAAGAGCCAATCACACGAGGAAGGATCTTGTTCTCAAATGAGCAATGGGCACTACAGAACCTGCGTATGTGAGTTGGCCTTGTTATGCAGAACTTTCTGTCTCTGTTGATATTTATGTGCTTATCATCATTTGGGTTTTTCCCATCGCGACTAGATGTAGAGACGGAGGCTGTGCTTGTAGTTATCTACCATCCGAACATCGTCGATCAACCCATACCTTCTTGGCCTATGGGCAATCCGGTCTCAGCTATGCCACACGCGCGCAAACTCTCTCCCGACGTCCTGGTGCCGCTGGTGGCTGACAATCCACCTCAGAATCCGGCGCGAGGGCTCATTGAGGTAGCGAGGGTGCTGCTCCAATTTCAGGAAGTACTTGAACCACAATTCCCTGTCGGCTCGGGCGCCGAGCCAGTAAATGCGAAGTGCGTCAATTAAATGTAACACTTTTCTGCTGTACATCGTCACATGAGCTTCCTCGGTCCTGTGGTCGTCAGAACGAGGCTGCAAGATCGTGGGCATAAACTCGCTAATCCGGAGAACGAGTAGGGAGACTGGGAGCAGCCGTCGGAGCGCGACTTCTGGGTCCTCCATGATGGCTTCGATGTGTAACTTGCATGTGTCGGGCCGCTGGAAGAGGACTTGCATCGACACTGTGAGATGCGTCAGGTTCGCGAGCACGGGAAGCGACGTGAGCATGGCCGTCGGCCCAAGTTGGCAGTACTGGACGCAGTCGTTCTCCCAGTCGAGACTGAGAGTTCGGATGCCCTGGCCTGTGGTCGCTAGGAAGCGGTTGAGATTCCAGTGGTCCGGCAGCTCCCTGGTGCAGGCGCCGGTGCATGTGCGGCTCTGGCCTGCATAGTGCAGGGCGTGCAAATACTTCGTACTGAACACGGTTTGCTTCAGACTCATGAGATCCCACTGAGCGAAGCCCCCGCCATTCCGTTTGAATGTCGTCAGCGACTCGACGTACTTCTCAACGCCAGTAGACTCCGCTCCTGAGCTGGGCTTGATAGTCACGAGCTGAGCAACCCACTTCCCACGGGGCTGGATGAGCTCCAGCTGCTTGAGAGCAGGATGCTGGCCGAGGTTGGATGGTTTCAGCCAATACAGGATGGAGTAGCTACTTCTTTGGAGCCTCATATCGACCTCGGGCTCAAGCGGGATGCAGATGCTCAGCTTTTCGAGGTGTTTCAATGATTGTGAGCTGAGTGGGTAGCTTCTTTGCCACGGACTGCACGTGGCTATCGACAACGCCCTGATCGCTGGCACGCGTTTCAAGATCTCGTTCAGAGCCCTACGGTGTATTGCAACATGGAAGTACGAGTCGTACCACCTCATGTGTTGTCGATCGCGCGGCATCGATCGTCCGAGTGGACGAGCTGTTCGTCTGATGAGTTCGGTCGGGGTGCCCCGGTCTCTGTTCAAATTCTCAGCTCCCGAATAGAAGGCGTAGGCGAGACACATCAGGACTTCATGAGGACAAGAGACCTGTTTAACTAGGGAAGCGAGTGTTGGCTGGAGCCGGAGGGAGCTGAGGAAGTAGAGGACCGATCTGTACTTCCGCAGATGAGCGCATCGGTACAGAATGCTCGTCGCGGGCGCGTTGAGACGGCGGCACGTCTTGGTGAGGGCGATTAGGGCCTGCTGCCTGGCCCTACTGTGTCGGTCGAGCGTGTACACCTCCCAATCAGCCAGGTCGTCAGTTAGCACCCATGACTCGGCAAAGTTCTGGAAGATTCTGAGGAGGATCTCTTGTGGTAAGTCGTCGAGGTAGCGTTTGGATAGGAGTTTTGCGAAACCCTCGATCAGGCTGTCGTCGATGCTTTGGTGTCGTTTATACGCGAGACCGTTCATGCAGGTCGGGACCTCGGTGATGGCCCTACGTTTTGCCATGGCGACGACGACGACGAGTGAGTTGGTCGGCTTTGACAGGACTGTGGAAGAAATCAGTTGCCTGGGTCTTTGCTTGTACGGATGTGTTTTGGACTAAATGACGTTGACATTCGGGTGCTTTGAATGTAAGAAGTTAGGTATCACCTGGCTGCAATCCAAATAGACGTGCTAGCAGTGCGCTGGAACACCAAGTCAACAGATGAATTAACTCCAGTTTGGGGATTTGTGACTCGCATCGGCCATTTACTCAAGTCCTACGAAGATGTTTGTAGCTGACTGTTTCAGTTGTGGCAATTTACAAACGGTGGAGTTAAGCTCCCAAAAGCTAAATAAATAATGGTGAATTCTGGACCCATTTCAATGTTTTTTTTTAAATATTTTTTACGACATACAGTTAATCTCGACATACACCATTTCAGTGCATCAACCCGGCCGCATGACAGACGACGCGGTATGAATTTGACGAACTCTGCGGCAAACGAGATCTTCCGTCCATATTTTTAAAACCCCTTCTTTCATTATCTAGGATATGTGTGGAGGGCGAACAGCGATATTCGACCCATAATAACTTGATGAGGACTTTAGCTTCTTTACACTCAGTTTCGCCCAAACTTTACAGCCGCTAGCTTTTTGGGCTCTTCACCAGCATCTACTGGTTTGAATCTAAATCCTGCTGGAACGATCCACACAGAATCAGACGCAGTCAACCGTGGAAGGTTAAATTAATTCATTGCGTTCATTGCAGGACTCGCTTGTTCTCTTGACACGTGGACACAGGCGGCACAAGACACTGGTAACTTACATTACGCTTGTCAATGCTTGCTACTCCCGGCTTTTTTTTTTAAAAAAAAAAAAAAAGAGAACCCGAGGTCAGCTTCCAGCAGAGGACGCTGCGCCAGAAAAGCCTTAGCAAGACTTCGAGCACGGTCTATGGGCAGTCATGACTCTAAAAATCTATTCGAGTTCAGTTCTACCCTCTGAGCAAGCTAGGAGCTAAGTGTCTAGCGTCTATGTGTAATTCAAGCACCGGAGCTTAAGAGAAATTCATGGCTCCGGAATCGTCTTCGAAGGCTCACTCTGGGTCGATTTGAGATCTGACACCGGATCCACCTTCTTCACCACCCTAGCAGGATTACCAATAGCAACCGAGAACTCCGGGATGTCCTTGGTGACGATGCTGCCGGACCCGATGGTGCACCCCTTTCCTATTGTCACACCGGGCATGATTGTTACGTTCCCTCCAATCCAGCAGTCGTCACCGATGGTCACCTGGCCCGCGTACTCGACTCCATCGCGCCGCGACTGGACGCCCGTCTCGTGGGTGGCAGCGAAAATGGACACGAATGGCCCGAACATGACCCTGTCTCCAATGCGCACTATGCCGCAGTCGAGAATCACGAGACTGTAGAAAATTAGACCAGTTAGACTGTGAGACTGGCCAAGTTGTTGAAAATTTTGAGGGTCCGGAGGTCACGTACTTGAAGTTGGAGTAGAAATTATCTCCAAGGGTGATATTGCAGCCGTAATCGATGTTCACAGGCGGCTCAATGAAGACACCTGTGCCGACCTTGCCGAATTGCTCCTTGAGCATCTTCTCCCGGTCTGCGGTGAGTGACTCTGCAGTGGCGTCGTCTGGGAAATAGTGGTTGTACTTGTGCATGAACTTCCGCGCACGGAAACGGCCGTCCGCCAGCTCGGGCGCCAGGGCGTCGTACCTGATCTCATGATGTCAGCAACTCTCCTGAAAGCAAAACAGTTCATCTGTGGCATGGTAATAGTCATACAGGACACCCGATATCATCTTCTCGTAGTCATCGCACCATGGAGTGTTTGCTAGTGTCCTAGCATACTCTATAATCGCAGGGTCTTTCTCCGTTTTGGCAGGCATTTTGTTTTTGGGTGACTGTGTACAAAGCTACAGTAGACAACTGGATCAGGAAGTTACTTGTCGAAAGAGAGCGGTGAATTCTGTCTCTCTACTTATGCTTACGCAAGTAGCACCTTGACTTCACTATACAGGTACACAGCCGCCCTGGTGGAGGACACTTTGTTGGAATGACGTCCCGGCGGGTAAAGTCCGGCAGCTTTGGTCTTAGTGGCCGGGAAATTTTCGGCGAATTTACGTTTCATCTTGTGATGCAGCTATGGTCGGTGTGAGGACTTAAAGATTTGTGATGTCAGGTTTTCTTCTTTTCAGAGAAGTAAAGTACGTAGAAAATGCTCTAATTCTCGGCATCTAACGGAGATAGAAAAAACAACAGCTGAGGTTGCGACGCTGTATATGATACTTCAAAGAGTAACTTCCGACGGGGGCGAAGTCTTATCAGGCAGGGATAAATGTCTTTGGCCTGCTGAGTATATTTAAGTAGGCTCACGAGGGCGCCTGGAGCAGTGAGCCTGGGGCTCTTGTCGCTGCACCACTTTTGCTGGCATCATACTTTCCATTGGTGTTGCCCACACCGTTACCAAACCGCCCATCCAGCGACCTCCTCGCTGTCGTTACAGCACAGAAAGAGCATCTCATTGAACACGGGGATGCATTGTTAATACTGGAGCCCGCGCCGTTGCAAAGGCAAGAGAATTGAACGAAGGAGTGATGATGTTGAATTCCAGTTTACACAACAATTGATATGTCTAGACCGGTAGGTTTACTTTAATTAGGCGTCAGAACAGACGAACTTCCTCTTCTTCTCCTTTCATTAACCAACTTTCATTCCAAGAACTTACAATTACCAATCCGATCCTCCTGAAATCCATACCATCATGGGAGAGCTTTTCCAGACGTAGTAAGTGGTGTGTCTTGATACTAGGTGTGACCTGGGGAAAATACCGGCTTGTTCGGACAAGGATTAGCCACGCGTCAGATATGTCTGAAGCATTCGGAAAGTCATGTATCGCTTTGAATGAAATGAACGACTTGTCTCCAGGTAACTTCGTCAATGATACGTCAACATTGCAGCCTATTTCGATCTCCCGAAATATTCTGCAGCGCATCGCCACGTATCCCTCAATTCGATCCAGGCTATACTCTACAATATTCCACGTATGGCGGCGAGGAGTATACTCTGGAACCATTTGGTAGAAATTGTAGGACCCAGAGAAAGCTTGCGTGTATTTGACAGGGAATGGTGATGATGCCCAGCTGAAGGATGGGCACGTAAAAGACCCAGCGACAGCAGTACTGTGAGACGCACAGGTATCAGACACGTTCCAAAGAAGACTGGCCATAAACAACCGATCTCTCCAAAGTCCACACACAGGGGCGTCACCTAGCAGGGCCCCAAATGCTTCTTGAACGCCGGATAGTGCAGCGAGCTTGTCTCCCGCATTGGAAAGCCTCCGTTGAGAAAATTCCTCGACCAGTTTCAGCCAGTATACAAACATGTCTGTGTCCTGTGCGTCGTTACTTAGTCTGGATGTCACGATGGCACGCCTGACAACGTGCCGCCATCGGATATCATCGGTGGGATCGTGATCAATCGGATTGCTCTCGGTGCTGCTTGACTCCAGGCATGTCCAGCTCAGCTCGTCTTTGCCGCACGAGAGGATCCGTCGAGACAGCATCTCCTCCTGCAAGGTCCACCCGCGGGTTTCCAGGATCGGCGTCTGCCTACTACGGCGGGAGTCTTTCAGGAGTGGAAGTGCCATCAATCGGTTGCCAAACGACGCCTTCGAGCTCTCCCATTTTCGGCCATAATCTAGATCCTGTATGCCTTTTCGGACCCGCTGGATATGGAGGTCCAGTGGCACGACTGCGCTGCAGGGCCATTCTCTTGTTGTAAAACACCCATCAAAACACGTGGTGGCGTCCTTGGCGGCAATGGTGAACCAAGCATTGGCGTAGATATTCCGCATGTAACCAATCTCATGTCTCAGGTCGTCTTCTGAGTCCTGCAAGATGCACAGTGCATCGATCCAAAGGAATCGTAACCCCATCTTTCGGGTGATGGTGACGGCATCTCTCATGGTTTGGGGAAGCGTGTCAAGGGGTAAGCAATCTGTGTACTCCGCAATGTTCGACGAAAGCAGTCGGATGTTCTGGTCGGTTCCCCAGCAGTACGAGAGAGCAACGTAAGGCACAAGCTCTTCATTAGTGATGTAGAGGCGAGGCGGAACCGACTCGCTACCTACGTCGATAACTCTTGTTGGAAGGGTTCCCATATTCTGACGACGGCAGGATGAATGTCCGTTGTCACACCGTTGCAACCAAGTCTTTGCGACCGCGAGGCTTCTCTCAGAGCCGTTTCCTCTAACATCTGAGGGTGAATTACTAGTGACGGCGTCGTTCAGGTCCTCTGATATTGTCAGCATCTCTGGGTGGGACAAGTTTGCAGAAAAGGCGACCTGCCCGAGACAAGAGCTAGTACAATGAGCCCAATTTTGATGCCGCACCCCACCGCCAGTACAAACTGTAGCCCATGTGTTTGCAATTCCAATGTAACCGGCAGACCTAGTCCCAACTCCGTTCCAATTTGCCAGCGGTACGCTTCAGTGCTGTTCAAGCACTTCACGAACAGCTGACATAGATCGCACCCCTGCTGTGCTGACATGGCTAAGGCAGTCTTATCTTTGCTGTGCTCAAATGAATAGAATAGGTAGTGGCTGTCTTGCCTTTGAAATCGAACACAGGACTCGCACAAAGTCCTGGGCCAAGTTATCACACCAAGGGGGGGATGATACGGGATGGGCGCACGGAGGACGGAAGGATCGGCTGGTGAACGGTTGGAATTCATTGTAATGAAGAAACTCACACCTAGGCAGATTCTCTAGCGCAAGTGATGTCTGTCAAAGTCAAAAGGCTGAGTGAAGAATCAAGACGTAAGCAAAGACTCGCTGCGATGCACCGTATGCTGCATGACTGCCTAGCTGCATGTCGGACAGCCTGAATGCTGTTCGGGAAATGTATTGGTGCACATGTGCATGTCATTTTTGGTCTTTTGCGTTCGCGTGCAGCTCCTACTCAGTTGCTCGCTTATAAGCTGTCACAGCCCAGGTTCATGAAAAAAGTTAATTGGATGGAAAATTGTATAAAATATTTCACGAGAGGTTTGCTGAGCTTTTGATGAGCACATTACGGAAGTCAGCCACTCTTGTGCAGGATGCTCTTGCATGTCTATTGGCACAATTTGGTACCTTTCGGGTCAGATATAGAAGCAATTTTCATTTTTTATAGAAAAAGGTGTTCTTAAGCTGGACTTCGTCTTTCTCTTACATGTGAATAGAAATGACATTCCAAAGAACTTTCCATTGGTAATGGGCCGAGGGGGGAGGGAAAACGATCTTGTTCAAGTTTAATTCATCAACTTCGATATCCAATGCTTCAAGTTCCAAAAGAGAAGTTATGATTGTGTGATTTGAACAGCTCAGGGACAAACAAACCGTATTCCCCTTGCGATGTGTCGTTTCCAAGAATGTCGGAAAGCACTTCGTCTGCTTCAGCCCGAAGCATCGGGAGATTGCTCAAAAACCCCTGTGCGAGTTGCAGCCAGTCTTTCACACAGAAGAGTTTCGCTCGGATAGACTGAATGAGTTCTGTTAGCTTGCATTTGATCATCATGCTGGCTGGCCGGGTGAGCACTGCTTACCTCCAGTTGCGCCACCGTGATGATTGGGACAACTGCCGCTCCAGGGTCATGTGAATTTTCTCCAGCCTGGAAGCTATCGATGGCACAAGACGCAACGTCATGGAGCCTGATACATGCCTCCAACATCTTTTTCACGTCACATGCATCACCGGCGAGCCCCTTCAGAAACGTGACAAATTCTCCTATTCTGCTAGCATCGTCCTGCGCCGTTGCCGCACCAGGATCCTCGAGTATCGCCGACAACAGCATAAGCACCGCTGAAAAAGGGTAGCACAAAGTCCCCCTGTTTGTCCAACCATATTTTAGTAAATATCTGATGTAAATATGGGCCAAATCGATCACATAACATACCACAAATGGAAAAACGGCTGTGGCGCCAAGATGCCCATAACCTTGATCGTGTTCCGGGCTGAGACCGCGCAAGTAGCCCAGGCATCTTGTATACTAGGCTCTGGATGACTTTCTCCCCGAGCCAAAGTCAGATCCGGTCTGGAGTGCTCAGTAGCCCTGAGACCGACAACGGCCATGTGGACTCTGCTCACAGTGTTGTAAAAAGCGTAGTGCAAAAGGGCGAGGGACAAATGATCAGACTCTGGACCGTCTTTCCATGTCTCTTCTGACAGACAACTCTTCCACGCTTGTAACTGTCTGCTCATCGATTGAGCGTTTACCAGGAGCTCGTCGCGGTTCATATGGACGATTTTATCAGGATGTAGCCGCTCGTGCGCTCTTCTCTGGACGACGGCTAGTTCTGCTCTGCATCGGAGGACACCAAGCGAGCCGTTTTGAGTGTGGAACCCCGGCGAGGAGCTACAATTCAAGTTCACAGATAGCTCCTCATCCCCAAGGCTAGGGCGAAAATCGTACTTTTCCATCGCGTCAACGTCAAGTATATAAGCAAGCCAGAAAGCCCGAAGATGCCTCTCAGCAGCAGTGGGATCGAGCGAAATGTAGAACTTTCTCCGATGCAGACCTAGATTCTGCACAAGACGGGTGACTGCAGCCGTAATTTGCGAGGTCAATTGGACGTCGGCGGTGCATTGCACGAACATAACCATCGCCAGCAGTGCTTCACATGCTGAGACGTCTTTACCCTGAGTAACAAGTTCCGGGAACTTTGAAAACGCATTTTTGAAGTAGCTCCACGCAGTCGGCAATATCACTGCCAGAAAATCGCTGGTGGCTCTGTGTAACATGGCACTGGCGTAGAGTGAGTTCACGACGGCCCATCGAGAGGGGCTATCGACATAGCGATCGATGTCCGCTAGACATTGCTGATCCACCAGGTGTAGCCAGGACTCGGTGGTGATCATGATGCCGTAAGGTTGGAGCTCCTCCAAAATGGGTTGTGTGAGGCTCAATATATGCTGCTGTTGTTTGGGAAGTCTGGCAAAGATTTGGCTGTGGTAAGAGCTTCGGTCCTCGTGGGCCCGCATCCATTCATATTCCGCTCTCGTGTCGTGTGCAAACCCGGCGAGATTTAAATTTACCCAGGCGGGAATCGAGCTCTTTCCCTGTGCACTAGCCGTAGGTCGAAGGCCAAGGTCCGATCCCGCCGGATTTTCTATCTCCAAGTTGGGCTGATCGTCACCGCTCCGCACTTTAGGATTTTGAGAAGTGTTCGTCGAGATAGGGTTGGCAGAGGTCGGCAAATTGTCATTTTCCTCACCTTCGGGGAGAGAGGTGCGAACAAGCTCGTCGCATTCCATTGCCTCGTCCCTCGAGACGGGAACTAGAGCAGGGCCATGCACTCGCAAAGTAGACTCTAGCCTCGTCGCTTGCTTCTGACGATGTTCTCCAGATTTCCCCCTGCAATCAGTCAGATATCATGCTGCAATGTTGAGCGCTCACCAAGCTGGGCTCACTTCTTTCCTGGACCTCTGTGCCTTCGTTCGCTGTAGTCACAAGAAACGTTCCATTTTACACAATTCCCGCATGACGGCTTCTCTCCATCGCAGCGTCTCTTACGTCTCTGGCATTGATGGCACGCCTGGTGGCGCAGATTAGAAACCTCGTCTGTTTGGATGGTAAGTGATCATAGGAAAATGGTACTTACACTTGTAATTCGTTTATTATTGAGCTGATCAGCCATGGGTGGTTGGTCCACAACATCGGGAGTAGCGGTATGACGGTTTGAACCGAAATGTACAGCAGGAGGCAGGGCGGATGCAAACATGGCTCCGGATGGGGCGGGCGGACTTTCTTTTTAGTTGTAGTGCAACCGAGCGACATCCGCCAAGATGACAAACCCAGTTTGGACCCGACAGCTTTTGTATCCGCATTGTGTTTTTCTGACTGAGACACACAACCAGGCACACACGACCTGGGATGGGTGCCCGGCTGACTTACGAGAATTTGTATCCGCATACACAGCCTTTCAATTGCTTATTAGTGGATTTATCAATGGTCCACGATGATGACCTCTACCGAGAGCTTCCACAGCTTGGGCTTATAGATTAAGCCTAACTGCACCAGAGATGACCCAAGTTATAAAGGCCGACGAAGGACGGTGAAAGTCAAGTTTCCATGCACCGCTGCTCATCAACAATTTCACGTCCTCTCTGAGAAAACATGGCCTCCTTCAAGAAGATAATGCTCATTGGCGTAAGGAAGTCCCTGTTCTCTAACAACATTTTGTGGGCATTTGCTAATAGCTTTCAGAAAGGCCTATTTGGGTCTGCTGTCCTTCCTGAGTTACTGAAGGGAGGATACCAAGTGACTCTCCTCAGCCGCTCAGACAAGTCGGATGACGACCTTCCGGCCAGTGTCCGCCGCATCACTGCGGACTACAATGACGCGGCAAGCCTGGAGAGCGCGTTGCAGGGACAGGATGCAGTGGTATCCACAGTCGCTATCGAGGCAATTTTTGGCCAGAAGTCGATCATCGACGCTGCGATCAAGGCGGGTGTACGACGTTTCATCCCCTCGGACTTCGGCAGCCTCACGACGGACCCGGCCGCCAGTCACCTCCCGCACCATGTCGGCATGGTCGAAATCCAGAAGTACCTGATGTCAAAGTCGGATGAGATTGAATACACAATCTTCAGCATTGGAGCTTTTACCGACTTCCTCGTCAATTCCGGCGTGGCCTTCGACTGGGAGCAAAAGACAGCTCAGCTCTGGGGAGACGGGACTAGCCGTATCAGCACCACGAGCCTGAACGGAGCGGCACGAGCCATTGTGGGTGCCCTCAAGAATCCGGGACCGACCAAGAACAAGAATCTGTTCGTGCATGAGCTTGTTGTGACACAAGCACAGCTTTTGAGCCTTGCGAAGAAGCGCGCCCCGCAGGCAGAATGGACCATCACACACATCAACGACCCTGTGGCCGAATTCAACAAACTGGAAGCCCTTGTCAAAGAAAAGCCCGAAATGCCCAATATCATTGCTCTTGTCAAGGCTTCCCTCACGAGTGGCATATACAAAGCGTACTATGAGAGAGTGGATAATAACCTTGTCGGCTTGCCACTTCTGAGTGAGAAGGATCTTGAGGCCAGATTCACGGAGGCCTATGGCCACTAAAGTAGCTGTAGCATAGATAGCTGTGCGAGTTATATCATGTGCACTGATCGAATATTATATGAAAAGACCTCACACAATTTATGAAATTTCTGGGTCTCCCAGAGATAAATAATCGTTCAGTGTGAGTACTACATAACAAGCTATCTCATATTCTGCACTCAAAAACTAGGCGATTCCAACAACAAAGTGAGTTCTAGTCGATTAAATCTATCCTCTAAGGCTCAAAAAGTGAGTGACATTTCGGAGGGGGACGCCCAGTCTAGTCGGGCCCCTGGAAGAACGGAAGGCATCTCAAGGACGCAGCTGATACATCTTCAGCAAGCAGCAATGGGCTGAGGCTGGGCAACGGTCATCCTGATGGGGATGTCGTTGACTTCATACAGCTCATCGGCAGGCTCAACAGAGGGCTCCTGGGCCTGGGCCTCAGTGGCATCCTCGACCCTGGTCTCCTCGTCGTCATCGGAGCTCTCAGCATCCTCGGCACTCTCTTCACCCTCATTCTTGGGGGTGCCCCTGCCCCAGCTCAAGAGCCTGGCGAAGTACCCAGCGCTCTCAGGGTTCTCGGCGGCGGCGGCAGCAGCGGCAGCGGCCTTCTCCTTCTTCTCTGCGGCAGCGGCAGCGCGGGCCTCCTTCTTGGCGTCGTTGGCCTCCTTGCGCGCCTCCTTCTTGGCAACCTTCTTGGTGTCGCGCTTCTCCTGGCGGACCTCCTTCTTCTCTACCCGCTCGGCCTTGCGAGTCTCCTTCTTGCCGGCCTTGTCGGCTGAGCCGCGGCGGGCGGCACGCTTGGTTCTGGCCAGGGCCGTCTCGAGCTCAGCGGGTGAAGCATCCTCGACGGGCGCATCGGCCGTGGATTCGGCAGCAACCTCAGCGGCGGCTTCGGTGGTGGCCTCCTGTGTGGTATCGGGCTCTGCTGGGGTAGGGACAGGAGCAGCGGTGACCTTGACGTCGGCACCCTTGACTGGCGCATCTTCGGTGTCCTTGGTGCTGGCACCAGGACGGTGGCGGAGGATGGTGTTGGCGACGCGGACCATCTTGACTTCGGGATTGTCTGCTGAGGAGAAAAGGAAGTACTGGAAGGGAGCCAGCGTGTATTTTGGGTTCTTGGGGGAAAGTTGCAGCTGATGGGAATTTGTCCGATTGATTTATTGGGCTTAATTGAATTGGAATTAGAGAAGTCATGTCTCAGTAATCTCAAAGTCTCTATATAAGTCTCAGAGTGGCGACAAGTTTCGGCGATGCTGACTGCCGCTTCGTGTAAGTCTTGATGGTGACAGCTGTCAGCGTCAGCCAGTCTCCCGATCGGTGCGCGCAGCAACAACCTGGTTACCCGAACAGCGAATACACATCGAGGATAACTCAGTTTCACAATAAATTGGCCAGAAGCTCCAAAGAGTCTTGGTGGCGATTTTGAGGTCTCAAAGAGAAGCCGTCACCTATGCAGGGTCTTCAGGGGTAACGGGTACCTATCACGGACTGACATGTCTGTCATGCCTATCAACCGACGCACCATTTTATATCAGCAGAAGTTTGTGTGTTCAACGCACCGCGTCTACTGTCTCAATTTTCGTGGCGAATTGGGATTGCATGTAGACAGGGTGGTGTTGTTCGGTATGCAAGGTACAATTTTCTCCGTCACAGTTGCACCCAGCATCAATGACACTCTCATTCCAAAACGATAAAGCATGGTTTTGCAATTTTTCAAATCGTATTTTCAAGACCAAAACAGAATTACCTGTTATGTTCTTTTTAAGCAAGGCAGAACGTATGCTCGGGCTCAGCTCTTGAATTGTAGCTCGAGAAACCCCTACCGTACAGTGTGATGGCCAGGTATTGCACCTTCTGAGCAGCCATGATCGCAAGTAAATGTTATCCGGCCATGCCTCGGAACCGGTCAGATTTTTTGTCCGGAAAAAGGGTTTTTCATTCAGGCACACTTGCTATATTCTCGTTACTTAGCAGTCAACGCCCAAATACTTGACCCTTGACATGAAAATGCAGCCCGGCTATTATTCATCCTGGAATGGAATGAGCGTACAGTGGCAGCGGGTAAAACTGTCGTCTGGGGAATGAAGAATCGAAGTTCTAAGGCACCAAGAGCTCGGAGATTTGGAGGTTCTGACCGTCTGTGTGCACGCCTTCATTTGCAAACTCGAGAGGGTGGTTGAAGCCAATCGGCAGAGCGTCTATGACACAGTCACGAATGTCGGCAAAAGAAAATCGGCTCCTATGTGATCTTTATCATGATTGATCGTGAAAGGCGGACTATCCTGCCTCATTAGCTTATCAAAATCTCCTGTGCCACGAAACGCCATCCTTTCCTTTTTAATTGTCCAGAACACCATAACATCGTACAACCGTGAGCACACAGATCTATGCCTCTCAAGTGGACCCATCGCCCGAGTCCAAGAGCCTCACGATGCCATAACTCGTACCCGCGGCCAAGGCACCGATCAGCAGAGTGTGTAGAGCGCCCCAAACCCCGGCCCTCTTGTTGTGGATGGTGACCCAGGTCTTGACATAGCCAAACACCAGCAGGATGACAACCGTAATAGCAATGCTGACCAGCAGCGCCTGCTGAGCCGAGTTCATGACGAAGTAAGGGATCATGGGAATCAACCCGCCGACGAAGTAGCTTAAGCCCATGGTGACAGCCGAGACCCAGGCGGCGCTGGTGTCTGGCTCGGGCAATTGCAATTCAAAGTCCATCATGAAATTGACCCAGCGTTCCTTGCCCTTTGGCGTGGCGACGCACAGCTCGTCGACAACTCCCCGGGCCGCATCACGCGAGATGCCGTACTTGTCGAGCACCTCGTAGATCTCCTCGCGCTCGCGCTCCGGGCAGTTGTCGACCTCCCACCGCTCGCGCTCGTACTCGGCCTCCCAGTGCTGCCGCTCCGTCGCCGCGGCCAGGTAGGCCCCCAGGCCCATGCTGATCATGCCTGAGAACAGCTCAGCCAACCCGCCGATCACGACCAGCTTTGTGCTGCCCAGCGAGGACAGGCCGGCTGTCAGGGCAAAAGGCACAGTGAGACCGTCTGCAAAGCCGACTGTGGGACTTTGTTAGTGAACCGAATTGTTCTCGCTTTTGTGAAGAATCTCATATGACAGTCAGCCACTTACTGGTCATGTCGCGGATCATGTCGCCATTGCTGCTGTTGTGCTCCTCGGAGTGGTGATGAGAGTCATGCTGGTACGAGAGATATCTCTGCGAGGGCCGTCTCAGGGCGTCGGGCCGGAGCATAGGTGAGTTGAGTGGGGCCCGCTCGACGGCCGGCTCGGCTCCGTTCCGGGCGAGATGACGCCCGTTGGCGTTGCCGTTGCCAAGCAGTGGGGCTGCTTCTGAGGGATGGGCCATGATGTGTGTGCAAGATATCAGTGTCTTGCGAAGCTCCCGAGGTCCAACTAATTTGAAGGATTGTAATGAACGAGAAGGCTTCTTTTCGGCCTCCGAAGAGCGAACCAGACAGACGCTTCGGCTTTAGTGAGTGTCCGCGGCCTGTTTGCTAGTGTTTGGTGAAAGACGTGGGTAGATCTGGTGGCAGAGACAGGTGAAAATCAGATCAGTGAGAGTAGTCAAATAAATTGGCAGCCACAGCAACTGAGAAAGGCCAGATTCATATACCCATATGTCTTTTTTCTCTTCAGAAGAACCTTCTTTTTGAAGAGGCCTGCTTCCCTGGCGAAGGGGCTGATGGGTGTGGGGCGTCCTGGTCATCAAGTTCATTGATGCTCTGATTGGCCCTTGATCTAGCTTTGTTAGTCTGGAAGTCGTACTACTACGTGCGTACGACAACGTACAGGACAAGACAGGCTTAAGCTTGCCTTTATCCCCCTTGGCTTTCCGATCCTGTCAGCATAAAGGAAGATCCACGGAGTATCCAACATCAGGACGGCTTCCTGCCATCGTATGATTTCACTGTTTATGCGTTTTGGCCAGCTCATTCATCTCTATATACCCATCAAATAGGAGCCACTTCTGTCCAGGGGACCCAGCATTCTACGGTGAACTTAGTGGGGTTGTCAGCATGGTCAGCTTCAAACAGGTGGCCACGAAGTTGCATTGAAACCGGATGGCCCCCAAGGGTCCACCCACTACCACCCTTCCGTCTTTGACTCCCCAGTCCAGGGTCTGGCTGCTGGGCCGTGGAATCAGAATGCGGGAAGTGGTCTCCTTGCATGTTTTGGCAAGTTTTAGCCTGCTGAAAGCTCAAGAGCTCTCGAAGGCTAGTTTCAATGGGTTTCCAACGGAAATGTTCCCTTAAAGTATCTGAATGTAGGGCTGAGCCCGCTTGAGACACAGCAAACGAATGACGTTGCCCTCATTCTTTGTATGTAGTCGTTCGAGCGGATTACCCGCCAATCTAGATTCAACATCGAATGTTCAGGCCGGCTCTGTTTCTGCATGACATCAAAGTTCCCCTCCGAGAACCAACAGTTCGGTTAGGCGGCTTACGCTGTTTCCAACACAAGAAAAACCACAGTCTGCTCCCTCTACCTACCTCCAACAGGCCCAATCGTTCTTGGTCTGGGCAGTATCTAGCACTTTCTTGACATTTTGGTGGCGCGGCACGAGCCTGATATGGAAGGGCACAGGCGACCTGCCGCTCAGCCCATCATATTCCGTGAGATCTATTGCGTGCCCTGGGACCTGCTCAAGGGTGAAGGCCCATATCAGCCGGGAAATGGTCAGCCAGATCTCACGCTCTGCTACTATCATCCCGGGGCAGATACGCCGGCCCGCGCCGAACATCCAGTGATCACGCTCGTACGGATCCGCGAGGTTGGAAGACTGTGCAGCCGTGAGAGGGTCGTTGATATATCGGTCAGGCTGTATATTTGGTGTGATTTCAGCTATTATTTCCCTCTGGTCCGATCTCAGGACACTAGACGTTATGAAAAATGAACTCACGTTGAATTCCATTGGATTGTGATGTCTGTCCTCATCGTAATGCATTGTCCAAGTATTCAACACTATTACCGTGTCTTTGGGAATAAACTTCCCATTATAGGTAAAGTCTTCCGAGGCAACATGAGGAGTGCCGAGCCAGAAAGGATTGTGGCACCGCTCAACTTCCTTCAAGATGGCATGGATATACGGAAGATCTGCCTCATCTTCCACGGTCGGAAGCCGATCACGTCCAACAACGCGGTCGAGCTCTTCCTGAGCTCGTTTTTGAATGTTGGGGTAGGATGGAATCAGTGCTGAGAACCACTGCATGATAGATGCTGTCTACACTCTCCTCCAGTCAGCGACTTCTTTGTTGTGTATAAGAATGACTTCAGCCTTGGTGACAGACCGTCTCGACGCCGCCAATCATGAAGGCCGACGCAGTAATGGCCATATCGAGATGATCAAGCTGCTCTGTGTCGCGGAGCTGGAGCATGGTCTTGGCAAGGCATTCAGGCACATTCTCACCACGCTTCATGCGCCTATCAATATCATTGATCAGGCCACCGTAAATATTCACCAGATCCTGGTGTAGCTTGCGACCACGACTCCGTATTTGGGATGGCAAAAATTGGAGAAGAGGGATGAAGTCAACCAGATTAGACATGGGACCAGTGCAATTCCTTTTATTCGCCGTCAGCTCGGTCCGGAGAATATCAAGACAGTTGTCCAAATCGTGGCTTACATGAACTCTCGGCTAAGGCGAAGAGCGGTACTGACCATGGGATGATGGACAGAGTTGGTTCTTATCCCAAACACAATTGTCAACATATTGTTCAACGAACATCGCCCAGCATACGGCTGTGGGTTGACAAGTCTCTTCCCGCCATCGCTTGCGTCGTAAAGAGCAACTATCATATCGGTGGCTTCGCGGTCAAGAACGGGGGTATACCGGTCGACGGCTTTTTGGCTCAGCCAGCCGGAAGCAATGCGCCGGTGTTTTCTCCAACGGTCGTTGTACGGGGTGGCAGTGATCCCACGCCCTGCGAAGACGGTTTTGCTCTTGATGAACATTTCTTTCCGAGAGGAGAACACCGCGCCGTACGTTACCAAAAAGTCCTTGGCGACATGCGGGCTAGAGATGATGACGAAGAGTTGGTTGCCAAGCCATATGGAATATAGATCTCCATACTTCTTTGCCCATTTGTCGAGGGTAAGTTCCGGGTACTCTGTCAGGAATGGGAAGGATCCTGTTCGGTGCTTCAGTTCCTTGAGTTCCACATGTGACTGTTCTATTCACGTGGAGTAAGACTTACCAACGATAGGTAGAGGCTTGGGTCCGTCAGGAATCCTGTTTCCAGCCTCATCATATAGTTTTCTGAAGGATAGTTGCCGTTGAGATTTGGCCACGACGATACCAGCAAAGAAAGTGGCTGCACATAGCCAGCCAAAAAGCCCCGAGACGAACTCGAAGCCTTTGCTCAGAATTGACCAGGCGAGAAGCTGGAATGAAGCCACGGGAATGCTGGCCAGAACAGTAGAGTTAAATTCCATTCTCATCATTTGCGGTTGGATGTATAATATAATGAAAATGAGCACACCAAATCCAAGTGAATATCAAGGACAAGACCAGTAGATATATCCGATCTCGAAACAAAAGCTTTCGATTTCAGACACGTTTATATAGAGCGCGGGATGCAGCGTTCATCCCACTCCTTTGCACCAACATATCCCACGCTGCTTGACCGCGATACAACATCACCTGGGTTGACTTCGATTGGCCTTTAGCATTAAGCGAGCATTTCTTTTTTCGGCCCGTCTTTGATGCCACGACTCTGTGATCTGCCAGATAATATCTCCCAGACGTGGGATGATTTGCTGCACGCAAAAGACCTATCACATTAACTGCAGGTCAGAGGCTAGCTTCCGTCTCGAATTGGTGAGGTCAGCCTTCACGTTCGGAATCTTGGTTAAGTACAACGACCATCTTGCATGTGCGTGTGCGGAAGCAGCGGAAACGGAGATGACTTCTCGAATTGGAAAAACATGGCACAGGTACACCACATATAATCTGTGTTGGAAAGATCACATAGATCCCCGGGGTTACACTGTCCCTCGTCCCATCTATTCGTGCATGCCTTCGTGATAACCACACTGAAGGTGAGTAATTCCGCGTGTGGCGGCGGCGCTTACGCGAAAAGTGATATAGTTCCTAGCTATGTGCATGACATGGCAAGCAGATAGCCGTCCTGTTCGTACTTTTGTTACTCGATTCTCTGGCTTGGCGCCTTCCAACGCATCCCAAAAGGTCAAAGCCTTGGCCGACACCCGGTCAGCTGATCTTGTAAACTGCAGATGCAAATTATCCAACTGCTGTGCTCTCCCAGAATCTGGTACGATCATCATGCGCTGCTCACACCCTCAATCTTACACTCTATGCACAAGTACATGGTGCCAGTTCACCCCATTTGTTGGCTCAGTGTCACAGCAGCATCAGAGCAGCCAAGTTGGCCCCAAACGCGGGATTTATTCCATTCATGAGTACCCGGCAGCCTGGCTATTATGCAGGCTAAAGTCCTACTAGATCATGTAGAGTACTTTGTGGATGAGGGTTGCAGCCGATCGGGACCCTTGGTGCATATACGCGAGCACTGAGTGCGCGACCACCAGATCCAGATCAATATTCCCGCTGTCAGTGTGGCTTCGCGGAGAACTTACCAGAGCCATGGGCTTGGGGGCATACAAGTACAAGACATTCAAGCGGACTCTCCACTTCATACATGAACAACCAGGCCTGATTGATGAGTAAGAAAATACGCGGCGCATTTGTAAATTGCATTTGAATAACCTTGGAAAATGGAGGCATACGAAGACCAGGGTTTTGTAAGGCCAGACTCGGGTTTTTAATTGAACATTGAAGCTGTACACGATGCATCTATTCCCGGAGGATGTTACTGCTATCACGGGCTGAAAACTTGCAGAAAGTAGCCTTAGAGTACTCGGATCGGGGGTTACAAAAGTTCGTGTTACAGATGTTGGGCAGTATTGTCTTGGTTCGATTCTTTCAGCTTGAAGAAGGCAGAGGACGGAAAATGACAGAAAATAGATACTAGAAAAAGTCATATGTCGAAGCTCACATTGATAGAAGACACAAACCCTGCACATAAACACAGATGATTATTAATGAAAGATCAGGGCACTGAAAATTCCTAATCTTGGGTGTAGAGCTTACTTTAGAAGCAACTTTCTGAGAACACCCACACATCGGAGAGAAATTCTCGTCCTGGAAAAGTCATGGCAATACATAAGTCGGGTGCACATTAACGCATTATGATTATGCCGCTTTCATGGGGGCGGTCCAAAGCCATGCAGTCCTATCTTCCACGTCTGATATCTATACAGTCCCGTCAACCATAGCCTGCTGCCACCAAGCACACCTCTCATTAGCCATATTATCCGTCCCAACAACAAGCCCGTCAGAGGTAATCTCAACCACCGCCGCCTCCTCCCCATAGACGGGGAACTCCAGCGCCGTGCCGGCAGGGTTATCACTCGGCACGCCCGTAGCCGCAAAGCCAACGATATAATCCTGCAGCGCATTCGCCAGGCCGGCATCGACAGCAACTCCGTCGTTGAGGGTGGTAGTGTCGCCGTTGAAGAATGTGTACGCCGTGTCCTGGGCGTGGTATCCCGGCGGGACGGCGAAAATGTAGTTGTGCGTCTGGTTGTCGAGCGCGAGGGCCAGGTACCGCGTCGTGCAGCTGAAGTCGACGTCGCCGATGAACTGCACGCCGCGGAGGAAGGCGTTCGGGTAGGCGGACGCCGGGTACAGCGTGTTGAGGACGTCCGATATGTTCGCGATCTCGGGGAAGCTGGCTGTGAGCGCTGCAATCAGGTCGGCTTCGCTGGCGATCGTAGAGGGAACGAAGGGCGCGGCTTCGAGGGAGTTGTGTGCCGCCATCACGTTGACGTTGGAGTGGAACCTGCCCTTGGCGAGGAGGACCTGGGGCAGAGCGGGCACGTAGGTACCGTCAGGGGCCGGTCCGTAGGTGAACTGGCCTTGCGGTGCTGCTAGGACCGCGCCGAAGTTGATGGCTTTCAGCGTCTCGGAGTCCAGGGAAGCGAGCTGTGATGCGTTGGTGATGGCTTTTCCAGTGACATTTGTCGCTTCTGTCAGAGTGGCTTCGTAGGCGCTCGTTGAATTGAGGTTGAACTGGAAAGCCGGAGACTGGATGATGCCCTGAGCAAAGGGCAGCTCGCCCTCTCCGCCGTAGGCTGTGATGTGGTGAAGAATGCTCGTTGCACCCGCGCTCTCACCAATCGTAGTAACACGAGCTGGGTCTCCTCCGAAGCGACCGATGTATTTCTGAACCCATTCCAAAGCGGTACGTTGATCGTAGAGACCAAGGTTGGGTGTAATGCCGCCAGCTCCAAGCCAACCGAACAGACCCAAGCGATAGTTGATTGACACAAAAATGACGCCCTCATCGTCATTGATTTTCGAGCGTGCGATGATGCCAGCCGGATTGCCAGTCGAAAGCTTGGATCCGGATGTAAAGCCACCACCGTGAATCCACACCAGGACGGGTGCTGCCGCTGTCGCATTCTGCTTGAAGACATTCTCCGGCACGTAAACGTCAAGAACCAAGCAGGCCTCTGTCTGTCCTGCCTGGGAAAGTAGGATCTGCTCCATCACCTCGACCGACACGTTGTACGACTGAGCCGTGAGCTCGATAATCCACATAGGGTACGATTGCATGCACATCACATCTGTCGAGCCATCGTTGACAGCAGAGCTGTTCCCCTGGGGGAGGCCCACCGTGTGGAAGCGCAGGTCATCGGTAGGCTGCTCTGCATAAGGTATATTGGAGAAGATGTAGTAGCCTCCAGACGACTGTTGGGAAGTCAGTCGAAGTTGGCAGACAATCCTCGGGCAGAAGTCCTACGTACATTTGTTGTGCCCGTGTGGATCTCATATCCCAAGTCCACGTAGGCGCTGTCGGTTAGATTGCTTCTCCTGAGAGGCGAAGCCACAGCCGCCCCGACAAGGGCGGCGAGAGTGAGGGAGCTGGTCAACATAACGACTTTTGTAGCGACAGTCAATAAGCGTTAATGAGTGACTGAAGACCGAGGGCAAGGTCTTGGAAGGCTCTGGAGGAGAATATAATAATCCTTTGCATGCTGCCTAGATCGCGACCCTAATATACACGTCAGAAGGGGGGTCGGTTTCCCCTGCAGTCTCCATAATTCGGATCTCTAGGATGCCACAGCCCCATCACTCATTTGGACAATTCCTAATCCTCTCCTATTTACCTGGGCTAGTGTAGTGATCATCGATTTGCTGGTTCAGATTCGTTAATCTGGTTCCTCAAGCCCTACGACGCTACCTCGAGAAACCGTGGACCCAGATGCGAAGATCGCAGGCATAATTGTTCCAGCCTCGGCCGAATTTCCGTTTAGAAAAGGCCGTTGTGGGTCCCATGCACAAGCGTCACCGGCATGCGGGACCGATCTGGTAGCCAACTCGTCTCCGGGAGAGTGTCTGGCCAGTCCGGATGCGGCACAGCCGCAGGGTGCCTTGCAAGCGCAATGGCAAGCTTCGGGAGGCTCGGGAGGTGGGAACGCGATGAGATCTTCCTCCTGCGCTTGCGCAGGAACGGCAGCTCCAAACTGCAGCAGCCTGCAGGAAGCACAGAAAAATTGACTAGCAATCTCCTCGCTCACGATGTCGTAAGTGCATGGGATGCACACATTGAATCGCAGCGGGTATGCAGGTGACTTGTCAGGTTGTCGACTTACCTTTGTTACCACTTGCAATGCCCAAACACCTATGGAGGCGGGGTCTCGTACTAGCAATAGCCATGGGAAATTTCTTGTGCTGAACCTTCTCAGTTGAATGCTATCCTGACATGAGTCGGCAACGCTCAAGATGCCAAAGACGCTGGAGCCTATTACGCGGATTGTTTACATGGCCACTGGAAGGAGCCCATAAGCCGTCAAGTCCGGTATGCTTATTGCATCTGAGCCGTACAAGAATAGCACCGACGCTTGTTGACGATCATTCGTTGAGTGGGATATCTTCTGCAGGAAGCTGGAGTCTGTACTTAGATTGGGCAGCGGCGCTGTCTAGAGACGTTTTCTCTGACCTCTCGGGGCTTGTGGCAGACATTAAGTCGGTCGTGATTGATACTGTGTTCATTGGTGTTGAGAAACGGACCAAACGTCCTGGTCTTGCGCAAGCAATGGGCCAGCACAATACTAGCGGTATCATCTGGAGATTAACCCTCAATTTTCTTGGGCTTTCGACCTCTGGACTTTCCCTTTGTGGGTGTTCTCATGTTTGGGAGTAGCTGGATGCCTGATCGCAGCGGCAGTGGGTCCTCGCGCCCCATCCCCCATTGCATCCTGCTGCTCTTTGGACTGCGCCTCGGCTTCGAACCCGCGCTCATTTGGGAATTCACCCAACAACTTATAGAAGCCAAGTGATTGCCACGAGAATCTGAAGTAATCGTGAATCGCCTTGTCGATCGCGCGGCGGAGCGCCTCACGCGCCTCGAAGAGCATATCCCGGGCCTGCTCGTTGGAGACTCCCTCCACCTCGGACTTGATAAGGACCGGAAGCCAGTTGTTGACAATGACCTGGGCAGCGCCTATCACGGGAGTCTCACTGCCATCTGGAAGTGACAGATCTTTCCCTAAGAGCACAGCTTGCCATGTCGAGATAGGGGTGCAATAACGAGCTCTGAGGCCGCCACCAGCCGGGGATTCAGTCGCTCCAGTAAGAATCATCAAGCCACCATTCTTCAAGTTCTTGGAAAGCTGCTTCATAGGCATGTGTGCTCGGAGTGGCGAGTCTATGTGCACATCCTGAGAGTCGATTCGCAGCTGTGGCGGTTGTCCAGGGACCAAGCTGCGGTGCCCAAGTTGAGCAATGTTCTCAGGGAAACCTAGCACGAGAAGATGGCGCAACATGTTATTCCTGTGCATATTGTGGCTCAAAGAGGCGCCGCCATAGGGTTCTGCTCGTACTCGGAGCTTGCTTCCTGGCACACTCATGTAAGTTTTTTCAGGGTAACTGACAAGACCAGCTGTGGCCAAAACGCGCTCAATTCCTCTGGCGGCAGCACTGACTGAGTCCATTGCGTCAGGATTAAAATGAGCGAAACGCCTGAAACTTTCAACATCAATTGTGAATGGGTATTCAGCGAGTCCGGGATAGTTGTTGATTGACGATGATGACTCCTCGTGATGGTTTGACATACGATTCGTACCGGGTGTCACGACACTCTTGGTCTGACTTTGTGCGCTGAGGTTTGGCTTGGAAAGGTCCCCTGGGTCGTTTTGGATTTCGATGTTTTGGGTCTTTCTGAGGAGTTCTCGGAGTCGCTTGAAAAACAGGACCATACCTGCATGATCGCCTTCCATTACATTTGAGAGAGCTGAATTTTGATAACCATCCTCTTCTTTACCGCGACGGGCCCCATCCCGATAGACAGAATACTTCTCGACAGCCGCGACTAAGATGGCACCTTCAAGGCACCTGGTGCTCGCAGCCACAACAAGCATCTTGGCCGTAGAGGGCGGGAACGGCAAGGCCGTAAGCCATGAGTTGATTTCAGGGATATCGCGTTGTTTTGCAGCCTCAGACTCTCCTTCTTCTATAGCACCGGTTCTATGGGAGGAAGGTTTCAGGGCGACCTCGTAACGACTGCCGTGTGAGAAATTGGGCGTTGAACGGAGGTAGTCAGTTGCGGCAGTGATAAAGTGCTGCAGCTTTTCACAGCGTGGGTGATCAAGCACAATCTTGGGCTGGAAGGGATCCTGAAGGCCAGCGTGCCACAAACCCGGATGACCTGTAGCGACTGCAAGGGCCAGGCTTAAGTTCTGTATGCCTCTGGCCACTTTCTTCACAGCCGACGTCGCAGGCTCCCCAATGTCGGTGCTCCCTACATACGTGCGAGCCTCATAAGCCCCCGACTCGAGTTTCGTGATAGTGTGCTTGAGGGGTCCGCTGGAGTTCAGAGCAAACTGCCAGTATGACTGTACTATGTGATTCGCATTATCGGACGAGACATGGCTCCGTGGATAATACTGCAACTTGGCAACAGCCTCAGGGCTACTCAGCGCGAGGTCGAACTGAGTAGCGGCGGCGACTTCTGCAAACAGTCTGCTTGAGCCACGACCCTTGACATCAATGCCCCACTCAGGCAGAGATATAGTCACAGTCCAGACTTGTTCGCCATCGGCAGAAGAAGAAGAAGAATGCGGCTGAGCGGTAATCTGAGGCAGAAGACCGCGCTCTACCAGGCGTTCGAAGAGTTGCAGCAAAAGCAGACGAGGATTGTGAGATGGGGCCTTGTAAGTGGGCTCGTTCTGAGGGGTGCCAGGGCTTGTGGTCTTTTCTCGGACGGCCTGCTCCGCGAATTTGTCAAAAGAGGAAACAGACTGAAAATTGATGTCATTGCTCTCTATTTTGACAGCAGACCGCGATAGCTTCTGGGGTGACGTGCTGTTGTTGCGGGAACCTGGACTCAGCGTGCGCAGAGGTCTGTGTCTGGGCTTGTGAGGCGAGGAGCAGTTTGATAGGGACGAGATGGGGCGCCATGTCGACAGCAAGGGCAAGAGACCGACAGGAGTGGTGGTGAGAGAGTGGCTGCGACTGAGAGCAGCTCTCATGTGCATGCTCATGCTCATGCTCATGGAGCCTCAAGTTCACCCGAGTCTGTGTACAGTCAGCATTGATTAAATATCCAGAGCCATCTGAGCCTTTGGGAGCGCACCTTGAGCTGTGCCAGGCCATGCAATGCTGGCGTATCAGCCAGAGAGCGATGGCTGTTCAGGCTGTGCGTTGTGCTATGCGTATCGATGGCATGTTGAGCTTGACTTGCAGGGGTCCTGCTGTGGTTTGGACCCTGAATACTGGGTCAGTAGTACATGCACCCGGCACCATGCACTCTTGCGTGGTGATCCCTGCCCGCCGTGCCGAGGAACATGGCGCCGCGCCAATCAGCCCACTGGCAAAAAGTCGTTGATGACCTGATTGATTGGGTATTTTTCCCACATCGATACTTACTTACATGCTCGCCTGCTCGTTGAAGCTCCTCAGCAGTTCAGCACCTCCTGAACCCACCCAATGGGTCTGTCTTCAGGAAAGATATTGTCTCTGAGCTTGAGCCTCTAAGCCAGCGGCATGGCATATCTGCAGCCAGCGCCGATCCGCCGTGCCGGCCTGCGAGGGCTGGCCAACCAACTATCACGACTCTCCTCGCCCGCCTCCTTCTCGACTTCGACCTCTGCCTCGCCCTTTGTCTGCCGCCAATGTCTCAAGACTACCAAGCAGCAAACATCTACGAAGCCGTCTCTATTGTCTTCTTTGGCCCGATCCCGGACCGTCCGACAACTCCAGCCCCCAGCCTCTGCCTCGGTTCGGTATCTCAATACCACCTCCAGCAAGAACAGCACCAGCTCTCCAGCTGCAAGTCTTGAATATGTTGCCGAGCCAGCCGCCGACTCCAAAGAGAAGTCCAAGACAAGAAGCAGTTCCTTCCCAGATACCAGCTCCAAGTCCGTCGCCTACTGGTTGCTGGGCAGCGCCGCCAGTGTCTTCGGCATCGTCGTGTTTGGTGGCCTGACAAGGTTGACAGAATCTGGGTATGCGTCCCTTCCCCGGTGTACTACACGATAGACAGGCGCATCAACATGCTAATACCTCCCCCACAGTCTGAGTATAACCGAATGGCGCCCCGTCACCGGCTCCCTCCCTCCCATGTCCCCCGAGGACTGGGAGTCTGAGTTCGCAAAGTACCGCGCCTCGCCCGAATACATCAAGCTGAACCCGCACATGGACCTCGATGAATTCAAGAAGATCTACTTCATGGAATGGACACACCGCATCTGGGGCCGCGTCATCGGCATGACCTTCGTGCTGCCCACCATCTACTTCATCGCGCGCAGGAGGGTCACCAAGCGCATGGCCTGGAACCTCGTCGGCATCTCGGGCCTGATCGGCTTCCAGGGCTTCATCGGCTGGTGGATGGTCGCCTCGGGCCTCAAGGACGACCTGTTCGCCCCGGGCGCCCACCCGCGCGTCTCCCAGTACCGCCTGACCACCCACCTGTCCACCGCCTTCGTCTGCTACTCCTGGATGCTTCTCGCCGGCCTCTCCATCCTGCGCACCCGCAAGCTACTCGCCGACCCCGCTGCCGCCTCCAAGCTCGCCAAGGTCCTCTCCGGCTCGGCCCTCGCCCCCTTCAAGCGCTACACCACCGCCCTGACCGCCCTCGTCTTCGTGACCGCCATGTCCGGCGGGCTCGTCGCGGGTCTGGACGCCGGCCTGATCTACAACGAGTTCCCCATGATGGGCACGGGCATCACGCCGCCCTGGCCCGAGCTCTTCGACAAGTTCTACTCGCGCAAGGAGGACGCCTCGGACCTGTGGTGGCGCAACATCCTCGAGAACCCCAGCCTGGTCCAGCTCGACCACCGCATGCTGGCCATGACCGTGTGCGCCTCGGTGCTGGCCCTGTTCGCCTACAGCCGCACGCGCAGGGTCAAGGCCGTCCTGCCCGCCGACGCCCGCAAGAGCGCCATGGGCCTGCTGCACCTCATGCTCCTGCAGGTCACGCTGGGCATCAGCACCCTCATCTACATCGTGCCCACCCACCTGGCTGCTACCCACCAGGCCGGCGCCCTGGCCCTACTGACTGGTGCGCTGGTTCTGGGGACCAGGCTGAGGATCCCGAAGGGCACGATGAGGCTGGTCGAGAGGCAGCTCAAGACGATGCAGCAGAAGAAGTGAGCGATGCGTCTGATGGAGGGGCCTAGAAAATTATTTTGAGCTGCATAGCGTTGGATTTTAAGATTCATGACACAAAGATAGATAGATTTGTGGGACGGTGGGCCGCCGGCAGACATCGGTACTGTGCCATTTGATGTAGCAAGATGTCGTTTGAAGAATGAATCTCATCTCTACTCCACCTTCAAGGCCCGGTGCGGACAGCACGTGGAACGATAGCCAAAATGTAACTCAGTGCTTGCTCGTAGGAAAAGCCCACTCCGATGATATAGATGGCTCATTGTTCCCCCAAGTCCCAGATTTTATTCATGAGGCTCATAAGAGGTTGTTCCAGAAAGAGTTATCCCAAGGGTCCCTCTCACAAACGAGATTCTCTAGTATGTTATCTTGGAGGTCTCAGTGGTTATACCAGGAGAGATTGTTCTACAGGTAAACATCCCAGAGCAAAGTGTATATTGATCAGGTCGCATTAGGGTGTCAGGGCAGGGGCCGGAGGCCACATCTACTCTCTATCTATACCCGTGGGCCCGTCGGTAGCGTTCTAGGGAGCGAGTAGGCTTTATGAGCCTATCATATCCAAGTTGTTCAGCGTGGATCATCTTGGGTCCCTCTTGATATAAGAAGCGCGAACTGGTTCTAAAATCATTCTGACAATATTGGGAACCGCCCGTCCCTACTTGTGTGCTGCAAACGGTTAGCAAACATGCCGAGAAGCAGGGTAGAAAAGATTACTGACCAATTCCCTCGGCCGGCTTCGGTTCGATATCAACCACATCTGACAGCTTCTCCTTCTTGCCTCCTTGCTCGTCCTTCATGAAAGGGAATGCCTGCACCTCCCTGATGGCGTAGTTGTCCGTCAAGAACATGACCAGCCGATCGATACCCAGGCCCCAACCACCCGTGGGTGGCAGACCGTACTCCAGTGCTGTCAAGAAGTTCTCGTCGATTGGCTGTGCCTCATCGTCACCTTGGGCCTTCTGGTTCGCCTGCTCTGCAAACCGCGCCCTTTGGTCGAAGGGGTTGTTCAACTCCGTGTAGGCATTGGCAATCTCCTTCTTGCACACGAACGCCTCGAATCGCTCACACAGACCCTTCTTCTCTCGGTGGTACTTGGCGAGTGGAGACATCAGCTCGGGGTGTTCCAGGATGAACGTTGGGTTGATACATGTCTCCTCGATAAACTCTCCAACCAGCTTGTCGAGCATGCGAGCGTTGGTCAGTGGTGGCGGGCAATCAACATTCATCTTCTTGAGAACCTTCTTCAGGAACTCTCCACTCTCAGCTGTGTGCATCTCCTCGTAGGGCGGGAACTTCTCGCCACTGACACGCTCCAGCTCTGGAAGCATCTCCACACGTCGCCATGGGGCCTCCCAGTTCACATCGTAGGTCTCGCCGTGCTGGTTGGTGAACTTGGTCTTGTAGCCGCCAGTCAGATGCTTGACGAGGCCAGACACGAGCTCTTCCGTGATCTTCAAGACGTCATAGACGTCGGCGTATGCCCAGTAGAACTCGACAGATGTGAATTCAGGGTTGTGGGTCAGGTCGATTCCTTCGTTTCGGAAGTTCTTTCCCAGCTCAAACACCTTACCAAATTGTCCGACAATCAACATCTTGAGGAACAGCTCAGGTGCAATTCGCATGTACATGTCCAAATCAAGATCGTTGTGGTGCGTGATGAAGGGCAGGGCAGTGGCTCCACCTGGGATGGCCGTCATCATGGGGGTCTCGACCTCCAGGAAGCGGCGGTCGTTGAAGAAGTCTCGAATATACCGAACGATCTTGGACCGGGTCCACATGGTCTGACGCGAAGCGTCGTTGAACAGGAGGTCCAGGTATCGCTGACGGAAACGTTGTTCGTGGTCCTTGAAACCATAGTGTTGTGTGGGCAGCATGTGCAGAGAAGGTGCGAGCAGGATGACCTCTGACGCAAAGATGGAAAGCTCGCCTTGCTTGCCCTGCTCGATGAGCTTCTTGGGCGCAGTACGGCCTGGGTATCCGATGACTCCAATCACATCACCTCTTTGCAGGTTCTCGTGTTGCTTCTCGAATGGGGTGGTGCCCTCGGGGACGTTCTCGGCTTGGCACATGATCTGGATGCTCGTGCCGATGGAGACGGTGTCGGCGGCGGTCTTGAGGTCATAGAAAATGAGCTTGCCAAGAGACCTTCGGTTGTAGATCCTGCCAGCGATTTGGAGCACCTTGGTACGGTCGACGTCTCCGGACTACAGTACGCAGTTGCCTTGGTCAGCTCTCGCCTAACATAACAGCAAAAGGGACCCGGTGGCTCTCACCTTGAGATGCTCATAGTCGGCGACAAACTGCTTGTCATCATAGGTGACATGAAACTTGTGAGGGTAAGGATTGGGGCTGTTGGTCTCGAGAAGCGTCTTGATGGCCTTGCTTCGGTTTTCGTAGTACATTCGAGGGTCCAATTCCTCTTCATCCTCCTTCTTCTTGGAAGCAACCTTGGGAGGGGCAGCAGCCGCCTTCTTGGCCTTCTCCTCTTCTCTTTGACGCTGCTTCTGTCGCCTCTTGAGTTCGGACTTGGAGACCTGCATATAATGACGAGGTGAGCGTCCAACCCACGCGAAGAGGGAAGTCAAAGTCACAGTGGCAGGGCTTTGGCAAACATACCTTCTCCCCAGTGACCTCGTCGAGCTGGAGGTTCTCCAGCTGCTCAGCAGGAGCTGCGGGAGCCTTGTCGCTTGCTTCTCCGGCCATTTTGTCGTGGACTTTGCACTGTGGAATCCTAATTGTTTACTGACCAAGAAGGGGGGAGGAAATGGAAATCGGCTCCTATTTTGTACGAACGCGGGGTGACTCAGGAAATTTTGTCCATAGTGACTCAATTGAACAGGGGGTCGATGACCGCGGGGCTTATCTTATCGGAGCCATTGGGGGCGAGGCAGATTCCACCCACACACCCCTGGAGAGGTCCATCAAGGGTCCGTCCTGTGCAAAGTCATGTCTTCAGAGCAGCTTCAAGACCATCAAAGCTCAGTCTCGATCGGCGGACTATCCTCTTACGTCCCATGTACTTCGAGTAATTGTTATGTGTCCATTGGGGAACCTCTGGCCATGGCTATCTAGATCTGCCGAAGGATACCCCATCAACATATCTTCCTTTGAGGGCCTTGTGGCTCTGCGTATTGGAATGTTCATCACAAATTCACAACGTGGAAGGCTCAATATTCATTACTTGATAAGTACTTTCTCTTTCTATAGGTAGAACAAGTCATAAATCATTCCAGAACAGTGTCTCCATGCGTGTTTTCCCATGTGCCCCTAGAGTCTCCCAACGCCATACGCCGAAGCGAGCTCCAGTATTATCAAGACGTTGTGCAAGCAATGTCCGTTGGCGAGGCCGTAGTCGAGACGGAAAGATTGTAAATGGTCATTTCTTGGCTATGCGGCGTCAAGATCGGCAGCCCATCATTGCCCTTCAAGAGCGTGAAGGACGCATTCCCACTGCGACACTCATTAGCCAGCTGTCTTATAAGTCCTAAGACGATGTGCTTCACTTACTATGCCTGGGAGCAATTGCCAGGGGTGTAAGTCGTCTGTATCACAATATCTGCCATGTATGTCTTGGAGTCTGACGCCTCGCCCACGACCTCGGAGCCCCTGATCAAGTGCCACCATGCCTTGTTCCCGTTTGCTGGAAGAAGCGCCTGCTTGACGGCTAGCATAGCATCGTAACCCTGGTAAGCATTCCCTGCGATGATGAGCTCTCCGTCCGTCGTCCAGAAATCCGTAAATGTAGTCGTTGCGGCCTTGTCCTCGGAGATGCGGTAGTACCTTGAGCAGGCTTGTTAGCCAAAAAATCATCCCTGAGAATCCAAAGTATTCAATTTGCAATTACTCACTCCTCGACGAATGCTGCGAAACCATCCTCGACACCTGTGCCGGCTTTGTAGGGGCTCATGTCGACTGCACCGACGATGTCCGCGATGAGGAGGCCGAAGATAGTGGTTGGCTTCATTTTGGAGGTTTTTGTTTTACTTCAGCTGTTGGTCCTAGTTCATTGCAATTACAATTTCAACTGAAGTGCCTTAGCCATCAGCGTTAAAAAAGGGTGAGCTTTGTTGTTCATATACCCGTGGCGAGGCAGGGAAATCTAATAAGGCGACTTCCTCCTGTTTACACTAGAGCCGGCTTGCCCGGTGATGCTATTCCCGGCGCGAACCTTAAAGTTGTAATATGACTCGGTACCGCCACGATCGGATTCGGGCGAGGCTGGACGGCCCCCTTTTCAAGCAATATAGTCCATATGCTTGGCGAAACTAAAAACACCATTTTCGGTCCTACTGAACCATGTCCATAGCTTGCTTGATGTGATGTCTTAGTGATTTTTCTCAGAACACCGTGTCCACGGTGTGTCCCGCGTATTTTTTTCGTGGTCGATAAGCCGAAGTTATATTTCACGAACGCCTGTCCATTTCTGTATTAGAAAGATAAACTGTCATGGATTCCTGAGCTTGAATAAGGAGATCTGCAATGCAAAGCTATGCTTTAGTATTTAGCAAAAGCAATATCATAGGTGAATAGCATGTCGCAGTCTCGCAAAAACTGCCAATGGGAAACCTTTTTGATATCAGAGATGGTTCATTTCTTCAGTGGCAGCAGAAGCAAAAGGACATGTTCCTTTGTAGGAAGATCGAGGATGAAAAAAAACGGTCTCGGATGTTGAGCTTGCGCGGTGAAAAGACAGCTACATTCGATACCGGTATAGCACCGAGTTGTGCATATCCGCAAATAGTCTTTTTGCCTGCGTCTTTGCGAGGCAAGACACAAGGGGCTTTTGACTTGAACGCGTGATCAAGCACCAACTTGCTCTAGCAGCTAATCCCAGGAACACTCTGCATTGACATTCCTAGCCAAAGTTTCAGGCATCGAGCCCAGAGCCTAGCTCGTCCCAAGTAGGCTCTACTTGTTGTTGGGTACGGCTCACCGTGGCAAGCGAGCTGGTGTAAGTGAATAAACTTTATAGATGCCTCCGAGTAACCCCAAAATTCCGGCAGTCGTGAAAATGGCCTTTCAAATTTTTGATACTTTTACAGCTCAAAATCAGCCCATCCTCCAATCATCACAGGTGGATTTTCGAAGCCGCACAACACAGCCAACTTATAGCGGGACGACTTCACCCACTGTCCGAAGCGTGGCAGCGTAAATATCCACAATAAGATCAAAACAAGGAAGTCGGCCGGAACAGCGCTACTGGCCCAAGACTTGACCGTTCCGTGCAAATTCGTCATATCCGTGTTCATGGACAAAACCGACGCGACCACTGCCAGAGGAGTGAAGAAAGTGAATAGGCCAGCCAAGACCTGCAGATTCTTGTGGTCCTTGCAACCAAGCTTGTAACGATTTAAGCGGCTGATAGCCGTAGAAATACGAGTCAGCCTATCGATCCTCTGCTGGTGCTCTGCCATATATCCGAGTACGCGAAGGTAGTCCTGTTCGTAGGCAGTGACTGCCTCTGTATTTGTGTACTCTCTCATAAGGCTATGGCTGTGCTGACTAGCCACTCCTTGGGAAGCTAGGGTGAAATTCGACATCTCTCGAAGAACCAACATGGTATGAGCCAAGTCCTCGCGGCATTGCGCTACGATCATACGCCAGTGGTCGAGCTCGGAGGCGGCGACTGCGCCCGCATCGAGATCTGAGCTAGGCGGGATTGTGAAAAGCTGGTCAACCTCCTTCAGGCGAAAATTGATAAAAGCAGAGATCTCGAGCCATTGTGCGCAGATCAGATGCAACAAAACTTGTATAGGCACGTCTGTCGTTGACTGCTGAATGTCGCACTGCAAATGGAAGGCTTTCGGGTTTCTCGCCCACTGTGAGCCATCAGTCAGCAGCTGATCTTAAATATAGCATGGCATGCAAGCAATTATTTTCACAATGTCTTCTTCTTCGCCCCTCGTGATCCTTGCTAATATTGCTTCTTAGCCGCGTAGTGGACTAATTTGATACAGAACTCGTCATCACGTACACCTTATATCTATGTGTCTGATATGAAGGAGAAAAGGTACGTTCATTCTGACTTACGTGAACGAAAACATCGAAGAATGAATCTGTCCTTGGCGCTGGAGCAGGTGGTAATGAACTTCCAACCGGTGGCGGACGATGCCAGTTCCAATAAATTTGCCCGGGTGTATGTCCGCCGGAAATGGTCGCATCAAGCAAGAGGATACCTGCCACAAAAAGATCAGAATCGCATCGCACGTCAATGTACTGGAACCAACGATATATACCTATTGTCGATACGCCTGGATCTACAGAGCGTTTCATCCACAACGTTGCCTTGCTCCCCATGAGCCCCATCGTAGATTGCTCGTTATCCCTGAATTGCGTGCCCCTGTCGCCGACTAGACGTCGTGGATTATTAAAGCAACTGGCTTCGCGTTCGCCGCTTTGGAAAGACTCAATGTTCTCAAAACATCGAGATCTGACGAACTTCAATTGGAACCAGTCTGGGCCTTTGGCGGCCAACTTCAGGTTCGGCTGCTCCCGCCGAGACTGATGATCAGGCCAGACTGGAATCTCAATATGCTTCTGGAAGAAGGACGAGTCCACGTCAAAGCTCGAGCCGAGAAGTTGCATTACCTCGTAAGATAAGTCTTCAACGACGAACAAAGTAAACTCAGGTATCACTTCACCTATCGGGTTTGAGAGACGCTCCGCTAAAGCGTCGAGGGTACGATAATCCTCAAGTTGTACTGATAACAGATCGTTACGGCCCGAATAAGATATCGCGCACACATTTGCGTGCTTCGCACGTGCTGAATGCTTGTCGTCTACGCTGCATAAGCTCTTGAATGGCGCTAAATCGGGGCGTAGATTGTGAGTGAAGACTTACTAATTTGACCTGCGTCTTTAGAGTATCGTCCTCGACGGACAGGAAGAGGATAAGGAGTCATGTCTATCCCAAAAACTGTTTTGCGAGTATGTTCTGGACCCCTGCAGCATGGCCAGCCAGGTTAGCGAGTATAACACGAGTGGCTGGAGAAGCATGTCATCATACTGGCTGGGTACAAAAGTGTTAGTAGCGGGAAATGACTTTTGAATCAAGTGTGTCTGCGCATCACTCCCAATCCTGCCTTCCGTTGTAGGCTCTCCAGGGGACTGGCGTCGGGTCCGAGCTGCAGCTGCGCTGAGCAGTTCAATGAAGTCCGAGATATTCTCGTTCGTCAATTCGACCCCATGTATCTTTTCACTGTTCAGCTGTTCCCTCAGAAGCTCCAATCCAGTGGTCATATCTGCCCCCGTCTGCATGATGACACTAACCAGGAACTCTTCCCGTCCTTTCTGGTTTGTAGAGTCCAAGAAGTCTCGAATGATCCGTGCTGTCTTCGAAGCCTTGGAAATCTCTAGCACATCTTTTTGGATGGACTCTCGCGCGTGCTTCAGTGCAACTTCGTGCGAACCGTTGCGGTAGCTGTTGTGAGCGAGTCCCGCTATCATGTCGAAGGCCGGAGGAATGCAAACCTGACTTGAAGGCATTGTGTTTGTGTGAACATCGCTGATTTGGCTGAATAGAAACTTCAAAGGCATCAGATATGCGTAGTCATCATTACTAGCAATTATGTGGCCAAAGACCCGTCCACTTCCGACGTGCACAACCCATGAGCCGGAGTCTCCTGGGACAAGAGCTGTGCCGTAGACTTGTCAGCAATTGAGAACCGTCATAGCGACATCTCGGTCGGGGACAAAATAATCCCAAGTATTGTGCAACTCACGAGGGTTTGACCCATATTTCAACTTCCAAGTGGTGATCCATCCACGGGACGACAGGGGAAAGCGAACCGCGCCAGGGGACATGATCAGTCTCCGTGGGCCACTTATACCTGCCAGAACCATCACTTCCCCTGCAACCGGTGCTTCAGCCTCTTGAGTGAGGTAGCTAACTTTAGAGCCAAGACATACGGCATTAGGTTGTGCTAAACCAGGATCTCTGATCGAAAGTAGACTCCAATCCTCTCCGGTCTTCTCAACTTCACCCAGTCTGACCTTGGCAATATTGTCGAATTTCTCCATTGGCCTTTGCATTGGTATTTTTGGAGTAGCTTCATTTCGTTTTGGAGATCCAATGACTAAAGCTGACTTGATACTGTCGTCGTAGTCTTCCGGGTTGATAGTCTCTTCCGTCAAAGTGTCTGCTGCGGTTATCGCAGATGCAGATCTGGGTGTCGAGCGATGACCAGCACTTGTTGCCCACATAGCGCCTTGAAAACTGACGATTCCACCGACGGTGACAATACGTCGTGTAGGATTTGTACCAATCATGGCGAGGGACCCGCAAAGAGTGCCCTGCTGAGGTTCTCCGATTAAGTAGGCATCTGGAGAAGCCGCTAGGTACGAGGTTCCGGATCTTTGTATCTCATAGCAAAGACTTAGTGGCGGGTCGTAAAACTTCCTGAACTTTCTTTTCGTCAATTTCGCATGGATAACTTTAACCGAGTCCACATCTCGGAATCCCGTGAGGCGTATATAGGGTAGCGTTCTGGACCCATGGGTTTGGCCGTTTATTTTAACCCTTTCATATGAAATACACAGATCCGCTAGACCAAGAGTCTTTGCTGTCGAATCGATAAGGCTCTCGAATCTTTCAAACTTTTTTTCTGTTTCCCAGTCGAACGAGGGTACTTCTTCCACAGTGTCAACTGGCGTCCACTCCACTTTGAGCAGCCTTTCAATGATGTTCTTGTTCTTCTTGATCGTTTCCAAAGACTTGTGTCGTTTCTGATCTCTCGCGTTTGACGTTCGGAGAGGGCTCTGTCCAGCTCCAACAGCCGCACCGCATGGTCGCTGGATCTGCCGACCTTGCGACCTTTTTGTGCCACGTTGGTCAGCATTGCCGCGCACAATCTTCGTCCAGCGCTTCCCAATTGCATTCGGCACATCCAATTTCTGCTTGTCCTTCATAGCCCGGGCGGCTGGATTCGCGCCAGTCATCAGCGTGGTTGGTTTTGTGGAGTCTAATTCCAAAGTTGAATCCAGTATAAGATTGTCAAGGGCAAGGTCTGTGTTCGTGCCATTGTCGTCGGGAGCCTGCTCTTGTGGAAGTTGGCTTAGTAGAGAAGGACTAGATGGTACACCAGGCAATATTGTGTCTTCCCGAACCAGCCCGTGCTCCACAATATGTTGCTCTACCTGCGACATTCCGAAAGCATGTGTTAGCCACACGATGTAGTATAGATAATTTGTAGAGTACGGATGGTTGCCGACCCCGCGAGAACGCCCACCTGCAGAGCGGCCCACCTGCATAGCGACCAGCACAAGCCAATCATCGACACTGATAAATCATCACGTGGTTTATCTAAGATCAGCCTCAGCATTTTGGAATTGTTGCTAGCGGATCTTCGTCTATTCAAAACGTCATTGTCCTTTGCATCTTCATGTGAACGTCCTAACCAGCTCAAACATAGATTCCGGAAAATGGACGCGGCCTCAAAGAAAAGTCTAGTTGATCGCGCATGGGGCCTAAGTCTTGACGACCGCATGGACAAAACGCTGACGGCTTACTTTGAGTACTGTCTGAGTCAATTGGGAGGGAAAAGCACCCAGGCCCTCTTTTTCATCTCTTTATTGAAGAAAAATATGGGAGTACCAAAGAAGGACCTGAAAGCCGCGGTCGAAGAGGTCCAACAAGGCCGGCTTGTTGGGAGCGCACATACTACGGTATCAGAGACAATCGACATGCCCAAGCTGGAAGATACTATCAGAGTCGCATTGTCAGATCCGAGCTTCAAGATCAATTCAGCCTTATCTCAGGCAGTCAGACTCGTATGGGCTACCCACTTGACAATGAGTCAAAACGAGATAGTTAGCCACTCTGTGAAAGTACATTGGGACGATTCTGCAACATTACACGATGTTCTGAAGAACGCCTTCCCAGAATCACCATCCCCGTCGTCCATCGCAAACTTTGCGCCAACTCCAATCAAGAGAAGCAAGCTATGTGCAAGGTATCTACTGAATCACGCAGACATCGAGTTGGAGTGGACAAGGCATCTTCCAGATCACCTCGATCTGGATCGTGATGGGAAGAAATTACGCATTTTCGAGCTAGTCTCCATGCTGGAAATTACCAAGAAGAGCCAGGGTGCTACAGAAGTTGACCTTGCACGATCATTGGAGCGGTAAGCCAATCATCTTTGCCTCAAATAGCCGTAGACTACAAGAGTCTTTCGACGGATGTCCTTCTGACAGAATCGATCGGACTCCTAGGGGCTGCTTTCAAGAGGATTTCATAGTAGAGACGCTCATGACCATCACTCTCCTCTTCCCACCGAGGGATCGCGCGTGGCTCGACTCAATCATCCGCCCGCGGAGAAAGTGGATGGTATGGCGGAAGCAAACCCCTGCACGGGACGAGAGGCTGTCTGCTCCCTTTGACTTACAAATCAAGGGCATACAAAAATTTGAGAAGTTTCGAAGATCCATTCTCAACACCGCAGATCTTTTTGATATCTACCCTCACTGGGCTTCTCGCCTCCAGCTTATTTATGAGGAAGCGGAAGATCCTACACCGAGCTCAACAGTGGGTAAGTGGGCCGATCGAAGGAAAAGCCCTCGACACACGTACTGGATCACCGTGGCAGCTTTCGCCCTTGCCATACTGTTCGGTCTTGCTGCGACTATCCTGGGGGCTCTGCAGCTATGGGTGTCATACTGTCAATGGCAGGTGCCCGATGGCGGCCATGGTTGCGGTTCGAAACGTGGGAAATGAAGCGACCATGGCATGCATGCCCAAGTTGGGGATAAGGTAAAGGCTCACCGTTCTGGAATTGTATAAAGATGAGGCTGCCGCTTCATCTTGGTCATTTTCGTTTTTAATCTATGCCGTCTCTTGTGTGCATCCTCCATAGAGTTTCTTGCTCTGTGACGTGCCTCAAGATGCTCACTGTGCTGCAAAGACTACTATTGCTTCGCTCAAAGATGTCCGCTTTGGTACATACATGCGCAACCCGCCTGAATGTCGAAACTCTTCTACTACAGCCTCCTGAGGAGGACCTATTGGGATGGGCTATCTATGGTATGGTCATAGAATATGCTTGATGTCTGAATGTATTAGAGAGAGCCCAGCATTCGAATCATGAGGAGAAACGGCTTTTTCACCATCCGTGGTACCTTTGAATTTTCCAAGAGTTTTTGCAGCCTCTGAAATCGCAGATCAAGTCTCTACAGTTTTCATGTTCGCAGTGAGAGGTCTCGATGTCTGAATGGCCACCTGGTTCACATCTACTTGGCATTTGTGGCTTCCTGCTTTCCTCGCCGCTCGAATCTTCAGGCTCATATTATTCAAATCTACTACACTTGACAAGCAAGCTTGTGAAGAATCGAAATCGCACGCCGTCGTCTCCTGGTCTTTTCTAGCAACTTGATCAATATTGTTCCCCATTCCGCGATCTGCTTGGTGTCGCTTGGGGACAGAAAATGGTGATTCTCAATCTGTTGTGACAGCATCAAGTCAGGTAGCTCCGGCACATAGAAATTGGAGGATTGAGTAGCAGGAAAATGAATCAATGGGCCGCATGCTTGCCACGCCTCCTCGAACGGGACAAAGTGAATGAGATCACCGCCTGAGTTGCGGGTGAAACACCGCTGGATCAGGTCCTTTGCCGTACAATCCAAAGCTAAAGAGCTTTCTGCCCCCCTGGTATGATATATTTGTGCCTCAGGGTCCGCTCCACTTTCAAGGAAAGCCTTGAGCACCCCAAAAAGCTGACGGAACCCTTCCAGACTTGTCGGACTCAACTGCCTAAGCGTACGCAGCATTTCTAACCATGGTGTTGTCGACAATATTCTACCTTCGGACTGTGTGTGTTCAATATAGCAATTCGGGTTGGCCCCGAGTTTCAGTAGTTGCAGGATGACTGCCGGCCTGATTCCACCCGACATCATGCATTGCAATGTCGTTGCTCTACAGGCAGCTATGAGAAGCGAAGCGGCCTGATTTTGCCGCTCGCAACCCTCTTGATGACTGAGCTTATACAACGGGAATCGCTCGAGCCCATTCTCCATGGCGAAAGACAGTATATTACCACCTCTGGGGAGTTCTCGATCGCGATGCTCTCGGGCATGGTGCCAATTCGCTTGCAACCATGGGCAGTGACATGACCAATGAGTGACTTGCTTCGTGGTTGTTATTTCAGCATCGCGTGGTCTCCTTTGGTTCTTGCGAAATATTTGCTCCATAGTCTGGTCGAGGTTCTCGAGGAGATTCTTAGTGGACTCCAAGTCGAATATCTCGGCGAACACAGCTGTGTGCATGATTCGCAGGACCAAAGACCACTTGTAAGGCCAGTGATAGTTTGAAAGAGTGTGTATTTTGATCTTGTAAAGGAGGCAAGAGATGAGCGAAACGTAGGGATTAAAGCGGTTGACATCCGTGGCCACTGGCAAAAGTTCTGACTGTGTATCGGTACGGTCGAGGAATTCCACCACTGATTTGTGCAAGAAGGCAATTTCCGGGTCCTCGATCGAGCTACTAATTTTCCAGTCTTTGTTCTCATTGACGACTTCAATTCCTGGCATGCGGTATTTTAATTCCAATAGCCCAGCGCAATGGCTCCTCAACAGATGGTCGATCCTTTGGATGATATCGTTATGTTCGGTTTGCTTAAGCGGGTTTTGACTCCTTTTGATGATATCCCTGTAGTCTGAGTGTGCCACAGACAGCATGAGAGCAGATATGGGCGGAGCCAGCCCGATCGAATTCGAGGCCCTCCGTTTCGATATAGCAACAGCACAACGGACCAGCTGAACGAGCTGAATGCCTTTTGTTCGGCGTTCTTCTGGAATCCTTCGCAACATGTGACGGTAGAGCTCTTCCAAGCCACGTGGGAATTTGTCCAGGATAGCTTGAAGTTCAGCGAGAGTGGCACAAGTATTGAGATCTTCCATCAATGCCGCGACAACTAGTCTCAGCCAAAGGAAAATTCCCTCGGATTCATCGACGGCGTATGTGATCAACTTATTGCTTTCTCTCTCACCATTTTCGGCCTGCTTGACGAGGAAATCGAATCGCCGGTGTCCGTAAAGATGATCAGTGACGTAAACCATGCGGTCTGAACGCGTGAGCTCATGCAGACGCAGCTTCTCACAGTCCACGAAAGTCGTCTCGAAAGCCATTTCCGGACGGCTAGAAACTATAATCTTCAGATGTTTTGCTCTGGCGGCATCTTTCAAAGTCCTGGCAAGCTCAAAATGCTCTTCCTCGGGAGCCTCGTACTCGTCGAGTCCGTCTATCATCAAGGCAACACATGCAGGGGGTTTGTCTGCCTCAACCAACCTTTTGAAAGCCCTCTTTAGTTCGTGGTAGGTCGGGAAGTCGGCCCAATCTCTGTCAATAATGAATCGATCTGGGAACAACAATCTTGCATAATCACCATTCTGCTGGATGATGTCGTACATAAGAGCCCTTAGGAAACCATGCAAAGATTTTTGCAGTGAGTCTTGAGCCTGACTCCAGAACCAGTAGTTAGCAGTGATGAGTTCACGATCGCCTGCCCATGTCGTTAAAGCTTTCTTCGTGCGGCCGTCTCCGGCCAAGAATTTCATCAGGGTGCTTTTGCCTGACCCGGCTCGGCCGCTGACCCAATAGACGCCGCTTTCGCCTGCCATCCATCCCATGAACGTGCGCCTTGATAGCTTGTTGTCTATCTCGCCTGAGTAGATCCACTCGAAGGTTTGGTGGTGGGCAGGTTCGATATCATCGAACCGGTCTGCCATTCTAGAGAACCAGAGAGCGTTCAAAACCTCCTGTATGACTGTTGAAACACCAACATGTTCGTTGGCATGCTTGGGATGATTGGATATGTTCCGAATGGCGTTCATTTGCTCGCGGTGATGGTGAAGTGCCAGGGACGTCGACTCCTGATGCTGCTTGTCGGAGTACCAACGAGCTTCATCCAGTTTTTCATTCAATGTCTCAGTACGATCAGCTAGTTCCTGCCGCGTAGCTTCACAGTCTGTCGATACCGCGTGGATCAACCTCTGGGTGTCTTCGTCAAGTGCTTGGACGCGAGTACTCTCCCTCAGGGCTTGCAGGTCCACCTTAGCCTTGATAGAGATGATAACGTGAAACTGGAGCTCGTTGCGGATGAATACGAGCCTCTCGGACTTATCTCTTAGCTTTCCCTCACCCCATGTTGCAAGTATGGCATGCCGCAGGCTTTTCCATACGGACTGGGAGGCACCGGGTCGTTGCTTGGCAAGGGTGCGCTGGATATCGGCGGCAATGATTAATGCTTCATCAGCTAATCCTTCTAGACGCTGGTAGAACGCATCGTCCGCTGGACTGACAGGCAGCGCAGTCTTCTCAGTTCTGGCTGCCCTCAGCTTAGCACAACATGATAGGAGATCTTCTGAAACGAGTCGCCGGTCGGAATTTGTGACGGTCTCCCCATAGCTGCGAATCTCGGAAGTGGCGGAGATGATTTTGGTGGAGAAATCAACCACACTTAATATGTTGACTGCAAGCGAAAGAGCAGAGATTGGGTCCATGTCATCCAGCGTGGTGAAGATGGATAGAAATGACCGAGGTCAACAGGACGTGATTCTGATGATATTCGCAGGGGAATGGATGCCAGATAAATCCCAGTATATATGCTGTGTAACCATCCATTTCAGCTGCATAAATTTGCCCACAAGCCTGCATCAGGAGCTACAGAAGCAGATGGAGGGACAGAGATGGCGATGGTGGGCATTGAACGTGAGCAGCAAGCTACAGAGAGATCAACACAATGTCAATTAGAGCTTCGAGCTGCTCAAGGGACAAGATTAGGTGCCAGTACACCCGAAGATTGTACTCGCAACACAATCATTCTCAAATGTTATCTTGTGTTGTCTTCTGATTATACATGATCAGTAGGATCGAGGTAGGGTCACATTGACCTCAAGGTCTTGGCACAGGCAACCGCAATACTGATACCGTGGGAGAGGAACGATCGGCGTATCATGCTGCCTGCTGAGCGAAGAGAGGGAAGCAGGAAGTCTGCAACAAATTGTACTATAAATTCTACGGGAGCCGGTTGGCCGTGGCCTGGGAATTGCCCCGAGTGAATATGATCAGAGACTGGCATGGCACAGATATGGTACGACAAAAAGATCCCAAGATCTCCGCAACCACCCGGGGGCCGGGGGCCTCCTCTCATCATCTAACTAGCCCGCCCATGCTCCTGGCAATTGCATTTGCACCTTGATTCTTGCCTGAACATATGGGAGCTTTTTGCATTCCGAAGTCCACTTCCATTTGCTTTTCGGCTTCGATCCATCATTATACATCCCTGGAAGACGTTTTTCAAGGACCCCAAACGTGAAAAGAGATCCTGTGTATGAAATTCAATGTTTTATGATTACTCGGGCCCATGATCAGTATCTGATTCATTTCTGATGATCACAAGAAAACGAATTGGCATTGAACCTGTCTACATCTATCTGCGCCGGGCTTGAGAGCAAACATTCGGCCCAGCCTCCAACGCCTTAGCAACCTGCTCAGCCACGACGTCGTGCACGGGGTATGTCGGGTGCAGCGTGTTCAGCCAGAAGTACTGGTTGACCGGCACCCCGCAGCTCTCGACGAAGCTGTCCGGCTCAGAGGTTCCGCTGCGGAAAAGATAAGAATGTCAGTAACTCACTCATTGTGTAAGGGGAGGGCAGCACTGAGGGCAAAAACTCACTTCTCATAAGCCTCACAATACCCAGTAGTATTCGTATACCCACTCGTCTGCGGGAAGCTGGAAGGGTCATCAAGGACCTCCTCAAACACCGCGTTGGCATCGAAAGTCCACACATTCACCTCGGAGTGGTTCCCCTTCAGCGCAGAAGCCAGGTCAACCACCTTCCCATTCCACGTCGCGATGGCGGCCTTCTCCTGCGCCGCCGCGGTCTCGCCCGACTCGGTGACGAGCGGCGAGCGGTCGACAGGCGGGACGTTGAGGAAGAGGAAGTTGCGCCCGCCGGCCTCGTACATCGTGTCGACGAGCCCGGAGTAGACGTCAAAGATCTGCCCGTACAGCGTGGCCAGGGCGTCGTCGCCCTCCCAGTACGAGTTGCCGACGTCGTTGATGCCAATCCACACGGCGAACAGCGTGTCGTCGCCGGCCCAGGCGGGCGCGCCGGGGGCGCTCGGCGACGAGCCCGTGTAGCCCGGGACGAACTCGTCCTGCACCTGCTGCTTGACGGAGAGCACGGTGTCCTCGTAGGGCTTGACGAGGTCCGAGTCGACGGTCGCGCCGCCGTAGGCCAGGTTGTACGTCAGCAGCAGCGACTGGTTGTACTTGACGGTCAGGTAGTCGATCCAGTTGGGCCCATTGGAGGAGGTCCACCCGGGGTAGGATGGGTTGCCCAGTGGGTTGCCCGGCTGCGGGTAGGGCTCCTGGGTGAAGTTGAAGGAGGTGGTGGTGTACGAGTTGCCGAAAACGAAGGCGTGCTTGAGGCCCGAGAAGCCGGTCCACTCCGTCGTGGCCGCGCACGACGAGGCGTTGGGCGCGGACTGCCGGGAGAGGACGGGGGAGGCTGCTGCCCCCATCGCGAGGGGGAGGACGTGTGTGACGGGCTTCATGGTGGGCTTGGCTGGGTGAGGGAAGCTTGGCGTCGAGGACTACTCGGACGTGAAGGATGCGATGATATAAGAGGGCTCAGGAGGACCTTTATAAGACACGATCTCACCACAATGCACTTTAACTCAACCTACCCGGCCACAAGCGAGGCCCTGCAATGTACCTACCCGAGAACGCCAAGCGGCCAGAGCAATATATATCCAGGAACGGGATGGATACCCACGCCCGTCAAGTAGAAACAAAACATGCGCGATCCCTCCCGCCGGCCCCAATGCGACACTGGGGCAAACATGGGCCACATGGGCTGAAAGCGGGCCCTTTTGGCGATCCGGAAATCTCGCTAGGATGGAGACACTCCGGCTAGGACTCGCTCAAGTGGGCAAATGGCCCCGCAAAACCCGACTCGAAGGGGTGGGCGTCGCACAAGGCACGCCACGCGCCATGACGCTGTTGCTTAAGGTTAATGATGAGTGCATTTCCTCCATTTCCTGGCTCGCGGCCGACCGGAAGTTTAACGCTTCTGCTTATTGCCTCACGGAGATAGATCATGGGTGGCCCGGAGAACAAAAGCCTGCGCGTACGTATGCAACATCGGTTGAAATTAGTCCGGCCTAGGGTTGGAACGGTGGGAGTTGTCGTGTGGGGTGGAAATCCGGGGTGAGGACGCGGGCGAGGTCAAGGGGCGTCACGTGGGCGGAGGAGACGAGTCCGCGTTGCAACGAGCTAGTTCTCATTGGAGGGTATTAGGTTCATGCGCGCAGCGGACAGGCTTTTTCATGGTGTCTTTCCGCTCCAGGGCGGTAGTACAGCTTGCCATTTCATCATTAAGAGACAGCTCCACCGTTATCACAGCAAAGCACCAGCAAAGCACCAGCAGACGATCGTTGTTGGGTATTTTTGTGTTTTCATTTCGTGATGCACCTCCTCGCCAGAACTCATTATACAAGCTTCTCAGAGATCCCTAATCTATATAAATTCTGTGATATTGAAGAAAGAAACAAAAATCATATCTTCGTAAAGAAACCATCCAGGTCCTCAGAAACGATGATCTCCCCTGGAACATCTGGGAAGATGATGTGAAATGCAGTTTGGTCGTTCCTAAGCGGCAAATAGATATCATGAACATGGCTCTCGAGACGCCCGAATCCCCGGCAATCCAACGCCAGGCACCCATTTTCACGGCACCATACTCTAGGTCAGGGTTGCCAGCATTGCCTTGACGATGCCAGGCGGAGGGCCTAAAAAGCACAAATGAGTCAGCCGCTGTTCTGATCAGGACGGTGGAAAGAACATCGCGCACCGCACCTTTAACGATACTTCGGCACGCTGATGGACATCCTACCTTTCTTGTCCTTCTCAATGCGCACTCCGCGCCGCGGCTCCTCGATCCTCTCCACCTGCTCCTCGTACAGCACCAGCTCTCCGCTGCTGAGCCGTTCCGCTTTGACGAGTTCGCGTTCACTATGGCGTTTCCGATCAAGCTGTCGCTCAAGGTCACGGATTTCGTGTCGAATGTCCCGGTCAGATCGAGAACGCGAACGGTGTCGATCGGACTTGACCAGAGCCATCGCACCGACAGGGACTTCCTCGGAGATCTCCTCACGCCGGACGTCAACAATGTAGGGCGTGCGGGACGTGTGGGATGTGTGCGTTGTTCCGGAAGTGGTGGTGGTGTACGATCGGGCGGGCGAAACGTCACGAATAACGGTGGTCTTCTCCACCACCTCTGCAGGCGGCGGAGGTGGTGGTGGCGGCGCATGGAACATCGGAGGAGGTTGAGGCATAGGCGGCGGCGGCATCATGACGGGCGGCGGCGGGCCATGCATAGTCGGGGGTGGCCCATGCATCATCGGGGGTGGTGGTGGTGCGTGCATGGACGGGTGATGCGAAGAGGGCGCATGGATGATAGTCTCCTCTCGCCTCTCTTCAATGATGTTGCCCGCTTCAGACCGTCCTGCGGTAAGCTCGGCCTCGCCTGTGACGATAGTTAGTCAGTGGCTCTCTGCTAGCGACGCTATTTTAGAGGACTCACTCTTCTTGTAGTCTTCGCTGAGCTTGAGCAGATCGTCGATATTTTCCTGGCCAAGAGCCTTCAGCACGACAATCGTGTTACCCTGCGCGCATGTTAGCACTCACACTCATACCAATTTCAGATACGCGCAAGCAACCTTACCTCCTCAACAAATGGATAGCCCAGGTCGATCAGCGCACGCTTGGAAGCCAGGCGGGCTGGAATGCGAGTTTTGCCCTTCTTGGGATATTCGCTCTTGACAGTAACAGTGGTGCCGCCACTGCTGCTGCCCGAGCTGCTGGTAGTGGTGGATGACCGGGAGCTGCTGCGCACGGTGCTGCCGCGGTGGCTGCGGGTGCGACTGGACCGGTGGGTGTGGGACGGGCTGTGATCCCGCCTCTTGGTGCGGACGATCTCCCGCTCTCGCACGCGCTCCGGGTAGGACCGGTACTCCTCGTCGCCATAGTAGTCTGGGTCGCTCACACGGATCTCATCGAAGGAGTCACGCTCGGCAAACCTTCTCGGAGGGGGCAGGGCGCGAGTCCGGGGCAGCGGGATGGGCTCATAAGGCCGGGGACGGAAGTCCTCGCGCCTTGCAGGTGGGCCGTATCTTTCCCTTTCTTCCTCCTCATAATGGAAGCCTCTGGGTCGCCTGTCGAATGTGTCGAGGCTGGACTGTCTCCGGAGAAATGCAGGCCTGCTTGGCGGAGAGGGGCTGGACACTCTTTGCCGCTCGCGCTCAATCACAACACGGCGGTCGCGCTCGAGATCAGGTGGAGGCGATCGGTGGCGTGAGAACCTCGGCTCGGGTTCGTCGTAGTAGACTTTGCGAGAGTCGCGAATGACGACCTCGTCCTCAAAAGGCCGCCTCTCGGGGCGGCGCTCGTAACGCTCATCAGCGGAGTGCTCTCGGTATTTTGACTTGTAGTAGCGGTCGTCGTCGTCGTAACGGTCTCGATCCCGATCCCGCTCGTACATGAACCGTTCACGGTCCCAGGTGTTGCGGGACATGGCTGCAGGCAAGCGGGTGCAATAAGGCGACTGACGGGATCAACGGTGGGACCAGCAGGTCGGAATGGTACCACAGAAGTGCCCGGGAGCACGTTGTGTCGGGAATATTAAGTTTGGACGTCAAACAGGTCCAAAACTTGGTGCAAGCGAGGTCGCTGGGGCCAGAAACGGTAAAAAGCACTGTCGATTGTTCTTGAAGGCTGGAGGAAATGGATTGATTTTGCTGGATGTAGAGAGTTGGAACTCAAGTCGAGTCGAGTAAGGCAGGACTGGACAGAAGTGTGTGTGTGTGTGTCTCAAAAGTTGGCGCAGATGACGACAGAAATGGAGGGGTGCTGATGGTCTCGCCCTCTGTGACTGGGCCTCGGGACTGTTTTGTCTCCCTCTCTGTTTTCTCCCTGCCCGAATGGCGGACAACAGAAGAACCACACCACAGGGCCGCAGCAGGCAAGCTAGCTGCAAGCAGGTGGATTCGGGCTGGGCTGGGCTGGGCTGTGCCTACTACCACCAGTATTATGCCAGTTGGGAGCCTGGTCGGATTGAAAATGGGGTCCTGTCCTCGGGATGGATGATCGTACCCGCTTGTACTCTGTACTGGCTGCCTTCTGGGTCGCCTTATAAGTTATTTCGAGTCTGGTCTGGTTCGGTCTGGTCTGATGTGATCCGCTCTGTCGCTGCTCTAGATGTGTTGCTGCATGCAGCAAGAGAACAACGGGACAGACAGGAGGTCTGCACAGCAGCAAAGGCCTGGTAGGATTGGCGCAGGTTCAAAAAAGCAGCGCAGCGGGGGCTATTCCTGACGATGCTGTGGATATATTTATAAGATGTGCCTTAATGCTCGCTTGAAACCCTGTGGCAGGCCAGTCTGGAGGGCCGCCAGAAATGCAAGAATGACTCGGCTTCGATGGTTGGATGAAGCAAGCAGCTGGAGGAGGTGACCCCGCGAGCCTTGTGAGAGTGCTTGCAGCAGCGCAGGCGTACGAGCGAGCCCGAGTCGCCTGGTGTTTGACGGTGTCCTCGTGGTGTTATCGTACAAAGTGCCGTGGCAGTGAGGATGTGTGCTGTGCGACAGAAACCACTGTGCCTCGACGAAAAGTGATCAAATGAGACGACGGCAGAGTTGTCGGCCAGAGGAGGAGAAGCAGGGCGGGTGATGATGGGCTAAGGGGGGGTGGGGGGAGAAGGAGGGAGGGGTGTCTGTCCTTCTGTCTTTTCTGTCTTGTCACAAGCGCAAAACAAGGAGGAGAGCCTTTTTCCTATTCCTCTGCTCAACTTTCGCACTTGCTCTTGGTCTTGCTCTTGTCTCAACCAAGGAACCCTGGCAGTTCCCGAGCTGAGATGGGACGACGGGATCTTGTTGCTTCTGGCAGTGCTTTTGGTCCCTTGATCAGGTTTTGGCGGTGGGCCTCACAATGCGTAAGTGCCTACTGATTTGTCTGAGTGGTGGTCGGTTGTGCCAGAACAGAGACAAAGTGCAGATGCAGATGGGTAGATGGTCAGTAGACTACCTAAAAAAATGGTCCACAAGATGGCACTGCAGACGATGGCAGCCGATGATTCCCATGGTCTGTCTCCACGGCGAAAACTTCACCACGTCAAACAGTGATGCCGTGCATGCAAATTGTATTTTCAAACTCAAAATCCGGGGGCTGGATCTCGATGGATCCATCCGCATCCTGGGCATGTCAGTATCCATTTGGCATGGCTGCTCTGTTCTTGGGTGGAGTGCGAGAGCGGATGGAGTGCGGATGGAGGGGCAGAGGGGCAAGCATAGCCTGGACGGCCCAGACTTGCCAGACTGCCAGACTACCTGCGACTACCTGCACCTGCATGGGCTCTGCCTGGGCCAGCGCAACTGCCGTGGGTCCCCTTGGGAAGAGGGCGCCATCCTCGGGCGCACGCAGGACGTGTCCAGCTGTCGCAGGGGAGGCCCAGGCAGACCGGCAAACCCACCATCCGGTGAGCTTGGTTCCCCCTTGGGTGTGGTGATGGGATGTGTTAGTGATTAGAAGTCGTTGCCACACCTGTATTAACAGATCCCATCTCCCCACCGTCGCGACGCCGTCTCGACCTCGTCCAAGGCAGGCATCTCCTGTCCTCGTACGGCTTTCCGCCATTCTCCTGACCATGGTCAGGCATACATTTCACATGGGCTCAATATCACTCCCTCTCACTTTTCTCTGCCTGTCTGCCTATTCTTCCACTCTGCCCTCATTTCCCAGCCTTTTTTGGCCCCTTTCTCTCTAGCTCGCCAGTCGGGCAGCATCTGTTGAGATTATGTTTTTTTCCCCTGGTTCCACTTCTCTCGGGTTGTCATTCCATTAAATGTCCTAGCCAGGGCAGCTTTCGACGACACAACATATGCTTATCTCTATGTTGTGTTCGCGGCCCAGCACACCAATCTAGCTGTCTTGGGGTTGTCGCCTCCCGGCTCGGATTCTCGAATTGCCTGACCGCTCTCTGTCGGGCCCCTCCAAGTGTGATCACAAGGGTCATGTGTGATGACGTCGGGGTCTAGAGGTGCAATGCCGGACATCTGGGACCATTGACGCCCAAGTTCGACCACTCACCTCGTCCACCGCCTACCAGAGACTAGCATTCGCCGAACATGCCTGAGAGGTGCCCAATCGAAAGGCGATGTAGACTACTGTGTGCATGGTTCTAGATCTCCTCTCTTGATTTTTCTCTCCCCTCCATCCAGGCCCACCTGTCTGTCATTGGGCGGTACCTGGTGGTGCATTCTGTTCTTCCCAAGGCCTCTGCCGTTAGTGCTAGGCAGTGGTGTGAGAATGTGGGTATACTATCATCCAAGTACAGCTCGTATGTAGCACTCGGACATGCGCCAGCGCCCCCCAACGGCTGCGCACAACCACCAACGTGCAGAAACACAAAGGATGGTTTCTCGGTCCGTCCCGGCCACCCTGTCAATGGCCTCAGCCCCAGGAGGCCGGGTTCGCCACCAAGACAGTGCGTGACCTTTTCGTTCCCTATGCTAGTGTGTAAGCTTCCAGCCTTACAAGCGCAGATGATTGCAAGAGACTTTGTTTGAAGTTGTCGCTGGAATTCCTGTCATTTCTCGCTATGAATACCTAAGATGTAGTTATGGACGCTGAAAAGAGATGTTTGCTATGAGGAGGAATGCTTGCAGAAGTAAATGTTTGTCCAGCGCCGTAAAGCTCGAGGAGAAACCACGACGCTCTTGACATTAATACGGAGATCCTGGCTCGTAGACCATCTTCACTTCATCTGACCCAGGGACGAGCATTGGGGCACTAGGCAGCATGCCAGGCAAAGGGTCTCTATCCGGTGTGATGTAGGCCGGACAGGTCAGCAATGGATGGTTTGGAAAGCCCTCGCAAACCCAGATACATCTTTTCTGCCCGTTTGACGACTTTATGACCAAATTCTTCAGCACCAATGGCGCCTGGCTGAATTGTACTGCAGAGTTCCACACCACTCTGACATAGTGAACGGGCTGGAGGTCTTCGACGAACTCAAGGGTCACAATGCCCAGCCCTTCCGTACAATCTTCTATTGTCTCCATCTTTCGGCGCCAGCTGGCCGAGCCAAGACTGACTAGGAAGACTTTGTTTTGAGTCCGGTTGAGTTGGAGGGGGTCCACGGCCGCGATGGTGAAAAGATTAAACTCGGGGTATGAGAGAGCCACGCTGTTGATGCGGTTGCGGTAGTGGGGAGGATAGAACAGGAGCCAAAGCGCTGAAGCCTTTCCCTGCTCATTTATCTGGGCCGCAAGCACGAAGTTGGTCCTGTGCCATAAACCCGACGGAAAAGGCTGGTCATCTCTTTGGAGGTTGGCGGCTATCATCACCATGCCCAGCTGCGCAAACTTCCTCTGCTTTCCTGCCCACCGTGGCGCCCGGCCGGTAATCGTCGCACCTAAAATGTGCTCAGGAACAAGTTCCCACCCTGTTCCCTGGAGCAACTTGTTGACCATTTGCTCGCTGTGTGGCTTCACTGTAGCTCCCATCAGCTCCAGGCTCGGGCAGAGGCCCATGATCATTCCACTGTGCTCTGAGCCTAAACGTCCGAGGTACATTGGCGAAGGTTTTGTTCCGATGAGGGTGACAAGTTTGCTGACGGGTGAGTCGCCGAGACCATTCTACGGCCTGTCGTTCCAATTTGCTTCACCGAGGTACTTTAAAAACAAATGTGTCAAGTCATCGGGCTCCATGTTGTCGAGAAGGCACTGTGCTGAGGTAGCAAATGATGGCCTCAACGCGCGTTTTAGGTGTCTCTTGATTATATGAGGGTGGATTAATATTCGGGGAAATGTGTGTAAATTAGCAACTGCTTTTGTTCCGTGTGATGCATGTTGTTATCAACGGGCCTGTTTGGTGGGAGCAGAAGCACAGTCTTTTGACCCAGATGACTGCGTGTTATTTTACATGTGTTGCGCCTTCCATACTCTGAGAAAATGAGCTGGACTTCGTTGATTCTCTCTCTTCCCCCCTCTCTCAGAGAGAAAGAGCAATCCACAGTGGTGCGGCCGTAGAAGCTGCAGTATTAAGAGACCGAAGTTATCTGCACCGAGAACTCCTGTGGAAAGCTCAACCCTGTGCTGTTTGGAGATCTATAGGGACCGTCTTTTCAGGGTTAGATGTTTGGCGTGGACGCTGATCAGTGAATTTGACCTCACTATTTGTTACAGCTTGCCTCTTCTCCTTCCAAGATCTTGCCGGGCCCATCTTGACAGGGCAATCGTTGTCTGATGAACATTGAATTATCATCTGATTCCTTCCAGTCTGAGCCTCTTCAAGTCAGGTGGCGCATCTTTCAACACCTGTCATGGTCTTGGTCCAGACCAAGCACATTAGTCTCCTTCATCAATCTAACTCTCCTCAAAACCATCAGCGTTTGACAATCGCCTTTCCAGCTTCTGGGTACTTCTCGCATCTGCATCCACCAGAACCTTCCTCTTTCCTGGAAAGCTTCCTCTAAGTTTTGAGTGCTCAGTTCTCATCTCCCAACGTACAGTTTCGATCCATTGGTCCTCGCCCAAGAAAACGCCGCACACTGCAACCTGACAAACAGGATGAGTCACTTTCAGGGAACTCAGGGGCCTTCAGTCTTGCATGGTCTTCAAGGTTCGTTTGAGGATTTCTTGGCTACACACCCTCTTCCTGGATACTTACGAGGCCCCTAGGTGCTCAGGCTGCACCAAATGACCGTGTGGTCGAACAGCGCCCTGCAGGCCGCATGGGCGACGGCCTATTCGCCGTAAAAGACATGCCTGCTGGCACACGAGTGCTCTCGGATAAGCCACTCATCATTGTGCCTACTGCTCCAATGCAAGCCACTCTGGCTCAAGACTTCGACGCCTTTATTACAGCAGCCAGGGATCTCGACCCTAACCTGAATCTCCCGGTGCAGCTGCTCAGTGATCAGGTCCGCAGTACTACCCATCCGCAAACGATGGAGGTTGTCCAGAATTGGTTTTTGAGCCGCTTCAGTCTTCAAGAGACTAGCCCGTCGGGCGACTTTATTCGAAAGTGTGCCGAAGCCTTCACCACTTATAGAAAGATGGCGACTCGGCTGCCTCAGCAGTATGGGAAGGGCGTCTTCTTTACATACTGTAAAATCAACCATTCCTGCTCGCCGAACGCTTTCTCGTACTACGACCACACGAGAAATCTCATGAGGGTCCACTTGGTCAGGGACGTCAAGGCTGGTGACCAGATATTCATCTCGTACATCGACTCGGAGGTGCTCACTCGGGCGGAAAGGCATGCCAGACTCAACCTCAAGGGCCACAATTTCGTCTGCAACTGCACCTTGTGCACAAACCAGGAAGTCGAGGCTATCGTACAAAGGATCTCAGTCTTGTATCACTCCCTATCTAACTTCCTCGTAGATGAAGGAGTGCAAGCCGGCCAGATCAACCCAGCCTTCAACACTCCTGACGACATCATGGAGGCGATGGCTACAGCAGAAGAACTTGTGGCCCTCTTCCGGCACCCTTTGGTGGATTTGCAAGGCATCGATCTCAAGTGGACTCTCAACGTCTGCTCTTGCATGGTCTGGAGACTTGGAGACGTCGACAGGGCAGCGATGTATGCGAGGGAGGAGGTGGCTCTGCAGGTTCGGCTTTGGGGTTTCGAAACTGAGCATTTCGGTCAGAAGGGAAATGCGATGAAGTGGCTCCGTAGGGTGGAGGAAGAGCGAGCTCGTGGGTGGTAGGCAAGGCCCTGAGTGATTGCACCGTTGCTTTTTAGAGGCGGAGGGAAGTTAAGAACATCTGCGGCACTGACGAGGAGAATCTGGGTAGCAGTCGGGTGGTCATGGCCAGTCCATTGAATCTTGAGGCCTTCTAGTTCTGGGGCATTGGGCGGCTTCTCCTCTCCCAGGTTCATTTCATTCAAATCCAGCTTCAGTCACAAAATGGGCCAATTGGGTCACTGTCTCATCGCTTTCCCATGCAAATTATCTCCTTCATTTGGGGCCCTTCTAGTCTGCCTGGACTTTAAGCAGATTGATCTATCGAATACTTCAATCCTTCTTGACACTCAAGTGCTTCCTTTCATAATTTCAGCAGCAGAGACTCTGCACTATTGAATGGAGAGCATTCCAAATGTATCCTCGTCTGATCCGCACCCATGCCCGCCTAGACAGGTAAACTGTGGATGGCACATGAGCCTTTGGAGCTCAAGGGCCTACAGGCTCAGCTGGTCCATTCACTGGCACATCGTATTAGCCATCGCTTTCTTGGTGGAGATTTAGGAGGTTTTACCTGGCTAACGTTGTCATCTCCGTTGGTGACTTTCTTGAGAAGGTTCTGCATGACAAGGTACTGGACCTTCATCTCCTGCTTCATTGTCTCATTGTCCTCGCGAAGCTTCTTGTTCTCCTGGCGAAGCATCTCGGTGTCCTTCTGAATATCCCTGATCTCCCGCTCATGGCTCTCAATCAACGTCTTGAAGAGTAAAGCAAGCTGGCTCTTGAGTGAGACGAGGCCACTTCTAGGCACGACTTCAATTGTCGAGAGGTAGTGTTGGATGCCTCGCTGGCAGAAGTCTTTCATCTGGGCGTTGAGGGTTGTCTGTTGTTAGTCAGTATTCGGTAAGTTGCGAGACGCAGAATGGATTGAGACTAACCTCAGTACTCCTAGCAACTGTGGTCACTCCGGTGGCCTGCGGCTGTTGCTCGATGGGTCGATTATTAGACATGATGAAAGCGGAGAGGACGATGTGATGTTTGCTGTCCAAGTGTGGAGCTATGATCAAAGAGACGAGGTCCAGTCTGCACAAGGGCGTTGTTTTAAGAGGTTGATGTTCAGAGGCAAACAGAGAAGTAGGTAGCAGAAGGGGTAAAGAGGGTTTAAATACTATTTGAACTTCCGTTCTCATCAGACAGCCATCAATTCGACCCCTGAAGGAAAAATTGCCATTGGTCGGATCAAAGCTTTCATCCCAACTTCACTCGATGGAGGAAACCTTTGAACTCAAGTCAAGGCCTGGGAGGGGGGCAGATCGACGTGGCTAACGGCCAGATCACCGGGGCACAAAGAGTTGTGAGCCATGAAACAGACGAGCCAGACAAGAATTCACTTTATTACTGCATGAAAAATCTTTGGAAATAGATACGAGTGTGGGAAATATGGTATTCTTGAAAGGGTAGCAGCATAGACGCTCATTACAGAACTCGTTTATTGGGGGGCAATGAGAAACATCGTGATGAGAAAAATTCAACTGATAGCTCCCCACAAAGGCGAGTCTTCAAAACGGTCTTCAGTAGATCTTGCCCAATGTATATCAGACAACATCTGAAACCTTCCAACGAGTCCGTTCTCTCCGTTAGGATATCCATCACACAAAAGAGCGACCTTCCTCCGCCTCAAAACGTATGCGTTGTATGAACTGGGACTGAATTAGCTTAATTCATAAATACATTGACCATGTAAATAGAAGATTACCTCGTCTGGGTCCTGACCCTGACTCTGAGCGAGAGCCCGCATCCCAAGGTAGTAGACTCTGAATTCCATGTTGACCTGCTTGCTGTACTCAACACGCGCCTCAACCTCCTTCTCGAGGCCTTTCCTCAGCTCGAAGTTCTCTTGCATGAGCTTCCGGTTTTGTTTGGCAAGGACTGCGATGTCATTGGTCATACGGATTAAAAACTTGGGGCCATTCCTTTCGGCTTCGAGGTCGTCGAGTTCAGCATCGATTAATAGCTGAGTTATGTCTTCGACTTTCCGGTCTGTGATCATCGGCTCTGGAGTCTCTTCTCTTGTGGCCCTTTGCGCTTCTTCGCTGCTCTTCTCAGGGACACTTGGTTTCGGGATAGCATCATGTGGGAGAGGTTTTTGTGGGACAGTCGATCGCTTTCCACCGTCTTTACTATCATGAGATTGAGCCAAGGCTGCAGCTCTTGCAGCGGCTTTCTTCCTCCTCTCGTGCTGATTGAGGCGGTTCCGGGCCATTGTAGAATGCTGAGGATTGGCAAGCTCTCGGTTCGTTTTGAAGCGAAATGCAGCGACCACAAACTTTTCGGTGGACTAGATAGAGGTCCAGGACGAAGGAATTTGTAATGCGTCGTTCTAGGTGACTGCAAGTAGCACTCAGCACGGTTGGCTGAGATGGAATTCACCGGCAGGCTTCGATCGGGACGAAGCGTTTGTACTTGTATTTTGGTCTGGCTGCGAACCCATTAAAAACCTCACACTGGACAACATGAAGCTTGGGCGTTTGTCTGGGCAGATGCGAGATTACCAAGGAGCCAAGGGCAGAACAGGGCCATACGCAAGCCACAATTTAATTGATGGGATACGTCGAGGAACAGAAGAGGGCAACTAAGCATTGTGACTTTTCTTAGCTACTCAGGCGCCTGTGCCTCCGTCCCTTCCCATTGCAGAAGCCTTGCAGGCTTTGAAATCGCAAACGGGGGGACTAATGGCCAGCATGCCATACTGAAGACCCCAAAAGTAGACTCGTTTCATCCATACCCCAAAGAATCCTTAAACCTCCCTCTATGTCCCTTTTAAAAAGCCGTTGAGATTTGGAGGCACGTTAGAATCGGTCAAACACTAGTGCTGTTGGGCGCTGTGCAGTTCAAGGGCTTCTCTCCAGGCCTGCGTTGTACCACAGTGTCAGTTATCTTTCAGAGCAGGGTTGAAGTCGAAGAAGACACCGGAGCAGGCTCTGATGTTCGGAGTCTTGTAGGCACTTACCTGTTACCCGCAGGAGAGTAGGCGGCAACGACAAAGGTGCCATTCTTGCTGTTCTTGGCGCGAGCCATTGAAACGAAGCGGGTGCTGTTCCAAATCATCTGGGCTTCGAGTTTGGAAGACTGTCAGCTTGTGCTCCCATGCAGGTAGATAGCAGGTGCGTGAGGAAAGAGGAGGAGCTCACTGTAATCAGAGTAGTCATAGAAGTCACCCAGAGGGATGGCCTCGCACTTGTAGAACGGCTTGGCGGCGGCGAAGGACAGGGCTGTCATGTAGTAGTCATCAAACTGGTAAGGGATGGTGGGGTCCAGGTATGCCACCTGCAGGTCGTAGCTCGAATTAAGAGAGCGGCGGGTGAGGGCACGGCGGGTGAAGTTGATAGGGGTATCGGGCATGTCCGCAGCAGCAACCCAGTTGGCCGCAATCTGAGCTGTGTCGGTGAGGTTCTTGTCTCCCCAGGTGAGGTCGGGGACGCCAACCTGATGGCGATAGAAGTTCAGGAGGTGCAGTGCGGAATCCTTGTCGCCATCCTCAGGAATGGGCTCGGGGTCGGGAAGGCTGGGGACGACGAGCTGGGTGAGAACACCAACAGCCAGCATGGCCGTGGTGAAGATAGAGTAAATGATGGCATGCATCGTAAGAGGATGGTTGAGGGTATGTGAATTGCAGAGAGGCTTTGTAAGAAGTGGGTCAGGTGAGTGATTTCTGCACTTAAGGTGAGGGAAATGTTGTGATTGTTGACGCGTGGTTGAAGGTGGAGTGGGATCGAGGCAAGGAGTCAGCAGACCAAAAGAAAAGGGTGTTGACCCATAGATAGATGTGAACCTACTTTTGGGTTGGGATGGGGGTGAAAAACACAAAGAAAGTGGCTGAGAGCTTGCAATGATCCTAATTTGCAGCGGTCTCGTGCGCAAGGTGGTCTTCTCAGACCGTCCTGAGCTTGGAAGCTCTTCAATGGAAACAATTATCAGCTCTGATGATTTCTTCTGAGGTCAGGAGGCAGGGCAGTTGGAAAGCCTCCGATTGCTGTATCGAACAATCATTGGTCCCTTGGAACAAACGCCGATGATCATGGCTTTTTCTACACATGGGCAGGAAATGTGCTTAGCACATTGATCAAGCACAATATCGGGATTTCGAGAAGCTTGAAGAGTTTCGAAAATTGATACAACTTCTGACCACAAGCACCGGCTGTAGACGTTTATTGGTGAGAAGAGCTATCTATCATCTGTGTTTTGCACAGATTTAAGATAGACTTGTATTTTTCGACCTTGAGCAAGCAAGACACAATCCCGTGAAAAATTATGTTCAAGATTGGAGGCTAGTTCAAGATGCAAGCATTCTTCATTTAAATATTGGGCTTGATCCTTAGAAGGCTGAATATCTTAAGGAGTTTGCAGAAGAATCTGTCATCCAAAAATCGATGGAATCAATAAGAAACACCAATATTCTTCAGGATTACATCTAAATAGATACTCGAACCTTGACCATCCACGATCAAATAATTTCTTTCTCTTTTGTCTTAAATACCGGAACTCGAGGTATTGTCATCTTCCGTGTAGAGTTCCTCACTTATAATTCTTGAAGGCTGAGTTGGTCACCTTGCCTTAAGCTTTGTTCAGGTATTGGGTCAGACTCCAAGCTATTGTATGAGACGTCAATTATCAACCGATGAGCCGTTTTAGATGTAGAAACAAGTGCAATCACGTCCATTATCATCTCATCAGTAGCACGGCTCTAGAGAGGCATGGATGGCTACAGTGAACAGCAAATAACTGCAGTACGAGAACACATTGAGGTCAGTCGAGTGACCGTGACCTGAAAGTTGGCCTGTTGTCAGTGTAGATGAAGCTCCTGGTATCGCGGCTGTGGACTCGAGTCGTGGGCATTGCATGGCTGTGGAGTGTAGGTTTGGGAAGGGGTTCTACCCTCTGACGGCAAGAGATGGATGCGAATGCACACTTACTAGACTATGTATCTGGTGCTGAGCCTGACGAAGTGGGCCATCGTCCAGCAGGATGAGTCTTTAACCGGGCATCTGGGGGATTGGCTATTGAAGGGACAAGCAATGATCCCGATCCCCGGATTCGGATCTTTCTTCTCATCTGGTGAAGCTGAGGAAGGAATAAGGTGCTATCCCGAAGTCATCAGGCCATCGTCGAGCTTAGAGTTGACTTTTCTTACCTGTACAGCCGTGCAACACTGATATTCTAGACGTAGAGCCTACACACAATGCCGCTACCAGATCCCGGGCACTAGAATTGTCTACATCGCACCGGCTGTCCCGACCACTCGTTAGCAGCCAAAGCGTTTATCCCCCACCCCCACAATCCACCAGCCAGGGGTAGCTTGAGCTTCCGCGGGCCCTGGCACGGCAAACGAGGGGCAACGTTGATGCGATCTCATCCGCCCCGGCGCCGGCGCCGCGACTTTCCACGATGCCGCGTCTCATTAAAATGTTTTCTTCCGACTGATTGAATTGTTTCTTTTCTGCCGTATCTCCATAGTCTCTGCCAAGCACAGTTAAACACCACAATTGTCTCTTCGACCCACGTTGTCGAGACTTGTATATTCCTCTCCCAAAGTGTCGCTCTTCAACGTCGCCCGCCGCCTGCCCGGGCTCACTCGCCGACCTCGTCTCCCCCAGCCGACGAGCTCCGTGAGTGCCAGCGCGAGAACTGCGAGGATGGGACTGCACCACCTGATGATCGGGACATGGACTCCCCCAGGAGCCATCTTCACCGTGCAGTTCGACGACGAGAAGCTCGAGCTGAAGCTCATCAAGAGAACTGAGATCCCGGAGGACGAGCCGATCTCATGGATGACCTTCGACGTGAGCTGCCCACCCCAATTGGCTCACAATTTCACTTAGCAAGACCTCAATTGAGTGCTAGAAGCAAGACTAACAAGATGCCGTTCACCAGCACCAAAAAAAGAACCTATACGGGTCCGCCATGAAGAAGTGGTCCAGCTTCGCGGTCAAGAGCCCGACTGAGATCGTCCACGAGGCCTCACACCCCATGGGCGGAGACCGTACGTCTCTCGGTCTCTGTGTCCCTTTCTCTAACACAGATTCTCACCCTCATCCACCCTTCACAAGAGACCTCAAGAAAACAGCTAACACACTGCCAACAGCCAAAGCAAACGACGCCACAACCAACACGCGCGCCATCTTCCTCCTAGCAGCCAAGAAGCCGCCCTACAACGTGTACGCGAACCCCTTCTACAAGCACGCGGGCTACGGCAACGTCTTCAGCGTGTCCGGCACGGGCGCCCTCGCCCAGAACACGCAGAACTACCCCTACCAGCCCAACACAGGCATCCACGGCACCGTCTTCGACCCGACCGAGACGTACCTGTACTCGGCGGACCTGACGGCCAACAAGCTGTGGACGCACCGCAAGGACCCGGCGACGGGCCACCTCGAGCTGGTCGGCAGCGTCGACGCGCCCGACCCGGGCGACCACCCGCGGTGGGTGGCGATGCACCCGACGGGCAACTACCTGTACGCGCTGATGGAGGCGGGCAACCGGCTCTGCGAGTACGTCATCGACCCGGCGACGCGCACGCCCGTGTACACGCACCACTGGTGGCCGCTGATCCCGCCGGGCACGGAGCCGACCAGGGACGCGGCGACGGGGAAAGGGCTGTACCGGTCCGACGTGTGCGCGGTGAGCTTCTCCGGGGGCTACCTGTTCGCGACGAGCCGGGCGAACAAGTTCGAGCTCACGGGGTACATCGCGGCCTTCAAGCTGCGCGCCTGCGGGAGCGTGGAGCGGCAGATCTGCCTCAACCCCACGCCCACGAGCGGTGGGCACTCGAATGCGGTGGCGCCGTGCGACTGGAGCGATGAGTGGCTTGCGCTCACGGACGACCAGGAGGGGTGGGTTGAGATCTACCGGTGGAAGGATGAGTTCCTCATTCGTGTGGCGAGGACGCGCATCCCGGAGCCTGGGTTTGGGATGAATGCTATCTGGTATGACTAGATCGGTGTGGACGGGGACGGAGACTCGTATATGGTGAGTTCATGTGTCTTGGAAATAGAGAAAACATTTACATCGAATCCACTGCGATTATCCAACCTAGTAGGTTGACTGCCCGTGTGACGACTAGCCATGATCCAATTGAGCAGCTGTATGGAGCCCGTCAGGTACTCTGCTCACTCCAAGAGTGAGTGCGAGAGAGCAGTGAGCAGAATCAAAGTCAACGAGCACATTTCTGTCGCAAGTCACACTTTCGATGGGTCGGTCGAATGACCAGAGTACAAGACAGCGTAAATTTCAATTCCGATGCTCCAAAAAAGACCACCCTGGTAATGATACACGATATCTTTGCTAACACCTACAATCCGGCTGTATTCCATTTTGCCAATGCTGGAAATCGTTCTGTTGTCGTCCCTGCTCCATCAATTCCAAAAGAAGGGCAGGGAATCGTGGTCTGGCTTCCTTTTCCCTTCTCTCCCAAAATTGAGCCACCGAGTTCCCAATGAAAAAAAACTCACACTATATTCTGCGTTTACCGAGGCGTGCTCCAGAGCCAGCTGCCCTACTTGCCGCCCTTTCTCTTCTTCCTGCGGTTCTTCTTCTTCCCACCTGAACCGCCATTGTTGCCGTTGCCGTTACCTGTGTTTGAAGCACTCTCCTCAGTAGCACCTGGCACAGTTGGACTTTGGATTCCGTTCTCTTCCTCGTCGCCCTCCGTCGACGGGGACGGCTGCGAGGCAAGATTCAGGTTGGATCGGCTGGCGCTCTTATTGTTACGGTCGGATCCGCCCTGTTCCTCCTCATCTTCGTTGCTGCTGGTCGTCTCCAACACCACCTTGCGGATGCCTCTGGACTCCACAATGTTCTCGGTAATACTGCCACTGCGGGCAAAAAGATCCTTTCTGTGTGAGTATGGGCTTGTCTGATCGGCGGGGGCCAACTCGCTGCCCGAGCCGGAACTCTTTGAATGCAGCTCCTGCTGCGGGGGCTGTGCCGTTATCGACGCGTAGCTGGGCTGCTCGGCCGGCTCAGCCGTCTCAGTGGTTTGGACTGCCTTGTTTGCGGTATCATCCAGGTTTGCCTTGGCAGGGGAGTTGTTCTCTACGCTTCGTGAGAGAGGCGACGATCCGGTCGTACCGTACTTCTGGGCAAGGGCTTGCGCACCATCCTTGGGTGTGAGTGCTGGCCGCAGGAGGGACGTCGTCTCGTCACCGTCCTCCTCGTCGTTCTCGACCCGTGGCTCTTCCTGAATAACTTGTTCGGCAACCGGGCTCGCCCTTGGCGCGTCATGCACGACAACGCCGGGCTTGATCTTGACGGTGGTGGATTTTGTGGCCTTGGGGTTCGAGGCTGGGTTGGACGGGCCGAGGTGCTTCAAATGCTGTCTTATATCATTGTAGCTTGCCCTCACCGGAACATTCTCCATCCTGCCATCAAGTCCGGCCGAGGCGCGCCGCAGCAGGAACGTGCCAGGCATAGGGCTGTGGCTGTTAGATCGGTCGGGACCCTCACCCGCTTCAGTTGCCGAGTTGTATCTTCTCTTTCGGGTCTCGTAGTTGTCTGCAGGGTCCTCGTCTCCGACCTTTGTGTCCTCACTAGATTTGCTGTCGTTTCCATCTGCCGCGTGGTTGCCGTGGGACAGTCGTCGTTGGTACCGGGCCTTGGGTGCTGGCGCCATTCGTCGGATGGCCTTGTGGACATCAATGTACACATCAGACTCGTCAATGATCTCCCTGTAAAAATAAATGTCAGCTTACCCAAGCACTCTTGTAATTGCCAAAGGGAACAGTGGCGGGTGGTCAGGCTTACTCTCCGATCAACTCCTCAATCACATCCTCCAAGGTGACCACACCGAGCGCACCGTGGTCGTCACCCGGAGCATCGGAAACCAGAACCATGTGTGACTTGCCCTCCTGGAAGAAGTTGATGATGTCGAGGCAGCTCGTCTCGGGGCGCGTCTCGGGCAGGGTTGCCAGGGGAAAGTCCCTGACCTTCTTGCCGTCTTCAGGGTCGTAGGTGATGAGGATCTTGACCAGAAGCATTCCTATGAAGTTGGTCTCGTTCCCGGCCTCGTGAATGGGAATGCGCGAGTAGCCAGCAGACAGGATCATGTCAATCTTCTCCTCGTCCAGCACGGTCTCCTCCGACATGATGAAGACGTCTGCCATTGGGGTCATCACGTCATGGACAGGCTTCTCCTTGAGCTCGAGGACGGCGCCAATGATTGTGATCTCGTCTTCGTTCAGGCGCTGTGCTGCTGGGCCCATGGTGTGGTGGAGGGTGACTAGGGTCTTCAATCCGCTCTTCTTGTAGACGGTTCCGTGGTCCTCGCCGAGGACCCAGTCGAGGAGCTTCGCGGTTGGCCACGCAACTGGTGCCATCAGGTACATCATAAGGAGGACGGGCTTGGACATGTAGCCACCAATGGCAAGGCCGTAGCGGACACAGATAGACTGAGGAACAACCTCTCCGAAGATGACTAGAAAACACGCGAGCCATGGTCAGCATTTTGTGATAATAATGGAATGTGTGCCGGATCCGAAGCGTATGAGGGCAACTTACCAATCAAGACAGTAGATCCGACGACAGCAGCCACACCTCCACCAAGACAACGGTCCAACACAACGGGCAGAGTCTGTGAGATACTGTTAGTAAGGAAGTCTTGTCGAGCCCCAACTGCAGGGTGAGAGCTGGTAGAGCCGTACCTCGTTAACGATGACGTTGCTGAGGAGCAGAGTGACAAGCACCCAATGCTTTCCCTTGTCGAGCAGGCGCAGGACGCGGCCGGCGTTCTTTTGCTGGGGCTCTGTGGGGTCCTGAGAGATGACCTGAAGATAGACGCTGTCCTGGCCCATGAGGGCGATGGTGAGGCCGGCGAAGGCGCCGCCGAGCAGGACGAGGAAGATGGAGATGGTGAAGAGGACCCAGAACTCGCCACCCTCCTCCTCGTTACCATCGTGCAGCTCGTCCAGGACGTGGATGGGGGCAGCGGAGGCGACACCGAGGGTGAAGATGGCCCTGGACAGCCCCAGGATGGCTGGGCGGAAGGCCATCAGCGGGTGGGTTCGGGCAGCGTGTTGCCTCATGGCTGCGGGTTGGGGAGCGTCGTCCGATGACGCGCCGTGGTAGGTTTGGGTTGTATCAACTGCTTCGGTCTTCGTTCTCGTCCTGTGGATTGGATGTCAGTATCAACAGTATTGGTTGGTTTCGACACCAGTGCTAGTAGCGGTGTCGTAAGAAAGATTGATTGTGCTCGTCGGAGAGAGGTGTGGATGGAATTGATGCAAGATGGATTTGTGCCGACTTACCCGTTGATAATGCCTCGGGAAATAGGCAATGGACGATTGGAAAAAGCAAACAAACCGAGCCACACCAGAGAAAAGGAAAAAGCAGGCGGGATGGGGGGCGATATTGGTGGTGGTGGTGGTGAGGATGTGGAGGGACGGAGGAAGGTAGCTCGAGAAAATATCTCGCGTGCGCAGCCCAGAGTGTGAGCACGGTAGGTAGGTAGGTAGCGTGATAAGCAGAGTCCCTGCACCAAGACCCGCAGCTTGAACCCTACCTAGGTACGGTACCCTTGCTTGGCCGCGCCTAAGACTTGTACAGTAGTAGACTAATTAGTCTGGGTGCCGTGAGGTGGGTTGCCGTGCAAAGCGACAGGACAGGCTGCAACGGCACTGAACGGCTTCACAGCAAAGCAACACAACAGCTGAGCTGGGTCGATGTGCTGAACTGTCTGTGGGGGAGGCATGGCGGTTTGGTGGGTCTGCAACTGGGCATGCAGGGCATGTGGGCAAGGGCTGCTGGTTGCTGTGCCCGTTCTGGCCGTTTTACACCTTAGTTGCGGCTTGTGGGTGGGGAAAGAGCCCCACCCGTCGTGCACCGTCTCTCTCTGTCCTGTCCTCGCAGGTTCGCACCACCGCCGAGCTCCCCAGCTCCCAAAGCTGTTGACGCTACACCCGCGGCAACGAACAGGGGACCAGGGGGCCTAAGGAACGATGACGCCAGTTGGTCTGCAGGCCACATGCCCTGATTGGCCTGTGGTTTATTTAGCGGCTTTAGCGGGATTGGAATTGACTTTGTCGACTCTTCGTCTTCCCTGTCGCTAGCTGCTCGGTGTGTGTATCTGTGGATACTCTACCTATTGATATCGCCTGACTGACAACCAGCCGAGACACGGCCACAACAACGGGTCTCATTCCTCTTCTCCATCCATATTCTTTTTTTTCTTTTCCCGTGCGACGTTTGGTTCTGTGCGATATCGCTACACTGCCCTGTGCATGTGTGCATCTACCTGCATTTTGCATCTGCGTGTGCAATTGTTTGCGTTGGACAAAATCCAGCCCCGAAATGAGGCTCGAGTCAACCATGTCAAAGCTCGACGGGATGCTGCGTGTTGGAGATTGGAAGTGCTGACCACCACCCATGGACTGCATGGCACCATGTGTAAATGGATTTATTGATTGATTTAGTTCTTTGTCTTGTGCTCACTTATATCAGCCGTGCTGCCGTGCCACCCCCACCGTGCCATGCCGTGTCTTGGCCTGGGGTCTACACAGTACAATTTGTACACCTTATCTGCTCACGTTGCTCCACCATCGCGATTCAAGCGCTCTACTGCAGCTACACCGTGTTTTCTCGTCTTCGATATTACATCGCCGAGTTGAAAATTGCGAGCAAGAATCACCGGTGACGGGATCATGAGCCAATACGAGCGGAATTCAAGAAGAGAGTGCCAAGCACAGGAAGGATCCTGCAGCCAAGGCAATCCTCACGAAAGCTGTGACACTCATGAAGACACAATAGGATGCCACTCTCACCTCTATCTATGACCGTCTTGAGTCCAAGACCAGATCTAAAGATACGCCCACTCACAATGGTGTTGAAACCCGCTGACAACAGCGACATGCCCCCTACCAACCCAGCACCTAAAGCCTCACAAGGTTGACATCCAGGATGCCCTCAGACCGGCCCAGGTCCTCAAGCACCTCCTTGGTAACGTCCCCATCAACTCCAAGAATCATCAGCGCCTCGTTGCCGCCCTTCCTCTTCTTGACCCCAGCATTACCATCTCCAGCCACCGTCAGCACCGCCTTCTTGTCCAGCCCAGCCACCTGCATGAACGTGACGTTGATGCCGAACCGCCCCAGGATCATCCCCACGTTGCCCACCTTCCCGGGCTCGTCGTAGTTGTGCAGCACCAGCAGCGTGCCCTCGGGCGCGAAGCTGCACGTGAAGCGGTCCAGCCGGCTGATCTGCACGTCGGCCCCGCTCACGTAGCCCTCGATCACCTGCTGCTCCTCGCCCTCGCCGCCGCCCTGCGACGACGACGACCGCAGCGTTACCAGCGACGCGTACACCATCTCCTCGCTGGCCTCGCGCGCGTGCGTCTCGCTGATGGCGATGCCCTTGTCCTTGGCGATCAGGCTCGCGTTGACAATGTTGACGTCGCGCCCGCCGCTGTCGCTGATGCTGCTCGTCAGCCCTTTCACCAGCGCCGCGAACAGCGGCCGCGTGTTGGACACGCCGGCCAGCTCGCCGTGGTACCGCAGCTCGAACCGCCGCCCGCCGATCATCCCGCCGCGCCGGCCTACAAAGTGCTGCGTGTACAGCCCGCCCATCCGCTCCACCAGCCGCACGTACGGCTGCAGCTTGCGGTACTCCTCCGGCAGGATCAGCGGGGCATTGACTGCTGCTGTTGGGAGCCCGCCGCGCAGGATCTCGACGACTTGTGTGCACACATCCAGCGAGACGTTCTCCTGCGCCTCGACGGTCGAGGCACCCAGGTGAGGCGTTGCGACGCACTTGGGGTGCTGCGAGAGCTTCTCCGCCGTGGAGTCGGGCTTGGGCGGCTCGCTCGTGAAGACGTCGATGCCCGCTCCGGCGATCCACCCTTCGTCCAGAGCCCTGACGAGCGCCTCCTCGTTGTAGATCCCACCCCTGGCGACATTGAGCACCCTGGCTGTCTTTTTCATCGACTGGAACTCCTTCTCCCCCAATAAGTTCAGGGTGCTGGCGATCAACGGCGTGTGAATCGTCAGGAAGTCGATCTCCGGCAGCATCTCCTCTAGCGAGCCCACCATGTCCACCCCATTCTTCCTCGCAACATCCGCACTCATGTAAGGGTCAACGCCCACGACCTTCATCCCCAGCCCAATGGCCATCCTAGCAACTTTCATGCCAACCTTTCCCAACCCAACGATCCCCAGCACCTTCCGGGCCACCTCGACGCCTACTAGCTTACTCCGCTCCCACTTCCCAACCTTGACGCCCGCGTCCGCCCTCCCGACATTCCGCGCCGTAGCCAGGAGGAGCGCAATAGTATGCTCCGCCGCAGCTACGATGTTGCCAGCGGGAGAGTTGACAACGATGATGCCCTGCGCGGTGGCAGCCTCCACATCGATATTGTCAACGCCCACACCGGCGCGCGCCACGACGCGGAGCCTCGCCGCGGCCGTGAGCACCTGCGCCGTGACCTTGGTCTCGGAGCGGACGATGAGGGCGTGGTACGAGGGGATGAGCGCCAGGAGGTCGTCGGGCGCGAGCCCGGGGCGCACGTCAACCTCGAAGTGGGCGTCCTGCAGCAGCGAGAGCCCGTCGGGCGAGACCTTCTCCGGGACGAGGATGCGGGGCACGGCGCCGTTCATGTGGCCTGTTGCGGACGGGGCCATGGTGATGGTGGGTTTGCGGTTGGTGTTGATGGATGTGGTGTTTGGGCTCCAGGCGGAGTTATGGTTTGTGTTGGTCTTGTTGATAAAGGAGCTTCAGATGGATTTGTATAAGCAGAAGATGGCAGACAGCTTGTTGGCAGGTCACTTGAATGCCCAATGGCATGAAGAAGCAACCAAGGAAGAATGAGAAAGGAAAAAATGGAAACGAAAATGAAATAGTCCGCCCTCAAGGACGAGACGACTGTAGCCTCAACTTACTGCACGCCACGTTCAGCGCCGTGCACGGATGAGCAATAACATCATCTAACACTGCCCCCGCGAGCGACGAGGGAAGTCGCCGTGTCCCAAGTGAGGGGGCCTATAGGGAGCTGTGGGAAGGCGTGAGCGTGCATTTCACCCGCAACTCAATCGGCGGCCGAGACAATCGATGCATTGCCCCCCATGCCCGCGGAAGCAAGCTTTGGGGGATGGAGGCTGTGGAGACCCCTCATTGCCCTGTCAGATCGGCCCCCCAGCTTCTTAGACCGGGTTCCCCACGGGGAACTAATGCAATTCAGGGTCCTTTGAAACGCGGCCGGGCCTTTCAGGCTGATGTTCTGGTGACTGTCGCGGGGGGAGGGGGCAGTTAAGATGACGATGTCTGAGGAAGCGGAACGGATTGGGGAGATTGTGCCTAGGGAAGTCCTTTGCGAACATTGCCTCATCATTGAGAGCTGTTTCCAGTCTGTGTAACCCGAATTGCAGCGTGTTATGTACAAAAACGACAGCTTGTCGCGAGTTGCTTCTCTGGCTGAATGAAGCAGTCTGTGGAGCAGGACCATGGCGACGCCCCTCCTACAAGTCACCATTCTCGACTATTTCGACCCAGTAGTTGTCTGGGTCGAGGACGAAAGCAACATTCTTCATCCGCCCATCTGTGAGCCGCTTCTTCCAGTTGACATTCAGGCTTTCCAGCCTCTCGCACGCCTTGTCGACCTTGTCAACAGTGACGCAAATGTGACCAAAGCCCTGAGGCTGGTCATTGCCATTGTGGTAGCTGAAGCTCTCATCTTTTTCTGTGCCGTGATTCCACGTCAGCTCCAGTAGACCCTCGCGGTCAGCAGTCTTGCCGTCCTTTGGCAGGCCTTGCTCGCCCGGGTAACCCAGGAAATACAATGTGAAGCCAGCCGACGGGTTCCCTGCCTCACGCAAGAGCGACATGCCCAAAACTTCTTGGTAGAATTTCAAGGACTTTTCTGCATCCTTGACTCGGATCATGGTGTGGTTCATGCGGTAGGTCGAGACGTCCGTCTCCTTGATGCTCTCAGTCTCTTCAATGGGCTTGCGTCCAATAATTTCCACCCAGTACCCGTCGGGATCAAGCGCAAAAGCAATGTGCTTCATGCGGCCATCTGTAAGCTTCTTCTGAAACTTGTATCCGGCGTCTTCGAGTCGTTGGCAGGCGGCTTGGATGTTGTCCTGGCATGAAGATCAGTTATGAGGGACAGAGACAGTAAAGTCCAAGAGAACTGGCCACCTACAACACTGATGCATGTGTGACCAAAGCCACGGTGGGGTTCTGCGTTGCCAGTATTGACCTTGTAGTCTTTGTCGTTCTCGGTTCCGTAATTGTGCGTGAGCTCGATAAGTCCCTCTCGGTCGGTAACGTGTTTTCCGTGGGACACTGCGCCGGGGCTGTCGTAGCCGAGGAAATACAGATCAAACTTGGCCTCGGGGAATTCCGCCTTCTTGATGACCTTCATGCCCAAGAACTCGTAGAATTTGACTGAAACGAGGACATGCTGTCAGTTGGAGAAGACCTCGCGCGGGTTCTCTCTACCGCTGTCACGTACCTGACTCCTTCGGGTCCTTCACCCGAATCCTGAATTGGTGTTCCTGTCAGAATCATGGCCCAATCGCTTTGGCACACCGAAACTCAAAACTTACATCGAGTGGTTGAGTTTGTAGTTCTTGGTATCTGTAGCTGCTGCCATTGTTGCGAATAGCCTCGGGGCTGCTTTCGTTCCTAGGATAGCTTCACAAAGAGGGGTCAGATCGGATACCGGCTTATCAATGCAATCGCTGTGGACAGGTGAGAGCTCAATTCACCTGGCTTGGCGGCTGATTTTGTCAAGAGGGAAGCTTGTAATCTCAATCTTTGCAAGGCTTGGACAGAGTTCATCTAGATGGATTGGTAAGTCTGTCCGGTTGCAATACGTTGTTGGATGCTGCAGGAAGAAAGTAACCCCTCAAAAAGAGCTCTCCTAGGTACCTCGAGGGCGGTCTTCCTTTTGTTGGAGCTTCTATCTTATCGCAGGAACCCCTCCAAAACGGTGGTGACGTCAACCGAGAGACATGGACAGGGGCAACGGCCGAGCTCGGCATGTTCCGATCGACCAAACTCCTTCCATTCCTCCATCTCCGTCCAACATGCGCTAACCACATGGCCATGTTCATTTTATCGATATTTCCAAATAAATCCCATGCTTGGTCTACTAGCCAGGCTTTCTAACAGTACCAACTTACCACAGCAAATACCAACGGCACCGGACAATCTGGTCCGGCTGGTGCTAAACGGCTCAGGACTAGACGGGACGGTCCAGCCGTCATAACTACATCCTCCGTCGTCAACGTGTTTCTTCTTTGGCCGCGGTCCTTTTCTCGTACCATATCCAGCGTCATAGACTATTGCGCTCTGCTCAGACCAGTCTAAACACTGGCTGCTGTAAGCGGCAAGATGAACAGACCTAGAGGAACGCACCCACATAGATGGGATTAAGTGTGCAACTCCGAGTCAACGCCCGCTACTCTCCCACACAGGCCTTCGACGTCATCGTATCGCCCTTACCATGGCGAGGACCAACGGTTCGAGTCCAATAGTCTTTCTGGTGAGTGCGAAGGCAAGTGTATATATTCTTTACTGGCTCTGTCTTTATGTCAATCTCAGTATAGAAAGCTCCTGTCTCTATCTTGTGACCTTACCACAGCAACAAACCGTGAAATCGCTGTTCTATTACATCTCAAAATGGGTTACCCAGACACTTTCGAGGGCTTCTGCGTTGCGGGCCCCAAGACGTGGAATGAGTTCAAGAAACAGGATCTGAAGCCCAAGCCATTCGGGGACAGCGATATCGACGTGCAGATCGAGGCCTGTGGTGTGTGCGGCTCAGACGTGCACACCATCACTGGCGGCTGGGGCGACTACGAGGGCCCCTTGTGCGTCGGCCACGAGGTCGTCGGCAAGGCCGTCAAGGTTGGCAAGTCAGTCAGGTCAGAGATCAAGGAGGGCGACCGCGTCGGCGTCGGCGCACAGGTCTGGTCGTGCCTGAAGTGCCCGCAGTGCAAGAATGCCAACGAAAACTACTGCCCGCACATGGTGGTAAGTTTTGAGACCAGTGGTCACTCACTGATTGTTGAAGAAGAAAATAATTGACAATCGTTCAAGGACACATACAACTCTAAATACCCGGAAGAAGCAGGCGGCGGCCAGGCCCACGGCGGCTACGCCTCGCACATCCGCGCGCACGAGTACTTCACCTTCAAGATCCCGGATGCCCTGCCATCCGCAGACGCAGCGCCGCTGCTCTGCGCGGGTATCACGACGTACTCGCCGCTGGTGCGCGCGGGCGTCGGGCCGGGCAAGAAGGTAGCCGTGTGCGGGATTGGCGGGCTGGGCCACTTGGGCATCCAGTGGAGCGTGGCACTGGGCGCGGAGACCTACGCCTTCACGCACTCGCCTGACAAGGCCGAGGACATCAAGAAGCTGGGCGCCAAGGAGGCGATAGTGACGACGAAGAAGGACTGGGCCGAGCCGTGGGCATTCACGTTCGACTTCATCCTCAATTGCTCCGACATGACGCACACGTTCGACTTGCAGACGTACCTGTCGACTCTGCGCGTCGGCGGCGAGTTCCACATGGTCGGCCTGCCAGACAAGCCACTGCCCGAGTTGATGGCATTTAACTTTGCGGGCAACGCTGCTAAGTTGACTGGCAGCCACCTTGGCAACCACCAGGAGATGGATGCGATGCTGAAGCTGGCGGCGGACAACAATATCCGGCCGTGGGTTGAGAAGATTGATATCTCTGAGAAGGGATGCAAGGAGGCCGTGGAGCGGGTCAAGGAGAACAAGGTGCACTACCGCTTCTCCCTGGTTGGATTTGACAAGGCTTTTGGTACCAAGAACTAGAATAGTATGGCACTTTGCCAGCTTGGATAAGATAGAGAGCAATCGTATTTCCAAAATTTAATGCTTTATCACAGCTCATGTTCATACGTTCAACCGTAAGCACATTGCCTGCATTTTTCTCCAAGTCCAGCGAACATTCTCAATCCCGCGAAGATATTAAATACACTATTGGCCTAGGGACAATACCGTCACAGTCTCAAAAATCTCAACCCGTCGTGGGAAAACTCTGGGTAGCTTCTTCCCCGTATTAGACGGTTATTTAGCAGGAACGTATCCCACAGGGGCCTATCCTACAAGAATTATCCGAGAAGAAGTTACCCCTTATGGGATGTTACCCTAGAGAAACTTTTTAAAAGAAAAAGCCACTTTTATTCTTGTTATTTTACACGAACTCTGGCCGCAGAGCGGACACCGAGCTTAAGCTCGTTTATCAACTGTTGGTTTTTCGATGTGGCCTAATTGCATGCATGTATTTTGAAGATCTATTTCCTATACGACATTTTCCCTCCAGAACGCCGGAGATGAGCTCGTACAAGGACATCCACTCTCCCATGTACAATTTTCGGAGCTATTTGTCTTCTCTTATACAGACAGCTGGGCAGTCTCAGCCTTGCCAAGGTATTCAGCATAAGGGGTGATAGCCTGCTGCGCCTTGGCGACGAAGCGCTCGACGATGACGGCGGAGCGACCGACGTAAAGGGCCGGGTCGAGGACCTCGTCGAGGATGTCGTGGACGGGCGCGAAGTAGGCGGCGTTGCGGATACGCTCGATCAGGTCGTTGGGCTTGCCCTCGCCCTTGACGACCTGAGAGGCCTGGTGGCTGAGGACGCGGATCTCCTCGTGGCACTCCTGGCGCGAGGCGCCCTTGGCGACCATCTTCATGATGATGTTCTCGGTCGCCATGAAGGGGAGCTCCTTCATCAGGTTGGCGCGGACGACAGCGGGGTAGACGACGAGGCCGTTGGTGACGTTGTCCATGCTGAGCAGGATGGCGTCCGCCAAAAGGAAGGCCTCGGGTATATCAATTCGACGGATCTGATGGTGTCAGTACATGATATCCCTTTACACACACTGAACAGCCATGAGACGTGGTAGTCTTGGTTTGTGATCATAAAGAGTTTGCGCTCGACGTCTCCTGAAAAGCTAATGCAGTCTTGTTCACTTACGGCAGAGTCATCCAGGGTCCGCTCGAACCATTGAGTTGTGTATGTCTCCACAAAAGGCGTGGAAATGGTGCCGAGCTTGCGGCCGAGAGAGCAAATGCGTTCAGATCGCATAGGATTTCTCTTGTACGCCATGGCAGAGGATCCTGTAGAAACTGGAGTTAGATGCTAGAAGGGCAAATTTACGGGAATCAGGGGGTTTCTGTCTGAGACCTGGGCGGGCCCGAGTGAGGCTACGGGACAAAGCTGGGCGACAGCCTGGGGATAATTATGTCAGAAGTCCATTCAAGTTTACAACAGTCTTACCGATTTGGTCCTTCTCGAAAGGCCTATTCAATTTCCTGTTAGTAAATTGTGTCCTGATGTCCCATGAGAGTACTGTTTTTCTCCAATCAAGTACGACTGATGGAGAGTTTTTACAGGAAATACATACTCCTCGATCTCCTTCAGGTTAGCCAGATGGCGAATATCAGTGCAGATTCGCTGAGCGGTTGCTCCAAGGCCTGCGAGAGCCTGAGCGACATTCAGGTCGACCTTGCGGGTATATGTCTGGGTGGAGACGGAGTAGGTGGAAGGGAAGCCGGCCTTCTCGCAGAGAATCTCGTTGAGGCGGTCAATCTTGTCACCGTCCCCATGGAAGATCTCCATGAAAGAAGCCTGCGTTCCAGTCGTGCCCATGGCACCTATCTCGTGATATTAGTTGCTGGATTCCTCGTAAGAGATGCAGAATGCCGCTTGGCTGTCGTAGGGCGTACCTCGGAACTCGAGATCCTCAAGAGTGCGGGTGAGGTTGCGGAGATCCAACAACAGATCCTGGGTCCACTGGGCAGCCCTCTTGCCGACGGTGTGGGGTTGTGCGGCCTGGTAGTGGGTGTAGGCGAGGGTGGGCATGTCCTTGTACTTCAGGGCAAATTGGCTGAGGTTTGAAATGACCTTGGCAAGACGGGGGAGAAGCAGCTTGAGTCCCTTCTGTATGAAAATGAGCTCGGCATTGTCCGTCACGAAGCAACTTGTGGCGCCCAGATGGATGATGCCAGCAGCGGCGGGCGCATCTTGACCATAGGCATGGACGTGAGCCCTGTCCTTTTTATCAGCGCAACTTCCCTTCTCAGGCGTAGCGACGGGTGGAATTGATGTTCGTGATGAGAGATGAGGAGCACTCATGAGCTGTCTTTTATCAGAGCAGTGCTTTTGCAAAGTGCTGATTTTAAAGAGATCTCCCCAGGGAATCTGGGCCTGTGAACAACTCCTCGGGAACGCCTGAAATAACCACAGCAAGACGAAAGTAGGGAAGGGTTTAATACATGACATCGTGGCGGCGACGCTTCTCCTCCTCCTTGGCGACTTCAAAAGCTTCGTCGCTCATGATGAGATTGGCACGCAGCTGCTCAATGGCCTCGGGAGTGATCTGGTCGATTCCCAGCTCCTGCTCTGCCTCGGCCAGCCACAGCCAGAGTTGGCGCCAGGTACTGGCCCGAGAGCGGGCCGAGAAGAGCTGAAGCATCTCCTTGGAGGCATATCTGGAGCCCAGAGGCGTCTGGTACGTGTCGAAAGACATCTTCTGGGTTGCAGTTGTGGAACCTCGGCGTGGAATGTGGCTGTTGACGACGAGATGTCTGTCCGGTTAGCGGAGGCAATAATTTTGTCAACCAAAGCGTCTCTAACAACTTTGATGAGAAGTTCGACGCATTGAATGGCGGGGTACAGGGGACTTTCTGGTGGGGCACCCGCCCGTGGGGCTTATCGATAGACTGATAGACGACCCGTGGACGATAGGAGGGGGGCCAAGCTTGTGATGATTGGGGGGGAGGCGCCCGCCGGAATGAGAGCAGGGGTTTTCCACTCGCAACACTGTTCATAGCTGAGCTGGAAAAACAAAAGGAACAACACACACCAACTGATCTCTCGGATGAACACTTACCCATATGATCTGGTCAATCGGCCAGCTGTCTGGTCATGGGAGGAATCGACCGTGTCATGGCGACTTCTGCTCCCAAGACACCACGGGTGACTCAACCCTGCCTACACGGACACGGGTAGCATCTGCGAATGTTTTTGACTTGCCATCACCCCAGCTTTTCCTTGTGGGACAGCTTCGGATCCTGCCGCGCAGTTGTTGGAGTCAATCTTGTTGATTGGGCCGTCTTCTCTCTCCAGCTCGCGAACCGCCTCATCGCGGACCTTTTCCGCCTCGGAGCCCGGATCAGGATTCATGACGACCAGCGGGCCCTGCCTGACGCGTGCTGGGTTCTGGTATGCTTTGATCTGAGGGTACGAGTAGTAGGCCGCCGTTGGGCTTACTCTGACCCAGGCTGGAGCACTCACCGTCCTCCGCATGATGCTGTGTGTGGGAGTACACACACGTGCACACTGTTCCGAGTGACGACCAACTGACTTGCAACACTTGTGTGAGAAGGGATGAGGGTGAGGCTCAAGTGCTTGCTTGTGTTTTTGGTAAACTGAGCCGCGCAGTGACTAGAGGACAGACTACCTTCTCAAGACTAACTTCTCAAGCTTTCTGGCTCCATGATGGTGAGACCTGGGCTCGCACGGCCGCTGCCCCAACAGATTGCCATGTCTCCGGGACTGTTTTGAGTGCAGCTAATCCAGGGGAAAAGAATCCAGCTACTTCCGCATGAATGTAGATGAGAACTGACAGTTGTACAGTGAGATGAGTTCATCATCAGGACATGCTAACAAGATCTGACAAGACACATTCAGCCGGGTTACATCGCATTCAAAGGCTGGCATCATCCATTGAGCTTCGACATTGAGCAGCCTCCAATGACTTCCAAGCCTGAGGATATCTGGGATATGATATTATTCTGTGTACATATGTATGCCTTGTCATAGCTTGTCTGCATGATATACATGTTCAGAACTTTGGGATGGAGGCAGATAAACAGACATCATACAAGGTGATGACATGAAATGCAGGGTCCAATCTGATTCTTAGCCTTGACCACTGCAGGCCAGGATCAGGACCAGGACCAGGGCGTGCAGGGCAGGGGCTGGGACGGGGAGAGGAGATATTGGGACCCGGCCGAGCCATTGGCCAGCGCATCTCGGCACCGGGAGTTGGGCTGTGCTTTCTCCTCATCACCTCTCCATCGCGCGTCTACGTCTCCATCTCCATCCCCACTGCGACCGATTAGTCGGCCTGCAGGGGACTAGCACTCTCTAGCCACTCGACTATCTACTTCTCTCTTGTGAACCAAATATCTAGCCTAGTCTTTCTGCTCAGTATTCCTCGGACTTTCTCCTAGTGATGTAAAATTCACTTCCCCTGGGGGACAATGCGGACATATCTGTAACACCACCAAAAAGACTGCCAATTCCACCCACCACACCTCATCCCAGGCGGCGCCAGCACAATCCCGGATATACAGTCCTTGGTTCTCGCAAAGAGGGGCTCTGACACGCTTTGAGCCGTATCCCCCATCCCGTTCCGGCCCGGCATGGCCCACCGGCCTCACCTGCCGCACACCCCCGTTTTGGAGTATGACGAGGTCGCCGTGATGGATATGGGAGACGAGGCCGACGGTGACGGCGACGTCGACGCTGATGTCGGCCCCGAAGAAGTCACGGTCGGCAGGACTCCGGGCGGGAGGCACCACATGCGCTCGCTGTCGGACGGCGGCCGCACCCCTCAGAAGTTCACCCCGGCACAGCTCGCCGACGCAGCTCGGCGGACCTCCAAGGACGACAGCACCATCTCGTTACCTCTGCGCGACTCCTTCTCCAGCTCGACCTCCCCCTCTGTACCCCTCGCCCCTCCTGTGACTCCTCACCGGTCAGAATTCCCTATGCGCGGCCTCTCCTTGCAGATGCCACCGCAAGCTTCTACCCCTCCGTCCCAACAACAGCTGCAGCAGCTACAGCATCAGCAGCAGCAGCAACAACCTCCCGTTCCACTCGGCTCAAAGCCCGCCCCATTGTCTCCCAAGCTCGACCACTCCCAGATCTACTCCTCGCCCACCAATATCCTCCCTCGACGATCCAGAGGCCTCGACTTCTCTCGAGCCGCCACCAGCCTCCACCATACCACCATCGCAGAGCAGTCCTCGCCCGACTCCTCCCCTACAGTTGGAGGAAGGGCCATGAACATACCAAGTAGGAGACCTGGCGATTTCGGGGCACCAGAGCAAACCTCCAACTCACTCTGGTCTATGATGGGCAACCACGAGCGCTTTCACATTTCCAGCTCCCTGGGCAGCGCCGCCAACATAGTCTCCGACTCCTCAACAAGCTCCGACGAGGACGACATCATGGACGAGGACATGGACGAGCCCTACCTGATGACGCCCCAAGTTCTTAAGAGCAACCCACCTGCGTCGTCACAAGCAGGCTCTGGTTGGCCAGCCGGGGCGGGGTCGCCAGCTGTCAACAGCCTCCTGTCTTTCCAACAGCGACAACGGCCTCGCAAACAGCCAAAGAAGAAAGACCGCGGCCTTTTTGGAATGGGCTGCCCTCCGACGCCATCGGCAGCTACCGTCCTCTCCAAGTCCCCTCCTACGAACCCAGTCCCTTATGGCAACATGGCGAAAGAAATGAGTTCATCCCATGCACGCCGTGAAAGCATCAGTTGGGCGGCCAATCAGTTGAATATTGCAGGCAGTGACAGTGAAGACAGCCCTAAGACAGGAGGAGTCAATGTCGATGGTGTGCTGGGGCCCGGCGCCGATCCTCAGAATAGGGTCGTGAGGCGCGCCGTGACCCGGCGGAGCAACCTGCTTGTAAGCGGCCCTCTCTTCAATGCTCGCGTAGCTGCTACCAATTCCCAACCCACTAACACGAGGACAGCCAAAATCTAAGAACTTCGCCCGCATAAAAGCTGCACTTGCCGAGGAGGGCGCACCGGTGGAGTCCGAGTTTAGACGCGAATCAGAGGTCATCCGCCAAGTGCGCGAGGACATAGACTTCGAGCCTCCCCGCCAAACTCCACAGCCCGCGTCGGTAGCTGCTACGACGCAGTCTAGCCCAAACTTGCCAATTCAAGACTCGCTAGAGGATGCCTCCGAAGACGCCATGATGGTGGACTCGAATGCGCTGGGCCTCTCGAGCAGCTTCAAGCAACAGGCTCACAGGAATTCCAAAGGAAAGGGGTTCTGGGAGAACTTCTCCGAGACGAGCAGCATGGGCGGCACAAGGACGACTCCACCACCCCTAGGTGCACCGCGCGGGTCCTCGTCTGGGATGAGCCTCGACGACATGAATATGGATTCTCCATTCGCGAACTCTGGGGCCGCGGGGGGCAACGGCGGCTTCATGTTCCCCATGAATACGACACCAAGCTCAGGGAACGATACCCCACAGCCCAGCGGGTCATCCTCCATGCCGACGACCGAGCAGCCGCCGCCACCCTCGGTCGCGGACGTGACGCGCCGGCTGACGAAGCGCCGGCGAGACGACGACCTCGACCCGGTGAGCTTCAAGCGCCGCGCCGTATCGCCGGGCATGAGTGTCCAGGGCTCGCCCATCATGCAAAGCCCGATGCAGCACGCGCCGTGGGGCTCCAGGCCTGGCAGCAACGGGGGCGGCGGCGACCGCGGCGGGAGGAACGACACGCCCAACAGCGAGACCAGCGGGAGCGGGAACGGCAACGGCAACGGCGATAAGGCGCGGGCTAAGGGCCGAATTGGTTTCCAGGGCATGGTGGACACCAACGATGGCATCACGAGGCTGAGTATCGAGTAAGGTAGACGGTTGGTTAGGGCTGGCGCGAGCCTATAATGATTACGACCTGTCACGACACAAAAAAACAAGAAAAAGAAAACCACGTGCGCCACGATTCCATTTTTTCCCGTCCCATTTTCCGGAGCGAGGTCATTCACACAGCATTCAACCGGCGTTCACAGGGAGAGAAAGGAATTGGTCACATTTGAGGACCAGTCGGAATTGGCTTGGAGGGCGAGAGGTGCGCAAGATATGAGGCCAATTCTAGTGTACAGATGTAATTATCATTAGTAGGGGTAGTAAAATAGCGCCCTTGGGGGACGTCTGTTCACGACCCCTGGGGAAACGCGTTGTATATGGACTGTGTATCCCCAGGCCTTCTGCTGCTCATGTCGAGATGGCGGGAACCCCCTTCTGGAGGTCTTTGTGATGTTCGGCTGTGACGTGTACGTTTTCCGCGTTTTCCAACCAGGCCATGGTGCGCTCTCTGGTTTCTTCTCGTATTCACCTGCGCCTTGGTGATTGTAACGCGCACGCTGTCGGAGCGAAGCCATCTGCTTGGCGTGATGAGCCCATTCAAAGGCTCCCTCTGCCAATAACGCGCCCGCGAGGCCTGAAAGCGGCTTCCCGCGACGCAGTGCCTCCCGCTGCGTCCCCAGCATGCTGTCCTCCACGAACAGCACCTTATCAGACTGGCCCGCTTCTCACGGGTGGGAAAACACACTGCAAGGACCAAGCCAGCCAACCAGCCAGCTAAGCGCACGCGGGCCCAGCCATCAGGCTCTCTGCCCCAGAGCAAGAAAGGGCCTCCACTTCGATACCGTTTCCCTGCCTTCGTTCCGGATAAATCCCCTCGACAATCTTACAAATTCGATGCCAACCAGCCCCGGCACAACTCACCCCACAACCCCCGTCAGCCCATCATCCGGCACCTCCAGCGTGCCCAGCTTGTCGTCCAGCCACCGCGCCAGCTCCTCGGCGTGCCGCCTCGTGGCCACGACGCCGGCGGTGCCGGCGCCGAAGACGGTGGAGCTGCTGCCGGTGGTGGTGTTGGATGCGCCCGTGGCGGCGCTGTGGATGCTGGCCGTCTCGGGGGGCGAGCCCAGGTGGTGGTGCTGCTGGGCTGCGGAGGACGTCGACGAATGCGCCGGCGGGGGGCTCGACGTCGGCGTGTGGCCGTTTGCTGCGGCTTCGTCTGCTGCGGGTGGGGGCTGTAGGTTGTGCTGTGATGTTGTTGGTTGTTGTTGTTGTTGTTGCTGCTGCTGCTGCTGCTGTGTTTGTTGGCCTGCCTGTACATGCTGCTGCTGTTGGTGTTGCGTGCCCGGCCTGCTCCCCTGAGTGTCGTGATCTGCCGGCGGGCCCAAGCACACAAACAGCATCCCACACTTCAACCGCCGTATCACTAGCACGGTGCCACTCTCCAGTTGGATCGTCACGGCCAGTGGGCCCTTGCTATTGCTACTACTCCTGCTCGTCCTCCTCGCCCTGCTGCCGGGTGGCAGGGCGGCATCTATGGTATCTTGGTCGGCGCCGTTGCTGTGGATGGTATACAGGCTCGCGGCGACGGTGCCGTGGGTGCGCAGGGTGGCGACGGGGATGGGCGGCTGGGAGGCGTATGCCAGCAGCTTGCCGTCTTGGCTGAGGAGGAGGAGGGTCGTTATTTTCTCGGAGAGGTTGAGTTGGAGGAAGGAGGTCAGGCGCTTCGTCAGGAGGAGCGGCGGTGGGCGGAGGTGCGCCATGTCTGGTCACCTCGGCGATGACAAGGAGGCCCAAGGGTGAGTCTGATGCTATCTCGGCGTCGTTCTGGATCAGAAGGGCGAGGAAGAAGGAGCTAGTACTTGGACGTCGCGGATCTACGGGCTAGACGCAGCTGGAGCTGGAGCTATGGCTGGAGCTTTGGCGAATCTGCTGCGTAAGGGTGGTTCGGGACGCAGACACTATCAGATCAGATGGAATGAATGCTTCAGAACAGCAGAGGGGCGATGCGAAATTAAGGACAGGGCAGTATAGTCTTCTCGAGTGAAGTGGTCAGACGGGGCAAATTGATGGATGTTGGGCGACGATTATCGGCTCTACTTTGTAGACTATGAGACCACACGTCGGATTAAGCTCAGCTGCTTGCAGGGTGCTAATGCACCAGGGATGTACTTTGGTACCTAAGTGTGGGGACAGCTGCAGCTGCACCTTCATTGCCGTTCCGTTTCCAATATCCGTTTCTACGTTTCTATCAAGGCTCTCGGAGACAACTCAACTCAACCCAACCCAACCCAACCCAACTCAGCTCGAGTCAGCTCGACTCAATCATCTCAATGATTCTCAATCAGAGCCCAAATCCGCCCAGCCCAGCTCAGGACACGCGCGGCGTGGACATGCGCGGTGTGGACATGCGCGGCGAGGACATGCGCGGCGTGGCAGCCACCGAAGGAGTCACAGGCGGTACAGCCACCCTGGGTTGCGGCTCCAGGTCGTCGCGGATCCAGCGGTGCGAGCTCAGCTGGCCCTGGCGGGCGTGCAGCTCCTCGTCGGCGCGGATCCTCTCGTCGTCGTTGGCCTGGCGCTGCCAGCCGTCGTCCACCAGGTCGCGGTGCAGCTTGCCGTCGCGCGTGTCGCTCTTCCAGTCGAGGTAGGCCTTCCGCGCCTGGATGAGCACCTCGGACGTGAGCTCTCTGGAGCCGGTGCAGGGCCCGCGGTAGCTCGCCAGCAAGTTGCGCACCGTCTGCCGCAGCCCGCTCGAGTAGCCCGTCAGCACCTCGATGTCGCCTTGCCGGCAGAAGGGGAGGGGATTGCCCTGGTCGTCGCGCGCATCCGGGTCCGGCACCTTCTTGGTCGACATCATCTCGTACACGATCCGGCCCAGCTGGAAAAGCTCCGTGGCCTTGGTGTACGGCCGCGCGTCCTGTTCATCGCCATCACCTTGATCAGCTATATTCAACAAGGAACGAAGAAACAAGGTTCAACGGAGGGCTCAACTTACCGCCTCGAGGAGTAGGGGGTCAGCCACAGCCATGTTCGCACGCATCGTGTTCAGGCTCAGATCCCCTCTGGTGGCGCTGACCACCTGCCCGACGTATCTTTCGTTGACATGGTTCGACACGACGCAGTTGCTGTAGTTGCCCAGCTTGCATAGACCGTACGTCTCGGTGCCCTTGGGGTGCTGGAAGAAGATGTTGTCGGGCCGGATGTCCCTGTGCAGGATCGGCAGCCAGTCCTCGTCCGACTTCCAGTCGTCGGTCACCCGCCGGCTCTGGGTCCCGACGACACTGATCCGCGTGTCGTCGCGGTGGCCCTCGTGCAGCCACGACAGTGCCTTCAGCACGCTCAGCAGTACGTGCCAGCACAGGCTCTCGGGAAGAAAGCCCCTTACCAACTGTCTGGTCCGGGGTATCTGTGCGTTCACGGCGTCCCGGCCGTCCTTGTCGTCGGCATCCAGGGCATCCAGGGCAGCGACCCAGTCCTGGTTGGTGACCGTCTGCGTCTGCGGCAGCACCGGGTGCTGATTGAAGAGGTTCTGCAGCGTGCCCGCTTCACAAAAATCCCACAGCAGCATCCGCTGCGATGATACCGTCTCCCCCGAACACCGTCCATGAATTAAGTGGTCGGCCACCGTCTCGGTATAGTTGATCAGGTTGGGGTGGTTCAGCAGGCTGCCGAGCGCCCCCTTGGTACCGCGATCTAGCAGGTCCGAGAAGGCCGGGTCCACCACACTAGCATCCCACCTTGAGCCCAGGTATTGCGCATTGTCCGAATTGTGGCGGACGACGTAGACGTTGTCATCAAGTCTTTTTTGGATACTGTAAGCATGTCTTTGCTGCGTGAGGGGGGCCATGCTGCCGGTAGGTGTAGTGACGAGATGACGTCCTTGATCTGTGTCGACGCAATGGCAGGATTGTCGATTGCGACGTTGCAAGGTCTAACAAATCAGGTAAGAGGCCGTGTTCTGTTGTCTGGGAGGGCTTTCGAGGTCAAGGTTGGTATCTTCATTGTTCCCGTCTGGAATGCGCCTTTGCCTCATATCCGAGTGCCTACCCCTTTGTCCCGCTGACCATAGCCATACTCCGTCTGCGTTCCTCCAGATTCAGCAAGAGGACTTAAAACCCCCGGATCCGGAGACGGTTTCCTAGGCATTTCTTTCCAATCCTCGCGGTCGACGTTGCAGAAGACCTCCCAAGGCCATCACCATCCGCATCGCCACCACAACTCTGCCATAAGGAGGGGTGTCAAATCCGGCGATACAACGGAGCTCTCCCGGTTTGCACCATCAGGATCCCATAGATCTGGGCAGTGACCTAATGTGCAATCAAACACACACCCTGCAAGTCTGGGCAACACTGATGCACCGAGAGCGAGGTAATGACAAGCCTTCTTGCCACATCATCCAGACGGCCGGCGGTCACAGGCATGATAAAGAATTGCATCAGAGAGATTCAGGCAGCACATGCCCAGACGCCGTCAACTTGAACCTGAGTAAATTACTTTTATACCAAACCAGCTCAGGCACGGTCTTGGTGAGTGGCCGGGCCGTAGGCAGAGAGAGACAAAGTGATTGGGAGATGGCCGTCGCGATTGCCCTCCCCCTTCGGCAGAGGGCCATAAACATTGGGGCACAATGTGACTACGTCAATAGACACCCCGATACTCCCAGTCTTGCCTGGAAAAGAAGCTTTGGGGGCAGAGACACACATGCAAGATTTACATTACAGATGCGACCTCGCCCAGATCCCCCACGGCATGCAGCCGAATGCGCCTTTTGCCTTCTTGCATGTACTTGCATGTGCAGAAAGGAGACTGGTTGGCGGCGCCCGCTGTGGCGGCACAGTGTATCATCCAGCTGTACCCCATTTTTCTGGTTCCTGTTTTCAGCACAGCAATGACAAAACAAGCTCATCAGTCAAGCTGTGACCGCAGCACGTTATAAGTGCGCCTTGCGAAACTTGCCTCGAGAGGTTTCCATAATCCGCCCTGCGCCTTGTTTGGTTTGATGATGTCGAGCGATCCAGCCAGCGAACATGATCTACTGGTTCGCAGGCCCGCCGGGGGGCAAATCACATTACACGCAAAGGAGAAGATCGGCTCCTCTTGCTCCCGCGAGAGCGAGCAGAAGGCCCCACATCTCGCTTCGCTCTCGCTCTCGATAACCGCAGGGCCTAAAACAAGCTCGCTCTCTCTCTTTTTGTTTCTGTCTGATCTTGGAACTGACAAGGCGCCACCCCGGATCGTCAACGGTTGCACCTTTTGCAGAAAGCACGGCAGTACCTCTACGTCTCCCCTTCGTCATATCTTCTTTCTGTCATCTTATCTGATCTATCACGTGCGTTCTCTGCAACTCTTCTTGACTTTTTTATAGACTCTCGTATGTTTACTACTCTAGAAGTTTAGAAACTTGACTCGGCTCGATCCGAGACGCTGTGTATTCGCATGTTGGAGGACTGTCACTGTGCCTCTCCATACTACTCGGTGTACGCATTCACTTTGACCGTGTCTCATCTGGCTGTGATACACCTGCCCGTATGTTGATTCTGTGGCAAGTCGACACACCCGACCAAGCCTCGCAATCAACGTCCGACCGGCCTACAAGAAAATATGCTTGTGCTTGTTTGAATAGCGGCGCCCTTACATAGTATAGTACACATCGGAGACTTTTCACGGTCCGCACCCTACCCGCTCAACACCAGCTACCGCGGCGTCATGCCTTTAAACCCGAATATGGAGTCAATCGAGGCGGGGCGCCCCTAGTTCCCGCACGATAATAACCTTCTTTTGTTTTCCCTCTGGAACTGTGACCAGCCCGGCGGCGGTTCAAAGCCAAATAGTAGTGCAAGAAGCATCCATCATCCCTCCCCACAGACACCCCCAGTCCAGCCCTCCCAGCCCTTCCCGCCCGTCACCCACCATCACCACCACCATCGTCCGGTCTCCCGTCGTCCCGTGTCGATCCGTGACACCCCTCGCGTTTCAGCGGCCCAGAGGGCGCCCACCCAGCCTCCAACTGGCGGAGCAGTCTGGTCCCATCTTCCGCTGCCTCCCTCCCTCCCAGCTCAGACCCCATGCCGGCTGTCTTGGGTGTTCGCCAATCATTCTCCCATCCCAGGACGAGGCTCAACACGTTCAGACGACGCACCGAAAGGGGAGCTACAAAGCCTGTACAAGGCAATTCCCAACCCCCCAAAATGGTGCTAGTTCGTCTAGAAGGGAAAGAGCCTTGTGTTCCTCAGGTAGGTTTGGCTGAACATCTGTTGTTGCAGTTCTTATTCCTCCCAACTCGCATCGGCTGTCAAATGTGGTCATTTTCTGGTTCGCCGTGACGATCCCCATCCCATCCCATCTCGTCCCTCAACATAGTCACCGACGCAAGCGCTATTCTCGCTCTCGCTCGGTAGACCCCACCTGGAGGGTATCCCTGAGTTCGTGAACGTGTGCAAAGAGACATCGTTAGACTATTCGCGAAACTTCGTTTGCTCCGAGGGCGATTGAAGAACTGCCTCGGCACATATCGGATGTCGGGACAGCAAGTCTATTAGACTTAGGCGACTATACTAAGCAACTATACTAGTCACATTTAAGAGACAAGAGCCAAGCCGTAAGAGGTTTTGAAGATTTTGTGGCATTTCTTTTGATCTGATCCTCGTAGTAGTAGTTTCTATCTACTTTCCTATTATAATACACTAATTTCTCATCTTCAAGGATTGGGAAATTAGAACTTGTTCTCTGTTCGCTCTGACGCCCGGACCGTAAACCGTGAACCAGCAAAGTAACCGAAAAAAGGAAATATATCGATCTCGTGTCATGCCAGTTCCCAAGTGCGCTCCGCGCCTAATTGTCCTGAGACTGGCAGTAAATAGTCTCCTCTCGTCTTTATCCCAGTATACAACACACGCACCGCGCACCGTCCCTCGCGGCGAGTAGATGCAGGGCCCGCAAAGAGATTGGTAAACGAATGTGTGGGATTTTCTTTGTCTGTGTTTCTGTCTGCGCCTGCCCTTTCTCTGCTCTGATCTGGAAACGAAAAGAGGGGTTAAAACATCGTTCCGTTTGGTTGCTTGCAAAAGCAGAGAAAAAGCCAAAAGCCGTATGATGCGCTCGTACAGATTCTGGTGAAAACGAGGGACTGGTTGTTCCCCGCCTGATCCGCCGGGGTGCCATCTGGGGCGTGCATGCCTTCCCACTTCTGATGGCCATGGAAGGACGCGCCCAACGGTCTTGGGCGATGGGTCTCAGTTCGGCGGATGTCGGGGCTTGACGTTTGTAGTGAAGCCAAGTTTTGTTCTTTCGCAATGCTTCGAAATGACTCCTCTCGGATCGACACTGTAGGAATGTGCTTTTAGGCAAAGCCACCAACGATAGACATGCCCGTAGCTGAAAGTAAATGTTAGCTTCGTCCGTAAATGTGGGGGTTTCGCTTGCACGTACCTCCCAAAAGAACGTAGCTGAAGGCGGTGATCTTATCCTTCTTAGTGAGAGTGTGTTGGGCCTCCTCGGAAAGGAAGTCCTCAGCCAGAAGATCAACAGTGGCTGCATACAACAAAAGACCGGAAGAACTGAGGCGCTGTTAGTCTTCACACCTTAATATTGGAGATCGGGGATGGAACATACATGGCGTTGAAGATACCGACAATAATCAGACCAAAGGCGCTGTTAGGATCGTATGTGTTGCGAGTGATGAGTCCAATAGCCTGTCCGATGGGCGCAGTGGTTCCGAAAGCAAAGACCAACACCCAGGGACGAATACTGCCCTTGGCATAGGGAACAGCAGCGATACGGGTACCAAGACCGAGACCCTCAAACATTTGATGGAACAGGATGGCGATCAGCAGGATAATGAAGCCTTCGATGGTGATAGAAACGGTCATGCCGACGAAGACGGAGTGGAAGAGGATACCGCCCTCAAGCAGGGTGATGTTCATGGACATCTTCTTGTACGTCATCTCGTCGACGGGCAGGCCAGTTTCAACATCGATGTAAGGCGAGTCGATGAGGCCAACCGCGGGCTTGGAGGGCTCGGAGACATTGTATGTGGGCTGGACGGAAACCTGAGGCTGCGAGCCCTTCATGATGTTGACCATCTCCATGCGCTGGCGGACGTACTGCTCGTAAAAGACGATGAACCAAGGAGGCATCTCTGAGCGCGCAGCCAGCTCCTGGGCGTCGTCGCCAAAGGGGTTGGGCTGCAGGCGCTCGAACCTCTCCTGGTCGGCATAGACTTGCTGCTGGACCTTCTTCTCAAAGGACACATCCGTCTCGTAGCTTTGGTGATTATATCGGGGAGGGCGCTCAGGAGCCATCGTCGGTGCCGCAGGTGCGCTGGTACCGAAGTTGCCACCGTGAGAATGAGCCTGGCCACCCATCTTGTGGTTCAGGGTCATCTCAATAACGAAGAGGGCAAAGAGAGCAGCCATCATGATGACGCCAGTGATTGGCGGGTAAATATCAGTGAAGAAGTCCGGAAGGCATGGATCCATCAAGCTGGCGAACGCTGTAGGCAGCAGCTATGGGGCAGTTAGCTGGCGAGTTATCAAATCACCTAGATACAGTGACCAGCTACTACGTACGTGAACGAATGCTGTTGCGATCAAGACACCTGTACCAAAATGCTTGCAAGCGAAAAACACCTTAGGTGGAATCTTCATCCACTTGACCTTCTTTGCCACGACGGGGAAACCCGCTCCTACATTCTTGTGTCAGTATGCCAAGTTCATCGTTTCCAAGGGCTCCGTGAAAGTCGTACCAAGGCATGAGAAGCCCATGACCAAGACTGTTCCACCATGTTAGCCCAGATTTTTCACCCATATTCGCCAGACTCTTCCACTCACAAAGGGCCACGACGTGCAAGGGCAGGTCGTACTCTCCCACCTCCTCACCACTGCCACAAGCTGGCTTCATGTTTGCCATTTCCTCTGCCATTTTGATGTATTTTGGTCACCTGGACAATAGATACACCAGGCTCAGAATGAGTAGGTTGAAAAGGAAAGCCGTCCGGCGACTAAGAAAAGGAAAAAGGTCGAAAGGCAAAAAACAGACTGAGGGATTCAATCCCGGCGTCGAAAGAATCAAATATAAAGGACGAAAGAAAAAGAACGAAAAGTCACGAACTTTCCAACATCAGAACAGACGAGAACAAGTCCGTAATGCAGAAGAGTATCATCGCCCTTGGCACAATCAATCACCCGGGTGTTGAAGTGTTTTAATACTCTTGTAACCTGAACGTTGCGCGTCCAGCAATATGGACGACTTGGTAATGGTAAGGGGAGCCGATGAATGAAGGCGGCGATCCTGCAGGTCAAGGCTCAACTTGCCATGCAAGATGAGAATAGAAACAAAAACTATGGTTCAATGTTGAGATGCCACGGCCATCTTGAAGCACTTGGTCCCAGATAAGCATGGCGATGAAGCCGCAAGTGCAATGCTCAGTGTCGGGCCCAGAGTGTTTCCAGCGATATTCCCGGTCGTGGCCAGGGGTGGTGACCGGGTTGGTACACCTTGGTACTTGTTTCGACGCACGGCCTGGACACGAACGGGAGGTACTGCGGGGAGGTCACGCAGAGGTATTCGTGGGGTGAGGGCGGAGCGGCAGGAGACGGGAAGGTTTTACCTCCGCCCAGCATCCTTGACCGCCATCGGGCTGGCTGAGGCCAGGGCTCATCGGCCGTGACTGACGCTGAAGAGGGCGGCGGCAGCCATTTGTGGATCGTAAGGCAAGAATTGGGTCGGCTCCAAGCTGGGACGAGGATCGACGACCCGCCAAGGTCTTGAAGCATGTGCAAGTCGAGAGCCGTGTCGCTGGTGGGACCCGGGCATTTTCTCCAGCCGGAGAATAGGAACGGCTCCATGCATGTTTAGCTCCCGCGCCCGTAGCGTCAAACTTGGACCCATCTTCCCGCCGGCGTATTTCAAATTGTCATTGAAACAAGCACACGACCACGGCCACAGGCATTGAATCCTGTGATTGTTGATCTTGTTGCGAGGACTCTCCACTGTTATTCCCGGCGGAGAGACTTCTCCAGGCCTGGTGTTGCTCAGCAGTACTGCGTGACGCCCGCAAGTTTGTGTCTGGGGGAATTGAGCACCTAACTTGACGCTGACCAAGATGTCTCCTGAGCGCCTAGAGCTGTCTTGGGTCTTGTGCCCAAGGCCCTAAGAGTCACGACGAACCACCTTGGCCGGGCCAAGTGGCACGGCGGTCCCCCAAGATGTCTTGAGGGCTCACGAGACGGGCCAAGTATAATTGGTCTTCCGTGGCCGGTGTCTGCAGACTCTAGGCAAGAGGCTCAATGAACTCAATGGATGGAGTAGGGGGTACTTGCCTGCCCAGCCATGTGTGCGTTGCTACACTGCAATGCTTCGGCACGGCCGGTGAGTATGACGTCCGTGGGAGCTGCCCGTGGAGACAGACATTTGAATTGGGTCTCGTGACATAATGGCGAACTGATGGGCCACGCAGCTGGCTGCAGACTGCCGAGTGCAGACTGCAGACAGCCATACGTTGATCTGGTATCGGCGGAGCAGACCGAAGGCTGGATTGAGGGTCGTCCATGCGACAGCAGCAACAGCCGCAGCAACAGCAGCAGTAGGGGGCGAGAGATGTGCAGAGATGCAGGCCAGACGCCGCTGGGTAAGGCGAAGAGAGGCTGCCAAGAGTGTGAGAAGGGCAAAGAGCACGACAGGTAAAACAAGAGTTGTTGCTGGGCACACTTGGCAGACTTGGCGTGACGATCTGGGAGCGCAGCCTTCTTAAAGGAAATCAAGCACGGCCTGTGAGGATGCGCTGATTCGTAACACCCTAATGGTCACGGCGCCAGGGCAGCAAGGCAGGCGAGCCATTATGTGTGGGGATGATCACCAGTCTCGAGTCTCAGGTGCAGAGTGTCGAGTGTCGAGTGTCGAATGGCGGGTGGTGGTGCAGGGTGTGTCAGGGTCAGGCTGACGAAAGCTGCAACACCGTCCCTTGGCGGCGACAAGAGTCTGACAGACCCCAGACTTGGGATGCAAGGGGATAGAGGGGATAGAGGGGACAGACAGCCAGAAAAGGCTGCACTGCATTGACTGCTGGGAACAGTCACACACACTTTGCAACTGCCTACTGAGGTTCTGAGGGCAAACAGACTGTCTGGTTGCACCTGCCTGCCCGCATTCGATTCAGCCCGTTTCAACCTCGACCTCGACGAGCGAGGTGTTTGGGCAGTCTGCCATTTCTGGCTGTTAACGGTAGTGGTGAGGTGGGGGCGTTCCATCTTATGTCAGCAGAAACTTCGGCTGCTCCTTCCTCTTAATATTCGAACCTCCAGAGCCTCACCACACGCCGCAACTGCGACTGCAACTTCGACTGCGCCTGCACCTGCACATGCACCTGCACTTCACCCTGTCATCCCACAACATCGGATGTGATCACACATACTAAGGTAGGCATGTATATATGTACACAGTATGTGTGCCTCCCTCATCACAGGCCAGCGATCTCGGATCACCAGTGCAGTTGGAGTTGGAAGGTGGAGAGAGGTTCCCATATCTTATATCATAGGGGCATCACACTGGATGAGCTGGCCGACTTGGCGACCCTCTTGCTCGCTCCTGCTCACCACCATCGTCGGGCTACTACCGGTTTCTGTCGTGTATACCAACCCAGCGGTCACTCGTCCAAGGCCCCTCTTCATGTCCACATTGAATGACTGTGGGCGCTTTCAATCGTTATTCTAAGCCATAACTACGTGATATTCAACCAAGTCGCGACTTTTCTTCTCTTGGCAGATGGGGCAGCTCAATCTGCCATGCCAACCTCAATGGCCTCCTGGAGCCCCAGCAGCAGCCCGTCTCCATCAATCGTGACTTGGCTGTCTGGCTAAGCTTCATTGCCCAGATGCCCAGGCGTCAGAAGATCCCAACGCGGTGTTCCTAGTCGAGGTCAAGCATCAGCAACCCCAGAATCAGGAAAATCTTGTCGTCTCTGCATGCCACGGCATGCACACAACTCAATCAAGCTCAGCCCAGCTTATTACCATCCCAACCATGGAAAGAGCCTATCGCTCATCATAGTGGGAGGCCTTGATGGACAAGACAAACTTTGCACAAGTCTGCCACCCGCTGCTGCGTTTGCTGGAAAGCGAGCAAGTCAAGGCAGACTGGACTAACTATGCAATCTACAGCCCTCCAGTCCAGCCAATCTAAACGAGTGCGGTCCAGACCCCGTCGAGCATATGTCAGCTTAGCGTCTCGGCAAAAGCTTCCTTTCACCACCTTGTGACGCCTCGCTCCCCGGCTGCAGCTACCCGGGCCGCACTACCGAATCGGAGTTGGTTCCATATGTGCTTGGCTATCAAAACAGATCGTCGACAACTGGTCTTCTCCATGCCCATGTCCTGCTCGTGCCCTGGCTTGTTGAGAGTCTGTTTGTGTGTTGCTATCAGTCCCAGCCCGCGACTTTGCCATCTGCCGCTGCCCCTTTGGCCCCTCCTGTTAGAGAAGCCAGCACCATGTGTGTTCCACATACCGAGCTTTGACGCCACAGCCCTCCGTGGCCTACCCGTCCTCGCTGCCTTCAGCGCTATTCTGCGCTGCTATGGCTCGTATGCACTATGCGCTGAGCGAGACCGAGCAGCCTGAAGGGGCTAACTGGCCTCGAATCGCCTCCTTCTTGCCCATCCTGCTGCACAATTCCGGTTTCCTCAACGGATTCTTTTATACACCCGAAGCAGGGGTGACAAACCTTTCATTCAACTAGAAGTCCAGAGCCAATATATTGCTCAGTCTCGCTGGAAATTTCAGCGCTGCGTCGCATTTCTCATAAACTAGACCTTTTCTCGTTCTAAGCCGGGTCGAGACATTGCCCATCGCCAACCAGAATCATCCAGAATCGCGGTTGAGTGACATTATCCTCTCACAATGTCCATCTCCGACAAATCAGCAAGTCAGCCGCAAGGGGAGGGGCCAAGAGCCGGTGCTGGCTCTCCAGGTCCTGCACAAGGTATGTGGCATTTTATCGCTGTCTCTTCCCACAATACCAGTTCGCGCAACAATTTCCCCGATTCCTGGGTCCTGTTTTACGATCCCCAGGTCTCATCGTCGTCCCGGATTCGGCTCTGTTTCGAACGCCCATCGTTCGACCAATCCGGGTCCCCATTATCCTCCAGGTCATCTCAGTATTGCCCATAGATCTCTTGACTAACTCTTGACCTCCTTGGTTCCCTCTTGGAAAAGATAACAAAGATGCTGGAGTGCAAGCGCCGTCCAACCCACAGACACCCGTTGCCTCGGGAGCTTCCAATGAGAAGAGGTCTATGCTGGATATCGGTGATAACAAGACCCCTTTCACATCCGAGAAGGCTGTCGTCACCCACGAAAAGGATATTAGTGGCAATACATCTCTGGCCGCCGGCGCCGCCGCTGAAGCCTTGGACTTTGATGGCCCTGCCTCGTCCTCCAACAGGACTGGGTCCACTGCCTTCGACCCTTCCGACCCCTTGAACTATGCCCGTATGCGGAAAGACAATGTCTCCCGAGCCCAGATGAAAAAGGAGCACCCAACAGGAAACAAGAGAAAGCTCAAGAAGTACTACACACGGCAAAATGAGCTCATAGACCAATTCCTCGGCGCTGGTGATGAGGAACGGGCTGGCATCGCCGAAGAGGTGAAAATGGGGCCCAGGATCCGGTTCGCCGTCAACGCCTCCTTTGCTGTCAACTTTTGCCTCTTCGTCATCCAGCTGTATGCAGCTGTATCCACAGGGTCACTATCGGTATGGCGCGCCAAGATCATGCTCTGTCAGTGAGCATTGTCAACTAACATTCTTGCGTCTCACAGCTGTTTGCTACCGCGGCTGATGCCTTTGTGAGTTATGATCCACCGGATATACGTTGAAAGCATCGCCACTAACCATTGCCCAGATGGACCTGGTGTCTTCGTTTGTAATGTTCACCACGTCAAGGATGGCCGCCCGTCCCAGTATATACAAGTACCCTGTGGTAAGCCAGGCCAGATCACCATGACTGACTACTTCTTTGCTCACACATATCACAGGGACGAACTAGGATCGAAACGATAGGCATTATCTTGTTCTGCGCCTTGATGACTACCGTGGCCATTCAGTTACTGGTAGAGTCAGGAAGGTCACTCGGTGAAGGAGCACAACATTCCGAACCACTGAAAATTGTTCCTTTGGTCTGTGTCGCTTGCGCAAGTAAGTGACAGTTCTCTTGAGCCGCCATCTGTGGTTTGTATAACATGGGCTAACCAATCTCACAGTTGGCGCTAAGTCAACCTTGATGGTGTATTGCTTCTTCCTCCGGAAATACCCATCTGTCCACGTCTTTTTCATCGACCACCGAAACGATATTGTCGTCAACATTTTCGGACTTGTCATGTCAATCGTCGGTGACCGGTTTGTGTGGTACCTCGACCCCGTGGGTGCCATCTGCATTGCGCTGTTGATCCTGTTCTCGTGGGTGTCCAACGCCTTTGAACAGGTGTGGCTGCTCGTTGGAAAGGGAGCGCCCAAGGAGTTCATCTCCAAGCTCGTGTACATGACTATCACCCATGACGAAAGGATTCTGAAGGTTGACACTGTGAGTGTTTCATTCTATGCATTAGATATTCCATCATTGTGACTAACGGCGAACCTACAGTGCCGCGCCTACCATGCTGGCCAGAAATATTACGTCGAGGTCGACGTCGTCATGGACGAGAGCACGCCGCTCAAAATCTCGCACGATGTCAATCAGGAGCTCCAGCGCAAGCTGGAAGGCCTGCAAGACGTCGAGCGGGCCTTTGTTCATGTCGACTACGAGCACGAGCACGCCATCGACCAAGAGCACAAGCCGCTCTACGAGGCGAGGAAGCCGCGGCGCACCCTGAAGGAGGTGCTTCTCTCCTTCAGGAGCCAGACGAAAAAAGGCGATGACGAGACGGCCAGCGGCGGTGTATTGAGCGGTAGGACGAGCGGGAACTCCTGACAGTGATGGGAAAGGAGCGGGGCCCGGTGGGGACCGACTGCCGTGAGGCCTTGTACGAATGAACGGTGGAAATAACGCACCTCTAAGTATGGTTGCGTGAATCTTGGAAGCATTTGATTTTGTGTGATACCTCGCTCGCTGCATGTGCTGGATGGACAACAAAAAAAGAGAACAATACATAGACGGGCAGCCATATAGTACCATTGGTGGAGAAAGCACATTTGCTCTCACTTGATAATTGTATATTCATCTTATTTGCCAACTGCTCTGTGGCTTTCATCTCATTGCCGTTTGTCGGGTGATCGAACTGGAAGAGATCAAATAGCCCAGAGTACCTTTCATATAGTTGTAGAAAGAAGATACAGGTAATCGAGCTACTAATTTGTGTCTTTGTCTCTGCATAGTAAAGAGAGGAGTAGTGCCATTAGAATGTCCATATGGAGAGTGAAATGCGGAGGAAAATAAGTAAGATGTGGCTGGCCAGAGACAGGGTATTATTGAACCTGCCAGTTGGTCCGCAACCCGTCCCGGAGCGGAGTTCTCTAGCTCAAATCCGGAGCGGACGATGATGTACCTCCGAGGCGTATAATCCAAAATGCAGTTTCCGTCTCTGCCATTGAGGCTGACTTCGAATGGAGCCCGCTGAATAATGCTGAGTAATGCCAAATCCTTCCAATAGCTATACACGGTGGAATGCATCTCAGAAGGTTGTAAGCCATGGCGTCACGCCGCAACAAAACTTATAGAGAAATTGATGAAGTAGGCAATTGAAATGGATTATAAAAGTTTTGAGATCCGACCTTGTCTGCTGATTATGAGCAACCATCAGTACTTCAATAGCACCGCTCTTGACAGATTTTTGATACAATATCTCTAGTATCCAACCATGTCGACTTCCACGCAGCTTAAGCCCATCAAACTTCATGGAAAAGGCGGCGCCAACCCGCCCAAAGTCGCCATGGTCCTCAAAGAACTCGGAATTCCTCACGAAACCATAGACATCCCCTTCAGCGACATCAAGGGGCCCGAATTCGTGGCCATCAACCCGAACGGGCGGCTGCCCGCAATCCACGACCCCAACACAGACATCACCCTGTGGGAGTCGGGCGCCATCTTGCTATACTTGATCGACAAGTATGACCCGGACCACAAGATCAGCTTCGCGCGCGAGACGCCCGAGTGGCACCACGCGCAGCAGTGGCTGTTCTTCCAGGCCAGCGGACAGGGCCCGTATTACGGGCAGGCGGCCTGGTTCAAGAAGTTCCACCACGAGAAATTGCCCAGTGCTGTGGAACGCTACGTGAAGGAGGCACACCGCGTCACCGCCGTGGTGGAGGGCCACCTGATCAAGCAGCGGGAGACGTTCGGCGAGGCGGCCATTGGGGCATCGGGCGGGCCGTGGCTCGTGGGGAACAAGTACTCGTACGTTGATCTGGCGTGGGTCCCGTGGCAGCTTATTCTGCCGATGGTGCTTTCAGCAGAAGACGGTCTGGATTTGGACAAGTATCCGGTGGTGGCGGACTGGCTCGCCCGCTTGAACAAGCGCAAGGCGGTCAAATACGGAATGGGTTCCAGCGAGGAGCTTTAGTGGGCTGGCTGCTTTGTGCAAAAGCAGAGATCAATTGAGACTTAGTCTTCCAAAAAGTTATTGTTAACTAGGTTGGACGTGAGAACATTGAAGAATAATTACAAGTTACGATTGATCGACTTGAGCTTCACCATGAGTCCATATAAGATCAGTATGATCACCAAGAAGATGAACAAGCACTACCTAGAAGCAGCGGCGAACTGGAAATGAGCATGTTCGTTGTATCCTACGCCATGTCATGAGCCAGGCTCAGAAATTATAGAATCCCAACCTAGTGATCTGTCTCGAGTTTTTAGAGGTACATTAGTCTCCATGACAAGTGTCATGGGGATTCATATTCATTCCTTTCAAGCATGGTGCTGTCCACGGGTGGTTATGATCATAGGACTGTCAGTGACTTTCCGACCCATCTGGTGATGGTAACAGGTACATCGATGGCTCTATGACAGAGCGGACGAGACGGATGGCTTCTGAATAATGATTGTCCTGGGCTGTCAGCCATGATTATCTCGGAATAAAAAGCTCACATGGCTTCAGTGGCCCTGATCACTCTCACAAAGAGCCAAGAGTCTGGTCCGTACGTATCTCTGTTTCCAATGACTCTGACACAAGCTCGGAACGCCGATCTAGCCAGGATGATTCAACCATTATTCGGTCTATAAGATGCTTTGTTAGATCTCGTTATGTACAAAAGCATTATTGGGCTATGAGTGACTACGGGTCACCTTCAACTGAACTTTCTGGCTAAATGCTCTATAGTGACTCAGGGTTCCATTCTGGTAATCGCCTCGTCCGATATCTATGAATACAATACGACCAAGCTGTTCGTGGTAATCGCTCAACTTTGGGTCACTATTCAATGAAAGTCACTATACATTTGCTGTAACAACCTCTGCTGTCTTGAACCTCACTATTTAAACACATCTGGACGTACTTGCAATTCAACTCGTTCTTTCTAAAACTTATCAGCAACACTACCTCCGGCAAAACCAATTCTGCTTTTTCTCACACTTTACTCGTCTCAAATTGAGTCTACCCCGGCCAATATACCTGAACTCCAGCGGGAAAAAACCTTTTTAATCAACATATACGCACAAACAATAGTCATTATGCAGTTCAATACGCCCCTGACTATGACCCTACTGCTATTATTTCTTCTTCACACCGCTGTCAATGGTATTGCAGGATTCTGGAATTGCTATGATGAAGGCTTGACTTGGTCCTCTATTGGAAACGCATCTAGCATTGACTCTGCTTTCACCCAGATGTGCTCCAAGATGGTGGGAACTTACCACATTGGTGACAAGTTAATCAAAAGTGAACCTGACATGACTACGAGGAACATCAGTCATTCTAAGGCAACAGCTGATCAGTAATGCCAAACAGGTTAACCAATGCTTCGGTTTTGGTGATAATGGTCATATCAACGTCCAGATCCGTATTGAGCCGAAATCTTGGGAAGACTCGGACCCCAAGGATCCAAGCATCTCGGCGATAAAGGTCAACCTCACCCAGACAGTCTGCAAAGCGCTATTGACATCTGTAATATGATACCCCTCATCCTCAAGCTCGAATCTCAAGATCCAAAGAAATAATACTGACCTCGTCGAATGTATAAGGTGAAGGACAGCTGCAACAAAAACGGCGGCCATGCGTGGACCGGGGCGGGTCACATGCAGCAGAAGGACACAGACACACTGGATACCATTGAGGAATTGTACACCGGCGACCATGTCCAGGGATGGATCCTAGCTGATCCAAATAGCGGAGATTGCTAAAAGAAAGTTATATTCATCAAAAGTATCGATGGTAGCCGAAATATGGCAGAATGAAATAGTGTTTGATGGTGCAGGCAGAGGTCCACAAAGGGGACTTCTGCGATTGGTCTGCTTTTTTGGAGAGCAATGTGCTCATGGACTCATTATTGGAGGTGATGACGAATAGCGGCAGGAAGGAATACAACCGATTTCTCTCAAAAATGATCTCGAATTTTGTGTGTGTTTGTGTGTAGCTCATTGCGTAAATATGTTTGCTCCCTACACTGAATGTGCGCCAAAACAGATGAGGATAAGAGCATAGTTTGCGGACCCACCATGCCTTCCTAAAACGGATCGGCGAGCAGTGACTCAAACGGTGTGACCCTGTCCACCATTCTGAAGGCTCATGGTAAAGTTTAATAACGCCAAAGTCCTCCGTGCTTACTTGCTTGCTTGTTGCAATATAAGAGAGAGCATAGCCACATTGACAGACGGAATATAATTCGCAAAAGCCACTAGCCACTTCTCCTCACGTGCGGCAAAGAAATCCTCTGGGCGAGCGCAGTGTCATTTGACCCAATACATAACTACATTTAAGCCTTTCTTGGCCTGAGACTAGCCTCGGTTGGCGGAAACCCTTATTTCCCTTCCACAATGGCCAGCAGAAGCGCATTCAAGTCGGCGCGGCTCACTTACAGAGCTGTTGAAGACAACGACGAGGACCTGGACTTCCTGCATTCGATTTCGCTCGATGAGGAGGGCTTCGTCAATTCCAACAATATGATCTTGAGGCCTCAGAACAAGGAATCCACCAAGAAATGGAAACAGTACTTGGGGACACACCTCATCGCTGTCATCATATGTTTGACACCCAGCGACGCGGACACAGCCGCCGCCGCCGCCGTCGCCGCCGGCAGCGATGAAGCGCAGACCAAGAAGAAAGCAGACCCGACCCCTATCGGTGTTGTCAGCCTGACCGGATTGAACCCGAGAGCGACGCAACACCGCAACGCCAACATCGGCATCGACATCCTCCCAGACTATCAGCGCAAGGGCTACGGCACCGAGGCGATCAACTGGATCACTCAGTGGGGGTTTAAGACCTACGGTCTCCACAGGATCGGCATTGAGAGCTTCTCCCACAACGAGGGCGCCGGCCGGCTGTACGAGAAGCTTGGGTTTGTGCCAGAGCAGAGGTTGCGTGAGGCGTTGTGGTACCAGGGTGGGTGGAGTGATCAGCTTGGGTTCGCGATGCTCGAGGACGAGTGGCGGCAGAGGCAGGGGCAAAAGTAGAGTGGAGCTGGCAGCAAGGCTTAAGAATGTGGTTGCATTGGTGCGAAAAACGTATGTGTTCGCTGATGGATATATGCATTGTGAAAAAGAAATATTTACAAGATGGCCATAGAAGTATGTACAAGAAGGCCAAGATAGACATCGCGGATACCTAGACTGCTGAGTGACTTCTTTCGACTTGATTTAATCAAACCGAAGCCTTGCAACAACCCAAAGAATGTTCCTATCCGCCTTGTCTCTCATGTCCGACCGCAGCTCTATTGGAAGAGCTCCACGGCATCGAAGATGAAGTTCGGGGCCAGGTACGCGTCCCCACTGCTTCCCGAGATGGCCGAGATGGTGATGGTGTTGCTGCCGCTGACCAGGGTGCCAGCGGGGATAGAGACATCGTACACCTCGCCGAAGCCCCTGTAGGCGCCGCGCGTCACACCCCTCGAGTCGATCTTGGTAGGGGCCGCGGGGGCGGCGCCGGTGTAGCTGTTGATCTTGGCCTGGGGCCGGGCGCCGGCGAAGGAGAGGGTGGTGGCGATCCTCAGGGTGGCGGTACCGCTAGGCGCGCTGGACAGGGTGAACTTGATTGTGACGGGGTCGTTAACACCCTTGAAGAGCGCCATGGGGAAGTCGGTCAGGGCGGAGGAGCCGACGGTGTAGGTCAGCGGGCCCCAGGACGACATGCGTGAGTCCGAGGGGTGCATGCGCAGGAACTTGTCGGCGTTGCGGAAGCCGGTAGGCTGGCCGTCGTACTCGCCGATCTTGAAGAGGCTGGTGTGGCTCGTGAGCGTGCTTGCGATGTTGGCCGTGGTCGCCTTGCCGGCGCTGACTGTCACGGAAGAGGTCGCGACCTTGTACTCGGTCTGGTACAGCACCATGGTGTAGGTGCCGGGCTTCATCGCGGGCGAGGTGAAGGAGCCGCTCGAGCTTGCGGTGGTCCAGTACTGTGCTGCCGAGTTGTACCAGTGCACGACGGGAGTGAAGGATGAGCTGACGCCAGAGGCGGTGCCGGTCACGGTTCCACGTCCTGATGCGGCGACGTAGCCCGAGATGCTGAGTCCTTCGAAGAACGAAGTGTCGATGCTCTTGAGAGTTGGGATGCCGTCCCTCGAGAATGTCATCACGTATGGACCGTGAAGTCCCGTGCGGAAAGACTCAGTCTGGACATGGCCCGAGTTCATGTAGTTGTAAAGATTCGTCGAATCGCCAGCGTTGTTGGAGTCGATATCCCTGAAAAATGGGCCGCCAGAGCTGCTCTCTTGTTGAGGAGTCAAAATGCAGGCATGGATGGTGTCGCTGTTGACACAGTGCACGTTCTCGTCGATGAAGCGGGTAGACGAGTAGAACTTGGACCGAGTCTGACCACTAACAGTGTACCTGCATTTCGTTTGGACCTGTCAGTTGAAAGTTCTTTGCCCTATTGGTTCATACCACGGGAAGACTTACACATCGGAACCCTCAATGGCAGTACCGCCAGCGGTGGTGGAGACTACGCCATAGGGGTACTCGCTTGGCAGGGTGGCCGGCAGCAGACGCGCGATAAAACGGAGCTCTCCAATATCTGGCTCAGCAGTGATATATGTGGCCATGTAAATGTTGCTCTCGGCATTTTTGACCACCAGGTAGTGTGTCAAGGTGGAGGTGACACATGTGACCTTGATATAGCTAGTACCAGAGACGGTGACCTGGCTGACGGACACTGTCGCGGTTCCCAGACCCGAGCTGATGTGGGACCCCTTTCCAGAATACTGCAGTTGTGTTCCTCGGTAAAGGATCGAGTTGATATCACAGCTCGTCGCCGAGACTTGGAAGACGAGAGCATTGGACGAGCCGGCATCGATAACATAGTTGTCTCCTGATTTCGTATAACCGAAAGCAGCAAAGACGGAAGTGAAGCCGTAGACGGCCAGAAGCAAAGAATGAAGGAGCATCTTGAAGCCCATGGTGATATCAAGCCTCGCAGCAGAAGGCTCAGAAATAGCACTATAGTGATTCAAGAGACAAAGAAGGGTGCGAATCTATTAGTCTTATACAATATAGCAAGCGAGGTGTGATAGACTTCAATTGCTCAGGGGTACTCCTTTCGCCTTGGCATATACTCGGCGACATCCCGACGCTCTCGATCACAACATCTGGACCTGACCCTGAATCCCTTAATTGGCTGCGCCGCCGCTATCTGCAGCCTTCGAGCCGTTGGCGTGTTGCCGTTTTGGTGCAATTGGCGGAATAAAAGTACCCCAGGAGCCTCCTCCACGGGCCAAGACCAATATTTATCTCCGGATCCATTTTCGTCCAGAATCGGTACCGTGACCGAACCCTCGTGTGGTTCAGTGCCGAGATGAAGGGTGCCTACATAAGCCTATGAAACAAAACATGGCAGAACCCACTAAAAACACACCCTTTCATTAAGCATAAAGCTTGTCTTCGCACGCCTCGAGCTTGGCGCATCGCTCGCGAGTATGTTACCCACAATTACCAAATGCTGCTCTAGACCAACATGGGCGTTAGCCAAGCCGGCCCGGCATCCAATGGCAATGGGATTAGACAGCGTAGCATGGCGCAAATTCTACGGCCGGCCACTGAACTCCGTTGACAGAAATGGCCATAATGCGAGTCATCGTTGTTGACAGGTTCAGCAATTGTGAGAGTCGCTGTCAAATACCCCGCCGGCCGAAAGGCTTGAACACGCGGTCTTGCGGGGAGAAATACATAGTCGGGGGAGTCGGCACCGAATCTGATGCTACTTTACTGCAAGCTTACCAGCTTATTCAAATGGATGGACGACATACTAGTCTGCCGTCCGTTACCTGCCCCTATTATATATGGATCGCTGTACAATTGTATGTGTTGTGTCCACACGGAGGGATCTCGTTCCGAATTTCCGGCCCCGTCACCGACTTGCCACTCATAAACAATTGGACTGGGCCAAGTCTGCCATCAAACGGCACCTCGAGGAATGTCAAATGCCCATGCTGATGGTGTGTTGTAAATTCCTGGGACATGCCGCCGATGCTCACGTGAAGAGAAGTCGGTTCTTTGGTAACTGCTAGCACGGAGACGACATCTCTGGCTCCTTGGCTTGCGGATTGACCACCGCCCTGGCCCCAGCATGTGTCTAAGGGGCAGAGACACAATGTCAGCACACAGCAAAGAACTCTTTCACCAGACTGCCAGGCCAGCAGAAAATCGGGTCTTACCACCATCGTGTCCACAAGCCGCGGGAGTAGTCCGATACCACGCGATGGCGCAATCTTCCCGCGGCATGCCGATTTGTGTACTTCCAGCTTTGTAAGCGGCAATGAAGTGAGGGAGGATAGTTCTGAATGCGGTATGTGGGCACAGGTCGTGCACATAGTGCTCGGCTCCTGGGACAATCTGGCCCGGGCGGACGGGGTCGTAGATGTAACTGGATTCACCGTAGTCGTTCCCTGTGGCGTGTGATGGTCAGCCACAAGACACGAAGAGCTGACGTTGTCCGAGGAGAACGAGACGCTTACAGGTGATGATTTGGACGAATTCCGGTTTGAGCTCGAGCATGTGCATCCATCGGTCGTACCAAAGTTTTTCGCTCGCGGAGAGCCAGTTCTTTTCCCATTGCGGCAACCCTGGACGCCGGTCAGTTCAAGTCCGAGGTGATCAATCGAGGATAGGCGCAATACTCGTATAGAACCATGGAGAGACGCCTGCCATGAACGACTTCCCGCGGAGTGCCTTCTGATATTCAACATCCTCTTCAGTCGTCATATGATGCTGATCTGCGCGTGGCCAAGCAGCCCAAGAGACTGGGACCCAGGATCGGTTAGAGTTCGCCTCCTCTCTCTCTCTCTCTCAATGGTATTATTGGTCTGTAGGGGTTCGCGGGAGTAGAACTCACAGGCACCATCAATCAGACGCAGCTTCTCGCCTACACCATGGGGCCCAAGGGAGCTCCAGTCCGGCACAAAGTATATACCACCAGTAGCCTCCCTGACAGCCGGCCAGTTGTTAGCCCACCGCGGGCCCTCAAAGGTTGATACGAACGGGAGGTCGTTCACTTTGAACTGGGCAGGTGAGTCCTTGAACTCGTTGATGCACGAGATGACCAGCACGACCGGCCACTCCCCGGCCGCCATGTCGAAGGAGAGGAACAGGACGAAGTCGATGCCGCGCTGCTCGCGGAGCTCCTCGGCGGCCGAGTAGGCCTGGCGTAGTTGCGGCATTGTGTAGTGATCACTGGGTCCTATGTTGAGGGCGAAGCCGTCGATGCCGGCCGCATGGGCGGCGAGGATCTCCTGGTTCCAGTCCTCGTCCGTGTGGCCATCGGTGAGGCCAAACTAGATGCTTATTAGGCATCTCTCCTTCTCCGTTTCGTATTTGTATCTGGTTTGTGAGTAGCTTACCACATAGTGAGCGAAGACTTTCCGACCTTCGAGGAAGACGTGTCAGTATAGAGGGTTCAAATGAGCCGAAAAGCGGAGGATTCTTCCCAACGTGGTATGACAGGTGCACGGCCCAGAATCAGACAGGAGAATTGACAAAGAATAGAGTCAAGACACTTGCCACTGAGACTAGGTCAGACGAGGCCGTTGCTCTTCATGGCCGGTGCCCTTCTATGGTACAGCAGCAATTGAGACCGAGTGGACTTTCACAACAATCCACTAATAAGAGATGCTGAACACGGGGGCAACAAAAAAAGGAGAAGACGAACCATTGCTTTCACTGGGACCACTGTGGGGAACACCGCTGGGAGGACTGTCGTCGTCTTCATCACCACCGGCATGCCTCTGAATACATCCAGTCAAGAAAGCCAACATATTGCGAGGCGGCAAGAATGAACAGACTCATAAGCCCCCAATATATGACTGCTACTATGAATTCCCTGAAGACAGCAACCTAGTAGTTGTGAGATCGTCCTCGCCCACAAGCAGAACAACAGTCTTAGTTGACAGGAGGACCACTGATGGCGGTGAGCTGTGGCTGACGTACGTCGACGAAAGGTAGGACGACAGAGACAGATGAGCTTTTACCTATGGGGCAAAGCCCTCTAGTACAGCCAATCAGCACTTAAGCGCATTGGGGCTGTGCATGGGAGCCAAGTGCATTGGATCGAATTGAGAGATGAAAGATGCAAGTCTGCTGTCAAAGCTTCTAGAAAAATAGGGGAAACTCGGATGAGGGCCAAAACAATGCTTGACTATTCATCCCCCCAAACTATCTACGCCAACTACTGCGGGTATGGAGTGTCCACTGCCCTTTAAACTCAACCTAAACTCCTTGCGGAAATACCACCCTGATCTGATAACTGCCATTCCAGCGCGCTCTCGATTTTGATTTCCTTTCTTGCGAATCCGTCGCCCGTCTCTGTTTGTGGCTAAAATCAGAAAAAAAGCAGTAAAACACATAACGACTCCTATCACGCTACTTTCCCCTCGATGAGTGCACATGCATCCTCTCCTTTTCCATTTCAATCACCAGAAGCTGCACCAACCAATGTAATGCTGGCAGAGATTCTCCAGCTTCGTCGCCTCAACAATGAGCTTGTCGACCTGCGTGAGCACGTCCAACTCCTCGCCAGCCTTGAAGTCCCTGCCCGTCAGTTTCTGCGACACCCTGTCCAGGACCTCGACTGCGCGAGCGTTCTGAATCTCGGTTGGGTCTTGATTCTGCTGGCCATTGACGCCGTTGGCTCCGTTCATGCCCAAGCTGCCGACGGGAGGAGCACCGGCAGAGGAGTTGGTGCGAGCACGGGATCGAGGAGGTCCGCCCGCCATCGCGTTGTCGTTGGTGATGCTTACAGCTGCTTGGGCGGCGCGAAGCGCGGCAGGGTCGGCGTCGAGGATGGATGCGCGGCGACCCCGGGGCGCCTGGGGGCCGACAAGGGCTTGCTCCCTCTCGGAGGTGAAGTTGGGTCCTGCCGGGCTGGCGGCGCTGGTCAACCGCCAAGTAAGGAGTGGATCATGAATAAACTGCGCGACCACGTTAGCCAAAATTCTAATGGGAAAAAGGAGGCGAAGCAACGACTTACCGCTTCCAAGACCGCCATAACACTCTCCTTGTTGTCCCTCAGCACCCTCATCACATGCTCGCACGTAATGCGGAAGCTTCCTTCGATATTGGAGACTTCCATAGCATACGTGAGCATTCGGGTAAGACGGAAGGGCACCCTCTCGGGATACTTCTCCCGCTTCATGGCCACTTCGAAGCAATCGCCGAAATCGATGTGGATGATCTTTCCAGTGATTCGGTCTAACATGAGATTTGAAGGGTGACGATCGCCTAGACCCAGGATGTAGCCAACCATGCTCATCACACCTAGACTGCGTGTGTAGTTCGTACGCCGCTCCAGCCAGGCCTCCGAACTCTTGCTCTTAAGCCAGAGCACGCGGTACAAGTCCTGACCAGTAGTGTTGTCAAGCGCATAACCGAAGACCTCCACCTTCTGCATCAGAGTCAAGTTGTCGTAGTCAGGTGCCATCTGCAACATAATGCGATGCTCGATATTAAGGAGAATCTTTCGGCTCTCTCGGTACTCTCTTATGAGCATGTGCACAGTGTCACTGTTCGGGACCCAGCCCAACAAACCAGAACTATGGCTCAGCGGGATCGCCGGGTATCTCTGAATGTTCAAGTGACGTTTGTAGCACTCCGAGTCGTTCGCCAGCAGTGTGTTGCAAAGGCCGAACAGCTGCATGACACGTTCGTCCTGTCGAATGTCTTCGTGGCCCTTGAGCAGGAAGGTATAAGACTGGCCATCGCTACCGTTTATGTTCAATTTTCGGGGACGTTGTTTACTGCTAATAACGCTGAACGTCGTGTCGAAAGACATAATGCGTACGATAGGCTGGCCGCTCTTGTAAGTACCTGGCACTGCAAGGTCGAGATCCTTGGCCTCCATCAGCTTCGGCGAGCAATACGTGAGCTCGAGGGATGTCATTTGCGGCAGCTGCCGATAGATGCGCCGATAGACTTGGTAATAAAGATCCCAGGCTTGATTGAGGTCATTCACATCGTGGCTGACCTCGTACTGCCTGCACCATTCCCTGGCTTCCGTAAGATCCCTGCCGAAAGTCTGAACAAAGGAGATCTCTCTGAGCGTCTCCGGACCACGGTCTAGTAATTGGTGGAGGGGCTCGAGAGCAGCAAACATGCCCTCGATGTTGTGGACGACAAAATACAAGCGACTTGCCTCCTCAAGGCCTTCATGCCACAGCTCGTGCCACAGAACAGCGACCCGAATCAGTTCATGACTGACTGTGTCAGCTTGCTCAACAAGCTTGGAGCTGTGCTGTCGCATGCTGTCCATGATTTGTGCAGCAGATCGCGAACGACGGCTACCTTGCCAGGACTTCATCGCCACTGTGAGAGGGTAGACCAAGGCTTGGGGATGCGCTCTGCCTACGTCGGCCAAGAGGTGATGGACGGACTGTTGGACTCGCTTGTTAGGCTGGTTGATGCGTGCAATCAGTTGTGGTATCACTTCAAGCCACGTGTCGACGCTGACATGCGTGAAACCTTCAGTGACAGCAGAGGTAACTTCAGAGTAGCCACCGTGTGTGAGCCAAAGGGTAAGCAATCGCAGAGTATCTTGCAGCGAGCTTCCCTGAGAAAGTGAGATGGACTCAAAGAAGCCGTGAACAGCTGGGACAACATGGTTGGCGACGACAGCGTGGTCGATCCGCGATGGAACGCCCTCGCCGTTCGATGAGAGCGCCTGGACGACCTCGAAATTTGCCAGAGCCCAAGCATGCCAGGCCTTGTACCATCTAGAGTTGTACTTTGTGGCTTGCGAGTAGCAGGTCAAGATCTCCCTGACATGCGTGTGTGTCCAGTTGTCGGTGTCTAACGCAATCATCCACTCTCCCTGACGGAGATAGCACTTCGCGAGCAGTACAGCCTCGTCAACAGTGGCTCTCTGTTGCGAAAGATACGCATCATGCGAACTATGATGGTCCGGATAACCAAGGCTATGCGATAGGTGGAAACTGTCACCGTTAGCTTGGTGCGACTGCATCGGCCCGGCTCTGATGAGTTCGAAAGCCTTTGCTGACTCTGCAGTGAACAGCCGGAGGCATCTGAGAGCCTTCTCCGAGATATCAGTGTCTTTGTGGGTAGCCTGTTGGCCAAGCTCCCACTGATACTTCAGAACAGCGTAGACAACCTGATTGGGTATATTGGGCCTCACGTTGCGATCGTTCCAGAAGGGAATCATGGACTCTAGGGGCGCATCGCTGCCAATAAGCTGTTTCAAGGATTTCTCGGCAAGGCTCATTCGTCCAGATTTTCGGCAGAGATTGGCGAATTTGATCCACATATGCATATTCTCTGTTGGCGTGATGACGAGTGCTCGCAGACGCAACATCCTCTGCCAGACATCAACGTTGCGTTGACAGCCCTTGAGGCGCTGTTCCCACGTCCGACGCATCGTGGACTGCTTCTTTGCATCGGTCTGCTTGTAGACGATGATCTCCTCAAGCTCCGCCAGCATTTGCACACGGACGATAACTTGGTAGGCCCGGTTATAAGACTCGCTGACGAGCGCACTAAGTTCCGTGTCAAGTCCTTCCCGAGCAGCCTCGATGTTCTGTGCGGCCTCTCTGAACTGGTTGCGATGCAAAGCGAGAATAGCGCCGAAGAAAGCTCTGTCCGGTGAAAACCGCTTCAGGGATTGCAAATAGTTGTCCATGGAGTCCCACTTCCCAAGGCCCCATGCAGCAGTAGTGGCTAGGGGCGCGATGAGTCGTTGGACCTCTGGTGAGGAGTTTGCCCACGTAGTCCCCGTCAACTGCCCCAGAGCATCCCATTCACCCAAAGCGTGCAGACAGCGCATCTTGCCCATAACAATCTCGACTGGCACTGCTTGGTCGTCAGGGATCTCAGCTTCGCGCTTGTTATAAAAGGCAAGAGCCTCTTCCCATCTCTCCAGCTTCTCGAACCAAGTCTCACGCAGCTGGATGCCGTCTTTATAAAGTTGGGCCTTGCGAAGGATACCAATAGCCGCATCAGACTGTTGAAGTTGGTTATTGATGACAATCAGCGCTTCCACCGCGCCGCTACTCTGGTCCTGAAGGAATTCCAGTTCTTTGTAGTGAAGAGCCTTTGCGTAGGCATGGCATCGTGCTGCTTCTCTGCCTAGAACGCGAATGTCGATAGGCAGAGCCTTGTCGTCATGCTCCATAAATTCGGCCAGATGCAGGAGAAGGTTGAGCAGATCTGGAGTTACGTTCTCCGATTTTATCGCATTCTCAAGATTGAGAATAAGCTCTTCCTGGAACTGTTCATAGAGTTCACTCCAACAGCTTACGAATGCTGAATTAAAGAGTTCTCGCGCAAGTGGCAAATAGACACTTGCTAACGAGGCGCAGGCTCTCAGCGCATGGTTTGGTGACTCAGTCAACAACGTCGTGCTAAACCGACGAAGCCATTCTTGCCAATCTTCTTTGGTTGACTTGCCCCTGGTGTCCCAAGCTGACTTCAGATGTATGGCGTTCATCTCCAACTTCTTAGTTCCGAGATCTGCGAAGGGCGTCTCGTCAACCTGATCAACGAAACGCGTCTCTGAGCTCAGGTCCTGTGGCAGAATGCCTCCCTCCTTGAGACGATTGACAAGCAGGTCGTAATTAGAGTGCTGTATGCCATTGTCTCGAAGAATCTTGCCAACGGTGTGAGAGAAATGTAGGTAGTCACGTCCCAGCTGCTGGATAAGAGCGCAAAGGGTGTCCATGGCGGCCATTCGGAGGGTCGGATCATTCGACTGTAGGACTCTTGTAAGAGGATGGATGATCTTGGCAGCGAAGTCATTGAGATTGACCTGCCGTGAGATTTTTCCAATCGTCTCAATCGCAGAACGGCGCAAGACTGTTGGATTGCTGGGTTTCTCAAACGTGCGCACGATGACCGGAATGATTAAGTGCATGTACTCTTCGGCACTCGAACCGAAAACTAGGAACGCATGAAGGACCTTCTCGGAGGCTGTACGCTTAGGGACTGTCTCATGCTCGAGAACGTGGAGCATCATGGGCAAGAGTCCGGCGAGATAGACCTTAAATTCGCCCTCGAGAGATCGAGAAATAGCTTCCACTAGCGACAGAATGGTTGATTGTAAAGTTGGTGGCTTGTCGGGGAAGAATTCTTGAAGGAGGTCCACAATCTCGGGCAGGAAGTTGCGAATATGCTGACGCACGATGCTCACCAACATGGCCAGCTGGTTGAAGTATGATTCTCGCCGCGGACCATTAGTGCTGCGAATGACCATCAGGAAGGCAGGTATAATGCGATCCAGGAAGGAAACGCATTCCAGACCAAGAGTGCGGAAAATGTTCATGATCGCATCGATGACCTGAGCATGGTAGGAGACCAGGGAATGATCCTTCAAGATGTTGAGAAGCGCATTGATGACAACAGTAGGATAGTACTCCTTGTTGGACGGGGTCAGACCGGTCATCATCAGCGAGACGTCTGTCATTGCTGTTGATTCGACCCGCCTTGAGATCTCAGGAGTGCGCTCCTCCACCTGTTGATATCGGTAGGGATCAAGGGCACCCAGGATACCGAGAAGTTTGATGGTCTCTTGCCGGAGTGGTCCATGCTGAGGTTCGCTGCGAATGATGTTCTGCAGCAGCTCGAGGAGCTGGGGGTGATCCAGATACGGTTCAATGACATAGCCAGAATTGCTAGCCAACTGGCCAAGCGTATGGAGGGCAGCCTCCCGTTTCTGAGACGAGCTTTGGTCCTGCAGTGCCTCGATTATCATTGGCATGAGCTCATCTTTGTAAGGCAGCATGCTCTCCCCTCCGACCGCACAAAGCTCGCCCAGCGCCTTGAGTATGGTAGCCGCCACAGACGGGGATTTGTCGCTAGCCTTGGGAAGGAGAACCTTCACCATGGAGTCCACATAGGGGTTGATGATTTCTTGAGCATTCTGGACCAAGAGCGACAGTAGCTTGGCACTTTCTTCCTTGTTCCTTGCCACGTTGGAGAATTCAAGCTCGGTAAGCATCTGGATCAGAGTCTTGCGGAGGGAAGGGGCTACGTAAGCTGGATTGTACCTGGCAAGTCTGCCAATGATCGAGATGGCCACCTCTCGAATAGGGAAGTACTCATCATTGAGGGCGAAAAACAAGGTCCGGATATTCTCTGCCTTCGAAAGGTGCCGATCGAAGCGCTCGTCGAGCGCTGCGAGCACTGTGCGGCGGATACTAGGATCCAGATCCGAAACTCCCACGGTCAACAGCTTCTCTATGACTTCGCCAACAACAGCCAGAGCGTGGTAACTCGTCTGGTTGACAATCGGGTCACGGACATAGAGTTGACAGCACGTCAATGCTGCTGCCTCCCGGATTTCTGGGTCGTCGTCTTCCACGTATTTGATTGCGACGTCGCGTACGAACTCATTAAGGACATGACCTACAGTCAAAACAGTCAGTTTAGGGGAAAAGGAACGTGAAGCCGATGTCTAACTGGGAATTCGAGATGCAAATAATTGAGAACTTGGTGGTGTAGATCACAAAGAGCAGCATCAAGAGACGTACCTGAGAAATCGAAGCTGCCCAGAGTGTTAAGCGCCAGCTTGATCTCGGCTTTCCTATGCTCATACGCTAATGGGTCCTTCGGATCTTTCTGGATGACGGGCACAGACGGGAGAGTATTCGGCTGCGGAGCGCCGAGCGGCTTGAATGGCTGCCCGCAGAGCACCTTGCTCAGCATATCGAGAAGCCTCTCCTGGATCGTAGCTTTGACTGGTGGTATGTAGAAAGCCATATCGACGAGGGCTTGCGTCAGCTTTGGCGTGAGCTCGCAAGCAAAGATTGGTGCCAGGAGGGCCTCCATATATTTACTCAGCGTCTGGCCAACGGCGACGGCGAGACGGCTGATGCAGTCAAACACAGGGTCGACAGAGCCGCGCTTACGCGACTGAACGCTCAAGCCCTCGCGGACGTAAATCAGAACACCGTCAAGATACGGAGCTATCGCACTCTTGACGGAGTTGGCGATGTTTCCAATCGCGAGGAATGCATCATTCCGCTCCTTCTCCTTCTTAAGCATGCTGGAAAGGTGAAGCATGAACCCGTGTAGCCGAGTGGACGCAAACTCCGATGGCGCGTAATTAGCGAGGTCGGGAATGAGCAGCACGACAGTCTTGCGAATTGTAGGGTCTCGGTGGTCCTTAAATCGAGACACAATGTCGCAGGCCTCTTGGTAGTGGTCCTGCATGTACATGCCGCCCTGCTCCAGCAATTCCTTCAATACCAGCAGAGATGCGTGGATCGACTCGACGGAGCCAGCTTTCAAGCCCTGTAACGCCTCGTTGTACATCTTATCCATCCAGATTTGTTTGAGCTCTTGGTCTCGCTCCCGTATGATACGGAAACACGCGCTGACGCACTCGGCAGACGTTGCCCGGATCAGGTGTCGTTGGTCCCTGAGCCCCGCCCACAGCATGTCGAAGACCATGCCAACGTACGCATACATGAGTGTGGGCGCATTTCTAGCGAGCTCCCGCAGAACGAGCACGGCACTGTATCTCCTCTCTTCGATGCGATCGGATTGTAGCCACTCGAGAGCGTTCTTGGTCTCGGCTTCGACCAGCTCTGAGATGATGGACCCGCCGGGCCTACACAGCTTGCCCAAGACCTCAGCAGCAGGGCGCATCGGGTTTATGTCCTTCCCTCGCAGTATCTGCCGCAGATTTTGTGTGAATCGGGTGTATTTCGTTGCCATGTCGATCCCTTCGAAGTCGACCAGCGTGTCGATGATGTAGACGCCTCCCAGGCGCTCGGCCGTGTCGTTGCCATGGATGATGAGATTGCTGATGGCCTTCTGCAACTGGGCGGACAGGATCGCGAAGTTTTCGGGAGCGAGCTCTGGCAGCCGGTCAGTGTTGATGTTGCGCGAGACGTCGCACAGGGGCAGGGAGAGTAGGACATACCGCGGTGGCACCTCTCGACAATCGCATCTCGTAATTGCCTGGCGAAGCGTTTGCGCTGGTCCTCAGAAATGGTCCTGGACTTGATTTCCCTGAGCAGGGTGTCCAGGTTCTCGAGGGCGATCTCGAGGGGCCTCGACGCTTGGTTGGCCATCTTGTCTTGGATGGCTGCCGTCCCTACACTGGGCAAGCTTCAAGGGCCTATTTCATTCTGAGAATCACAGGCTTGGGGATTTGGGGCAGGTCGAAAGCTCCGCCAGCGCCTTGTGGGATGGAGTGGGTTGTCGTGCGCGGATGAGGTCACCCAAGCTTGTCTTGATCTGTACGTCGTGTTTTGGGTGGTGCTGCGCTGCCAAACAATGCAGCCGGGGAACAGTGTGAGGGCTGCCCAAAAAGAGTGGCAGCAGGCAGACACTTTTGTCTCGATATGAATGTAAGAGGGCAAAGGAAGGGAGAGAACAACGAGACAAAGTTTATTACTGTATACTGCCAACTCACCAAGAGGCAGCTGGTGTAGCTGTTTCCTCCCGAGGTCCTCTGAGCCGCTTGTAGTCGGCCTGGGCGGGTGATGACCCCCCTGAACAAATCACCGACCCCAGCTTATCCTTATCGATAAATACCCGGTCGCAATGTACTCTGCGCAACAGCATCATTGTACCACTGGTGGGACACTTTCGTTCTCTTCCATTACTTAGCTTTCACTTTCTGCGCAGATTCGCAAAACGTCAAACCGCAAGGCACGGGGTCATCTTCCCAGAAGATATTGCTTCTATTGGTCACTATATTCCAATCGAATCAATCGACTCCTGCGCATCATGGGAAACGATGGCGGCTCCATCCCCAAGCGCCGCGAGCTCGTCAAGGAAGCCGCGCGCGCCCTCACCGTAAGCGAACTGAAGGCCAACGCACTCGAATCCCTCAGCCATGCATGGACACAGGACCCCCTATCCTCAGAGCCACTCGACATGGAGAACGTGGCATCAGATTGGCGAGGCAAACTGTACAACTACGAGTCCATACTAAAGGGGCTGGTGCCGAGCGGTGACGACGAGGCTGAGGAAGAGAAGGCCAACGGCAACGACATGACGTTCGCATCGACGGGGATAAAGAGCCTGCGCGACATCGTGAGGCTCAAGTTCAAGCGGTACAAGCCGGCTGGGACGAAGGAGAAGGAGATCTGGGCATGCCCCGTCAGCCTGAAGGAGCTGGGCCCATCGACCAAGGCCGTCTACATCGTGCCGTGCGGCCACGTCTTTGCCGAGGTAGCGATCAAGGAGATAACAGACCAAGAGCACAACTGCCCCGAGTGCAGCGAGCCGTTCGAGGAGCAAGACGTCTTGCCGATACTGCCAACGGAAGAGGCCGACTTGGAGAAGATGACCAAGAGGATGGAGAACCTGCGCGCAAAGGGCCTGACGCATAGCAAGAAGAAAGACAAGAGCGAGAAGAAGAAGAAGCGCAAGGCTGGAGAGAAGGAGGACGAAGGGTCAAATGGCGTGAAGAACGGTGGGGCGGAAAATGGCCGCCCGGCCAAGGCCCCAAAGTCTAGCAAGAACGATGCCCCCAGCATCAACAACCCCATGGCTGCAACGTTAACTGCAAGGGTCATGGCTGAGCAGGCTGAGCGGGATAAGAGGCGAAGATTGGCCTCGGTACGTGGTTGATGAGCAGACCGAAGGCAGGTGGAAGCCCGTGACAAGAGATTTAGATTTTAAATTCATAGCAAATGTGACATTGTGATACCCTCGCTCCCTTCTATATCTGGACCATTTCTCTAGCCTGTGATTGTACAATTGTATGGTTGTCAAAGATCGCTAGGACTCCCACTGGGAACGCCTCATCCGTTTGATGTCAACCACGCCATCTACAACTCGTCCTTGGACCGGACACCAGGCTCATGGACGTCCTCACAAGCAGCCGGTGTGCCAACCTCCATCTTGTACACACACTTCTCGGACTCGCTGACCCTCCAGATCTCCTCCGTCTCGTGACAACCTAGCCAGACATCCGTTCGCCGCTGCGGTCCGTTCCAGCAGCTCTGACCGTTCTCGTAGCGCATCACCTGGCGCGGTCCCTTGCCCAGGCTCTTACCATCCAGACGCTCTTCGTCGTCGGCCTCCTCGATGTCGATGCGGGTGAACTTGCCCATGTTGGTGTTGGCGTGGCCCTTCTTGGACTTCTGAGTGGTCTTATCAAGCCAGCAGATCTCGTAGGTGTATTCGCCGCTATCAACATCGACACACTTGTCCTTCAGGACGCGGAAAATGTCATCAGGACCGTAGTTCTTCTTGAGATCTTCCTCCTGGTCGCCGAGAGTCCTCTCCTTCTTGGACAAATCATCAGATACCGCTTGGAAGGCCTCGCGCGCAGCAATCACCAGCTTCGACTCGTGGCCAGCGGAAGGGTTGTCCGCGATGATGCCGTTTTCGATCAACCAGACTCTGAGGGTGTTGATCTTTCCGTGGAGATAAGCCCGCAGGGGCTCGGGCAGGTAGGCCTCGATGCTGTAGACTGCTGGGAGTAAGCAAGTTTGTTCATGCCACAGTGAGTCAGTGAGACTTACGGATATCGGTGTCGACAGTTTCCTCGCCTTCGAATTCATTCCAGTTGATGCCAGAGGTCTCACTATCCGGTTTCAGAACCGCATCTATGTCAGACTCCTGGAGCTTGGATTCTTTGGCGTCTGCTGTCTTGGCGGCATAGTCCTCCCAGCCCTTGACAGCGGCCTTGACACCCTCGTCGTTGAAGTTGGGGTTGTACTCCTCCTTGAATTTCTTGAGGATCTCCTCCAGCTCGAGGACCCGCTCTTGGAGGGAATCGCGCTGGTCTAGCACCCTTTCAAGCGTATCACGGAGTTCGTTGACCCTGCCCCTCGCGAGGGCCACCAAGACTCCCAGCTTCCCACCCTCTCCATCAGTCTTGACGACCTTTCCACGTTCCGACCGCTCGACTTCATTGTACTTCTTCTCCAGCTCGTCCTTCTTGGCCTGCAAACCCTTGACCTCCTCCTCCAGGGATGCGATCTTAGCCTCCACCCGCCGTCGGAGTTCTCTGGCTTCCTTGGTCATGGTCCTCCGGCGCTTGGCGGCCTTCTCCTTTGCCTGCTTGCGAGTTTCCTCGAGCTTTCGGTACTCCTTGCCGATGGAGTCACAGCGGTTCTGGCACTTGACACCACCAGCATGAGAGTATTCCTCGCTGCCATCACAGCAGAGGTCGTGGTCGCATACACCGTCATTGACATAGATGAAGGGTACATATGCGCCTATATGACCTGCGTTTTCGCACCAGAAGCCAGGTAAGGCGTTCGTGACGTTTGTCGTTCCGCTTGTCGAGGCGGGAAGGGGCTGTTCCGGGGACAAGGGATCAAGATGCGCGCAGGCAGCAGTGCCTGGCTCGTCAGAGCCATCGGGACAGTCGCAGCTGTTGTCGTTGATCTGAGAGGACTTGAGGACGATGGAGGGATGCCCAATGCATTGGAATGTCTCTTTTGTCGCGAAGAACTTGGCAACTGTGGTGATTTGGTCAGCCAGCAATCATTGAAAAGTGTTCAGCATTTGTTGATAGAATTATGGCACCAGGGATTGACGAATCCATGGTCAATTGGGTTCAAAGGTGTCCTGAACGGGTCGGTCTGCATGGAGACTTACACTCAGGGCCGACACCTCGAGGCAAGCTCTCAGCGGCTGCCACCCGAGAGCTGGCAAGGGTGCTTAAAAGCACCACAAAGCCTTTTTGATGCATTTCCAAGCTTGACTGCCCTGCTTTCCTGAACGTGCAAGAAAACACACAGCTACTCTTCGTGTCGTCGTGCTGTAACCCAGACTGTGAAGGTCGGAAGTTGAAGTTGCGCTGTGACCTAGAGCATTAGCACGGGCATGAGCATTGCTGGCAACTCCAGAAACGACCCCCTGCAGCCAGCCAATCACCGACCACAACCCCAGGTTTTGAGACCGGCCGGCAACCCCAGGTGCAGATAGCTCTGTGCCTGCCCTCAACCACGCCTCCAGGGCCTTGCTGCTCGCTCCCAGCTCAGTGAATCTGCCCCACTGTGAAAACTGCCCCGCCATTCTTTTCCAAAAGTTCAGTTCAGATGGTACTCTGGTGAGCCAACCAGCCGCCGTCGAGCGAGTGCATATATCTGCAGAGCACGGCTTGGATTTCCCAATAACATGGCCTCGTCAGCTACCAAAGGGCTCGAGGAGCTCAACTCGCTGGTCAACAGTGCTGTCACGCTCATTCAGGGTTTCGAAGTGTCTCTCAAAGATGTTGTCGACTCCAACAGTGACTCAGGCCCGTCCGCAGACAAATGGGCCGCCTCGAGGTCACCAGAGGACGGCACGAAGCCTCTGGACTGCCTAGCCCTTGCGAGAGACTCTGCATCTCTGGTCAAGGCTCATGCCACCAAAATTTCCCTCCTGATCATTACCGAGCCCTTCACGCCATCTGCGATCTGTACGGTGCTCAGGCAGCTCATCCAGGAGCCTATCCCAGCCATCGTATCCGCCGTCCAGCTATGTCACGCCGACTCGTACACGAAACTCATCCGCCGGGATCTGGCGTGGCGATGTGGGCGGGTCCTCAAAGAGATGAGAGAACTCATCCAGAAGATCCCCTTAGACGGCAAAGTCCTACCTCCGGAGAAGCGGGATGGTCCTTCGGGGCCAAAGGGTGGCAAGGGCAGCATCATGGCGACTGGTGTGCTGTGGGGTGTTTGTGACGAGGTCATCAACTTTGCCAACCTGGGTGTGGTGGGTCATCTTGTTCACAGGGCAGAGCATTTCAGGGACACGCTCAAGGACGTCATGGAGGAACTCAAGGAGTGGTCGGAGGAGCAGGATGAGGATGACGACGAGGACGACGACTCTGATGATGGGGAGGGAGGCCACGACCAAGCTGTCTTAGATCTCGCCGAAGATGTGAACAACACTCACATCAGCACTCAGGCCATGATTGACGACCTCATGAACTCGAACACTGTCATCCCACGCGACGATCCCGACAAAATCAGGGACCGACTGGACTCGACTCTGCGCAGGCTACGACTCACTGTCCTGCTCTTCCAGGCTCTAATCAAGCGAAGGCTCAAGACGCTGCCAAAACTGCCACTGGCTTCTCAGGATGAATCAGTGGTTGTCTCCCGCCTAGATGAAGTACTGCCTCTCCTTCGAAAGATGGCCGACCGTTTCAACAGTCTTGCCGTCGCATTCTACGATCTTGATTCAGCAGAGATCACCCGGCTTATGGACCAGTGCTTCTTCGATGCTTTTGCGGTCTCGGAGCTTTTAGCCAAGCCTTGGGCAGGCCAGAAGGACGAGTTTACGGACTGGGTCGCCAAATTTCAGGTCGAGATCAAGAAAAGTTGAGGGATGTGGAATGATGGAATGAAATCACTTTAGGGGAACGAGCAAACTGCTGGGCAGTGGTCATCATGCTCATTGTAGAGTAGTGATCCAGACATATCTCAGACCACACTGTGTTGTGAACATACCACCCAAACAAGATGCACAACGTGTACTCCGCGTTGAGGTTCCTGGAGCGAAGCACAGTCTTCTTGACATAGCTCGCACTCGCCACTAAAGTTGACGAGAACAAGGACGGGCAAATCTCAGTCAAGCGGGTGTTCTGAAGGAAGAGGATCTGAGCCTGACGAAAATGTCACAGTGGAACGGACTACTTCTGGTAATATTCTGGGGTAAATCCTGTCATCTACACACATGTCTCGGTCTTTCAGCAAGCAAAGGGCCCACAACTGTGAGGGCGAAATGCGAAGCAGCGAGATATTGGAAAGCAGTCCAGCCTGTGAGACAAGCTGGGTGGGTACAATAGCCTATACAACAAGCACTAAAATAGAGCTCAGGGGTCTAGTTCCTGTATGATTGATAAGCTCGGCCTCCGGCCTTGTGCGCCCAAGCTACGCTAAGCGAGAGCAACAGGGAGCCTCACCAATTCCCCTATGATACCTTACCTGCTTACTTACCAGACGACATGACTACGAACATGTCTAAGTCTTAGCAACAGCGCAAAAATGTGCATTGTTCGTCCCTCGGCCTGCTCAGCTAATGCGAACGACACTCGTCCAGATCTCAGCACACTGCTATACTAATCGAGGCGGTTGCCAGAACAGTGACATCACCACTAGGACTTCCCCATTCGGGCCCGAGAGGACGTATCGTGTCCGACATGGATCGGATGAACAATGAGTGCGAGTAGACTGATTATCAAATGAGCAGTACTGCCGTGCGTGTACAAATCCAGGTTGATATCTACTCTTTATATAATACTGTCCCGTCTTGGATTATAGTTTCAGAAAGATGATGAAGGTAGACACTTTCGACCTTACAAGGAGCAACATCTGAGGAGTGTCTTCGGTTATTGAGAACGCCTGACAACGTAACGTTCTCCCCGACGAGTACTCTTCGACCTCCGAATATAAACAGAGCGGCCGGCAACCATAGATACATTGATCACTATTTAAGTGTACACTGCGGAGCGAGAAGCCAGCGACAACACAACGGCCGTCAAAATAGTCCTCCATCACCTCTGACCTCACCACCAACGCACCTAAGCCACCGTCATGTCCAAGCCTTTCGTCGCCGTGGCTGGAGCCACAGGCCAGCTGGGTCGAGTCATCGCAACGAACCTGCGACAACGTAACGTCTCCGTCAAAGCCATCGTCCGGCCCGGCACAGCTCCCTCACGCACCGAGGCCCTGCGGAACGCGGGCGTCATCGTGGCAGAAGCAGACCTCAGCGACGTAGCCGCCCTGACGAAGAACATGCAGGGCGCAACATGCGTGGTGTCGGCACTGAACGGCCTGCAGGATACCATGCACGGCACACAAGGCGCGCTGCTGGACGCCGCCGTCGCCGCCCACGTCCCTCGCTTTATCCCTTCCGACTTCTCTCTCGACTTCACCAAGACGGCGCCCGGCTCTAACCGCAATCTCGACCTGCGCAGGGAATTCCACACACGACTAAACGAGTCCGGCATCCAGTGGACGTCGGTACTGAACGGTGGTTTTATGGACCTGTTGGGCGGCCAGGCGCCCCTCATCAACGACAGCTTCAAGCGCGTCCTGTACTGGAATAGCGATGAGCAGAAGCTGGACTTCACCACGGTCGCGGACACGGCTGCCTACACGGCCGCCGTCGCTGCGGATCCGAACCCCACGCCGCGCTTCCTACGCATCGCTGGAGACACTTTCACCGCGAAAGAGCTTGCTGAAATTGTGACCCGCGTGCGCGGTGCGACGTACTCGACGATGTGGGTGGGGAGTGCTGGGTTCTTGGAGGGCGCGTCAAGCTTCATGAGGCGCTTCTCCATCGGTGGAGGCGAGCAGGCCGTCTTCCCGGCGTGGCAGGGCAGTAAGTGATTCCGAAGTTACGCACTGTTTCTCTGCAATCATGGATAGCTAACTTGAGATTTTACAGTGCAATATATGGCGAACATGTTCTCAGGAGATGGGAAACTAGACCCCTTGGATAATGACAGATACCCTGGGTTGAAATGGACTAAGGCCGAGGAATTCCTGGCCCAGCAACAAGCTTCATAACCAGAATCAGTGGTTGTTGGGTAAGTAATGTGTAACACAATCAGTCATGTACAGGCATTATGCTTTTGCATACAAGAGAACTTGATCGCTGTTGCGAGCGTCGTACGAAGATATTTACGGGGTCGAAGCAAATGAAAAGGAAATTTAGATTATAATGAAATAATACAAGTGAAGTCATGTCCCTTTGTCATATATACAAACTGAAATGGACAGTCGCTTCCTTGTCCGACCCAAAGTCTACTAATAATCTTCATTTCCGAAAAGAAACCTCATCATCCAATCTCAGCTACCCTCCCTCAACTCGGCACACCAGCAACAATGTTCGCATACTGGCTATTCGGGTAGCTCAACAAGTTCTGGTCGGAGTTCAGCGAGCCCAGCGCGTTGAGGCTAGTAGTAATGAGACTGGAGCTATCATTCTTGTCGGCCGACGCCTCCCAGAACATGCTCCCGCCAAGCCCCTTGCTCTTGAGGTACGAAACCTTGGTCGAGACCATGTCAGGGGTGTCATAAGAGATGAGCTCCTGCGCCGACGAATCATAGCTGTACGTCGCGCCGGCCTTGACGTCCGTGATGACGGTGGCGCCGGCCTTGGGCAGCGCCTTGTAGTCCCACACGCCGTTCTCCCACGAGCCAGACCCAACACCGGTGTAGGGCTGGCCGATGCCGGCGGTTTGCTCGAATGAGCGCCCGTAGATGGGCATGCCGAGCACGATCTTGCTCGCGGGGACGCCCGCCGAGATGTAGTCAGTCACGGCCTTGTCGGTCGAGTACTTGGCGGCGAGTGGGTTGCCCGAATCGCTGGCGTTGTACAGATTGGCCTGGTGCCCGCTCGTGCTGTCCCAGCTGCCCGCGTAGTCATAGGCCATCAGGTTGAAGAAGTCCAGGTAGTTGGCCATGGCGGAGAGTTGCATCGTGTTGTAGTTCTGCGGGCCGGCGGGTGAGGCGACCGTCAGCAGGAAGTGGTAGCCCGGGGCGTACTGCGCGGCATAGCTGTCCAGCTCTGAGCGGACGGCTTGGAGCAGGGAGACGAAGTTGGCTGCCTGCGTGGAGTCTGCTGGGTATTCCCAGTCGATGTCGATGCCGTCTGTTAAGAATTACAAATTAGCATTCTCGGTGCCTAAGAAAAGGACAGCTTCCGCAAGCCATCTTGTTGCGATAATACGTACCAAAGCCCCAGTCTTTCATCAGGGTTACTGCTGTTGAAGCGAAAGTCGCACGAGTGTCCGCTGTGCTGGCTGCCGCGGGAAAGTTGGTTGAATAAGTCCAACCACCAATGCTGAGGAGCACTTTCAGCTGTCGATTGGCTTTCTTCTGAAGGTATAGCTGCTTCACGCAACCGTATGCATTGTTTCCGACATCGTTCCACGCTGAAATTCGAAGTGTCAGTATGCAATATTAGGACATGAAGCGCAACAAGAGCTACAGGGCCGACTCACAGTCTGTAGCATAGTGCTTCTGCAGATCGGCATAGCTGTCCGACGAGTATCTACTTTGAGGTCAGCAGTTGCTCACTAGCATCATTCCATTATTTAAAGGAATTCTAGCTTACACTTCACCACTGCTTTGTAGATTTGCGAATGCGTACAGGACGATACTGAGCTCATTGGCTGGTAAAGACTGCGGCTGGTAGTTTCGTCCATAGATACCCCTGGACAAATTAATACGAGCTTACTTTGTCTTGAATTTTCCAACAAGACACGTACCAGTTAGTGAAGTATACAGTGTTCTGATAACCACTTGCTCGTTTGTCAACTTGCGCTATAGGACTGGAAGACGCGAGCCAAGGCGCTAAGGCCAGAATTGAAGTGAAAAGACTGGAACGCATGTTGAAAACAGTTTGAGGCTAAGGGAATGGGTATATGTGGAATATTGTGGGCAGAAAGGAGCATCGTCGGGCACTTCTACTGGAGGATAGATGAGTGTCGGTGTTATATATGTCTGAGTTTTTAATTACTAACATCGCGTGTCAAGGTAGCATAGGGTTTATCAGACACACATGGCACAGATGACCAACGGGATGTCTCTTCTCAACTTCACGTGGTAGTTTCACTTCCAAAGCTGGCAGTTGTCCAGGTTGACTTTGATAACTCGAGCAGCAGCAACGTTGCCCATCTATGTGCCGGAATTCCGAGCTGCAGGAAAGAAATAGCCATTCTCCTTTCTCAGACAAGGGAGAGTAGGGACGTATGATCAAGGTCCCATCACCAGGGCATGCTATTTGCCTCGCCTCGTCAGTGTTAAGTCTCACCAGGTGCCTTTTGGTGCTGGCAAGAGCTGTCCACTTGCCTGCTCCCACCAAGCGCGCGACCAGCTGACCAGGCCTCAGAGCCAACAGAACGTCCATGTAATCTCTCTTCCTAGGGCAAATTGGCTGAAAGAGTAAAGTGGCCTCTGTAGTCGGTCCAGGACGTTGCATCATGTTAATCGTGCGTTAGATGGCTGACCCTGTCATCTGGCCTAAAGGGGGCTATCGATGCAGGTACCGACCGTAGAGTCTTGTGAAGTCTTCTTTCTCGAATCGGAAAGTATCAATCTTTGCCGAATTTCCTTGTAGACGGAGTGGGCCAATTGAAACGACTGTACGCTCTATGAAGAGCCCGGAAGGATTTAAGCCTGCCGGGTAGGGTGCTTAGTCGTTAATGATAAGTCGTTGCATGTGAGCAAGACCATAGGTGTATGAGCCGGGGTTGGTGTGGTCACTTGCTCTTTTTGGAAGTTGTCAAATTGTCGCCGACAGAATAAAAGGCCGAGAACCGCTCGAGGGGCGTAACATCGTGGCCCATACTAATCTAGACACGCGCCGCACAGTCCCGTCTGCTGGGTGGCTCGGCTGTGATAGAGTGGGTGTATCGTCAACGAATCACGGACGAGTCGTGTCAACCTCCAAGCCGGACCTTATCAAAACAACGTGGCCCGAAGTGTCCTCAGGACTTCATGGTCATCTTGATAAGGCACCTTCTGAGTCGCTATGATGCAATGTGTATTGTCTCGGCTCAAAGTGACAGGTCAATCTTTATTGCCGAGAAGGCGGTTGTCAGCTGGAGCACACTGCGATCTCTCAAGCCGACACGCGCTCCAGACAGGCTACACCGGTCCCCACAGAACGGTAGTCGGGTCAAATCAATTTCGGGAGCAGCCGCAGGAAACTACTTCCATAGCACTCGGGGTGGTCTAGAAGGAGGAATCGTGGCCGCCTGGGCAAGATTTAGGAGCGTACATCTGGTATATGTTACATTAATAAAGGTAGCCCTGCAACGTTACCCGCTTTGCCGTGCCGTAGACATTGTGGGTATTTTTCTTTCACTCGTCTCCAAGATCCCGGGGACTAAGTAGCATCCGCCCTATTCCATTGGATAGACGTTATTTTTGGGGAAATTGATGCCGAGATTGGATTCCAGCCGGGCGCCTCTGTTGAGAGTGCACGTGAGTGAACTTGATAGACATCTTGGGGAAATCGTGTGATCGGAGTCATTTCAATCCGACTGTGATGCATTACTCCAAGATAGGAGGTTCGCTTTCGACATTTATTTTTCCCACTCCGACATGTCTCGGAAGGATGATATCGAAGAGGCGAAAGGGAGTCGGACGGTCCCGTGCGATGGCCATCACAAGTCTAGCAGCCCAGCCAACGCCTCCGCGATATCCTGGGCAAATCCCTCATCATTAATGTCCCTCTTGTCCTCCACCACCTTGATATTAGATCCCGCAAGACCGTCCCGCACGGTTGTAAAGAGCACCTGGTCCGCTTCCTCATCCGCAAACGGGCCGCCGGGAGTAGCAATCATGCTAACACCCCCAAGCGGCATCCACAGCTGGACCAGTTCTGGCCTCCTTGCGTGAGACCTCAGCTTCTCGGCGATGAACTGGCCGACCTGCTTGCACTCCTCCGCTGACGACCTCATCAACGTCACCGTGGGATTGTGCTCATAGAGCTTCCTGTTCTTGTATTTCTCGGGGACTGTACTCTTCGGACCAAAATTGGTCATGTCGGTGGCCCCGAGACTTATGATATTTGGTATCCCTGCTTCGGCTGCTGCTTGAAGACGGTCCTGACCAGCTGACATAACTCCTCCGGTGTGAAGGTCGCATATTTCGGTTGTTGTCAAGTCTAGAACGGCATCCAGCTCTCCCTGTCGCACCAGCCTTTCCATAGCCTTCCCGCCGTGACCGGTTGCGTGGAAGACGTATATCTCGACGTCGTACTTGGACTCCAGGTGTCCTCGAATCGCGTCAACGCCTGGCGTCGTCACACCAAACATCGTGATACCGATGCGCTTTTTGGATTTGTCTGTCATATCGTGGGAGCCGCGTTGTCTTGATGCATAGGCTTTCGCAGCGGCTCCGATTGCAGCCCCTGCGTTGCTAAGAATATTCCTCAATACTTGATTCAGTCCAGCCACGTCTACCACAGAGTATAGCATCGCAATATCAGTCTCGCCCACTATGGGTCCCGTATCACCGCTGGCAACTGTGGAAACAATCATCTTGGGAAATCCTATTGGCAAGACTTCCCTCATAACCTCGGCTGGCTTTTTGTCAGCGCAATGGCCAATTCATAGACGTGAACAAGTACATTACCTGCCAGACTAGTGCCCCCTGACCCACCCGCGTTGATGATGCCATGAATCTTGCCCTCATCGAAGAGCTCCTTCACAGCACGACGGGCGCATGCCGCCATGAATTTGATGAGCTCGCCTCGAGGCAGGTCGGCCGCCTTTTTTCCCTCGCCGTGTTTTGTGATCAGTGTGGCCTGTGTGATGTCTATAGCGTCATGTTCGACATTGTCTCGACCGACATCGAGTAAGATCACTTCAACCGAGCCCTGACCTCGGATTTGGTCTTTGAGAAAGAGTAGCTCCTGTAATTTGGTATCACAGGTGCCCAACAAAAGGACTGTAGCAGAGGTACATGCGTGAGACATGGCGTAGGAAAAACAAGAATTTGTGCTCTTGCCCACTAATTTGTGTTTATATTAGTAATTTAAATGAGGCAGGCCGTTGACATCTCGGTTGTCTTCTTTGAGAATGAAGTGGAAACAACGGATGCGATACTCGACTTCAGGATGCAGGTGGTGAGGGTGCTCTTTGAGGGGTACAGTATTTCGAGAGGGTATTAGAGCAAGTAAGTAAAGGTCAAATACAGAGATCCAGGCTTATGACATTGAGTAAAGTCAACTACCTGTCACAGACAGCAGATTTGCCATGTGAGATCATGTAAGTCGATGAGGTCCACTTTGCGAGTGAAAGCTTGGGAAGGAGGAGGCACAATGCGGGGCTTCGTGAGCAAGTTCCAGTGACGTCAGGAATGACATCCTTACCAATACGTTCGAATCACGAGAGACATGGCTTTTGTGAATCCCGACAAATATCCCGACTTGTAACAAAAGCATACTTTACAACTTCGTGGACGGGCTAGCAAACAGACATGGCTCCACCGACGAACCGCCAGGAGATCTTGGATCAGCTTCGGGGTCAGGTCGACAAGGGCCATGCCATTGTTGGAGCTGGTGCAGGGATCGGGCTCTCAGCCAAGTTCGTCGAGGAAGGGGGAGGAGACCTGATCATTATATACAATAGCGGCCGGTTTCGAATGGCTGGCCGGGGATCGCTGGCAGGCCTGATGCCGTATGGCAACGCAAACGATGTGGTGCTAGATATGGCAAGTAAACACCAAGCTAGAGCTTTTCCAGTGCCGTGTCAGAGGCTAATAATGTGCCTCTAGGCGAATGAGGTGCTGCCGGTAGTGAAGCACACTCCAGTCATCGCTGGCGTTTGTGGTACTGATCCTTTCCGGAACATGCCTGCGTTCCTCAAGCAGCTCAAGGACCTCGGCTTCGCTGGCGTGCAGAACTTCCCAACCGTGGGGTTGATAGATGGCCAGTTCCGGGCCAACCTCGAGGAGACAGGCATGTCATATGACCAAGAGGTTGACATGATCCGGTTGGCGAGAGAGCTTGATATGATAACAACGCCATATGTTTTCAACGTGGAAGAGAGCAAGAAGATGGCAGAGGCGGGAGCAGACATTCTTGTTGCCCATATGGGACTGACTTCGTCCGGAAGTATAGGGGCCACCAGTGGGAAGACCGTAGATGAGTGTGTCAAGCTGATCCAGAAGATCCGAGATGCCGCTGCGAAGATTAAGCCGGATGTGATAATCCTTTGCCATGGTGGGCCTATCGCTGCTCCAGATGATGCCAAATACGTCCTGGAGAAGGTAAAAGGAGTACACGGATTCTACGGAGCATCATCCATGGAAAGGTTGCCAGTCGAGGAGGCTATCACCAATATCACCAAGAACTTCAAGGCCTTGAAACCGAGTTCATAGCGCGAGGAAGACGCTGGGTTGATGGCAAAGAGACACCGGAGACCACGCCTGAGAGCCCGACGCCAGAGTGGAAAAAGCAATGCCTCTGTGCTACTTAGTTGATTATCAGTCCATCCACGTCTCATCAAAAAGAATAATCTCAAAATCAAACATATGATAATGCATCAATCTTCATTCGCCTAACAAGTCGTCCATTTACTGCTTGTCATGGTGGCCGATGCTTATTAGCGTGCTGAAAAGAAGGAGGCGTTGCAGGCATGTAGTGGTCACCAGAAGGAGACGCGCCTTCAGCAGCCGCATTCTCCCGAGGAGGCGACTCCACTAAAATTTTCCAGAAGCCGAACCCTTGCAATGACGATTTCGATCTCCATCCAGTCTGGGTCAATCTTTTACCAATCTCGACCAGAATCCCATCCTTTCTGCCAGCAAATATCCAGCAAACTTCAACTCCATTACCGGCAACTGCTTCCCTGGTGACCCCTCTGAACCTGTATTAGCCAGACCACAGAATACTCGAGCACGATGGGTTGGTTCTGGGCTGACGCTACAACCATCCACACACCACTCGCCGCCCCTTCGGCGCAGAAGCCATCCTCTTGCCCGGTGCCCCATCAACAACGTGGAGATGCAGCACCACCAGTAAGTTTCTGTCACAGTGTGCTGTCTGCATAAAGATGGCTCCCATGGCTAACAAGAGATCAGCCGAGCTGTCCCATGCACAACAAGACTGTCAGCGTCCTAGGCTCTGCAGCACCTTCGCCTCCTCCAACACCTCCGCCGTCATCATGCCCCGTCCCACACGACCAGTCGCCGACCGGCAAATCCGATGATGCCTCGTTTCTCTCCAAGATTAACCCTCTCAATTACATGTTCCGCGAACTGTCCCAAGCACCCGCACCAAACCAGACACACGCCCTACCAGTCGAACGCGATCCAAGCTCCATCCCCAAGGGCACCGGCGACGGCAACTGGGAGTACCCGTCGCCGCAGCAGATGTACAACGCTCTGCTGCGCAAGGGCTATACGGACACGGACGTGACGGCCGTGGAGAGCATGGTGGCCGTGCACAACTTCCTGAACGAGGGCGCCTGGGCCGAGGTCGTCGAGTGGGAGAAGCGTTTCGGCGGCGGCCTGTCGCGGGCCTGGGAGATCTGCAGGCGCGGCGAGGAGAACGCCCAGGAGACGCAGCGCGTCCTCGACTGGAAGAACAACGTGGAGCCCATAAACCCCACCCTCATCCGCTTCCAGGGCCGTCCCAAGGAAATGACGCCCAAGGCGGCCATGTTCCAGGTCATGGGCTGGTTGTATCCAGCTAAGTTTGCGTGAGCATCATCCGTGCATTATTTTGGTGACTAGAAGGGATTTATCGCTAACATGCTGGTAGTACCGAGCCTCCGTTCGACCGCCACGACTGGTACGTCGCTCGAAACGTTGACGGCAAGGAGAAGCAGGTGCGCTACGTTATCGACTACTACAGCGGTCCTCCAGAGCCAACCGGCGAGCCTGTGTTCTACCTCGATGTTCGGCCCGCCCTAACTCCTACCGGCGCCGTTGAGCGGATGATGAGGTGGGGCGGCGACGTCTGGTGGAGGGCTTCAGGCGGGGCGGTCCGCGAGGCCGACCGAAGGTCTCAACAGTAGTGTCTCAACCTAGCCCGACAGGCGGGAAAATGTACAAAGCGGTGGATTCATCATTTCATTGGCGCTTTAGATGGCATAGTTATGGGCTTTGACTTGAGAGCTGGCGTTTGGGAATGGGAATACCGAATGGTGCGTGTCTTCTTCACGGCCGATTATGCCCGGCCCTTGCCACGAGTTCCACTACTCCTCTCTTGTATAGAATTACGATTTGGATGACAGCAACATGTAATGTACAACATGCCCATTATTAGACCGCGAAACAGCAGTGCAGCCCGATTTTGTCCGACTGATCGTGCCCACGTCTCAATTACTCATGGCTCATCCTAGGTCGTGGCCGCCAGCTGAGTGACCTGGTCCAGCAAAGCCTGACTCTCCCCAGCTGCGTTCTTAATGACCTTGTCCCTGAGGTGGTCAACTTGTTGACCCGCAGCAGCAGGCGGGTTGCCCTATTCGATCATCTCTGGTTAGCAAGCGATTCCCACGCATTCAACGCCTTCACTATTCCGCATCCGCAGATAAACAAAGGGAAAGAAAGCAAGCAACATACCTGAGCAGTCTGGACCCTGCTAACCTGCATGGCCAAGAAGAACTTAGGGACCTTGATAGCCAAGCTGCCGCCAACACTGCGCAGGCCGGCCTCGGTGGCCAGGTAGACGTTGAGCTGGTCCTGCAGGGTGGCCAGGTCCGAGTCGGCCGGGTTGGCGGCGGTGGCGAAGGTGTCGAGGGCGAACTGCAGCGGGCTGGACTTTGATTGGGAGAAGTCGACTTGGCTGAAGCTGACAGAACCAGAGGTGACGTCCGGGACGTTGTCAATGGTCGTCGTCGATCCGCAGGTGACCGCGGACTGGATCGCCGTGACAGAGTCCTGCACCTCGGCCGGGAGGGCCGTCTTGCCCACCACGAAGCAGGCGTTCTGGCGGGCCTCGAGGGGCGCTGTGAGGGTTTGTCAGTCTATTTTTGGAGGGCCAGACGGTGATGCCATGTAAGAAGGAGGAAATGACTTACCGGCACTGGTCAAGGACAGGCTGGCGAGAGCCAGGGCGAAGGAAGTGGTATAACGCATGGCGCAGAAGTGGACGGGGAAAGGGTAAATTCCGACAGGAGAATCGAGCAGAAGCGACAGTTGAGCCGATAAGACGCAGAAGAAGCGTGAATTCGAAAAGGCAGGACCGGCTGCAAAGAAAATTTACGAAAACTGATTTTTGGCTGAAAGAGTGACAGGCCGGGCTTGGAAGATCAACGGATCGGACGAGATGATCGACGGACTCGGATCAACGAGAAGGGATGACATTTATAAACTGTAACCGAAGTCCTCCTTTCCTAGAGCGCATCTCTATTTGGATATACGTGTATGCGGTAGCAGCGCGCCGACGTCCATCGTGTGACACACGTTGGGTTTCATAGGATAGGAGTGGATCACCAAAATACCACGGTCAACACCGCACACCTGCAAAACTGCCCATGTCTAGCCTTCGGAGAAATTCAAGTTTTCGAACACGATCATCTGACACACCTTAGGCGCCCCCAGGCCGTCAGAAACTTTGATTTCCCTGGGGAGCAGTTTATGCTTAATACTAGTCGAACTGCGCGCGCCACCCCTGAGCCGCAGGGTTTCAGGAGGCTGTGTCAAACCCAGGCGTGAAGTACTCAATGTGGACAAGGGGGCGGAGCGAGCCGCCGCAGAGAAAGCTTGGCAGGAGCCGCATACGTGGGGATGGGGCTCAAATAACTCTGGGCACGGAGACTTCACCCATCTTTCCTTGTTGCGGAATTTGGCAAGCGACCGTCAACGGCTGGTTGCGTTGGTACTTTAAGATCGCCCATCCTCCCTCGCCCCTCAAAAGTTTCTTGGACCTGTGGTTTGGCCCGTTTCGCGAGCCTCCCCGTGCCCGCCTCCTGTATCGAAGCCATTCCCTTGTCCGTTTCCATTGCTCGCCGCCGAGTCCTGTGATCCTCGTCTATCATCGGTGCTGAATATGATCACCGACTCCACCGCCCGGGCGGTAGAGGGCCGACTGCAGCTCTCGCTCCCAGAGCGGAGTCGTTTCCCTATATGTCCATGGTCCGTACAGTTCGTCAATATCGACTGACTGACCCTCATGCTCTATATACGTCCACATCAGGAATCAAGTACGCGATCTCGCTGTCTGGACGGCGTTTTTGACATCGCCCAGGAACGGATGCTTTTGCGCGCAGACCACCAGAACTCGAGCTTTCTGACACTCTCCCGGTTTTCATTTGCTGCGCACCAGGCTGGTCAGTCGGAGTTCTGTGGCAGTAGCACGCTTTTACCCTTGATTTCCAGCTGTGGACTGGTAAGCGCTGGGAGTCAAGAACTTACCTCGGAAACAACTGCTGCGTGTTTCACTCCCATATTCTGACCGATCCACTTCAGCCTGCCCTGAACGTAATCCCTCTGCTCGGGGGTGACGAACTGACTCTCTGCCGCCAGGACCAGAGGCCAGATTACCATTAAGTTGGTAATACCCTCCACGGAGCCCGCATCATCACTCCCGCATGGCGAGTGGGCTCCCTTTGGAGGATCTTTTGCCATTCCTCTCCAGGAACATAAATATGGAATGCTAGCAATAATGTTCTTGATGTCCTCCTTTGCAGTTTCGGACGCACTCGTCCCCAGGTTCTGGGGCCATGGTTCTGTCGACTCGGCCAGCCAGGCGGATACATCCGCGATGATGTGGCAGATCAGCAACCGAAAAGCGTACTTGTTCAGCCATCGAGTTGCTGTCCACCAGTCCGGATATACGAGGTCTGCGTTCTCATCCGTTGTCGTTGCAACCCACAAGTTCTTCTTCGCCATTAGATCCTCCGACTCGTAGTACTGGCTTACGCGTTTCTCGAATTCCTGCGCTGTCATAAGTATCTTGACGGCTTTTCGAGTGGCCTCAGAGTCTCTCCTTGGTGATCCCAGGAGGCTGGCAAGCTTGGACCGCAGATCCAACATCCTCATCGAAGTCAGATGAGGTCGATTTGCGTGGGGGATGATCGAGGTTTGTTTCGACCACCGTGAAATATCCTCATCATCGATGACGGTCGTAAGGTCGTACTGACGCATCTTGACAGACGAAGACTGTCAGTCCATGTCGGCATAGGGGGCGGAGGAGTCCCGTTGGAAATGATTCGCAAGATGGTATAAACTCACCCGCTCTTTCCACGGGAGTTGCAGTTGGTAAATACGTACCAGGCTCTCCATTACTAGATCAAACATTTCGGTGCCATGCTTGGAAGAGAACTGCTCCGGGCCCCTGAGTCGGAGGAGTTCAAGCGCGGCCCTGAAATGCTGTGTGTAGGCGATCTTCTCGGCGTCGCCGTATGCCAGTCCCTAATTTCCGCTTCTCATCAGTATTTCGGCCCAGCAAGTCTCTTGTCTCCATCTGCTTTCTAGCCACGTACCTCATATACCCCTAGCAAGATCGTAGTAGCCAAGACGGTGTCAGACTTGGCCGACTCTCCAACCTCAAGGGCTTTCCTCAGCCCGCGGACGCCTGCTCCATAGTATAGATGCGTGGCGTTCGCGGCATCTCTGCAGTTCGGGCGCATGGAGAACGCAGCGATGGAGACGGCGCTGAACATGTCCTGAAAGTACCGGCTCGACCCTTCCGACGACGCGAGCAGCGACGGTATGAAGGTCAACATGCCCGTGTCCGACTTGTTAGGGCAGTAGACGACGTAGCTCGAGAGGAAGTAGCACCGCGCGCGGTCCACCAGGGGCATGTGTATCGACTGCAGATCGAGCCCCATCATCCCCGAGAGATCGTTCTCGGTGTCGGACCCTGGCGCCAGGGGCCATGTCGTCTCTTTCGTCGCCTTTGCGATCGGGTCCGACAGATTCCTCCTGTGGCCCCCTCCGAATGCCCCATAGCGATTTGGTCCTCCCTTCGGCACAGGTGCCGAGTACCTGCGTGGATGTGTGACCAGCCCGTCAAGCGCGGGAGAGCTCTCGGATGAGGGCACCGACTGGGGGCTCGGGGTGGTCTCCTTGGTCTCCTTGTGCTCCTTGAGGGCAGCCAGCCGCTTCGCCTTGCTCCCCTTCCCGAACTTGGCCTTGATTATTGTCTTTTGCGTCTGGTCACGTAATTTGAAACCTTGTGAGTATCCCGCGCACGTCCTGCCCGACCTGATGCATTTGACGCAAACCGGCTTTGCCTCATCACATTTTATCCTCCTCTCTCGGCAGTTGATACAGGCTCCGGACGGCTTCCCTGTGTTGACCATGACGAACACAGCATATTCTGTGGGGCGTTCTGTGGGAGCGAAGAGCACTTAGAGAGACTCCCTGGGTGGTCTGGTATATGGGACCAGAAAGGTGGCTGGGCTGGGGGTTGTCATGGATTACGTGAACAGACAACAACCTGCGGGAGGTGGCATCCGGTAAACATGTGAAGCTGCAGTCCAGGGAAAGAGAGCGTTCTTAAGAACAACATCATATTGCATTGCCACGCCTTTAGTCTGAATTAGTGACGCTGTCAGGCTGAGCCTATCACGCCCGGGAGGGTCGGATTAGGTGAAACAAACCACTGCACAGCATCGACAGAAAACAACGTCAGCCACATTGGCCTCATGTTCATTCAGACACGTTCTATCAAGAGCCTGGCTATGCTACCAGTGTAAACTAGGATTCCCCGACACAGAGCACTGCTGTTTCAAACCGAGGTAGGATGAAGACGGCACCTGGTGGGTGGTCAACATGAACAAAACAGGCTGCGCCATCTTGGCAATCAGGTTTCACATGCTTTTCCGTACGGTTCTTGCGAATCCCCCGCCCAACATCACACATTAAACTCCGCCCTTGCGAGAAGCTATAGCAGCAACAACGTAAGTAATCTCGAAAAAACGCCTTGCGCTTCCGAATCGGATGCTGCATTAGGCCTGGTGGCCAAGACGGCAGCACTCCAGATCCCCCCGCTGTCAGAGACCGGAAGCTTGGGGTGCCTTTGGACGAGTCGCCGACGTCTGAACGATCTGGGTGACCGGGCCTCCCCTGTTTCCGGACCCCTTCCAAAGACCGATCAACGACGTCGCCGTACATACTTTCCGTACCTGCGTTTCCTACTCGCCGCTCTGACGGTGACACCTTCCGCCAAGGCATCTTTCAAGATTGCGTGGACTGCTTCCGCCCCTTGGACTTGGCCACGTCTTCCGGGGTGACGGGGCGGGCACCTGTCATTGCCGAGAATATCTCTGCGTTCTCCTCCGGCGTCGGCAGTGGTGGCGACACCCGGTCAAGGATTGCTCGCATTCTCGTGGCGCTTGACTCCCGCCGTGGTTTGTAGTCGATATTTCTGTACGCGCCATTCACAAAGCCACCGACTGCTTGGCCTAGTTCGATGCTCTTCTTGCGGATCTTTCCGATCACTGTCTTGGGCTGCTCTGGCTCATTCTGCGTCCGCGTCCGTGACCCCTCGCCCTCCTCATCCCTGCTTATTAAGGCAATCATAGAGCTCTGTCGTCTTCTTGTTGGGCCATCGGCTACGATGACTCCTTGACTATTGCTCGCTGAGTTGCGAGTATTTTCATCAGGCGGTCTTGTAACAACTATGGATGGGACCGTGCCTATCTCAGGCGACGGTGGTGGGTTTCCTTCAGCCTCCGAGGAGTCCTCTGAGCTCGGATACCCTGATATGGGGCCGAACCAGGTAATCTCGGTCACATTGTCTGCTGAGATGAAAGTAGCAGTGTTTGGTCCTGGCAGCCTCCGCCGGCAGCCAGGGAAGCCTGGGAATATGATGGGTCCGTCGGCTGGGGAGGTGTTTAGGCTGGTGATAGGATCTGCGGGTGTTGAACCTGTCGGTTGCATAGCTCTTGGAGGATTAAAGATGGCGGGCGTGGGCCTGCGATGTTTCATGTGCATTGCTCGGTACTTCTTGGGTTTGGAAAGCTCATCGGTTAGGTCACGGACGTAGTATGATAATCCTCGCATGTCACCTAGCGTGAGTCGGTACTCTCCCTTCGCAATGACCCTCTCACCGGTCTGTGGGCAATTCTTCCTGGTGGCTGATACAACGAATTCCGCAATCTCATCGAAGATGTATTCCACCTCATCTCGCGGGACGAAGGCCGGATTCTGCTGGGATTCGCGGGGGTACTTTGTGTCTAATGCTGAGGCCGCCATATAAGTTGTGTGATATGAAGTATGTCACAGGAGCAAAGATGAGGTGGTTCTAGGTGATTGTTCGCAGAGACTTGAGCTGAACGCTCATGAAGGCTATAAGAGACTGTTGGTAAAGACTGTATGGGATGGATGGACAAGAGGATAGAGAAGAGAACACAGAAGAGTAGAGGGCGAGAGCAGCAGGTACTGGGAAGGGCAAAGTTGTGATCCCAGAACCCCTTCTGGTGCCAAAAGGGGAAGGCACGAGAACTCATCCATTATGTGGCTTGCCTGGAGTCTTCTGTAAAGAGCATAAATGAGAAAGAGGAGAGGAAGAGAAAGAGGAGGTCACAAGGAAGGAAGCAGCAAGAGAGAAGGCCAGGAGCAACAAGCGTTGTGGTGCCAGGTCTCTTCATCTCCCACTGTCACCAGCAAGTGATAGAAGGCCTCGTAAATTATATGGGACGTAGGAGATGGGAAAATGTGAGGCTAGGAAGCCAGGAGACTATTGTAAAATGCAGGGACAGGAGGAGGCAGAACATTCAGACGCGAGAGACTAGAAGGGATGCAAGGAGCAAGCGAGCATGACCCATAGCAGTAGCAGGTGAGCCCAGTACAATGGGACTAGATCGTGTAGAAGGCCAAGACCGGCTTCTTTATCGCCTGCCTAGTTGTTCATAAGCCCAGATCGTGTCCCGAGCGACGCTGTTGCTTAATTGCCTGCCTTTCCCCCAATGAAGATAGCACACCTCAGTCGGTGAACGCGGCACTTGATAAATATATTGCAGCCAGAGCAGTACGGAGCAATGATGCAAGTCTGAGTCTGGTATTTTGGAATTCCCCACCAGCAAAACACCTCATAGCCACGGTGAGACTTGTGAAGTGCTTGAAAAAGAAGTGTCTGCCCAGGCTGGCCCTATGTTTCCTGATGCCAGTGGCCCAGGCTGGAGCCTTTGGATCGTTCAGAGCTCGACTCCATGGAAATCAATTGTACTGCCAGGATCCTCATACCCTGGGGAGCTTGAATTCCAAATTCTGGTATTGATCCGCAGACGTGGTAGGCACAGTAGCAGTCGAACATCAGTTGAATCTGATCCCTGGTGACATTTGAATACAGCCTTGTAAGCTGACAGCAAATAACACGCTAACAGGGACAGCTGCAAGTCTAGCGCCATTCGGATAGCAGCTCACCCCTGACCAGCTTATCGTTATCGGCGGAAGGGTCCCTAAGTTATTTTCCTAGGCGCTAGTTTCTGCAGCCAAGTTCAGCTGTGAATATCAAAAATAGTGCTGGCTGGCTGCACATGTCGATCCAGTCTTACTCTACAACAACCAAAGCCTTTGTTCTTCTTCTTGATGGCTGCACAAGATTTCGGGGACCATAGGAAGCCATGACGGATGCGCCTATGACAAAGACTGCTCACAAGGCTGAGGAACCCTATACACGTCTTCACATTGCGCCTCTGAATCCCGAACTCCTCAAGGTCATTGTACCACAAGCCGCACTCTCTAAAGCCCGCGCAATCTCGTACCATACCCTTCAGGCCTTTCCGGACAGGCCGTACGGCTTCATCGAGCTCGTCTCCACCGACGCCGAAAAGATCAAGAACAAACTCAACGGGGCAGTCCTGAAAGGCGTCAAGATTCGAGTTGAACCTGCCCGGCCGGACAACATGCCAAAGCCTGATCCTGACGCGCTGGTTGACGCAGCGGCCGGCCCTGATTCGGAGCGCAAGTCCAAGAAGTCTAAAGCAGAGAAGCGGGAGAAGAAGAGGAAGCGCGATCCGCAAGAGATTGTCGGCATCGAGCTAGAGGAGGGCCGCAAGGTCAAACGTGGGTGGACAGTGACTCCAGAGGAGGCAAAGTCAAAGAAGAAGAAGGAGAAGGAGAGAGAGAAGACCAAGTCAAAAGACAGCAAGAAGGAAAAGAAAGAGAAGAAAGACAAGAAAGAGAAAAAGAAGAGGAAGCGAGAGGCCGAATCCGAATACACCGATGGACCCGAGTGCTTGGTCAAGACCCAGATTCCTCCGAACAAGCGCGATGTGGTGAAGGGTGATGCACAGGAAGGGGAATCCAAGTCCAAGAAACACAAGAAGCATGATGTTGTTGTCCACGAATTCGAGAATACGACCAAGTTCCCCACGTACTTCAAGGCATCCAAGGGTGCTACGACATCCGGAACCGAATCCAACTTTGTGGAAGGCAAGGGCTGGGTGGACAGTAATGGTGTTGTGGTTGAGGAGATCAAAAGCACTAGGCCCACCGCGCTGCCCAGAATCCCGGTTGAGAAGAAGGCCGTTATGGAGGATGATGACACTACTAGCAGCAGTGGCAGTTCCTCGGACGACGCGGAGGAGGAATCGGAGGCCGAGGAAGATGCGGATGCTTCAAAGCAACAGACTCCTAGACTTGCACACCGCGCCCTCAAGTCTTTGGCTACAGACACTGCTACTAGTGCTGGCTTGGACAGCCCCCCGGATTCAGCCCGACCAAAGTCGGCGAGCTCAGCCAAGAGCCTGACAATCAAAATACCTCCAGCAACCCCTTCAGCAACAAAAGTTCACCCTCTCGAAGCCTTGTATAAACGACAAAAGCAAGACGAATCAGCTGTCAAAGCAGATGCTGAAGGTAATCAGACCTTTGCATTCTTCAGTGGACAAGATTTTGAGGACGAGGAGGATGATAACAATGAGGGCGTGGCTGGAGATGGCCCTGAAATGGACAATGACGAGAGCGGCAGCCAGGCAGGTCCCTCTCAGGGCATCCAGCTGCCCATGACACCTTTCTCCAAGCAAGACTGGGAGTGGCGAGGTACTCGCAGTGCAGCTCCCACCCCGGATACTGCACACCCCAGCCGCTACTCTAGATTATGGCCACCCAGAGATGCGAGTCCGGGCATCAAAGAGGGCGAGGAGGAGGAGGATGATGAGCTGGACAGTCCCGGAGGGGTGGCAACCGAGGGCGCCGGGGATGGCGAGCCTACCAACCCCAATACCGACTTCCAGAAGTGGTTCTACGAGAACAGGAGCGATCTGAGTCGGTCCTGGAGGAAGAGAAGAAAGGTGGCAGCCAAGCAGAAGAGGTACCGGGAGAACAAGGCCCGGGCAACCTAGTTAGTCACAAGCCTAGGTATTTCCACAACTTCTTCGTGTCTACATGTTCACGTTTGGTTGGCCATCCTGGTCATTTCAATCCTGTTCATTTGTACTACTGAGTATGGCTGCATGCTACAGCCTTGTTTCTTTATGCTCAATCCGCAGACTATGTGCCTTGTCTTGCTTGATGTATGCAGATGACTTCTGGCCATAAATATGTTTGATGCCCTTCCTTCATCCATAAATATGTTGTTGTTTGTTGACGTACAGATACAAGTTTCTCTACACTTCAAATCATTAAATCAATAGAGTTGAAACGTGCCGGGCAAGACTGTCCACGAAGAGATCGCCTCGAAGCCGGTTCATCCAGATATTTCCTCGGCGTAGGGTGCCTCAAGTGTGTTCACCCTAGAAAGACGGATTTTCCTAAGGTGTGTTCCCTCAAGACGATTTTCCCTCAAGGCGTGTTCCCTCAAGTGGTGTTTCCTCATCGCAGACGTATTTTCTTGAGGCAGACTGACTTAGTCCTCGGGACAAATTCCCTAGAGGCGGGGACCCCAAGGATGGAGACTGAAAAACAGGTCAAACAAAAACAAATACTGCAAAAGACGGGTATCGAAGAAACAAGTGGCCTCGGCACACATGACCGAACGACTGAGGAATCATGAAACAAAGACGGCATGGCGAAATGGGTGCCGTCAAGATTGGGGTGACAAGCATCGCATGAAAGTTGGAATGCCACAAGTATGGCCTCAAGTGCTGCAATCTTTTGCAACCTAACGACGGTACTCTTTTGCAACCTAACGACGGTACTCTCTGCCTCGATACTCTCTGCCTCGAGAGGGTGATGCAAGCTCAATTGGATAAGTCGGCCGAGGAGACTGGATCGATCCGGAATCACGACCGGTAACAGTGGTCGCGGGGCTGCTTCCTGTCATCAAGGGACTGTAATGCTGAGTGACATGGCCGGGTTCGTTGGCAGGGTTGGAAAGCTGGACAGCATCGCAAAGAGTGGTCATGATGCTCGCTCTGGTATCAGATTGTGTCACAGTTCCGCCTGAGGCCGTGGGTGGAAGCAGAGGCTCCCGCGACTCAAGACGAGGGACAGTCGGCTTCGGCGGAGGCGTGGGAGGTACGTCCGACAAGGGGCTGACTGAGCGAGGCGCAGACTGGAAAGAAATTGTAGTCATCCTGCTGACTGTGCTGTCCATGCGATTGACACCCGTAGCAGGTGGAACCGGGAAGCCAAGAGGCAAAGTCTGGGGCCGACCCTGTGGGAAAAACTGTGGCGAGTGCGCTGGCATAGGCCTGCTTAGTCCAGGATATGGAGTAGGCGGTCGCGGCGGCTGGTTCTCCAAGTCATCCAACTCGAACTCCTTAGGGTGAGGGAGATGACCGGGCGATTGGCTGCGAGACGGGACACCAGGAAGTCTTCTGGCAAAAGGAGAGCGGATGGTCCATGGGACTCGAACTCTTCTGGGCCGCCAGTTGAAGGATGCGGATCCACGGAGGATGTAGGCCAGTCCGGCTGTACTGAAGACACAGACAATTATGCTGAGGACTAACCATGCACCGTAACCAGGATGCACAGGTTTTCCTACCTGTCGCAAAACAGTGATTACGGCTCCTGCGGCAGTGGTCGAAAAGGAGCTGACTGCAAACAGGAAAACTGCGACGACCAATTGGACTAGTGACTTGATTCCGAGAACAAGGGCTGGTGCATCAGGACGAGGTGCAGCGCGCTCCCCTGCCTGTTCAACAGCATCGAGTTCTTCTCCCAGATGTCCTTCATCGCCCACAGGTCCAAAGTAGGGCATGCTAGAGGGTGGTCTGCTCAGACGTGATCCGACGCCAGGATGAGATGTAGCACGCCTCTCTGGTGGCATACATCCTAGGATCTCAAAGGATGAGCGGGTATCGCTGCGTGCAACAGGCGAAACTGGAGTGACATCCTGTCCGGTTTGAAGCTCGCTCTCCACGTTGTTCACATGGTTCGAAAGTTGAGGTGAGCTCGTCGGCAGTTCGTACACAGAGTTATGTATATCTGTGGCAGTCACCTGTGGTGTATTGGTTGGAGGCACTGTGCCAGGAAACCGAGGCGGCATACGAAATGCGACCGGTCCAAGGGGCCACTGGACTCCGTGTCTCTGCAGTTGCAAGTGGCGATTTAGCTCGTTTGAAGTGTAGTTCAACAGTTCCATGGTATCTGGACCGGTAAACAACGCGATCTCGGCCTCTGCATCCATGTTGTCGCTTGTAAAAGTAGTCATGGTTGCGGTTTTACTGTCTACATTGACAATTAGTACTATTGCGCTTGGATTGTCTCAAACACGGGGCATTATACAGATCTCAGAAATAGGGCGGTATTCACGTACCGTAGGCACTGTTGATGTCTTCAATTCCAAGACAGGTGAATTGTCGAGTCGACCCACGTAAGGCAATGGTTGAAACTGTTGCTGACGGACGCGCTTTGTCAGATGCTGTTCAGCTATGTCAATACAGCTGATATGAGCCAGTGAATGTAGGCCTTGAGACGAGAAAGCAGTTGAGAGATGTATGCGGGCAGGATTGAACAAACCTCAGGAACTCAGGCATTGATTTTGTCGCGCCGTGGATGCTGGATGTATCGTGATGAACGATCAGCGACAAGTGCAACCAATGTGAACACGGTCAACAAAGCAGATAGAATGTCTTGATGCCTTCAAGTGGTGCGAATGCTCAGTAGGTATCAAGCTGGCAATGGTCGCACGCGACGGCGAGTGGTGATTGGAAACAACACCAAGAGAGTCGTTGAAGCTGAATGGTTTGCCAGTGATGATACGTTGAAAGATGATGCTGACTGAAAGCAGTACGAATGCCTTCAACATGTATCGAGCTGGGAACGATGTTTGCGGGGTAGAAATGAGATCCAAAACCCAGAAGGTTGCTGGAGCCAATTGCTTTCCACTTATTGTGAACTTCTCCAGAGTACGTGAGAACTTGTGTGAGAAGCCTCAACGGGAACCCAAGCTGGCAGCGCGGGGTAGGGGCTGGATGCAAATATCGGAAATTTGTTCAAGGCGAAGATATTGACCGATACTACTGGACTGAGCAGACTCAGGAATGGGTTCCAGGCTGGGGCATTACCAGCGATTTCGTGTGAAGATTATCTGTCTCCAGTGCTTGATTGTTACCAGAACAACTAATCAGGCCCTGGAGGAGTTTATCTTTGCTGGAAAAGTGTTTATTTCGCCTGCGAGCTCTTCCTCCCCCATCCATGCCGCAGCCAGAGCACTGGGCTTCGGAGGAGGAGGAGGGAGAGCCGCAAGTAAACAAAACAACTTGTTTGCATGGTCACCACGGCCATTTCTAGAAGTGATATATAGTCACATCTGTCAACATATTCAGTCTCAATGTTCCAAAAGAGTTTTGATTCTTTCATCGCCATAAAAAGACGTCTAAAAGTTCTGTTTGAGGGAAGAGTACTCACAATGTTTGCCTTTCGGGGCTCAGCCAGGGCCAGCCGAGGTTTAGCCAGGATCCGGACGCTCGGACCACCCCGCAGCCCACTACGTCATTGGCTGTGAATCGTAGAGCTTTCGTAGACATGTGCTGATGCCCTTACCTGAGCCTGGCCCAACCTTCGCCCTTTCTTACCATGACATCCTCGTAAGACATGCCAACTACTATGTCGCAACACCGAGTACCGACTTCTTCGAGATGAGGTCCTTCTCCCTGGCACAAGGCCGACTCTCGTGCCTCCGGATACGTGGATCGATTCTCCAGTCGCCGACCTCGTCAGGCGCGGGCCCAAGCTCCAGTCTTGTCTGTCGGGTAGTGCGGATAAGCCAACAAAGAAGCCACACGAGTGGGCAATGGCAGAAGCAGTGGCAGAGGCAACGAAGTTGGCAATGGACCGTCCCGCCGCACCGAGGGCAAGCACCTCTGCTGTCCGCCGCCAAGGGCGCCGCGCTAGGAACAGCGGCTTTCGTCAAGCTCTCCGAGAGCGAGGAGGCATCTGGGGACACCGGGGAGATGCGCATGCTGGAGGCATCCCGCCAAGAGATAGCCAAGAAGGTCGAAGACAGCGATCGGGGGTTCTCGCGACTGCGGCACAAGGTCGTCTTGTTCCTCGACCTCTATGTCTGGGAGCCACTCTGCACCGGGTTCCGGTTCCTCCACCTTGCCGTCATCTTTGTACCAGTCATCCTTGCCATTCCAGCGATATGGATCGGCAGAAGACAAAAGGACCGCGATAACGAGCGAGCCGGTACGCTGTGGTGGTACAGCTTCCTTGTGAAGGGTATGGAGTGGGCTGGTCCAGCTTTCATCAAGGTGTGTACAAACCAGTTTTCGTTTTCCCGAATAGCAGAGCGAAGTGCGCGGTCTTCAATGACAGCCGCCACGAAGCAAGTGCTTCTGTCAGGAGTGAAGACGTGTTGAAGGACTCACGAGTAGTGTTCGTGGTCCTCACAATGCGAATCTTTAGACCGGTCTTTGAGATGTGCTGCAGGCTTCGGACTGGTGGAATGGTGTGGTTGGACAAGGCAATACTGAATGAAGTGCCCTTGGCGTCGAGATCGGCTCTCATATGTGTGGTCCTCGTGGAAGGGAAGACAGTTGATTGGACAGGAAGAAAGCCTAGTGGAGACGACGTGAGTCGAGTGGAAGGTAAGAGAGTCGAATGGAGGGACTTCAGTCCAGCGGCAAGAAGAAGACCACAGCGGCAGGGCGAGGCCCCGGAGGTAGGGGTGAGAGCCCAGTGGCAGGGAAGAGAACCAAGAATCAGCGAAGAAAGGCGAGATGGAATGAATGAGAGCCGCATTGAATGGAAGAGCAAAGAGCCAGGGACAGCTACCAGGCACTTGGTATCGAAGTGGCAAGCCAGGCTGTGCTCGGATCGGATCCGCACTATGAACCCGGCCTTCAACAGCACATCAGGTGCTGAACGATTGCGGTCATCGTTGCGAACACCTATGTTGCTGTCAGACCGAACGGTGGAGGCAAGTGCCGCTGGCCAAGCATTTGTGGAGGCCAAGTTGAGACCAGGCATAGAGCCGAGTCTTGATCACGTTTCAAGAGAGAAATAAGATAGTCGCTGACAACGTTTGTGATAGTTGGGTCAATGGGCCGCTTCCAGATCTGACATTTTCCCGACCGAGTTGTGCGAGATTATGTCGAAGCTGCATTCGGATGCTCCAGCTCACTCCATGCACGCGACCAAGCGCATCGTGCAAGCTGCATTCGGTGGTCGTCCATTCGAGGATGTCTTTGATGAGTTCGATGAAAAACCTCTTGGAGTGGGTGCCATTGCTCAGGTGTACAAGGCTAAGCTCAAGCCCGACTTGGCAGGGCCAGGAGACGCCGACCTGCGTGATGATGAAACTCGTGGGACAATACGGAAGAACGTGACGAGGAATGTTGGTACCGTTCTCAAGAGTACGCCGAAGCGGGTGCCTTCCTCTTATGTGGCTGTCAAAGTCCTGCACCCAGGGGTCGAACGCACAGTACGCCGGGACCTGCGCATTATGGGGGCTGTTGCGTCCGTGCTCAACTTCATCCCCACGATAGAATGGCTCTCTCTTCCCGACGAGGTTGAGCAGTTTGGGGAGATGATGAAACTGCAGCTCGACATGCGCATCGAGGCCGCAAACCTGACAATTTTCCGGAAGAACTTCAAGAATCGTACCACAGCTTGGTTCCCCTTCCCGTACACCGAGTTCACGACAAGGAATGTTTTGATCGAGGAGTTCGCCCACGGCATGCCTCTAGCTGACTTCTTGGAGAACGGAGGCGGTGTTTTCCAACGAGATATCGCCTCGGAGGGACTTGACGCCTTTCTACGCATGCTGCTGCTTGACAACTTCATACATGCCGATTTGCACCCGGGCAACATCATGGTGCGCTTCTATGAGGCTGAGCAGCCGGATCTGCCCTTGAAGCTACGTCTTCGCCACCAGGATGGTGAGGACCAGGCACTACCATCAGAGCAGAACGATGTGACAGAAAAGGTTCTCGCCAGGCTCCGACCGTTTCGCCACCAAAAGGATCCTGAGGCATGGAACGCCGAGCTAGCAAAGATTGACCGAGAGGGCTACAGACCGCAGCTGATTTTTATCGACACGGGCCTGGTCACGGAGCTGAATGAAACAAATCGCAGCAACTTTCTCGATCTTTTCCGGGCTGTTGCTGAATTTGATGGTTACAAGGCTGGCAATCTCATGTGCGAACGGTGCCGCCAGCCTGACGCTGTCATCAACAAGGAAGTCTTTGCTCTGAAAATGCAACACTTGGTGCTCGGAGTCAAGAGCCAGACTCTGGCATTAGGCAACTTGAAGATTGGCGACATATTAGAGAAGGTCCTTGACATGGTGCGAAGCCATCACGTTCGTCTCGAAGGTGACTTTGTCAATGTTGTCATCAGCATCTTCCTTCTCGAGGGCATCGGGCGGACGTTGGACCCCAATACAGATCTTCTGAGTAGCAGTCTGCCCATTTTGCGCCAATTGAGCGCTCAACAGGGCAAGGACATGGCCAAGGGAGGTGATTTTAGTATGATCATCTTGTGGATGGGTCTGGAGACCAGGAGGTTCCTTCAGATAAGTATCGATGATGTCTGTGACCCATTTCCTACGCTCTGTTGCATGGTCACTGGCTAATTATTGCATCTGCGAAACAGGTCGAGCGATGTGTAAAGTATGATCTCCTCTCACCCAACGTTTAGATGGCATAGTACATGCATGGCGGTGCAAACCAAGAGGGCGAAGACGGCGGCGTTTGGAGTTCTTCGCGTATGAAAGCATCGATGAAAACCAAGATGGAACACGCATTAGAATATGTCTCAGGGTATCAGAAAACAGCATGACGGGCACATAGAAGAGCTGCCAGTCAAAAGATACATCAGGCCTTTTCTAGATTATTCTCGGTCTGACATCTCAACATCCTCCTACTGAATTACAAATTCATTCACTGAGCCTGATGTGTCTGAGTGACTTTTCGAGTCTCCGCTTGAATATCAGTAGCCAGTGCTGTTCTATTAGATGTGACATGTCTTGGGTTCAGCAGCCCTCACTACTAATTCCCTAGGCGTGGAATGCTGTGAGAAGTATCAAGGGGCATCTAATTAGTAACAGCGTTTTCAAACTTCCTAGGTACCAAAGGCAAAGCTAAAAGATACAGGCGTCCTGGCTAATGTTGGAAAGTCCACGCGCGTTTCCTCACTTTATTAACCAAACCTGGCAAGTCTCCCAAGACCATGGAGCTAGATAGTTGGCCGCCAATCAAACCATATTATCCCCAGACAGCGCCGATATCAAAGCACTCTCGGGACGACAATGCGGGGCTGGCCGATCGCCTGCCTGAGTTCCGGGCAGACGGAATGGGGGACTGAATAAGTCGGTTATTGGCCCGACGACATCGGCGCCAGCTTATGGCAGCTTATCTCCCAGTGCGGAGGGGCGCGCCTATCGATGCTGGGCTTGTAGCTTTGATCGTGGCCCTATTCCGATCTTATCGACCCGCATAGTGGGCTTGGCCCGATTGCCGTTGTGAGATGCTGTTGCTAATTACAAGCACAACCATTGCACGCGATAGCTGTCACGGGTGAGCTTTATCGTTCATCAACCACATCACCCTGCAGCCCGTCAATGCCGGTCACGGATGTGGCTGAACACGCACTGTGGCATTTCAAGCTGCAGCTTACAGAAATATCACAGTTGAGGACGAGTCTCATTCATTCCAATTCTCCAAGTTCATCGCCTAACCATTGACCAAAACCACCGACCCCTCACATCATCTATATCCTTGTTCTTGGACCCACGTCTCACTTGTATCACAACATCTCAGTCCAACAAGCCGCAGCATAGCATCGTCGTCTTCAACATGGGCTCTTTAGCAAGCGAAATACCTCATCCCTTTGACCCTCTATCATTGGAAGAAATCGAGACAGTTATCACATCCGTCAAAAAGACACACGGAGATGTCTTCTTCAATGTCGTCTCACTGCACGAGCCGCGCAAGGCCGAGATGAGTGCGTGGCTTGCGGATCCAGAGAAGGCCCCCCGTCCAGTGAGAGTAGCGGATGTGGTAGTCATCGCCCCTGGCGGCAAGGTCTTTGATGGCCTGGTGGATATCAAAACGGCGAGCATCACGCACTGGGAACAGCTAGATGGCCTCCAGCCCATTGTGAGTTCGCAAGAAGCATCTCGTACCGGAATACAACCATGAATTAAATCTAATGACTTGAACAGATCACCATGGAAGAGCTACAAGCAGTGGAACATGTTTGCCGGACCGATCCTGGTGTGATCGAGCAGTGTCAGATCAGCGGGATCCCCAAGGAGGACATGCACAAGGTCTACTGCGACCCGTGGACAATCGGATTCGACGAGCGACATGGCTCAAAGGTCCGCTTGCAACAGGCACTCATGTACTACCGGCCCAACGTAGATGATTGCCAGTATCAGTATCCGCTAGACTTTTGCCCGATCTACGACTCCGACAAGCAGGCCATCATCGCTATTGATATACCCAAGGTGCGACGACCACTCAGCACGGCCCCTGCTATCAATTACACCCCCTCGCACGTCAACGAAAAGGAGGGCGGCTACAGAGATGATCTGAAGCCTATCAACATCACACAGCCCGAAGGTGTATCCTTCAAGTTGGCTGGAAGGGAGATTGAGTGGCAGAGTTGGAAGATGCACATTGGCTTCAACTACCGAGAAGGCATCGTCTTGAACAACATTACATACAACGACAAAGGAACAGTCCGCCCCATCTTCTACCGATTGTCACTGGCCGAGATGGTGGTACCTTACGGAAACCCCGAGCATCCGCACCAGCGGAAACATGCCTTCGACCTTGGCGAGTACGGTGGCGGATACATGACCAATAGTCTCGCACTCGGCTGCGATTGCAAGGGCAGCATCCACTACCTTGATGCGCATTTCCCTACTCGCGCAGGCGGCGTGCGAACCATCAAGAATGCCATTTGCATTCACGAGGAGGATGACGGGATTTTGTTCAAGCACAGCGACTTCAGAGACGATTCTGTGATCGTGACTCGGGCCCGCAAGCTCATCATCCAGCAGATCTTCACCGCAGCGAACTACGAGTACGCGATCCAGTGGGTCTTCCACCAAGACGGAACCATCCAGCCCGAGATCAAACTCACAGGCATCCTGAACACGTACGCCATGAATGCCGACGAGGACCCTTCGCCATGGGGAACACAGGTCTACCCGGGCGTCAACGCCCACAACCACCAGCATCTTTTCTGCCTGCGCATCAACCCTAACGTCGACGGACCCAACAACACGGTCTACATGACGGATACCGTACCGTCTGATGCCGCGGTCGGCAGCCCCGAGAATTACTACGGCAACGCTTTCTACGCCAAGAAGACCAAGCTCGCAACCACAGGCCAGTCAAAGACGAACTACAACGGTGCCACCTCGAGGACGTGGGATATCTGCAACGACAGCAAGCTTCACCCTTACAGCAAGAAGCCCTCGTCGTACAAGCTCGTCAGCAGGGAGGTGCCAAACTTACTGCCAAAGGAGGGCTCGCTAGTGTGGAAGAGGGCTGGATTCGCCAGACACGCCGTGCATGTGACAAAATGTGAGTTCTGAGTCCACCAGTGGATCGATTCAAGACAGTATAAGCTAACAACTTCCCACAGACTCCGACGACCAGCTCTGGCCCGCAGGCCGCCACGTCCCGCAGACCTCCGGAGAGCCATCACGCGGCCTGCCGGAGTGGATCGGCGAAGGCACCGAGTCCATCGACAACACGGACATCGTCCTCTGGCACACCTTCGGCGTGACGCACATCCCAGCGCCCGAGGACTTCCCCGTCATGCCCGCCGAGCCGATGACGCTGCTGCTGCGCCCGCGGAACTTCTTCACCAACAACCCTGTCATGAATGTCCCTCCGAGCTACGTCACCATCCCGAGCCAGATCGCGGCCAAGAAGGAGGCGATTATTGACGCTACGGATAAAGTTAGCAAGATGGCATTTGGTGAGAGCTGTTGCGCCGGGTCGAACGGCACGAATGGGGCAAACGGGTCGAATGGTGTTCATTAAGCGCAGATGTTGGACTTTGAGAGTTGATTTGTAGCTGGTCCACCAGCCCATTTAGGTTGTAACAAAATATTTGTTCACATGTTTATCTACAACAGCCATGTTTGCAAGGGCCTTATTTGCAATGTTTGTGAAGGGACCTTGTTGAGAATGATAATTTGTCTAGCAATTGATTCCCTGAGCACTCAATGAATTAAGTCACTGATTCTAAAAGATTTCGATGCCACATGGTGTAGATCTACCGAGCTATGTCTTCTCAAAATCCAAAGGGCTTCCTGAGATCTTTCCAAATGATATCCATCCTAGAGCGTGAAATAACCCAGCAGGTGAAATCTCCAAATGAGTATGCCGTGCTCATCAAAAAACTCCTTGACATGCATCCTGCTGTCATCAACGCTAATACTTGATTTTTGTAGCGCTTTTCAGCGTCATACCTGCCCTAACGTCTGTGGTTGTCGTTTCTGCCTGTTCCACTAGATTTGTGGTCTACCATCTCCGGCCTCTGGGATTGACGAGATGCATGCCTGTCACTCTCAAATCCACCCCTCGTGCTTTGACCTTGAAATGACCACTGTGGGGGGTACATCATTCTCGACGAGCCGGCGAAGTAGTCTCTTGCCGTGGTATTGGCGTATCGCGTACCACTTGAGCCTTCTACCTCAGGGCGGCGAGGCGGACAGCTACTCAATCGGCCGTCCTGGCTTTCTTGTCTTCGTGGTCTGTGTGCAGATCTGTGGGGTGGATGATGCCTGTAGTGCTCACTCTCTCTGGGCTCTCTGTCGCGTCGGCTTCGAGATCCTGACCTTCTTGGTAAGCTTGGCGACGGTGAATAATGTCCTGGCATACCTTGCTGACGACCTCGATCTTCCTGGGGTGGAGGATCCACGTAAGTTTCTCGGAGAATGTATTCGGGTTGACGAGATGGGGGTGCGCTGCGGCTCAAGGTGGAATAGCCCGAGCTGGCTGTGCTAGAATTGTCACGAGAGTTCGACGAAGGCGAATAGGCCCTATGATCTTGACATATCTGATTTTGAGCTGTACGGCTAGTGCTCGATTCCTCAGGTTGACCTTGATGCGGTTGGGACGCAACTCCATTAGTTAAATTTTGCCAGAATCGCTGGGAATATTCTACTGCTGACAACTCTGGCGATGGATCTAGAATTTGTGAGGATGGGGTGTCTGGACTGAGGGACTCTGGAGCTGGCTTAGTACCCCAGGCTTCCTTCCAAGTCTTGAGATCTAACTCTTCCAGAGTTGGGGAGTTCGGAGCTTGCGGTTCGTAGGTAAATGAAGCAGATCCTGATGGACTTGTTGGCATTTCCTCCATTTCCTCGACTGGAATTCGTTGTGGTCCGAAATCGGAAGATGTGACAGTATTTTGTGTTGAGAACTTTGGATTCGTGGGGTGCATTTCTTTGCCGTATCGGGGTGGTTCATACTCTTTGTTGTGTGTTGAAGGATCAGAGCTCCACTGAACGTATTTCGATCGAGGCTGATGTGTTTCGTTATTTGGTGACAGGTTTTCATGTTTCTTGCTGTAACGAGGACGATCATGTTCGTAGATACTGTCGTTATTGTGGGTAGTCCTGCTCGGAGAGCTTGAGGCATTAGAGCTATCGTGATGGTTACGATAGCCATCTCGATGGCGTTCATGTTTCACGTCCCTTATCTTGTTCCCGCCATGTCGACCCATGATTGAAGCCTTCAAAGAAATCAATATGCTTTGCGAAGAGAGGTGTTTCCTATCTTTCTGAATTTGGTCTTGGAATCTCGTTGTTTGATGTCCGGGCAGTGCTGGTCTTCGAATACTGAAACGCTTCTTGACAACAGACCTCAAATTCACTGATTCTTATATATCTTCGTAAAATCCAGCGTGTCACCGGTCGCAGGGACTCACTAAGCATTACTGAGACCAGAAATTCGGCTGTACGGCAAGTCATAACAATGAGTGACATGAGCATACAATATGAATGGATACATGACAGTTTAATCTATAGCCAATCTTCCATCCAGAGAAGACTTGTCGATCAAGAATCTCACACTTTCTAGATAACAAGACTAGTGAATGACAGTCTCTTCCATATCTATGACCAGGTTTTGTACAGCAATGAAGGCAACAGTACCAGATCGGTGACAACACAGCACAACCAAGATGCACTAATCATCCGGAATATGGCAGATTAAGTACAATAAAAAGAAAGATAAAGCAATATAAAAGACATTCCTCACTGATGCAAGATCACATTTGGTGTGCGAGAAAATACAAGAGTGTATCCTTTCCTTGGTTATATGATGTTGTTGATGCATGGAAACGTTACTTCTCGCAAGATCTGTTGGTGATCAATCAGCAATCTAGCTCTCATCTTAAACATGTATGTATCGTAGCCTATATATTTATCTATGAAAGATTAATAGGGGTTTGGTTGCAACTATAACTGTAGAGACAGAAAGCTGCCTCTGAAATTTTAAGTGGAATCCTTTTCATAGCTTTGGCATTTGCAATGCTTTGTAAGTCTATAAATGATGTATGGACTATTTTCACACTTTTAGCATCATCCTATCCAGCGTGGTAACTAGAAAACTTGGCCATAGGAGGACCACATGCAGACCCACACGGCAGAAGGATAGACCATTTATAGAAAGTCAGATTAATCCATCTCCACATTTAATGTCCTGGAAACACAATGGATACTGGGTAGGACGAGCACGATGGCTAACTGTAACACCAGCCAACGAGCAAGTCTCGGTGTCCAAGATCGCAAACTCATGTGAGGAACTGTTCTGGGCTTTCTGAAATTCTTGAATCAGCAAACAGGAAATGGCGTGCACGTCGAGGCAAGCAACAACATTGCTGCCTTCCCATAAGGGGAACGAGGAACCCGCAAGGACAGATCTCTCGATTGATTCCACTCTATAAAACACGATAGTGGAGACTTATGAAGGATGAATGACTTGATTTGTGACTACTACTACCCAGATATGAAGCCAAAAACGTAATTTTGGGCATGATCTGGGCGATGAGCTCGAGGTCTTGTGGGCCACAGAGTCTGCAGAAATCAACTGCTATGACACTCGTTTTCATAGAATAGCAAGGACTGTTTCATTCCTTTGCAATCCTATCATAGCGCTCAGGAATATATCAATCGAGAACGTGGTCTCGTATAGCTTTTCCTTTTGTGCCAGAGTGTGTAGATTGCAAAATAATCCAATCCAATGAAATTGTACTCGGGCCTCTGAACAGGACCTCATTCCTGGTCTTCAGCTGATGCATGAAGTCGCTTGTGCTCATGGTGACCGCCTATATATCAGCTATTTCGGCCTTGCGTCGCGAACATGGCCACGGGTGCATGTCTGGTCCGAATTGTGTGCCTATCTGGGCAAATTATTGTCCCTTAGGTCTTGTAAACCCGCTGAAGCCGCTGACCTGGATTCTCACCAATACAGAGTGAGAATTACAACTTCCTGATAATCCTCGAAGATCTACACTAGATATGTCGATGAAGGCAAAATCCAATTTGCGTGGTCGTCCGGGAATAGGATGTTTATGACGTGAAGGACGGCTTGAGCCGTGAGTCCGCGAGCCGTCCCTCTCCATTGAGCGCAAATCGACGCTACTACTCAAGCTTGAAATGGTACAACGTCCATGAAAGACTCGGATGCAACACTGGAACTCAGACAGATCATTGCAGAGACCACAACCGCTATGGGTCGAGGGTCTGACCTACAGCGAAGCTACCATCGGCGAAAACAAACCGGGGCTTCTTTTTCTGTGGATCGAAAGATTCTAAGGCGGGGGATGTCCGTTGAAGCTATACCTGCACCGTTGAATACCACGGCGGCTGGTGATCATTGTTACCATTGGATCCATCATCGAAGTTGGCCGGATCCGCTTCACTGAGGGTCCCACTAAGACATATAGCCTGAGACACATGCAGAGCACGATGGCATGATCTCAGGGCTAGGTTTATGTTCATTAGAGCGGAATTTACCGACCTCATACGTGGCGATGCGGATGTTAAGGAGTGAAATGGCACCTAATGACCAGGACAAGCAATAGCGTGTGTCTTCGCCTTCCTGAAAAAGATACCTGATAGAATTTGACAGCTTTCAGTTGTTGAAGATGCAGGGAGTGAAACGAACATCGTATCTATTGCCTTGAAAAAGAAGAATGATCGACTCTCCGGGCGGAACGTATGTTTGTGCTTGGATGTTTAAGTTTCACAATCACCATGTTGATTTGAGTCGACATGTTATTCTATCAACCAAATCTCTTGCCTAAAACATGATAATTATTACAAAAACGAGTGCTTAATATTTTCAAGGCATGAAAAGGAGCCCTGCCGAGCTTTTGTCGAGACACAACGAAGCATTGCGAGGGCCTCATCTCTCGAGAAGCCAGCCTCGAAGCGAAGGCCCGGATAGGAAATCGCCTTACTCGCCAGCGACACCTCTGCCAACTTGTCGTTCTGTGATAGGTCCCAAGCGAAGTTCCATTCTCAAGAGGCTGACTGCCGTGCGGCTCCGTACTCGTGCGGCTCAGGCATGCGGAAGCGGCTTTTACAATACTCATATCACCAGGCTAAAACGCCACAGCACGGACGCATCAAGTTTTGACAGCAGCTAGTCTAACAATGCGCGCCATTGGTTGTCGATCTTAGCAGCGGAGCCGTCCGTTAGGAGAAAAAAAAAAGTGGCATGACACAGGTGGCCCAGAATGCTGCTGTGTAATGCACACGAACCGCGTTTCTCCCAGAACCGGCAAGTTTCACATGCAACACTCAGCGGTTCTGGACACGCCGGGCCTTGTATTGACCAGGCAAATCGCTCGAATGCATGACAGTGGAGGTAGGAGTGGGTTGTACTGCATAGTGGCCTCTACAGAATCACATTCACGTCTGAGATTGGATGGGGCCAGCGATGTAACTGTGAAGTGGTCTAGAATGTTTGTATTCTTGGTCCGCATATTCTAACGGGCGGGAGAGTTTTCTTTCTCTCTGTCGATCCCGGGGCTTGCTCAGGTTAGCAACCCCCTTTCGCTCTCTGATTCTCATGCAGAGTTCTAATGATACAGCATGCAGCCATGCGTGATGATAGCAAGAATACATTTCCCTTCCTTCCAAACGCCATGGCTGCGCTCAAGCCCAATGCATGCAAAGTCAGTTTCCCACCGATTCCCACGATCCCCGTTAATGCTGGTTGGTATGTTGTCCGAAACGCCGTTATCAAAATGATTCCACCGATTTTATCGTCACTCGTAAGACAGTAGAGTTGTCTTCCCAATTATGCTTGTTTTGTAGTGTTTGTAGATTCATGCCTCCCATAAAGACATCATGGGGCCCTCGATGTGCTGGACGTGATGCTGCGCTGGGACCTTCTTGGCTGGGAGAGGCTTCTCCGTCCGCCTGCGCTTGTGCTCTGTAGTCGAGCTCGCCTGGGGGATCCAGAGCGACATGGAGGGGCCGTCGATCTCGGAGTCCCACTGCTCGTGGGCCGCGAACGTGCCGGCCCGCTCCCGCTTGTGCTCGTGGGCTAGGTGCTGCTGGGCGCGGTGGGCGGCCGTCTCCCTGCGGAGAGCCTCCCTGTTGAGGCAGAAGGGGAGCTCCTCTTGGCTGACGGACATGGCTCCGCTGTGGCGTCTGATGGGTGAGGGTGGCAGCTCGTCCTCGCTGAACTCGTCGTCGTCACCCAGCACGGCGCTGTCCTCGTCGGATTCGGACAGGGGCGACGCGGTCAGGGACGATCGCTTTGAGAAGGATGTGATTTGTGTGGTGATGAAGGATGTGTCGATTGGCTTCACGAATTGGGGACCATGGCAGAGCATGTTGTCGTCAAAAGAGCCGATGTAGAGAGGGCTGGTCTTTGGGAGTGTGGCACGGGTGTTGAAGGTGCGTGTTTGGATTTGAGCCATGACAATTTCGTTGATGGGTGTGTGTCTTGTTGGGCTAGAAAGAGTAGAGTTCAATCGTGACTTTTTGTAGTCTGGAATGGATTGATTATTGTATTGTTGCTTCAATGTTCAGGCTGTGTTGAGCTGATTGATGACTTCTACGGGGAGATGGATGGTGTGGGAGCACGGCTGAGATTCAAGATATTTAAACAGAATCTTGTGCAGCCGACCAATCCAACTAGGAAACGCATCTCGCAGGCTGAGATGCCGCGATGGGCTGATCGATGGGATCTAGAGGCATGTGGTGTCTCAGTCATTTCTCTAAACCCCAAGTCTCCCCCGGATTCGAGCCCACAATGACATTGGCATCAGGCGCAGACCAGGCCCCTTTGACGGGGAAGTCGTATGATCGGGGCCCCCCGGATGGGCTGACTGCGGGAGCGATAGTTGGCTATCCTGCAGTCTGCAGGTGAGCGTGCATCGGTGTTAGCTAGCAAACGCCCCTTTGCCTCCTCGGTTTCTGGGGCAAAGGTGGAGTGGGCTGGTTGGTTCCGGTAGAATCCGAAATCTACGCTGCCCCGAGATCATCTCTTAGCCATCCGCACAAGCACTAGACACGGGAACGGGACAGCTTGATTCTTTGTCCTTCTGATCTCTTAGCGATTGAACGAGAACGAGCTACGTTGGTTCGATTGAGCAACATAATGTGATGTGCCAAGACATGTACACACTCCATCTCTATTAGTCTTCGACCCTGTCACAGCACACTCAAGTTCTCCCGAACTGTCCCGACTACTTCGATGCACATGCTTAACACTCCAATTGCACCTGTGTCAATCAAGCACAGACACACCAGACTCTGGTGGTATCAATCTGCAAACGCATTGCTTTGACTCGCCATCACGGATTCTCCGAGCACCGGCTTGCCGCTTTGCTCTGGCCAGAAGTGCGCCAAGGCTCTCAGAGCATCTCAGAGTAGGTACGCGACCAAGGTGTCTGTACTACACTACTGGGCCCAGCATCTCCTCCCACCGCACTCAGCGTGTTCCCGAGGCTAGACGTTCCGTTTGCTTCAGGAAGTCTGTCACTGTGCTGTACATTTTCTTTGCGAAAGCGAGACGCTGGCAGCAACGCTGTTGGCCCACGTGGTTTCCCTACGAGGGTGGATGCCTTCGAAACGTTGCCCTTGTCCCGAGCCCCGAACGGACTTTCATTACCTGATGTTGTACCTCGAAGTCCTTGTAAACTCGGAGGTAATGAAGCAGTAGTGACATCTGTGTCTTGCTGAACGTCATTTATGTGCTGAAGCCTGAGTTCGCTCTCTTGAACCTTGCCGTGCAAGCTCTGCGAGGGTCGTGAAGGCTTAGAACCTCTTATACAATCTGCGGTGTCTGTGTTGTGACTGTTTTCATTTGACAAATCTGCCACGCCCTGGACAGGGCTGACCCCTCCTACTTGAAATTGTTGAAATGGCGATGACGCTCTGGGATGCTGGCTCGGGCGTACGATTGTTCGGCTCATACTCGATGTATCCTGCCAGGCACATGGCGAAGCCTTCTGCTGCGATGTTATTGACTGTGCTTGTCTGCTCGAAGTGTTGGATGTCCAGGCCTCCACCGCTGATAGACCATCGTCCTCGCCATTCAGGCTGTGTCTGTCTGTGGTGCTCTGTGTCGAGGGGATTGGGTGGTATGTACTCGTGGCGGTGGACCGATCAAAATAAGTGCCCTCTTTGCTTCCGTATTCGCCAATCGAGCTGTTTCCGTTGTTGCTTGGAAAGCTTACTCTAGGACTTTTGGGAATGAATCTGGCAAGAACTGTGGAATCGCCGGAGCCGTCTCTTGGCATGGAGAGATCAGGTCTATTGGCGTGCTGGTGGGGATCTTGCAGAATGTTAGAATCGGTCGAAAGACCGGTATCCTCCATATTTTCAACAGAGGCTGTGTCGTTTGGACGCTGCCGATCTTTCATCGACGGAGTTCCCATGCTAGAACCATCATCGACTCCTCGCCCAGGTGCTGAATCATGTTTTGCTCGGATCTCTTTCAGTCTTGCCTTGAACTCCCGTGCAAGTCCTTGGTAGGCCTCGATTCCCCGTGTGTCCAGTGAAATGGAGTGGATTGTTGATTGGTGACGCAACTGGTGTGCTGTTCGGAAAGCAAGGACCTTAGCCTTGGCATCTATTTCAAATCTCTGGTCGGCGGTAGGTATCTCTAAGGGCGGGTGCAGGAACAGACAGGGAAATTTGCGTGAGCGGACTCGTGGTCCACCGTCCTGAAATCCTTGGGCCCAAGTCAGTCTTGATATCTCTTGTCCGGAATTCGTGGCGGTCTTGACCACCTTGAAACAGTTTGGAATCTCCTTCGCCAGCCCTGAGGTGAATAAGCTGCCTGTCATTCCGACCTCTTTCCAGTCACTATCACCGGAGTATGGCAAGATGACTACCAGGTACCAGCCCGTGTCCTCACCATCCCACCATGCCTGGTAGACTTCCCCCACGACTGGATCAGTGATGTCAAATTCATTGCTTAGCTCATTGCCAGGCCGATGTTTCATTGTTTTCTGTGCCGATTTCTGTCGGATCTGCAATCGATCCTGCTTCATATGCTTCCTTGGCTTATAGCCTAGGTCCAGGGAATTCTTATATTCTGCGTTGCTCGCTCTGGCCTTTGGTTGATCACAACCGATTACGCGTTCCCCAAGCTCCTTAATGGCTAACGAGGCCTTGCCAGATGAGCACTTGTGCATAGGTCCCAAAATGTGCTTTCCTGCGGCCGGAAGCGGGTTGTTGTGCCAGTTGAGACCGTGTTTTACGCAGCGTACAATATACCAAGTACCGCAGCCCTTAGGATGTTCGACAATCCCTGGAGTCCTATCAGTTAACCCTCGCGACTGTGAATTTCCGAAGTAATATGAGACGCTGTAAAGAGTACAAAATGAACACAGAAGATCAGGAATCTAAGTACTTACAGTGTTTATATTCTGCTTGGGGGTCTTGAGCCGCTCGATAGACCTCTTCATAAGGGATTGTCCTCTCGGTCAAAGGAAGGGAACGAGATTGACGGGATGCCTCGTCTCTGTTCATTATTTCCTCGTCTTCCGAATTGATGTCATCCCCTGAGGGGTCTGCAAATTCAGACCAAGCGGAGAGATCATTCTCATCTAAGTAAACATCTGGTTGCGGCAAGTTTGACTTCAATCCTTCTTCGGTGTCAATTCTGACTATGGTCGTGTGGTCCCGTTCCATCGACGACTCCACGACTGTATCGCCCATTTTACCGAGCAGTCCAGAGCATTCTTTGCGGCCTTGCGAAGTTTGTTCTGGACGAGGTTTTGCTGGAGAGTCAAAGTTATCGCTATTGGGCAAATTTTGCGCCCTGGGGCTGGCGTGGGCGCCAACGGTTCTGGGGCCAAATTCGATGGGGGAGTGCTGGCCAAGATCTTGTGCCAGAGTGGAAGGGGAAATCGAAGTCCGCGGCGTTTCGGGTCGTCCCTTCGTGTTGTTAGCTCTGGCTGTCTTCACGAGACGAAGCATGATGCGGGTCCAGTGGTGGCCAGGAGAAGTCATCAATATGGGTAGTGGCGAAGGACTCTGAGTGACTGATCGCGATGATGGGTGTGTTAAAGAATCTGGCAGTCTGCCTCAGGCCGAGCCAGGACTGAAGTTGGGGAAAGGTGTGAAGGGTGCGAAATATGTAGGAAAGCCAGCCGTGGAACAGAAGCCCAACAGATCCTCTGCAAATTCGGCCATATTGAGACGTACCTGAAATCCCAAATCGTTCGGTTTCCGGCGCTGCAATCTTGAAAGCTCTTGGTTGAACTGCTCAATCTCAGCCTCGTGTTTGCGCTTGCGCGTCGCTTCGCGTTGGTAGGCCATCTGTAAGGCTTCTTCCTTGGTTCGCAACTCTGAATAGTACTTTTCCTTGAATTCCTGGAGTGCAAGCTCCTTTTCTTTTATGTCTTCATGATCAGCCGTTCGATCGACCTCGTAGGAGCGGTGTGCTTGCTGTAGTGCTTGCTCTTTCTGGGCCTCGAGACGGCGGCGTTTCTCGTCCAGAAGACGATAGCTTGCCTCAAGTTCTTCCACCTCGGAAGACGCGTTCTGGTCCATGAGGGGCAATTCGCAGGTGAGGAAGGGTCGCAGTGAGAGTCAATGATTTGAATGAGACGAGAAAGGAGAGATGAATGACAAAGGTCCAAAAATACACAGAGAGGGGAGTGGTAGAGAATCTTGGAGAATGGCAGAGGCTTTCAAGGTTGCAGCATGGTGGCAGCATCCAGTCGAGCAAAGGGGAAGTTGATCGAGCAAGCGCCTGCCTTGGACGCCAAAATGTTGTTCCCTCAGATAAGATTGAGACCCGTCGCCGATGTGCTGTCTTCGGTCTTCGAAATCGACTGCTCAACGGCCACACGCAGCAGCTGCAAGCAAGGTCGCGCATTCCTAGTTTCGTAGTATGTCTGCCATGATCAGCCTTACGTGTGGAGATGGTCAGTTATCTCCTGCCCACATCGGCAACAGTTTCACATGCGTGCGACGGTGACCATTGAATAAAGCCATTTTCTTTTGTTCACACCACCTACAGTGGCTAGACAACTTGTCCAGGCTAGACGGCTGCTGCTTCACATTCCTAGAACCAATGACCAGAAGGGGCCAAGGCAACCAACAGGGCAACAAGGCAACATTTTACTCATTTCTCTTGATGACGCTTATTTCTGTTGGTTTCAAGATTTGGCCGCGCCGCCAAATAAGATGCCATGTTTTTCACGCGTCTGACCGATCTAGTCTAGACGTATGCAGCACACCTGCAGTCATCCGCACATGTACGACAGAAAGTCTGGGGGAATACGCCCCCCATCCAATCGCGGAGCACCCAGACACGAACTGCAGCAGGTCCCCTGGAGCTTCTGTCCGGGGCAGACAAGCGCCTCAAAGTCAATACTATGGGCCCAATCTTTTGCCTGATCTTCGGTTCGCGGCCAGTTGAAAGGAGCCATGTCACAGAATGCCATTCGTCTTTGGCTACGATCGACCGCGTTCAGTCGAGTGACATGTTGAGCTTTACCATGATGAAGCTTGCATTCTGTGGCTTAGACCCTGACAGAGCAAAGCAAATCATTGCGAGCGGCGGTACAGCATCTGGGAATGAGATAGCAATTACACGATTGAGTGACTCGGATAAGAGGACCGAGCCAGTGTGCGTAACAAGCATCGGGGACCATGCAGTGACAGCAGTCAGTTATCCAGAGCAACGCCATTTACGAGGCCTCGTTGCTGTGGCCAAGCAGGGTTCACGTGCTGCAACCTGATGAGGGTGCGGTGCTCCCTCCGGATCGACGAATCTGGTCTGCTGTCGTTGGGCGGGCGTACAGCAGGTGTTTCCTTACATACGAAGCTTGATCAAAAGCAGCCCCAGCCTTCTTAACCTTTTTGGAAGACTTCAATTCGTCTCGGATGTACTATTTCTTGGACAGATAAATGTGTCGTATATTGGGTGAGTCATGTGTTAACATTCACTAATTCAGGGACTCCCGAAGTTTTCCCACGCGGTTTGCTGATATGGGGCATTCCAATTAAGCCTAAAGTCATCTGTGCTTGTGCTAAACCCGAAGAAGGTTGCGGTCTCACTCTTGGCTCTTGTTCGGGAGGAATTGCCGTTAGGGCGACGACTCCTGTTGGCGGGGTCGGAGTTCCCTGCTGCGACCTCACCTTGGCGGTCGAAAATTCGGGGCATATAACAACACGGAGGAGCCGTTCCTATGGGGCGCTGTGAGTTGCTCGAAGATGTCTCCGGGTTACTCACACAATGGCATCGAGAGAAACCACCCTCTTGAGCCCGACGCCGGATGGCGAGCGCTATGAACTCACCAGCCCAACGGCACTGCCCAAGGCTGGTGGTTTTCTTTGGAATCAGAGGATGATGATACACTTCACCTGCCGAGGATATGCAACCGCGCAGTTCATGCAGCCCGAGCCAGCCAAGTACTCGCACGCGCCAAACATCGAGGCGAGGACCTTCATGCAGCCCGAGCAGAACTACTACACGCACCACCCAGGCCGCTTCGTGTATGTCAAAGACGAGGAGACTGGCAAGGTATTCTCAGCGCCTCATGAGCCTGTCCGCGCAGAGCCGGAGCGGTTTGTATTTTCTGCTGGGAAAAGTGATGTGTCCTGGACGACACAGGGGCTTGACGGCATCCAGGTGGAAATGACATTGGCTTTGCCTACGCACGATGTCGCGGAGTTGTGGACGCTCAAGGTCGCAAATAAATCCAGTCGGAGACGTAAAATCAGCATTTATCCGTATTTCACGATCGGATACATGTCATGGATGAATCAAGGGGCAGAGTATCGATCTGACCTTGGAGGGATCGTCGGAAGCAGCATCACCCCATATCAAAAAGCAGAGGACTACGCCAAGAATAAGTTCTTGAAAGATAAGACTTACTTCCTATGCGAAACACCACCAACCGCTTGGGAGGTCAATCAGAACTCATTCGAAGGAGAAGGTGGTCTTCATGCTCCATCAGCGGTGCTGGAAGGTGCTGAGCTGAACAAAGGAGATGCACGCTACGAAACGCCAGCCGCAGCTGTCCAGTACCGTATCGAACTCGAACCAGCCGAGGAGAGGACCTACCGATTTATATTCGGCCCGGCTTTGGATCATGCCGAGATCGAATCTATGAGGAAGAAGTACCTCAGCGCAGACGCATTTTCCAAATCAGCAAAGGACTACGCGGCTTACATCCACTCCGGAAAAGGTCGCCTCCAAATACAGACACCAGATCCAGCCCTGGACAATTTTGTCAACAACTGGCTGCCCCGCCAAGTATTTTATCATGGCGACGTGAACCGCCTGACCACTGACCCGCAGACACGCAACTACCTCCAGGACAACATGGGGATGAGCTACATCAACCCGGCTGTTGCTCGCAAGGCTATCATCACGGCCCTGTCGCAGCAGGAGGAAACGGGTGCCATGCCTGATGGCATTCTGTTATCATCTGACGCGGAGCTCAAGTACATCAACCAGGTTCCGCATACTGACCATTGCGTGTGGCTTCCCATCGCGTTGGATGTGTATCTCTCCGAGACTGGCGAGTACGAGTTGCTCAAAGAGAGCGTCCCGGGATCCCACGGTGACACCTTCACTGTCTCTGACCGCCTGTGCCGGGCAATGGACTGGCTTCTCTCTTCCAAGGCCAGAGATAAGTACGGTCTGAGTTATATCGCCCAGGGAGACTGGTGCGACCCCATGAATATGGTAGGATGGAAGGGCAAAGGCGTTTCGGGCTGGCTGACTGTAGCCACCGGATACGCACTGAAGCTGTGGGCGGAGACGTGTGCCCAGGCTAAGCGGCCAGATCTGGCAGAGAAATACCTCGCCGGCGCAAAGGACGTGAACGAAGCCGCGGCCAAGCATCTTTGGGAGGGCGATTGGTTCCTACGCGGCATCACCGATGACGATAGGGTGTTCGGCGTGAAGGGCGATGCGGAGGGTCGGATTTGGCTGAATCCCCAGGCGTGGTCCATCCTCAGCGGCGCAGCGGACGCGGAAAAGATGGCCAAGATGCTGCCGCACGTGGATGAAATGCTGGGCACCCCATACGGGGTGCTCATGTTCTGGCCGCCCTTCAGTAAGATGCAGGAGGACATCGGGCGCGTGACGCAGAAGTTCCCCGGCCAGGGCGAGAACGGGTCCGTGTACAACCACGCGGCCGTCTTCTACATCCACGCGCTCTACAGCATCGGCGAGGCGGACCGCGCCTACAAGCTCCTGCGCCAAATGCTCCCCGGGCCAAGCGAGGAGGACTATGTGCGGAGAGGGCAGCTTCCGGTGTATATCCCCAACTACTACCGAGGCGGGTGGAAGGAGTACCCCGACCGTGCCGGCCGGTCCAGCCAATTGTTCAACACTGGCACCGTGTCGTGGGCGTATCGCTGCTTCATTGAAGGCCTGTGTGGGCTCCGAGGCGATCGTGATGGACTGAGGATACACCCGCAGCTGCCCTCCGACTGGGACGGCATTACGGTGAAGCGGCTGTTCCGCGAGGCCGAGTTCAACGTGGACATCCGCCGTGGGGATGTCGAGAAGGTGCAGGTAGTCCTTGACGGAAAGACACTGCCAGAGGCGCACATCACAGGCGTGGAATCTGGCAGGACCTACCAGGTTTCCGTGCTTGTGCCTTCGAAATGATTCCAGGCTGCAGCCTGCCGTTGATGAGACAAAGCGGAATAGAACGAGAATCGTGGACCTACGACATCAGCGGTCTCCCGCGTTCGTGGCGTTGAATAGATATTACTATTTGCTGACCATCAACCCCAGCGATAATCTTACCCGACGGCGTGCTGGTTCATCCGTCCAGGGGTTTTGCTGCAGGCACGCGTCGTAAGAAATGACATGGTTGGATTGCATAATCTCCTCGTGGGTGCGATGTCTCAGCCGGTGAAGGCTGGTGACTCAGGTGAAGTAGATGAGTGTGCCATGGGTAAAGCGGAGATCCTGCCCAGGCTACCAACCAAATCTCCTCATTGATTGTGGTGTGATTGATAGCGTTGCAGTTCAAGTGCTGACATTTTGGTGTTGGTGAGGAGAAGACAGCCCAAAAAACGTAATGCAGCCCTCTGACGCGATTCCTTCACGTCTTGGCACTCGAGCCAAATGGGTAGGTGATATAGCAGATTCTGCAATCTCCATCGACTATCACCTCTTAATGTGGAGTCGCCAACGGCAATCACTTCACCCCGAAAGCTTGTTTAGTCCAAATAAAATGCCATGCCCGGCCCAAAGTCTGAGTATCTTGGTTCCTGAGGACGAATGGCAACCTCGAAATCTGTGCGAACCAACCGACTGCAAGAATGGCACTGAGGACAGCACTTTGGGCCTCGAGCCTGCTCCTCAGCACCGCTCAGGCCATCACCACTGAGTAAGCGCCACAACAATAAATAATAACTTGATCAATGGCTGACTGGCCGCGTCAGGGGAATGCTTGCTGCTCCGCGACGAAGCACTGCAAATGTCAACCCCAGCGGAGTGCGTATAAACCGCAGCGTCTCTTTTTCATACCCGACGCAAAGTCTAATCTAGAATAGACAATTGCTCTTTTCTCGTCCACAACCTACGACTGGACAGCTCATGAGGCTTCCACGACATGGCAGCTATTGGACATTGCCAGCGGTAACATCACGGAAGCGCCATTCGACTCCAGTGTGTCCGAGGTTGTGTGGATAGGCCCGACAAACACCAGTATTTTGTACCTGAACGGCACAAATGATGATGTCCCCGGCGGCGTTACGCTCTATACTGCTGACATTGCTGCGGACGTGTTTTCGCCGTATGTCTCCTAAATTTTGATAAGACGTCCTTTCAGACTTCCGTCACTAATCTTCTGCAGAACTCTCGTTGCCTTCCTGGATGCTCCTTTCTCAGGCCTCAAAGCTGTGCAAACTGAATCTGGTTCAATTAACTTTGTGGTCAACTCCCTTGCCTACTGGAATAACGGGTCAGCGTATAATCCAGAACTCGCGAGCACCCCATTGAGCACCGGTCAACTTTATGACGCGAATTTCGTACGCCACTGGGACACCTACATTGCCGCTGAGCGATATGCAATCTTCAGCGGTGTGCTTGCCGGTAAAGACGGCAACTTCTCTTTCAACGGGGAGGTAAAGAATCTGCTCTCAGGTCTCAATGCCACTGTTACGCGTCCTGAGACACCGGTGCAGCCCTTCGGCGACCAGGGCGATTATGATATCAGCCCCGACGGCAGCACCGTGGCCTTCCTGACTAAGGCACCGGAGTTGTCCAAGGCAAACTACACTGCGAGCTATATTTATCTCGTCCCTCACGACGGTTCCGAGGCTCCAGTCGCAGTAAACGGACCTGGCTCTACTGCGCCTGAGGCTGCTAAGGGTGCTTCTGGGGCCCCAAAATGGTCTCCCGATGGCACCAAGCTCGCATACGGACAGCAAAATGGTATTTCATACGAGTCTGATCGTACTCAGCTCTATGTTGCCAGCATCAACGGCCTCGAGTCTGAGGTCACTCCGGTCGCCGAGGACTGGGACTCGAGCGCATCTGGAATCCAGTGGAGTCCCGATAGTGCAGATCTGTGGGTCTCCTCGGAGCTGTATGCTTCGGTCCGTGTATTCGTTATCCCTCATGACGCAGAGGCGTCCTTCAAACCCGTTAATATCACTGGGCCGGACACCTCGCTTTCTGACTTTGCGGTCCTGCCTGATGGCTCCGCGCTCGTCTCCGCGGCCTCGAGTTGGACAAGCCGGATTTTCTACACGCAAGCCCCCGGTGGGGACAAGAACATTCTTTTCACCGCTAACGAAGTCGATCCTGAACTCGAAGGTCTGAAGCCCGACTCTGTCTCAAACTTCTGGTACGAGGGCGGAGATGGCGACCAGATCCAGACCTTTGTCTTCTACCCAACGGATTTCGACCCGAGCAAGAAGTACCCTCTCGCTTTCATCGTGCACGGTGGCCCTCAGTCGACTCAAGCCGACCAATGGAGCACGAGGTGGAACCTGCGGCTTTGGGCAGACCAAGGTTTTGTCGTGACCAGCCCCCAATTCACCGGCACACCTAGTTACGGCCAGGCTTTCACGGACAAAATCCAGAACAACTGGGGCGGGACACCGTACCGTGATCTCGTGAAGCTCTTTAAGTATCTCGAGGCCAACGTGTCGTACATTGACACAGACAACGCCATCGCCGCTGGTGCCTCATACGGAGGCTACATGTGAGTATTTCCCGCCGCGCGATCAAAGTCTATATTTACTAATCAACAATGCTTAGGACAAATTGGATCCAAGGTCAAGATCTCGGTCGCAAATTTAAGGCCATCGTCACGCACGATGGCAAGCTGGATCAGGTCGGATCCTATGGCACCGAGGAGCTGTGGTTCATTCAGCAGGACCAGAACGGGACGATTTGGGACAACCGCGACAACTACGAGCGGTGGGATCCGTTGTACCACGCCAAGAACTTCAGCACGCCTCAGTTTGTTGTCCACAGCGACTTCGACTTCCGGCTGCCCATCTCCGAGGGAATCATGCTCTTCAACATTCTACAGAGCCTTGGTGTGCCCTCACGGTTTCTTCATTTCCCTGACGAGAGTCACTGGGTCTTGAACCGTGAGAACAGCCTGGTCTGGCACAATAGTATCTTCAACTGGATCAGGTACTGGACTGGCCAGGACGAGGAGTTGATTCAGGATATTGTTATTCATCAGTAGAATGGGTACTTGACCCAATAATCAACATTTATACATCACACATGGCCACAGATTACGAGATGCTGATTTAGGTCTGACTGAAGCGACAGGAGAGAGCCAAGCTTCTGACTCCCCAGAAAGGACGCGAAAACCCTTGGAAGCACTGTAATATCATCTGAGGGCTGGGGTTCTGTCGGCCAATTTCCCACCATTGCATCATTGAGCTGCATGACCGCGCAAGCTCCTTCCTCTCGGACTTTTGAAGTCGGCGCATCTCAACCCGATCTGACGGCATCCGGCGCCCCATTCATTTTAAAGACTCATCGATTCCTCGAATTTGACAGCTCAGCTTGAGGCCTTTCAAGCGCGAATATGCGCAGTGGGAACCCCATGGAGAATGTGAGGAGGCCCCTGAGCAAATACCGTAATTAGGTTGCACTGGTCGCTTAGGGACTTGTCAATGTCTGTATCCGCATCGTAATCAGAATAGGCTTAGAGCTGGGTCTGTCAGGTTGAGCCGCCCCTGATCTCCGTATAATGTTGTGGAGGTACGGGTTGGCGCCCGGGGTTTAATGTTCAGCCGACCGCACGCTCGAGCTGGACAGTTGGCTACCGTAATTAATTCCAATTTAATAACAAGATGTCGACATGATGGAGCCTCAAAGTTGCCTCAACAGTTTGAAGAGGGTGTGTGTTCACTATATCTCATTGGAGTCAAGACTACGGCCAAGACAACTAAGCTTTGTCAATATCAGGACCTCGGTACATCTCCCGAGGCAGGGCTGTGATCAGCTGGTACGCTACATCTTGACAGGTCCGGCCTGTGAGCGCGGCTCATCCAGAGGCGAACAAATGCATGTCCCATTATGCCTGGGAACAATTAACTTGCTCGTCTACGGAAGGCCCGTCCTTCCATGCAACACGGCGATTCAAGATTTCGCCGTACAATCTATTTGCGACTTCGCGACGGCACTCGAAAGAGGTAAGGCGGCGCCTCGGTATCCCGACTGCGAATAGGGTTGCTTCTCCGGGTCCATAGCAGTTCGGCGCGAGATGAAACTTGTGGAAATAAAGTGGATTTGCATTCCTAAAATGATGCAAGGTAGCATGCGCATCAGGTTGTTTCCTGCAGGAAACGCGGTCCGCTCTGCACATGGAAGGATTGGGGGCCGTTTGTCGTGCTCGTCATGTTGAAACGAAGTTTGGTACCACATCGGATGACGTGGAGCTGACAGCCCAGCGTCCCTGGTTCTCGGGCCCGTTGTAACCCAATACCCCTTAAGAGCATCGAAGGTGAATACGCTTGCGGGATCCCTAGCTGATAATAAAGTGAAGGGGCCAGCCAGCCCAGGCCGAGTCCGAACGTGGACAAGTTGTGGAGCTGCCAAGACCTAATCGAGACATTGGACAACATTCAAGGGGTTTTGCGTCCACACACACCTTACCCTATTCTACGCTCCGGCCAGTCACTCAGTCCACTATGCGCTCCAAACAGCCGGATCAGGAGCGAGAGACCTCAGAGTCCAGAACTTGAGCCGCCGTCTCCATCGTCGAAGCGGATCACGACGAGAAGCGCGCAGCGCTAGAACTGCCGACGGACACATAGGCTTAGGGACGCCTATTATTCTCCGTCGGTTCGCAACTATCAGATCGATCTTTGTAGCGCCATCTCTACTGAGTGCGCAACCGACTGACAATCGACGTGGTCGCATCACTAACACAATCTCGTCCACCTGTCGGCAGGATCGACCCGATTTAGCTCCCATATTGCCAGACTCCGTCGTGGTCGGAGATTGATGAGATCTTCATCGAGGCGGCTGCAGGTACGGAGTACAAGTCAGGGGATCCCAGGGATGATGGCCTCGCGGCCGCCTTCGTGCGTCCTTGGCGAACAGGATCAACCGCAACTCCTCGAAACAAGGTGGAGTTTGTTTGTACACGCCAAGATCTAGACGAGGAAACCAACAACGGAGAATCTTCCCAATTGTCGATCCCATTGCCAGGATCTTGTCAGGCCCGGCCACCAACACGGGATCCCATCAATCAGCTTGGTCCGTTTTTTTCGTTTCCTCGTCGCCGCAAACGAGCAAGATGGGGTGATCTGGATGAGATCCGGATCAACTCCACTCAGGGGTATCGACGGCGTGGTAGCTCTGCATAGGCAGGATGGAAGACGTCTTGCTTGATATATAAGAAGCCATGGGCTCAGCTTTGGGAGATAGGTCTGGCTTTGTTCTTCAGACTTTCCTCTGCAAACTCCAGAAGTCCCTACAAACACATTCTTTTTTCCACCAAGCAATTGATTGCTTTTTTCAACTGTAGGCTCTGGAAGCTTCACTCTTTTACACACTTTCAAAATGAAGTTCACTCTCGTCGCCACCCTGATGGCCGCCGCCGTCTCGGCTGCCCCTGCTTTCAACGTCGTCCACCCTCGCAAGACGCACGCCACCAAGTCTAGCTCGGGTTCCGTGCCTGCTGCGACTGGCAGCGGTTCCTCCTCCGGCAACTCTTCCTCTGGTGGCTCCACGTCCGGAACTGTGACCGAGGCTTGCAACATCGGTTACGCCACCCAGAACGGCGGTACCACCGGTGGTGCCGCTGGTGAGCAGACTACCGTCACCTCCCTCGAGGAGCTCAAGACCGCTGCCAGCGCGGACGGCGCTGCCATTATCATCATTGACGGTGCCATTGAGGGCTCCGACAAGGTCGATGTCGCCTCTGACAAGACCATCATCGGAGCTGCTGGCTCCTCCCTGACCGGTGTTGGTCTCCGTGTCAAGAAGGCCTCCAACGTCATCATCCGCAACGTCAAGATCAGCAAGGTCCTCGCCGACAACGGTGACGCCGTCACCGTCCAGGCCTCCAACAACGTCTGGCTCGACCACCTGGATCTGTCCTCGGACCGTGACCACGACAAGGACTACTACGATGGTCTGCTTGATGTCACCCACGGTTCTGACTACATCACCATCTCCAACACCTACCTGCACGACCACTGGAAGGCCTCCCTCGTCGGCCACAGCGACTCCAACTCCGATGAGGACACCGGCCACCTGATCGTCACCTACGCCAACAACTGGTTCTCCAACATCAACTCGCGTGGTCCTTCTTTCCGCTTCGGTACCGGCCACGTCTACAACCACTACGCCGAGAACTCCTCCACCGGTATCAACACCCGCATGGGCGCCCAGATGCTGATCGAGTCCGCTGTTTTCTCTGGCATTGAGAAGGCCATCGAGTCCGCTGACTCCGAGACCGTCGGCTACGCCGTTGTCAACGACGTCGACCTTGGTGAGGGCACCAACACCGTTGAGGCCGGCACCCTTAAGACCGTCCCCTACGAGTACGAGCTGCTCGGCTCCGCCAACGTCAAGGCCTCGGTCACCTCCACCGCTGGCCAGACCCTCTCGTTCTAAGCTGCTTGATGCTTATGCACTGAGCTTGAGCGGGCTGGGAGACCACGCTATCCCGATTTGTTTGAGCTTGCTCACTTGGCTGAGAGGCGTCGGCAGACGGGATTAATTCAACCTTGTACATATTATAAGGAGCCGGTTTCTAAAGATTCTGGCATGGAGAAGGGCACCGAGAGAAAATTTTGTATATACAATACTTCTATGTAACTTCATTGACAAATAAGAGTGTCACATCATCATACCTGCTTAGTCCTTTTTTTCAATCGTGACATGATAAACACATACCGGCTCACACATCTACACATGAAATTGTGGCAAGAATTGCACTAGCAATCCGAGTTGACACCTACAAATTGATTCGCTTCTGTGTGCAGTGGGTGCAAAGGATTTTAATTGGCCAAAAGAGGGCTTTGGAGCAGCTATATAGGGCTCTATCATTGTCTAAGCTGTTCAATATAAAAAGTCTTTCAGACCTCTTCCCTTTCTGCCCAGTGACCTTAATTTAAAGACTCATGTGGGGCACGACTCAGTGCAACAATATTCAACCACACGATCAGGTGGGTTTCATTAACCGAAGATTCGAATGTTCACCTCAGTGTTAGAAGTAGGATTGACTCTTGGCTGATCATAAAAATAAACATTTCCATCTAGGTGCATCTCAAATTCGTCTCTTAATCCCACTTGATGATTGGTTTGATGACCTAACATTGGTTCCCAGTCAGTGCTCGGGGACATTGAAACGGGACGACTGTATTTTGCCATACTTTACCGTCATGCATGTCTTTAACAGCTTGGTCAAAGTCTTTAATAGAGTACACCTTGCAAAGCTTATCGACGGGGAACCTGCCCTTTCGATGGAGCTCAATGAGCTCAGGAATGAACTAACACCAGTTAGACTTGCATCATGTCCCACGGGATCTCCATCTCCAGTCGGTGTACGAACCTTGGTTGGATTTACTTCACCTTCAATCACAGATCTGTAGCTCTTATGCGCCATAAAGAATGATTGCGTCTCGATATCGATCTTCACCCCTGGAGGAGGCACACCAACCGAAATAGCTTGACCGCCATGACCCAAGCAGTCTACCGCAGCTTGCAGGGCAGAAGGCGACCCACTGCAGTCAATAGTCACATCGGCACCGCCCTCGGTGATCTCTCTCAGTCGATTGACCAGGTTATCGCCCTCCGTGATGCAGTTAATCACATCCGTCGCTCCCAGCTCCTTGACTAGCTCCAATCTGCTATCCACAATGTCAACACCAATGATCTGCTTGACCTCCAGATGCACGGCAGCCATGAGGGCGGCGATACCGACACTCCCCAGGCCAAAAACAACGACACGTGAACTCTTCGTGGGCTTGACGGCCTCTAGCACCGTCCCGGCACCGGTCTGGAAGCCGCACCCGAGCGGCGCGTAGTAGGGCAACATATCCTCGACGGGGCACTTGACCACGCTGAAATCCTGGACGACAGACAGCCTCGCGAACGAGGATTGCCCAAAGAACTGGCTCCTGACCGTCGTCTTACCATCCGCCAGCCGCGCCGGCGTGCTCTTGTCGTCGACCCGCACGGCGTTGAAGTTGATCTCCGTGTGCGTCCTGCAGAACGTCGGGCGGTCCTCGAGACAGGGCCCGCAGCTCTGGCAGGTCGTGTACGACAGGAGGACCTGGTCACCCACTTTGAGCGATTTGTCCCTGACGTTTGAGCCAATGGCCCTGATGATGCCTGCGCCCTCGTGGCCCAGGACGACTGGGTACTCTGTTAGGTGCTGTAGGAGGCCTTGTTGCACGACAATGTCCTGTGTGTTTGGTTGTGTCAATAACGTTTACTCTGGAACCCTTTTTGAGCCTGGGGAGAAACGGAGGCTCACCGTGTGACAGATTCCGGAGTATTTCATTTCAACGAGTATTTCCTTTTCGCGAACCTCGTCGAGACTAATTGGCGTGAGCTTGAAGGGCGCCTTTGGCTCGGCTACGACGAAAGCCTCGGTTTCGATATTTGTGAGAGACATGATGTTGCAATTTCAGTGTATTCAATATTTTTCTTGTTGTCTCCCCTCTCGATTTATGAGCTCGGATCTCAGCAGTAGGAAGGCAATTCACTCCTGGGGGACTCCGCTGCTTTTAAGTCACATTTTTGAAACATAGCAGCGCCGAGGCGTAAGTGCTTCGGGTAGCGCCCACAATTCTCGTCCATCATGCGGGGTTGTGTTTGGCATGGTGATCCGTCTGCGACCCCAATGTAAAAGTGCTCCCGCCGAGAAACAGGCAAGCTTATGAGGCCGAGGCGGGTTGTTGTATGAGTTAAGGCAAACAATCTCAAGGAGGATAATTATTTTGACCAAGCGTCGAGTTGCCCTTATAAACAGACGAGCTCAATTCATCTACGATGGTTGATCTCCCCAAGAGACCTTCTCGTTTTCACAGAATTGTGCCCATGAACTAGAACATACGTAGATCTATTCTGATTTAGACTTGCCGGGTGCGGGTAATCTTTGGAGACACGTTCCGACGACTAAACCAAAGTTTCGGCAGTTGCACCTACGCTGTACTTCCCTGTGTGGCTAGCACGCAGCCAGAGAAGATCACATTCTTCGGGGTGATGCACTTCCACTGACTTTCGGGGACCGGATCAGAAAGTCAGTGCAGCTATGCCTTGTTTCTGAAGACAGCACAAGCCATTTTTATTATCATTTCGCATCCAACACTGAAGCCGTCTTCAAATACAACGTAGCCAAGCCAATAAAGGCCAACGGCCCGTGTGTTGTCTGGTCAATTGTGACAGTGATTAGACTCGAAACAAGTCTATTTTGAAGCATGACTACCCTCGTCCCCACAAATTCAATCAAGGGGATTTCGCGGCCTGAATCTATAAAGAGATACCTCTCACAGTTGGATACTGACTACCCAAGCCGAAATTCCGCGAAATTCCGCGAATGACCGAGCTCAATTATCAACGCCTTCTGCCTGTGATGTCTTGATAGCCCCTGATATCTCCCCTCATAGCTCGATTGATACCATTACTTGAATACGGCAGTTGGAGTGTCCACTTTTCCGTCCACGTGCTCACTCCCCGTTCTTCTTCGTTGAGCTCGTCCTCGTCAAAATCATTTTTGGCGTCCTCCCATGCCCTGAGTCCCATCCACGGTCCAGCGTGAAACCTCCATTTGTGCTCCCTCGAGGTATGGTGTCGGCAAGGGCTGCCCAGAGACCGAGCAGTGCAATGGATTCGGCGTTCCGGTGCGCATCTCCCTTCTTGCAGTTCATCACAGCCTCCCAGCTCGAGGTCTCGTATGCCCCGTCGGAGAATTGAAGAGAGACATCATCTAGGTAGTATGGGAAGCAGTGCATGACTTCATGAATTATTCTGCGGTGCCCAAGTCAGCGAATGCTTTAGACGATTTTGAGTGGGCTTTTAACTCTTGGTAGAGAAAGAAGACACCGGCATCTGGTAGTAATCTAATCATTGAGAAACACGTGTAGTGTAAGGAAAGCACAGACATTCTTGCCATGGAGCCTGATATGATATCGTTGATCGTGACATCGTTGAAATTGGCGCCTCGAGACCCAAGTACAAGATCCCAATCACAAATGTTGTTCCAGGCGTTGTTGCTAATATCAATTACGTATCTCCTGGGGTTCTCCTGTCGTGCGTGCTGTTCCGTGTCAGGATCGAAATCTGGGAATTGTTGTGATCCAGGGATACCATCAAATCCAACAGCTTGCCCGTGGTTCAGCGCATCCACGTTGCCTGTGTACCACACATGATTTACCGGATCGTAACATCTATCCTGCTGGCTCATAGGATCCTGACCCCCATCCAGCCACCTCTTGCGGTTGTCGGAGAAGAACCTCAAGTTGGCTTCCTGCCTGTTGTCAGTCCTCTGCCAGTTATTGCCAAAGTCAGACAGGACTGTAGTAACGTGGTCGATGGTGGCTATCCAGTCGCGTTCTTCTTGGAACCGGAAACGATCCTGCCATCTCCGAGAGCGTGGCAGCGGAGTTGAGTCGTCTTTTTGTGTTTTAAAAATCACATTGAACACCCGGGCAAAGTCGGTATCGCTGTTGTCTTGCAATCTCTCCACCGCACGCCTGGCCCAATGTTGAGCAGTTCGGACAAAGAAGTCAAAACATCGGTTGCTTCGTGTGGCGTTTCTGGTCCTGATGTCACATGTAGCGTCGATAAAGTAGTAGTAGTATCCAGTATTCGACATGATGGAGGTCTGTACTTGGCATTGGTCTGATTGTTCAGGATAGGATCTTTCTCTTTTTATAGGGGAAGGAACAAGTCTTGTGTTGGTTGATATATGATTTTTACAAAAAAGTGAATGTATCGCACTAAACACTTTGTATTTGAGATGGAATTCGACTTATGGGCAGGAGGTGAATGGCCTATCTCAAAACTCTTCACTCGTGCCGTTGACCGGTCAGCAGAGTGATGACGAAGCATTGTGTGGAGATTGTTCAAAGGCAGCGGACTATTTTAGGAAAGAAGGCAGCCATCTTCGTTAGAAAAAGAAAGTATGTCTTCTAGGTTTTAGTCACCGACATTATGCACTTCACTTGATAAGGCAAGGAAGGCACCTTGAATACCTGCCTGCGCACTGCGTTCACGATTGCGCTACATGAAAATAATTGTTTCATACGAACATCTGAGTGAGATTGTGGTCACTCAACCGTCCCCATTCTGACCTGCTCGAGACCTCCACGCAAATTAGCATTATGAACATCAATATCCTAATTATCCTTCCGTAAAACCTATATCAGGGGAGCAGCCGCCATACTCGGTACACTCTGGAACCAAACAAAAAAACAATCGAAACCACCAATAATGATAGCTATGGTCTTGATAAGAGAGCATGGCTCGGTTCATACGTAGTGGTCTTCTCGAATGCCTCATTCTCAGTCACACCGGTAAATTCAAGAACAACATAATCAAAGCACCACGATTGTGAATATGACAGACAATATCTGTATGTTATTGCATTGAGGAATCAATGGGATTGCTGGTAGATCAGCTCAAGGGAGAGATGATGCTTGCCGCTGGTCTCGTTTTTATTGTTGTTAAAGCAAATGCTGCTTTCGATGAGACCGATAACCGGCATGCAAATGAAGTCTCCCAGAAAATTTGGAGCATCGGGATTTATGCAAAGATCGGCCGGCATTTCAGACTTTCTCTCGTGTCCGCATGTACAGCCGACGCCAGCCTCGGCCAACATCCGTTGTATTACATCGGTCAAAGCTCGAATGCTTCGGAGGACATCTTTTCCTTGAAAATTTGAGCCAAAGTCTCACCGACATCTTGGTCGAGGCAAAGTCCTCGCCTGGCAGGGGTAATTACCCACATGCAGCCAAGCTCGACAGAAACAAAGTTGAACCACCAACAGCATCGTCCCATCTCATGGCGGGAAAGGGGTGAAGTCCGTGGAGTGTTCAGCTCCAAGGATACCCAGAACAGGTTTACAAACAATGCACAGCCAGAATGTGAGCAGCTTTCCCTGGAAGAGTCAGCTGCATATTGCGCCCGCAGACGCCTGAAGCCACAGCTCTCATGCTGCCATACCTGAGATTCAGGGGCTGCAGTCTGAGAAGCAAATGCTCCGGTGACGCGCATGAAGGTTACGAGCGCTCGGGTTTGTTGTGCCTTGAGCAACGTTGTATTGAGATGAGCTTGAACTCTTCACAATCTGGTGCGAGGCAGGCTCCACAACCCTCTTTGTCTTGTTGATTATCTTTGTTGTTACAACTGCTAATCTGCCCAAAGTCAGATCCGAGAAAATTCCTGTTGATGAATTCCAAGGACAGTATGAAGGGATTCATGTAAGTCTTCTGATCAAAAGCCCGACATTGTTGTTGGGGTATAAGACGGGCTCGGGCCGCTTTGTAGAAACCTGCTGGGTTGTGAAGCTATATGTGGGGGTATATTTGGCGTGTTTGTGGCATGATGCCCTCCGTCCGTAGACAAAGAAAAGGTCACTGCTCTGTCACGACCGGGGAGATATTGAATTTACATGATTTAGAAGATGGTCGGAGGTTGAAGCACCACGACTGCCGAATGAAAGTCAAGAGATCTTTTATCTTGGGCGCATGCATCCCCCGACGAGCAGATATCTTATACCAGGTGAATAATCAAATAAGAGTCACAACTTGCGGCTCCGCCATATCGACTGTCTGTGTACACGATATTTTGGCCGACATAAATTGCTGAGATAAACATTTCCTTTAAGTGTGTGTACCCACATGGTTTTACGATTGTTTGCTTTCTTGCTAACCTCAAAAGGGATCTTGGAGGTGGAGCTGCGGGACCGACCTCGGCAGGCAGTTCCGGACCCCAGACTCGAGGAGCCGAAGCCGAGACTGAGAACCAACTTAATTAATCAATCCCACCTCGTCTACTTGGAACAGCAATAGCCCTTTGTGCCAACAACCACGATGGTGGAGAACTTCTAGGGATCCCTCCTTCCCAAACCGCTACCCGAGCTCAAAAGTTTTCCCTCACCACAGAGCACTACCGAGATTTACACGACATGGACTCGATGCAGGATGATGTCCCCATCAAGCGACCGCCAGAGGACGAAGAACCCTTTGATCCAAGCAGAGCCCCTCCAAAGCGACAGACTATAGCGATTCCAGCTACCAATGGGCAAAGCGAGCCATCCATTGCTCCCTCTTCTGATGCCACAGACCATCAATTGATGGGCAAAACTCCAGGCGAGCTGGTCACCATCATCCTTGCGATGCGGTCCTCCCACGAACAGCAGCTGGCCGAGCTGCAGAACCAGTACGCGGTTGTCAGCCGTCAATTGGAGCATTTAACAAGTTCCCTGAACGGCTACTTTGCCTCGCAGATATCAGCTCTCCAGTCTGTCCAGCAGGTAGGTCTATCCCATGTTGAAACATATGGGTCAAGCTGACAAAACGCCATCACAGAAGGTTGCCTCCGTTTCGACCCCTGAGCAAGCCAGAGCTTTCCCCTCCACTACATACAAAATCCCGAATGCTGCAAACGGGATTCCTGCGCAGACATCATCTAACCCACCATTTTCGGCTGTACGACAAACGCCTGTGCCCTCATTCGTGCCCATCTCGCCATCCACACCCATTGTGAACGGCTTGTCGAGCACGCCAAATCCTCGAAGCTCACGCCTCGAAACCCCGTCTGTTGTAGCTTTCACTCCTATCAAGACGCCCACCGGCGCCTCTGTCGAGCCACGAGACAAGAAGGACCTCAAGATCACGCCGTCCCCCAACGCGAGCCAACCACCCACCGTCGAAGTAAGCTACCTCGAGACAGCATGGGAGGCCTGGGAAGAGTTCCGCTACGGCCGCAACGGCAACCCGTCGCTCGAGACCCTCGACGCCGTCTGGGGCCCTAGGTGGCGCCAGGACTTCAAGCTGAGAGAGTTCTACAAGCGGCGCAAGGCAATCGCCGACAAGATCAAACAATACATGGCGGATGGGATCGACGAGCAGAGCGCTGTCAGAGCGCTGGACACGCAACGTAGCAAGCGGAAGCTGAATTGGCTGTCCCTACGAATCTTGGACGAGCGCAAGGCGCAGAAGGAGCAGTACAAGGAGGCGCGGAAGGCCGCACTCGCGAACAAGGAAGCCTTGATGAGGGGTGCCTCGCCAGCGGTCGCGGCGGATCCGCATCCGTCCCCCCCTCAGACTCAGCCAAGTCAGCAGATGCAGCAGACACAGCAGACGCAGCAGACACTCTAGAAGCGGTTTGACGCTGGTGTGGGTCAGGTGTCCAAATTCCTCTATTTTTTTGCGGTTCACATTTCGGCGCTGGAGTTTGGGGGTCCGCAGTTTATGATACCCTGGTCACTGAGTGGACAGCTTCTGCTTTCAATGAATTGGTTGCTTAATTATTGCCTTGACTAATATATATTATGCTGGCAAAATACCTACGAAGTCCTAGCATAGCCCTAGAAACAAGTATGACCTGTTGCTGCGAACAAAGGATGCCGAAGTGGAGTCAAAGAAATCTTAACGAGGTGAACTCATGGCTTGTCATGATAAACCACACTTACATCGTATCCAACTAAACTGCCTGGCATCCTTACCGCTGAACCGAACCCGATTTCAATGTGTTCTTGCCAATCAAAATTGATCCACGTCAGAGAGTCCCGGATTTGTTCAACGTGGGATGACCTTCGCATATTGGGAGTTGCAGCTCAACCCATCATTTCTCTGGCAATTCCATCAGTCCTGGCTCCATCCTCCACCAGAGCAGCTTCACGACTGGCATCCCTAAACTTGAATACAACAGTCGGGTCCACGGGCTCCGTCACGACACCATCCTTATAGCCTGTCTTAATGCTGACATCAATGCCTCCTGGTGGCGGCAACACGTCGAAAGCCCAGATAACCTTAGAGGCAGCCAGCATGACAGCAGCGAAGGCGAACTTATCGCCAGGGCACTGCCGTCGTCCTGAGCCGAAGACATAGAGAGCTCGGCGGCCGCTTTTCTCAAGATCATCCTCGGTCTCAGGGGCATCATTGCTGCGGCGGAAGCCATACGGGTGCTTCACAAAACGCTCGGGCATGTATTCGTCTGGTCGCTCGTACTCGTGCTCGTTCCTGTGGATGGTCCACGCGTTGGCGATAAAGGTGGTTCCCTTGGGGAAGACGTAGTCGCCGTACCGGTCGTCCTGAGACAATGTGTGGGGAAGTGCGCTCGCCGTGACAGGACGCCAGCGAAGGACCTGTTTTCGTCAGTGGATAAAGCTCTAGGAAATCTGCAGGCTTTAATCACCTCTGATATGCAAGCCTCGAGGTAGACAAGCTTGCCCAGCATATCACCAGTTGGCGGCTTGTTGCCCGCGACCAGGTCGACCTCCTCCTGGGCCTTTTTGAGGACATTGGGAAAGGCAGCAAAGCAGCACATAAGGCTCTTGAAAACAGCAGAAGTCGTATCCACGGCAGCGCCGACTGCAGCCTGGCCGATATACCCTAGTTCTAAATCAGTGAATCGGCGTTCCGCCTTGACTAACCCTGGCGTATCCTGCTCTCGCAGCAGTCTGGCAATGAGGCCCTCAACCCGGACGGAGGCTGAGTCTTCTTTCATCTTTACAAACTGTTCTTTGCCTGCGCTAAAGAACCTCATCGCATCTTCGCTCATGAGTTTCCGGACACGTCGAGCTTCTGCCTTCCACGCTGCCATGAACTCAGGGAGATATTTCAAAATCGGGAAATAATCAACTAATGGTGCTGATCCTGGAGTAGCTAATTTCAGGACTTGCTCTTGTGAATGAATGAAGTCATCCCCAAACCCCGGTGGTAAGGCATCCAGACGCTGGCCGCTTGTGGTTACGAGCGGGACTGCTAGAGACCAAGACTGGACAACGTCTTCGTAGCTTGACGTGCCATGGTGTATTTTTTGACACAGGTTGGAAGCCTCGGCTTCCAACAAAGGAAGGAGTCTCTTGATTCCAGCATTGCTGACGATGTAGTTGAACGTCTTGCGCCAGCGTGTGTAATAATCGTCGTATTGCAAGACCAGAATGGCTTTGTCCTCAGGCCCGGGCCAAATGTGTTTGGTCAAGATGTGATTAATTGGTCTGTTGGAATAGATAGCTCCACGCTTGTCAAATAGCTCATCTGAGCAATGTTTTAATTAGTAAACAACGTACTCAAATCACTACACAACTACCTTGTAGATGGAAGAACGGAAGAAATGGATCACCCGATCCCTTCGAGTGCAATGGGGAAGTAGGGAAAGGAAACCAGGCAGAGAATGAGGAGGTGAAAGCTCACATACGGACGATTTTGGAGTTATTGATGATGACAAGATTACCGGCGCCGGTCTTGATAGAGACCAAATCACCATACTGCTTTGACCATTCGTGGAACTTCAGAAACGGCTTTTGAGGGGGGATTTGGTGAAGATTCCCAAGTCCTGGGACGACGGGGGGACCTGGCGGGAAGTTCTGCGGTCTCAGAGTGGAGGAGACCCATCGAAAGAGAGACCAAAGCAGGAGCAGAATGGGGCCAACAATCGCGGTTGAGAGCCCCGGGACCCAGAACGGAGATTCCAACATGTCTTTGAATGACACAACAGTTCTTTCCAAGATTTCGAGATATCGCAGCTGGGGAATTGGTCGAGCGCGTCCAAGTTAAAGAGAATAAGATTTGGAATCAATATGGTGGCAAGTTTCCGCAAGCGCGATTTGATTGGCCACTTGTGCAAATATGCGGAGGTTATTCACCACGGCCGATGGAACTTAGTAACCCCAAGGCAATCTATGCACACCCACCACGTACCATCTCCTGCACCTAGAGCCTATAAATGCTAGAGATTGTTGAGTAAGCGCCCTGATAAGCGAATCAGAGAGTCAACGAACCACTTGACCTGCATGATCAGGACGGCACATCATGCGGTAAGCAAAATGTATTCTCGAATTGCTAGATTGGGCACTGAATCCTCCACTAATCTAGGCATGTGAACGGTGTGAGTTGCCAGTATTGTTATAGATGTCTTCATAGTGCTGAACATTGCCATTCTTGTCAAGCTGGCTTGGTCCAAACAGGAGATCCCCTTTAAATACAAACCATACTGTGAAGACCCAGTTCATCAGATAAGCGATGAAAAGGAAAATGAACAAAGCCGTTGCTAGCACACGAAACGCCGGGGAGTCCATGGAAGTTCCGAGTTGAAGCAAGGCTGTGTCAAGAGTGACAACTGGGAATACCACGGCCCACCATGTCCTGCAAGTCATCAGTATATGCATCTAATGACAGGATTCACATTAATGGTTCAGCACTTACAAGTTGTAGACAGCCTTCCTCTTCACGAAGCCTATATCGATAACGACGAATATAGCAATCATGAACCAAAAGATACCGAGACCAATGAATAGAAGCGAGAGCAAAGTTCCAGCGCCTTGAAACATTTGACCCATCTGCTGGGTGAAAAAAGTACCCCTTGCATACTGTGCAAAGCGGCCATCCTGCCCGGCCACCTGCCCAAGAATCTGAAGCCCCGACGCCGTTTGTGTGGCTGGACTGACAAGTAAGGCAAGACCGGCGATCCCAGGGGCCTCAGGCCAGCCGTAATTCATAAGGCGATAAAGGAACAATGCGTACAGTACCAGACCCATCCAAATTGCTATACCCAGGAGAAAATATCCCATGATCACCATAGGAATAACAAGTCTGGTCGACATAGCAGACGAGTGTTCACTGATTGTGCCAGCCTCCACGGCAGCCGTCGCCATTCCAACAATGGGCAGGAATACTGCTGGACTCATTATCCGCCCAATATGTTCTGGGCTGCGCGACAGGATGATGATCACAGCCGCGGCATGAACGAAATTGAAAACCATGCCGGTCCACCACAGCACGTATGACACCAGCATGAAGGCATTCCCCGTACCTCCCCAATTAGCCGTGGAGACCTGCGACGCTACCAGTGCTGCGATGGTGTGGAGGGTGATCGGTATGATCGCGTATGCGGCGAGTTCCTGCTGGTCGGATACGAGCTTGCGAGAGACAAGCCGAGGGAAGACTATCCAGCGGGCAACCATGACCGCAAGAAATAAGAGGAATGTGACCAGGTCGATCACAAAGAAGATGTCGCCGCATATAGAGAGCCATCGAGCTGGGTAGGGGAACGGGGCGTTGAGCACCAGGCCCAGCCCGCCGGAGGATATGCAGAGGGAGAACCACATAGGGCTGAAGTTCTGTAGGGCTGATCTCCATTTGGCATGTCGATATCTTCGAATCACTTGGCTAGAATGCTGAGTTTCGCCTGCGGCATCTGGACGCCTCGTCTCAGAATATAGCTGCCGTGCCATGGTGTTTTGCAAATTGGTGACCGGGGATCTCGACGACGATCACTAAGTGTCGATGGTATCCGAGCAGATGCATCAAAGTAAGAGTAGGGAGTAAATACTTCTTTTCTCACGTTTTCAGAAAAGGATACAGCCAGAGCGTCATCTGTGGAGAAGGTACGTTGAAAGCAGCCGGAGACGAGAAAGTAAGCGTATAAGCTGTGGCAGGAATAGAGCTCCTGGAACCCGAACCCTTAGGTTTTCCCACATATCATCGGATATCTAGTGCGTATTTCGCGGGATCGGATTCTTCGCGAGCACTGACACTTTGCAACGTCATGGACACTTTGGGAGCTATGTCGGACGATCCTCCTTGTCACCACGAAGCAACTAGGTTTCTTTATTCGTATCATAGTTGTATAAAATGATTCGCTTCATGTAGCTATCTGTCACAATTCCTGAGACCTTATTTGTCTAAAACTTGCGACTTTTTCAGGTCGAACCATGGAACCAAGTTGTCTAATCATTCAACAAAATTACTATCTGGGCATCAGTCTCGGAGACAGTTGGCTGATAAATCTTAGGCAGTGTCTAGATACCATCGACAAGAGGACTCAGGCCTACAGGAACACCGAGACACATCTCGTAGTAGACCCTCTGTCTCTCAACCTCAGCGCGGTCCATCATCCACTTGCCAAAGGCTGTGGGGTCGGTGCCAGGCATATCCAGAATCTGGGGATACCCGGCAGGCTGGGGGGAGTCGCTGCGGACGCCCCAGCTTCCGCGGATGGTCTCGTATTCATTGCTAAGCATGTAGCTGTGCAAGAGCTTAGCGCCCTCGGGGTGGGGCGCCCCCTTGAGGATGGCTCCGGTCTGGGGCCAGGAGACGAACTGGCCCTCAACGGGGAAGGATACATTCACGGGTCCGAATGGGACAGAGGTGAAGGTGGCTGCCAACTGCGTGCCATTCCCTCCCAAGAGTGTGAGTGGTGTTCCGGTCCCGCGTACCCATCGTGGGTTCTGGGCGATGAGCTTGTCCAACCAAGCACTGCCATACTGTTGTTCACTGTTTTGGAGTATCGTCAGATGATTGCGGGCATTTTCGTCTGAAGGGGAATCGTCGCTCACATGAGAGTAAAGGCGAAGAGGACAGCGTCGTCGTCGTTTGGATATGTCAGGACGAGCTTGTCCTTGAATTCCGGACGAGGCCAGTCCTCCCACTCGACAGGGGCTTCGATACCAGGCAGCTTTTGTGCATTCCATACACCGGCCCAATTGAGGATAAGTAAACCGTAATAAGTGGCGGTATCGTTGCTCTTGAATTCGGGGTGAATCTTATCGAAGCCGAGCGGGGCGTATTCCAACAGGGCGGCTTCGGAGGCCCAGCGGGGGAAGTTATGAAGGGTCTGTATAATGATACTGTCGACGTAGACATTGTTGGCGGCAATCTGCTCGTTCACACGTGTGTCGTGGTACTTGGAAAGGTCGACGGTGACATTCAAGGTCATTCCGGGGAATCGTTTCTCGAAGGTGCTCTTCAGGAAGTCCTGATCGGTGAGCTCATCGCCGCCGTGCCAGAGTGTGACAACACCACCCTCCGCGAGGGCGGCCTTGTGGATTTCGTCGAGCGTACGGTTTTCGACTTGAGCCGCGGCGTTGACCAGGGCTTGGCTACCCATCAGGGCGAGAGCAAAGAGTGATCGAGCCATAATTAACAGTGAACGTATTTTCTGTCCTTGGACAGAATGAAAAGAGTGGCTAAGTTTGGTCTATCAGAGGGTCCTGGCGACTGAGGAGCAAAAAAAGGTTGGCTTCTTGCATGGCTGAAGATGCCTTCTTTTTCAATTAGACAAAAATTGGCCTGCACGTGCGTTCATCATTGTGCCCCTTTGTGTTGTCATTCTCACTTTGACTACCAAATTTGGACAAGACCAAGAGCCTGGGATGTGAGCACAAGCATCAACGATGGGACGCCCCGCTAAGACACATGTGCAAGAAAAGATGGCATTTCGCCCAAGCTTCTATGGCCCCTGTAATTGTGGATGCCTCGTAGTCCAACCTAGTTTAAGCCTGAAAAGGAGGTTAAATCAAACTTTGTGGAGAAGACGAAGATCACCCTAGGTTGCAGGCATTGGTCATTCAAACAAACTGAACCCACTTCTGGTCATGTTCCGTGTCACAAGGGACAATGTTGGTTCGAATCAGGTCCCTCGGATTTACAAATCAGGTGTAGCGCCGTACCAAAACTATTCCAGATGAACTCAAAAACGCCAAGTCCTAGCATTGGCATCCGTACAAAAGCTGACATTTATAAACATAGCAGTACCTTTGAAACGAGTGTAGTAGTTTGCACCATATGCAAACTAGGTGTACTGATAAATATCGAGCAATTTTCTATTGAACGTTGAATGTTCTCATGGCCGCGGTGTGAACTTGACAATTGTCAAGTATGCCCACTTCCTAAATTCGCGAGGCTGAGGTTGATGAGTACGGTGTGGCTCAGCGTAGCAATGTGACTAATGAGACATCAGACAGCTAGTCGAGTACCCACATCGGGTAGAGCGTTCCCCAGCTTTCGGAGCATGAGTGAATAAACAGATGAAGACATGCAGCTTCTGTCCCCTTTCTGAGCAGGGGTTGGAATGTTTGTCGTCGAGTCATGGTATTGCTCAGTCAAACAGGAAAATCTGACAGTTGGGGAGCAAGGTCAAGGGTGGCCAGAAGTGTTCTTGCATGATGGATGGAATTCAATCCGGTGGAGTGGTAGAAAACAGAACTGATGTTTCGCTCCAAGACTTTAGACCTCACTCGGAAGCCCCGAGAGAGACGGCTGCTACTTTGTGAATCCTGCCTCCTGAATCCTACCTCCATAACGTAAATGCATATGAATTAGACAATTCATTCCGAAATATTGGCATCCACATGTCTGATGATAGAACATATTTTCCAACACACTGACGAATTTAATTCAATCAAACCCATCTACCTAGAGTCGCCGGCTCCAGATGCAAGGATGTCTTCCTCGGGTCACCCTGTTCAGTCGTGCACAACACAGTGATCTGAGATGAGTGAGCTCTACGCTCAGCATTCCATGCCTTTCTGGTCCTGTGCAAATAGTCCCACCTGGCTTCATACTAGAGCTCAGAGCACATAAAATTCCAGAACATTTAAATTGGAATGCACGCACTGCGAGATACGCAGGACATACCCAGGTGACGTTGACAGTCTCAGAAGAATTAGGCTTTGTACAATTCAGCAGATCAAAACCAGGGCTCTTGTTCACCTTATGTGCAAAATCATCGCTAATGTCTCTTCCTGCAGGTGTAAGAGCCAGCGCGAATCCCAAATAGCTTCCCAACTTCCACAATGTACAGAAATATGCAGCATATGTATCACCTCCAAGCTCGTCCCCTCCACTGGATAAGCATGATCGGGATGACAGAGAAAGCAACCATCACTAGAAACAGCCACATTAGCAGCCGTCATTATTGAGAAAGGGGATGACTTGGAAGCTGGTGATCCGAAACAGACTGTGCGATACCAGGTGCTAAGGAAATGCTCCGAGAAGAGTTGTCTGTTCCGAATTGCCATTCCGAAGAGACAGCGTGAAGGAAAACTGGGTTCAGGGGTGTATGCTTACTGGCAACTGCTATTCCAGCTGTTTTGCCATATCCGAGCTCCTCGATACTCTGCGGGAACCTTTTTAAACCGTTAACTTTGTGGTACACGAAGAATGCAATGTCTGTCACACATACCAGAAAGGCCCAATGAATCCCCAGATTTGACGAACGAAGGTAATAAAAACGCCGACACTGGCAGCATCGTGACGATAGCAGTCCACGGAGTAGGTCACAAGCACGGTAGTAGCGACTTGATTACCTGCTGCGGCAATTCCCGCCCCAATCAGCGGCGTGACGTTCCATGTATGGCCAGCACTGGAGAGCTGAACCAGGAAAACGATAACACCAATGATACATAACGCGAAACCGAAGTAGCCCAGCCACAGGCGGAACTCTGGCTCGGGGCTTCTACCGTTCAACTTTTTCCGTCGCATCGACATCCAGATATCAGACGAGCGCCCGCCGATCTGCTCGCCGACGATGGTACCAACGATGACGGAGATCATCTGCAGACCGGTCTGCTGGGTGTTGAAACCGAAGAGCTCGGGAAACAGTTGCGGGATCTCAACAGTGGTCATTATGCTGGTCCATAGGAATTCCATGGCATAAGCCACGGCAGGGAGCAGCACGCAAGGGCGCGCTGCATATACCAGTGGCTCGACGAAGTCATACCAGGTCATTGGTGTCTTGTCGATTCGGCGGAAGCTCATGTATTGTTTCTTGAAGTCGGACTTGTTCCTCTCGTCTTCGGGTGCCTGACTGCCACGGATATAACGAGACTCTGGGCCAAAGAAGAAGTAAAGGATAAATTGGACGGCGTTGGTCTGTACAAGACAAGGTGTTAGACATTTCGGGAGTTAGAACATGTACATTGATGCCACTTACCATTGCAAGGATATAGTAGATCCATCGATAACCAACCCTTAGAGCAACGAAACCGAAGATCAAAGGAGCAACCGGAACACCTAGAGTCACAAAAATAGTCCATATACCCATGTATCGAGCTCTTTCATCCTTGAAGAAAGTCTCAACCACGACACCGGACCCGATAGCGGCGGCAGGGCAGATGAAGAAGCCCGTAATGGCACGGCACAGTGCCATGGTCGCGTACGAGTGCGAGTTGGCGCAGCCAATGTTCCCGACAAGACTGCATATGAGGGAGATCATGAAGACTTCCCATTCTCGTTAGTCCAACAGCAAGGGATTGGTGGCATTTCCTGGGCACTGACTGGGTCGTCGACCGTAGCGTTGAGACAAGGGCCTCCAGAATAGAGGCGCACCACCAAGGATCGCGATCACTAGAGATGTGAGATAACTGGCGGTTTGGACCTCGATATCAAGGTCTTTGGCGATGTTCACGAAAGCAGCCATGATTGCTGCCGCCGTGAACGTTCCCATCATCGCATGGAAGGCAACCAAGAGCAAATTTACGACCTTCTTCTTTTGCGACCAGTTATATGGGTCTGCATCGCTCGGGTCTGGGATTGGATCGAGGTCTAAAGTGCCGTGCCTCCGAAGGAGGTAGTCACGGTGCTCATCGGAGAGATCGTTGATTCCATCCTGAACGAATTTCAGCTGTTGATTGCTCGACAACCACGACGCGTGGCCGATTAGTATAGTCAATAGGGGCTCACCGTGTATTCTGTCCGAATATCTCGAGGCTCTTGAGCCTCTTCCAACTTTGCCGAAGACGGCGGTGATACCTTTTCTTTGTGACTCATTGTGAATATTGGCGCTGATAGGGGGTTTCGGGGAGTAGAAAGGCCACCTCGAGCGAAGAGAAGTGAACGCAGTAATAGAGCTGGATTCAAAGATGGAAGTAATTGAGCGAGCTGGTGGCTTAAACAACTCCTCGGACGTCATTTCGAATCTCCGAAGAGATGTCCAGAAGTGTGAGCCACATCACGTCTCGGGCCAGCGGCATATCCCAGGGAGCCTCAGTGATGCAAGTCAGGGGTCGAAACGTACCTATCAAGCTGCCACGGAACACAGACATCGGGAAACATTCTCAACCAAAGTCTAAAGGGTGGCATCCGGCCTATCAACCGCCGGGGAAGGACCGACGTACACGGGACATGGGGGAGGAGATCCACGCAACCACGGTGTCTAAGCTTTTAGGCCAATCCCATCAGCCACTGGGGAACGACTAGCACTAGGGTAACGAGATTCTGTGGGGAAGAACTGGGTCCTGGAGATGTGCATTGCTTTGGATCTTCGTGTCTTTGGTCTGCAAGTGGACCAGAGTGTCGCAAGGAGGTGAAAGCCCGCCAAACCCGCATCATCTTGACCACTAGCGGCCAGTCCCGTACAGAAAGACCCAGTCTGAATGCTTCACTGCCGTCTCGCTGTTCTCTCACGGGAGTGTGAATCTGTCAGTCTTGCGACATAATTTATAAGGCTGCCTCGGAGCTAAATATATAGGCTGGACGTTTGCAACGAGAACATAAGCTTTCGTTTCCTGGCCAAGGCCCTAGAGCAGCGGGACGCCGTGAGCCTCACGACTCGGCTTAACTAATCTCTAATCTAGACTCTGGGCACACAGATTAGGTTCATGACACCCCGAAGATCTCAAAGGCAACGTCTGGATCAGCAACCTTCCGGGGCAAACCTTTTTGGGAGCATGAGTGGAACTTTGGGGTCCCCAACGTCCCCCGTAAGCCTAGTCTCACCCCTGTATTGCGGGATGTGGGTGGATCCCTGAAGCTTAAACCTGGTTGATAGTCTCCACTCGGTATGAGTGAGGACAAGCAAATGACGACGATGACAGATCAATATGCGGATTTCCCGGTGCTCAGCTGGCAGACTGAGGACGGATTTTCCGAGATACGAAGACACGTAGCGACGAGGATTTCTGTCTGGACTCAGGTCAGCGGTCCACGTGAATGACCAAGTGAAAGAAATTTTGAAAAATCACAGAAAAACACTCCGGAGCATCACCGTGAAAAGTTATCGAAAACATTAGCGGGTGATCCGCGACAGTGGTTAAATTCCCCAATGACTTCACTGCTTCAGCTGCCCTATGACAAGGGGCAACCCCGCAAATCGCCACTCGGCCAAGCATCGTCGGGAGGGCCATCAGACGGATAGATCTCCGAGCTTCTCGTCGTATTTCCGTTTCTCGTGCATTGGACGCGTGTCTCTACCGTCCCAAAAAATATACCGATGCTACATATATAAACATGTGCTTGCATGATTTCGAAACACTGAGCTCTATTGCAGGCCGACGATTTGCAACGAGACCTTGGGCAGCCATCTCCCAGTGCATTGCAGGTCAAATTGCTAATTGTTTGGAAGGCATCACAGCCCATGAAGTATGGACAGTAGGGAATTCTGGTGCCGGCGGTTCGGTCTCACCACTTAGATGTTCGCAATTGCACTCAAAGGTTTGAAGGTATGGCTCATCGCAAGATGACAGAAAGAAAATCCCTGCTTCATACCGAAAGAAAATCCCACGAAGCTTTAAATTCTCCTCTCTTTTCTCGGCAGGCAGGCAGACAAGGAAGTCTTGCATATCAGCTGTCAATAAATTCAATAGTGTGCCGCATGGAACCCTGTGACATTTGAAGGCTCTACAACATGCACTGCGCTCGTTCAGCCCGCCGAGGTGCTCTATCCGCTGTAGATGATCCATGCACCCTGGTACTACAGCATTATCAGAATTATCTGCAAGAAGACTGTCCTCACTGAGCTTCCGCACGATGTAGCAGACGTAGGCTCTCCACCGGCAAAGAGTCATACGATTCTCATTTGCGGTCTACACTGGATCTGTACATATCTCAAACATGAGCCATCTCAATAAGCCACCTCGGGTTCTAGCCCGCGGTATGAAATTGAAATCCATGTTTGATGGCCGGTTATACAACACATCGCGTCGTCTCCTGGCGTTGCCAAGGACCGTCGAACAATAAGGGCTGACCTATTTGGTGTCGTGGTTGTGTGTGGCAGTGCTGCAGAGTGTTCCGCCAAACACAAGTGTAAAAACACTTGCTATTACTCAATTTCAACAGCTTTGTGCCGAGACAAGATTGTGATACTTGTCTCAGTCTTGTGGCGGTGCTTCAAACCTTTTCCAGCTCACCGTCTACGGGCACAGACCAACCAAAAGGGGCAGTGCAATCCGGTCTTCAGCTACAGCTGAAGTCCGAATAGCATCTCAGAAACTGATTTCGCCACAACCTTTACTTTCTTTATTTTATCTCTCATGTTCTTTGTGTCTCAAGACATAATTAATCTCCAATATTTCCCCCCATCTGTTCGCCGCGAACTCAGTTATCGTGAGCGATAGTATCCCGCGGGTTACGGCCCACATACAGGAAGTCTTACACCAACATGTGGAATTGAGAAAGCCCTTAAAAAGCCTTCTCAAACCAACGTGTGAGACCATCACAATGTCATCGGCGAATTCGAAAATGAAACGCCATGCATGTGATGAAGGCATTTCCGAATGCCATGCATCAAAACGTGCAAGGCCATTCGAGAGCGACCCGAAATTTCACTCCACGCCCTCGCGGTCTCTACCACCACCTGAGAGACCCGGCAGTCTCCAGGATCGAACGGACTCATTGGATGGCGAGGATGATGTCGAAGAGATCATACGTTCTGATGAGGCTGGCTACACATATACACGACTCGGGAGACGGGAGTTTAGACTTCTCCGCCTGCACCCAGCTGAGCCAGGCGGTGCTCTTCACTGTTCCCTTGTCACCGACAGTATCGACACACCTAGCTCTTATGAAGCTCTTTCATATTGCTGGGGAGTATCAGAGCCAGCGCAAAGGATCCTGATATCCGATGAAATCGATTCCGGATTCACGTCGCCAACTCACTTCCAAGTTGGCCCCAATCTCTACAGCGCGCTCCACGCGGTACGCATGCCCAACAGGCCACGGGTTGTCTGGGTTGATGCGTTATGTATCAATCAATTTGATAAGGAGGAGAAGAATAATCAGGTCTCTATGATGCATGAGATCTATTCAAAAGCTTGTCAAGTCATAATATGGTTGGGCTCGCCTGACCCCAGCAGCGAGTTTTTATTCGCTAACTTACATCGAGTATTCCGCCCAGGCTTCTTTTCAGATGGCGGGAACAACGGAAACGCTGTGTCCGATCCTGGTTTTGTCAGTCGTATGAAGCAGGCGTTGACGGATCTATTCTCCCGCCCCTACTGGGAGAGAGCTTGGATAGCTCAAGAGGTCATTCTGGCGGCAGAGGCCACGGCTGTTGTCGGCCAACGTCAAGTAGACCTGGCTGACTTGAGAGTTGCCGAGGAGCTGTTTTCGACTGCGGATGGGATCCACGATGGCACGCGGGCAACTGCTCCGGATGGGGTGGCTGCACTCCTCAACGGCCGCAACGAGCTCTTGCGAACATCGTCCACCGGAGACATCATCGCGCGCACAAAGTCGGCTGCAGAGCTACTCTTGCAGTTTCGTGGCTCCGAAGCTACTGATCCTCGCGACCGGATATATTCATTACTCAGCCTCTCTAATGACGGCGGCACGATACCCGTCGATTACAATAAAAGCGCCATGCAAGTATTTGCCGATTTCGTCTCGACATGTATCGAACGCCAGGGCTTGCTGGATCTCGTCTTGATCCCGTGGGCCCCAGTCAAGCGGTCCAAAAGGTCTCGGAACAGGCGTTCAACAGCAGCTTGCGAGGCGTCTACCACACCTTCGTGGTTGGCTCCCCTAGACGACCTGCCTCATGGGTCTCCTGAAGGCCAGGACCAGCCAGGACGGTTGTGGAAAGGCCGTCTCAACGGCGACGGGCTAGTCAACATGCCTGCCATTTATGATGCCTCGCACGGTATGAAATTAGAGGTAAGTTTTGGCCCGATGATAAGAACCCGGCGGCGCGGTGGCGGACTCGACGTTGGAGAGCATTCGGAGACGAAGAAAGGAACATTATACAACCCTGTGCTTCACGTGGGGGGTATCAAGCTCGGCACGATCACGGATCTGTCGACACGCATGGCTGACGGCCTGATCTCGAGAGACGCCCTCGAGCTGGCCGGGATCCCATTCACGAAGGGCTGTGAGGCACTGCGATCCTTGCCAGACGCAATGGTCCGGAGGGTCTGGCGCACGCTCGTTTGTGACCGGGATGCGGATGGCAAGCCGGCGCCGACGAGATTCGGCCTGGCTATTAAACACCTGTTCAAACGTATGCTGGAGTCACGGGGTCTTGACACGCTCGAGATTCTAGAGGACGGGAACGACGTGGACCCAAATACCAGGGAGTTCCTCAAAAGGGTGCACGACATGACGTTTAATCGTCGGATATTCGTATCCAATATCAATGAGTTCCAGGAGAACCTGCTGGGGCAGGCACCCAAGGAGGCGCGAATAGGAGACACAATCGCGCTGTTCTTTGGAAACAGTGTGCCTGTCATCTTGAGACCGAGCTGTGACGGTGGAGGCAGATACATGGAGATTGTAGGGGCAGCATATGTCGACGGCAAAATGCAAGGCGAGATTCTACACGAGCTGGGCGAGGATCGCATCGATGAGATAGCGCAGACATTTGAGATCATATGAAGAGAAAGGTGAGAAGACAATCGAACGTATTTGGTCCCGCTTGAAGACGAGAACACTATCGTCAGAAAATGGTCAGCGTGTGTCTCCCACATTTTGATCCCGGCCAACCATTCGAACGATCTTAGAGGAACTCCACCTCCACCACATACCCAGCCCCAGATTCACGACAATGAACCAGCGGACCCTGGGAGGTAAGACGGGAGGTATTAGAAGAAGTTTGACCATTTGCAGACCTGAGAACTTTAACAGTAGAATTACTGCCAGAGCCCTAATGTACTGCAGCATGATCCGAAGTATTATCAAGAAGCAATTGAGATCCCGCACGGACTAGTAGATGTATGCTTCCTGCCTCGAAAGGGCTGTACGATACGTCATCTGATACAAATTTGATCCTAATTGCTTAACACACATCCCCATGGACTTGCACGCTTACGACAGAGAGATTCTGTGCAAGTCGGGCATTTCGGGGAGTTCATCAGAAGGGCAGGAATGCCCTCGCAGCGATAAGGCAGTGCCAAATATGAATGCCACCCGGGGTTTATTACTGAACGCCAGTCAGAAGCTGCTTAATGACAGCTGTCGCAACCCTCCAGCACACAGCTCCCCGCGCTCGGAATGAGCGGTGACAAGTGACGAGGGGGAGACGCCTCATATCACCTGCGGACCTTGAACGGAGACAGAGGCTATTCAAGGCAAAGCGCCCGCAGCCTGCCATTGATTATGCGACCGCTCAGCCCCGATGCGCTGCAGGACACTGTGACACGGCATTTGCGAAGCGGACAAACTTGGTCTTCACGTAACACCATAGCAGAGCCTACATGAAAAGTGATACGTCAGAGAGACAAATAATTCTCAGCCTCACTTCCATATCCGCTGCAAAAAAAGAGCTGTTGGGGCCGACATCTCATGTTGAGGGCTCATGAACAGGCCGTCGGCGCCTTGTGAGAATCGAGTTGAGAACGTTGAGACAGATGCGGCAACGTTCCCGGGCGTTATGGACGCCCTTGTACGTCTTAAGTTTTCACTTGGTGAGTTTCGCTCAAGCTCATCATCCCAAATTGCAGTCGCCCTGGCTCCGGAAGGCAAGCTTCGGATAGCTATCGGGGCTGCTCCAGCCAAACAATATCAGTCTTGCCGCGAAAGCCGTTGAAATGCACACAAAATTGGATTGTATGGGCCCCACCATAAGCGAGCTACTTAGTTATGGAATTCCCGGTCCATGTCAGCGTTCACAAGATTTCTATCTGGACAACTACGCAAGCGGCTCTACAGCAAAAGAGTCCGGCATTACGGCACGGCGGATATGATTTATCAGGGCGAGCGACGGCGTTTTTGGTGTGACGGGAAAGCGCATACATGCAGCATGCAGGAAATGGGTGACTCGAGCCTCAATTAAAAGGCCTATCGGGCCTGTGTGTGCCGGCAAAAAGTCACCTGCATCGCAGGCTGAAGATGGCGCCCTATCCCGAATCTGCATCACGCATATCGGCGCTCCCCTTCGATTACGACGTGCAGTCGGGCCCTCACCGGTGAGGGTGTGGCTGGCTGGAAGGCATGCTTCAACACTGCCTGCATGTCAAGGCCGACAGTAAATGGCACACATTTGAGGTGCGTTCCCTGGTAATGCAATATATCAATTAAAGGTAATCATATAGCTAACGTCTCTCGCATTGCATGGACTCATATGCCAGCAGCTGACCTGACGTCTGGGCTCGGTAATTCAGTGCCCCTACGAATTAATCAGGTCGTCGGACTGATTTATCCTTGGCCTCTACGAGGAGTCTTCCTGCACCAGAGACATCACAACTTTCTCGTCCACGGTTCCTTCTCTTTACCGTTAACATTCCAAGCTGTTTTAGCAGTCATGAAAGACAGGAACGATGAAGCTGGTTCCAACCGTTTGCAGCAGACTAACAATGGCGGCACTGAGCCGAACGAAATACCAACCTCAAATGTCGAAATGGACAACCACACACCCGAGCCTCAGAAGTCAGTAAATCTCAAGTCAGCCCTTGAGGATCGGGATCTCAGTCGTATCGATCAAATCTTAAGGGAAAGTCCAAGCCTCGTATACAGGCCGTTGGATGGGAAATCCAAAGAAACACCTCTACACGTCGCTTGTCGAAAGCAATGGCGTGATGGTGTAATGCACCTCCTCAATCGACGGGACATCGGGAAGTCTTTCGATCAGGAGGATGCGCAGGGATTCCTACCTCTTCATCGCGCGATCGACGGAAACTTGGGGTACGGAGACATCCTTAAGCCCTTGATCAAGGGGTTGAATCCGAGTGACCTAAATTCAACAACGAATGACAACGACACTGCAATCCACCTGGCTGCAGGAGTTGGCAATGCAGCCGTGCTGGAGAAATTATGCCGTATGCTGCCGAAGGATGTGATTGATTCCAGGAACAATGCAGGCGATATTCCGCTGCACCTGGCAGTTCGCAATGGCCATCTCGAGGCTGTGAAGACGCTGTTAGCTGCTGATCGGTCAGATGGAACGATCCCCATTTTGTATCGAGACGGCAACCAAGACACACCTATACATGTCGCAGTTCGCCAAGGGCAACCGAAAATACTCGAGGAACTCCTCAAAGAATGGAATTATAAGGAGCTGGTAATTTTCGACAACTATGAACTACGAGATGGAGGAGGCAAGGCGCCGTTGCATATAGTTGCCGAATTGGACATAGAGGAGGAGAAGGCGGTAGAGCTGTTACTCCAGATCCTGGCGAGGTGCACAGAGCCAGATCTTTTGAATGAGGTTGAGCCAAGCATAGGATGGACTCCCCTGCATTTTGCGGCCAGCAGAGGCCATGCATGGATCGCCAAGCTTTTGCTTGCAAATGGTGCCGACAATAGAAAGACTGATGAGCTTGGGTTTTCCGCTGCTGAAGTCGCTCGCAGGGAAAATCATGTCGAAACCGCCGACTTGATTAGCCGATTTGATCGACGAAGCTTCCGACCAGGGCTTGAAATCGATGGGAACAATGTGAAAGTTGACGACAACTTCTTGGCATTGAGTTGGCCGAAGTGGGACAAGGCTGTTCAACAGCAACGTAGGGCGCCAACTCGACTGTGGCCACAGCTGACTCCAGTCCATCAGTTGATCTTCAATACTAACGATACCTATCATAAGGCTCAATCCATCGATCGGGGGCGAGAGGAATCTGTCACAGTGACTTTTGGCAGACCGGGGAAAGAGTCGGCGGAAACGGCGGAGGCTGGGATCATGCTTGAAGCCATTGAGCTTGCGCCCATGCACCAGGCTCAAATCCGCTTGTCTTCGTGTGTGAATGAAGGTTGGATTATGGAAGAGAAGTCCAATTACCAAAAAACCCACATCCTGGAGAAAGTGATGGATGCACACACGCAAAGTAAGAAACGCGCTAGCCAGATCTATCTCTACGAATCCAGCGTGCTTCAGGACAAGGATCGATCAACACGATGGATACACTTCCCAGCAAACAATGTGAGTACCAAAATAATGATAGCTTTCAAAATACTGGTGCTCTGTACTGATGACTTCAACGTCTAGAGAGATTGGATCGAGGTGTGTCGCAGGGAACAGTCCTAAAATGTTTGGGTATCAGGTGGAATTCCGTATTAACAAAGTCTTTAGGATCTCTGCAGGTGTATGTACTCACATGGATCGTTGCGCAGCGAGGTTATTGGAATTCTCCGATTCATTGAGGACTGCTTCCAGGAAGTAGAGGGGTCTCAGAAGTACTGGTACCGCAAGCACGGCTTTATTTCCCAATTGCTTGAGAAGATCACGGATCCGCCCCCAAAAGAGCCCCTAAGTGAGTACCCAAGTCTGACATCAATATACTGATACCTCATCCACAATCTCAAATTCATCATGTTAACGTACAGTATACTCAGGCGGGCATGATACAGCGGAGCATCCAGAAGCGACGTCTCGGCACGAGCCTGCTGCAACCGAATCTGGATACGCGAAACAGCCAGAAGACAAATATTCTGCTTATTCTATAGTGGTGAGTACGCATCTGCCTCCAAATTCACATCACGCATGTGATTTCTATTGTCATGCCGTGCTAGTACACTGCCATGAAGCATTGAATCTGATACAAAAAATCATATGCGCTCGTAGTTCCCTTTGCTCGATATAGACATGATTGACCCGGGGTTTCGCTATCCACTGGATCCGGGCATTGAGAACCGGTACACTGATCCTCAACGTAGCCCAACGGAAACGAGCTCGCAACGAGCGAGTCGGATGAGTTCCTTGAGCCATGATCTTGCACCGTTGATGGGCGCTAATCGACAAAAAGTACAAAACCGCTGGGCAAATAACATGGATACTCTCAGGCAGAAGAAGAGAGTTCATTTGTCTCGAAGTCTCGATCATTACTGCCATCAGCAAGTTTCGGGCAAGGAACTCCAGAAACGTGTTCAAGATCAAGTTCTTACCAGGTTTATGAAGCGTCGGCTCGGCCAGGAAATGTCGCCGACGGAGAATTCAGAATCTAGCCCCCTGAGGGCCTTCTTGAGGTTGTGTTCAAACGTGGTCAAAAAACTACGTTCGTCCATTACAGAATCTCGCGATTTACTTCGCCCTACCCTGTCCTTAGAGGAGGGACTGGAAGGAGGCATAAGAGCAAGAGAGACAGCTGGAATTACGACGAGGCTCAATGCCGCCCTTTCGCCATGGCAAATTCTGGTTGTACCTCAGCTATGGCTATGGAAATTCGACAGTGAGTTCAAATTTTCGAAGTACAAGCGATACGCACGCGCGTCTTTATTCTGACTTGAGGCTCGTCGTAGACCTGGTTATTACTGCTTTTCCGGAGAGATGGGGCACAGACCATCGCAATGCCCTTCTGGACGCCATACGGGAGAGGGTAGAATATCTTGATGTCGATCGCGAAGTTCAACCCAATAGGCTGGTGACCGAGATCCTGAATGCGTGTGCAGAGTTCAAACCGACCTTAGATGTTGGAGAGCAGAGGCACACATGGACAGACGCATTTGATGATGAAATTCTTTCAGTGGTAAGTCAAATGAGCCAAAGTTCTTCTTGAGATCAAGATGGGACGTGCTTGCTCGAATGAATCACAGATCCATATCATTGTGCTGAGTGGCTTACAACATGGACCCAAGTCTCGGGATATCAAGGATTGCTACTCTCACTTCGAAGGCAATCTCGGCATGTCTGCAGAGAAGTTTTCCAAACAATTTGTCACCCCGACAAAATGCCTCCGATCCATCGACGACGTACTGGACGAGTTGACCAGTATCAAACGCATCTTCCAAGATCAAATACAGGTTTGGGAGAAGGTGCACAGTGGTGATAACTCATGTGCGGTTTGTCGTGGGATCGAATACAGCCGCGAAGACGAACGCGGGGAGGAACCTGAGGAGAATCCCAAGAAGGATCGCGAAATATGTGTACCAAACGTGTTACCCAAACGATCTTTAGAGCTTGTTGTGAGACTGGAGGAAGACGCACTGAAAGTGCGAGAGTCGGCGAGTATTTCTTTCGTGGCAAGTCATGGCCGACTGCTTCCAGCGCTGACAGCTTAGGACAGGTTGTGACACTTCTTACCCTCCTTCAGGGGGAGGCGAGTACAGAAAATGCTCTCAAAGCAAACGAACAATCCAAGATACTGGCCGTATTCACAGTAGTAACAGTGGTTTTTGTAAGGCCTTGCCCTGACGGTTTGTGTCTTTCAACCCGAAAGACTAGCTGACGAAGTAGGCGCCTCTGTCATGGGTTACCAGCCTGTTCGCACTCGAAATACCAAGCTTTCCCCCCAACTGGACTATAAAGGACCTCAGTCTTGGATCATGTATGTCTAAATACCATTATTCGGACGTTCTCATCCCGACGTCGGAATTTCCTTGCCACACAAAAACTAACCTTGCGAAATTTTTCAGTTATCACCGTTCTTGTCACTCTCGTCATTTGCTTTTTGTCATGGCCGCTCTGGATGCTGTTCTATCGCAATTCCTTCAGGAGAAAGCGGGCCCATGGTAGGCAATGATGATGTGGAGAATTCACTGTCCGCCAAGTGATAGCGAGCACTGCGTAGTGACTCTCCAGCAGACCAATCAATAGGTCTTTTTCCGGGGAAACAGGGTAGCAAGTGATCAGGATTACTTTGAAGAAGAATGTCTGCGTTGAAATTCCACACGAAGTCTTCAAATTGGGCTTTCTGCCAGAGGAACGTTGTGCCATTTGACTTACATTACATATTGGGGACTGTGGCCGAGCCCGTAATTTTGAATATTAGTTTGCTGAATGAATCCCATCGGATCCCACTACATGCCTATGTTGTCTCAAGTTCGTCAATTACGAAATAATGAGTATTAAATCTCTTCTACATCATATTTTTTTTTTTAAAAAGCCACACTCCTAATCCACAATAATTTCACATATGTCTCGGAGAGTTATCGTAGTCCGTGAATTTGTTCGGGTCGACAGCGGATCGAATCCCATCGCTTTTCGGTCTGAAGGATGCTTGTATCGGACTTGCTCCAAGTGTTTTTTTCGAGCGGGTCATGTTGAATGGTCCAAAGTCAGTCGGTCTCGACAGAAAAGCTGTTCAACAAACTCTTTACAAAGGTGTCTCGCCTAAATCGGGAGTCGAGTGGAAACCTCCTGAGTAACACTAGTTTGCGCTGTCAAGGTATAGATAGAAGAGCCACCGGAGACGGCACATCCAGTGTGGACAGCCAGCTCAGTGATGGTCTTCGCTCTGGTATTTGTGGTGGTGAGTGTTACCACAACCACAATGATTGTCTGAGCAGCGTAAGGCGGATAGCTGTCAGCACCGGCTTTATATGAAAGGCCAAGGTTTAAGAGATAGGTGATGCCTCGAAATATCATGCCGGACAAGTCAATCAGTGAGACGCAAGTTTTGACTACAACCGCGGATCTGAGTCTATTCTGATGCTTGTGCGAGCGATTTCTAGTAGAGCAACTCGTCAATGGATCGGGCCGCTAGCAGGTGAGGCAATTCACAAGCAGTATGGATGATGGCACCTGTATTGAGAGTGATGCCTTGTATGCAGCCCTCACAAAGGTTTCATTGAACGTCGGTGCCACGGCCACAATTTTGGTTGTACTAAGGCCGAATGTTTTTCTGGATGTATATTGCGAGAAAGAAAACCCGCATCAAACTTTTAGCAGCAGGGCACCTTGCCCGTTACAGCACATGCCATATGTAAATAACAAGAAAATGCGACGGCAAGTTATTGGAAGTCTTTGTCTCCATATCTTTCCTGCCACGTTAAACAACGACCTGTCCCAGCAAGATCAAAGATTTAAAATATGGGCAGCAGAGAGTCCTGCTGGTTCTACGCCCGTGTTTTGCCGCAATGCATGGCGTTCAAAATCGGAGTCAGTCGCAGCACTAATTATCACTACCTAAGCTACATGCGACTTCTATTCAATACTCAACAAGCTGAGATTCTGGCTCCCAATATGCGTGTATGTGCGGAGATCTCAAAATTCTGATTTGCAGATAGATTCGGAATCAATTTTTCCTTGATCAAGCCAGTCGTTGAGCAAAACAAGCCTGAGGAATACGCTTTCTGGCCGATTGGGCATGTTTTGCCGGCCAGATCTGCAATGAAACCACCAAAGAGGTGGGTCAATTCTGGCTTTCGCCTCAAAGCTAGCCCGAAATATGGGTAACCTCCAATACCCCGTGGGGAAACGTGGGGGAAGCGGGCAAGTGCCGAAGACGGAGAATTGAAGGTATATCATCGGTTGTCATCGTCATGCGCTTGTTTCTTTGCCTCGAACGAGCCACCTCTTCGCATAAGCCTGCCAGGTAGCCACAATGGGTTTCTTGGACGCGATGAAGAGTCGAAGCGACAGCCCTCCCCGAGAGCAAACACCTCCGGAGTCCTCGCCCGCGTCCGACCCCGACACCAAGGATGCAGGCATAGACGCAATACATCAAGAAAATGCGACTATCACCCCCACCACAACGAGGAAATGGAAATGGCTCAGTTCATCAGCCGGCGCGGACACCGCCGCGACGTTGTTTGACGACGGGTCAGCCGAGCCCTACACCAAGAGCGACGAGAAACGACTCGTCCGCAAGATCGATTTCATGATCATCCCGTACCTGGCCGTGTGCTACGCCTTCTTCTACATCGACAAGACGACACTGTCGTACGCGGCCATCTTCGGCATCCGCGAGGACCTCAACCTCAAGGGCACCGACTACAACTGGCTGTCGTCCGTGTTCTACTTCGGCTTTTTGGCTTGGGCTCTCCCGACAAATTTTCTCATGCAACGGCTACCTCTGGCCAAGTACTTGGGCGCCAATATATTTTTGTGGGGCGTGCTGCTTATGGCACAAGCTGGAGCGAACAACTTCGCGACGCTGGCTGTTCTCCGAGCGCTGTCTGGGGCAGCGGAGGCCTGCGCAGATCCCAGCTTTATGCTGATCACAGCTATGTGGTATACGAGACGGCAGCAGCCGGTGCGTATCGGGTTATGGTACACGGCCAATGGCTTGGGCATCGCTTTGGGTGGCCTGCTCGGCTACGCAATAGGACACATCCGTGGCTCCCTGCCCAGTTGGAAGTACGAGTTCATCATCATTGGTGCCCTGTGCAGCGGATGGGGCATTGTGCTGATAATTTTCCTCCCTGACTCGCCCGTCACGGCCCACATGCTGTCCAAGAGGGAGCGGCGGATCGCGATCGAGCGCCTCAGGGGGAATCAGACGGGCGTCGAGAACAAGACCTTCAAGGTGGGCCAGGTCATCGAGACCCTCAAGGATCCAAAGACATACTTCTTCTTCCTGCTCGCCACGGTGCAAAACCTGCCCAACGGTGGGATCTCCAACTTTGGCACGCTCATCATCAAGGGCTTCGGTTTCAGCACTCTGGGAACTACCCTGCTGCAGATGCCCTACGGAGCGCTGATTGGCCTTTCAATCCTGAGCTGTGTCTATCTTAACGACTACTTCTGCACGAAGCTGCAGAAGAACACGCGGTGCTGGTTCATCATTCTCTACACGTTGCCAAATATCGCTGGCGCTTTTGGTCTGAGATTTGTGCCCACAGACCAGCACATTGCTAGACTCTGGTGTTACTACCTGACAGGGCCATATAATGCCTCATTCGTACTGATTTTGAGTCTCGTCACGGCTAATACAAGCGGCCACACCAAGAAGGTGCTGACGAACGCCATCATGTTCCTTGGCTACTGTGTTGGTAAGTAAACGTTCCTTCATCCAGACCCAACATCGAACCATGAAAACTCTGACACAGACCTCAGGAAACATCGCGGGGCCATTCTTCTTTAAGACCGAACAACAGCCGACGTACCCACTTGGCATGGCGAGCATGATTTTCTGCTACTTGGCTTCGGTAGTCCTGATCCTGGTATTCCGGACTATGCTGAGCATGGAGAACAAGAGACGGGACAGGAACTCGAGCGGCCAGGAGCAACCAGATCTAGATGAGACAGCGTTCAGCGACATGACTGATCGAGAGAACCCAAATTTTCGTTATGTCTATTGATGTGGCTGCGCATTCTTGATGGGCCGGAAAAGAAGACTTCCTGGTCAAGTTCTCTTTAGCTGCATAATAGCCAGTATTACACAGTGTTCATGCCATCGTTTCTGGACTAATTCGGAGGAAGATAATGTCATCTTCCGCCGCAAAGCCAGATTGTCCCCATTGAACACCAAGCCCTATGAACTCAAAATTGCCGTCTTGGAGAGTCTCCCAAAGCGCCCCTCAAGCACTGGCAGTTTTGTGAGACGCTCTAGCCGTGGCAAAGGGGATATCGATAAGGAGAAATAGATGCAGTATGTGCGACTGAGCGGTTATATAAAAGACTGGCCTCTTCATCCTCATGCGGACAGAAATGACATCCAATTGCACCGAAGTGGAGGGCCTCGAACCGAGCCATCCTCCAGCCACCGCAGAGCCTCCACCCTTAGTCCCAAAACCATCTAATACAGATTGCCAGTAAAGCCATATGGTGCTCATGAAGCGCCGCCGTATTTCTACCCCAGATCGCAGATCCAATCCTTGGCACAGCTCCACAGCCCATAGAATCCGGGAATCCACCAGCGATCGCATGCACCCGACACTTCACCCGGCTGGCTCCAGTCTCGCTTTCGTTCCCAACATGCACAAAGCGGAAATTGTAAAGTTAATCCCAGATATTAATATCGTTGTTTTATCTTTTACAAAACATACTTTACTGCTCGAGAAGCGAAGCACTCACCTCCCCCTCACTTTAACACGATGTTATTTTGCCAGAGGCAGCTCAACAGGAGGGGTGACCATAGAGGTAGGTAGAAACCCGATTTCAGCCTCACTTAATTGTGCAGAGGCTGCCTTCGCTAATGAGCTCAATTCTGACGGGATATTAGTGGATATCAGCGGCGCTTATGTCCTTTTGACAGGAGTTGCACATGACGGCTATCCCGTCGCCATCTTCGTTGACCGATTCTGTACTAGGTCTTACATTCAGCTGGGTCTTACATACAGAAAGTCGGGCCATGAGACCAATATTGCCCGGAGGTTCTATTTCTCGGGCGTGTCCAATCAGACCATTTTTCCTTGCCACACTGTAACAGGGACGTTCAAAATGTCCTCTTCATCTCGGCTCAACATTACGCATTCGCCATCCACTATCCTTAAACTTGACCGTGAAGTCCTCCCGTCCACCCCTCGCGCCATATCACCGCAGTCTCAGCGATGGCTCTAATAAAAAATCAGACCGATATCGCATTGCTTTGGGAGGAAGCTTTGGACAACTACAATGGAGTTGCAAAAATTGACATCAGAGCCTTATTGTCTAACAAGAAGAGCGTGTCGTCTATCGTGATGGAACAGCAACACCAGCTGGAATCATTTGGGGCCTATCGTCACGACAAGGGAAAACTTGACAAGCTGCGCAGCTTCATATCCTCAAATGCGGACATCATCCAGGGTGCTGCAACCCAGGTCGCCAGCGCTGCCAGCGCTGCCTTTCCTCCGAGCTCGGCCATTCTGACCGCCTTCACCTGCGTCATGACAGCTTCGAAACATGTAACCGAGGACTACGACATGATCGAGAGCTTCTTCGACATCATGAACACGTTCCTTCTACGCCTATCTCTACTTGAGAACAAGATACCGGCACAAGTCGCGTTCCAGAAACACCTCGTATCCGTTTTCTCCTCGTTGCTCAGTCTCAGCGGCCTCGCCCGATCGTACTGCATTGAGCGCAGATTCCTCAGGTGGGCGAAGGCACTCGTTGAGGGCAAGGATCCAAAACTCCAAGATGCCTATGCCAAACTACACGAGAACCTCGGGAGACTGGAGTCGGCAGTCATGATACAGACGCTTAGAACCACTATAGAGGTCAAGGAAGAAGCCATATCAGCCAATCAGGGCATCAAAGGACTCCAGACCCAGTCCAAGGAGCTTCAGCTCTCACTCAACATCAACACTGCCTTCACCGAAAAGACGCTTTCTGTCTCTGTGGAAACCAACTCGGAGGTAAAGCACATAGTCAAGACCCTGGAATCGATGAAGAAGACGCAGTCCAAAGGCAGAGAAGTAAAGGACAGAACTCTGAGATCCGGGGCTAGTAAACCTGCCAACTTTGAGCGCCTGAAGAAGGAGCTTGGTTGTCCCGCCGAGTCTCGCATGCTGGAGAGGCAGCACGACCTGGAGATATTGTCAGTCAATGGCATTTTTGACTGGATTGAGAATGATGAGAGTTTCAAAGACTTCGTCGATGAAGATTCGTCCTTCTTACAAGTCGTGGGAGCGTCTGGGATGGGCAAATCGACACTGTCATTCAAAATCTGCCGGCTCCTGAAAGATAGATACCTTCATGACCCAACAACTTGCGTTGCTTCTTTTTACTTCGACGAGGAATATGCTGAGATGAAGTCAGTCGCCAACATGATCCGATGGTGTGCCATCGAGGCGGCAAAGAAAGATACAAACTATTGCGAGAAGGTTTTGATGGAGCTTCGGCAGAACACTTACTCTTTGGAGGATGATGCGATCTGGGAGAAACTGATCACGACCAAGTACGGCAAAGACTCTGACCGGAGACTGATTCTGATATTGGATGGAATCGATGAGATTGACGAAGAGGAATCCGTGAAGCTTCTGAAATGTTTTCACGAGGTCAAAAGCCACGACTTGAACGTCCAAATCGCCTATACAACTGACACAAGCAAAGAGTCTGAATTGGCTTCACTCGAGTCTAAACGTATTGACCTTGTCAAGAGCAAGGTCGGGCGAGATATGCAGAGATTGGTTTGGCATCGGACTAGGACCCAGCCGAGACTCCAAAAGTTGCGAGTCGGCCTCCGAAAGTTGATCATTCGCAAAGTGACAAAGCAGGCTGACTGTGAGTACATTAGCCCCCAGATCGACATCAAGGCGCTGACAGCCGGGCTCGCGACAATAATGACTCAGGCTGTCCTCCACTGCTCGGCTGCCCAAGTGTCTATGTGGTATTGTCATCAGCTAACTCTCTCTAGCATTCCTGTACATCGAGCATACAATGAGGAGACTGAACTCGCTGGGCCGTGAAGGCCTAATCCTGAAGGAGCTCGAGCATCTCCCCAGCGATATTGAGTCTCTATATGAGACCATTCTTGCTGAGTGCGCCAAAAATAGGAATCCAGATGAGCGCGAGCTCCTGAAAGGTCTTTTTGCGTGGCTTGCGTACGCCAAGTCCAAGCTGAGAGTTGGAGAGGCCAATATCTTGATTGGATTAATGAAGACAGAGATGTCCATGAGCATCGAGGAAGAGCTTGACGGTCGGTTGTCAAGGCTCCTCCGCGTGTCGGGCAACGACGACAAGCAAGTCGGGGATGACGACTCGAGTGAGAACGAGCTAGACCAAGTGATCGAAGAGGACAGTGAAAGTGCTATCCAGAGCGCCAGTGACGCCGACAATCTCCTTGGATTCCAAGAACGATCGCTAAGAGCATATTTCAGGCGGCCAAGCGATGATCCAGAAGGCTTGAGATCTACCGCCACACAAGCCCATGTTACTATATTCAGCATGGTTTCTGCCATATTGTCGAAACTGAACAAGGGCGAACCTAGCGCGGCGCAGAGCAGCTTGACAGATTATGCTGCCAAATGGGTCTTCACACATCTTCTGGAGATCGGGGTTGATCAAGTCAATGACCGACAGGCAGCGGTCGTGCTGGAGAGTTTGTTCAATATCCTCAGCAATAATAACGATGCCCTGAAACCAATAGAGGCGCTCGCCGAGGGCAATACAACCATATTCGAGCTTCAAACCGACCTAGAAGCCGTCCTCGAAGCCTTAACTAGCTGGTCGAAGCGAGCCATCAGGATGTCATCCAACAGCCTCTCATACGAAGCCATCAACTTCTACCGCCCGCTTCTGCAGGAACCGTATCGCGTCTTCATTCCCATCGCTCGTGCCCACATCAACAACTGGTTTGCTGCACGCTGGCAATCCGACTCATATGCCGCATTTGGCTGCGCACACTCCTCGCTTCAAAAGGGCCAGAAGCTGCCAGAGTTGCGTCAGAACCAGGTCCTGCTTGAATACTTTCAGGGATATGAGAAGAGCGGCGTCATCAGCCAACAATCTTTCGAAATCATTAGCAATGTGTTCTGGGATGTGGCGAAGACCTCTGCTGCGTACGAGGGCATCGGAATGGCTATGAAGTACGTAGATCTGTACGAGGCTGCCATCAACCAGCTCGACCTTGGGCTCGGCGACGGGTCGATTGATGATGTGGTGCGGTTCGGTCTCCTTTCGAGCAAAGGATCCGCTTTCCTTGCCCTGAGCAGCAGTGCTGAGCCAGGGGAAAAGAGGGACCAGCTACTGAGCAAGACCTTGGAGACGTACGATCTGTCTTTGACGGCTTATGAAAAATTTGCCGGATCGGACAAGGAGAGCACAACTGTCAAGTCGGCAGCCGCGTACAATTATGCAACCCGCGCGCAGGCATTGGCACTTACAGGGCAGATTGACCTGGCCCTTTGCGACGTTAAGAGCAGCCTGGATCTCAACCCGCCAAGTTTAACAGTGGATATAATGTTAGAGTTGGTCTCTGCCTGCGTCGCCGCACATAAGCCAGAACGAGTCATGAGTATTCTCCAGGCTGTTCCGCCAGCATCTCTAGCCGATTATCTTCTACTCGGCGAGACCGCAGCCGCGCAGGAAGCGGCGAAACGATCAGGCGAGGGGCAGGCCTTGCTCGGACTCTACGAATCGACGGTGAAGTACTTGAAAACCCTTCAGGGGCCGATATTGGGCGACTATATAGCTGAGCTAAACCTCCAGGCGGCTATATTCTCTCGTGATGCCCTGGGTGAAGATGGCACGGCCAAAAACTACCTGAAGCAGCTCATCAATGACCCGAAATCCGACGTGTACACGATACTGAGGTCGTGTGGTCTCCTGTGCGAGCTGCAAAGTGAAGAATTCCGGCGGTCCAACAACCCCATTGTCAAGAAGACAGCCCTCGAAGAGACGAAGAACCTACTCACCAAACTGTCCGAGGTGCTCGGGAGCGGCTTCAAGTCGGCTGAGTCCCACGTCTCCTTGGTTCTAGCTGGGATGCTCCGCAAGCTTGGCTCGGCGCTCGAGTGGCAAGATCTAATGCAGGCCATATTTCAGAGCTGCGTCAAGGATCTGAGCGACGACGTCGGCTGGAACGACTCGTGGAGCTTTCGGCGCCTGGCACGTGTTCTCATGTGGATCGAAGGGATGGAGACGCAGGCCCAGATCGCCATGACGGCACAATTATATGTCATCGACGACGAGGTGCGCAAAAGCGATCTCGCGAAGGAGGCTTTAGTAGAGCAAGCGCCATCGAAGGTCGAAGAGCAGTCGAATGGGCAGCATCCGGACAGTCTACGGGAGCCATCCGAGGCTGCGACACAGGCGGACGACGGAAGCGACGCCGTCACGATTGATTCGGTCTTGGAAACCCATCTCGCCCCCACCGCAGGGACACCAGATGTGTTCAAGACGAGCGCTGTCGAGCACGAGCCTAACCAAGCCGCGAGGTCTGGCAGAGACGACAACGCAATTAATAATCCGCAGACGACAACGACAACAACGCCTGCTGCCGAGCCGAAACCGGGCACAAATGCCGCACCGCCTATTACCTTAGGCGGAGGTGCTAGTAACGATGACAGCAGCAACCCCATGAACGAGGGCCTCGGGGGAAGTGAGGGCTTCTCCTGCAACTATTGTAGTAAGAACGTGGTTGACTGGGCGCACGGCGGCGCCTACATGTGCCTCTACTGCGTTGACTGCGATATCTGCGAGGAGTGCTTCGACAAGCGGGCCGCGCGCCACAGGGGGGAGTTGGAGGCTGACTGGCGCGTTGTCTGTCCACAGAGCCATAAGTACATCCGGGCACCGGTGGAGGGGTGGAGGGGCGTTAAAGATGGCAGGCTGCGGATTGGTGGCGACGAGATTCCTTCCAAGGAATGGCTGCGGGGCGTGGAGGACCAGTGGAAGGCATACTGGGACCGATACTGGATGGACGAAGATGCCCAGTCGTAGTTTATATTTGCAGCGTGAGAGAACAGGTCACATTTGAAAGGCTGCCTTCGCCTCGAGGGTGTGATTTGGGGTTCCACGGTGAGGTCCACGTTATCCCCAGAGAGAACGAACAACCCAACTAGAGATTGTACACAAACAAATACTTTGGTCTCGTTAATTACTGCACAATTCACCTTCGAACCTGGAGACGTTGTGGCGAAGCTTCGTAAACTTTAATTAATACGTCATATAAGAAACATGGAAATTGAACAGGCTTGCTATGTGGTTGGTGCCAATCGGAGTCCCTCCCTGTCTGTACTACAGATGAAGCGGGGGCGCATCACGGCATTTGGACAGCGATGATGTTCATTTCTCCCTCATCTATTTCTTGGTGATTTATATGAGGGCCCAAAGATCCAAGCATGACCCACGATGCACTGCTCGACCCGACGTGCGAGGTCTGTCGCAGTGGTATGCTTTGGCTCGAGCGAGAACTTCTATCAACCGAGCCGCATTTCAGGGGAAGGGCTGCTAAAAGATTCGACCACGCCCGTGTGGACTGGTACCCTACCCTAGCCGGCCTGCGAGAATCTGCAGCAGCTGGTTGTGAGCTATGTCGGCTGATACGGGCTGCCGCGCTCTCGAACGATGCAGCCAATGTTTTCAAGGATCAAAGTGTCAACATCCAGGATACTTGCATGTTGCGAATCCAAATTGGGTTTGTTCGACAACGGGACAAAGCAGAGCGCGTAAAACGCAGGGTTTCGGAATCGGAACCCGAGATTATGACTGCTGGTCTACATTTTCAATTCCATCTCGCTATAGGAGAGCAAAGCATCCTCACTTCCAACCTTCGCCGAGGACAATGGAAGCCAAGTATCGATGTATATATGATGTACGCTATGGCTCGTTGCTGCATCAGTCTCCCTGTGACGTGCAAGCCACACTCCGGCCCTCGAGCTGGGACTACTGGATACTTCCGTGCTTTGCAGCAGCTTCCACCACCTTTACAGCCATATGCCCTTGATCAGGATCCAATTAGTCTTATAAAGTCAGCTCTCCAACGTTGTACCTTGAGCTGCGGCCATTCTCGCGATAACGACGAACCGTTTCTACCGTCCAGGCTTGTTGATGTAAGAGGGGACATACTCCGGATCGTCAAGAACACTGAAATCGGGCCAGAAGATCGTAACGATCTGAAATACCTAGCACTCAGCTATTGCTGGGGTGGTATGTCGCAGCTTACATTAAATACCTCGACTGAGTCTTGGCTCTTGTTTGGCTTCAGCCTTGACGATTTAACGCCAGTGCAAGCGGATACGGTCTCCGTGGCAAAAGCATTATCGATTCCATATATTTGGGTAGACGCTCTCTGCATACGTCAAGACGACTACAATGACTGGGATCATGAATCGGCGTTCATGGATAAAGTATATGCTAATTCCTTTGTCACTATCTGCGCTGTATCGTCCACGAATTGCCAAGAGGGATATCTTCATCGCGATGGTACTCAGATACCCATGTGCATCATCGGCTTGGGAAGCCAAGACATGACACCTCCTTCGTGTCTCATACAGGCACTACCAATCATTTCCCACGGGGATCCTTATCGACCATTGACGCATGAATTGCAATCCAGCACTTGGAATCGCCGAGCTTGGACATATCAAGAGAATGCTCTTTCGACCCGGTGCATATTCTTCTGTCACTCTGGTGTACACTTTCCCTGCTCTAATTTCGAATGCTCGGAATATCTTGGCGTCGTGGGCGAATCACGATTCAAAGGTTCATCACCCGCGAAGACGCGAGTTCTCTTACGCGACGATTTTACCAACCCAGAGGATCAACGAAGTCTCAACTTGGCTTGGGCACAGGTTATATCCGATTACTCCAGACGCGACATCACCAGAGCCACAGATCTGTTTCCGTCCCTATCTGGACTGGCCAAGGAGTTCTCTCGTCGATTTGGTAGCCAACAATACGTTGCAGGATCATGGAAAGCAGAGCTCTTGAAAGGCTTGATGTGGCGGGTAGAGGAGGAAGCCATGCAACCTCTCGATAAACGTCTGTCATTCGAATTGCTACTAGAAAAGTTGTGTGGTCAGCCATACATTAGTCCATCGTGGAGCTGGGTTGGCCGTGAACAACAGATACAGCCTTGCGATCAATTCTCACCAAGCGGCATACCTGACTATGAAGGGGGCAGCATATCATATCCTGCGTACAAGCGTCTGGAGTCTTCGGTCACACCACTGACAGGGAACATCTTCGGCAAAATCTCCACTGCCAAGCTCATTTTGGAGACACACATTTATCATCTTGCCAGCGGAGCTCTTCTTCCAGATAAACAGCCATCAAATCACCCTATAGTATACCACAATGGACTGCCTGTTCAATTGGGAGGTAAAGACGGCCCTTTGTTTCAGCTCGAATTAGACTGGAAGTTTGCTGGCAACGAAGAAGACTTGGACAGCTTAACGCTAGCACTTCTAGGAAGTTCTACCGTTAGCGAGGAATACTCGGATCATCCATTTGAAAAGAAAGTAAAAAGCAAGGAAAAACGCCCTTTTGGCTTAGTCCTTCATTCTGCGGCTGATAATGAGCAGTATTTGCGTGTTGGAATTTTTAGCATACCAGGAGAGGCCCTTATTCAAGATGAACTGCCGCACTGGAAGTTTTTTGAGAACTGCAAGGTGCTACCAATACAGGTGCTTTAGTAAACAAGTCGTACTACGGTTTGAGACATTTGTCCGCAGCTCAGAAGGGCAAGCGACAAGGCGCCCACGACAGGAAGACTTCGTCATCATCAGCTGGTGATCCTCGAAAGGCCTAATGTGGTCAAATAGGTTTTCTACTACACTAAGAGCCTATGTATTGCGATATCGTTCAAAGGCAGGAGATGGCCGATGGTTCCTCAACGCTTCCCAGTTCGCTCCCAATTATCGGAGTGTGCCTTGCGGTGCGAACATAACATCTCTTACCCGGTGGCAACGAGGGTTACGAAATCTTCCCAGTCGAAGAAATATTGGTATAAGAGGCATCGCAGGTGACGATGAGAGGTATGGAATTTAATGTACTTTTCTTTGTCTTCTTTCAGGGTGCTAGATAGTCCCGCCTCCTATTCGAACAAATCAATATCCGATCCCTTTAATGAAAACATCATGACGACTGTAGATCAATCAGCGGAACATCGTCTCCGCAGTAGCATCCGAGTTGTGCTGGGCCGAGATGAGTGCCATGGGAGGCTGAAGCGTGCCTCATGGAAGCAGACCAAACAGCCCAGTACAACCACCACATCCAAGCTCGCAGTAGTCACAATCATGCAAGCAAAAAGGCTCAAGGTCATGGTCGATGATATGCCATTCTCATTCCCCCTTTGACACGAAGGGGTCTCTCCTCATCTCATTCTATCAAATATACATCTTTGCAGGTGCCACCCGTCTTGGATCCTTCCTCTGAATGATTCAAAGTAGAGTCATGAAATGCAATCCCCATCCAATCCTCTAGTGCCTGCCGCTCTTGACCCGGTGAGACCTGGATCCAAAATCCAAGTATTAAAAATAAACAAGTAGATAGGAAAGGGGGAAAAGGTGAGAGAGGGGTTTTGGTATGTAAGTAAAGAAAACATTCCCTGCAGTCTCCCTGGCCAACCGCCGGCCGCAACAATAAACCAGGTTGCGGCGATGGCGGAGGCATATATACCGGTGTGTGATATCATATCCCCACGTGAGGGGGGGTTATCCTCCGTAAAGCCATCTCACAGAAAAGGCTCATCTCCACGTAAGCTTTTATAAAATTAGAAAACATCGACGACATTACATTTCGCGTAAATACCCCCTTGTACATCATCACCTTCGCTTACTCCTTCTTGGCCTTCTCCACCTTCTTCCCCTTGGGCACACGGGCGAGGTAGTAGACACCCAGAGCGGCGAAGACGTTGAAGATGATGTAGGCCCAGAGGATGCCGAAGTTCCTCCAGCGTTGCGAGTAGTAGGTCCCGACGCCCGCGAGGAAGGTGTTGGTGTCGGAGACGGTGCAGAAGCTGCAGTCGGAAGTGGCGTTGTTGTTGGTGAGGTAACCGCCGGCCACAGTCATGTAGTTCTCGAGGTACTGATAACAGGTCTGGCCGTCGAGGGGCTGGAAAGTGAGCAGCTCGTTGGAGGCGCACTCGACATTTGTGTTGGCCACCGATGCCGACAGCATGCCGCCCACCAGGTAAGTGAACGGCGATACGCGGTACATGAAGATCCAGAACTTGGGGAACGTGCTCGGGTTGGCGAGAACACCGCAGAAGATCAGGCACAGCATGAAAAGCAGGTTGGCAATGTTTCCACCTGCCTCGGCCGTCTCGAAGCCAGCGATTACCAGGTCCGTGAAGGTTGAGGTGAAGAGCATGAAGGCGAGGAGGAACAGGAAGACGAGGGCGCCACGCTCGTGGACCTGATCCGCCAGCTCGGCGTTGCGGTAGAGGCCAACAGGGTAGTACCAGCAGACAAACATGATGACAGCCATTAGCGAGTTCCAAGGCAGCTCGACTATGATTTGCGAGAGCATGAAGACCTTCCAGCTGTAGACCTTGGATGGACGCTCACGGACTTCGTATAGTGACCGTTGGACGACGAAGTGAGGCATTTGCTGTTGAGTGAGCTGGCCAAAGATTGTCAGGATGTTGAAGATGGCGAACATCTGGTTTTGCAGACCCTGAAGCGTATTCGGAGCGTTGAGGAAGACAAGACCAATGAAGAGCGAGATACCAGTACAGAGTGCAGCCTTAGAATAGATGTAGGATGGAGTGCGCCAGTACTGCTGGAAAACACGAAGAACGACCTCTTGAAGTTGCTTGCCGAAGGGCGCGGCGAACTCCTGGTAGCTGGTCTTGTCGTGAACCGGACTGGATGCTGCGTCAGTCTTGTCGCCCTCGTCAACCAGTCTTTGCAATTCCTTGTGGACGTCGGAACATTCGGGGCTTTCCTTCCAGGTCTTGAACCAATCGACGTCAGTGTGTGAGCCAGGAGCAGCACCAATTGCCTCCAACATCCATTCGGCAGGGTTGGCTTCGGGTGGGCAATGGTGTGCGCCATTGCGCTCAAAGTAGGAGGTCATCGTCTTGGAGTTCTCGCCGATTTCGCCGAAGTAGACAGTCTTGCCACCCTTCTGAAGGAAGAGCAGGCGATCAAAGCGCTGGAAGAGCATAGCAGAAGGCTGGTGGATCGTGCAAAGAATGGCTTGGCCACTCTTGGTAAGCTTTTCCAGGAGATCCAAGATAGCCCAAGATGTTTGAGAGTCAAGACCGGAGGTAGGTTCGTCAACAAATAGCAGCAATGGTGGCTTAGCCGCAAGCTCAACACCGATGGTCAAGCGCTTTCGTTGTTCGACATTGAGACCTTCGCCAGGGACACCAACAACAGCATCTGCGTAGTCGTGCATATCGAGGAGCTTGATGACTTCGTCCACATAGGCGAGCTTCTCTTCGCGAGAGATATGAGCAGGTTGACGAAGCAGAGCACTGAAGTTCAGGGCCTCGCGGACAGTGGTGGTCTGAAGATGAAGATCCTGTTGCTGGACATAGCCGGTCTTGCGCTGGAAGGAATTATCGCGAGGGTGTCCGTCAACAAGCATTTCGCCAGTAATGACACCCATTGAGGTTCGATCGGCCAAGCAGTCGAGAAGCGTCGTCTTACCAGCGCCAGACACTCCCATCAGAGCCGTGAGCGTGCCAGGCTTGACCCAGCCGTCGACATGATCCAGAATTTGCCTAGTTTCGTTCTTGATCTTGACCTCATAGCACACATCCTTCCAGTGGAACACACTAGTTTGTCGTTCGATAAAGCCAGCCTCCTTGTCGGAGTCGCTGGGGTCGTTACGGGCAACAATAGTGGATGTCCCAACAGTCTTGCCTCCCTCGGGATCGTCCTTTTGCTCTTTGAAGGCAGCAGGCTTGTGACCGCGGCGGAAAACCAGCACTTCACCCTTGGACTTCTTCTCGGAGACAAGCTCGGCCGCGATCATGTAGGTGATGAGGAAAAACAGGGTAAAAGCGATGACAATACCGAAGTTGCGCCACTTGTGAGCTGCGTAGTACTTGAATGACTGGTTGATGTAGTCGTCACCATTCACAAAGCTCTGGCCCACCTTGGAGCCGACAGCGGAACAGACACGGTTTTCAGGTCCCACGTTGCCGTATCCCGGGACTTCGGCGTTCGGTACATACTGGGTGCAAGTATAATCGCGGTTGTGGAACTCATTCACCATCAAAGCTTCGAATGCATAGGCCAAGGGGTCCAGGTAGTTCAACCAGCGGCACCAATCCAGCATGTAATCGATCGGAATGACGAAACCGCTGAAAATGACCAAATCCAGGATAATCAAAGCTGCCGGCACCATGGCTTGTGAGAGGGTTCGCGATGAAGACGCAATGGTTCGGAAAATCATAGACATGGCGAGCGTTGTGACAAAACAGATGAGCAGGAAGAAGAAGAAAGGTCCTGGTTCCCGTCGCAGGTTTGTCATAAAATACAGTGCGAGGTTGAATACGATGGAGTTCAAGACCTTATAAGGAAGATCACACAACATCGAAGAGATAGCTTCGGCAGAGGGGTGGTACATAGCGTATCGGGCGTGTTTCTCGACGATTGGTCGTTGTGCGTACAGTGTCAAGATCTGGCCGTTTAGTTAGCATTGTTCACATTGATCAGATTGGAATGTCATGGGGGACGGTTTGGATATTTTCCTACCTCGAGAGCAGAAGCGAAGGCGTTCATAAGACAGGCGAAGAACAGGAGAGCACCTCGCTGGAAGAAGCTAGAAGTCGTCATTTGGAGGTTGTAGAAGACACTGGAGATGATCAAAGCCATGATGAAGTTACCAATCAACATGCCTATGGTCAAGCCGGGGTCGCCACTAAGTCGTTTCCATCCGCGCCATAGGCAGAGCTCCACCTGCTGCCAATAGTCCAGGGTGTATGGTGACTTGGGGCGCTGTCTCTTTGACTGTTGAGCACGCTTGTGGGCGCGGAACTGTTGGGCATCAGGCCCATCAAGTGGATGAGCTGTCTTGTATTCCTCGATCTCGGTCTGCAGCCTCTTGTACTCAGCGCTGTTCCTCCAGGCAGCGGCAAACTCGTCGGGTGTCCTGGGCGCCCGATCCTCGAATCCAGGGCGCACAACACGTTCCAGAGGGCTCGTCATGGAGGTCAGGAAGTCAGGAGTTGTCTGCCGTGCGGGGCAGTCGAAACCAAGGTTGATGAAGTATTGTCGTGCTTCGCCTGCGGGGCCAAAGAAGATCTGACGGCCCTCGTACAACACAGCTGCCTTGTCAAACAGGTCGTACGCGGTTTGCGGGGCCTGGTAGATCGAGACACATGCTGTGCTGCCGAAGAGCTCAGATTGCAGCCTCAAGGTCTTGCAAAACTCAATAGCGTTTGCAGAGTCAAGTCCTCGAGTCGAGTTGTCCCAGCATTGCAGCGGAGCCCCCGAAAGAGCGGCCTCAGAGATGGTCACACGCTTCCTCTCTCCACCAGAGACACCACGGACGTACTCGTTTCCGACGCGGGTGTTGATAGTGTGGGAGATACCGAACATGGCCATGACGACATCCCGGACGTGGTTCGTGAAGAGCGATTTGGGGATGCCACCTGGCAGCTCGCGAGGCGCACGCGCTCTTGATGCGAAAGTCAGGGTATCGCCGACAGTCAACATGGGGAAGTGGACGTCGATTTCGGCGGTGTAGATGGCCTCACCGCGATGGTGCTTGTGCATTTCCTTTGCGGACACACCTGCGAGATGTTGTTAATGCCATTCTTCCACCAGAGAAACTGATATTCAAGCCCCACAAGCGCGGAGAGCCACGATTTGCACTTACCCTGATAGTTGAAGTAGGAAGAATCCTCAACATAGATACCGTTCATTTCGCCCGAGATGGTCTTCAAAAAGGTACTGCAGCCTGATCCGGGAGGGCCCAGCACAACGAGCATCTCGCCCTTGTGCACAACGCCGTCGAATTTCTGCAAGATGTCGATCCTCTTCTTCCTGCCACCGCCGAAAACTCCACGCACCATGGAGGCAACATCTAGCAAGATGTTCGCAACATCCTTCTGGTAATCCGTGCCGGCTCCATAGCCGAAGACGTTGAGGTTTTGGAAGGCGATACCACTGGTGCGGAAGCCATGTCCCTCGCTGGAGACCAGCTCCACCACGTTCCGAGCCCAGGCGCGGGCGTTGAACTTTTCGCCGTTGGGGTTCAGTGGGCTGTCCGGGTCGTTTGCGTGCTCGGCGAAGGGGTTGGCGCCCGTGATGCCCGAGGCATGGGACTTGTTCGTGTACTGTCTCGCCAGGTCTTGGACCATTCCTGCCCGGCGGGCCTCCGCGGCCTCGTCATCGTCGGTCTCGCTCTCTGTGCTGATGGTCTTCTCGTTGCTGGCTTCGACCTTGGCGGCTGGCGTTTCTGTACCGGTTGTGGACGTGTTTTTCTCGTTCTCGGTCAGGGTGGTAGTGGTGTCATTGTTCGGGGTGGTTTTGGTAGAAGGACGGCGCGAGCGAGGCGCAGGCGCGGCCGAGCTGTCGTCCTCCATCTGGTCCCGAGACCTGGTCTTGCTCAGAGTCAGACCGCCTGTTTGCGCCGAGAGGTCGTAGTTGCCAAAGGCACCAGTGCCCGCGGTGAAGGACATGGTGGTGGCGGGACTTCGCCTTTAAATCGGAACTGAGCGCACCACTGGGCACTCTTGCAAGAATGATCCACACGTAGGCTTGAACAGGCTATGTTGGGGCCCGTCAGCAAATAATTGGGCCGTGTGGTGATATTAGAGGTCTTGCACTGTCGAATACCAGACGACAACAACAAAAGATGGTACTTGCGTTCTTGGAGGGAAACGTCAGTCAGTTCAGTCTCAATGTCAGTCACCCGTCACCCGTCGCAAACTAAAGTGAAGGTGAAAGGGTGAGGCGCTGAGCCCTGCAAAGACCTGTCGACGTATGGAGAAGAAAGAAGACTCCAGGGTCCAAGGCCAACGACGGGGAGGAGGTCGCACAGAAGATCTATTAATGAAGACCATTGTTTGGACGAGACACGGAGTGGGCACTGGGGAGGTTTTGACGGGCAGCACGAGCTTTGCACGGGCTCGGCCAATTCGTTTGAGCAGTGAGAATGAGCAGCACCAGAGGCGTGGGTACAGGGGGGCAAGGACAGGGGTGCAGGGGGGAGGGCGAAAAGGGCCATGGTGACCGGGATCAGGTACATCATTGATTTCCGCACTCGGCAGGGCCCAGGGCCCAGGCTCGCAAGCTCACAGGCTTACCGAGCTGTGGGGACCTGCTGGGCCCGCGAATCCGTCCCGTGAGACAAGTACCTAAGGAAGTACCATGTAGGTGCAGGTAGCCCTAGGCAGTGACACCTGGGTAGGCAGAAATTCCAAGCTGATGCCCAGAGGGCGGCAGGGTGCAGGGCCGTCTTACCATCTGGGCAAGGCGGTACGAGGGTACAACGTTACGGGCGACGGTCAAGATCAAGACCCCGAAGCGCTAGGTACTGCGGAACTGCGAGACGTGGGTACCAGGGTACTTTGCGGACGTATCCATCATCGATCGTCACCACTGATCAGTTCGGGCAGCCCTTGATCAGTCTGACCACAGATCTGCAGTCATCCGACGACAAACTCACTCTTTCAGCCTCCTTAGTCCTCTTCTTACTTGACGACGGCTTCAGCTATTGAGATGCTGCTCCGTGGTCTGCTGCTGGCGGGATGCGAACAGTTTTCCTACTCTTCAACATCCAACGGACTGACTTTCGCCTGATGGCTGTTGGCCATGTACTCGGCACTTGCCGGGAACCTCGTCAATCTGAGTTGATCTGCTGCTACCGTCTCGCTTACTCGAAGATCAAGGTCGATGCGGCGTAGCAGGGTCAGAAAGCATGTGCCAAAGTCTAAATCGCGTACGGTCCAGGCCGTACGACGTGGCTCATGCAGAGTCACCTATCATCATCGTCTGCCTATAACTACTACTATAATCAATTCATACATGCTCAATACGGCGTATCGGCACGTGAGATTTGACGAAACACCAGGCTGCTACGGCTGAGGCTGACGCCGAATACGCACATACGACCCAACGAAGGCGACATGTCTGTCCGCAACACGGCATCGACCGCAGCCTGCAGCAGGCAGGCCGCTCGCCCAGAGATGATCTGCGCAGCTGCGCAGAAGTCTCCTATCGCACAGACTCGGAGCCCGCTCTTAACCCACTCTAAACCGTCCTTGTGGGCATACTTGTCAGATCCGCCCGACAGGTGTCCGCAAACACATCAACATCGGCATCAACAGGCTTGCAGTTGGCAGGCGCTGATTTGTTTTGTTTTTTTGTCGTTGCTGTGGCTGTGCCGCCCAACGGGCGGACGCTATCCGCATTGGTGAAGGGTAGACATCGATATCATTCGGTAAGTTCGGGCCATCCGATCAAGGATTCGACGATTCACTAATAAACAAGTAATACGGGGCAATTCAGCCAGAGATCACTACCAAGTGGGGAGCTGCAGTGGATTGATCCAATCCGCTGGTGGGGCGGTCCCCAAGCTCATGTTTTGGTGACCAGGGTCATTTCTTCTCTTTCTTTTTCGAATTCGAATTCGGACTTGACAGGCCTAGCGTCCTGTCTCTTTTTTGCCCGAGGTCCCACATGCTACTCCTGGTCCCATGTGTCTCGTTGTGTCTGGGCTCAGCAAATCCGCAATCCTCAGGTCATCGTCCGTCGTTGTCATTCTCGCAGAAGGATGAAGAAAATGGATTCCAGTCGCATCTCGTACTCCATGCCTCTCAGGCGAATCCATCGTGTTGCTGGGCATCGGGACAAATAGGATGTGTCTTCGGCGTCTGTATTAGGGAATACCGGCCGGGCGCCGGCGGCAGGCTGATGTGAGGATGATGGGCGTTTCCTGTCAGCGAGGTCCGCAAGCTAGATACTCGGGCCGGAGCAGGTAGTGAGATTGGCAGCCTTCTCTTACCCCCTTGTGCCCCTCCACCCCCGTTTCGGGGTCCTCGAGCACCCCGACAGCCCGCCCGCCCGTGGCGTCAAAGGATTCACCATTTGCCAACTCAATCCGTTCCGCAACGCGCAGTCCTGTCTGTGTTGATGAGTCCGTCCGTCTGACATGTGTGTGAGATGGGCAATGTATCACTGCCCTGATTCAGCCAGACAAAGCAATCGAGTTTATCTAGGCGCCCCCCGCGTTTCGCAAGCTAAACTGAACCTAATTGAGTGTGTGCGCTCGGTTGAAAGCACGCGAAATGCAATCAAAACCTTACTGTGAGTGTGGAGCATTCAAACTACACATTACCCAGGTACTATACCGTCTGAGTCTGGTCTGGAAGTATAAGACATGAACCACTTACGCTGACCTGCGTGGCTGGCCACCCCCTGCACCCTTGCATGCTTTGCATGCTTCTAGAAAAAAGATCGGGCCTTCAACGGGCCCACGGCAAGTGGCTAACATCCGCCAACAATCGGGAGCTGGATTAGGTTTTTTTGCATACACAGTACCTTGTCAACTACAGCATATGCCGTCACCCAGCTGAAGCTACCTCACAATTGTGAAGCTGCTTCACAATTCCTGAAACGCAAAAGCGCAAAAACGCAAGAGTGCAAAACACAATTCAGAGAGTCATGCGCCGCAGCCTTACAGTCCAATAGCCCGTACCCATCCCTATATCTCCATGTAGACGGCCTAGACCTACACGCAAGAGCAGCCTCGTATCCACCACAACAACCAGCTGTGCATTGCATAGTCCGTATTAGCCAAGTGTCAGCTTCATTTTTGAAATCCACTCACCCAATCTCGGCGACTTTTGGTATCTACTGTAAAATCCTACCGGTTCAATCATCACGCCGAGCAAAGTGTTGAACGCCTTCCAAGAACAAATCCTGCGCACGTGGCATCCACATTCTCAGGATCTCCCTGCGCCGTTGTCTCATCCCACTCTGAGACCATCGACCTCGCTCCCGCTCCGCACAGCTGGACCCGCCCGGCCACCGGGGCTCCCGGCTGGCCTGTTGTTCTTTTCAACACGACGATCCGGGCCCGACAAGACCCCGAGAACCCCGGGTGTTCCTTTATCCCCGTGAGTGCCTTGGTCCCTCAATGTTTGTTTACCTCTCGACAATCTCGAGATGTGGCATCATTCCCCCACAGTCTCACCATTCAACTGACCAAATTGTTTGGAAGTCTGTTGAGGGGTCTCCCAGGATCGGACAGGAGGAAAGACCCGTTTTCTTGAAGGCCACCCTCGAGGTCTGCTCGCTGCCAGCTCATGGCTGCGGGGACATGGGAACGTGGCTCGTGCATGAACGAATGACGACCACACGGCGAGCAGGTGGTATGGCCGTGAAGAGCCTCACCACGACCAGCTCGTCATCGTGTCTTGTCCATGTCGTCAGAACCGTCCCTTGAGTCTGGGATCCCTGATGTGGTCAACGATTATACTGCAGGGACGACCCAACGGCCTGGGCGCTGCAACTGCTTGCAAGGCGGGCCAATTAGCACTCAATGACCTTCCAAGGACTGACAATCTGGCCCGTTGAGTGTTCTGCGGTATCGTATTCGTGCAAGCTTGGATGAACAACAATTGCGGCACAAACTGCCTAGAGATTGCTCATCGCACTTGTTGGCCGCACCATCTGAGATTGGCACATAGGTCTCAACTATCTGGGCTTCCTCCCACACGCCCTTCAGCCCAACACTGCGGCGCACGCCCTTTGGCCCGCCAAGTCTGTCGTTCCCGTATCAAGCACGGGGTCTACGTAGGCCCCGACCGACATGGCTTCGGGGTAAGACTTGAGCCCGGGCAGCCTCGTCGATCAAAGCCCGCAGGCGGGCGACTGCCGCAGCTAGGCAGCCAACCGCCGGAGCACAGAAAGGTTCTTCCTTTTTTTCACATGTTTGCGGACCAGTCGTAACCCCTGCTTTTAAAAGGAGATTGTGTGGCGGTGGGAAGATCCGACTGGAGATCCTACCCACTGGAAAATGCTACCTCGTTCCCACGGCACGGCACGACTGCCCAGAAACAGCGCGCAGCCGCGTGTCAAGAAGGGGTGGAGGGGTGTAAATTCACCAGTGGAATCCATCCTCAATTTGTACCCCTCGTCTACGTGGCAGAGCCCTCATCACGTTGCGTCCAGGGTCATCGCGCGCGATCGAGATTACCTCCCGGCCCTACCGCAAACCAGCGGAGCAGAGACCTGAGCCGCGTCAGGCCCTGCCAGACACAAGGAGATATCCTGTGGAGAATTGATAAGGCTTGTTTTCTCTTGGCCCCCGGCCGGCTTGCTCATCGCGGTGTTCGGTAAACACGGGCTGCGAGCACGCATGCTGTCTAGTCGGGCCGCCGGGACGAGACATGTCTCCGTCGCCTTCTGCAAGAAAACACACGGCCGGGCTCCTTGTTGTCTGGTCGACGGGGAGGGGATAACCGGTGATTTGCGGGCTTAAGTTGAGCCCAAACGCCTCTCCAAAACTCCGGTAGGTGTCAATCTATACGATACCGATTATAATGTTTCATGGCGGTACCTTGGCATACGACGGTGTATATACTTAGAAGCACGCCCCAGGCGGCCCAGAAAGACAATCAATATAGACTCTGTAGGATCACCAAAGAAACTTTGCTCCAGACACCGAAGCAGAAGCTTCTCCGCCTGATAATGTGAGGCCAACGGACTCGACTGTCCACCAACGCTTCTGGGGCCCCGCAGACCTTTGGCATTAAGGCCGTCGGATCACCCAGATTGATGAATCTGGCTGGCTGCGTGGCTGGTCGTTGACTATCGTTCGGAAAAGAGCAGTACCCGTAAACACGGCAAACCGGGCGGACAGTCACGCCGTAAATCCGAAGGAGCTGGAGTCGCGATCCAGAACTTTCGCCGCGACTCATGAAGAAGGCCATTTCGCTTGTCAATCATATCTGTTGATTGATGGGGTAGGTTAGAGCGAGCAACAGCGAGCGAGTGATGTGGAACGTTGCTCTTGCGGGTGGCTTACCGATATTGCGACTCGTCAGCTGGGAGCTGACAGCCGGCGGGAGGTTTGCGGGCGGGAGGTGCTCACCGGCAGTGCGATTCAGTCTATCTTCCCCATGTGGTAGCGTAAAAAGCTGAGAAGATGGCGTGCAAAAGCTTGCTCGGATCGAAAAGACGAAGAGGCCAGCCCACTACATGTTGACAGCTTGAGCCGTAAGTCGAGCCCAGAAGGCTAAGGTCGCCGCACGTAGGCAGGTTTAGCATGTGGTTTCGATCGCTTCGGATGACCACAGAGAAGTTTCCCAAATGCGACGGCTTGGTATGAAGCTGTAGTGATCTTTCCGGGCCATAATGTGGCTCGGCTTCTCTGTTGAAATTCATGCGGATCGATTTGACCAGCACCCGGGCAACTAAGCTGCAAGGAAGCAAACCGCGGAGCCAGATAAATTTGCAAATAGATGTTACATGGTAGAATGTTCTAAGAAATGAATCAGAAACAAATGAACAACCGCCTTGCATCACAACACATAAGCAGTCTATGTCCTTTAGCCCCGGCGTCCTCTCTGCCGGCTGCTGACGAAACACACGAAGCGAAGCAAAATCAAATGGAATAGACACTATCCTCGCAGACATTGAACGTCAAGTGGTGTTTTGTGGTGCCTGTGCAAAACAAGTTATCGCTTGCCAATCCAATTGGTGAACACCTTGGGTTCGTCCGGGAAGACTCGATTCGGGTGCTTCTGTGACCTGTTCCTATCTCACCGGTGAATAAGACTGTGGTTTGGGAGATACATCCCGGCCCACTCAGCCTCTACCAATATATAAATAAGCGAGGTGTAAGATCGATCATAGTCCTCTAAACAAAATTCCTACTGTGGTATTGTTTCGGAACCATGCGTGACAAGGCTTCGACACATTCCCGAACAGGGCCTCCGCACATCCAATCATCTTGCACGGGCAGACGCCAAGGCTGCAGCGAGGCTGGCATCCCGCTTTGGAGGAATCCTGTGGCATGTCAAGTTTGCATTCATGTTTGCTTTCCTCAAAAACTTCAAGTAAGGAGATTTTGGTCAATTTCGATTATTGTAGAAGCTCTAGTGCCAGGTTTATTCGGGATTCACCCAAAGCAAAACCTTCAACCCAAACGACTGGTTGAAGTGGATGATCCCAGATTGCACAAGTGTGAAGACGAGATTTCAAGTAAAGCGGGACAACTTCAATGATATTTTTGGATGTGGATATGTCCGAATTCCCGTCCAGCTTGAACAAATGGATAGCCATGGACTTAAAACAAAAGAAAATAACACTTTTAGGATGTCCGGACCCTTTCACGGCCTAAGCCGACAACTTATAGCGCTCGATCCAGACACTGTTCTCCACGACCTCAAAAAATGCCCGAATCATCAGATGAATCTCCCTCAGAAGCCTCCGGGTCATGCCATCCCCATATGTCTTTTTTGAATTCGTCCCGGTAGAGAAGGTCAAGATCCCGAAGACGATCTTTGTATGGCTCGAATTCCTTCTGTTCCTTCCGCAAAAGACCAGAGCGCTTGCATGCGAAGTACATGTACTCCACGAGCTCATCTGATAAGGGCAGAACTCTTGTATCATCCTTACTCAGGACTGCTTCGACAGCGGCGGCCTGTCCCAACTTGCACTGAGTATGTCTCTGCTCAGTCATCACAATACCGGGGTAAAATAAGCCCCTAATCTCCATTCTCTCAAATTTATCGATCAAGGCGTTCACAGTTCCCTTGTATTGTGCAAGCTCTGGGATGGGAAACAGAGCCTGCTGTACCAGATTGGCAAGTAGAGACCCCAGGAGTTTCTGATTACACTCAAATTGACCTTCGGCGGATTTGCAGTACTGCTTTCCATGCAGGTTTGACGCATCCATGAGGTAGTCGAAGGGGACTCTGAGTGCATCGAACAGGGTTTTGAGGTCCTCGTGTCGAATCTGTCCAATGCTGTCCAAGATGTCCTGCTGCAGGACTGTTGGGTCCGGCAAGCTTTTTCTGACCTCGTCACTGATCTCATGAGCGGCTTCCCGAACCAAAATCTTGGTGGACTTGAAATCTCCCATCTTGTGAGCTACTCGGAGGAGCTCGAAGATGGTCAGCTTCGATTTGTCTAGCCCATCTCTGAAGCCATCGATCCAAGACGGAGCAAAAAGGTGGTAATTTGTGTCCTCAAGGACAACATCGTACTTGTCAAGCACCTGTAAAACCGTGTGCAGCTGGCTAGGGACGGGCTTCGAAGCCACCAACGCTCTCGGAAACTTATTGTGCAGGAGACAGAACATGATCTTCAGGCCGAGACTGTAGTAGAACAATTAGCGAAGATCACGAAAGCGTGATTTGTAGCGGGTGTCAGGTGAGGAGAGGCAAGGTAGTAGAAAAAAATGCATTAATTGTTTGTACTCACGGGTTCTCCTCCAGCTCCCAAACCCACTCCTCTCTATTGCCACGTTTGTGACTGCCGTAGATCATGGCCTCGAACTTGGGAGAGGCTTTCTCGAGAATGGTGGAGACGACTTCGAACACGTAGACTTTGCCATCCTCGCCTTTCGCCTTGACATACAGATCGCTGTCGCGAGAAAGTCGGGGGTTGCAGCAGCCAGGAGTCGACGTGACTGGGCTGGAAGGTCTTGTGCGGGTGCTGGAAGTGTAGAAGAACTTTATGACGTTGCCGATGTTCTCCAAGTCATTGGGATCAACAAACTTCTTGTCCTCGGGAGTGGTTGAATGATTGCTTATGTTCTCAATGGGTTGATCCGTGAGAGTCTGGGAACTGCCAGTTTTCATGTCCTCAACGCCCTCATCGGCGGCATCTATGTTGGGATTGGTGGTGGCTACAGTCTTTGGAGATGCGCTGTGTGTTCCATCCTCACTAGGAGCCTTCTGTTGCTCGGCCAATTTGATAGCTTCATTTGCATCAGCCTTGTCTGACACCGACTCAGGCTCTTGAGATGGAAGTGCGACAATGGTCATGGTGGTCGAGTCGGGCGCAGAATGGTCAAAAGCCATGCTGGTGATGTCCTCTGTGGACGTAGATGAGCTGTTGCTTTTCTCTTCGATAGAGAGCTTGTCAGTACTGGCCGCGTAATCGGTATCCCCGCTGATTGTGGTCAAACTCTTCGCCTTGCCGGTAGCAGTGCTTGTGTCGGCAGGCAGCGGTGCTAGAACATCCTTAGCCTCATCTGCCTCGATAGTGAGATGGGCCTGTGTGTCATCAATGGTGTTCGCAACGATGTCGCTGGAGTCCGGACTGCTGGCGGGCAGAGGCACTATTGCAGCTGGGGCTGGGTCCAGCACAGCTGGAGCCTGGTGAGGTGGAGAAGACATTTTGCGGCTGCTATTTCTGACCTGTCAGCAGCTGCAAAGAAGAGATGTACGGCGTAATGACCAAAGCCAAAATAATGGTTGTCTTGTCAAGAGAAAGGTGATTTGCGCGAGAAAGCTAGTGGATGGGGTGTCGACATACACAACGTAAAGACGAGAACTTGAGATGCTTGTATGGTTTAGACAAGATGGACATGACAATGAGTCCTGGGGGCTGCTAGAGTTGCAGGAGGTGCGACAGGATAGCGAAGCTTGGTGGGGAGAATGAGGCTTGGGTAGGGACAGAAGCAGAGGCAGAATCAGAAGGTCGCGAGGTTGTACATTTCGAGTTGTTGAACCACTTACCTGGGTGCAAAAGACAAGGTCTGGAGAATTTGCGAACGTACAACAGTCGCATTCAAGCAGACGGCCCAAGAAAGCTTGAAAGATGGGAATGGTTGAGTCGAAAGACTTGCAGAGCTTACAGAGCTTTGCAGCTGATGGTTGTGGTGGAAAGGAGGAAGGCGAGCTGGTCTGAGGAAGGGGGCGGCTGCACCTTTGGGAAGGAGAGCTCGACGGCTTCCGAGAAACAAGGTAACTGCCTTCGGTGCCCTACAGCTTCCGTTATGTCAAGCTCCAGCAGCGCCACAATGGGGCCCAATGTCTTGGAAGGTTGAATAGGTGGGGAAAGTGCTTTCAAGCAGAGACTGGATCAGTGTTGTTTATCTCAAAGGCAGCTTAGCTTCGTACCATTCGATTGCAACAGAAGATTTCCTAATGTGTGGACAAAATCATTTTCACGGGACTCGAAAAGCCAGGATCTCCTTGGTGGCCATCAGATAGAATTCAACATCACGAAGAGAGCAAGAGAGAGGGACAGCCAGATTTCTTGTTGGTTGATGTTGACGCATTTCCTGGGGTGTTTGTGATCTACCTGTATGCAGAAAAACCTTCCCTTCCCTAATCGGGCTCACATGACGGGAAAATGCCAAAATCTCTCATGAATGTTGCCCTGCCTGTTTTGAATACATCATTCTCCTCATAGAGTCTCATCGTAGACAGAATGAGTTTCAACACTCTCAGCTGGTGTGTCGAGTGCCATTTCCTCCAAGACTTCCTGGCCAGCATCCATAGAATATAAGTCCTTGCCCTCGTCTCCCTGCTGTGCTCCTTGCCTCTCTCTGGTGTTTTCCTTTCCCTTGAAGGCTAGATTGCAGAATGTCACAAGTAGGCGGTTGGGATCACTCCTGTCTATTCTGGCCTTCACATCGCAAGCGCCGTTACCCTCACCTTTCTCGTTGGTATGACAAGGGCCACGGACTATGATTGTGTTACCTCGAGGCTCGCTCATGGCAACATCCACTGGCTCTGATCTCTCAGCAGCCTCACCAGTGTCTCCCACGTGGCGACCGCGGCGGTTCTTGGTGGATGTATTTCTGTCCTTGTTTCTCATTCCCACGGCATTCTGGATAGGACCAAAATTGGCCTCGGTCTCGTTGACATACTCGAAGAAGTCACGGGCGGCATTCTCTGCGTATTTCTGAGTCAGTGCATACTATCAACGATGAATAGCCGAGGGGAGTGGTCACTCACATGCGCGCTCATACTCCCACGGCTTGGCAAACCAGTCGGGATCGATGTCAGCCCTCGCATTGCCCCAGGTGAGCTCGCTGAGGTTGAATCCCCATCTGGCTGGGTTGTCGGAGACGCCACCGCGCCCGTGCTGATCCCAATGGCGCGTGTAAGCCATGCAAACCGTGTTCACCTGGACAGGCGTGGGGACGGTATTTGCCCAGAACTTGGTATGACAGCGCAAGCGCTCGGCGGCATCTTTCCAGAAGTCGCTAGTCAGGGGTTTCTCCTGCCAGTTCTCGAGCCACTCGTCGCAGCACGTTTCGATGACGTGGGCGACGCGCAGGCAGACCAGCCGCTGGTCGCCGGCAGCCACAGACCTCTTGTGTTCTTCGGGGTCGAGCCGGGCGCCCAGGATGGTCGCCAGCTGTGAGCCTTCTCTTGTGTTGAAGACGTTTTTGGCGTTAGTGAAATGGAAGCCAGGCAGCTTCAGGAGCGTCTGGACCACCATGCGATCGTGTGCAGCGGTCCTCGGGCCCCCTCTAGGAGGCTGCATTGCCGGTGTCGCGGGCGCGTCTTGCCTCTGTACGGGTACGACGCGACGCGTTGAGCGGCGCCGCGTACTTGGGGGAGAAGAGACCATCCTTCGCAGAAGCTTAGTTGGGGGACAATGATGGTACATGAAAGTGGCAACTCACCCTTCGGAGGCATTTTCGCGATCGGGTGTCTGAGGAAGAGCTTGGGGGTCATGCTGGCTGCAGGACGACAGTTTGGTCAGTGGATCGGAGTATTATCAAACCTGGGCTGAAATAAATGTTTGCCCATAGACCACTCAGCGGGAGCGTGCAAGTAACACGTGAAAGTGACCGTTGGCGACGCGCTTTTCACGGAGTCAAAGACGTACCTTGATGCAGTGCCCCTTTCATCGGGGTGAAATGGCGATCTGGAGCGGCAGGCGTTAGCAATGCTGCCAAGTTTTACTGGAAATACGTCTTTTTCCTACCCATCGGATTCTTCCATGGTGCTGGTTCAAAGCTCTGTTGTCACTGTGTTGTGTGTCATCAGGTTGTTTAGGCGTGTGTTGTCGTGCGAGAAAGCGTTGTGAAGGAGTCGCTGATTCCAGGCCTTGAGACTCACATACCTCCTTCGAATATGTTCCATCACTCGTGTTGGCATACACGGTTCTGGCCTATGGCTTCGGGCACTAGTGAAAGAGGCGGGTACGCGAGTCCCTAGGCCACCTCCTTGAACTACATTGACATGTGAGCCTGAAGCCATTCAGAAGCCCCCTCTTGGCTGTTCGCAAGGCCGCCGGGAGAAGTTACGTCCAGGCTCCTATAGACGCTCATATGAGGTCTACATGAAAATTGCGATCTTCTGTTTGTTTCTACTGCTCAGTTTGACCAATATAAAATCGGCCACATCGATTTGTCGAGCACTTGAAAACTTGTGACAGCTCAAGTCGATTTATTTACTCATGCCCTTCTTGTTTCCACATGCTTGATTCGAGTCAGATCCAGTGAACTGTCTTGAACTTAGGGTTAAAGAAAGAAAAAAAAAACACTGCCTTTATTTCCGCGCCTTGACTGAAATAGTAAACTGAGGTACACAATCCAGACTCATGAAACTCGAGGACAGTGACAGTCTCGAAGTTCGACACTGGCTCGTTTGGTCCCTCCAGTACAGATGCGAATATATGTCGTCTGCGAGTGAGCATCATCACCACTTGTAAATGTGGAACTCTTGGTCACTGCTGAAGCTCTGTGCTTACACTTCATGACTGCGTCCGTGACTTTCTGCGAAACCCGCATCTAGTAGTGACAAATGTTTGCCAGTGAATTTGCCCTGCGGTAGGGGGATGGTGACTTTCGGAACCCGTGTTCGTCAGTCTGCTCTACTGGGAAGCTTGCGTATTTAAGCCGTCAATTTGTGGGATCCCCAAGTAAACGCAAGAACTATATCAGACTATCTCCATCAACAGAACATAGCTTCGTCAGACTTCTTCGACAGACCCATACAGCCCAGCCGATCTCTTTAGGAACTTCGATCGGCGTCACAGCCAAAAAGATCAAATATTCACATTCCTCACCAGGCGTTCATACTCTCTTATATCGAGTCTTTTGGTCCCTCTGGTATGTTTGACGATTTCTTCAATGGATACACCAGCCTTAGATTCCATTTGTTGCATCGATGGACAATGATGGCTTGAACACAGAGGACATTTGTCAAACACTAGCCGCAGCTTATCACATGCATGTGTTGACTTTGAAAAAGCAGAGCGTGCAAGCCCAAAGGACCTCATCCATCACTTGACTGTTCTTGCGCTGTCTCTCGAACGTCATGCAGCTTCTATTGAGTATCCTGTGGCTCTTCCTCGTCGTCGCAGCGACCCGTAACACGGAAAACACAGAAAATAGCACGGGCTTGGACTCAATACGCAATGGAGTTTATTGGAACCACCAACCTGTCACTGGTCACGACGATCAGTGCACGTCTAGCACCCACCAACATAATGCAACCTCGGCCATGTGCGACCCCAGCACAGTTGTGAGCCTCTCGGATCCGCGTTGCCGACTTGGAACAGCAAGTCTTGTAGATGACTGCCACTCACTTATCAAGGACCTTGAGGACTTGGACGGTGGTGGGTTTTGGGGGTTCTCGAGTGAATCTACTATCGTTGTCGCCAGCCACGGAACCTGCAGCTTCAGTGTCACAGTCGAAAACAATGTCGGGCTGTTTAATATCGGCACAAAGGATGTGATCAACCTCAGTAAGTCACTTGAGAAGGAATACTCCTGCCTGGGCCTGGATCTTTTTCTTACAGGGGGCGGACGTCTTTCCTATCTTAGGCTGTGTTGTCATGCCGGGAGCTAAGGCTATCCCATTGTCTGGGATGCTCTCTTGCTTGCTCATTTTGGCTATGGACTCGTGTATTGTGATAAGCTTGCTGACAGTTTTCAAGTCAATATAGCCTTACCTCTCCAGCAAGACTGCAACGGGAAAGCGATGGTGGCGGTGTCAGGTGCAACGTCGTGCAAATACAAGTACGAAGACGTCGAGACTGTATGGCTGCTCGGCGGTCCTAGCCAGATCTGTGACGGTGGAAGCGGATAGATATGGTATTTGCTTTTTCGGCATGGATGGGATTCGATCGCAGGGTAACAGTCGGCCGGAGGATGCGTAGGAGGAGCTCTGACTCCTGACAATTTTCTAGCTACATACGGGGCATTCCCCTAATCTGCTCGCGGTGAGATTCCCGATCTTCGACCGACCTGTTCGCAGGCTAGTACTGTTAGGTAGGCTATGAAATCAAAAGCAAACCCAATATCACACCATCCTACGCTCTCTGTTGTCTGCCTTTTCAGCCAACCATAAATAGCATCTTTGTCAGCGCCATTCTCTGCTTTGGGGGATTCCGTCCCTATGAAAGGGTGTGAGGTTACTGCAGGAGAGAAGCCTACCTAGGCATAAATGCCCTGCTATTACAGGGCCCTGTCGTGCTCGGCGCCAAGAAATGATTAACGGGCCCCTGTGCTGCCAAAAGGGGCCAAGTGAGATCCAGGCCTGGCTGTAGATGGCGTTGCATCCGGTGGCTAAAATCCACGCCCGGAGAGCGCGAATCGCGCTTGAATCCTTCCGCCGTCAACTCTAATCCTGACAATTATCATGCGGCCGATGCCGATAACCCACATGAACTCGCACGTCCGGTAGATGGCATCTTCTTCACATGACTGACAGTTCATACTGCATCATTTCTGACCTGAATCAATCTGCCGCCCGCACAGGATATCCATATGCTCGAGCTTGGCACGGCTCTGAGGCTCATCCTGTTGCTTTACATTGTCCTTCTGGGGGCCTTTTGAGGCTCGCCCCCCTGAACAGGCTGAGATAGCTCCACGGGTCACAGCCAGAGGGCCTCGCGACGCCTGGCTGCTCACCATAAAGATGGCACCGCACGAAAGCTCGGACGACCTGCCGGTCATGCTGCGCGAGAGGCAGAGGCAGGGTCCATCAACCTTTCAATGGAACACCTATTTGCCAACGATTAAACGGCTCTACATGGATGAGGATAGGACGCTGAAGGAAGTGGTGAGAATAATGAGGCTAGAACATGGCTTCATTGCGTCGTATGATACTCCAATTTCTCCAATTATTACCGCAGTCCCAGTTCCTGACTATCCGGTGACTCAAGAGAAAAGATGTACAAGACCCGGCTTATCTCGTGGGGCTTCCGGAAGAACATCAGGTTGAGAGCAGGGCGGGACGACCACGTCGTCCAGAAGCTCGCCGCGCCAGCCGGCAGCACCCACGCCGCATCCTACCACCCGGTGACTAGCCGCACCGTCCGGCTATCGAACGGCCTCGTCGTCGACGCCGATCGCTTGGCGGAGCACGTGCGGCGCAAGAAGTACCGGACCAAGGGCGGCTACTCACCGCCCATGGCCGTCCAGCCGCCCGACTCGTACTGCGTCTTCGAGACGGTGTTCGCGTCCACCCAGGCGTACATCCTGGGCCGCTTCCAGGGCGTCATAACCACGCCCGATGCCCTAGACAAGGTGCGCGAGGCGGACCTGCTGGTGACCCGATGGGTGAGCTACAGCTCGGCCATCAGGACCACCACCCTGGAGCGGCCACTTCTGAAGAGGTCGGCCGCCGTGGAGAAGCAGATGTTCAACGACGCGCTGGTGCTGATGCGGCGTGCGCCGCAGGAGCTCGGGGCCCTGATCCGGCACCAGCCGGCCAATGTCACCGGCTACATATTCTTTTTCCTGATGATCAGCACCCGGAGGAATATCTTCCCGGATGCCCCGATGGCGAAACAGTTCTCGGCCGTCGTGAAGGCACTGATGAGGTACATGGCTGTGGCCTTCTCCAGCGACGACGTCGAGTTGCCCCTGCCTTTACGACAGCTGCTCCGAAACATAGCTAGCATCGAGGACGAGTATCTACTTAACAGGCTCGCCGTTCAAGCATGGAAACTCAACTGCAAGACGTGGGAGTCCCTGCTGGGCGGTCGGGGTGGTAGCAAGACCCTAATTAACGACTGGCTGTCCTTCCAATACGCCGGGGAATCCAACGAGCTGCCAAAGAACTTTGGCGAGTTCATAGACGAGACGCTGAACCGGGCCGAGCCCAAATACGGCCCGTCGTATGCACAGATTCTCTGGTACTCCGCCCATTACAGATTTACCAAGGACAAGGACGCCGGGCTTGACCCCAACCTCAACGACGATATCACGGAGATTTACAAGAAGGTTCTGCGGGCCGGGCCAAGCCTGGTGTCAAGGGTGAACTCAACCAGGATGCTTGCGGAGGTCAGCAAGACCAAGGGTGATGCAGAGGCAATGGAGAGGTATTTGCGCGACGCGATACATGTACTGCGCACGGAGAGAGGAGAAGACGAGCCGAGTGAGTACTCTACCATGCCCCAATGCCTCGGCAACCCCTGCTCGCGACACTTTGTTAGGACTTCACTTCGTGAAGAACCAATTTTGCTTACTAAATTTGCCACAGTGGTCATACTCTACATGTCGGAGCTCGAAGGCTGGCTAGGAGAGCTGGGGTTGGAAGAGAAGGCGAAAGAAGTGGCCGAGTGGAAGGCGGAGTACCAAAGACAGACCCCACCAAGGGGTCCACCGGAATGAAGAGAAGACAGCGGGATCCTCGAATTGTAGAGTCTAGTCATCGCGGGAGCAACACGTCGCAACGCCTATCCCAACGCCGTTCGCTCCGACAACCTCACAGATCAGTGGTGCGGCAGACGGGACGGCTTCACACCCTCCGGCATTAACGCCCAGTCACAACTTGATGCCAGAAGTTGCCATCAAATGGCCCCCAAGTCAAACGAGAGCCTAAGGTAGCAGGCAGCAACGTGGGTCCTCAACATTTATATACAAAGCAGAGCGGCCATGCTGGGCGACGCAGGGGGGTTTACCGATGCTTATCGGAAGGTGGCACATGTTCACCACATCCTACCACGTCCTACTACGTTCAAGGCAAGCCACGACATACCACAATGCACGATGAAGGACTAGGGGCTAGGGGCCCTGTGCCCAAAGGCATCTCTGTTGTATTGAGGTTCAGCCAAGTCACCCTTTCGTGCAAATCGCCTACCAGTACTACTCGAAATGCTCCATCTTAGAGCCATCTTAGAGCTGTGCTGTCTCGGTATGCTATGTTGCAACCTCAAAAGAAAACCTTCTTGAGTTATATATAGTATATGTATTGTGTTCACGCACACCGCAGGAATGAGAATCGTCCTACCACCGTCACCATTGCTTCTAATTTCGGTTGATCATGAAACAACGCCCAAAAAGACCACATACATGCAGTCCGCGGAATGCGCCGCGGAACGCTATAGACTGAATCAATAGTAAAGCCATCGATTGAGCAATAAGCCGTTGCACCACGTTTAGGGGGTAGCCCGGGGAGACACAAAACGTAGAAAACCGGACCATCTCGGTCGGAGGGTTGCAGCGAGATGTTTCCCAATTATAGCAGTTGGAGGGGTTATTTCGCAGGCGCAAAAGCCACCGGTAGTCTATGCTAACACCTTCCAGAAGGCACGCGTAACAAGGACATCTGAGCCCGCAACTCAAACACATGATGATTTTGAGCAAGGGGTACGGTCAATACTGGGAGCTGACAGAGGAAGAAGACATCACAAAATCAGGGTGTCTAGAGCGAGGACAACAGAAAAACATGTGAATGTCGGCAACCAAAGAACGCGTACAATTGAGCGCAATTACCAGAGTCATCTTGTAACAACTCCCCGCAGTTGCTTCTTGGCGACATCCGCCCAACTCTTTACATTGGGCCGCGGCGGCCCTCTGGACTGAGGGTCAATGGGTGACAACGTCGAGGCGCTCGGGACCAGACTGGACGGATCGTTGCTTTGTCTTCTACTGATCGAATCTCCAGCATCTGGGCCCGAGTCACTGGCCCCTTCCGCAAAATTCTCGAAGGGGACTCCGCTGATCCCAAGACCAGCGCCCGGAACGATCCAGTGGCCATCCGACGACTTTGTATCGTCCCTGCTCATGAGCGGGCTGCCTCCCATTGCTGGACTGGGGGATACTGAGGTATCCTTCGTTCCGACGCTGAAGCGAGACAGCACCGAGCTTGCCATGCTGTGTTGAGTGCTGTCAGTGAGGGAAGAGTCGCGGTTGAGAGTAGGCGTTTGGGCCCGTGAGCGGATGGGAGTGGCTGGGCTGCCGGGCAAGGGAAGTCTGGAGGCCTTCCGTTTAGGCTTCACTCCTGGCTGTGGTGATTTGCTTGGATTGGGGACTCCCCGACTTGTGGGGGTTGCAGCAACCACTCTGGCAAAGGTGAGAGGATGTGCGGAAGGCGTCTTAGGCTGAGCAGTAGCAGCGATGGCAAGTCGCGACTCATTCCCTGATTCTGGCCTGGCCATCTTGCTTTGAGGCGCGGCTGCCGGTTGTTGGCTTGAAAAGGTAGACCGTGACTCCTGTGTTCCTTTCGCGTATCGCAGATTGGGTCGAGGTGCGTTGTTGTCTTGGAATTGCCCCTGATGCCTGGCTGTTTGAGGACGACGGTGTGCTCTATCGCGCTGCATTTCAGCGATCTGGTCCTCAAGCTGTTTCCTCTTTCGTCTCTCGTCCTCAATCAACTTGTTGCTCTTTTCGCACCTCACCATGTCTCCCTGAATTCGCTTTTCGTACTCCCTGACCTTACTAGAGAGTCGGTCATTCTCTTGCTGAAGGTTCTTCATCGCTGTGGCCATCACCCTTTGTCTGTCGTCGAGAAGTTCTGTTACATATCGGCTGCTCTTCTTGCAACAGGGTGAGTGGTATATCTGATCGATACCGCCAAGGCACACAAGCTCCTTGTCAACCAAAGCAGCATCGGGCCGGGATTTTGGCTTAGACGACACCATACGTGACGTCAGCCAGACAATATGCTTCGGTGCGACGGTCGCCTCATGCGGATCCTTGACTTCCTGACTTGCGAGAGCCAATGTTGCCAAACTGTCTTGAAAACGCCCCAATTTCCCAACAGAAGGAACCGAATGTTCATCACAGAGAGCCTGCTCGAACTCAGACATATTCGCGCCGTATAGGATTGCCAAAATATTCAGGAGGACGAGACCCAGGGTATAGATATCTGCAGCTTTCATTGACCACTCATCTTCGGTACTGCTCATTTCTGGGGCTCGCCAATTAGGAGTTCCCAGCGCTCCCAGCGTGTGTGTGTGATCACGTTGATTGACATCTTTGGCTATTCCGAAGTCTGCCAAGTAGACTCGACCGGGGCCCAGGAGGATATTGTGCGGCTTGAGGTCCAGATGCCGTATATGTTGTTTGTGGCAGAAGGCTGTCGCCTGCGAGATGCAGCCTATAATCTGGTGTAAATACTGCTTGTGGCACAGGCCGTGACCAATATCTCCCTTGCCATCAGGCCTGCGTAGATCGAGAGCCTCGAATCGGCTCACTACGTCTTCCCAATTGCACTCTCCATGTTGTAGATCGTCGACCTCGTTGAGGAAGGCAGAGAGGTCGCACACTGCAACCGGCCAGATCAAGAGGTATAGCTCATTGTATTTTATAGAGTAGGTGCCCACCAGTTTGATAATATGGTCATGATCCAGTCGCTCCATGACCTCGGCTTCAGCCCTAAGCATTTTCAACGTCATATCCCGCCTCGGTCTTATCCTCTTTCGTGCTAGGCATACTGGGTATTTGTTGTTGTGGAGCGTGTAGTGGACCTTTTCAACCACCGATATACGGGTTGCACCGAGGTGCTCAATGGTTTTGAAACGGGCGTGTACTTTTGTCTTTGCTTCTGGGTGATCGGCAGTGGTAACATGCTTTCCCCTGTATAGATAAAGACAAATCAGCGATCTGTTGATTGCAACTGGACCTGGAAATCCACCACGAGTGCGAATGACCTTGAGAAGGGGCATGTGATAGTGCTAGGACTGTTGCTTGACTCAAGTATTGTGGACTATATGTTGATCTTACAATCCTGACCAATTTCCGCTTGAGCCTTTCCATTCTTTCAGCGACTGGAGCTCATATTGTTCGACCTGTGGCCGTGACAATTGGTTACTCCCATGATGGGATGTAGGCATGACGGTATGCCAGCCACCAGCGGCGTCGTCCATTGCGATTGTGCTGGACTGTGATTGTTAAAGGGATACCAGGACAACTAGAACACCTTATCCTAGACTCGTGGAATAGCACAGCGTACTTGTTCAACTAAACCAGGTACAGGACAGGTAGTAGAGCAGCGTGTAAGCATTTCAAAGAATAGAGGGGCTCGACATCGTGGACTTTTTTTTTCTCCTCTTGAGGGAGGGGATGCGGCCAGAGCTGCGCCCCATGCACCCAGACAATGCCCGTGTCCTACCCACATACTGCACTGCCCTTGCTAGGTTTCCAATTAGCTGCCGCCATCCCAAGCGCATGGGTTGGCACTTTGGGTTTGGAGCTGATGTGAGATGGCGATGGTGGGGTCGTACAGCTTGGGGAAGCTTCAATGGTGACCCGGGCCGCTGGAGCGCGGGACGGGCAAAGTGGGCTCGACGGTGGGTCTCTATACTGTTTCCGTTAGACGACAGTATTGGCGTGCCTAGCACGCCAGAAGTCTGACCGACAGGTGCTCAGCCTTACTGGAGGAACCAGTCGACGCACCCAGTGTGATACAGACCACAGGTTCCACGAGCTCTGTGTGCCGTCTCTCACATGGACAACGAAGACGGTCTCTTGTCTGCTATATGTCGTTGCATTTTTTGGACGATCCACTCTCAATCTCGAGCTCTGCAACAGTGGGCGACTAGTTTTTCCGCCCTGGGCGCCATGCAATTTCCTTCAAACATCCAACTCTTCGGTAAAGCTTCCAAACGAGGTACTTTTTCATGCCTTCTGCTCAATATTTACCTTGCTATCATCGGCACTCGGCTCGGCGGCGCTTGTTATATCCTACGAGACTAGACCATTGGTTGTATGTCTACGGGGGCCAGGGACCAGAACGGGGATGGCGGTTCACGCTGATTAAATCGTCAGCAGAGCCGCCAGATCTGCCCATAAGACCGCACCCAGGCAATGGGAGACACGTCACTGATGATGGAAGGGGACGAGCGCGCCGTCTGGTGTAAGCCTGAGCCTGTGACGGACGGTCCCAGTTCAGCCGTATCATGCACTACCACCCCAGCCGCAACTCTAACCCATCAGCGTGATACCATCTGTTAGTCGGCCGGCCGCTTCGATGTTGAGTAATCACATTCAATCTTGGCCCAGCGAACACCACGGCCATCCCATGCAGGGGACAAAATCAGCGCTGCCCGTGCTTCACCGCGGAGAAGACGTGCCAGGTGTGTTGTGACATTTTGTCAGGAAGTTAGGACTGCACATGTGGCCTCTTTATTAATCAGCACAACACTTTCTGGCATATTTTGTTTGGAAGGGCGCGCGAGTGGGCGGTGATTGCATTGCTCCCTCAGATCCCGACCCTTCAACAGGCCGTGAGACGGGATACTACTACGACTCGAGCGCCCGGGCATGCTCGAATCTTCTTCTTACTGTCTTCACGGAATCCAATCCATATTGGGAGGAGGGGTAGCGTATACTTCGCTGCGCTTTACGACATATTCTCAGCTCGTAGATACTCCTGCAGCCCATCCCCTAGACCATAGCACGGTCCGTATCGATTCTCACCACGCCACGAAGTCATCACTCTCTACACAGGAAGAAGTCTTTGTGTAACCTCAAAATTCCACAATATTCCTTGTAGAGTGCCCATTCGGTAACGACGGACGGACCAGCCCCTTCTCCTTCCAGCCGGCCAGCCAGCCAGTCAGGCTGGGTGCTTGGTTGTCTCACAACAGGCATCCCAAACCATATTTCACTCCGCAAACTCGAGGACATACCCGTGACCTTTTACATGGTGGAAGATGCGTCACGAGGCCATGCCTTCCGATCTCGCCATTCTCAGCGCAGAGCAGTATTTCGACGGTTCTTTCACTGGCGAGGCCGGCAAAGCGAAGAAGCCCTCTACGTCGCAGCCAAAGACCAGTCCGAGGAAGAGAGCCAAGATATCTCCCCCGGCCGTTGAGACAGAGTCAGCTGAGGATGGGGATGATGATGGTGCAAAGAGGGCTAGGGGTAGGCCCAGGCTGGACACAAAGGATCAGACTGCTGCTGAGGTGGGTCGAAGTTCTTCTGTTTTGTCATCCCGTTTCCTCCCCCGTAGATCAACCTGTTACGTCCTTCTTTCCTACTCGCAATTTTCCTCGCGGCTATTGAGGCATCCTTGACGCGATACTCCACACATTATTCAGTGTCTTCCCCCGCCGGCCCCTATCATCACCCATGCCAGAATCACTTGACGATGAACAGTCAATTTTCCCGCTCATCCGTGAAACGTTCCACGGGAACGACTGACTCCATAGGTGTAGCGCCGACGAACACAAATACGCTTAGCCCAGCGAGCCTACAGAAGTCGAAAAGAAAATGCCATTCAGACCCTCGAGAGACGTGTTCAGGAGCTCGAGGAGAATAACGAGGAGTTGAGTGCCGTGTTCCTGAAGCTCCACGATTCTGCTGTGAACCTAGGTGTGCTAGAGCAGGCCCCTGGTTTTGCCCTTGAACTCCGTGCGGCCACGGAGAAGATCCTTTCGCTCGCAAGAAAGTCCAGTGAAGATGACGGGCAGGACGAGCAGGCCGAGAGCTCTGCAGCGGAAAGGCCTGCCGGACAAACACGCACAGAGCACTCGAGCTCTTCAGATGTAGCCGAAGTACAGCCTACGCGCAACCCAACTGTTCCAATATGGGGAGGCTACATGGTCAACACTGAGCCGCAGGCACCGCCAAGTGGTTCTATGTCCATGCCTTCCAGTAACATGCTGCAAGTGACACAGGCACCGCTTGGTTACGAGATTGTCACCATGCCAACCTTCGAAAACGCCAGCTTTCCCTTCGATCTAAGCCCTGATTCACCGTATCCGAACATCTTCGATCAGGCCTCGACATCCTCGTCCTCCTATCCACTCTCTCCTTACTCTGCGCTGCCGCTTCCGCAGTCAATGGCCTTCAGCGAGTCCACTCTCGGCCGGCGCCTCCAAAGAAGCGCCGTAGAACTGGCACACAGGCTCATCACTATGCCAGACCCACCCAAGCATAGATACGCCGAAGTCTTCGGTTTCTGCATGCTCTTCGAGCCCATCGACAAGATCCGCGAACGACTTGCCAAAGCTCTCGAGCGGACTGCCTCCGAGTCCTTGAACTGGTGGCAGGCGCCCTTCTGGGCGGCAGGCGGCTCCGGCCAGCACCAGCTCCAGCTCCAGCAGGGCAACAATGACCACGGCGGGTCGCCCGTGGGCAACCAGGGCACGACGGACCATATGAAGTATTCCTTCTCCGGCGGGCAGTTCGGCCTGGGGCCGTTTGACGCCAAGGTCGCCGAGACGCGCGACAAGAGGATCGACCCGCGCATGAGGATCCGGCTGCCGGGCTTCGAGGGCGACTTCTACGATCCGGAGGAGGTCGAGCTGTACCTACAGGCCCGCGGCGTGATAATACAGCCCGGGCAGGACTACCTGACGACCGAGGTCGACGTGGCCGCCTTCAGAAACGGCATGATAGCAAGGCAGGGCAGCCAGGGCCAAGCGCCAAAGCAGACGACGACTGGGTTCGGGGACTGGCCGCAGACTCTGGACGAGGCGTTTAACACTCCTGCGCCCGCCGGCCCTTCTCCAGGTGCCAGCTCAGGGATGGCCTCGGCATCGTCGAGCTCGGATCCAAGCTCGTGGCCGATTGCTGACTTTCCTGAGATGTTCAACCCCGCCGCTGCCGGGGCTGGCATCTCAGGGCTTGGTGGCAGCGGCCCGGCAGGGCCTGAGAGCAGCAGGAAGAGACTTGTGACTTTGGATGTGAATGTCTTTATACGAGGTATGACTTCTTCCGTGGTCGCCCAAATTCTTCACGATCTCTTGAAACTTCTTCCCAGGCTGTCGCGATTGGAGACTAATGGTTTTGATCTGTTGCAGAACTCTCTCAGCGCGGAACTTGCCTTGGGCGATCACCTGGCTTCCGTCCCAAAGATGTCGACGCAGCATTCTGGACAGCAACGAAGACCGACGCAGTACTTGGATTTTAGAATTGTTTGCAAGGGCGGCTCTAGTATTGTTATTGCATCAAAAGTGCCAAAGGTTCAGGCTAAGCTTGGTTCATTAAACAGCGAGATGGTCACTTTCGGAGTCATGGTGAATTTCCGTTGATGGTGCTCGACCAAGCGTGTTGATAGTCTGCAGTGAGTAACATAGCCTGCATGGAGCCATCCACGCTGCTAGAATTCTTGCATCCATATCTATATGAAGAATCATGACAATCTCCTCGTACATCACGACCCTGAACGTCGGCCCCATCGAGCATCTCACGTCTCCTGCTCTCATATCTCCCGCTCTCGTGCCTCCTTCCAGAGACGCTTGCGCTCCGCCCGCTCAGCTTCCTCCTTCCTCTCCCGCTTCCTAGTCGCACGCTCCCTCTTCTTCATCCTCGCCCTGTCCTTAGCCTCCACCTCAGCAAGCTTCTTCTCCTCCTCCACAATATCCAGCATCGCCTTCGTCCGCGCCGCCATATCCTCCACCTCATTCGTAAGCGCCTCGCCGACCTGCTTGACAGCCACGTGAATAGACTGCTCGTACGGGTGCCTCTTGACGTCCCCCCGGCCCTCGTCGCCGTACCCACGGAGCTCCACCCCCTCAGCCCGCGCCAGCCGCACGAGCTCCGCCTCCCACCGGTCCTCGTCCTGCGCCTGCGTCGCGTACTCGTCCTGCAGCTCCTGTATGAGCGTGACGCGCCGCTGCCGCGCGTCGCTCTTGCGCTGCAGGAAGCTGCCCAGGAACAGCGACTCGGGCTTGCCGACGCGCAGGAACGTGTGGCCCGCCGTCGCCGCGTCCAGCACGGGCACCTTGCGCACGCCGCCCGACAGCTCGTGGAGCGGCCGGGGGCGCGCCGTCGCCTTGTAGACCGGCTTCTCGCCCGGCGCGCTGACCTTTGTCAGGAGGGGCACCGCCGCCGGCGCCGCCGGCCGCGGAGCCGCGCTGCTGTTGGTGTTGTTCTTGCCATCCTGCTCGGCGTCGAGGGTGCTCGGTCGCGGCGGCGGGAACTTGCTTTGGCGGTCGCGCAGAAATGACACGATCTCGCTGTGCTGCGGCGAGGATGGGTCGTGCGCCCGCGTCAGCAGGGTGATGAAGCGGTAGCCGCTCTGCAGGGCGGACGTGACAAGGCGCGGGGAGGTGTCGGTCTTATTACGGCGGAAGCCGGCGCGGATGAGGTATCGTATGGGATTGATCCATCCCGGACGTGAGGTCAGGTCAGCCGGGAGGGATACGTGTGGCACCTGGCGAAGAAGGGCCCGGTAGAGGGCGAGGCCTGGAAAAAAACAGCACGATCAGTTTTTGAGGTATTAAGCCAGGGAGACGGAGTATGCCTTGGCCTGGGTGGTGTCGCACATGCTGCTCTATGCCGCGAGTCGCGGGCTGGTATGAAGAATGACGGCATTCATTGGACCTGGCGCAGATTCGCCTCGTTCGAAGTGTTTAGTCCATGTGATTTGCGCTGTGTGTTCTGGGTTGCTGATTTGGCGTTGGTGTCGTTGGCCTGAAGAAATCTTTTGGCGAGAATCTCCAGGTCGAGGTCCCTGGTGCTTGGATCACGTGGGTCCCGCGGCATCATCGCGCTGGATAGTCTGGTGGGATGCTTTCCCGGACATCGACGTCAAATGGGGGAGGGTTCGTAGTTAAGATTGAATTAATAGAAGCCCATGTCTACGCCAAGTGCCATCCTAACCTCCTGGAGATGCAGTCATAATAAGAAACCGAGACATTCCCTCATCACGTCATCTGCTCGCCAAAACACCACCGACAACTATCATCGCCGACGGACCGGCTGCAGGGAGGACCCAAGACCATAGTCAAACCAACGATTCCTATCATCTAAACGTATACCTCAAAGGTGCCTGTCTGGAGGGTCTTGATCTACACGTGCCCTCTGTAACAGCTGGATGACTAGGTATGAAAGGTCCCTTGAGGCACTTTAGCAGCACCTTATGCCCTCCGCGTCCGCATGATGACACGTCTCGACAGTAGTCCCATCGTGGTCTACTTGTACATGGCATACTTGGAGCCCTCAGGAGGTTGGGGCAACTTCTTATGTTCGTCCATGTACCTGCAGACAATATAAGGTCAGTACATTGGCACGGCCCCACTTCGATTAATTGTACCTGGATTTTACTGACTTCCTTATCGCAATCAGAGCAGCCTCGAGGCTCAGAGGGTCCTCCTTAGGTCGCGGGTTCTTGGACAGCTCAGTCGCAATGCGCTCCCAGTCACGGAGGATGGCGACGGCGTTCTGGTCGACACGGCCGTCCTGCTGGTTTACGCCGGGAAGGTTGATCTGGCTGACGAAGTGGAAAACGGGAGGCTCCTTGGGATAGTTTGGACCGCACTCCATCTTGAGCTCGTAGATTCGGTTCTCGTGTTGGCCCTGAGGAGGACGGGAGAGGTCAGAATTGATGCCGTCGCGGATGCCGAGACAACTGTCCTGGGAAGTTTACTCACATGGGGAGGTCCCCAGATAGTTCCTCGCCAGTTGGTCATGAAGATGTCTTCGGGGTCTTCCAAGCCATATGAGCAGGCACCTGCAGTAAAATGTATCGTCAGGCGTCATGATCGCCGCGGCTAGAGCGGTGTAGTTGGAGCTGGCGCTGTGTTGGGGGTGGGAGGACTTGCCTGCACCCATGCCCTTCTCGCCCTTCTCGAGCTCGGCGAGGAGCTTAAAGTTACGTGGGACCTGAGCAGCCGACATGGTGATTGTCTGTGCGAGAGGAAGAGGGCGCGCGACAGGAAGCGTTGCGAAGGCTGGCTGTGCGGTGAGAGATAGAGAAAGGAAGTGTCTATGTATGGCTTCAAGTGAAGGCTGGCTGCGATCCAATCCGCGGTTGCAGGTTGCAGTCCAGCTCCAGCGGGGTGCCTCCCTGCCCCCCTGTCGCTGAGTGACGGAGGTGGGGTGTCTCTGTCTCAAACCGCTGGCGGGAGGATGACTCAGCAGGACGCCAGCCAGGCCATGGGCAGGGGTCAGCTCAAGGCAAGCAGGCAAGGCGGGTCGGTTTCCGGAGCCCCTGGCCGCAATCGATCTGGCTTCAGAGAATCAGCGAGTAGCCTGCGGTGCTGTATACGTAACATATTGGACATACGTAACGTCCAGGGCTTCACCCCAGCACAGAGCGAGCCATGATCGCTCGACTTGCGACTCCTTAGAAGGTTCCAATTTTCAGATGACACGCCAACACTCGTTGTTCACTGGGCGTTTATTTGCAGCAGAGGAGACATGAATCTTGATCCCTTCAAAAGACCAACATGTCCGCTCAGCTCCTCGCGACGGAGCTCCACAACCTCATAACTGAGAGCAAGCGAAAACACCAGGACCTTAGACAGGCACGTGGTTCACTTGGAGTGCCATCCCAAGAATTTGGCTAACTGGTCCTGCACAGGCTGCCGAGAAATCCCTCGAGGAACTCAAGAGCCTCCGTGTGACTGAGGCTCAGTTTGGACGTGGTGAGCATCGCAACACCAAGCACTGCACACTGCAGGCGCTCAACTTGCACATGGCCATCCGACTGACTGAATGAATGGTACAGAACTCTCACAAAAGCCCAACTTTGTCAATCCTTTCATAATAGCATGTGGCACCAAGAACGCAAAGTTCACCGGCATAGCCATCGTCTGTCTGCAACGTCTCATCGTCTCCAAGGCCCTGCCACGGTCCAAGCTCAGTCCCGTCCTCGAGGCTCTGAGGGAGGCTACCTCTGCTGGCCTTGATGTTCAGCTCAAGATCCTCCAAGCCTTACCTTCCCTTCTGCAGAATTACTCTACAGATATCAAGGATGATCTCTTGGTGACAGCATTGAACATATGCTTCATTCTCCAGTCCAGCAAAAATGCCATCGTCAACAACACATCAGCCGCAACGCTGCAGCAGCTGGTCGTCACCGTCTTCGACAAGGTTGTCGCAGAGGATAAGATTCCTGACGCTCCTTTCGTCGGAGAAGCCCCGGCAGAGGATGGCGACGTTCAACTGAGGGCAGCGGCACTGGACGCCTTCCGCGTATTCAACGACCTCTGTCTTCTCACGCAATCACAACGTCCCGAGTACCTCAGGTTCCATGGACTTCCGCAGACTTTTGGTCTCGAGCTGATAGAATCCGCCCTGACCAACCACGGTGCCATATTTGCCACCCACCCCGAGCAGGTCCACATTCTACGCACCAAGGTGATGCCGTTCATCATCCAGACTCTCTCCGGGAAGCCACACTTTGCTGCTTCCGTCAGACTCTTTCGCATCTTGTACACACTTCTACGACGTCATGTTGCTTTGATACCTAAGGAGAGTGGGGAAGCTCTGGACATCCTCACCAAGATATTGGACCAAGACACAACCTTGTGGAAGAGATCATTATGCATGGAAGTCTTTCGGGGCATATTCGCTGAGCCGGCTCTGCTTCGACGTATTTTCAGGATGTATGATGCCAAAGAAGGGGAGAAGGATATCCTCAAGACTTTGACTGCAACATTTGTTCGGGTCAGCACTGAAAAGCCGGTTGTGATTGGGCTCGGTCATCAGTCAACAATCCCTGTTGCCAACCCGTATTCCACGTCTGCTGATCAAGCTGTGCTTGATGCTAGCGGCGTGAGTGTTTCAGTGATAGCAGGTGTTGGAGGCGGTGCTCATGACACAGGCATCAGCACGCAATGGAGCTCCATGCGCGTGCCCTGCATCGACCAACTCGATAAGACTGATCCTCCTGCCATACCCGAGTCCTATGTGTATAGCCTGACGCTTGCATGCATCACATCGCTATCCGAAGGTCTAGCCAAATTTATACTGCCTCTGACTGCGCCAAGCGATAGAAGTCGACGGCGTGGCAAGGGCCTGTCAGGTGAAGGTGGCAGCGATGACCGGTCTGAAAGTCCTGCCCCCCGGCCAGGTCTTCTGGAGAGGTCGGCTTCTTTTAGGAAGAATCCGATTTCCGTCAACCCTCTCACTCTTAAGGAGCACCCCTTGTATGCAGACGTCGAAAGTTGTGCAGGCATCATCGATGAATGCTGGCCAGCGATCCTGGCGACATGCTCGGCCTTCCTATACGCAGCACTCGACTCTGAATACTACCATGGTCTAGTCAGGGCTTTCCAGAGGTTTGCTCATGTGGCCGGTCTGCTTCAGCTAGCAACTCCAAGAGACGCCTTCTTGACAACCCTTGGAAAGGCGGCCGTTCCTCCGAATGTTTTCACCGCATGCATAAACTCTGGGCAATCTCGACAATCAGCACCCTCTTCGGCGCCTGAGCCAACGGGGAACAGTATTCTGGGCAATGCTCGGGGTCTCTTGAGTGTGGAAAGCCTCGTCAGTCAGGGTGCGTCAGAGAAACCAAGATCGCAATCTTTTGATGCCAGCGCGTCTGCATTGTGAGTGCCTAAATGTTTTCTTTACGTATCCACTTATGTGTTCGCCCTTGGGAACAATTGACCACAGTTGAGAGTACCCTAGGCGGCGGGGACAGAGAATATGATGTACTGACCGGATGCAGAAACACTCGAAATCTTCTGTGCCTAAGGGCGCTGCTGAATTTGGGCATCGCTTTGGGACCCACGCTGTCGGTGTCGTGGCAAATCATCCTTGAGACACTACAGCAAGCCGATTTCGTTTTGTTCACGACCGGCAAGACTGCTGGAAGGACTCCCACCGCTGCCAAAGGACCTGATCCCAATGCGGATAAAGAGGCCACTGCTCTCCTCGCCAATTTCGGCACCGAGGTTAAGGCCGTCGAGACTGCGGCGTCGAGGTTATTCGAAAGCACGATCGATTTTCCCAACAACGCGTTCTTAGAGGTCGTCAACTCCGTTTGCTCCCTTCTGGAGAAACGGCCAACATCAGAGTTCCCTTTCAATGCGAAAGACACCCGGCCAGAAACAATACCAGAGGGTGAAATTCCATCTAATCTTCCATCGCCAACTTCCCAACACAGGAAAATGCCAGGCATAGGCATGACATCTGGTCCAGTCCAGCCAGATCAGTTCGCATTGGCCAAGCTAGGCGACCTCGCCAGCATCAACCTCGAGAGACTTCTGGTGCATCCGCCTGATGTGTCTGGTTGGAAGCCTTTGGTATCGGAGCTCAACAATGCTCTTAGTGCGACCTCCATATCAGCCCCTGTCAGAACACGGGCTGCAGAGATACTCGTTAGACTAATTTTAGAGGCTGCCAATGCAACGGCATCGCAGGCGGAAGACGTACGTGGAACGATTCAACTACGTCTCCTCGAGGCATTTCGAGATGCGCTTCTTCCGTTACAGTCGGAGGACCGAGACGTCTCAGTCACCAGCCACTCTACAGACATCGAGATTCACAGGGTGGTTCTCGAGGGTCTCAAGACTATTCTGGAAAACTGCGGTGAAAGCCTAACCAATGGCTGGCACCTAACTTTTGAAATCATCGACAGTATCTTCCCGAACAATGTCTCTGGCTCTGATAAGAAGCAAACTGGCACCAAGCTATCGACGAGGTCAATCAAGCTGATTAAGGCATCCTTCGGCTCGCTTCAGCTCATCTGCTCCGATTTCTTGTCTTCACTGCCAAATACGTGTTTCCTGCAACTTGTCGATACCCTCTACAAATTCTGCTCACAGGACGATGATCTCAATGTTGCGCTCACTACCGTTACTTTTTTCTGGGCAATATCAGATTTCCTGTCCGAAAAGAGCAATTCCATGTCCATCACCGAGGACATGGTAGGCGGCGGCAAAGACGAAGCACTGATTGCACTCGCCTCACATCCCGAAAAGGACGGCTCTAGTGCAGCACTCTGGATGCTTCTCCTTCTGCGTCTGACCGCGGTGACGGCGGATCAACGATTGGAGCTCCGAAATAGCGCTATACAAACACTACTTCGCATCATACACGCCTACGGTAGCACTCTAGGACCGCAGGCTTGGTCGATATGTACCAAGTATGTCATCTTCAAATTGCTTTCTTCTATTGAAGAGAGACTGCGAATCGTGAGGAACGAGGACGTCAAAGACGACACAAAACAAGAGTGGAATGAGACTGCCGTCGTTATTGTGCAGGGTGTCTCAAACCTCCTCGCCAACTACTTGGACGTTCTGACATCGTTCCCTGCTTTTACGGCTTTATGGCAAGATTTGATCAATCACTATGCTGCTTTGATTGACTTTAAGGCCCTTGATATCAACAGCGCAACGTTCTCCAGTCTAGGAGACATTCTCTCCAAATGCGAAGAATCATCCAAGTCCAGCTTCGACAAGAAGACCATTGATCTAGTTTGGGACCTCTGGTCACGAGGCATCCCAGCAAGCGAACAGACAGGCGATGGAAACTTCGATGACAAGCAGAAATGCTTGATGTCTTGGGTCGAGGCTTTACTGGAGCTGTACCGTCTCATACAGGCCGATCTCACAGTGGAAAGAGTCAAGCGCATGCTCCGCCTTTTACGAGACGCAATGCAACAAGCCCAGCCTGGGTCGTATGCCAGCGATATTGAGTACTTGACCCCTTTGCAGGGCCGGATATTGGAGGTCTTCAAGATCGTGCGAACAGACATTTCTGGCGTTCCATCAGCGATGATCTCTCAGGTTGCAGACTTCGTTGCGCTTGCTTTTGATGAAGAGAGAGCGCATCAGCCTGCGACGTCGAAACGTACCTACATCGCCATGTCCAAGGAGAGTATGAATATTCTGCATCACCATGTTGTCTCAAACGCGACAGATGCAGACATCTATGTGAGCGGCGCATTTTCGAATGCTTTGACCGCCCTTTCAAAGCCGATCACTCTGAAGTACGATTTCCGAATTGTGACCAAGTCAGAAGAGCCGTGGAAGATGGCGACTACCACTGTCTTGGCTTTGCTTGAATCCACCCTACCGCAAGTGAAGGCAGCCAAGATTTCACAGGCCACAGTACAGGAGATTTGGGATGTGATCGTCAGCATTTCGAACGGGATCATAAAAGCCAATTACAACAATGCCTCTGCGAACTCAGACATTGCAAGAGATCAGGAATTTGACATCGCATCCTTTCGGTCTCTTAAGGAGCTGATCATTCCATCTCTGGGGTCCGAGTCAATATCGGACAAGACGCGTCGAGCATATGCTGAAGGTCTATTCCGCACGTCCATTATACACGCACCGGCACCCTCAGAGGCAGATATTATTTTCGGGAGCAACCATGATAGGACCGAGAGCATGGGTCAGGCGTTGGCGGCGCTCTATAAACCTCGCAACGGACGAACAATTGACCCACGCCCCACACAGCGAAGGGAGATGAGCTATGTGTGTCTAGACGAGCTCTTTGACATCGTTTCATTGCACGACCCGAACGCTGCGGGCCCCGAGATTACCCTGCAGCCACCGACGCCTCGCTTCCCACCACCAGGTGCCTCAGCTGCCGGGCCGCTGGATCCTCTCAAGTCTCCGGTCCCCGACACTACGGGTACCGGTAGCTCTCAAGGCAACGGCAAGGTAGTGAAGGTGAAGGAGCCTTCCCATGAACTTCATGTTCGCCTGGCACGCACAGCAGCGCCGTACCTGATCCTCCGCTGTGCTCTGACCCTGCGTGCGTTCGTGGCCGACCAACCATTGCGCGGACGCATGCCGCAGCCACTGTCGCAGAGACAGGAGCTCGAGCGGATCCTGCGATGCCTCATCGAGCTACAGAGCGAGCCTGAAGCTATCCCTGGCTTCTCTCAAGTAGACAGCGAGCGGGCTAGACACTTATACAGCCTGTACCCACTTTTGGTTAAGGCGGCGACGGTGAACCCCGCGGATGACAAGGTCATTGGGCTGGTCACTACTTCATTGGACGTCGTGGGCCGGGAGTTGGGCCTGGGTGTGTAAGCGTGTAATTGCCCGGATCTTCTTTGCATGCATTTGGCACGGAGTCAGGGATGTGGGAGCACAAGATTTCATAATAGAACCGAACAGCAACGCGTAGAGACCCTATTTCACCCGCGGTGTTTCTTTCCCCTCGGGTGACCAGGCTTAGTAGAAATAATAATTATCATCATCATTATGGGTAGGCCTTCCCAGGTCTATACTGAGAATTAGCAGGCGAGGCGTGGCCGCGCGAGATGAAACCGAGCACGACGCCGGTCAAGAAGGAGGACCACTCGACCTTCTTGCTGCCCTCAGCCACCTGCACACCCCCCTCCAGGTCCTCATAGCTTCGACGATCTCCCCTTCTTCCCAGGGTGAGCCCCCTCCTCGCTCGGCGTGGGGACATTGTCGCTCTGCTCCGCCTTGAGACTGATGGGGTCGCCGAGCTGCGACGGGTTGGCGTCCGGTCCGTGGAGCTTCTTGGCTGCCTTCTCGCGGAGCGTCTCGCCGCCGCCTGTGCTGCTGCTGCTGCCGCTCTGCGACGGTGATGATGTTGACGATGATGACTGGGCCCCGTCTTCGTCAGGCTTGGGGATGTTGTCGCTTGCCTCGGCCTTGAGGCTTATAGGGTCGCCTAGCTGGGATGGGTTTGCGTTGGGGCCGTGGAGGGCCTTGGTGGCTTTCTCGCGGAGCTTCTCCCCCTGGCCTGTGGTTTCGTTGTTGTCTAAGTCGGACTCTGTTGGTGTGAGGTCGCGGAGTGGGTTTCGCTTGGATGCCATGATGTGAGCGGGGATGTGGATATTGATAATAGACTCTACTTAAGCCAGTGCGTGAATTGAAATGCAAACTTACTGGAATTTTACAAATCTTGTACGAGACGATCCTACCGATTACTTATTCGAATCGTCTCCTTTCCATCTAGCTCAATTGTTCAGTCCGCTGCCTCACCTCGGTGTTAGTGAAAGAGTCAATGACCTCACAACAGGACAGCGGGCATCATCATCCAAATTCCATGTGAAGACGGTCGATCGCCTACTAAGCCCCTGCAGGGAGGGAGGAAGGTAGCGTCTTGGGCCCTGAACACCGGGGAAAGGGCGCTATCCCCCAGCTGAGGTGCCGCTAAGCCTTAGTTCGCCCCAGCACCTCGGCTGCTCTGCTGCAGGGAAGCTGCGGCTCTGTCGGCCGTTACAATCCGTTCCGTTTGATTGGGCATGACGGAATGATTCCCTTTAGCGTTTGCCCGACGTCGGCTCGAAAAAGATGGTGCGGCAGGCACCGTTCACTACACACACAGGCAGAGCCCCAGTTGACGTACCGTGGGTGCTGAGGTGTAAGCTCTTCTGCGACGGCTGGCGATCAGCATCAGCTCAAGCTCAGCACACCAACATCCGACCGCGTTAATATCGACTCGACCACCACACAGAGGCTCGGCAGCAGATGAAGCACCGGTGACAATGTCGATGCTCTCCATGCAAAGGGCCCTCGCGCCCGCCATACGGCAAGGCGTTGCCGCCCTGCCTGCACCAGCACACTCGACCCGCGTGCTCGCATCCACGGCTGCGCGCAGCCTCACCACCCACAAGCTCCCGAGCTCCTCCTCGCCCTCCTCCACACCACGAAGCTTCTCCCAGTCCGCGACACATGGCGCTCCCAACCCCTCAATATTAGGCATATCGGGCCCGGGCGGGCCTGGCCTGACCACCTCCTACTTCCAGAAACCATCCCTCCCCGCCAACACCATCATCCGCTTCGTCCCGCAGCAGACTGCCTGGATCGTCGAGCGCATGGGCAAGTTCAACCGCATCCTCGAGCCTGGTCTTGCCATCCTGGTACCATTTATCGACCGTATTGCCTACGTCAAGTCGCTCAAGGAGATCGCCATCGAGATCCCCAGCCAGAGCGCCATTACCGCCGACAATGTCACGCTCGACCTGGACGGTGTCTTGTACACAAGAGTCTTTGATGCCTACAAAGCGAGGTATGTCCAGGATACGGTCTCTCGCATGCTCTGCGCTGGGTATTCCAGGTGTACTGACACAGTGTTTTCTACAGCTACGGAGTCGAAGACGCCGAATACGCCATCTCACAGCTCGCCCAAACCACCATGCGTAGCGAGATCGGCCAGCTGACGCTCGACCACGTCCTTAAGGAGCGCGCCGCCCTCAACACAAACATTACCGCCGCGATCAACGAGGCCGCCCAGGCCTGGGGTGTCACGTGCCTGCGCTACGAGATCCGCGACATTCACGCCCCGGCCGGCGTCGTCGAGGCCATGCACAGGCAGGTCACGGCCGAGCGCAGCAAGCGCGCCGAGATCCTGGAGTCCGAGGGTCAGCGCCAGAGCGCAATCAACATCGCCGAGGGTAAGAAGCAGAGCGTGATCCTGGCCTCCGAGGCGCTGCGGGCCGAGCAGATCAACCGTGCGAGCGGTGAGAGCGAGGCCATCATGCTGAAGGCCAAGGCCACGGCTCAGGGGATCGACGCGGTGGCGAAGAGCATCGAGCAGGGCCGTGAAGCGGCGCAGGGCGCGGTCAGCCTGACGGTTGCCGAGAAGTACGTCGATGCGTTTGGCAAGCTGGCCAAGGAGGGCACTGCTGTCGTGGTGCCTGGCAACGTCGGAGATATCGGCGGCATGATTGCCACGGCGCTGAGCGTGTACGGCAAGGTCGGAGACGCACAGTCCAAAGCCATGGCGAAGAAGGCGCTGGAGCAGGGCCAGATCACCGAGGCCGAGGAGGCGGAGGCCGTCTCTCAGAAGGACAGCATCGTCGCTGACTTCGACAAAGCCGCGAGGAGATAGGATGACCTTTCAGAGCGCCTGGAAAGAGTGGAGGAGATCATTGATGCCGCTCTCGAAGCCCAGAAGCAGAGATTGAAGGATGCCGCCGACGCTGAGTCTGCGTCCTTCATCGGTCAAGGGTTCAGCTGAGGAGTGGGTCCGCATAAGGGAACGAGACGGCTCTCCCGTATAGGTTCTGGTATTCTCCATGTACAACATAGGTCAAAGCGCACGGCAAGCTTTCCATATTCTGTGATGGAAAGGAGTTTTTTTTTCACAGCGGACGGCAAGGGAGAGAAAACAAAAGCGATAGCATTGATGCTGTGTACGTGTGTATTGTGTACTCATAGGCTAGGGGCATCGCGACTCATCGGTCATCATGAATGCCCGAGGACGGGCTTCACAAATTCCACATCTCATGAAACTGTGTTCGGTCATTCGTGGCGTTGTTTTCTCTGGTCGGTGGAGGGACCTTGGTTTCCTTGAATCTATGCACCTATGACCTCCAGTATTGTTGTCGTCTCAGTTTGCTCGCAATGCGAAAGTGACCTTTACTTCCGCAGACGCTCACCAAGAGCCTGGCCCTCTCATTCAAAACCCCGCATGACTCCAGATCTCATGTTCAAGCAGCCCAGGCTTCAGATCATAGACACCGGTGTGGCTTTCATTGTCGGGCTCTTAAAGGGGCGCCATCCCATCTTTCCCAACTTGACTCTTCAAATGTAAACAACAACTTGGGAACCGAGGGGTATCAGAGGTATATTGATGAGTGTAGAAAGAAAAGAGAAAAGAAAAAAGGAGGTGAGCCGCCTCGATTGGTGGCTTTTGTCTGCTTGCAGGGCACAATACTCAAGTAGCACTGATGCTTGATGTCATCAGACCCTCAAGAGGCGAGGACTGCCCACAGCTAGGCGACGGACGAACTCCGGCGCTGTGGAACACAGCTCGGATGTCACTGTTGTTTACGGGTCATAAATTATACCATTAATTAGCGGATGGAATTGAGAAACCTTCGGATTTTCTGCTGACTCGTTCGCTGCCACCAGGGACGAGCGAGATCGAGTGCATTCTGCTCAGACTGCGCGGCTGATCGCACTGTATTATCTCGGGCCTGGTCTCTAGAAACAAAGGTTTTGGTTGAACACTTCTATACCAGACCTAGAGCGCTTGACTCGATGGCTGAAACCTTATATATAAATACATATCCTAACGGGGCTGTAGTGAATATGCTAGGGAGGTCTGCCTCGTGGAGCCCGCCAACCAAGACTTGGCTGAAACAAAATTGAATAGTTACAAGAACAGGGCCGATGAAGAAAGTCTATATACAACTATATATGTGCTTATGTGAATGTCGTCACATGCGCTGGCACTATCTACGTATTTCTCAATAATCAAGCAAGCTACGAAGCACAGATCCAATTATTTACAAACAAACAGACAGACAGCTATTCGCCGATTCAACGCCTTTATAGACCACTCCAAAACGATAGTATGCAGTTTTCCCACGCCATCGCCCTCCTCTCTATGGCCTTGGGAGCCATGGCAGGCTGACAAGCGGACGAGAACCTGTGCAAGTCCGACGTCCTCTCGATCGAGAAGTGCTACACGTCCGGGTGGGAATGCGACCTCGCCGAGGACCTCCCGTGTCAGACGACGTGTGATGTGACCGGCGAGCGCCAGTCAGACAATGATTTCATGAAACCGATCAAGTGCTGTACTCCTTGTACGTGTTTATTTACCCTGTTGGCGAGCTCAGTGCCTGCTGGATGGTGCGCCGTATTCTCCGAACGACTTGCTGATTTGGAATCTTAGGTTCGTAGAGATTAGGGGGAGAGACCTACCGTTGAAATTCAAATTCAAAAAGAATGCGGTCTGTCATGAGAGCCGTCGATAGAGAGAAGGAGCCATGGCACGATGTAGTACGTGGAATGGAATGGCTCAGTGAGGCGTGGTCAAACGGTGGGGAACATTCTGTCGGGATTTGATTGGAACCAGTAGTTTCGTACCTAGCGAGAAATTTCAGGTTTTTCTATCACATTGACCAGGTATTGCCAGTACAGGTGTAGCTTTCGGATTCGTACTGCATGCTGCATGTGGGCTTTTGTGTTCAAGAACTATTACTACACGTGATTTAAGCATCGACGGCAAATGTACAATATACCATTATGATTCCGACGATTACCATTAAGTTTACCCGAATTCCAAACCCAACCATATTGCGCCACAACGCCGTCACTCTCTAACCTTGAACATGCAAACGCTGGACACCCCAAGCCGGCGTGCAGCAGACGCCATCTACAAAAAAGAAAGACCCCGTTACTCGTATACGTAACAGAACTTGCCATCAATAGTAGACAGAAGTTCTCCCAGAGGCACAGTCTCCAAATCAGCCACATACCCAAGGTTCTGCTCCGACAGAAGAGTGCCGTTGCCGTACGGTTCGTAGAGGTTGTTCATGGTCAGCGGGCCGCGCACAGCCGTGGAGACATTCCCAGCGCGGACGTCGGGGTCCTGCATCTGCCACATCCACCAGACGCGGTCGATGTTGGCATGGTGTGACCAGAAGGCCGGGTCTCCGGGGCTGGTGTAGACATCACGGCCCGGGTCGCCGCCCAGTGCGTAGTGGCCGCCACCGTGTACGCCTAGCTCGGGCACGCCTGTGAAGGAAAAGGTGGTTAGACAGTTTTATCTCTTCTTCCCTAGGTGATGACGCTTGTTGTGGTACTCACCCTCTGGGCCCTGCATGATCGTCTCAAAGGTCCAAATGTCTTGCGTGTCTCGAAGGAGCGTCAACACGCTCGAGGTGTTGGCGAAGCGCTGGAGCGCGTAGTCCGTCAAGTCACGCTTGAAGCAGCGAGGGTTGTAGTTGAACTCCCACCCGGAGTCATCCGAGCCATTGATAACCAGAAGACCGTCGGGGCCGAGGTTGACCGTCATGTTGGCAAATGGTCCGCTGGTCACACACCCGCCGCCAGTGCCATGGGGCAGCACTGGAAAGAGATGTCAGCTTTCTGAGTGGTGGCCGTCTGGCAGACAAAGCTCGTGTTAGACTTACCAACCTCCGCAGAGGTACCGTTGTTAGTGATGATGACATCGGAGTCTGTGTAGTTCACATGCGCGCCGTTCCCAGAGAGCGAGGTAGCGGAGCCGTCAAACATTTCTGAGTTTGCGAAGCCTTCCTCGGCGGTCTTTGTCCAGTCCCAGTATGGGATGGAACCCGTATAGTTGCATTCACTTCGCAAGGTCTGCTCCATCTCCCAGATGAACCAGCGGTGCCAGCCGAGGAAGTTGGCCTGTGCGAATCGTCAGAATTTCTCTGCTATGGAGGCATGGATTGGAAGACTTACAGTGTCGTGTATAGTCAGAGTCTGGTTGATGTGGGTGACGATAAAATCGTCGTACCTTGTTTTTGCTCCGGCAGCCAAGTCTGATGGTGTCTTGGCCGGCTTCTCTATTAAGCAATTAAGTGCGTCGGTGTAGGCAATTCGCTCGTCACTGCTCAAGTTCTCCCAAAGCTTCCGCACGGTAATGTTCTCGGGGCTGCAAGTCGACGAGTTTGAGGCTCGTGATTGCGCCACTTCCAGAGCGTATGAGGCAAAATCAGCCTGTGTGGCACTGCTTGGATCGAACGATGTTGACCTCGACGCGGCCTTTTGAACAGGACTGGCATCAGCGAACGTGGCTAGTCCGAGGAGGACGGCTCTGCGAATTAAAGATTGTGACTGCTTGAGATACATCTTGGTGTTCGAACGAGTGCACGGAAAAGATTGGCTAGCCAAATTCAAGGCTGATTAGGTGGGAGGTGTGATTTGGATCTAATGGGAACAGAAGACAAGACCGACTACTGACGGCCAAGTCTTATATGTGCGACAACGATCATACTGTTTAGTTGTCTTCAGATAGTGACAGCCAAATCGAAGACGACATCTCTCAGATATCTCTACCCTGTTTCAAAATGCAAGCCACGCGTTGGTATCCAGAAGCGAGGCATACCGTCGAGGCTGAATGACACTGCTAGTGGACGTCTAGAAGCACCTACCAACCGTGCGGTGTGTTGAGATTCGTAATCACTATGTGGCTCGACATAGGAATCTCCTCGAGTATCCCGGAGTGTAACAGCTCCAAAATGTTCCATTTCTTCTCAGATCCTTGAGAGTATGCAGGCTCGAAGAACGGGCGGGGCTCCGCCTTGACTCGTCCTATTACGACTACTACGACTGGATCTGCACATCTCCTACCCTATTCATAAGGCCGACTTCTTGCAACTGGGTTATGCCTTGCGAGGTCGAGCTGCTAACAGGAATCGTTTCCTGAGAACATGGATGTTCCAAGAATAGAGTTCTAATTAAGCACTCAATTCTTGCTTATTCACTTAAGTTCTATCCGCGAAGAATTCCCTAAAGAATATAGGTAGATAGGGCACGATATTCACAATCCGTGAGTTCATGAACTCTATCTCTGAGGTTAGACGCGAAGTTCAAACACGTTTAGCACTGGGCTGTGCGCGATTAGATTGACTTGCATCCCTGATATACCCACGTCCAAACTGATATACAGGCACGTAAGCTTTATCTTGTGTACCCACTTCCAAATGCCGAGCCATCAAGCCTTTACTATACTGGTGGAGGGCGAATCTCCGACTGTCCCCAGTCTTTCAAGGCTAAGCCACTGTTCATCCCAAACATCCTCACATCCTAAACACAAACAAACAATTAGAGCCACGGCCCGCACCGACCATGTTGCTTGGCACGGCAACCTCCCCCAGCTGCCGGACCAAAGAAGCAGTCTCTGCCCGAATATGTTCCCAAAAATGAATGCCACCAGCGTCTTAAAACAGCGCAACTCAGATCCAAACAGCATCAAACTCAGGGACCCCCATCCTCGGCATCTGTAATTGATAACGGCACTTATGCCGAGCGTGAGCTTATGACCAGTCGCGACGATAAGAGAACACGAGCGCTCAAGGTGCATAGGACCCCCTCTCTACACCTGCAGACACAGACCGCTCGATGCTCCCAACCCCACAGCACGATCCTTCGTGCAACGCGTCCCCTTCAAAGCGCACAAGCGTCGACGAGGTGGGCCAAGAAGGGCACAGGTGCACACGATCGGCAGTACAGGAAACGCGTTGACAGCTCTCGGATGCGACCTTGGTGATTCGTCATCGCGTGTGGTGGGGCAACTCAGGACGGACGGACGACTCTGCCCCTCCCCATCGCGCAGCTGCTTGCGAGTCCCATTCGGCATCTTGTAGGATCGCAATTACAGATTGTCGATCCGGGGGGCCGATAAGTCAAAATAGAAGAAGACTTTGCCCCCCTGTCCGGCCGGGCGTGGGGCATGAAAAGGGAAAGAGAAAGCTGCGAACCCGGGTCCGAGTCAGGCCCGGGTGCATGGAGGGCAGTTCGTTCACACACGTCGGGCCGCAGGACGATGGAAGAGTGAAAATGTTATTCAGGACTCATGGTATTTCCAAGCTAATTTCAAGGCACGCTATTTTGGTAATGTTGCTGCTCTCTTTGGTATCCGGATCCAAACCCCATTCCGAGACATAGAAAACATTAGAGCATGACAGTAAGACAGATACACCCCAACTCCCAGTCATCATCACACATTATGTAGCAGGAGCCGGCTAAGGCTTCGTATTTTCAGGTTTCGTCTCTTCAGACTTCACGGCCTCAGGCTTTGTGGCCTCAGGCTTTGCGGCCTCAGATTTTGCGGCTTGAGCATTTGCCTCTTCAGCAGTCACTGTCTCAGCCTTCGCAACCTCAGTCTTCGGGGACTCAGTCTTTACAATCTCATTGATCAACACCGTCGCAACCGGCTTCGGCAACTGCGGCAGATCTTCCTCCTCGACCTCCTCCTTGATCCGCGGCGTCGCTGTCCCGCTCCCGATCCTCGTCTCGGCATCGCTCGGCCGCCTGGAGCCGTTGAGCGTCTCCTGAGGGCTCTCCTGGACGACGTCGAGCTGCTTGAGGCCGGCGAAGGTGGAGGTGTCCATGCGCGAGTTGCGGTACGAGGAGAGCCGCTTGTCCATGATGCGGGCAATGTTGTTGTCCTGCAGCTGATGGTCCGTCAGAAGCTCCTTGTTCATGTCATAGTGGCGGATGAGCAGGCTGATGAAGAAGGCGACGCCGCTGATGCCCAGGTACACGCTGTAGACGCCGCGGAAGCCGAACACGTAGCCGTCGATGATCTGGTCCTTCTCGGGCGAGGACGGCATGGCCAGCAGCTTCACGATGAACGCCTCGGCGTTCTTGGCGATCTCGGCTCCGCCCGGCACGTCCGTCCATGACAGCTTGAGCGCCATGATGTTCTGGAAGGCCGAGCCACCGATTCCCACGCCGAGCGCGGTGCCGAAGTGTCGCAGGAAGCCGTACATGGCTGCCGCGGCCGCCTCCTCGCCGTCCTTGCAGATGGCCTGCGAGGCAAAGTTCTGGGCGTTGAGGATAGCCCCATGGCCAAAGCCCAGGAGAATCAGTGTGACGACCCAGATTCCAATGGGGGTGTCTTCATCCCACATTGTGGTCAGGCCGCAGCCAATAGTCGTGACAACCCAGCCCGACCAGATGGGCCAGCGGTAGCCGTTCCAGCGGGTGATCAAGACACCAGTGATGATGGACCCGGGCACGAGGGTCAGCATGACCGGGAGGAGGGCCAGGCCAGTGTGAATAGGCGAGTATGCCAGCACCGACATGAAATAAAAGGGAACGTAGTAAAGCTGGCCGAAGAGAACCAGGCCCTGCGCCGCGCTGCAGATAAAAGTCGAGATGGCGCTAACGTTGTAGAACAGCGAATGCTTCAGGAAGGGCTCTTTCGCCATGTATTTCTCCCAGGCCGCGGTACCCAGCAGGCCAATTGCGCCGACGAGCAAAGGTGCGATAGTGGCCGCACTGGACCACTCAAATTGGGTACCACCCCATGAGATCGCTATGAGGAACAACGTCGCGGAGGTCATGAAGATAGCGGAGCCAATCCAGTCGACACGTGCGAGCTTCTGTCCCAGCGTCTCCACCTTCGGCTTCAAAGTGAGAAGGAAGGGGATGGAGATGAGGCCAAAGGCGCAGAAAGGAAACATGACGTAGAATACCCATCGCCAGGTGGTGCCGTCGGCAATTGCTCCACCTAGGACGGGTCCAACGCAGTTGCCCAGCGCCCAGGCTCCTTGGACAGTTCCGTACCACTTGGGTCGCTGTCGGAGAGGAACAATGTCCGTGAAGATTACCAGACTCAGAACGATGATACCTCCACCTCCGATACCCTGGATCGAGCGGCCGCCCAAGAGTGTAGCGATGTCCGGCGCAGTGGCGCAAATGATGGAGCCGATAGTGAACATTATAATAGAGAATATCAGAAGGATCGGTCGGCCGAAGATATCTGATATTGAAGCCAGGAATGGCATGGCCACCGATGTTGACAATAGATAGGCCGTGCCAACCCAGAAGCTCTGAGTGGCAGTTCCTCCAAGGTCTTCCACAATAGCCTGCCGAGGAGGATCAGGTTAGCACAGCTCCGGAATTGATAACCGCCAAGATAATATAGAGGTTGTGGTATCACTTACACTAAGTGAAGTGACAATGATACAGGCGTCGAGTGAAACCATGAAGCTGATGACACTCAGAGCGACCATGATCATTAGTTGGTGAGTTGTTGGCTTCCATTCTGTCTCTTGCCGAAGAGACTCGTCAACCACTTCAAGCTTGGTCTCGGGCTGCTGCTTGCTGTCGCGCTGGAAGAAGCCCATTCTGACCCGTTGCTGAAGTGGAGCTGCAGGAGGGCGCTGTCGGCGGTGGAGATCATTGAGGCTTATAGATGATGAATTCTTAAGATGGATGATTTTCAGACTTTGATATTGCGGTTGATGCTCCGTTGGTACAGAGATGTACTAATGAGCCTTTGTTCCAGAACAGGACGAAATTAGAAGAGCCGGTAGGAAGTATTGGTATGCTGTCTGGTCACAGCGTTGTGAAGGAAGTATAGATGTGCCCGTGGAAAGTAGTGAGCAATGGGGATGGTCAAGTCAGGTAAAAATTGGCAAGACCGAGAATATAAGGTATAGGTCGAGTCTAGAATGGATATCGAAAGATGATCTTACTGTGTGGCGGGGCTCATGGAAGCAAGGTTGGAATGGGCAGAGATCTTACCTGGTCTTATACCAGAGACCATAGGAATCATCTCGGGTGGATTTCACGGCTCCTATGGAGCGATGGAGCAGTATACGTTGGGAGTAAGGAAAGCATTGGCCGTCATCATCAGACAACAGCACCAACAAGGCTGGGGATAGATGGGTGGGTCCTGTGAGAAGGAGCCGACCGCAACATCAGGTTCCTTGGCCCCCCAAAAAAGAAACAACACCAAAATGTTCGGAGCATTTGCAGCCCACTTGGGCGAAAAACAAAGCCTTGCAGCGGCAGCCTCGACTCGGGTAGGGCGAGCGTGTTACCAGCATGGGAGCTTGGCCCTATCTAGATCGAGAACGTCTAAGGCAACAAAGGGCCGATCGTTGATCAACAGCGGGCCGCACGTTTTGAGGCATGGATAGACAACCCAAGCTGGATGTTGGTGACCCAGATCGGAGCTAGCGCCTAATTGAACCAATGGTCTCACATCATTGCCGGCAACAAGTGGGCATGCCGCATTTATTCCTCAAGCCGCAGTAGGCTGACTGCAGGATCCTCCGCTGGGTAAGGCTCAAGGTGTCATCGGGCATGGAGCCCAGCGAGAAGGAAGGAAGCTGCCGCCGTGCCACGCCACGCCAAACCAACGCAGAATGTAACTTTGCACAGCCGCAAGAACACCCACCTGCAGGTTGCAGCACGTGTTTCAGTGAGGTCGTGTCCGGAAGGATGTCTGGTCTTGCCGTCAGACGCGGACGCGTAGAGCGTATTGCTTTTCTGAGGACGGAAAATGTTCGCCCAGAGACCGAGATTGCAGCGGCTTGGGTTTGATCAAGCTTGCGGCACAGCGTGTGTATTTCCCTTCGCTACATGACTTGCTAAGATTGCGAGCTTGGGGATAAATGGTGTGCGGCTGAGCCGGAGGGTGGGACTGGCCAAGCTGTTTGCAGAGCGGTCAAACAACCAACAACACCAAACGGAGCCCAGTTGGTTGGTACAGAATTAGCAGACGGAGTTTTGCCGTTGCCCGGGGAGTGGAGTATGAGGTTCGGAGATGTCAACGTGCAGCAGACTGGAGCCCACCTCCGCTACGCGGGCCGGCAGAGTATGCAACCGCGATTGCGCGAGCCACGAACGATGGGTTAGATTTGGGGGCCAGCGGCGCAGGGCTGTTGCTGTGGCAAAAGGTGGGTGACATCGCCAGAACTGCTGGTTACAGAAATATCCTCTGGATCTGACTGGTGCCATTCCAATTGATGTACGCATGGCGCGAGAAATACTCAGATAAGAGCCGAGGATTACATCGAGAACCCATGACAAGATGGCCAGGCCCAGACTCTCGGGTAAGGAGCAGACTGGGGGTATTGGGCTCACATTTCACAAGGTGGGAACGATATGGACCAAGTAGCGGTTACCCAAAGCTTTGGGTTCAAAGTGGATGACGTGTAGGGGTAACGGGTGGCGGACGGTCTGCCGTGTCGTTGATCAACATGGTGGAGGTTGTTGCCGGGCTGGGTAGTGATGCTGGAACCGCCAGCGCGACAGTAGACCGCTCATCGCCCAGCAACCATGGAAGCCAACAATGGTGTTGGTGCTTTGTTGGTGCTTGGGGTGCTGCAGAACGGCGGATCAGTCGACGATGGAGTCATGTTGCTAGCTTGGTGCGGCACAGCAGCTCCTTCGCTGTCATGTTGATCCACACGTTTGCGCTGTGCCGTTGCAGGGGAAATGAGGTTGTTCCCGAGGGGCGAGGCCATTGCTTGGGAATTCCAGGCCAAGACTACGGCAATAATGACGGTTGAGGATGGCTAGGCATGGCGTGGGATGGGGTCCAAAAGCGAGTGTGGCGTGTATGGGCCGAAGCGACGAAGACGAGAGTGGTGAGGTGAGGTTGACGCTGGAAGGAGAGATGAAGTCTGGAGAGGCGCGGGTGTGAATTGTGAATGGAGGATCTTGCCCGCAACGCGCCGGTGGCTCGAGCTTCACCGACAAGGGTCCAGCTCCTAGCTACCCAGCAGTGCCCAGCGTGCCCAGCTCCAGATCCAGGCGTGTGCCAGGTACGTATCTTGGATCAACTTCCCTGCCATTTGACCCAATCTAGTCCAGCCTGGTCCAGTTTTACGGGCGAGCTGAGCTCCACTTTCAGGGCGGGTTCCCAGTAGCGGACACAGGCAGGACAGGGGACCTGCTCCATCTGGTTCTTGCTGGTCAGCACAGCACAGCACAAAGGGACCGCCTGGAGGGTCAGCCAGCCTTCCTGCCTTGCTCTCTTCCAACCACCTAGACTATGTAGCTATGTAGGTACCAGCCAAAGAGAACAGGTGTCGGCTGTCTCGGCAGCGTGGCGGTGGGTGCTGACTACAGTACTATAGTATAGTATCCATTTGTTGCTCGCTTACCTACCCTACCCAGGCAGAGTTTCACGCCTCCCAAGGTTCCTTGATGACGACTTGCTGCAGAGCGCGCTTAACTAATAGTCGAGCCCACTCGCACACACGCGCACACACACGCACACACCTGCATGCACGTCTCTAAAAATAATCATTCTTGGAACTGACACACGGCACATACCGACATCTGATCTCAGCAGCAGCACCTCGCATCTGCCATCTCCTGTTTCTGGTGCGATGCAACACTTTTCGCCCTGTCTCAGTCTCTCTCTCTCTCTCCCGTGCCTGCACGCGGCCAAAATCTTCAACTCAATACCCACGAGGCTGCCTTGCACACGCCACATGGCCGGCAGCCGGCCATGCATTCCCGAGTGCACCGTCGCGTCCAGTGAGCCAATGGTGTTACAGAAATGCTTCTCGTTGGGCGGTGCCTGACGCCTGATGCCTGGCGCCTTTCATTTCCTGCTTGTTTCTTCCCTTCCACCGCCGAAAACCTCAGTCGATAATCCTCGGCGTTCAATAGATTGATCCAGATCAACCAATACGAAAATGCCAAAAATAAATGGCTTATGTGTTTCAGACTTCAGGTCTCAGAGGAAATAATATCTTCCTCAAGTCCAAGATTAATGGGGAAATGCTGAACCAGAATGCAATTCTAAATGACGGCGAGACCCTGTCCGTCAGCAGTCTCATCTCTGTGGAGCTGTCTTCGGCATTTATTGAACCCTCCTATCAAATGATTGCACCAATATAATATCTCGCAACATCAGAAGCAGTAGATACTTGTAGTGAGTCTCTCGGAGACTGTCCAATATCTTTTCTTACTTGATTCTCAATGTTCTGCAGGGATGCAGGATTTGCACATACCGGTATTCCAATGAGATATGCGATTGCCGTGGTCCGACCTGCTTTCAAGACGGAACAATACAACATAGAGACAGAGGCTCAGTGATATGTCTCAAGCAGCTTAGGGCAGATTTTGCAGAGTGTCAAATCCATCAAAGTACTTGCAAGTTATCGTAGAACTAACTACAGAAGCGAGTGGCAGTAAGAGAGTGACAGAAGAGAAAGAGCGACACCCGATCCAGCGTTTCAATAGTCCAGCTCATTTTTCAGCTTTCCCCACATAGAAGGGGCAGAAGTATTTTTGCCATCAGTATGAATGCGGCACAGCCCAGACTGAGAAAATTGCAAACAGCCTTCATCTCAAGACTGTCAGTCACCCACAAAGGCCGAGCAGTCTGGCATAGCCTGCCTTACCTCGGTGTCTCAACCAATACGGGCAGCCAGGAAGCGCGGTGCATCCACGGCAGCTTCAGTCTGGTATGAGAAGTGGGCCGGCAGGATGACAAGTGTCCCGAAGCACACGGCGTCGGTGGCGGCGCAGTAGACCTCGGTCTTGGACGTCGGGAAGTTCGGGATGCGGCCGGCATTCTGCAGGTTCTTGGTGTACCCGAACAACACGACGCCCTTGATCTGGTCCTGGATAGTTGAGCTCAGTTCTGAGATGGACGATGCCATGACGGCAGTGCCTTGGCTGTTTCCCCCCGGCCCATGTTAGCATCTAGTCGGTGGCTCGATCAAGATCAGCAAGTGATTGTTCCCTCTTACCTGTACCCGCCCGCTACGACGGCCGAGTTGGGGCACTTCGTGTTGGCCAGGGTGAACAGCCTCTTGGCTTCGTTGATAGCGGCCTGGCTGGTCCCCTCGGGGAGCGCGTTGGACGGCAGATCCGCGGTGTACGGTCCACCAACGCCCTGCACCCAGACCTGGGAGGCGCCATACTGGCTCTCGAGGGCGTCCGCGACAGTGGGGCCCGCGCTGCCTCCCTGTTTCTCAAGATCAGACGAAGTGTCTAGGTATTTCCTTGATGGCAAATAGCTTACCATGTTACCAAGCTCGGTGGAGGCACGGGCGAAGATGAAGATGACCCTGGGGCAGGCGGAGCTGCTGCCAGACTCGAGCTCGTTGCGGGTCAAGCCAGTCTGGCGGATCTCGAGGTCGGCGACGCCGGCTTCGACGACAACTTCGACTGGGACGGCGGCGATGAGGTTGGCGCACAGGGAGAGAATGGCGAAGAACTTCATTTTGAGAGTATTTCAACAGCGTTGATAGTCCAACTAAAGTAGTATCTGGAGGAAGAGCGAGTTGGGTAGCTAGCTGGGCTGGGAGCGAGAGAATGAGGCTTCAGAACTGAGCGCGAGCTTGAGTCTGGCAAGCAAAAGACTCCTTATGTTTTGAGAGGGATATCATGAGGCTATTTATCTTTTTTCAGAGTCTCTCATCTTGCTACACCTACGATGCCTCATAACCACTGAATTGGCACTCATGATAGGCGTCTCCAGGTAGTCTGCACCTCGACCTCCTTTGATGACCAGAACACTGGTGATGACCACCACCCATCAAATCGTGTAGATGCTCGTGAGAGTCGTCGGCCAGTCGCATCTACAATCAAGACTAATCGTTGTTGCTCCTGAGTTGGTGGATTGGACGCTCCAAGGAAAGTGCATGTTACACTAGGGCCGACGTTTCGCGACACAACATCGAATTGGGGAATAGTCGGAGGGGCCTCCGCAGTCCACTTGGTTGCAGCCAATACAAGAGCCTCGGGACAAGACTCTCGACAACAAAGCAGAATACAACATCGAATTACAGGAGGAGGGGAATATGCGGCACACGATCTAGAATGCTGCTGGTGGGCTCGGTCGACTCGGTTGTCAACCAATCGTCCGTCGCGATGCCATAACAAGAACCGTTATACCCCAGAAACCTCCACAGCCTCATTGGACGACGATGGATGACACTCAACCTGCCAATGTCTCAGTTTTCAACGCCACGACTAGTCCCGAGATCGTTCACTTGCTTACACGACAGCATACACAGCTTTTCTTCAATTCCAATTCGCCATGACTTCTAGTGGTCTTGGAGACACATGCCTCGAAAAAGTCAGAAATATTGCGTAAAAGCTCCCAAACAGACAGCCTCGGCTTCAATATGTTAATATAACTGGTCCGGCATCACTGCAACGCTCGAGTCCTGTTTTAAGCCGACCGAGGTCCACAATCTACTAGACAGACGAGGGCACATTGACAAAATGGAGAGCAAACCTTCGTTGTTGACTTTAACGGGCATCGAGATCGAGATCCATGCCATCAGTGTGTGTACGGTGGAGGCGCAGCTTTTGCGCTTCTGGCAATGAATCAGCCATAAGCCATGAGTATTGAGTATAGCTCTCCGTATGGCTCCTGGATTTGGGATCCTCGTGAAAGGGGCCAAGTCCAGATAATACAAAATGAGGGCTTGAGAGTCTTAATGCGGGCCTTACTACGACTAGTTATTACAACTCAGGTGTGCTGCCTGGCAATTGTGTTATACATATGAAGGAAGGAACTGCGAGGATAAATAGAGACATATCAACTGGTCGTCTGTCTCTTTCAACTAAACATTTGGCTCTCTGTACACCTTCAAGTAGTATAATTGGTAGTCAAATTCGATTCAGTGACTGAGCAGTCCTGCTGATAAACTGAAAATTCAATCTGAATGATATACATCTCAGTATATGGAATTCAGACTCTGTTCTGGCATTTAACAAGCATGCTGTGGGGTACTTGCCGGCTATCAATTTCGTTCTGGCATTATGAAGCATTGAAAACTCGCCGAATATGGCTAGTCGGAGCTAACACGTTACACAACAGGGGGCTGAGCAAGAAGGAAGAGCCATGGAAGCTATACAACTTTTCTAGAAGTTCTATTGGGTAACTGCAGCGTTGCGCTGCATGTATTCGCATCCGTGCTGCAGTTGAAAAGCGGCACGAAGCGGGCAAGGGCCATTGATTGAACCGCGGTAGCGAGCCGAGGCCTCGGTTGGGATTCGAAGGATCTATCTCCCACGCCTCTACTTAGTTGGTGCTCGGCTCCCATGTGGTGCTGATCAATCCTGCATCACTACCTATGCACGTCAGTAAGCACTTCCAACGACCATATCTGGCACGATCGAATGCCCGTCAGGCTGGCACCGCAGTCTAGGCGAGCGAGACCGAGCATGTACCAACTGTCCAACTAGCCCGGATCTATAGATATCTTTCTCGGAGATAGCTCTAGAATTCTTCCGCACCCATGCCAGCCACTTACCCGCATACCGCCACTTGTTAAAGACAATGCTTCGATCGTTGCGCAAGCCCACTCAAATTGGGCCAAGAATTCTCTCCATTGCGAGCAGTAAGATGATATATCTGCAGCTGTGAGGCACCTGGGGCCATTTCTCCCGCCAGGATGAACCAAGGTCCGTCTCCACAGAACGTGGACCGATGCGACCCTTTTCGCGACCTCTGTTGTATTGTCCCTTTGCTGCCGAAGAATTCCCACGTGTGGCACGTCAGCGTTGCGCCATGTGTGGATGGGCTGGGCCGCTCAATGTGGCCGCCTGGTGAGCGCGTCAAAGGCACCTAGGTGAGGCGCCTTACGGCACTGCATCGAAGCCGAATCATTTGAGCTCATTGTCAAGGCCTTGGCAGCGTCGTCGTGTAAGTTTTCGCCCCAAGGATTTTACAATGCTGATTACTGAGGGACCTTTGTATTCTGATCGACAGTCTCCCGATCTGGAGTGGTCGCCAACGTGATGGCCTTGACCAACACCCCCATGGTTCTTTTTCGTGTGCCTGTGCCCCATGCAGCATCATTAGTGGTGTGTACACCTCGTGTTTACTCAAGCTACAAATTCAGGATTCGTACGCTGTCTACAACATCATGTTCTATGTGTAGATCTTTGGTATTCATCCATACGGGTATGATGATCCTTCAAGAATTTGCCCTCTATGTTGGCTCTATAATTGAAATGAATTCGTCAACCTGCATTTCGCACTTGCATTTCTTGACAGTACTGTTTAAGTATGGCCGATACCACTATTACCATCTCATGATCCTTCCGACGGCCAACGCCAACCATGTTCGCTTTCATCTCAATCAACTCCTCGCATTGGAACCTTCAGACGACTGACTGCCTTGGAAACACTCGTAGAACCAACAAGGTCGCCGCCCACCTGCTCGGCAAATTCAAGTCCATTCTTGACCACGACAACGTCATCATTCCTAGCAAAGACAATTTCCTTTCCGTTGGAACTCACGGAGCATATTACATGGCTAGAACCTGCAAGCCATTCATGCGGTATGAAAAAGTGCCGGGAGTATTTCGTCAAGCTCTCTGTTCCGACACTCTGGACGTCCATGGAACATACCCAGGACTTCTTGTCGATAAATATGAGCCTGCCGTTGGATGTGACGTCCAATATATGACCTCCAAGCTTTGAAAGAGCTGATAATTGATCATTCCATGTTGTGCTAGCACGATCTGCTCCAGTCAATTCCACTATTGGTGTCCCGCTACTCGTCTCTTGAACCAATGGTCCCTCAGTACACTTTCGTAAATAATTTCCAGTCGTACCGTCATGTTCTCCGTCCACAGAGCAGTCGGCGTCCGAATTCTTGAGTATCTGATACAAAAAGTAGCGCATGGGCGGCATCATGCATCCCCGCTGCCTCAGTATCTCTGCCTGTAATGTTGTAGATAAGGAACGAACGGCATGTAGAGTAGCCCAGAGACAAATTGCGACCTCCGTTCCATCAAAACACACAACAAAAGCGGCGTTTTGCGGGTGCTGAAACCATTTTTGAGTATCTGGATTGCCTTTCTTCTCCGTAGTACCGATGAGGGACCCGTCAAAGCTCCAAAGATGGTCAGAGCCACGCGTCGATAGAATTAATCGGTCATCGCTCTCACAAAGCAACACCTGTTGAATCGAGTCACCGCAAACAAGTCGAGATCGAAATAATTCCGCTTCAGGCGTCCATCCTTGTCGGGGCGACTTTTGAAGCTTCCACGCGATGACGCTGTTGGATATATCGACGCTGAGAAGTACTAATCGCGACGCAGACCACTCTACTAACCGCACTGGAGACTTGTGGCTGTAAAGCTCGTGGCTGATAGTTCCGGTTCTCAGATCATATAACGATACAGAACCATCGTTCTTGCCGACAAAAGCCACAAGACCAGTGGGTGGCACCGCAATGGCAGTGACTTTGGCCCGGGTGTCAGCCACGACGATATCGACAACAGAGCTTGAACTGTCCTCGCTGCTTCCGTCACCAAGTATTCCACCCCAAAGAGCGGTTGGCTCCCAGACATTGCATTGTGATCCGCGGATGTCAGCCAAATGCAGACTGTCGTGGCTAAAGCTGATTTGTCTGATGTACGTATTGTCGGCTTGAACCCGATACAACAGCTTCAAGGTATCAAATTCGTAGATGTGAAGCACGCCGCCTCCCGGGGCGCCGGCTAGAAACCTCCCGTTGGGACTGGCAGCGATCGTAGGACATTGCGCTCGGCAGCTTACGACTTCTTGGTCGTTGAAGGGGTCAAGTATGACTAGCTCTCCATCCAGGTATGATGCGGCGAGCATTTCGACAGCTTGGTTTGGGTTGAAGACTAAAGCGGTGACGGGATGCGTGCTGCTCTCGCCGCTCGCCAGCTTCTTGCCGGTGTCGCCGTAGTAGCTGTCAGCTTCTAGATCCCACAGAATGATCGATTTGCCATTGTACGCCACCGCCAGCATTTGATGTGGTATCGAAATTGAGATCGCAGATGGTTGGCCACGAAGGGGAGTGGAACCATCATCGTCACTCCATGGTCGATCAGTGAGCTCAGATGCTTGATTGACAAGATCCCATGTCCGAAGCTGCCCTTTGGATGTCGCCACAAGAAGGAAGTCGTTATTGAATTCTAGAGCAATAGGCCTCGGGGGAGCAGCAAGGACATGCAGAGGCTGACCAGTGTCAATGTCCCAAATTTTGACCGTCTTCATCCCGCATGAAGCCAGCAATCTTGGACGATGCTTGATGCGGACAAACTTTACAGGCTCTCCATGATTCAGGACCAAGTATTCCTGGGACGTGTTGGCGTAGTATATTGCGATGACTCCGGTGGTAAGACCAACGGCAAAGAAATCTTGCCCGTGACATAGAGCACTGGATTGGCCCTCTCGGAAGGCAACACAAGACAAACGATCGTCCCACTGTTTCGAAGACACACCAACAACAGAAAGCTTCCGACCGGCATTGGATGCCTTGTAGATCTCGGACTCCGACGGGCAAAGTGGTGGAATGAGCGTAAAGATGGCCGGCGAAAAGTCAACAAGTGCAGTCGAGAATTTGGCTGACAGACGGACCAAATCTGTCGCCCAGCCACGTATTCGCTGTATCTCTTTTCCAAGCGGCGACCGTTCTGCGGCTAAAGCCTTCGCGTACTTCTCGAGATGCTTTGCGGCTCGAATCAGGGTAGCAAGCTCACCCGTGCGGGATACGAATTCGATCCAGGAGAGCACATTGCAGCTTAAAAGTTTGTCGACAAGCGGTAGTACATCATGGGCCACAGGGTCCGCTCGTGCTAGATGGTGAGAAAAGGATGAGCAGGCATACGAGGAAAAGCTCGATTTCGTAGTGGTTGATTGGATGTTAGATCCTCGTCGAGTTGTTCGGGGAGGCTTCATCTCATCGCTGGTCAAGTAAGTCAGGCATGTCTTTGCGAGTTGAGTGTGAGCATCGATGCTCCGAACACAGAATTCTGACCCAACCTCCTGGCTCAATAAGAATTCTCTGGCAGTTTCGTGAACCATCTGGACTCTGCCAGACTTATCGACCGTGACGAGTTGGCCGCACAAGGTCGTGATAGTCTCATCCAGCCTAGTGATATCCTCTTTAAGCTGTATCCTGATGGCTCCATCCAGCTCCGCCAGTAGCAGAGGTCGAGTTGCACATGCTGTCCAGGTCAGAATCGCTTTGGCGAGCCGCTTTCCTCGAGAAAGTCGAGACATCGACTGCAAAATCCTGTGGTATAAATCTTCCATCCCTGGAGGCACTTCTTGCAAAATCGAATCGATTTCTTCTTTGCTGTAAGCATTCGATATTTCGCCAAGAACAAGAGTTGTCCACAAAAATGATCCTTGTGCCTTGTCGATGACCTTCTGCACCAAACTCATTCTGTGCTTTTCGCTCTCGACATTGAAGCATCTTGACTTTTCCTCAACCAGGATATTGATATCACGGAGCGTGTCGGCCGAACTTATTCTCTCGGTTGCGACACAGTGTCCGTCGAGACTCATGAAAGACTTGCAGAGATCTGGCGTGTCTCGACTGGTGATCAGGATTTTCAGAGCCACCTTCCGATCAAGTTTTGCGAGCATTGATTCCAGAAATGGTGCATAATTCATGCATTCGTCCATTCCATCGATGACCCAAAAATGTTGGGAGAACTGTGCTTGGAGAATGCAGTTCACAAATAATCTCCGCCAAAGGCTTGCGTCGTTGGCGTCATTTAGATGTTCATCTTGTTCCTGCATCGCCGAGACTTGATCGAGAACGCTGCGATCATTTTGAGCCATTTGAAATGCTAGATGTCGTAAGGCCGTTCCGAGCCGAGATTTTGTTTTGTCTCCGTGACGGAAGAAAAAGTAGCTGCACGGAATTCCCAGTCGCTGCAAGTCGTCGATTATGAAACCTGATAGAACGGATTTTCCAGCCGCAGGCCTGCCACTTATCCATAAAAGATTTGGGTGGCCCGTTTTGGAATCTCTCCAATCCATGTATGACTGTTTTTCAGCTAACCACTCGCACGTTCCACGCATCCGCGCGTCTTCCGCAGCCACCAAATCATCCTCATAAAGTGAAGACACGCTGAGATACTTCTTCAATTTGGTAATTTGAGTTGTTGAATCTGGTTTCAGCGCCAACTGTTCTTTCAGAATGTCATCCACCGTACTAGCCAGGGAGTTGCGGATGATAACATAGTTTGGATCTGTTGGCGAATCGAATTTGCAGATCGAGCGATGGTCCGCATTCATCGGCATCTGTATTTCTTCTTTGTAACCAAGAATGGCGGAGTCCGGATCGACGATGAGTCGACTCATCATGCCAATGTTAAGCTTCTGAGTCTCATAGAAGGACCATAGCTTGATCTCGCCGGAGAAATTGCGAAACTCTTCATTGATACTCTGGATTGCCCCTGAATTCCTATCTAGATCATCGACGTAGGCGCGGGTAGAGCTGGCCATTTGCAGAATATTCTTGAGCAGCTTGGCCGAGTCGGAGCCCCGATGTGGTGTGGCAAGGAAGTACATGCTGTGGAGCCTCTTTGCCAACGACGACATTGAATCATCCTGGCGTGACAGGAGGTATGTCTTCTTGATGACCAAGCCACCCATACTGTGGCCTATCAAGACGATGGGAGTCGCCGCGTTGGATAGATGGGGAGAAGTTACCAGCTCGCCCAAGAGGGATTTACCAAAATGGTGGACGTTGAGACAATTGTCCTTTCCTTTGGCCCAGTCTGAGTTGTATCCGTAACTATGGACTCTGACGTACTGGAACGCTGGATCTTTCGAGAGCCATTCTTGTGGCCAGTAATGGCTGATGGATGACGTTTTGCTCCATGTCTTGCGTGATCCACCGCCCAGTCCGTGGACAAAGACGAAATCGATTCGAGGGTCGGACGGACAGTGGAGCAAGTTCAGCCCCAAGCATCCCTTGGTGTGGTCGACGCCATCGTCAACTATTGTTGTGGCCCTGCTCAAGCGTGAGTCCTCGGACGCAAACGTGCTGCTGGGCTGAAGTGTGTAAGGTGTTGTCGCATCGCTGTCAAATTCGCTGTCTTTGGCACGCCGTAGTATTCTGAAGGACTTGTCGTCAGGTAGCTTATGTAAGCAAGTCGTGCAACACTAATATTGGGGCCTACGAGGGAAAGCAAGGCTCTGTGCTCACCATGTTTATCTGGGCATCTTTTCACCCATCAGGTCGTTTCTCGCGAATTGGGAAGAAGATTTCAAAGTAATGGCGAACAATCCAAGCTTCGAGATTTGGCATTTACCCACCACTTGAAGTCGTGACCATCAGCTCGCAGCACAGCTGAAGACGTCGCCCACCAGGATGACCGAAGGGCCCACCGGCGGCTGGCGAAGGAGCCTGCTGCCAAAAATACCTGCAACTCTACGGCCAGCCTACGCACCAGCTTCCGGACCACATCAGAGGGCGGCGAACATATACGGACCTATTCCGAATTTTGTTTTGATCGGGAACAGAACAAATTGATCAAGAACAGATGCCCGGGTGGTCTACTACGAGGACAGGCACCTCACTTCACTTACCACCCCTCACACTCTCGAACACCACGCCGTATCCGCAACCTCAACAAATCTGCTTTCCGTCGCCTCAAGATGCCGCCTGAGTCTACTCCGGTCATCTCTCCAGGCGAGCACAGCCGCTTCATGCTGCATGCTCTCGAGAAAGCCGCACTTTCACCTCCAGCACCTACCAAGTTTTGCGTTGGAGCTTGCCTTGTCAATGCTGACACGGGCGAGGTCCTCTCTACGGGGTACTCACAAGAGCTCCCTGGAGACCGGCCTGGCGACCCTGGCAGCACTCATGCCGAACATTGCTGCTTCATCAAGATCTCCGAGCAGCACGGCATTCCCGAGGGCCGCATCAGGGATGTCTTGCCGAAGAACACGGTCCTCTACACGACTATGGAACCCTGCAACAGCAGGCTGAGCGGTAACAAGTGCTGTGTTGATCGCATCATCGAACTCAAGGACGCGATTCGGACGGTATATGTTGGCATCCAAGAGCCCGACACTTTCATCGTTGGGAACTCAGGGAGGGACAGGCTTGAGGCCGCTGGAGTGAAAATGGTCATACTAGAAGGCCTGGAGGACCAAATCATGCCAGTCACTATGGCAGGCCACGACCAGAAATAGCTCAACAGTAATTTAGCCTGCCAATTCTCACGCTGGTGCTGCTGCAACACACAGAAAACTGGGTCCCCAGGTCTTCCGCTCTCGCCTAGCCTAGATCCTTCAGGCCCGGCCCGTTTCACTGGCCTAACACAACGGCCCTACGGCGAGAGTGCTAGGGGGTGCAAACGGCTCCGCAAAGGACGTCGCTAAAACGGCGGCGCCCCCAATCTCAGTTACACCACCGAATTCGACCACCTAAATTCCTCAAATCGCGAGGCACTATCCGACTGAGCCAGGTGCTGAAGAAACATACGAACCCGTAGATAATGAATTACGAGAGCTCCGAAGAACTGGACTTCGGCTCAGGAAATTCCGCACTTGATCCAAACTTGATTGCTGGTGAGAGCTACGACACTGGAAACCGCTTAGTGTTACCCAAGAGACGGCTGGCTAATACTGGTGTTGTAGAACTGCCCAATGAATGTAGAGTGGTTTCCGTTGAGCGTCATGGAGTCAGCTTCTGGGCACACACGGGCAAGATCGAAACCGAATTAGTCAATGGAGACCACGCCAGCTTTTTCGTCAAGGCTCTGTCCGGGGAGACAGGCCAGAGGATGGTCCACAGCGAGTTCGAGTCCATGAAAGCCATTTATGCCTTGACGCCGGAATTCGCCCCTAAGCCTATCGCCTGGGGGGCATACAAGTCTGAACCGAATACGTTCTTCTTCCTGTGCGAGTTCCGGGACATGATCGAGGATATGCCTGACCCCACGGCCTTCGCCTCTCGCCTGGCAAGACTACACCAGACCAGCAAGTCGCCAAACGGCAAGTTCGGATTCCACATGACTACCTACAGCGGCAACCAGCCACAGATGACGGATTGGGAAGCGAGCTGGGAAGTCTTCTTTGCTAAAAACTTGAAGTTCGCACTTGACCTTGAGGTAGAAGCCAAGGGCCACGACCCTGAGCTTGACGAACTGGTTCCAGTCCTCTTCGACAAAGTGATACCTCGCCTCCTCCGACCGCTCGAGACTGGCGGAAGATCGGTGAAACCATCTCTGGTCCACGGTGATCTTTGGTACGCGAATTCAGGGATCGACATCGACACAGATCAGCCCCTTGTCTTCGATGCGTGCTGCTTCTATGCACATAATGAATGTCGGTGAATTCGCTCCTACTTACTCCACAGTCCTACAATACTGATTGCGACAAGACGAGTTTGGGCAGTGGATGCCAGTCTGCAACAGGTTCGGAGAAGAGTACCTCGCAGCCTATCACTCTTTCGTGCAAATATCAGCGCCCGAGGAAGACTACAGGGGAAGGCTTGACTTGTACAAATTGTAAGCGAGGCAAATTGACGACACCGCAGAGCGTAGTACTGCTGACACGAAAACAGACGCTTCAACACCCACGTCTCTGCACTGTTCAAAGAGAATCAGACGCTAAGAGAGCAGTGAGTATTCACCAGACAAACTTGAACCATGAAAGCGGTGTGAGCTAATTGTTTTCGAAGAATGCTTGGAGACATGAGAGACCTGGTACTGCGATATGGCCAGTGATACATGCTGCCGTCGACGAAGCCTGAGCACATTACCCGCATGATGGCAAGACTCTCCAGGCGACTGGTATCCCACAGACAACTGAAACACATTGCCGACGTCGCTGGGTCGAAATTCGTGTTGGCGGCAATAATTCGATCCTGAGATAAAAAGATGTCGACGCTAACATTGCAATCACACATGATCACCATCTCCCAGGTTTTAATGGGGAGGTATCCTGTTCCAGTTGTTTTTGGAATGATCTTCATTTTTCTACATGTGAACCCGAGGGTCACGTCCGAAGCTTCTTGGCCAGAGCGCCCTTGCCATGCAAACCATCAACACAGGCCGACCAGCCCAAGAACAACGCCCCGGTTCCCAGCTCAAACACCCAGAGACCAAAACGCCAGAACACCAAACATCAGACCGACAAGTGCGCAGCAAAACATGGCGCCGCGCCTGATAGCAACCTCCTAACACCTATTGTATGATAGACCGCCCGCAGCCCGTTTGCTTCACAAATTCGGGGTCCTGCCCGGGCCAGTGTAGTCCCAAGGAACGTAGACGCTCGCCGCGGGGCTCGGGCGTCGAGCTGCCTCCGCAGACTTTCTCGAGGCGTGCAGCTCGCGCTGTTGCTGAATCAGAGGCCTAGCGTAGAAGGCTGGTTCACGTGTCAGTAACAAACTCCTGCAGATGTAATGATGTCTGGGATGGGGTGGGAATTGCTCACCAAGTCCTGCAGCAGCAGCAACGGAGACAATTCTTGCTGAGAGAGGCAGTGCCTTTAATCTGGATGCCCTGGTGACGGCTGGCTGAATTGAAGGATAGTCGAACTTTGGGAGGGCCGAGCCGTAGGAGTTGGTAGTCATGATGGCTGATTTTTATGCTTTTCTACAGCGGTCAAGTGCCGTAAGGTTTGTCGTGTGTCTATGGGGTCTTTGGAGAAGAGATGGGTGATGATGGTCTGCTTTCCATCCAGCAAGAGCACCACCTTGAGCAGAAATCACTTAAATATCTGAAGACCTGCCCCAGTAATTCACCTGTTCACATGGCTACCTTAATCTGGTCGAGCACGACAACAAGCCCCGTTGGGCTGGTTGGGGCGTGTCACGGAGTGTCTCGCCGGACCCGAATGGCATGATGGTTTACGGCTGCTCATATGTTGGGTGGCATGAGCCCTGACGAGGGTGGAGCCACCGCTGCGCAGACCCGAGGCGGTGCCAAGCCAGCTGTGCGACATCATTTCACCACGCAGATTTGGAAACCCAGATCTTCCCGTCCGCCACACATGCCAGGGCGCGCCTGGGGAATTAGGGAAGAAGGAGGGGCCCGAGGGTTGAGGCTGACCATCTCCGCATTCCTCATTTGATCCAGATCTTCCATGCACGTAAGGGGCGGGGCCTGCCTCTGGTGGATATTAGATGGTGCGAGAAGTGGGATGTTCATCGACACGGGGTATTGGGGTTGGGGGACCATTTCGCGGGGGGTTGCTGGGCCCGGGAATTCCAGGAATTCGCCACGGCGACACTGTAGTCTCCGAGTTATTCTCGTCCATCCTCTCAGAAGGTCAACATTGAGCCGTGTTTGCATTGCAATTATGTCCTTTTTTTTCTTTTGCCCGGAATCATTGCAGTTAACAGTCAACTTGCCCGTTGATTCTTGCTTTTGCTTTCAAGAAATGCCAATTGAAGAAGCCCTTTGGTCCGTGGCAGCGACCATTCAACTGTCGAGCTAAACAACGATTCACTCACTTGATGACTAGCGAAGTGGTCTCAGGGGACGGCCTTCCCTCCGAAACTCGATTGCTTGCTTCGAAATGGGGCAATTCACCTGGATACATCGAGGAAACTGAGACTATTCGTCGACAGGCAGCGGTTTTCTTGTTCGGTGGGAACAGACAGCTGCTTGCATCTCAGACTAACATGGGCTTTGGACATCTGTGAAGAAGATAGACCGCAGTCCGACGATCCTCGCCCCGGTCACTTTTCCTCGCTCACAACTCGCAAGTTCCTACCCATCGCGGTAAAACAGAACAATTTACTGGCCAATACATAGTGTGAAGGAGAGCATTACATACACGGCTCGAAGGTAGTAGTGTTTTGGATGACCCGGACGAACACTCTTAACCGTATGCTGTACGACCATCCTACTGGTAAACAACACCGGAAACGACCCTGCTGAGTGGCTGCCTTGATGCTTCTCAACACTCTCAAAAAGGCAGGCCAGTTGTCAAGTTGAGGTAGCGGGCTCAAGCCACAGACGGCAAGGCCTGGCCTCTATTCAGAGGGTCCCGAGGGTATTGGTACGAAGTCATTATCAAGGTGTCTGGGTGATCCATAATATTGAAACCTCGAGCTTTGCAGCTTCAAATAGCTTCAAAGGTTCGCAGGAAGAAGTCCATAGCGATAAAGTATCCGAGCGGGCCACTTAAAGGCCGAGGTTTAAAACCGATCTTAGGGAGTACTCCAAGCCCTGCCCATCGCGTTGGGGATAGGTATGACAACGGAGGTTTTGAGCATGCGGGTGACGGCTACTTGGAAATATACAGGATGGCGTTTGGCTGCACGTACTGTTGTGTTCCATGTCACCATTATCAGTGGATCTGTGATTCCGGATATCAGCTGCAGAGAACAGGTCAGATTTCAAAGCAGCCCAGCCGCCTTTAGATTGGCTACACGCTTAGCCCTTGTCCCAACGGCTTGTGCTCGAGCTACATCGGGATTTATGTGATGGGCGTGTCAGGGTCTCTGATGTGGCAGGCAGAGGCCGACTCGTCAGTGCGGTGGTCACGGTCACGATCATTGCCGTGGCTGTAGGTTGCGTGGCCACCTGTACGCCTACAAGCATGCCCAATCAAGTCGAAATCCAGGGATGTAAGGGGCAAAGGAGCTCTACAAGCCTCTGCCTCGCCTAAGCTTCCAGAAAATTCCCCGAAATGTCGAGATGTGTTGCTCAGCTGGGGCCAGGGGAACACTGCAAGGCAGGTATCCGCGGCATACGTCAAGCCATGGGTGCCTCTCTCGCCGAACACGTTTTGGGCAATGCAGAGCTAGAGAGACACTCTGGCGGTTGTGCGTGGATGTTGTGTAAAAGGGCAGCTGGGCCCGCTGCGTTCTGCAGACTTGACTTGGCCTTGACTGGCGGGTAGTTGCATCTGCAGACAAACCAGCGCATCGAATCCTGAACACCACGCCTACGATACGAGGAACCCGAGTGGTACTCGGACACGTTTTCTACATTGAACATCGAGGCTTGGCCACTTACACGCCTATATTGTTGCTTGTCTTTTTCCTTTTTCTTGAAATTAACATTTCGTTTTGGAACCCGTCGTTGCCACTCAGAGGGGTGATCGGTTACACCACAACTCGCTCACTCCTGCTTGCTTTTGGGGCAGCCGAGGCCGGATCCAGTATCGACAATGCTTTTCGGCAGCAGTCTTGAAGGATCTGAACTGGCCAAACAACGTTGACAGGCTCGTGCTTGTGTGCAGGAGTTAAGCCCATGCGTCTGCATCTGCATCTGCAACGCTGCCGCCCTACCGCCGTCGCGAACACCAACCAACAGCTGTTGTTGGTCCGACCTTGCATCTCGATATTAAATCACATCACAAGGCCCCATCACCAACTACCACATTGAATCGATTGACAGGACGCTTCTGGCCAGGGTTGTCCGTCCCCACATGCAGGTGAGCTTTGTCCAACCACTCCTGTCGGCAGGCCCAACCAGCCAGTCTGTCTGTCTGTGTGTGTGTGTGTGTGTGTTTGTCACTGTAGTCTCTGTCTATCTGTCTGTGCCTGTTGGTCAGTTTTTGCGTGCAGAGGCGAGCCAAGTGCAGCAAGACGACCAAGCCACACAGCACTTTTCGAGTTGCTCACAGTCTGTTGATGAGCCCAACTGACAGGCTTCTCTATCAGACTTGGACCCAGTCCCAGACCCAGATCCAGACCCATTTTGACCGAGAGGCTCAAGTGAGTGAATGCTTGTGCCAGGACCAGGGCCAGGGTGTCCAGATCCAAGGGTCCACGGAATCGAACTGGAGCTACCCCACAATCCTTGTACTGTGGTAGCCTGCCCGCCTGCGTGCAGTTGAGGTCGCAGTCGCCTGGGCCAGTGGGCAGAGCTCGAGCTCCCAAGAGCTGCTGCATTGGACCTCTGTGCTTGGCGGCCCTAGAAGGGGATCCATTCCACCAGTGCCCACCCATCCCCCCCTCCCGACTTCCGCCCGGCCCAGCCCAATTGTGTGCACATTCGCTGTGTGTGACGAAAGCTCCCTGGAGCCTTGAGCCTTGAGGTACGAGTGCGAGCCTTGGTCGAGCCTTGACAGTCTCTGGCTCGAAACGAACCACTGCTTTCCTCGCCCACGTCTTCCGCCCACCATTCATCGAACCACCGACCAACCCGAACTCTTCCTTTCCATCCCTCGGTTCGAAGTTACCGTCTCATCACTCCCTCTGCATCGGTCGACTGCCTCACGAGCAGTCTCGAGATCTGGATTTGGGTGGTCGCGGCGAGCAACCCGGAGCTTTGGAAGCTCAGCCGTGAAGCCGGCGGCAACGTCCATTGACACTTGGGCCCCTCCAAGATTCGTTGACGACTTGACAGAAGCTCGATTCGCATTCCACGCCACCACTTACACCGAGTACCTCTCGTGCTCGTGCGCGTGCTCGCTTCACCACTGCTGGCGCCCCAACTTCGTCCCATCTCGTCCCAGGCGCCCTCGCCGCCTCGCCTCGCCTCGCCGGCTCACCTTCGATCTCGTGCGACTACACGGTCCGGCCCTCATCCGGCATACGGATTTTCGAATCCACACCTTGACCATACCTCCCTCGCTGTTTCTTGCGTGACCAGCCTGGCAGTTGGCAGCTTGCAGCTTGCAGTTTGATCCCATCTACGTGCACACGATCAACATGGACGACATATCAGATGGGCATCCTTCCTCCGCCGCGGCCATGTCTGCTGCGGCAGCAGCACAGGCTGCCCACTTCCTTGTCCAGAACCTCTCCTCCGTCGACACAATATCTCGCTCCACGTCCCCCGGCGTGCCTATTCTAACCCCAGACGAGGACGACAAGAAGCGGTACCGCCCTCGAACCTTTGCGTACTTCTCTCAGCTGCCTTTCGCCGTAGAAGAAGACCACGAGCGCGACGAAGCCCTGCAAGGCATCCTCAAGAATCTGTACATTGCTGTCAAGGCGGAAGACTTCGCTCCTGGTGCGATGCACTGGACTCGGGAGCTCCAAGGCTGGCTGAACCTCAAGTTCGAGATGGTCCGCGAGCTGCGCGCCACCCTGGCGCAGCTCTACTACCATCTTGCTCTGGCCCCGGGTCTCGACAGCAACACCGCGGATCGATTCACGAAGATGGTCATCACTCTGACAAAGTATGCAACTAGTTTCCTCCCAGCCCCGTTGACCTGTGTGCCTGAGGCTGTTCTGGTTCCCTGCTCACAAGACCTTTTACAGGAAGAAGACCTACTTGAAACCCGGCGACGATCTGTACCTCGACTGGCGGCCACTGTGGAAAGAGTTGAAGGGCCTCGTCTTGCCTTCAGAAAGTGCTGCCCATCAATCAAGTAGGAGGAAAAGTGGAAGACACTTGTTGAGGCTGGCCATGCATGCGCAGACCTACTTCGACCCCAGCGATCGACAAGAGATGCTGGGAGAGTTCCTGCCTCTGTTCAGCACATCCGATCTGTCCTGCGCGTATATTGCGACAGCCGCGATCAATGTGCTGGTTCCTACGGCTCCGTCTTTGCCCTCGCAGCCTCTATCGCAGCCCTCCGACTACCTGCCTACATACTTCCACCTATGGTCGCTTATGACGAGGTCCAAGTCCTTTGACATCTTCTTCTTAGACATCTACTCGCGAATAGCAAGAGACTACCTCAGCTGCACCCATGTGCCATATACGGAGCACGGAATATTCACCAAAGACCAGTCTGACCTCATCTTTACTGCCATCCTGCGCCTCACTGAGGTTCCCGTTGGCCAGGCCAACTCTCCATACACCCCTCTTGACTACTCCATGGGCGCTGCCGTGTTTCTGGAGAGGGACAAGAAAAGGCACCCCGTGCCGCACATTGTTGCTAGATGGATCGTACACTCATTGTCTCCCAAGTGCCTGAAGGCCGAGAGCTCCGTCATGACCAGCCTTGAAGGACTGATAGAGTCCATTGATACCTTTTTCCATCCATCAAATCAAGGCTCATGGACTAACTTCTTGGCGCAATTCGTCTTCTTCCTCACACACGGCTTCGTCTCTCGATGGAACCGTGAGCAGGTCGGTGAGCTTGACACACCGGCTGATCGCAGGATCAACCCGGAGCTCAAGAAGCGCTTCGTCCTCGCCCTCAAAGAAGTCACATTCATGGGACTCTTTGCAAAGAGCATGAAAGCAGTCAGTTACTATACCAGCACACTGCAATGGCTGGCCTACTTGGAACCAGATATCATACTCCCTGGTGCATTACAGAGATTCTACCCAAGTCTGCAGGGACTGGTTGAAGTGCACCGTACAACTTCAAGTCTGAGCGGTCTCATGATGATTGCAAATGTCATGTCGAAGCACAAAGGCTTCAGATGCCATCTCACAGCTCTGTTGGCGTTAGCGCTGCCTGGAATAGACGCCAATGATTTGGGAAAGACACAATATACACTCAGCTTCATCCAGAGTGTCGCATACAGCATCCCATTTGTGCCACTCGTCAAGGAGGACTCGGAAGTGCGAGACACAAGCCTGGCCGTGCAGTGGGTCCAGGGTGAGATGGACCGTATGGAGCGTGACGGCCAGGATGTCCAGATCAACTACCAGGAAGAGTTGTCAGACGAGGATGAGGCCAATATTGTCCGCTCGTCAACAGCTGCCTTTGGAGAGTTCGTTCTCACATTACTTGGCAAAGTCTTCACCCTTTTGGAGAACCTTCCCGACGCCTCGCAGGTTCGCGCAAACTCCCCCGAGGACAATGTCATCAATACGCTACCTGCAGCTCTGACTCCACTATTTGCGTCGTTATCGCCGGAGCTCTTTGACCAGGCTTTGGAAAAGGTGGCAGCTTTTGTGTCGTCACATGTTGTTCATCAGGCCAGAGATGCCATGGCTTGGATCTGCAATGCCCTCTGCAAGGTCCACCCCGAAAAGACTCTTAAAGCATTTATCCCCATGCTCATCGTCAACATTCGTAATGAGATCGATTACAATGGTGCTGCATCAGATCGCAGCAGTGGCACAGATGTGTTGCCACGGGACCGAGCCCTTGTCTGGCATGTGAGCATGCTTAGCATGACTGTTGTCAATGTCGGTGCCGAGGTTCTCAAATACAAATCAGAACTATTTGACATTGCCCAGTACATGCAAGAAAAGTGTCGCGGTATACCTACCATACACATCTCAAATTACATCCACCACTTGCTACTTAACCTGACTCATACCTACTCTGTCGATACCAACCTTTACGAACCAGATGTCATCAAGAGGGGCCTGGATGCGGATGACTGGGGCAAGACCACGTCACCGGCAGACCTTACCATCAAATGGCACCGACCCTCGACAGAGGAAATACAATTCGCCGTCGAGCTTTTCGAATCCCAAGCCCACGGTGCGTCTGAGAGGCTGGAATCCCTGATGAGTGATCAAACCCCTATTAGCCGCAAGGGCAAGAATAAAGAGTGGGGAGACGAGGTATCGAGGCAACTGACACAACTGAGGCTCGTTATCTCTGGAGTATCCGCATTGTTTGACCCTAAACGTGCCGCTGGCGAGGCCAATGGCCAAAGAACAGAGGATGGCAGGATAGAGGCTGATGGCGATACCATCATGGATGAGGACGAGGATCCCCTGGCTGAAGTTGCCGACGATGAAGAACTGAAGCGCCAGTACCGGTATCCTTCTGGTTACATCCTTGACGCGAAGAGCCCGCTATACAGTCGCATCCATGACCTACGGGAGGACGTCGGACGGCTTCTTTCCAGAATCCACGGATTCCTGAACAGCAGTGCCGAGGATGATGTCACCTGCTTCACCGCTCTATATGCCACGTTCCGCACGTGGATCACAGATGTTGGTATTGAAAGGTCTGCCCATCCACTGGAGCGTCTCTCTAGATTATACAAAGCCGACATCACCCCTTTCAAGATCCCTGGATTGCGCAAGGTCTACCCGCGACCCCTCCTGGTTAAGCGAGCAGATGCGTATCAGCTTCAACGAGTCAAATACAACGCATCGTATCGACAGAAGAGCGACCTCGACAAGCGACTTCTTCTTGATCTTGCTGAATCGTGCACATCCTCGTACGCAGACGTGCGAAGAGTTGCACAGGGCGCGCAAGATTCCTCGTTGAAGGTGCTTATCGGCGGGCGCCCCTTGGTGATTCCGGTCATCCTTGAAAAGTACCGCAAGGCGCTTCAAGAGAACGACCACGATCACATCAAAGGTGCCATGTACACTTTGCTCTTCACGTCCTTGACAAAGACTCTGTTGAAAGATTGGCGCTTTGCTCCTGACCTGATGCGGCTGTACATCGAGACGGCTAGCGTCGACAAGGCATCAATACAGCGGCTGCTATCCACTGCGCTCTACCCACTGCTTGACTTCGGTAAGCCTTTTGAACGCATGGTTATAGTAGACCTCAAAGCTGTGGACACTATTAAGCCAGCCGAGGATTGCTCGAAGGTCATACAAACGAGACATGATTTCATTCTTGAGCGTAGGAAGAGGGTTGAGGCCAAGAAAGGCAAGCTGGGTCTCGAGCTCATCGAGAAAGCCAAAGGAGCCCACTGGAAAGTTAGCCTCAAGTGCGCCATCTTCGCCACGAACATGGTTCTTCGTTTCGATACTCTCGCGCCCTCACAGTTCATCGACTTGGTGGTCAATGGGACAAATGATGATCATCCGGGCTTGCGAGCCAACTACCAGCTGGCATTCTCGAACATCTTCTCGAGCATCGATCTGAGAGCCGTCTATGGTCACGAGTACCGGAACTATCTCTTGGAAGAGGACTCGGATAATGTCAAATTGGAAATCGACGTCCCGTCCAATGACCGGGACTGGACTGAAAGTTTTATCAGTTCTTTCGCCAAGCTTGACGATGCCAAGTACTTCGTCGATGCAGACCATCCTGGATGGTTGGTCTGGGGCAAGAAGTTCAATGCCTCCAAAGCTGATCCTGAGCCATTTGTGGCATACGATGACACCGAGAAGAAGGTTCGAGAGCAGGTCGGAAAGCTCTTGACAAAAGATTGGTTCGCGAAGTGCTTCGAATTCATGAAACAAGAGCCGCGAGACGCGAGTGCGGACAAGTTCCGCATGCAGAATGTTATTCTCCTGATGCATGTCTTCGACCTGATCAATTACGGAGTGGCAGCTGCCAAATTTGATGATATCATAGAACTGGTCAAGGATATCTACGGGGATGGGAGCGACAAACACCAACATAGGGCCACAGCAGAGATCCTTGGTGCGATGCTGTCTGGCGGCATCGACGATCCCAGAGAATACCGAGACAAAGTCTGGAGCTTCGCCGGGCCAATGATGTTGAAGATCTTCGAGGACTCTTTGACGCCAGAGAATCTTCAGTACTGGATGACATGTCTCCATTTGACGGTAGACGCCAAGGATCCTCGTCGTTCTCGAGAGATTGTTGAGCACTTGAGCTCATTCAGATTGGACATGTCCTCTAATGCGGCTTTCAAGGAAGCAGCCAAGGTTCAACTCCTCGAGCTCGTCATCAATGACGCGGGCTGGCACTTTCAACTGGAAAAGCCGATTCTGGAAGACTTCTTGGCTCATATCGATCATCCATATAAATCTGTGCGAGAGTCCATTGGTCGAGTCATCGCCACAATCTATCGTACACGATATCACGAGTCGTTCCCCAATGTGACAAAGTTGCTCGAGGCCAACAAGGCGGAGTCCTCTATAGGCATTCGACCTTACCAGCCAACGGCAGAATTCTCTGCAACCATCAAAGAAGTATTTGCCCGCTTGGAGAAATGGCGCCACGAGCGCACTCCAGGACAGCAGGAGCCATCCAGTTACACAAACGGATCAAAGACAGTGCTGACCTGGCTTGACTCGATGCTCAGTTCTCAAGAGTGCACCCAGCTTGTCCCATTCTTCCCAGATCCATTCATCGACCAGCTGCTCCACATGATGGACGTCAAGGAGGACCCGGAGCTGATGCGGCTGGCGTATCACGTATATCGGCACCTGGCCAACATCTCCTTCCGCGAAGGGGAGGATGAAGCTTTCATCAAAGCTCTTATCCGCATAGGAAGGTCTGCTTCTTCGTGGCACCAGCGTCTGCGTGCGCTAGTGAACATGCAAGTCATATACTTCCGGCGACTCTTCCTCACAGCACCCAAACACCGAGAGATGCTGTTCGAAGCTGTTGGGGACATGCTTTCCGATACACAACTAGAGGTCCGGGACTGTGCATCCAACACACTCGCGGGGATGATCAGGTGCTCTCCAGCATCGCTTCGCAACCCGATTATCAAGAGCCTGATTGATAGATTCAAGCAACAGCTCAGAGACAATCCGATGCCGAAGCGCAAGCTCCCCGGAACGGACACACCGGTAGACACCCAGAAGCAGGTGGTACGGCGGCATGCGGCCGTGCTTGGCCTGGGAGCGCTTATTGAAGCGTTCCCCTACGCCACCCCGCCTCCGCCGTGGATGCCGGATGTGCTTGCACACCTTGCCCGAAGGCCGGCGACGGATCCCGGTGTGGTGGGCAAGGCGGCCAAGACCATTTTAGCAGAGTTCAAGAAGACCAGGCAGGACAGCTGGATGGTCGATCAGAAGGTAAGCCTAGCACCGTGGCTCCGCGTTTTGTAGACACATTTTTCAATTTACTGACACGATGTTCCTGTGTAGTACTTCACTCCTGAGCAGCTTGAAGACTTGGAAGGCGTACTTTGGAAAAGCTACTTTGCTTAAGCACATTTCATATCTTCCGACGGGTAAGTTGGAAGAGGTCCGCATGCGTAGAAGCCCACCGTTAGAACCGCTTATGGGCTATGGAGCAGTTGGAGGGTATGCTTCGTCCCACATATGATCAAATACAGACGATCTTGGGGAGGCCATTGGGCCTGGAGAAGAAGAAGGAATCAGGAGGAGCAAACGCGATGAGACCCACGCAATGGCTAGTGCCGTTTCGGGCAGTCAAGTGCGCCGTCATCGACAGCCTGCCCTGCACGAGCGTGGCATCCTGCCTCGTAATATGAACGAGGAGCTGGGACCCAGCCCCATCGCGCTGCGCATCTGCGCACGCGTCACAGCAGGTGGCTGATTACAGGGAATCAAATTCGTCCCCGCAAGGGCGTGTACATGCACAGTCAGCTTCACTTATGTAGAATAATGCATTCATCAGGGCGGTGTGCCGTTTGCAGTGATCGCAGGCTGTTATATCAGTTCATCTGTGCATGCGTTTTTGGGCTGTGGAGCCTGATCTTGTGCCGACCGGCCACGGCGTTTGTTCCTGCTCGGGGTTTGCGGAGTCGTCTTTTATGTCATCCTCTCCTGCCGGTGTTAAGTGTGTTGCTTACGTCCGCCGAGTAGCCAGGTGATCATGCGGACCCGCTGGGAGGACCCAGAGCCACCATGTGGGAAGAGCTTTGCGGATCCGATGGGTTGAAGAAAATGGTTGCAAGAGGGGGATATGGCGACGTAGCATCACACAAGCGGCTTATAAATATAGCAGAGACAGACCACGGAAAGAGCGGGCGTTTCAACACGCGTTGGAAGAGGCGGCCGAGATGGAGGACAACGGTGATTGATGATGATGATGCTGATGATGCTGATTAATTCGGTATGTGTGTCCCATCCTTGGCGCAGGTTCGGCGTTAGGAACTTGGCCTGGATGGTATGTGCTGTCGTCAGCAATGGCTAGCGCCGTGGATACTATATTATGCTGATGGTCACTTTGTTGACGATGGGGTCTCGAGCACGAAGACGTGGTCAGCGTGCTGGGCTGTGTCGGGCAGATTCCGAAGCTGTCTTTGAAGCATAGTCATATTGTGTACTCATATCGTGGAAGTCAATTCGGAACAGGATCTGAGCAGTCAATCAATTGATAACAAGGAGAGAACGACAGCATGCCTCCGCCGCAGGGAACTCCGAATGTCCTCGAAGGACCAGGTGAGTGAGCACTTACACTTCCCCACTCTTCACTGCCGGAATCCTTGAGGAATATACCCATCTTTAAGTTCTAACCTTCACCTTTCCCTTTTAGGAGATTACACCGTCACGAAATCAGTCCACAGCGACACGTACCCAGCAATTGACCCCAGCAAGCTCAGCCCATCCCTCCTGAAAGACCGCGCCGTCTTCATCAGCGGCGCGTCCAGGGGCATAGGCAAAGCCATAGCCACGTCCTTCGCGCGCGGCGGCGCCAGCCAGATCGCCATCGGCGCGCGGTCCAGCAGCTCCCTCGCGCCCGTCGCCGAGGAGCTGAGGGCCGCGGCGCGGGAGGCGGGGCGGGACGCGGAGGCCCTGCGCGTGCTCTGCGTCGAGGTCGAGGTGTCGTCGCCCGAGAGCGTCGCGGCCGCGGCCGCCCTGGTAGCGCGCGAGTTCGGCGGCCGGCTGGACATCGTGGTGCAGAACGCGGCCGTGCTGGGCTCGATGGCCAAGATCGCCGACGCCGACCCGGACGAGTGGTGGCGCGTGTACGCGGTCAACGTGCGCGGCCAGTTCCTCGTCGCCAAGTACTTCCTGCCGCTGATGCTGGGGACGGCCGGCGGGCTCAGGACTTTTGTCACCGTCGCCAGCGTCGGGGCGCACGTTGTCGGCCCGGGCTTCAGCCACTACCAGTCTGGCAAGCTTGCGAACCTGCGCGTCGCTGAGTTTGTGGACAAGGAGTACGCTGAGGAGGGGGTGAGTGCGTGGACTGTGCACCCGGGGAATGTCGTCACGGATATGGTTGGAGGCCCTGATGGCTACATTATGAAGGAGATGGGTCACAGTAAGTCCCTCGTCCTTTTGTTATGAGCTTGGATGTATCTGCTGACGTGGTGGTCTAGTCTTCGTAGATACTCCTCAGATCAGCGCTGACACCATAGTCTATCTGACTGCGACAAAGCGCCAGTGGCTGAGTGGAAGGTACATCAATTGTACGTGGGACATGCCGGAGCTACTAGCGCAGGAGGACGACATTGTAAAGGGAGATAAACTAAAGGTACGACTAGTCATTTGAAGGATCACTGGTTGTAGTCTAGTAGAGAGTGCCTCAGGAACCATAGAATAGAAACATCCTAGCTTCAAGCTGTTCCAGTTTCTCTACAGTATGACTGTGAATACAGTCCACTGTATGCTATCGTTTCATCGATGCTACTTTGCTTCGCGTGCGGCTCACAGGCTCAATCGCTGCAATGATCAGGTTTACGGGGAATTATACGGTGCGTTCTTGAATTGAAGGACTTGTTCTATTAGTTCCTTGTGAGACTAACTGAGCGAAGTCGTCAGCATACAAGACATGTAGCTATTGCAAGCATTCTCTCAGTGGTTTGGCTTGGATGCTTGAATGCCGGCTTTCCAGAAGAGCAAAAACTTCGCTTCACGAGGACTTCGATGAGCTCCTCGGGCTGCTCACCGTGGACTTCTAAGGTCCGCTGAGGGACATAAGATTTTGGTTGTGGTGATGACCTTGTGGACCCGGCAGTATTGTTTCTCACCAATATCGTGCATACGATGACAGAGTAGCATAGAAGTTGTAAAAGACACAGATCGGCAGTGGGCTTCATTTGGGTAGCCAACTTCAAAATCGTGTATAGGACAAACAGGATGAGGGGCATATCATTCAGATGTATGAAGTAGTCATCATCGAGGTAGGCATAGAATAGGAGGGGAAAAGTAGACGAAATAGGCTGAGGCCAAACACGATACTACTGCTTTGAGTTTTGATATAGTCTTGATTGATGGTGATTGGCGGTAGTCAATTATATGACGTTGATTTTTCCTCCGGGCCCAATCAGCATTGTGTTCCACAAGCAATTCCCAAAGGAGAACTCTCGCACCGAAAGAGAAGCACGCGTTTGATCTCCATGCCACTGAGTCATTTGTAGTGAATAAGCAATTACGCTTTTGGACAAGGCTCAAGGTTGCGTCACAAGCCGTGGCTGAAGCTATCACGTCACTAGACATTGTTTCTCTTTGGGGAATAGTTAGAGGCTTGCTCGTCCTATCTTGACATATAGGAATCACTTAATGATGTCAGTCTATATTCTCGTGATCATTTTTCTGCACCCAATCGTCCGAGGATTTGACTTACCTCACCGCCGGGTTCGTCCGTGTTGTGACAGTGACTAAATCCATCCACGAGAAGAGCCTCGCAAAACGAATGTCTGCATGAGTCCGAGTGGGAGGGCAGGCTTGTAGAAGCTACATATGCTGATGAGATCTGGACCCGGAAATGGTAAAGGCGCAAGCACACTTTAGAGACGCATGTAATCAACGCGAAGGCGCACTGTTGCCCAGTAAGAGTTGAAACTTCGACAAATCTAGCCTGAATTGAAGAGGGCCCGCCTCCTCGTTGGGCTCACTGAGGCCATGTGGCGTCAGCTGCATGATATACTACTGCAGTCTTGAACCCGGTCGGAATATCAAGCCCAGAAAAAAGGGTCCTGTGACCAAATGTGGTCTGCAGGATCCTCCCAGCGTTACATTCGGCGGGTCGGCTCAGCCCTACAAAGTCTTGGATAACCTTCACCGATGAATAAACAGCGGAGCCGCGGACCGCAGTCTTGTTGCCTGGGCGTTTCGGCAAGAAACCTGTCAGAAACAGAATATATTCCCCAGTATTAGTCAAAAGGACCTGGCTCTCGTCACCGAAATTGCTACCTTCATCCTTTGGAATCATCGACTGACTCGGTAATTCCAGCCCCCAACATCTTACTAAGTGGCACTCCTGGCTTGATAAACCCCCACACCCCCCAGAGCCTCAGCCCTATCGACACCAATCCGTGGGTTCGGTATCAGATCTCAGCCGACGGGTAACTGCCCCACCGAGAGCCAGGACCCTGTAACGTCAGCGAGACCAACGCCCAGTCTTGGCTAAGCCGGGCCGCCTGGTAATCATCAGGAACACTCTTTCCCGTCGGTGGCAACGCCCTAAATCGTCACGACACAAGACAAACGCAACCAAGCAGAGAAGCACAGCCGAACATGTGAGCTCATCCTTATCCCGGTGGGACCGGCTCCTATTTCGTAAGCGTTCACGTAAGCACAAGGCAGAAGGTGCGGGTTCTATGCCCCGATGATGGGTGTAGGTACTGTTGGTTCATGAGTGCAGGATGGACCAATCGCACCCGAGTCGGACTGGATGGCTCTTTACCGAATGTGAACATCTTGACATGAAGTTGGTGGGTGTGCCAACGAGTATATAGAGGCGGGACGCCAGCTTGGGATCAGAATGGGTAGCACGCAAGCATCATACTTTGTCTTGGGAATCTTGCAAGAACCAGTTGTCAACAGTCACTACTGATATCCACCTTCCAAACAACTCTCAGTTCTTCACTATTCAAGAGAAAAGACTCGTTACACCTCAATTCTTCGAGAACAGCTTCTAGTGACACACACGATGGTCTCTTTCAACGTTCCATCTCTCGTCATGTGGCGAGATCTGACACCCTACCCCGGACGCCTCCTCCAATCGTCAGCAGACTCTCCCCACGTCCTAATTGTAGGCGCAGGTGTGACTGGTCTCGTGACCGCCTGGGTCCTCCTAGATAAGGGGTACAAGGTGACTATTGTCTCCAAAGACTGGGCCAACTTTACCCCAACCAACCGTCTCACAGCTCAGATTGCTGGTGCACTTTGGGAGTACCCTCCCGCAGTCTGCGGAGCCCACACAGACCGGATCTCACTTTCCAACTCGAAGCGATGGTGCATGACAGCCTATCATGCTTGGGACGCCATTGCCTCGGTGCCAGGACTGAGTCGTGCTTCGGGGGTGAGGATGATGCCTTCAGACTTCTTTTTCCCAACACCTGTCGAGAAGGACCCAGCACAATTCTCCAAGATGGCTGAGATCATCTCGAGCGGCGTGAAGGGTTTCCGACAAGACACCAAGTTGATGGAGCAGCGAAACGTCAACCCAAGCTACGGTGCCGTGGACGCGTATGAATTGCTCGCTCCCATCATCGACACAGACCAAGCCATGATGTGGCTTATGAGCCTCGTCCACGGCAAGGGCGCCACCACCGTGACGGAAACGATCACCGGTGACCTGCTTGATCAAGAAGAAACCCTCCGCGCGCGGTTCGGCGTCGATGCCATTGTCAACGCGACTGGTCTTGCTGGCACTGAAGTTGCTGGCGACCCATCATGCTACCCAATTCGTGGAGCTTTAATCCGCGTGATAAACGACGGCAAAGACTTCCCCAAGGTTGAGGCTGCTTTGACAATCACCGCTGACGCGGTTCACGACTCCAATGAGATAGTGTTCCTGGTGCCCCGCAACGACAATATCCTGCTGATCGGCGGCATCGCCCAGCCACACGAGTCGAACTTGGACCTCACGCTCGACACTCCCATCGTCAAGCGCATGCGCAAGCGTTGCGAGGCCTTCCTCCCAGGTCTCAAGGACGCGCGTGTCGATTCCACGTACCCCCTGGCTCAGGGTCTCCGGCCGTTCAGGCAAAAGAACGTGCGGGTTGAGAGGGAGCTCCGAAACGTCCCTGGTACGGATAAGCCGAGTAGAATTGTGCATTCGTATGGACAAGGAGGTGCTGGGTGGAGTCTTTCTTTTGGCTGTGCTGGAGATGTTGCGAACCTGCTGGAAGAGGCGATGTCCGACTTTGCACCGACTCCTATGGAGTTTGACCACTCATACTCTGATGGGAATGAGTCGCATGGCACAACTAGTTCTTTCATTTCTGTCAGTATGAAGACTCCCGAGTGAGGGGTGGTAGCATGGCCGGTGCTCCTATTTTCTTGTTAAGCGAGCGGGTATAAAAGGCCTCGGAGTTTTCTTTCTTTCATTATAGGCATTGCACACAATATACATAGCTTTTCTGGCTTTTACATTGATAAGGGAGACCAAAAGAAGAGATTCATCACTCACCATCATTCCAGATGCTTACCAATGGTCTGAAATACACAAGCACTAGCCGAGACCACATCACGGTTCTTGATGTGGGAACAACAGATTTCTGTCTGCCAATTCACCTGTGGGTTTGCTGAAGTAGCTGCTGTCTTATCATATCTGGAGCTTTTCGCATATACCGTGAATCCACAGCGCGAATCTTGAAATTGCCCTCGACGTCTCCTCGGCAAAACTACGCCAGAACAAACGAGTTTCGTAGAACGCTGCCGGCTCGAAACTAAAGCGGTGGCCGATATGTAGGTACAACAGAACGAAACAGAGCAGAATTAACCACCCAATGATGTGTTGTCGTAAACTGAACGTTGCTTGGGCGCCGGGAGCCCCATTCGAGATCGAAGACATCGTAGCGGCGTTGGCGTTTGGTTTAGAACTTTGGAGTCTTGCAATTGGCGCCTGAGCCTTGCTTCTGAAGCGAATGGCCATGGAATGGTCCCAGGTTTGGTCCCGGAGAATGCGGCGTCTTTCGCTCATTCTGCCACCGGGTCTGGCGTCGACAAGGTTTTGAGGCGGAGACTTTGCCGGCTCAGGATGACAGGACGAGGAAGAGCAAAAAAGCTGAACAGAAGGCAAGAGGTGTCCATGACTTACTCTGGACTTCTGCACCATGCCGCTGCAGTCATTTTATATTTATCTGGAAGGATCACATCAGTCTCAGCTTCACGGCTAATGTTCTGAGACAAAATGAGGTGCACAGTTGGCTTTGTTCAAACACAAACAAAGAAAACATGGCCAGATCCACATAAATTCCAGCAACTGCAAACTACATTTAGAAGAGAGGAAAGGAAATCAATCCACAAAGTAGGGAAAGTTCCAACGCGTCACTGACATTTCGACGCTCCTCGGCTGGCAATATGATTTGAGTTGATGCTACACTAGCCATATGAATTTAGAGACCAATGTGCCCGGAAGTAGTTATCTAGCGAGGTAGAACCCATCATAGTAGTTACGAGTGGTCTTGGGCATGTGCCGTGCTTCAATATCATGCCAACATGGGTACATTCCCTGTAGCCAGCATCAACCAGCAGTCTCGTTTACTTATTTTGTAAACACACAATAACCAATGTCAGTATTGGCGTGACATCCTGCCCCTTAAGAGATCAATAAATACGATTTTCCACTACCCGGTTGCCTATAAAGAGCCATTAATGGTATAATAGACTAATTAAGACAGTCGTAGCAGAGACAACACATTGAAACACCTTCCTCCAAGGGAACAGCAAGAGGCCTTTCCTAACTAAATCCTTTCGAAGTTGGTTGATGGACTCAAGAGTTGCAGAACTTCAATTTATAATAGCGAAAGCGCAAACGCATCGATCATCAATGATTGATCGTATCTTATAGACATACTCTTATTGGTCATTCTTTTCCGGATTCAATAAGCAGAGTGTCAAGTGCCGGACCTAACCTCGGAAGCTGACAATCGTGCTTATTAGTGCTCGGAGTTTCTCCATCTATGTAACCGGAGATTATCTTCTAATCACACCTCAGTGAGGAGATAAAGTTATAGCGTCACCGCTCAGTCAACTTTTGAACTGTTCACGGTCAACTAACATCAGGCCTGCTGCAATGGAGGCCACCAACATCTTTTCGGAAGAGATCTCGATTTTTGACTGGGATATCTATCTGAAAGCAAGACCCGATTACACCGGGTCAGGTTTCTACGATCGACTGTTCTCCTACCACGACTCTCACTCTGGCTCCTACGACACAGCCTATGATGTAGGGTGTGGACCTGGCCAGGTCGCGTCCGCTCTCGCACCCAAATTTCGTCGGGTTCACGGCAGCGACCCCAACGCCTATGTCATCAGCAAAGCTCACGAGCTGTTCAAGTCCCTCAGCAATGTCGACTTTGAAGTCAGTAGCGCCGAGAACATCATCTCGGCCAACGATGACCGAGCAGGGACAGCGGACCTCGTTACAGTGGCGGAGTGCATCCCTCTTATGGACACTCAAGCAGCCATGGCCGCTTTCGCAAAGCTACTCCGACCTGGCGGTACCCTTGCCATCTGGTTCTACGGTGGGCCGATTTTCACCAATCCGGAGCTTAGCGAGGATAGTCCGGAGGTGAGAGGTGTGCAGGCGCTCTTCAAGGGTATTCTAGATCGCTCGTATGATGAATTTCGGCCTTTCAAGGGAAGTGTCCTCGAAAGACCATCCACCATGATCTATTCATGGCTTGACAATGTGGTTTTTGATCCCACCCTGTTCAAGAATGTCAAGCGTGTCAAGTGGAATACGGATAAGCAGTTGAATTTTCTAAGCAAAGAGGTAATGGATTTTCCATTAGAGCACGTCAATCTCATTGGTGAAAATGAGGTCGTACAGAATGAGGGGGTGGATAGAAGCTTTCTGCTCACAAAGAACGTGGATTTTAATTGGGCCAAGGGATTCATCGACTCGGCAATAGCCAGAGAGAAAGATTATATCACCGATGAAGTCCGAGAGATGTTTGGGGGGCTTGAGACTAGGATGAAAGGAAGGGTATGGAATGTCACATGGCCTGCAGTGTTGCTATTGGCTACCAAGAACTGAGTTCATTCAAAATCAAAAGCGATTTGCTGTAACGGATATTTATTTACTGGACAACTGAAGAAGAAACTTCCTATTGACTTGATCATAGCTGATTCAAACGGATTTGCAAATTTTACGGTCATCTCGATTATACCGCTTGGGGATAAGTGGTTATGCCATGAAAATATCGATGTCGAGATTGCTTTTTGAAAAAGTCGTTAGACTTCAAAAAGACTAGATCAGTCTATGTCCGAAGATGAGCCACGGTGAGCCATTGGCTTCATTGTGGTCATGGTCCTCCTGACCTGGCGAGATGACTTGTGAAACCAGCATAGCAAGAAGAAATAAATAGCCTAGTTAGCTTTAGAACAACAGGAGGAGCATGGTCGACATTAAGGATACTTATTGCGTCTAATATCTGGCTATCGACATACCTTGTGTTTTCGAGCTAAAGATCCACCTGAAGAGACTGTCGGAAGTCAGCAAAGATTGATCTACATAGCGATTCAAACAACCATCAAGGACATCCTTCGTTGTGTCGAACATAATAAGAAGAGCAATTGCACGCCGTATAAGTAACAAAGGAAAATCTAAGGCCAGATGACCCAAGATCTCAAACAAGTTTTAAACTGAGTATGGGCCCAAAGTCCGGCTCATGAAGGCTTTGCCGATTTTGGATGTTATAAACTCTGCTATCCTGGTTGATCGCACCTCTGGGAGGATATTTTAGACGGAGAGGATTCAATTCAAGAGTTTGGTAAAATATTGATGAAAGACGGACACTACGACATGTGTTTATGTGAAACAGCATGACTAGCACACAGGTTGTCTTCGTCTAAATGATAATGCCAGCTCAGGCATAAAGTTATATGTCCAAGAGCTACATACCCGGAGATACATATATGAAAGTACATAGATGAATGAGCTTAGTTGAGGGGTGTAGCATGAGTGTCTGAGTGGTGTATAGCCTTCCTTCCCACAAAGCCGCTTCCCATGCACTGTTAAATACGTTGTCTTGCCTGCTTTGACCCGATTCACCTGGAGATATTCACTGATAACCAGCTTCGAATGCCAAGAGTTTAGATTCTCTTCTCTCTTGACTCCCTTTGGCTTCTCTCAAGCTAGATGATACCTAGAGGTCTGAAAGACCACCTGGAGCGACGGTCCGCAGCGAAATCAAAGAAGTTTCCATCACCGCCGGCGGCCACAACTGCAGCTGGAGGCAGACAGAGACCGTCTTTTGAGAACGGCTTACAAGTAGTGTCACAGACAGTTCCGTTCGCAGGCATGATTCCGTCATCGAAGTACGCCCTGATATGCTCGTTGAAACACTCACTCCACCCGGTTGCCATCGCGCAGTGCCCAACGGTCTCGTGTATCAGGACCGCTGAGCCGGGATGATCATTAGACATCAAGTTAGCAACATGTAGAGGCGTCACCGGGTCTAGTCTGCTAGTAGTCAACAAAACCGGGGCGGCAGGGGCTCCCTCCTTCAGGCCCGGGTCAGCAGGAGGAGTACCCCACGGGCCAGCGTAGCGCCACTTTGGTCGGACCCGCCAGCCGGAGCAAGTCGAGGCTATTCCTGCCCAGAAAGGGCCCATGGTTGAGGACTGATTCTTGAGCTTTTCAGTGTTCTCTTTCCAGAAAGGAAAGCCCTGCTTCTCGCCGCTGTGGTAACGCCCGTCTGGATCGGCGTAGTCAGCATCGCCGCAGAGGATTGATGTTTGTGCGTCGCCTAGCCCTTGCTCCGTAGAGTTATGGATGCTGCAGGCGTCCTGTAGAAGCGGCAGTTGGAGGTTTATGGCGATTATTGAGTAGTTGCCCTTGAGCGCGTGGGCTAGAGCGGTCGCGAGATAAGTAAAGCCGAATGGAAGAGGGGCGTATAAAGGACTGCGCCATTAAGTAAGCCATTGATTCGAACGGGAAAATGTTTTAGAGACTGCTTACAGGATGAAGACTTGTCGAATGTCGTTGCCTGTAATGACTCGGAGGTTCGATGACCCGTCGCTCTGAACAAGGCTGATGGGGTTTTGGTCGACATCTGAAATTAGTTTATCGACGCGACTCCTGATGTCGTCGCTTGATTTGTCACCACTCTCCCAAAGTGGGCAGTTCTCGGTACCATCGAAGCATGTCCCATAAAAATAGTCCACGATTTTCTCTGTATCAAGGAGGTTGTTCAGCCACTTGCCCTCATAATAGTCGTATATGTCGTCAACACCATCTAAAACAACTCGTCCCATGCGTCCTGGGAACATTGATGTCAGGGTATTTCCGAGGATTGTGCCATAGCTGAATCCCCAGTACAAGACACGAGCAGGCTTGTCGTGGGAATGCTCCGTGCCAGCACTTATCGGGTGCTGCTTTGTGTCTAAAGGAGCGATTCGCTCTGCACGCCGGAGCTCCTCCGTCCGATCGGTGATCTCAATTATGTCCCGTGCAACGGACGCCGTAGAGACGTATGCCAAGATGTCATCATCGAGATCTTTTGTCTCACAGAGGCTACCGAAAGCCTGATCGAGGGCCAAGATCCGTCTCAGCCCATTATCACTTGCACTGCGGACATAGACGTCTTTCAGCCATGATTCACTGTCAGAAGGTCCACCGGTTTGTGAGATACTTACTCGAGACCACCAATGCCCCTCGACTCTAATATCAGCGAATCGCGTGCAAATATATGACTCCCGCCGAAGCAGTCGGCTCTGGGAGTTGTGTAGGCGATGCCGCGAGGATCAAATCCCAGAATGGCATAATGCTTTTTACCCTCGGTCATGGCTTGCAGCCGGCGCCCATAGCTCTGGACCGCCCTGACACCAGAACCGCCTGGCCCTCCAGGGTTGATGATGATTGTCCCTCCAAAAGACGGGTCATCTGAAGGGACAGTGGCGGGAAGAGTGGTGATGGCGATGGCAACTCGTTTGGTGTTGTTAGCATCTTGCCAATCTCGTCTGAAGTGCACCCAGTGTTAAAGAATGAGCATTTTCAATAGGGGGGTTCGTGATAAAGGGGGTCGATTCATACGGCACGGAGAGCCTCGCGCATTGATAACCATCGTAGCACGGATGGTAGTGCAACTGCTCTGATGGCACGATAGCGGACCAGTCGAAGTCGGCTCCAAGTGCGACTTGCGTCCACAAGCCCGCAGCAGCTAGAGCGCGGATGCCCCACATGGCGACAGAGACTACTGTGTAAATGAAACTTGATGAGAAGTAAGTCTTGTCATTTGGTGATGAGGAACAGTAATTGCAAGAGGGAAGAGGAGGGGTATCAAGCCCACAGGCACCAGACGAGACACAAGCGCGCCAAGACGATAAGGATCAGCATCCCCGCGCGTTCTTGAGTCCTGATGTAGGGCAATGTAAGCTGTGCATGCTGAAAGTTCCGTGTGCCGCCCGTCTCGCCGCAGTATCGCACTCCTCAACATCATCCTCCACTCTCCCATCGCAAATTTCCAGTAAACACTCGAGTTAAAAGCTTGTGACTGGCTCGCCGGCTTCTTCACCCATTGATATCATTCTGAAGCCCTGCCCTTAGTGTCTTTGGACTGGTCATTATCAGTCATATTCTCTGTATCTATTGCTTTGCCGAGTGATAAGCCTCTGCTCTTCAATCTTGAAACTGTGAAGCTGGATTGATTTTCTACACGTAGAATATCTACTAATTATACTAGTTCATTGTGACCTCACCAGCTAGATGCAGTTCAACGTAGTCCGTCCCAGATAGAGACATCGATACATAATTCAGTAAGTGGTATTGATTCGAGAAAGACATTACATTACTATCTCTTACTTTAAGCTAACTAAATGGCAAACCCAACTTGGTGGCAATTCCCAACTAGACCTTCCAAGCGAAGGGGAATGAGACCTGATGTCCAGCAGAATGGACCACGCAGCTCTCCGTCCACGTGCTCTGCCTGCTCCATCTCAGAGAATTCGGGATGGAAAGGCAGGTAGTAATAGTTTGTGCCACTGGGTTGAGGAATTCCTACCGCAGTGGTCTGAGGAGCGGGTGTGCCCATGGAGGACGCAGCATCCTGCATTACTTCTGTCCGAATATCCCAGGATATCTGCAGATACGGTGCTGCACAACTGAGCCGCGCCGCTGTTTACTCCGCCGAACTCGTCATCCGACTTGGGAGCCGTCAATATGGTCTCCTCGTTGTGCTGACACTGGCCATAGAAGGCGCACATACCCTAAGCTAGCCTTGAACTGTTTTCAACATCGACAGTTCTGCACAAATCAGGGTCAATTGCCATAATTAAACCCCCCGCAAGACCTAAAGTCGGGAGAAATCATTAGCAAATATCCTAGCTTTACAAATTTGTGAAAATGTCCAGCATTTTCATTTCATTGAGTGACTCGAAAGTGTCTGTTGGGAATGTAGCACCTGTTCACGGGCAACACCAAACGTTTGGGTTTCCTAAAGAAAGTTCGTACTTCCAATAATTCACTGATTTCATGTTGTCATTTTATTCAAAAGTTTAACAGATTTGATGAATCTGCCGCCATCTCATCCTGGAGAATTCGTGAGATTGTACGCAGGAGATTCCTACTACCAGGGGATCCCCAGGTCATCTGGTAATGAGGCACCTTCGAAGTCATTGATCAACAAAAATATTTCGCGGCCTTGAGATGGTCAGGAAGAAAGTATTGAATGTCTGCCTAGTCCCTACCTCCTTCCGTTGCTCCTGTGATTTGAGCCCCGCTGTACATTTCTCGTGGTGATAAAACGTCAATGTTTGACCCAGAATCCACCATCTTATCTACACACCGTACAATGGAGAATCTCCTGGAGGAAAGTCAATGGCAGTATATTCTGATCCACGAGCAATGCTTACAGAGATACATGCGGCATGGAGTATGGTAGACGATTAGATAGATGGTAGGGGACCAACACTCGCATCTATTTCTTTCACACCGTTTGTTCTTGGTGTTGTTCTACCTGGGTTTTGCAATCACTGCGGGCTGCACTGTAGCCTGAAAGTGACTGGACGTGTACCTAGATATCCCTGCTGACTGAGCCAGATCAAAACAAGGGATTCATCTAGAACACAACAGAAGCCACCTCCTTCCATTCGCAGTCAACCCCATACCTCGACCTTTCCAAGCCTTGCCCAGTGCAGTAACTATGAGCTCCTTCACTCCCATCAACATACCAGTGCGCGATCGTTCTGTACAGGCAAGGCTTCCTTCCTCCACAGTTGTGCAGCACGTCCCAGGAGCTGACGATCGATCACAGCCCAACATGGAGTCGGGTCCAGGTCCTCCAGTTGACAGTCAAGCAGAGCTGCAGACGCCACAGTGGCCGCCCAGTCCGCAGATGTCTGGAATACCGCCACTGCCAGAGCTACCACCGCTGCCTCAGATGCTTCAGATGCCCCAGTCGCCTCGATCGCCTCGAGTACCCCAAGCTGCAGAAGTCATCGACCTGACAGGTCTCAGTGACGACGAGGATGAGAACGATTGGGAGGACGTGCCTGAAATCATCGACTTGACAAATCTCCCGTCTGACGACGAAGACGATGATGCACAAAACGACCAAGAGCAAGCCCGTGTACCCGAACAGTACACCATTCTCAATCTCCCTCCTCGACGCCAGTACACCCTGACCGATACTCCAGCCAAGCCAGGCCGAAGACTTGGTCGCCACACCGCACACCTCCTCTTCCCAAATCTTCCGGTATCGCGAGCCTACACCGCTCGCGTCGCTGCTTCTCGCGAGCCCATTCCTCGAGTTCCCGTCCGTCGAGACATTTGTGAGCTCTGCAACCGCATCGTCCGCTGGGGCCCCGGCTGCTTCATCACGAAGCATCATCTGTACCCCCAGCAGATAACCAAGAAATACCCAGACAGATTCACGGAAGACCAGAAGAAATCGATTGCGCTCCTCTGCCGACCCTGCCACGACGCCTGTCACAAAGCCCACACCAACCGAATCTTGGCAGACTTCTATTATCAAGTTGAGCTTCTGAAAGCCGACCCCGAGATTCAGGCCCATGTCCGCGAAATGCAGCGCGCAAGCACTCCTGAGCTCATTGCGGAGCATGGGGATGGTATCCATGTACGGCGCAGGAAGCAGCGGCTGAGGGCGGCGAGGGCGGCGAGGAATGATCCTCCCAAGGTCCTGACCAGGAGGCAGCTGAAGCTCCTGGCCAAGGACCCTTCACGCCAGCCTTCGGAAAGAGCCTTGCATGGCCCACAGCCACCTAAGCGCCAACTGCCTCATCCCGACAGTCTACGGCGAAGTGCGAGACTGTTAGCTAAGGGAATGGGTCATCCTCAAGTGCCTGCTATTGTGATAGAGGACAAAGATGAGCAAGATGCAGTGATTCACGAGTATCCTCAGGGAAAGAAGGATGAGAACATGCTGGATGCTGTCAGCCGAGAAGAGCTTGCTGCCCTCGAGGCTGGTGGGGAGTACATTCCGCTGTAATCAGATACTGGCCCCATCCATGCAAGGCCAGTACTTGTGTGATGGGATTCGGATCGCCTTGGAATCCGGGCCTTTGAGAATTTTGGATCATACTGATACATGACCAGATACAAAAGTTCGGCAAGCCTTCAGGTACCAGGGTAACACGTCTGGACGCAATGATTCTGTAATCCCTCAAGTAATTTTCCTCCTGCTTTTCTTCATGAATTTTGATCCCGACGGTTTCATCGCAAACCACTTGGGCAGAGCACATTGTCCCACCAGCCCCTTAAAATCACTTCCGCACTCAGCCAAGAACTCATCATCCGAGTACGTGTTTAATAACCTCGTCTGCTCCCCTCCAGACTTTGCATCGACGAGGAGTTGCAGAATTTCCATAAGTGACTGTGTTGTCTTCGGAAGAACTTGGATTGTCTGCCCCGTTCGCGCTGACACCAAGAATCCGGACGCAGGCTCCCCCAAGAGCAGCATGTACAAGGCCGTCTGCAGGAGGTGCTCTGGCTGGAGCGACTCGGTGTACTTGACCTCCCATACTGTTTTGTTTGCACCTCGAGGGCGGCATAGGTCCATTGCCCCCGAGACTATGATACCTTCCTTCTTCAAAGGGCTTGTCGGTCCGCCACCATGCGTGATGCCGAGAAACTTTCGGTACTTGATGAGTTCGAAATGGATACCCCTGCCTGAGATCCTGGCTGGCGCAGGGAGGCTATTCAGAGTAAGGTGAATGTCTGTGCAGTGGGCCTCTGACAGCCAGTCGTACTGATCGAGCGGGATTGCCAGAAGTTTGGTGATGTCCTTGTCCTTGGATGCCATCTCCAGGTTGGCGAGGTACAGGATATCATCTGTGCTAAGAGATCCACTATTGTAAGCCGCCTCGACGAGCTCAATCCTTCGATAGAAGGCTTCTGGCAGCTTTCGCAGTGGATTTTGTCTCCGGGTTTGGCGCTTAGGCGGTTGGAGCAATTTCAGTGGGCCAGATATGATGCTTGTCCTCCTTCTCTGCCGCCACTGAAAGATGGCTGGGACTGCAGTCCCTGTGACATTTGACACTCCTTCGAGGAGCCCGGATTGATCCCGAACAACAGATGGAGGAGGTGCAACACCGTAGGCGGGAGCAGCCAGCAGCCTAAAGTCGAGCCGGCGCACGCAATCGGTGACCAGGGTCTCTGAAAGGTTCCTACAGAGCGCAGTAACGCTGAAGGCTGGTAATCGCCTTTTTGGCGTTGGTGGCTCCATCCGTAGGGGACGTATCATGAGCAACTCGCAGGTTTCGCCAACTTTGTCTAAATCAACAAATGGAAGTGCTGCTCTTCTGGAATCGTGAATGAGAATCAAGTGTTCAAGTGCACGAGTGGCAGCCACATACTGTGGGTTGCTGACTGCTGTCCGAGCATCTACTGTTTTATCAAACCATGTGTGATAGCTCTGATCAAAGCCTAGTACGATAGATGCTTTGCGTTCTATCCCCTTTGCTTGGTGATACGTGCAGATCAAGACCTTTCCTGAGGCGACTTCGGGGGAAACATCAGATACATCCGAGTCTGACCTGAACACCGGTATCCCCCTGAGTGCGAGATCATTGGCCAAGTAGATGGCCGGAGATGCTCCCCGAACCGATGGAGCCAGGACAATGATGTCGCTTGGGGAAAGCCCGCATGAATCCAGTAGCCGCACCACCTCGTTCAAAATATCCTCATACGGGTCACATATGACGTAACGCGGTTTAGGATAGGGGTTGTTATCTTGGCTCTGCTTCCTGGCAGCACGCATGGCCATTCCGGGAGGCTGTTTGAGCATCTGCTGGTTGATAAAGTCAACATTTTGCTGGGTGACCCTGTTGGATGTTGTCTGCCCAGCCGCTTTCCATTTGTTGTTATTGACATATCCGAACACCTCCGAGCGAGCAGCCATGGTTAGAAATCGAGAGTCGGCATTGTTGAAAGAGTAGACTTCCTGTCTCTTGTCGCCGAGGACCACTACCCTCATCTTATTTGTTCGATCATTAGGTACACGGTCAAACCCGATGAAACCCTTATCACGGATGACTTTGTCGACAAATCGCTTCAAAATCGGTGTCATATCTTGCTGCTCATCCATGACCAACACTGAGAATTCCGGTAAACTCAGGTCTTCCACGACGGACATGTCATCCTCAACGACACGCTTGAGGCCCTGATCTGTCGCGCACTCAGGGGTGTAATACCTTGTTCCGAGAGCGTGATAATTCAAAACAGTGACATTTCGCAACCCCAAGCCCTGCACTCTTTCCCCAGTTTCCAACATAAGCCGACGGTTGTAGACAAGGACTAAGAACTTGGTATCAGGGGAGGACTGTGCCAAGTGAAGAATTGTAGTTGTCTTGCCAGAGCCGGCGATCGCATCTATAATTATATTGTCGTCCGTTTGTAACAGAGTATCAATAGCAACCTGCTGTTCCGGCGTGGGCGGCGGGAGGCGCCTCAAAGGTGTGATCGCTCGATTCAGTTCCACGGGCAAAGTTTGACTCGGTGCACGAATCGAACGCGAGTCTACAGTATGCGCCAATCTTCTGCATTTCGTGATTGGCAGGATGAAACTTCGGAATGCTTTCCATGGTATCGTGGGGAAATGTGAACCAAGGTATAGCCTGTGTAGACAAAAGTTGGGGCCCAAAGCCATTCTCATCTCGGTTCGAGTTTCTTCCTGCAGCTGCCGAATGTGCTCCTAGAACATATCGAAGCAGAGTGATGAAGAGGCCCGAGTGTTACAGCAGTGAGAAGGTTTCTTGCGTCGACTGAAGGCTGACAGCAGCAGTATACATTGGGAGCTGATTCAAAGATATCGGCTTCACGAGGAAAGTAATATAATGCTCAAGATTCTGTACAGAAGCAAGCGAACAAAGGGTGCCCGTGTAACAGGAGGTCCATGCCTGTAATAGCTCTGGGCTGAATGGGATGGCCAAATCGAATCGAATCGAATCTAATGAACGTCAGGTGATAGAGCTCTGCGTCTGGTGTTGTTTTATGAAATCACTTTTACAACCAAAAAATTGGCTACTGAGCGATAAAATGAGCATTTCGTTGACGGTCAGCGAAAATGCATGACGACGTCAAGGCGTGCTAAACTCACTCGGGTGAATCGGGAGTGAGACGGAGAACGAGTCCTCAAAGATGACATAATCGAATTTGAGTCTCTGAACTACTCCTACCCTGAACAACGTTTTCTGCCTTCAATAAAGCTGTACATTAGGAGGTTTGATAACGGCGTCGGCTAAATGTTTGAGTTGAATATAGCATTGTGCGATTCCAACGGCATACTTGAATCATTGTATGACCTGCTTGGACCGAAATCCAATTGCCGTTTCCACTGCACAAACTGCAAGAAAAGAATGCCACGAATCCTTTGGCTCAATATGAGCAGCTGTCAAATTTTGCCTTCTATAACACTGTGTCCATGTCTGTGGATCTGATTGTCTTTGCTGTCATGGGAAACCAGCTGTTGTACCCCAAGATATCCGATTCGGGCCAATGGGTGACAATTGGTCATTCAAACTGTATTTTCTTCGAATTTTCTTCACATAGTCCGATGCAATATCACAATTCGTGTTATGTCTTCACCGGAGCTTACCTCATGTGACAGTGGAGCCCTCGTCATGCCCTTTGTCGACCAAACAGAACCTAATTCCTCGCTTTCGGGTTGCCCAACCCAAACCGAGAAGCCGCATCTGCCTGTGACTAAGAGTACATGTTGTCATTCCTGCTGCAATACCACCTCTCTCGCTAACAAGACCTTTGGGGTAAAGTTCTGCCAAACTTCCGGAAGCCCGGCCTGATGTAACCACCGAAGGTTGTTCCGTGAACAAATGTAACCGGAATGTGTCCGATATTTATCAGCTTCAAGTCGAGAATCGGCGCTGGAGTCTGGAGACACGCCGAAGCCATACTATATAGCAAGAAGCTCAGGATCTGTATAGAAGCGCTTATCCCAAAAGATGTATAGTACCCCATTTCGAACATACTGTGTAACAAGATGGCCGACAAAGCGATTGAACTTGTGGCTGAACGATGGCCGTTGATTGTCACGGCCATTCTGGCCTGCACTATTACTTTGTTCGTTCCGACCCTCAAGCGCAAGGCGGCGCTGTGGCATTTGCCCATTGTGGGAAAAGAGAAATGGAATTACGAGACACGTCGAATGGAGTTCCTGTTGAGGGCCGAGAAGGTATACGAGGAGGGTTATCGAAAAGTACTTCCTATTCCACTCACTTGAGGCAGCACCACAAATAACAAGTCTCTTACCAGTTCCGTGCGGGAATATTCAGAATTACTAGCGACATGGGTAGGTGGTCTGTCCATTACTCACATGTGGATAGCAGCTGAAAATGCATTCCTAGAGTCAGAGACTGTGGTTGTCGGCCCAAAGTATCTGCCGGAGCTCAGCAAGCTTCCCGAATCCTCCCTCAGTGTTCTAGATGCAATTGATGAGGTGATCGGTACCCTGCCGACATACACATGGAACCTGAGTATATTGCTAACATAACAACTAAGCTCATGTCAGCGAAGTACACCAAGGTCAACGCCACTGCAGCAGTCATTACCCAAACCCTGAAGACCCGGTTGACGCCACCCTTGGGTAACAATCTTTAACTGTCCTTGAATGCGCAGCATAGCTAAATTTTACACAGGAAAATTAAGCGGGCACCTTGGCAGGGAGGTCAAAGCTGTCATGGCAGCCGAGATGCCGGAATGCAGTGACTGGACCGATATGCACGTTCACCCTCACCTAGTGCGAGTCGTTGCAAGAGTCTCAGGCAGTATAATTGTCGGAACCCAGCTGAGTAGATCCAACGAGTACATTGAGCACGCCATTAATTACGCCCTGGATGTGATCAACGGTACCCAGGCAGTAAGCCAACTGAAGCCATGGCTCCGTCCTTTCAAAGCCCCACGCCTACCTCAGATCCGTCGACTCAACGATCGTGTCCGACAGGCTGGAGAGTTCTTCACGCCAGTTGTTGCGACGAGAAAAGAGAAAGCCAAAGATCCAGCGTGGGAAAAACCTGACGATCTGTTGCAGTGGCTCATCGATGTGCAAGAAGCCCAATTTGGACAGATCACCCCTCAAGCACTGGCCAAGTATCAGTTGGACGTTGCTTTCGCAGCCATTCACACGACCACTGCAGTAGCGCTAAGCACGTGCGTCTCTAGCCTCTCCTATGTCTGATGTGTATTGTAACTCACAGATATACAGGTTTTACACTTTGGCAGTCATGCCCGAGGCTCAGATAGAGCTACGCGAAGAAATTCGCAGCGTCTTGGCCGAGACTGGAGGCGAGTACATTAACACATCAGTCCAAAACATGAAGAAGCTTGACAGCTTCATAAGAGAGAGTGTCCGTTATTATCCAATTGGTGCTGGTGAGTACTGCTGAGGAAAGGGAACGGGTTATTGCCTTGATACTGATTCTCACTCAGCGGTCTTTATGCGCAAAACACTGAAGCCCATAACTCTCTCTGACGGGACGAGATTGCCGGAAGGTATCGTCGTTCAAACCTCAGTGTCTGCCGCTTCAAAGGACTCGTCACTTTTTGAAGAACCTGAGAAGTTCGACTACTTGAGATTCTACAGACAACGACAGAATGGAGCTGCTGTCAAAGGATCTGAAGCGGGCGGTAAGGGTCAAATGGTGGGCGTGGGTTTAGATAACCTCGTCTTTGGGTTTGGAAGACATGCATGTCCTGGTACGTAACAATACTATGTCTTTTCCCGCAGATCAATGCTAATTATCCATTTTGTTCATAGGCAGGTTCTTCGCGATCAACGAAATAAAGATGATCGTAGCCGAACTGTTGATGAAATATGACGTAAAGAATGTCGAAGGGGTTGAGGAAAGATACCCGAATCTTATTCATGGAGCTTTTGTAAGACTAATATATTTGTTTGTTCTCGTGGTGCTCTTATGCTGATGTGAATTTATTAGTTCGACCCGGATCCAAGCAGGCATCTTTTGCTAAAGGAGATCGCCCTGTAACGTCTCTTTTGAAAATAGAGACTACCAAAGGGAATCTGAAATCAGTAGCGAAGGGTTATCATAGTCAAGGGCATCTCATCAATGCGGTGAGATCATTATTCTTTTCGTAACGAATTGGACTGGGCGGCGTTTCCACCACGAGTCTGAGCCAGCGAAGCCTCCATCGATGTCTGCGAATTATTTACATAGAGCCAATATCAATGAAGGCATTTTGTCTATGAATTCTCACTGATCCTATCTCTTCAACCGCCCTAATGTATCAATAGCTCCGATACATCGCTGCTCCTGCTCCAACTACCACCAGGAGGACAGACCAGCGAATTAGCCCTTTTGTAACGGTCTTCGCAGCGAAATTGTCGATAGCCTCGCTGTCATTGATCCTAGGAAATGGCATATCGGGAATATTCTTGCCCAGTGCCTTGCAGAGTGGCTCCCATCCGTCCTTTACTTCCAAGAATATTAGCCTGTCCGCTGGCACATTCTCTTTCAACCATTCGATGTGACGATTGTAAGAAACCCTCGTCGGAGGCTCGATCTCGCCGTACAGATACAGCCATTGATCTCGGAGCGCGTTGATATAGTCGACAAAATGCCGCATCGTAGGGAGTGGTAGGAGAACGCCCCTCAAGAACCATTTCGTGGAGGCTGAAGCTACTCCAACCATACTCTTTTCCCATGCACTTGGATCGCGTACCGTGCAAATTACTTTGGCATCAGGATACAGCTCTAAGAGCTCGGGGATCAGCCCGGTTGCAGGGGCGTCCGTCACCGCGGCGTAGCCATCTAGACGTTGGCGGATCAGAGATAGGCCTGCTTTTCTATCGGCGTCGACATTGAAGGGAAAGAGTTTCAGGATTTGGATCCAAGAACACATCTCATCGGGTGATCCCATGGTGCATTGTGTACCGCCATGGTAGACTGGGGCTTGGAGGAGAATACGCAGTGCTTCGCTGAAGGAGGCGGTTCCTGTGCGGGGGAGACCTGCGCCAATAACCTGCAATTCTGTTCCTGGTGTTGGAACAGAGGCTTGATTGCCCATGTTGGTCGAAGTGAATAGTATGGAGAAGATGAAGATGTGGTATTTCAAATTCTAGCAAGTGGACGTCACAAGGATTTATATTTTTCGATAGCCCGTTGGTAGGGCATGTGCGTCAGCACTACAGGCGCCAATGTGGCGCAGGACCAACAGGTCCTTAGCCTTGTCTTAGTGTACGGCTGAGAATAACTACTTGTTCCTGTCCAACTCGATTCCACCAAGGTAATACATTCATTATACCCAGCAATCGGCTGAGATCATGAGATCCCAGTAGAATGGACTCGGAATGAAGAAGATGGAGTCCGTCCTATGACTCTAATTTCCTAGTCTGTTCGCGATCCTCCAGAGATATCTAAGTCACCCAATGTCATTTTCTTCTTCAAAGTAAGGTCGCTTGTTGCAATGGAAAGCCGTTCCAAATTTGATACATAGAGTGCATTGGATACAATCACCCATCCGAATTTATAAATCTAGACAATTGAAACAGACGGTGTCTTCTCGTTCCCAGCCAAGGTAGCCTCCTGCGATTTGTTTGCAATTTGAGCGATTCGTGCCGTCTCCGCTTCAATGAGCACAAGTGGTCGTTGTGACTGTGTCGCAGCTCGGCTTGTGAAAACAAAAGGCGAGGGGTTCTGGATAAAAATCTGGTCCATATCCTCAAGTGTCCTGTTTGCTGTCTCTGGGTAGAAGAAGTAAACCACAGGACCAAAGGCGAAGCAGAAAATGCCAAACACTTGAACATAATTAGCAAGAGCATACTTATTTCTGGAATAGCCACATGGTTCTCAATGATGAGCTCCGGTTGACTAGGGAGGTTGGAACCTACTCAGGAAGAATCGCCATTGCAAGTTATCGAGGCCGACCTTGGTAAATTGGACAACTACGAATCCACCCAACCAGTTGACCGACTGCAAAATTCGGTAATCAGCTATCAAAGACTTTCGCAAACAATTTGAAAACAAGTGAACCGAAAGCTCGAGACCTGTGGGGGGAAAGGGCTACTGCGTCTGAGCAAGAGGTGATAATCTCGAAAATGATACTTACTGTTGCCGCTGCAGCTCCTCTCGTGCGCCACCCGAGAGAGCTCACTTCTGCACTGTAGACCCAAGGAACACTTGAGTATCCTAGGCCAAAGAACACGTGATATAGAATGAACATAGCTGTTGCAACTTTTCCCATCTGTGTATTGGATGTTAGAAGTCAGTCTGCGCAGGAACACCGGGCTGGGTTGGACTTACAATCTGAGTCTTCGAAGTGTCATTTTCCCCTACCGCGAGACAAATGCAAGCCACGATGTGACAGACACCCATAAGGATCGGCGAGTACCTAAAACGTTAGAAAAAGGGGCGCCATTCTAACGGGACTCGACAAGCATACATCATCATCCTGGAGCCATCAGTTCAAGGTTCTAATCTCGAAACACTAGGAGACAGTACTCACTTCCGACGTCCAAATCGATCAATCATCAGTAGACATACAAAACTGCAAAACACGTAGACGGTGCTGCTTATAGCTGTAATGAGTCGGCTCATTTGCTGATTGTATCCAACATCTCCCTGCAACAGAGTCGGGAGGTAGAAGCCTGTGGCGTACCGTCAGCCTAAGGGCTTCAGATTGGTAACTATATAGTGGTAGAAAGAACAAAGTAATGCCAGCTAACCTAGTGCATTGATTCCGCTGTTCATTTGAGTTAGCAGGAGGTTCATAACAAGTGCTCGCTTCGCTTTCAATGCAATATGTACTTGCCTGAACTGTTGCATGAACTGGGTACCGCAGCCAAGGATCAGCCGGCGGAAATTTTGTGATTTGTCTCGATGACACAAAACGTCAATCAGAGGGACTCTGTCGTCTCTCTCCATCTGGATAGCTGCTTTGATTGACTGGTATTCAGCAGTCACAGTTGACTCCCCAATATTTTTGCTGTGGCCTGCCAATCTGGACAGCACATGCAACGCCTCCTCGTCGCGGTCAACAAGGAGCAGCCACCGGGGAGATTCCGGAACGAAGAATAGGATCGGAGCGACAATGAAAAGAAAAATCAGCTGGAAAGCGAGAGGAAACCGCCATTGAAATGCTGAGTCGTCGTGGTAAAGACCAAAAGCAATCCAGTTGGCAACGCAGAAGCACGCCACGTTACAACATGCCCCGACCGCCAGAAGCATGCCACGTACGTGAGATGGCGCGCACTCAGATAGATAGACCGGGGACATGGATGATACGAGGCCAATACCGAATCCGTTGATAAGGCGGCCAACGATCATCTGCGGCAGATGCCACGAGAAAGCCTGCAAGACTGAGCCCACAACATTGCAAAGGACACCCAGGGCTATAGTTCTGCGACGGCCAAGCTTGTCTCCTAGTATAAAAGCCGCGATGGCGCCAAAGAACGCACCCAGCTTGAACAGCGTTAGCTTGACCTTGCCGCTCATGTGTAAATGCCATTGACTCACAAAAAAGCAGCTCGACGTAATCCCGGAGACGTCTGCATCAAGGGTTGCTGGAAACTGCCTTAGGAAATCTGGGGAGACGAGCACTCCAGCGAAAACACCCTATATATGGAATCATAAGTCGGTTTCTTGTGTGAATATTGACAGGCATTTATCCGAAGATAGCTTACTTGGTCGTACCCAAACCAGCAAGAATTGACTGTAGCACGTTAATGAATACGAAGTGGCCGATTCGAAGTTCAGCTGTGAAATGGACAACTTACATGCATCCAAAAGGGTGATTAAGGCAATCAGCCAAGTGCCATTCACCTTATCTTCGAAATTGGCCATTGTCGTTGTGTAGTCACACAAGATCCACGGCCTGAATAGGCACTCGTGTGGTCCGGTGCGAGTTGATCGTATTGAAAGATTTTTTTTATTTATTTTCAAACTTTCCTTTCGTTGTCAACTTGCCTGGAACTGGGAGAGAATGGACACGATGTGAGAAGCTTTAGGACAGGCTTGATGTTGGAATAAAACTTCGACCAACACAACCAACATCCATCAACCCGAGCCGACCACCAATTAGGGTTGCATGCACGGAGGGCTGTCACCCCCTGAGAAAACCCGGCGGGGCGGTCCACGCCGCTACTTACGCCGCCACTTGGCACGGAGCTGCGGCACTGGCGTCGGAATGCACACGTTTGGAACCACCGACGACGGTGAGTAGATAAGCCCAGCTCCAGTCTATAAGTCGGAACAGCAAGGCAAATCAAGCCGCTGTGGAATAGAACGATGCTGTTGACCAGTTGGCTGCCATCATCGTGTCAAGGATACACGGTTCGGACACATGCTCCCTGTCCAAATTTGAGACCAGATTCACACCGTCTGTTCAGTTTTTATCAGAGACGGGCAATTACTCATCCAAGTACCCACTATCTGGCTGCGCAGGCTTTGCGAAACCGCTTCCCGGGATCTATACTAGACAGGTCAACTCTGACCCGTGTCGTCTCGGTCATACAGGACTACTACATGTTCCTTCGCATACTTCGTAGACGTTATCTAGTACTGAGTTGCCACATGAGTGCCCGGCATTGAAGCTTGTAAGAGCATCGTTCTATTCGATACGTACGGATAAGGGTATTAGGCAAGACAAAAGACAAAAAAAAAACACAATTAATGTACAGGCATGAGTATCCGATGCTCTAGATAACGGGCGTGGTGGACGACGCACCTCCACCTGTGCCTTTCCATCCATCGCCATCCACCACAGCGACGCTCAAATCACCGGCAAGCCCTGGCCCCCCAAACGCCCACGCCTATGCATATCGTGATATGGCGTCAGTTGAACAAACATGCATGCTGGTACGAGCCCAATTATTATGCAGCCAATCACAACCCAGACAGCAGTCCGTCTGCCCCCATCGTTTTGAAATTGGCACAAGTTATCCGGGTAAGGTTGGCAAAGTGTACAACAACACTCAAGTTACCGATGAAGGCCTTGTCGTCGGACGTTGCCGTGAAAGAGTCGGTGTATGAGGCCATGAACGGACTTGTGGTGATGGCTCCGTACTTGCCCGCGAGATCTCCCACCTGGCAGGTCATTGGGAGGGCAGCATCACAAGGCGGCTTCTCGCCTCGTTGGAAGGGGTCAAGATGAGCGAGCGTCGCATTGCAGTTCCCATCTGGAGGGACAGGTTCCATATGAACATGATATACTAGGAGATTGTGTTAGCTGTCTATGGCCGGCCCGTCGCGGAGTTCAAGTCTTCGACCTACAAAAGGGACCACCTTCGTCCGGAAGGTTGTCGAGCATAACATCGAATCTAACGCCCTTTCCATCCCTTCCTGTTTGTGCCAGGACGACGCCTTTGACATTTCCATTTGGCGTGGGCGTAAATTGCTTGTCTGTTGGGAATGTCGCCTTGAATGACGCTCCTTGTGGATTGCTGTCTACTGCTGTCGCATTACCCAGTGTCTGTGACATTGTTAGCATGCTGCGACTTATTGACATTGGTAGTTGGTAGGACCTCACCCCTGTGGTGATGCCATCCACGGTACTTTGACGTATGACAACTCCAAGCGCAGATGGCAGGAGGAGCAGTGACGGCAGCAACCTGTAATACATCTTGCTCCGGCCTACCAGCCAAATGGCGGTTTCTCGGTTCCGTGAAAAGGCTTCCTGGTAGCTGCGTTACTGCTACCAGAGATGACAATTGAGTAAAGCTAGTTTTTTCTGGCCCGCTGCGATACACTCTCAAAGGCGACAGGAAGATAGCGACCGACCGAAACTTTGGACATGGAGAAAGGGGTAACAACCTCGCAGGAGCATGAGGAGAGACTCCGTCCCCTTTTGACTGATGGCTGTCATGACTCCCATGCCGAATAAGCCGTGGATCCGAAAACTCGGACGAATCGAGACATATCTAGACAACTTCACCCTGGACTACCAAGGGTAACCAGGGGCCAGTGGTCCAAGCACATGTGATGAGCAGGTACACGAAGCCAACTGAATCTTGAGATTCTGAAGCAACCGTGGGTGAAAGACTTCCCCGATCTGGACTGGCTGGGAGATTTGGGCAGCAAACGGGTGTAAGCGCTTCGGCGGGTTGACGCCGATTACAGAAACACCGGCGAGGCAATACTTGTGATGATAAGCACAGCCTCAATCCTGGAAAGGGAAACGAGTGCAACAAACATGATATCGGACGATTGTGTGACCACGGAGACCCCTTGGCCGCTCACCCTATGAGCCAGTTTTTTCAGCACTAATACCGGTCAGCTGGGAAACCCCTTTCCGCATCGGCACTACCAGGGTGCTATGAGGGCGACCCCAAGAGATTGTGACAGGTCTTGGCATTTTGAAACCGCTGCTAAAGCACGTCATGATCTAGATTGGAGGAACCGCAGCGGAAGTCCGAGCCACACCGTGGACTGCAAGTCGCAACTGCGGGAGGAGAATATTTACTGTGTTGGGAAATGTAGGCCGACATAGTCCAGCACCTCAACACCAAGCAGGCTTTCACACCGATTTTGTCTTTGAGCTACCTCATGCTGGCTGAAGATGTGGGATCCCCGCCCCTTGGGTGTCCCGAGCTTGCTTAAAGTTGATCTTTTCTCACTTGTTCCAACTCATCCATACTTCAGGGTGGCAGATAGAGGAAGGTTCAACTCCTCTCTACGCAGCAACCTCCCTCAAATCCGACCAAATCTACCCCCCTTGCGCAATACATGGCTTACGAGTCAGACTATAGGTTTCCAGATCCTCCAAAGCCGGCAAACCCGCTCTTCCGAGAGCACAATCTTGCTCACACGTGTGCGGTCCTCCGATAGTGAACAGGGCTAGGGTTTCATGGGCTGCCATCTGTGCACTTGTTTCTGATCCGGGTGAGGGCCGCAAAGCTTGGCATGATCGGCACAAGGGAGCTGCTGAAACACTGGGCTGCGGCTCAACGTCGAGACTCGATAGCCTAAGGGCCCCCACCTCGCATGTACTGGCATCGTTGTCATCCGAATGCTCCAGTGGTACTCGAGGATTTCAGGGCGCTTAAATCCAGCTTACTTCATCCGTGGGTCGACATCAGCGGGTCTCCCACCACCTAACGTCTCAGTGGAAGAAAGGGTAAGTCTACTGATGTTAACCTTAATCTAATTGGATTACCCTATCGCAACAAGTGGCAGCCGACTAGTCAGGCCCCTCTCTGACTCTGTCTGTCTTCGAATTCCCACGGCTTCGTGCTTCTTTGTGTGTTCTTCGTCCCATTATTCCTCTCTACTGTAACAGGGGTATGGCGTGTTCCGGATCTTCTCATTTCTCCGTCAATGCAGAGGACGAAGGCGAAGAGTGGTGTATGGTCGGCGACAATTCTGAGTAATCAGCTCATTCCCTCTACGGGTGCACAAGCTTTGCAATAGCCGAGCTCTAATCTGAGGAAGCTCCCCGTCACGACCACGATCCGGCATCAACGGCGCTCAGGTGAGCCAATTTCAAAGTCGCGCGACATGCCATGATTTTGTATTTAAGCTCCTACGAATCCAGCTTCTATTACTCCGGTGCGTTTGATAGACAAGAGGATAGATGCAACTCATAAGCACAGAGCGCGCAGTGCACACCTGTGCCTCAACCACAATTGCAGCTTGGGTGTAATTTGGCTTCCTCGCCAAGCAAATGCGTGCGACCCAAGAATATTCCCCTGAATTGTCTGGATCTCTACATGCATAATCGAAAAACACGTTATATGTCTCCACTTGTAATCATGGGCCAGTTGAGCGGGAGCTCACTCTTACTACTTTGTTCACCATGTTTGGTTGCGCTACGTTCGAAACTGTAAGGCCTTTTACTCTGCCGACTTATAGTCGGGGCCACGGTCTTCACGATTCAGGTCTGATTGTGGAACTGGGTGCCTTAGGGGAATTAGCGCTTGCAACTCAGAGTCGGTAGAAAATGGGATTCGCAAGACATCTAGCGTGTGCTCCAGCTCCGTGACCATGAGGTATGAGCTGGTAATCCTCATTTGCGCTCGTACTAAGCCAGTCGGCAGGCTTGTATTGCTTCCGCTCAACTTCGTTTACGGAAGTAAAGCTGGGTCAGCTTCAACATTCCGAATCGGCAGTGCAGGCGTATCACTTCGCACAACGACTCAACGAGTTTCAACGTTTAGATAGTGAGCCCCCCGGTTTCGTCTAATTTACCATTACTCGCGTAGACACGGGCCAGCTCTCCACTTCATTCGAGGCAAAGAGACCCTCGAGATCCAATGAACGGTTGTCAGTGTTGTCGATTAGCAGCAGCCAAGAATTGTTGTGATGTGAGAGAAACGGCATCATGCGCTCTCACTTAGCCCAAGGCCTGCAGCTTTGCCAATTCTGCAGGACGACTCCGTGATAGTCTTCCTTGAAGCATCGTGATTGCTCAAGGCTGATGCATATCTATTCTCGTTAGTTCTCTGGAATACTGAGTGTTATTCAAGGCTTCAACATACTACTTTCCGCACTCGCTGGCAAATCGAGAGCAAAGTTGCCTTTTAACCGGAACCTCCAATACTAAACAATACTTCTGACTCCCGCATTTCGGCATCCTTGCATACGTCTTCCGGGGAAAACACACTGCAGAGAGTACTCAACATATCTTCTCGGCGGACGAGATTAGATGTAATCATATGCTCTGGGTAGAAACAGTGATATATAGGAGTGGATCGATGATGAATGGCTGCTGCAATTCAGTAACGAGCCGAAAATCCCCAAGCTTTCATGTTTCTCTGGCCCGAAGCCGTACGAATGCTGTCTCGGCCTGCCTCTTACCGTATTATAACAACCAGGTTCACTGCGTATATATTGGGACTCGACAGTCATCAGCAAGCTCTGGGGAAACCCTCAATACGTCACGGCTCTTTTCCCTTTATTCTACTGCAACAACTGTGAATATAAATCAGTGGAATAGCTAGTCTACGGTTGTGAATCCCGCGACTTCTTCCCGTTGGTCTTGAAACCGACATTGCATCATTTGAGAATTCAACCCTCACGCACGTCTGCGAGCGATACACACCAAATTTAATACGTGGGAATTTTTCTGAAGAGAGACTCTATCCGCGTTGCCGTTTTGTCACGAGGCCTCGAGGTGCTGATGATACTGTGTAGTTTAGGATGATTCCATGGCTGGCGAGGACAGGGGTGTGCTGTCTCAGCCACCACAGGGGCCGTTATTGCTCCGATACACACCACACCTTATTAAGATTTGACCATTCCAGATTGCGTTGTAGGGATTTCAGAAGCCTCAGTGTGTCGAGCTTTGGTGCAGAAAATTCGAATCGACGACGAACTCATTGCGTGCTCTAATACGGCTCGGTTGTTCTTCCTGGAAGAGAAACGTATGAAAGTGCTCCATGAGTGGAGAGATCTCGTGGTCGACAGATGGTGTACTTAAACGTTACCTTTAATCTCATGTCTGCTCAAGATTCCCATGTGACAGTGTGATCGCACGGCTGAAGAATGGCTATCTTTGTAAAGCTTTCAAATTCGCGCTTTCTCTCCATTAAAACAATCGAATGGCAAAGGCCGGTACGAATTCATCCCATGAACGCGTTACCCCTGGGGTGGTACGTGTTGAAGAGTATAGCAAGCTTTTCTTGACGACCACAACTCCGAGTCCGTGACTGATGAAAGCTGGTGGCCGTCTCGGCCTCTCTGCGGATTGTCTGTCTGCACGAAGCTTCCGAAATAACGGCTCTGCCTTTCTCTGCACGTTCTTGAAGCCGTCATCTGAAAAAAGACACAAAGCAATGGCGTTGTATCCATACGTCACATGTCTGCTACCCCGGACGTCACTGGAGAGCAATTCTTGTGACCCGTGGATGCTAGACTTGGGAGCTCTGAGGCATTGTCGTTGACATGGTGGACGACAACGGTGCTATAGATAATTAGACCGAGGTCTCAGCACAAAGCGAGTGGGAGACCTGCTCAGCGAGATTGTCACAACTTTGCTCCTTAGTTAGCTCCTACATCATGGAAATAAGTGAGTCCTAGCGGCACGATTCGACATTAATTTATTCCACGATGCGGCCGTGATAGCTTTAGCCTTCTCACATGAAGCTTTAAGGGGCACCAGGAACAAATTGCGACTATCCAAAGATTTGACAGTACGGAGCGGGAGAAGCACACATGTATTTAATGTTACGTCTCGCTTAGCTCTATCGGTGGTGTATGTAGTAACCCTTCATACTCGCTAGTTCTGACGCATCAGAGCGGCGCAGCTCTTACACCACTTCTCTACCGGGTTGGCTACCAATCGGAATCTCGCGGCCCGTAGGTGTGTGTATGAAACATGATGTTTCAAAGGAGATGTTGCCAAGATGGGCACTGTTGGTCGACACTGGGGACCAAATGGGCCTAATGCAGGCCGCTGGCAACCCTTTGGAAGCCCCTGAGACAAAGTGATGTGGTATTTCCCTGGGCAGTGGGTATTCATATGAAGCTCTGATTGGGTGGCTGCGTCCACTCACGTCGGTAGGGCGCTGACTTGCAAACCAACACTCGAGCAAGCATGGAATTGCATGACAAGGTAACGATGGCTGCCACCAACTGCCTAGGTACCTATCTAGCCAACAGCACAGCCTTCTTTGGTGATCGCTGCAACATTGGATCTCATCCAGCTTCCATACAAGACTTGCGTCTCTTCATCGAAGTCTCAACACAAGAGGCGAGGTTAGTCACCGTATCATCGGTGTCTTCTTCACAGCACCTGTTGTTTTGTCACCCTTTCTGTCATTGAATCGGAAACTTACGAATCTCAAGGTTGTAGCCATGAGTGGCTCGCATCTTCTGGCCAGCTCCTTTGCAGCTGTTACCCCGAAGACTACCATTCACTGGGTGTGGCCGCTGCTTGTTGTGGCAGTAGCACGAATTCTGCATGTCCTGATATGCAGGGTCCGAAACTACCAGGTAGGAAGGAGGTTCTCATCTTAATATTAGCGAGACCAAGTTCTGACCAATCTCAGGCCGATCTTGCTCTTGCACGCAAACACGGGTGTGAAATGCCCCCTGAGCTACCCAAGAGATGGCCATTAGGAATCGACAGGATCAGAGAGCTCTGGAAGTCCAACACAGACGGCCATCTCTTAGCTTTCCTCTGCTCTATTGCTAAGGACTACGATGGCAGGAACAATCTTTGCCAGCACCTTTTATTCGGCCCTCGGGCGTACCACATTCTACATCCCGCCAATGTGGAGTCTCTACTGTCTACGAATTTCAAGGACTATGGTTTCGGATGTAGGCCAGCTGTTTTTGCGCCTCTACTCGGGAATGGGATCTTCACTCAGGAGGGCAGCGCGTGGCGACACTCAAGAGAGCTCCTCCGTAAACAATTCGTCCGGGCGAAGTACCAGAATCTTGAATCATCTTTCTCCGAGCACGTCGATAACCTCATTTCATCTATGCCATCGAGCGGCGTGGTCGATCTCCAGCCCCTCTTCTTCGCTCTCACTCTAGACACTGCCACGGCATTGCTTTTTGGACATTCAGTTCACAGCCTCAGAGCAAACATCGACCAAGCTGTGGAAAACAAGCTGTTTGCAGAGAGTTTTGAGATTGCACAAGAGGGACTTGCCAAGCGGTTTCGAATCGCGCCTTTTCACTTTCTTTACAACCCATCCGAGTTCCGCCGAGCATGCAGAAATGTGCACCAATTTGTGGAAAGATACATTCGTCAGAGAGGCTTCGGGAAGCATGCAAACGATGTCAATCATAGCTCCAGGAATGATAACGCCTCTTCTTGGTTTTTCGACCAAGTCGCCGCTGGCTCACCTTCAGAGGTTGACCTAAGAGACCAACTACTAAATGTCCTGCTGGCAGGAAGAGACACTACGGCGTGCTGCCTGTCATGGACGCTGTGAGTGATCATATACTGCACCAGATTCTCTCCTTCATCTTTCTAATACCCGCGTAGTCGCCTTCTCGTCCGACACAAGCAGGTCATGCAGCATGTCAGGGATGAGATCTCCGAGGTAATGAGAGATGAGATGCATCCGACGAGGGAGCATGTCAAGAAGATGCAATATCTGAACTGTGTTGTCAAAGAAAGTATGTTTTCAAACTTTGGATCGTCCCAGGACCATGCTGACGTCTCGCTCTCCTTAGCACTTCGTCTGTACCCATCGGTACCCCTGAACAACCGAGAGGCGATTAAAACAACCATTTTGCCAACTGGCGGCGGACCAGATGGCGGCAGCCCAATCCTGGTGAGGGCGGGAGAGCTTGTCGTATTCTCTCAATACGTCAACTCCCGCATGAAAAGCATATACGGGGAAGACGCTGAAGCTTTCCGCCCTGAGCGATGGGAGACTGGTGAGCTGTCCGATATTGGCTGGGCATATTTTCCATTCAACGGCGGACCTAGGCAATGTTTGGGAGAAGACTTCGCGCTCATGGAGGTTTCATACACCCTCGTGAGACTACTGCAGGCCTTTCCGACCATCAAGCTGCCGGAAGTTGAGACCATGGAGCCGGTGGGAGCAGAGCGTCAGAGGTTGACATTAGTCCTGTCTAGCGCTGACGGCTGTCGAGTTGAAGTCAATACAGCCGTTTAATTAGTCATTTATGACCGCGCGAGTAAGAGGATAGTCGAAATCAAAAATGCGTTGCGTTCATCTTGAACCTTGAGTATACATCAATTCGTGTCACAAACCAACCATGGGCAAACAAGTTTGAGCCTATGGAAATACCCAGGTGGTGAATGCAGACAGGAACACGCTCGAAATCAAATCAGGCCAGGAGTCCCTTGGGATAAACTTCAAGCAGCGATTGCATTGAAAAGTCAGTACTGGCCTAGATAGTTCAAAATGCTGTCACTGCAGGCCACTTGGTGCAAATGCTTGGTTGATAGAACCTTTCTTTGTTCACTGCCAACTGCCAACTGCCCACAGGGCATTCAGCCTCAGGTCGGATATCCACGCCCTACATCCGAGATGTCAATTTCTGGGCATTCATTTGCATGTAGGCGGGCGTCATTGTTTATGTATAATTTATGCGAACCGGGGGCTTTGCCTATTCCAGCCGCATATCTCGCGAGTCACGTTTCACGCACAACACCCTCCCGCAATCAGAACTCAACACAGGGAGCAATTCCCAATCTCGCATGAAATACGGCCTGTTTCATTTGAAACTGGCTTCCAGTCACTCGCACACCGTCGTGCTCGCGCTCGGGGGGAGGACGCGGGACCCGAGAAATCCGCACATCACCGCCGACTCTGTTCCGCGCGGCGGATCAGTGCATGCCCCGGGCGTCACCAGGGTGTGCATGGGCACGAGGCATGGGAAGTGTGATGCGAGGCAGAGCACTTGCTCACCGGTTGTGATAACGCGCTGGACGGTAGTATCGGAACGCTCCGGCTCTAGAGCCTGTCAGTAAGCACTCAACTGTCGACGCAGATTGAACGTGCAGGGGAATCCATCCTTGGGCGTCGCAAGTGCTGACGCAGGCAGCGGGAGTGCTATACTCGAATGCTACGCGAACAACGCTAATTTCAACTTCAAAGACGATGGATACATGTCTAAAAGCTTGTTAAGCTTCTCATACAGCTAAGCGACTTGTGGGCGTCCCGTTTTGGTTTGTAGAATGGGTAATTTTTGGCTATTAGAATTTAAGGTGAACAATTTAAGTATTCCCTGGGACTCCATATCAATAGACTTCACTTGGCGCTCGCTTTCATATAATATAGTACATGGTTGGGTATATCAATACAGACAGGACCGGTTCAAAGTTACTCAGGCTTGCGGGTCATGTGCCCTTTGAACATCCTCAGGTCCTCCTTGCTCGTACTTGAGCCTCCCCTCTCAGACCCTGACCCAGACCCCGCAGTCGTGACCGGCTCGATCTTGACCCGGACGGTGCTGGTCTTCACTATGCCGCCCGCGCCTGGGACGAGCTTCGTTGTCGATGCGAGGTCGTCATGGGCCTCTTCGTCCTTATCGACGCGTGTGAACATGGTCCCCATGTGGAAGATGTCGCTGCTGCGGCGAAGCGCCTTGTTTGAGGAGCCGATCGTCGGAGGCGGTGCGTGTTTACCGGAGGCCCCAGCCAAGTGCTTCGACGGAGGCAAGTAAGACTCGGTAGAAAGGCCGAGATGATGGACGAGGACCTTAAACAATGGCCTGATGCAGGCCAGGCTACCGGCTGTGATAGCCAGGCCGCATTCGACGGTGGACCAGATGGCGATGTCGACTGTAGCAACTGTTTTGAGCTGTCAGTAAAGGCGAACGCGTCCAAGATGACCTGCGTAGAGGTGCACTTACATAGGAAGTCAGGATTCCTAAATGTCTCAACGTATGCAAGCCGGACGACAACCGCGGAGCTCGCGATGCAGCCCATGCTGAGCAGAGGGACGATGGCGATCTTCATTCTCCGTTTCATGTTAAGCTTGCGAACAATGAAGATCGGTAACAGGGCAAACGTGAAGTCGCAGATTATGTTGAGGCTCGAGTAGAGATACGTGAGGGCGATAATGATGCCGATGGGGATACAAGTGCCGTCTTGGCTTTCCTTGTTCCAGAAGTAAGAGACAGGGTGGCACTGAAGCGTCGTGACGAAGAAAAAGACGAGTCCGGTCATGACGTTGATCATCAGGGCGAAATAGATGAACCAGACCTGGATGCGCTCGACGATAATTCGCAGCAGAAAGATTCCGATGGAGATCTTTGAGAAGATCATAGTCCAGCAGTACCAGATGTAACAGTAGTACCAGAACTATGGAGAGTGAGCGAGTCAGTCGCGTCAAGGACTATATCGTGAAGTCGTAGTTACTAACCTGCATGGCGTTCTCGAAGTCTGACAGAGACAGGTCGGAGGCGTGGCGGCCGGTACCGTAATGCACGCCGATATTTACACATGTGACGAAGAGGACGAACGTTATCGTCGCGGCCGACATGAACCAGTCATCTACACCGAAGGCCTTGACCATGCGTGCGCGTACATAGGCCCTCAGACTGAATGAAATGACCGCCATCGTCACAAGGGCGATGGCCACTCCTTGGAGCGTCGGCCCACGGTTCTCGCTGGCCATTTTCGTCGGATATGGTTGATCGTGAGCGTGAGGTGCGTGAGGTGGAAGTACTTTTCGTTAAAGCGACCTCGTGGTCGCCATTCCCTGCCGGCTTCTTTTGTAGGTTTGGTTTCCCGTCCTCCCTCTTTCCTGAACAGTTGTTTTGTTGGGGGTTGACGACGTTATTAAATCGATGGTTGTCGAGAAGCTATATCAGGAGAGAACACTAGGGGGTGGCCAGTTAAAAGATGGGACAGGAGAAGCCCGCTTACCAAGAGTGCGGTGATGAGCCTAGCGCATATTAAAGCTTACGGGTTCATCAAACGCTGCTACTTGATCCTTGACAGTTGACACTAGACTAGTACGTAGTCTACTGTCCAGACCCCTGGTGCCCTGCTAGAGTGACATGTTCTAAGCCGGACATGCATAAGATTTGCGGGATACTGTAGCATACGAACAGGCGAGACCACAATGTGCAGGGAAACACATATAGTCGGCCGAGCAAGTTCGGACAGGCGGCACATGAAGGAATGTTACTGTGAACTTTGTGATCTGCACCACAGAGGCCTCAAGAGGTGGCGGTCTTGACATCCCGGAGAGGAGCGTTGGAGGTTTGGCTGGAAAACGGTTTCGTCCGCGGCGGGCCTGGGCGGGAATAACCAACAGGGTACGTCTGTCGCTCCTCCGTTGCGGGGCGATGATCTTTGGGCAGTGTTGCATCTTCGCTGCCTCGGTGGTTTGGGCCCAGCATGTTGGTCGCATTGACAATTAACTGGGTCTTCCTGGCCTGCCAGGCCTGCTGGGGAACCATCTGAACGCCATGGGGATTAGTGCTGTGGATTCTTTTCCGGACCCGGGGCGTGGTCCGGAAGCTGGCGCTAGATCTAGTACAACACCAGGCCCTTCTCCGCTTGTTGATGCAGCTGGCGTGTGAAGACGCTCTGCTGTTGCAGTAGCCCCAGCATTGTGGCTGCAGATCCCCACTCGAGCTTGGAACGTCGGCAGCTGCTGGCAATTCTTAAGATGCAATACCGTTCACCAGAGTTCACCTGCAATAAGGCAGGCGTTGGCACATATGCGCTTAGAGCAATAATGCCAATAATGCACCATAGTTGAAATTGGATTTCATAGCTCATGTCCTTTAGCTTTTGCCGTACATGGAGTATCTAATTGCCTGGCCCTGGCGTCTCGTCGGGGTCTCCTGGCCTGACATTGATCGTATCCAAGACTTGACGAGGTGGGATCCATGCTTCGCCAATCTGAATTCGTCGTCGGGTGTACTTGCCGATGGACACTGGGTCAGAGCTTCTCGGGCCGTATGGGTACTCTAATGCGTTCTCTGTGCCATAACTCGTAGCTAGCAGCATGGGCGACGTCACCGTAAAGCGCAAGCTTGTCGCGGCAGATGGAACGCCGGTATAGGCATTGTTACGGTGTGATAATCAGAACGGCGTAGTGCTGCCCCTGCATGTTAAGTTGCTTCGTCTCATGGGTGAGGATGAAAATCCCAATAGCGGCAGAAGCTTTCGGTCGGGAGATATGATTGTGCCATTGTCGGCAGCCCTACACCTGGCTGGGCACGCCCACCGCAGTCTGGGCTCTCATCAAAATAAGATTCGCTGAGAGGTCTGGTGTGAGTTTCGAAGTTCGGCCTGCCATAGAGCTACCAGCACTTCGGAATTGTCCCACAGACAATTCCCACAGACAATTGCAAGTGCCTGGCAGGTTAAACCTTCGCACTCAAAAGGCACCCCGAAACCCTAAAAGACGTTGCTCTGCCGTGCACGGTGGGAGCCAACCACTCGGTCAAGCGGAGCACCCTCCATGATCGTCGAGCTGCAATCTTGAAACACGTCGGCAGCAGGGTGAACTTAACCTTCAGCTGAAGCTTCGGCGACAATAGTCTTGCCCGCCATCCCAGTCCAAAGCATTCGTCTTGGGTACCATTGATGGGCGTGTCGGTCCTTTGAAATGCCTGTCAGTTGCCCCCGACGCTCAGAAATATGCCGACGCCAAAAACGCCATCAATCAGAAAAGGTACGTGCAGACGTGCGTTTTACGAAAAACCTTCCTCGTTGGGGAAGTGTGCCCGACGACGTCGCTTGAGCCTCTGAAACCACGTGGATATTGTAGCATCGCCGCCGACTGGCGTTTCGAAACGGGAAGGCCGTCGCCGCTCACGGCTGGGCTTGACTGGAAAATCAGGGGCCTGGATCCTTCTTGGTCGAACTCTGGCACCCTGAGGCCACCCTGAGGGCAGGGCTTAAAAATACCGTGACATCGCTTACCAGAATTTGCATGTCTAGCACGCGGTTTTGGTGGGCCATGAAAGACTTGGAAAAGTGGAAAACCCCTCGCCTCCAGGCCCCCCAGGAAGCCCCCCACCCAGCGGGCCCAGTCACGGTCACCCTCGTAATCTGCAGTTGGGCACAGTTTCCGACCAGACTATTTGCAGAGCTAGGGACTTGATGAGACTGACAATCCGGCGATCATTGTCCGATTCGGGCCGTCCAGCTAGTCCTGAAGAGTCCCGCACCCCTTTTATCCGGCAGCCCCGGCCTCGCTACCATTATTACGGAGCGTGGACGGCTGTCTATCAGGCTCCGCTCTGGAGCCGGTCTTCTCGCGGAATCGCACGCCCTGGGTGCCTGGTTGTGAGCCCGGACCAGAGTGCGGTCCTTGAGGTCAATCGGCCCTGCGTGGTGGGATTCGGCAGTCTTTGAACTTTGAACTCTGAGGCTCCCTTGAAAGCACGTGGGCAGCGCCATCCTTGCGTACCGGAGAATTCTCTCCCTGTCCCATTTCCGCTTATCGCGCTGCAACGCCGGCGCTGCACAAGCAGGCACGGGGAACAAGCAGCAAGAAGACGTGCCGATGTGCCATCCACTGGACAGGCCCTGAGAACAGGCTAATTCAGGGGTTTTCAGTAGAGTCTGTCTACCATCTCAGAGGAGTCGGCGTCGACATCAATGGACAATCAGCGCGGCCGTGCGCGAGAGATCGGGTGTAAAACCTCCGACAATGGATGTTACTGTGTGGTCGGTTGCGACTGTGACAAGATGCGGCTGGGATCATTCTTGTGCTCGACAAGACTGGCCATTACCGGTTTCCGACGGCTATTTCCGCGCTACTGTGAAATGTCTCGACCCTCGACAGCTTGACGGGAGCGTGACAGCTGCACGCCGGATCGAGGCGAACAAAGGCGGTGACTCTTTTGCAGTGTGATTCTTTGGCAGTCAGGCAGTGTGACTCTATGCCAATGGGGTGTGATTGTGCTGCTACTGCCCCGATGTCTCCTCGCTGAGGAACCCCTGCTACCTCCGCGTCATGGCCGCGGCAAGCGATAATGAGACCAAGAGAGCACTGCGAACATGTGCTACCTTTACCCACAAGTCTACGATGACGGATGTGCAGTTCTAGAGTGCAATACAATCGTGACGCCGTGTCCGACTCACTTGAGTGCTTTCCGAGAGACCAAAAAGCCATGCGAACGGGGGAGAGTGGTGATATCGACCTGTGGTCTACGTCCACACCATGCCGGGAAACCGCCGAATCCTGCCGCGTCAGGGGCGCCACCAGCCCCAGCTGCCCGAGGCAGTCCCCAGCATTCAAACGCACTACGAAACGCCGTCAAATCGGAATCGACTGAGGATTCAGCTCCTTCCGGCACTGATTCTGCAGTGTCAACGTCAGTGGGTGGGCAGATGAAGCCAGGGATTGGCCGATTGTCGCGGTTTAGCTGGACAAGTGTCTGGAGGTGAAGTCGATATGGTTCGGAAGCCGGGAAACGTCGTGTATGATAGAGGTAAAGAAACCAAGGAAGAATGAGATTTTCCTGGAATTCGTCACTCGCAAGCCACGAAAGACCGTGCGGGCAGATGTGATGTGTCGTTCGCCAATTTTGGACAAGCGCAGCCGCCAAGGCGTAGTCTGGATGTGCAAGCGTTGTTGCCCAACGCAAGGCGCCATCCGTGTTCACAACATATATCGAGCTGGACCAGCAGATACGCGAGATGATATACGCAAGGTTCATGTTCTTACTAGTATCGCGGAGGACCGGTATCCGAGGAATTGGGAAGCACGCAAAGAAGGCGTGGCAAGAGATCATCATTATGCTGTGCTTTCGGACTCGGAGCCCCTGGAAAATCTTTCATCATTCTCAGGGGAAAAGCAGGCCCCCGGAGCTATGTGGCGACTTCCGGTGCTGACGGTCTCATTGCCTGTGACACGTCCGCAGGTAGCTTTGTCTGCGAGAATATTCTTTAGGAACTTTTGAATTCTGCAGTGTAATATTCGAACAGCCCAATTAGCGATCGTGAAAATTCCCGAGGGTTTATAGCCAAACGTCAACAGAGCAATTCGAAATGAATGTGTTGTAATTGCAAGCTCAAGTGATTCAAGCTGGTAGAAAGTGTCATGCAAATAAGGGGTTCAGAATCATTCATTGACTTCTGTTCCGACTTCTTGAACCAACTCAGTGTTCTTCAATTGCTTATAGCTGGTCTCTTATCAACTTGTGAATCTTATGAATTGACGTATCTAAGCAGATGCGAAGCTTGCCCCAAGGCTACCTTCCCAGACTGCCCTAATGAACGTCGCGTTGCCTGCTAATCATTTCTCCCCGCCTCTCTTAGGTTCAGCATCCGACCCAAACCTGAGAGTCCCCAAAGGTCGTTGCGTCTGAGTCCCCGTTCAAGACAAATTGATTCAAAGGCAATAGTCCGCGTCTTTGCTGTCAATACCGCCACAGCCTTTGTAGCAATAGTCGCGGTAGCGAATGTCCCCGTTGCTGAGACAGTCAAAAAGGGAGTTACGGATATGGACATCGTCGGTCGACTGGCCTTCGGCATCGAGAGTCTCAACAATATGATCATGGTAATTTCCTGGAGGTAAAGACGAAAAGACGAGTTTTAGCCGCAGTACATTTGACACGCCACCGAGAGCGCCGCGGGAATTGCCCAGCCTCGTCTCTGGGGAGGGCCTGCCCACTCACCTCTCTTCAGCAGAGATTGTCCGCAGTAGACCCCGCCTTGCTTGCAACTTTTGGCAATGACAGCGACGTTCGCTCCAGCGAGGATGGCGGCGACGATGCTTGTAAGCTTCATGTTTGCTCAGTGATAACTCGGAGAGTGATTTGGAGAATGTTGGGCTCTAAGATCTGGAGTATAGTCTTGTATTGGTGGTGTGCAGCGTAGTTGATACTCAGAACCAGACTATTAAGTTGCATTCATGTGTGTCGGATCAATGATCTCTTATAGTTGGAATTCTACGGCACACGCTGGATCATGTCTGATCCCTCGGGCCAAAGCAACCAAGCCTTTCACCCTTCTAGGTATCATTTTTCAACCGCTGGCTTTCCAACGCGTCGTCAAATGTAATTATGTCTTAAAGCTTGCTGACGGTGAAGCAACACAGACTGGAATTGAATGACAATGTCTCTGACTGTCACGGCTTAGTGCTTTACGGCTCCCAAGACTGGTCATATTCGGATGTCTGGTGCGAGATGTAATTTCAATGGTATTCAACAACAGAAGAAGCCGCTCACAGAATTTCGGACACAGACTTCCAGTAGTTGGGTGAAAGCGAGGGTGCTGACGTGAGCGGTTGAATCTCGCCCATATGAGATCCTGCCCAGGCATACGAGGCTATGGCCTCAGTATTCAAAGAGAAATCGGTTACCTAGGATCGTGGTCATGTAACAATAAATTTGGCGTGATATTAACAGCATATGTTGATCGCCTCGATACCGCAAGTCTATGTAGTCTTGACCCAGGCATATAAAGAGCTTTTAATTTAAAACATTGTCATTCTTTATATCGTCAAAGCTTGACAGCTTGGGGGCAAGGCCCGAGAGATAATTACGACGAACTCGACACAGTAGCGCCAACGTGGGCATGTCATACCTGTCGATGCGGTATCTTTGTGGGAGCTTTTTGGAGGTTATTTGGTCTATTATGCTGGAGTGGTGGTAACTGGCGATGTTGCTGTACATGCCAGTTGACGAGTGCTTCGTTGTCCGGCACTATACAAACCACGTCGTCTTGATTTGATTGAAACGCAGCAGCCTCTACACATCTGCATCTCACCATCCTCGGTCAAGATAGCTGGGCCACATTTCGTCAAGCGGCGGCATGGTGCTGAGGACGAGCAGCGGAAATAGGCTGTTGAAGCAACCAGGCAGCTACCATGGCAGTCAAGTTGATTAGTCAGCCGAGGAGGTCACAGGACAACCGGGGCCAGCCGGGACACCGTGAGACCTTCAGTAGTTCACAACGCCGAAGTTGGAGGAACTGAAAGTCGATGGAGCCAGCCGCCAGAGTGTTTGTATCAAACTAAATCTTGGCCTTGAACTCCCCAAGACTTCGGTCAGCTGATTATTGCTCACATGTCTGTCGCTCGCCTGTTTTAGGACGCCTCAACCCTGGTCCGTAAGATTCCGGAAGTCGGCCTTGCTTGGCGTGGAGTTGCCGGTCTGCTGGCGTGACCTCATTGTACAGTTACTTGAGAGACGCAGGAGACACGCAGGAGGGACCACTGGGTGGAACTTTGGAGTACCACCAACTCGCGGACTGCTGTGCTCCTTCCAAGTAGACTATCAGCTACGGACGCCTCAGAAAGAGATTCTTGTACAGATTTCCAAAGAACCTTAGAGCCCACTAGACGCAACAGCAGCGCAACAGAGGCACCATGTGCATCGTCGTCCTCACCACCGCGCATCCCAAGTATGCCCTCATCGTGATCGACAACCGAGATGAGTTCATTCTTCGGCCGACATCACGGCCACACTGGTGGAGCACACGAGCTTCCCGGCAGCCATCCAGGACGCCCACGCCGGACCCATCGTCCAAACAGACAAACGTTAATGGCCAACCCCCGAATGGCGAATCCGGAGAGATGCAACACATACTCTCATCTCGAGATCTACAGCGCGCTGAACGGGGCACATGGCTCGGCATCACCAAGTCGGGCCATTTCTCGGTGCTCACCAACTACCGCGAGCTCAACCCCGACAAACTGTGCCAGCCGGTCAGCGGGCAGCGAAGTCGAGGGGTAATGGTCTTATCATGGCTGGAAAACTCAGCAGAGTGCAGTGTGGGCGACTATGTGGAGGCCGTCATGGAAAGCGGCGGCTGTCAAGGTGTGGGAGGCTTTTCGCTCATCTGTGGAAAGTTGAGACGGAGACGCGAAGGGGGCGAGGACGGCTTGGAGCCAATGGCGATCCTGTCAAATCGTGCCGAGAACCCTGACCAGATACCGTGGATCGTGGGGCAGAGAGGCGAGACAGTTGGGCTCAGCAACGCAGCGTACGATGACCCTGAGGAATGGCCGAAGGTGAAAAACGGAAAGGCCCTGCTCAGCCAGGTCGTGAACGAAGCGGTCGAGAAAGACATGAAGGAGGAGGAATTGCAGGAGAGACTCTTCTGGGTCCTGGACCAGAATACTCTCCCCACCCACCCGGGCAAGAGCCTCGAAGAACACCTCCCCGAGCTCAAAGAATCTATCTTCATCCCGCTGATAGGCGATTCGAAACACCAAGACGACATGGTAAAAGCGGCGGCTAATGGGACAGTCGAGGCCGATCACGCTGACGCTGAGGTGCGAGAGAAATTGTCCAAGGTCGTGGGGACCGAGCGACCAGACCCTCAGACGGGCTTCGCAACGGGCATGTACGGGACGCAGAGGCAGACACTCATCCTGGTGGACTGGGACGGCAACGTGACATACACCGAGAGGGCATTGTGGGATTCACAGGGCAACGCTATAGAAAGAGGCAAAGGAGACATGACCTTCAGGTTCGGCATCGAGGGGTGGGAGTAGACTGGGTATGGCACAGGATGGGATGGGAATGACAAGACTGATGAATGACACGGTTTGCATTAGCATTGATGGATATCTCCATAGAAAGAAAGAAAGATTATTCGAGCTGGACCGTGGTATTGTGCGTGTCGCCTCCTTCAGCCAGCGGCTTTCTACCCTGGCTTCAGCGAGCAGGCTACAAATGTAGAGACTCAGCACGTCTGCCTACCTCTACCTTGGGCTCATTGTCTGAGAAGGAGCTTGTTCATTGTTCCTTACACCTGAAGACCCTGTAAGCGTTGGGCAAGAGGTAGTCGCGCCTGCTGCCTCCGTTTCTGCTCTCTGAAACGAAACTCAATCTGCAGAAGGCACCGACCAGACCAGCAGCCTTGGACTTGCCCTCCATTGTGGTTTTCTCCAAGACAGTGAAGGCATCTGCTGTCTCATCTAGGTGAGAACAAACACACTGGCTCCCTTGCTGTCATCCACGTTTCGCTGTGTTCTTTGTTCACTATTCGCTTCCCAGACACCACCGTCACCACCGCCGCCCCTTCATCCTGCATGTTGATATTGCCACAGAAAGTCCCAAGAACAGCCCCCTTACATCACCCACGACCCTGCTACGCCTCCACTCATCATGACTACAGATATCCGCCAAACAAGTGTGAGCCCACATGCGCTTGACTGTGCGATACCCACCCCAGACTCCGACTGTGACTGCGACTCCAACCACGATTCGGACAAGAGGCCATACCCACAACAACCAGCTGAGATCACCCAGGTCTTCCGCTTCCTAACCTTCACCTTGAAGGAGAGTATTCAACAGACCCTGCACGCCTTGCTCCAGAGCTTCAAGTGCACCTACCTGCTTGTGTCTGAGCTCCACAGACCCTACCTCGACTCTGTCCGCGTCCTGGTCCCCCTGTGGCTAGCTGTTATCCACGCCATACTTCTCGTCTTCTTTGTTCTGGCCCACAGAACTGCCACTGACGCCATCCAGTGGCTTCACGACACGGTAGGCGGACCACTCGCACGATTCACAACATGGATCGGCCACAACGTTCCTCGCGTCTTCCGACGCCTCGCTTGCCGTTCAGGAAGCGCCCAGTCATCAGTGCTCCATTCGGACCCGTCCAGCACAATGCAAGAATGATCATTCCATCGCGCCCAACTACTAATTCTGACATTTCTGCCGATAATATTGGTAAGACGATTTTCGAAGACCCGAAGGGCAAGCGGGTACCTGGACGACCACCCACGCCCATCACCAAGACTCTTGAGGACTCGACACCACGACCTTTATCGAAATCACGTACCTTCAATGTCTTGTCTGGAATCACAGCATCCTTTTCTCGATCTAGCTTAGCTCCCAGTCGTCGGACCACTGCTTCATCGAACGGGTCCACGGTCTCTCTCGCCCAGACCGCAACGACGGAGACGTCACTATCCAAGGCGCCTCCTGCCACTCGGCTTCCAATTTCGAAGAGTGGTCGGTTGTCTCTGGGGTCGCACAAGTCGGAATTGCACCTTTCTCAAGATCCTTGCTGCATCTATACCGAGCAGCCCTCAGCGTACTGGACCGGCCGCTTCAATTCTCTGCACGACAAGTTTCTGGGCGAGTGCCTCACCTCCAACAATCTGCAAAGTCTACTTGGCGCACAAGCCGATCGCGCTGTGACGCGAAACCAGCAGCGACAGCCACATCTTCTGCGGGAACCCCAATACACCCGATTCAATACCCGTCTTCCCCCATCCGCCACCTCCGCCGCCGTACTCCAACAGACTACTGGCAGCGGCTTGGGCGCCGACACGAGCAGCAACCAGAGCTTGGCGATGCATGCCGCAGATGCCGAGTTGCTGCTGGACGATGACGAGCGGTGCAAGCGGGTGTTTATCCACCTGGAGGCCTTTTGCGCCACTGACGATGCCCGGAGGAGCCTGTTCGCCTGGCGGCAGGACTTTGCGCGCAAAACGAGGCGTCCGAAGCTCCTTCCGAGGGGCGGTACAATGGAAGATCGTCTGTGGGGCTCGTACATCTCGCGCATGGGTGTGAAAAGGATTGGCAAGAGGGCGAGTATGTACTAATAATCGAAAAAGAAAGGAGGGACTGTTTTCGGATTGGCTTTGGCGTTGAGCAAAAATAAGCATGGGCACTACTGGTGTTTGTCTGAGAAGCATTTGCTATTTTCACTTTGCTCACAGGAAGTTGCTCATATCGGCGTTCGGCTGGCTGCTTTGTTTACGAATTCATACACAGGCGGTACTGTTGCAGGGTACTGTTGTGCTATTAGCTTGTTTTCATATTTGGCAGGCAGAGGGATGATGAGCAAATAAAATTACCAGGTTAGAGGAATGTCATTGAACAATGACCCAGTGGAGTCAACAGGCAAGATATCTCAAGGTGACGATTTATTTTTATGCAGTAACAACAACGAGTTTTCCCAAAGCGTTCGAGTGATCTATAGCAACGCAGGACAAATTGTTGTTGGCCCTGCCGGGTATCCCTCCCAACGCCATTTCTCTGAAGCAGATAAGCCTCCTGCCTTTCTTTTTCCTCCTTGAACGCCATCCGAAAAATACCCTTTCCAAGAACCGTGTATGACCGAGCAATGGACAGTCGATAATACTCACTCACCAGACCACCTCAAAGCTCATGTGAACACCAAACAGCCATGGGCCTCTTTGGACAGAATTCACATCTGCAGCACACCCCTAACAGTGTTGCCAAAGAGCATAGGCCGGTAGATGCCAGACCCCTTCTCCGGGCTGATCAGAACCTTGGACTGCTGGACGCCGCCGCCGATCCCGATAAGAAGGTCCGCGGTGGAAGAGGCGTTCCCCTAGTTCGCCTTCTTCCACAGTCTCAGGTAGTCGGCCAGCTGCTCGACCTTGCTGGCGAAGAAGGTCTGGCGCGAGTCGCTCTTCCAGACCAGGACGCCGATCTCCTCGGCGTAGCGCGAGAGGGCGTCGTACTCGGCCTTGGAGTCGAAGTCCTTGAACAGGAAGCCCGGGGTGGCGCGCATGCGCTCGTTCTCGAGCTGCCACAGGCGGATCTGGTCGACGACGGTGGGCGGCAGGACGGGCTTGGTGTTGAGCTGCGCGACGCGGTGCATCTGCTCGTGCGCGTGCGTCGCCAGGTACGACACGATCTGGTCCGCCGTGATGCCGTAGCTGATGGCCTTGCGGATCGAGTCGCGCGTCAGCCGGCCCGTCACCATCCCCGAGAAGCGGTGCCGCAGGTGGCAGAAGAGCGAGAGCACGCAGATCTGCAGCGGCGACGTCGTGTACGCGTAGATGCGGTAGTTGGTCTCGACGATGATGAAGCCCTTGTGCTGGCCGGTGTCCCCGCCCCCGCCACCGCCTTCGCCGTGGCCGGCTGCTATGGCGGCGTCGAAGCCTGACGACACGCTGCGCAGTGCCGACGCACCGCTCGTAAGGGTTGTGGCGAGGCGGGTCGGGAAGTATTGGTGGTGATTGCTCGTGTCTATGTAGACTAAGCCAAAATCCACCAGGTTAGGAAGCATGTTCTGACGCTTCTCAGTCAGCGCGTTCGTGTCGTATGCCCTCCCTAGCTCTAAGCTGGCAAGCATGAACAGGAAGCTCAACATATCCACACTGTCCAATTTGGACTCCCTGCCAGCCTGCTCTGCCTCCTTGCGTGCCTGGTCAGCCGCCTCTAACCATTGCAATAGCAGCGTCCACACTTGCGCGTTCGCCTCTTGCAGCAGGAACGTGAAGCCCGACTGTGTAATCCCAACGCTGCCCAGTCCCCTCCTCTCGACTAGGCGGCCAGCCACCAACAAGTCTTTGACAGAGGCCTTGGGCCCTGAGGATCCAGATGAGCTCTCGCCCCCCATTGCGACACTGTTCACGACGAAGTGTAGTATGTCGTCCCACTTCTTACGCGCATACTTGTCGAGAAAGGCGATGTCGACGTGTTCAGGCACCGGCAGTGAGCTAGGCACGCCAAAGCTCTGATGCTCGCCACCACCTTCGAGGGCCAGGCGCAGCGAGTTCTTGAAGTTGGTGGTCAGGGCCATCTCCTGGGGCTTGTCCTTGACGGCCATCGATATGGACACTATGTGCAGGCGCCGCAGGACGCCAAGCGCATGATCGCGGTCCTTCTTGGAATCGGGCTTGACCCAGGTGTCGAGGTCGTCGAGCAGGAGAGGGGTGGGCATGTACAGGATCGCCATGACGAAGGTCTTGGCGAGGTTCGGCAACATGCGCCGGAAGATGGCAAAGGCGGTGGAGGGCTGTTGGTAGAGGCGCCGGAAGATGGCTCCGGAGAGCTTCTCCAGGTAGTCGGAGAGGGTGAGGGAGGGCGTTGCGGACATGATGGGCTTTGTTCGCGAGGACGAGGAAGGTGAGGTAGGAAGTTGGTCGACGTCTGCCCCGGCGTGTCAGAGCCGTTGGAAGATTTGAACGAGGGCGCTCTGCTATAGCATTACTTGAATGTTGACATTCCTTGGCGTATCCTCCGATGACACTGCCCAAACCGACTGCGAACAGGCCTGCTGGGTGGAGTGGTAAGGAGGACACAGCTTGCTGTTGCCCGTAGTCGGGATCTAGAGCCTAGAATCGAAATGTTGTAGTCGTGAGCCAGGCACAGTGTGTGCTCAAGCTTCCCTTAGCCGTCGGCAGGGATAATTGCAGGGGGTGGGTCGGTCCCCGCCAACAGCAGTGACCAGCGATAAGCTCCTGTGACGTCTGGAGCTCCCCAGTAAGAACCCCCAGCCAGAGACCAAGCCGGACGGCTAGCTTCACAAGTCAACCTCACTGGGCTCGGACTTCGTTCTCTGTTTCTTAGGATCTCACAATTACAGGCCTCCCACGATTTTGTGACAATTTGATCATGTCGAGCATTTTAAGAGCCGAGAATTTCGTTCCAAGGGTATGTTACTCAGCTTCCAGTCAATTAGATTATTGCTGGCATGGACTGATGTACTTTACGCATCCCATAGGTTCTGAAGAACTTCATGGCAACATCTGGTCTGGAACCAACGTGTGTGCCATTTTCCCTGGTTTCTTAAAAACACAGAGTATGCTGACAGTTTCCAGGTTACTAGGAAATAGAAATGTGAGAGTTCAGGTGTGATGTTCCTCTATGAGGACGACTTATACTCATCACGACTCCTGCTTCGTTCAGCTGCGCATCGTTGCTGCCGGTCCCGGCAAGGTCACATTTGATCTCCATATACACAAGCAACACACGGTAAGAGAGGACTTTGAGACGTAGATACGAACTTGACATTTCCAAGCTCGGCAAGCTGACGCGTCGCAAGAATCGCTTGAATATCCTGCATGGCGGGACCATCGCCAGCATGGTTGACCTTGGAGGCTCGCTTGCCGTCGCCTCCATGGGGCTGTACTCTACTGGCGTCTCAACAGATCTGAATGGTACCTGAATTCGCGTTGCGTTGCTTATCCCGGCTTGGATGGCTGACAGTGTCTCTTCTAGTATCGTATCTGTCTGCCGGTGGCAAAGCAGGTGACAAGATCAGAGTCATTGCCGAATGCGAGAAGAGTTAGTGTCACGGCTTTCTGTCCATCAAACTTCACAATAATAACACGATGACTACAGTGGGTAAGACTCTGGCATACACGCACATGAAGTTCTTCAACAGCAAGGGAGACATGTTCGCAAGGGGAAGCCATACGAAGTACGCACCTTTGATGAACCTACTCGCGTCTAAAGAGCGACAACATTGACTTTGTTTAGATTCATCGAGAAGGCGCGTCAAGATCAATCAACCCCGTACGCCCTCCCAGCATGGGACTCAGGAATAGATGATGGGGAGAAAGAGCCCTAAGTATGGAATCGCAAGGCTGAGCTGGCTCATGAGAAACTTAAGGGGTTCACTCTTAGAGCACACCGGCTGATACATCCGACAACCCCTTTAGCGGCCGGCACTCAATAATAGGAAGAGAACTATAGAAAGGAGATAGATCTTGATACATTTGTCCATGACTTTTGCGAGCCAGATAAACCACACTCCGAAATCTGGCCGTCGAAATCTGGCCGTGGGTGCGTGGCTGATGGGACCTGAACCAAGCAGTTGAGGCAATTTGAGACTTGACAAAGTATCTGACCCCTGTCTGCATTCAGCTGCGCACACTCCAATAATTCTTGCCTCAATTCAGTATCTCCATCTTCGAGGAAAAGTTTGTGGCGGTTCAAGAGTCCTAGCATGGCAATTGCACGTCAAGAGTTGACAGACGCTGGTCCTTCTTGATCTTGACACCTGAGGCCAGCATACCTTAATAGGTGGATCCAGTATTTAGCGGGGTTTGGAGTCGCTTAAATTTCAGTGCACAGAATTTTCCTCTCACCACAAACCACTTTGACTCCCAAAAAAAACCACTTCGCAATGGTGTCCAAGACAGATCTTGTCAAGGCCACGATGTCTGAGGGATGAGGTCTTTATTGAACGAGGCTGAAGAGCCTCAAGTTGAGACAGCTACGATCCAGGGTCCAGCCCCATTGGCAACCAAGGGACCGGGCGTGCGGGTGGGGTCGGTCTTGCAAGCTTGCAGCTGACAGCGGCAGCCTCAAAAGCTCGCAGAACGAAATGGAATCGTCTGGATTTCTTCCATGCGGTTCCGGCTTCCTGATCACCACCACCACCACCACCGTTACCACATCATTTACACCTCACCCTCCTTCCACAGCCTGACCTCCCACTCCTGCGCGCCAATACCATCGAATCACATCAGCACAGAGAGCTCCCACCCACTTCAGAGTCTAAAGGTATGTGTGTCCTCGCCGTTTCTTCCCACATTACCTCCACCACCACCACCATGTCTACGTGATGAGATTCGTAGCTGGCACCAGTCATAGGGGTTTTTTGTACTCTCTCCCTTTGATGATCAAGCTCTTGAATATAATTCATTTCTGAACGACACTCTCCCAATTGGCAAACTACAACGCATTTGTATGCCACGGCAACATTGACTAACATTCCTTCTGGAACCAGACTTGAACCCAACTGCCCTCCTCCACCTGCGCGACTCAAGTTTACCCTTTATACACCTCCAAGATGGTCCTCCATAACCCCAACAACTGGCACTGGGTCAACAAGGATGTCTCGGAGTGGGCAAAAAACTGGTTCACAGATAACCTGACCAAGATCGAGGTGGAGGATGGGGGCTCAAAGGTTAAGGTCAGCAAGGTCATAACCTGCGACGGTGATGTCGACGTCAGTCAGCGCAAGGGCAAGGTGATCACAATCTACGACGTGAAGCTGGTCCTCGAGTTCTCCGGCTCTGCCCCCGAGGCAGACACGGTTTCTGGCACCATCACCGTGCCCGAGGTGGCACACGACACAGAGGAGGACGAGTTCGTGTTCGAAGTCGATGTGTACTCTGAGTCGAAAGAGAAGCAGCCTGTGAAGGATCTCATCCGGGCCAAGCTCATCCCGCAATTGCGACAGGAGTTTGTCAAGCTCCCGTCTGCCCTCATTGCCGAGCATGGCAAAGACATCCAGCACGCGCCGGGCTCCAACCCCTCCAGTGGCTTCTCAACTCCCAAATTCCAACCAAAGGCTTCCGCCCCCGAGCCATCCTCAACGACCGTGAAGTCGAGCAGTGGGAACGTCGTGAACACCACCACTGTGAACGACAGTGAGGAGTTCCGCACAACCGCAGAGGAGCTGTACAAGACGTTTACCGACCCCCAGAGGATCGCAGCCTTTACGCGCGCACCGCCAAAGGTCTTTGAGGGCGCAAAGAAGGGTGGCAAGTTCGAGTTGTTCGGGGGTAATGTGGTGGGCGAATACCTGGAGCTTAACGAGCCCACCAAGATCGTGCAAAGCTGGAGGCTGCAGCAGTGGCCAGCAGGACACTTCTCCAAGCTGGAGATCGAGTTTGACCAGAACGATGTGGACTCTGTGTCAGTGATGCGAGTCAACTGGACCGGTGTGCCAGTGGGCCAGGAGGAGGTCACCAAGGAAAACTGGCAGAACTACTACGTGCATAGCATCAAGAGGACTTTCGGGTAAGCTGCAATAATCCACTCGTTTGGCTGAATTTACGTGAGTACTAACAATATGATAGCTTCGGTACCATTCTTTGATCTGCCTGCGCGCACAGAGATCTGAAACCAGCGAGATCAACGTTTCCCCCGCTAGATGGCCAAAAGAACCACCGAGTAGAAATAAATAAATAAGAAAAAACCCAAATAATTCTACAAGACAATCTCTGTCTCATTTGATGCGGAAGTGACTCCCCAAGAGTGGGGACAGGATTAAAGATTGCTCAATGCGTGAAGCCTGATCAAGGTCGTTTTAGTGTCCTCCGAGGCCTCCTAGAAGGATGCTGAGTAGTAGCAGCTGACATCCCACCAATCCTTTCCTGTAGCACCTGTGGTACAACAAGCCCGGCTCGGTTTACCTGGCTGCCTGCTTTTTCTACTTGTCACAACTTTCTCAAACCTGTACGACGAGGCTGGTTGATGGTAGAAATCAATCCGCGATCACTCAAGCTGATCAACAGCTACCATGTCTACGCAATCGATGCCATACATCATAAGACTGCTTGGATCTACAACTATTCGAGTTGTCCGCATCTCTCCTGGCCTTTGGAATGAACCAATAAGATGCAGACTCGATTATCGTGAACTTAATGACACTTCTGAGCGCTCATACGAGGCCCTATCTTATGTATGGGGCCGGGACTCACCTGAGTTCTCAGATGGGATCTATCTGGAAGGTGTCCTGTTCCAAGTCACTGTTAATCTCTCCCGCGCTCTGAGATACCTGCGAAAAGCTGATGAAGATAGATACCTGTGGATAGATGCGTTGGTAAGCCCCTACTCATCCATCTTCGCTCCGTTCCCAAGTGCCCGCTTTCCTACTCCACCCCGCTTACTTCTGTTCAGTGCATCAATCAGGAGGACTACAGAGAGCGGAGTTCACAAGTTAGCATCATGCGGACAATCTTTCAGAATGCCGAACGAGTTATTATCTTTATGGGCGACGCGAGGGGCCACGAAGGATGGCGGTCCTACATTGCACAGCCTCCCACCACTCCGGTAATGACACTTTACGGAAACGAGCAAGACGAGCCATTTCTAGTTGGATTTTGGGACTTCTGCCAATCGATTCAGCAGGAGAATCTCGTCTCACCCGGGTCAGCTGCGGTCTTCGCTATGGGTCTAATACGCCTATTCTCTAACCCAGACACTATCAAGCAAAGCTGTTTGGGACTCATGAAATTAACAAAAGGAGTCAGAAAACACATTTTTGACTGCTTAAAGATCTTCGCTTCAAGTCCATGGTGGAACAGAATTTGGGTTATACAGGAGGTTGTTGTAAATACGGCCGTGATTGTTCAGCATGGTACCGTTACAGCAACCTGGGAAATTCTTGCTCGAGTCGCTCACGCCTGGTCCTTGCCAGAGACCAGAAATCAGGTGGAACAAACAGGCCTGGAGCCAGAGAATCTAAGGGTCCTGGCACTTTTTAGAAGCCATGTGTCCAGCCTCGAACGTATACGAAGGAGATGGCGTATCGAGGGTGGGACCCCTTTACTTCGCCTTCTGCAGGAGTTTTCCGATCGCCAAGCAAGCGACGATCGTGATAAGGTGTATGGCCTTCTCGGCCTTGCGAACCAGGAACACCAAATAAGGCCCAATTATATGTGTAATGTCTTTGAAACATACAGGATTACTGTTTTAACGCTTATTCGGGAAGAGAGTTCCCTTGCCTGTTGGGCCGGCAACCAACAGAACAAAGGGGATAATCTTCCCTGGTGGGTCCCGGACTGGAGCTTCGCCTTGGATCCTGGAGATAAACGTCGCGCGGAACTTCCTAATGGTTACAATGCGAACCAAGGGTGGACTCTTCGGATCATCGACAACGAGTCGGATTACTGGGCCGCTGTCGTCAAGCAGATGCGGCAACTCGTCGATTGTCCTGCGGCTCAGTGTCACAACTTGCCAGCATCACTGTGCCCATCGCTGCTTCGTTATATCGAATGTCTGGACCTGCGAGCCAAATTAGTGGCTTTCAATGAATTCACCCTCCGACTACCACGTTCTGTTGGAGAGCTTTTTCAGTTGTGCGTGGACGAAGATATTGATATCTCCCCTAGCTGGCCTCTGCGGATCGTGGATGAGGATAAGCAGTCCCGGCTTTGGGGAAAATCTTTCGCCGCATTGCCGCTTGATGATCTTCCAGACGATGTGGTGCATCAGCTCGAATCCCTGCGAGAGGCGGTACAAGACCAGACTGGAGACACAGAGGACAGCAAAGAAGCTGCGAAGTCTTCCATTCTGAAAATTCATTCGCTCTTTTTCGGTATTCAGGGCGAAAGGCCTATTTGGTACGAGTGCTTTGACAAGCACATCCTGACGGACGAACAGAGGCACATCAAAAGCGCCATAACAGACCTCATTGACCAGTGCCAGCGGTTACTACCATTGTGTGGTGAGTATCTTTCCTGCTTAACTCTAAGCGACAATTGTGACTCTTGGTTAGAAGTCGTGCCCTTATTTTACATGTCAAAGAAGGGGTGGAACAGTAAAAGAAACAGGCACATGTGGTAACCATTGGAGATATTTTTTCGTAGACTGACGGTAAACCAGAAGCAACAGACGACTCTATCCTTCCATTCGAGCTTTTCAAAACTTCCTATACCCTCCAAGACTCAGCATTCTGGCTCACCGAGTTTCAATCCCCGAGGTCACTGGATCCAGCATGGAAATGGAGGCCCAACCCGTTCAAACGTCCAATTCCTAAGTTGCCGGAGGAATTGCTGACAATTCAAACAAAATACGTAGACAAAGTCACGGATTACGTATCGCAGCCGTTCAATTATTCGTGGTCAGATGCGAAGAAAGTGTCGCTGGAGCTAGCTCGGTGGTTTACCTCCTATTGCCATCATCTCAGGCTATCCCCTCAGGAAACTGATAACGAGTCAATACGAGCTTTTTGTTGGACTATTGTTGGCGGCGTCTGCAGTCGTGCTGACCGCTACCAGGCGGCTGGCGCGATTGGTCTCAGTCCTCTAGAAGATTGGTTCCAGAGACTCCTCAGGGCTTTACGTGGAACATCCGACTGGTTCGAGTCCGTGGAGGCTGACATTACGCACGACGGTGTCGACGAGGACTTGTTCACTCCCCCAAGCCCGTTCTTCGAAGATATCAGGGTTGCCATAGACGGCCGTGTCTTCTTCTTGACCGCTAATGGTTCGATGGGCCTGGGGCCTGCATCAATGGAGAGGGATGATGTGATTCACGTCTTCCCCAGCGGCCGCACGCACTTCATCCTCCGGGAGGACAGTAGTTGGGAGGCCTCCATATACCACACCGTATACCCCGACTGCCCGAGATGGGTGCTGTCCCCGGCTACGGGCCATTATGAGCTCGTTGGCGATTGCTACCTGCATTCTAGTGACGCACTAGAGACACAGAGTAGAGGCGGTGACAATGAATTTGTAAAAGGGTCTCTCCCATTTGAATTACTCGGATCCAACTACTTACAAAATATGTCATCAGGGATTCAGACGGTCGCATTGATATAAGGCAATTCGAAAGATTAACCAGAGGACTCAGCACTTGTGCAATGGATATAAATGAATCATATTGATCCACCTCATAGGGTGATGCTGCCAGATGCGAGACAGCTTGAGTACAGTTTGCAGATAATCTTGACGGTCGTAAAAGACATGCTCGTAGACTTCAGACACTTGCGATCTTCCACCAGTTGCATCAGCATGTCACGTAAGGCCTTCTGAGATTAAAGTTCAACTATTCCAACTACGTGATGATGGGGTGTATCATATGCGTATCTCAAGGCTTCGCTTGAGTTCCGCCCAGGTCGCTTCAAACAAGCGCGCTCGACGGATAGCGCGCGCGGCAGAGGCCGGAGCTTGGGTGCCCGAGAGCGACAGGTCTCCCCGATCTCCACACCTCCGCCGACCGGCTCCGATTTTCGCTCAGCCTCAAAACACCGCTCCGTGCATAAACTTCATGATCTTTGCTCCTACTAGGTCAATCAACCACAACACAGGGCATCGCTCTCTGTCATTTCAGCCGCCACTCGGCCTCGACTCCAGACAACAGCGTTTTCAAAATGGCGCCTGTCTACAAGTTTGCGCTGATTCAAATGCAGCCCAAGGTCAGTTGGTCGGTTATCTACGTCATCTTTTTATATGGCCAGGTTCTTGTCTCTGGTCTCGGTGGCGAGGACAGGACTCTTGATAGCTTCTTCTATGACGGCTTGGGCGAATGCAGCTAGTCTTGGAAATAATCCTGCAGAGACGGGTGTCCTCTATGAATTGATGACCATTAATTCACACATCTTTGACACTCACTCACCCATTGGGCTCTCACGAGACTGCACTGCTGACCATCATCTATTTCCCCAGCCCGTCGACCCAGCCGCAAACTTCGCAAAAGCAGAATCAGAGATCCGCAAGGCTGCGGCTAATGGATGCCATGTCGCCGTCCTGCCTGAATACCATCTCACCTCCTGGGTACCAGAGCACCCAGATTTCGTCACATCTTGTGCAGAATCAGAGGCCTACCTACCACGGTATCAAGACCTATCAAGGGAACTCAACATCAGCATAGTCCCAGGCACGATCTGCGAGTCACACCCAGCCAGCGAGCACGCGCCCGAGCCGCCGCAGAGCGAGAAGGCGCGGGCCGCCCTGGAGGGCAAGGAGCTGCGCAACATGGCGCACTTCATCGCCGCCGGTACGGGCGCGCTGGCCGGCAGCTACCAGAAGAAGAACCTGTGGCACCCGGAGCGGCCGCACCTGAGCCCCGGGCGGCACGCGCCGCACGAGGCGTTCGACACGCCGCTGCGCAACGCCGACGGGTCGCCCGTGCGCGCGGGCCTGCTCGTCTGCTGGGACCTGGCCTTCCCGGAGGCCTTCCGCGCGCTCATCGCCGACGGCGCGCAGATTATCATCATCCCGTCGTTTTGGCTGGTCACGGACGTCGACGAGGCCGGGCTGGCGCTCAACCCGGACAGCGAGAAGGTGTTTCTTGAGACGAGTGTTGTGTGCCGCGCGTTTGAGAATACGGCTGCTGTAGTGTTTTGTAACAAGGGCGGGTGCAGCCAGGCTGCGCTGCCGATTGTGGGCAAGGTGAAGAATGAGGGTGGGAAGGAGCTGGGGCTGGATGAGGATGGGACGGTGTATGCTGAGGTGGACCTGGATGTTCTGAGGATTGCTGAGGAAAATTACAAGGTAAGGGAGGATATAAAGGGCAAGGGATGGCACTACGGGTATGAAGTGGTCAAGGACAAGGAACACAACGAGTGACTCCATATTTATGGTCTGTATACTCAAGATCGTGAAATAAAGTGTATTGATGTCACCTAATTTATCATATTTATGAGAACGCGAAAATTCAGTACAGTGTGATAGCCGGGACGATATCTACGTGGCATATGATGCTGTGCAGAGATCGAAAGGGAACAAGACGTGGGTCAGGAAGACAGTGTGACCTCCCTTGTACACATCCCACACACAATCAACATGCTTGCACTCGGCTCGGTCCGCGCACAAGGATGGATCCATCTGTACGGCTAGCCGGCACCCATCACTCTGCACATCTATCTCAAGTGACGCATGCTTCCTTGTGCGGTGGAGCAACACGGGAGGAAAGTATTCCCCAGCGACAGGAGGAAGTGGGTACCATGTCGTGGCTATCAGCCCGGAAAAGAGAAAATCCCAAAGCATATCAAGATAGGCCTCGATTCATGGAACTCAAAGGCATCCTATCTCTCATCGGCAGTCGTCTTTCTTATTTGATGATCGGTCGCACTTTCATCCTGGCCATCAGGCGGAAAATCCGAGTATAGCGCGGCCCTATCCGCGGGATGGGGATTACACCACGCTGAGTGGGAAATGAGTGCCCGGTAAGTCCGCGGGAATGGTGCAGACCATGCCACTATGTATTGAGATTGATACAGTATTCAAGTGTACGTGAAGTGGTAACATGAGAATATGATAGACTGTCAGTGGCCTGCAACTCCTGGGGTCAGTATATAACGAACAAACACAGTGAGGTGGTTTGTGGTGGATTATTTGGACTGTCTGCTGAATGATCTGAAACATATTTCCTACTGGAAATTGATGAGCATAACATGGGCGGAGAAATGATGTTCGCTCGGCCTCCGAAAATTCACCGTCGGGGCAGTGTGAGGTTGCGTTTGTGCCTACGATAGTTGAAGACAAAGAGATCAGTTGAACTCAAGCTGGCACCGTACAAGTGTCATCCCTTTGCTTTGCATATAGAATGAGAATAAACAAATGAGAAGTGAAGCTCCTGGATTTGGGTAGTCTGCCCATGGTCCAGCTTTGCGAGTTGCCTCTGTGATTCAGCCCTTCTCTGTATATGAAAAGGACTAAAATGAGTCCTACGTTATCTCTTCCCCAAGCTTATGATGCGCGAGAGTCGTGATAATTACAATTTCTGTTGATCGTAGTAGAGTATAGGTATCAGTAGTGTTACTTGTAACCCGTCTATCTTATATACAGTGCCAACCAAGTACAGCTCCTGGAAAACTCGCATCGCTCAAATGATGGCGCTATAGAATGCGCATAGCATGGCATGATCATGACCCCGGCCTTACGACCTGTCCCTCTAATTTGCTGCGGTTTCTGCCTCTTTCTCCGACAAAGCTCCGGCATCAGGTTGAGGTATGTCCCTTGGCAAGAACGTCGTCCAGAAGTCTGACTGCTTGACAAACCATGAGTTTGTAATCTTCCAATCCTTGGTTGGATCTTGGAAGTCGATCTGTTTGAAAAGGTCAGCGGCCTGTCTCTAGCAAAGATTGGCGGCGAAGGGGTGGATGAGTGCTTACGTCAAATCGCCGCAACAAACTCGGCACCAACTTGTAAATCTCCAACAGGCTGATGTTCTTTCCGATACATGTCCGGCTACCCATACCAAATTGTAGCATAGTACCTGTCATCTCCTTGATCCTCGCCTCCTCCTTCTCCCTGTCGAGGGACTCATCCACCAGCCACCTCTCAGGCCTGAAGACGTCCGCATCCTCACCGAAGATGCTCTTGTTGCGGTGGTATACCCACGCGGAGCAGCCCACAATCGTACCGCCGGGGATGAAGCGGCCGGCGATATCAGCGCCTTGAGGCGGGACAATACGCTCCATGGGCAGGCCAGGGGCAGGGTGGACGCGGAAGGCCTCCTTGATACAGGCATCCAGGTATTCGAGTTTCTGCGACTCGTGCCAAGTAACGAGGCCCGTCTCGTTATCGTGGAACACACCCTTGCGGCCCGCCTCGTCCAGCTCCGCCCGCAGCCTTGCCATCGCGCTCGGAGTCCGGAGCAGGTAGTAGAAGACGGCGCCCAGGCTGATGGCCGTGGTCTCGGAGCCCGCGAAGGCCATCGACACCGCCATGGTCTGCACAAGCCCGTCGGTCATCATTTCTGGACGCGTCTCCTGTGCGGCGAGGAACTTGGACAACAAGTCCAGTGTGGGCTTCTTTTTGTCCGACGTGGGTAGGATGTTGCCCTTCTCGCTGTTCAGGTCGGGCAGCCGCTCGGCCATGCGCGCGCGGGCGAACTTGGCGACGGGGAAGGTCGCATCGATCAGGCCCCATTCACCAAGCTTCAGGTATATGGGGTTCTTGAGGAAGAGGCGGTCCAGGATAGGAATTTGCCCAATCTGTTCGTCCATGTTAGTATGTTGTTGGCTTCAAGGAGGGTGGCATGGGTTCTCAATGGACTCACAGGAGCTACATAGTTGAACAACTGGGTTAGGTATGACACTATCCCATCAATGTCCTCGTTCTTCTCCACAAATCCATGGCGTTTGCTATAGGTGATCTCGCCGATGACGTCGAATGCGTAGAACTGAAGCCAACGAGTGAAGTCACATCCCTCTGACTTGTTGGCGAATAGGCGTTCTGTCTGCTTGAGAAATAGCTTCGTGGTGTTATCAACGAATGGCTCATACTGCACAAGGGCCGACATAGCGAAGGCCGAGTTCACACAGCGTCGGAATTGCTGGTGGAAGTCATTGTCGACGGTGCTGAACAAACTTGGTTGCGAGTGACCCTTGACTACGGCCTGTTGCACCACGTAGAAATCGGACTGGCACACGTTTGGTCAGCTGCGTTTGCTTCCAATGGAGGACTCAAGATTTGTCCTTAAATAGTGCTCACCTTCACATAGCCCTTATTCAGGCCGTAGATCGCTTTGAGAGCTGCTGGGTCCGCGAAGGACAGAGTGTTTGGTCCGAGCCGCACCACATCGCCATGCTTCTCGTGAAGTTTCAAGTGGGTGACTTCTGGCCGTCGATTCCAAACATCAACGAACCGCCACCAGTCTGTAAGTGATGCGAGGAACGGTCCGGGGTATTTGTTCAGCCCGTTGTGATATCGATTCCGGATGAGCCATGCGGTAATGATTATAATGAGTGCTGGGAGCCAATGTTGAAGCACTGCATGCAGTATTTGGTCGGTGATTCCATGCATCTTGGCTGTCGTATCCTTGCCGGGTTGAAGACGGCAAACGGGTGCTAAGTGTGATGCCGAACAGGTAAAGACTTCAGACCGAGAACTGACCCGTAGGTTAATGTGGTCTGTCTGGGATGGGTTATTGAAGTTACCCGATTTGTAGGATCATCGTTGAGAGTGTCAAATTTGGTGGAGGACGTATATAAAGAGATGTGGCTAGAGGAGCAGGGCTTGACAATATTTAATATATCTGTCCTCGATTAGAACTACTCAGATTCGGGCGAGGTGCGGGAGAACTATTTGCACCGCCGTTGCGGACTGTCGGGATCACGGGGTGGGCGGTGATAATGATTGCTCGCAACATGAAACTTTATACGACATCGACTAGTGACCAGTTGGATCCACCAAAGACACAATGCAAGCAAAAGCATGTGGCTACAGGATCACCTTGGGCATGCGTGGAAGATATCTCTACCGCCCAATCTCCAAGATCGAGAATACCACTTGGGAAACAGTTGGCAACCAATGGGGGCCAATGGGAAAATCCAGAAAATCCGCTGAGAGAACGGCATTTCGAGGCTCTTAGGAGCGCCACCCGGAAGCCAAGTGCCTGCAGGATAGGCTACCAATCTATATTACCGCTTTGAGTCGAGTGCCTGAGAGAGTGCCAGGCCACCCCTGAATCCCCAGATCGATCAAGCTACCGGTGGGGTTGCCACGATGGGGTACCCAGATATGACATTTGCGGAGGTCGTGGAGCAACTCGTCACTGGAAAGAGGCAGCAGAACCTGGTGCTTTCCGGCTGTCGGTCTCAGCCGCGCTGCCCGTCGATGTCAAAGAGTCCAACAGAAGAAGTTCCCATGGTTTGATGTGCTGAGTCAATTCCTGAAAGCCTACGTTAGACACTGTTATGGCTGTCCGTGTGCTCGGCCTAGGTGAAAGCACCGAGCGGACATTTCGCGACATGCATCAGAGCCGACCCGAGTAATGACACCAAATATTTTGATACTTTGCAGTCGCCGCGACCAGGAGAGAACTCCGACACCGACTCTGTCTTGACCGGAAACACCGACAGTGACGGGCCGGTGGGCGCAGCGCGTGTGTCACGACAACTGGATGATTGAAGGGGCGTGAGACTGTTGGAGAGGGCGGGAAATAGTTGACCCCAAGTTAGTCCGAACTAGGGTAATTCAGTCGGATTCCAGATCAAAGGACGAGAGTTTGCATGATGTCAATTTGGACGGCTTCAATATGGTCCGTGCAGATACCGAGCGAGTGGAAATGACACTGCATATTAATAGTACGTATATTATAAGTCAGGATCTTGTAAGTCAAAGATGCAGAATGCTTGATGGCGAAGCGTAGATAGATTGGGAGCTGTTGATCGAACGAGGGGATCTTGGTACGACCGTGCATCAACAAGCCACTCTTGCGGGCTCAACCGGCCTCGGCTGGTAGGAGCTGTCACTTGACAGAGCACCTAAGACCTTTCAGTTGTGAGACGTGCTTCTGTTGACACTGTAAACAACAGCATTCTCTTCAATCCTGGCTTCCGGCTCCCCGAGAGACTGTATCGTTCACACGAACCCCGTGACAACACCTCAACTCTCCAAACAACATGCTGTCAATCAATCCTACCGGGCTCCGAATATTTGAAGGTATTCAGCTGCACATATACAAGGCACTCCCCTACACCTATGACATCTTTATTAGGCATGCCTGTTCATTAATAAATTGTGCTAAGTTGAAACCATGTGGATATTATTCGAACTCCAGCATTATCTCTTAACGGTCATTTGTGGTCCATGGTCACTGGTCCAGCTCTTCCACCTTCTCTCCACCATAGTCGTTCTTCCAAGTCCCGGCGTAGTGATGCACTACCAATGGCGGGCCAACCCTGTCTTGATCTTCCTCTTCGTAGGTGTTGAATGATGGCGATAAAGAATATCCAGGGAGAATGAGGACATCTCCGGCCATTTTCGGCTCTAGATTCTCATAATATGCGTCCCACCCCTTCCATTCTCCAGTCTCGTTTATCTTGTTCAGCGAGGCCTCCAAGCTCTTGGTGACGCTTCTCGCAAACCTCTTCGGTCCGGTAAAATCGACAACATCACCAACCATCTCCTTGTTCAGCTGCGAAACCGTCGCGTTCTTAGCCTTGGCTACGTCAGCTATTGATTGCAGGATATCGTCGACCACGGCCATCAGATGCGGTACGCCCTTCTTAGCCATGACAGTCCAGGTCGTAAACTGTCTCTCGAAAGCAAAGTCATAGCCACTGTCGAATTCCCAGCCCACAACGAGACTCGCATCCTCTTCGAACTCCTCAGGGATCCACTCTTCTATCGGGATACCCTCACATGTAACGTCGAGGTCGAACCAGATCCCGCCTTCTGAATAGAGGAGCAGGTACCGCAGCAAGTCCGCCTTGAGAATTGGCACTGTAAGGGCCATATATGTCTTGACAATATCTGGACGATCTGCGTATTTCTCCTTCACGAACTCGTCCGCCATTCGGTCTGTGAGGAACTCTGCGTGGTACTCGGGGTTCTGCGAGATGCAGGTATTCGTCCAGCCACGTGCATCGTCGCTCAGGCCTTTCGCTCCCAGCTTGTACCAGATCTTCTTGGGTATTTCTGCGGTTGAGTCGGGCGGTTGTGACTGGATTGCCTCTACCGGGGTTCCTGTTGGAATCTCGACTAGAGTTCCTGCTAGAGTTCCTTCTGGAATATCTGATGGCATGTCTGATGGAGCATCCGATGGAATATCCGGTGGGTCATCTGATGGGATATCTGATGAGGTATCTGATGATGCCTCCGAAATGTGCGAAAACTGGGTGTGCGCTGATGAGGTCGAGCTCACTGGATAGTCGATGCTCCACGTGCGGAAGTGATAGAATAGCACCAAAAGAGCACAAAGGATCGCGATATTCCTCATCGTCAGCATCCGGTGCGACCGCCGCCGCTTTGCCGTAGAATCATTTTGTTTCTCCATCGAGAGCCGAGATCTTGCGATGATTAGACAGGTAAAATTATGGAGTTCCGAAATCGAGATTTTGCAATTATTGTGGAGGTAACTTTATGAGGTCCCCGCTGAGTAAACAAATAGCCTAATGAGGCCGGCCTTAAGTCTAAAATAGGTAGCTGGCAAAGCGCAACACACTTAACGAAACGATCGAAAAGCAAGGGGTGACCGATCGGCCCGAGCGCAGGCGTGAACAAATTGTCACAAGAGAAGAAAAAAAGAAATGCTCAAAAAGAAAGGCGAAGATCAGAATGCAGGGCTCCCACTGAGAAACGGAGTGGCACGTTTAAGTCGCTAGCAATTTGGAACTACACCGATAGCGTTGTATCCTTTTTGAGCAGGTCAATCTCGAAAGCAACTGAATGCCCTGCCCCCAGCGATCTGTCACGCAGTAGCGTGGGTGCACGGGGGCGTGGCGCAGGCACAACAGGATGGGAGACTAATGTCTCAGTCTCCGGTGCATGAGAAAGGCGACATTTTCTACGGTGCCTCGAAATGTCCGAGTCTGCTACGAAGATCCTGCTGTCCTCGGCGCGGCATGTTCATTGGACGGCTTGAGGAGGATTCATCTGTAACACGGGAAAGGAATACGGAGGAAGCCGGGCATCTACGCGTGGCTTGGGATTGAACTCGCTCTGTCTAACGTGAGCCGAGCAGAGAGCCCACAGTAGAACTGTCCCGAGGAGCTGGATCTCTCTTTTGCAATCCAACTTTAGAGGCAGATATGGAGCCGGCTCGATTTAATCAATTTGCGGGGATCAAGCTTTTGTGCATAATATCATCGCGTCTAAAGCACTTAAGAAAGTCAACACCAAATTGGCATGCGAAGCGCCCTAAAAGGCCATTCCTACAAGACTTCCAAATTGCGCATTTTTATGCAAGCCTTCATCTTCCTCCTCTCTCGGTTGATGCGTGCGCATTATTTGCTAGAAATCCTGCAGACCCCACTTTGCTTATATCTTGGCCAAGCCGCAATGTCTCGCGCAATCTGACCTATTTTGGCTGATCATCTCCCTTTATCCCCTTGCAGTATGTTTCAGTCGAAAAAGGAAGGTCCGAGAATTGAATGTCACGGTAACTCCCTTTAAGACGAAGGATGACGTTACTCCATTTGGAAACAAGGAGTCCAGGATCTTCACACGGCTTGATGATTCGAACTCCCCAGGTATATTAGAATCAACGTTTATTATCTGCAGCAATTGGTCAGTAGCTTTTCCTCGTAATAATGACTTCAATCTTTTGTTCGTGTCCCTGAAACTCTTTCCCTTCCTCTGTCTATCTCTTTCTCTGTCAGATTACCTAGTCACATGAGTGACCTGATTTTTTTCACTGGCAATGTTGATCCTCGCCACATACAAGTGCCTCGTCCTGAAAATGCGACAACGCTTTCTACTATTCAGAACAAGAAGAAAAGGAGAAAGGAAGAAACACATTAGTATGATATAGACTGAATATCAAGTAGACTGAATATTCAGGCAGTGGATAGTTCGGAATCGGAACTTGCCCAGACAGTTTTCGTTGCGAGCCAAATCAGTGACTCTCTTCCTCAGACCATACCAAGCACTTTAATACATACATGATCAGATAGGCGCCAGCGCCAGCGCCTCTTTACAAGTTTCCTTCTTATTATGACGAAATACTTCGGCAGCTATCTCTGTCTACTTCTCATCAGCTGGGAACCCGCTCGCAGCATTGCTCGGAAGCTTGGGAGCGCTAGCACTATTGCCTCTTGCTGGAGGGTTGGAAGCGTCAGCAGCACGAGCGGCAGCTGCGGAAGCCGGAGACAGGCCCCTGGGCCTCGTGGGAGACGGAGTCTTCGAAATCGGCAGGCCAAGGTTTTGCCTCCACCATTTCTCAATCTGTCCACTGCTGCTGTGCTTGACGTCCGGAAGGCAAACTTCGTTCGCTTATGATAGTCACTGAGTCTGAGGTTTCCGTTTTAGTTGCGTCCATCAGTAAGATGAATTCATGTCCGGCCCTCCCGGAGATGTTTGATTGCATCACTCGAGCGAATGTCTTCGTCGTTGATTTCCTTCCAGAAAGTCCGACATGTTGGTGAAAGCTTGTCCTCCTCCAGGTGGCCATTGGGAGCTACATACTACATGAAGTAAATGACAGTGGCCATGAAGTAGGTCACGTAGATGTTGACATCTTCACGAATTAATTGAATGATGGCTTCCAAGTACGTATGACTCGGCAGAACCCAGACTGGACTCGGCGATCCGTCGTCTTGGGGAAACAGTGATCCATGGCCAAGGCCCAGCTCATCGGGCGACGGCAAAGACGGATGGCTGGCCGGTATCAAGCCCAACGAGAGCAGGTTCGCACTCTGGTTGAGCCTGAGTGGCGGCACGACGGCACCAAGAGTGGCTGACTGCACGTGGAGTGCAACGTGGGCATTGCTGTCAGGCATGTGGGCGTGGAACGCAGGACCTGGCGAGAGCCTCTTCGCTCTTGAGATGTAGCAGGTTTCTGGATCGAGGCATGGCGAGAGTTTCAGCTCCTGCGAGTCCATAAGGGCTGCTATAGCAGCACATAGCAAAGAGTCGTGGACGACGAAGTCGGCTTCCTGACTGTCGTCAACTTCAGGCCAGATATCAAGTAGAAACAAGGAGCAGGCAGAATTCTTACACTGACGATGCTCGGCACACCATGGATAGTCAAGAGGAAGTTACCCCAGAGCACAGCAGGGATACCTTTGCCAGCTAAGGTCTGTGAGATCGGTGCGAGGAGTCCCTCGCGAGTATGGGAGCTTGCCATCTTGACTTAGCTTCAACAAAGCACAAAAACGTACAATTCCTGAGAGACATTAATCGCTGTGGGTGACTGAGATATGCCGGGCTGGCAGACTGTTCAAAGAAGTTGTTGCTCATTTTCAGGCGTGCCTGAAGCATGGAGGCAGCACTTACATAAGCAGCCAACTGATGCAGCCTAAGGAAGTACCCAGGTACCTTCACTTCAGGTGAATCCGCTACTTCACCTTCGGCAAACTGCTTCTGTCACCAACTGCAGGTCTGAGCCATGAAGAAAGCTCGTTAGTGACTGTAGAGCAGGAGGCGCCTCTTTCATTCAATAAGAAGTGCCATATTGGTTTTGGAAGTCATCATTTGCATCTTGCGACTCATTTGATCGTGGACACCCCGACGACTACCTCAGAGATCTGCATATTTTCCTTCGACGGACACTCGCAAGTCAAGGGCATTATGGATATCCAAATTCTCTCAGACCTCCACCTCGAGACGCCCAAAGCCTACGATTTCTACGAGATCATACCAACAGCGCCCCACCTCGCGCTTCTCGGAGACATCGGCTGCGTCTGTGACCCAGGATACCTGACCTTCCTAACCGCCCAGCTCAAGCAATTTAAGATTGTATTCCACGTCTTGGGAAATCATGAGCCATACGGCTCCAGCTGGAACTCAGTTATTGCGAAGCTCCGTATGTTCGAAAAGGACAATCGGCAGCAGCGGGCAGCAGATCCGAGTCTTGGGGAGTACATCCTTCTCAACCAAAACGAGTACCACCTGCCCGAGTATAACATTACAATCCTTGGTTGCACGTTGTTCTCCCATATTCCCAAGACTTCATTAGCAGATGTTAGCTTCGGCCTGAACGATTTCTTCCGCATTGACTCCTGGACCGTTGAGAGACACATCTCGGCACATGCGCGCGACCTTGCCTGGCTGAATGCGCGCATTAGCGCCCTCTCCCAAGAACAACCGAACCATAAACTCATCATTTTCACACACCACAGCCCTACAATCGACTCCAGAACTATCAACCCTCGTACAGCCGGGAACAAAATCTCATCGGGCTTTGCAACGGATTTGCGGGGCGAGACATGCTGGGTCGGAGAAAATGTGGCATTTTGGGCGTTTGGGCATACGCATTTCAACTTTCCGCCCTGGAGGGATGAGCAGGGTGGGACGTTTGTTTATAGCAACCAGAGGGGATATTATTTCTCGCAGGCAGCTGGCTTCGCGGAGAGAGGCGTGGTCAAGATTGGGAGAGATGGAGGAGTGGTGGTTGACGCAGGGACAGATGAGCCCGCGCCTTCGCCGGACCCTGACTCCTGAGCAAGAAGATGAAGGCGAGGCTAGGACAGACTCGTGCAACGGGTATTCCGGACATGCAAGACTCGTAATAAGGATAACAATCATCACGCGGCCTAATACTTCGAAAATGATACGTGCTTCATGGAAATCTCATCAAGTCGTCTACACTGTGGCAGAGTCAGCTGGCCTATGCACATGAATGACCCGTCTTCCTCACTGGCAATGGTCATTCTGGCCACACACATGTGCCTCGTCAAGAAAAAGCGCCAGGCCTTCGACCATACTCTAACATGCGAATTGGTCGTGACCGGAGGCCTGCTCCTTCACGGGACTTAGATGCCTTATACACTTCGTCTTTGACCTCTTCTCCGATAATGTACTCCCGCATTGCCTCCATGACCCTACCCCCCTCCGTGAACTTGCCCGCGTCCATGCCCTTGTCCATTTCCGTGTCCATGCCCGGCGCCCTGAGCTTGGTCCGCCTCCATACTCTTCTCAGCTTACATTGGCTTGTCCGTCTCCATTCCCTCGTCCGTGGTCAGGCTCGATTTGCTGAGCAAGGGTACCTTCAAAAAGTTGGCGGCAGCGTGTAGAGCAATAGTCGTTGACTACGTATGCGTCGACGGCGTGGGACAGAGCTGGTTTCCTGCAGAACGCGCAGTCTCTACCACTGGCAGAGGCGGTAGCACCACATTTCTTTGGCTGTCGACGGTATGCATGGCCGCAGTAGCCGGAGTAGAACTGGTACCATCCACAGTGGCAGCTGTTAGGATTGCGTGGGTCGTTTACAAGAACAAATAGCGTCCTGTACTCCAATTCATCCGGTGCAATTCCCTGAACGTTTGCCGGCATGATTGCAAGGAAGGGGCGGGTAACAGGATATATGGGTGAAGTATTTGTGATGAGAGGACATACTTGATTGGGGATAGAATTTGTCAGTGGAAAGCTCCTGTTATAACTACTCCGAGATGCGGGAGCGAGACACCATGACCATGATGTGATGGCCCCGCTGGCCACGAGTGAGGACCAATCGAGAGGCGTGGCGGCTTACTTTCATGACCTCAGCCCATGCTTCATGGAGGTGAGGTATATGTGAAGCAGGTACATGAATACCTGGACCCCGGAAAAGAGCTGAAATTCAAAAATGAGCTAGGGGACCGCATCTGGGGTGAGAGCAGTATAGTATAGAGCCACAACATCAGAGCCAGAGGAGCCACAGCTAATAGCAATGGTGGAAAGTCAGGCAGCAAGCACAGCCGCGGGGGCCACGGGGTGGATGCTCGTGTGCGATTGTACGGGCAGCAACGCCCAAGACCCTTCTTTCGGCAATATTGGTGAGTGGTCGGTCGGAAGATGGTCCTTTGTCCGTCAATGTTATCATCAGATTGGCGAGGCTGTTGTGTTCATTTGCCGCCCGAAGACTATATTTGCTTGCCTGTAGATATTCTTCTTAATGTAGATCCAGTGCTTGAACGGCAGGTCTACTACCCCGAAACCCTAATATGCTGGTTGCAGCCTCAGTTAAGTACTAATTCGCCTGCGGCGTAGACTAGGGGACTTGGGATGGCTATCAAGTTTCATGAAGCAGTCAGCGAGACTGCTTTTGGTGTTCCAACGCAAACGCTCATGTTTAGGAGCGACATGTCGTGGTTACTTTCATTGACCCAATTAAAAGCTCGCACAAATTCGAACAAGGAAACGTCATCCGAGATATGTTTTGATTGGTTACTTAGACCCACGGTGGCTAATTGAGAGGCTAAAAGCCAGTGTGGTTCAGGCCAGCCCAGAGAATTGCTGATGAAGGACTACGGGCTATTTATGTTCTTATCAGTACTTTATTCTGTACTGTTGCGGCCACTTCCACTCTTCGCATATATCCTGTAGATCGGCTAGGCAGATTTCTGGCTTACATGAAAGGAACCAAGGTCTTTTGGAGGTAACCAGCGTGCAATAACTAGGAGACATCCAATCGGAACGCCGATTGCTCAGGTGTTGGTTGGCCGCAAGGGTCGCATAATGAACTTTATCTCGCGCTATACTACCTTGTCCCAACACCGTAAATCACCAACATCTATCTGCTCTTTCCACGCGGTCGGTTGCTATTTCCAGCCATGCGCACTGGAATGATCAAGAGATTGATATTCGAGTTCATCCTATTCCCTATTCAGTCTCAAAGTCCACGTAAAGCAGATTCATGTTCATGATTCACAACAGCAACGCGCGCCTTTCGACGACAAAGCCTCGGCCCATCCGCGTCTGGAACTTGAGTTAACATGATCAACCCTGAATGGAGGTTCTGGGCACCTTCAGGTTCAATTGCCGATGGAGGGCCGAGCCAATGGTACATTCATGACCTTGATCAACGACGGATTATCGTGGTAACCATGGACGACGAGCAGGAGGAGGAGTCTGTGGCGATACAACATCTCAGGCGCCATGTTGATGACCTCGATCCCGGAGTCTTGGAGATACATGTCAGCAACGAGGGAGATCTCATCTCTACCTCATCAAGCCCTGATGATGACCAGACGCAGGCTGTCAACTATCCTCTTTTGACTCATATCAGCAAGCCTGAGAGCGTCAAGACAATTCATCGTCGTCATTTACGAGAACTAGACCGCCTTGGCCCTGAGGTTGACAAGGTCGCTGACACACAAGCAAGCTTGAAAAATGACAACCGCAGCTTGGTTTTCAAATACTCGTGTGTTTATGAGTCACTTTTTGCTCGATGGGACGAAATCAACATATCGATGCGCCTTCCAGCCAATCCCAATATCGTGCCCTTCGACCGGATAGTCATCGAAGAGTTGCAGGGCCGCCATGTTGTTGTCGGTTTCACGAGCCACTTTATTCCTGGTAGCACCGTCTTCGACAACGTCTCCCGGGTCTTTAAGCTGAGTTACCTGAAGCAGCTCACACGGGTGATTGATGATCTCAACTTGAAATACGGTATCTCGCATCAAGACGTAGCGCCAAGAAATATTCTTCTGGACGAGGCGCATGGGAATCTCGTTATTTTTGACTTCAATTTTGCCACGCGCATCGGTTGCGGCCCGCGCCATCGCTTTGTTCAATACCGGGAAGATCGCAACGACGTGAAAGGCGTTATTTTCACCCTCTACGAAATCATCACCCGAGATGGGCACTTCCGTAAGGTGGATCATGCTGAGCAGAATCCCGACGACGTCTTGAACATGGAGACGTGGGCGCAACATCCGGACGTCAAGCTGGATCATCCGGTGGCCGACTACCGCTCCGCATTGGGTGATTGGCTTCGTGCGAGGGAAGCCGGACCCAAGATCACGATATATACCGAGGCTCCAGAACACCTCGAGTGGCCAGACATGGGGAAGCCGCCCCAAGACTACGTGGTTGATTTGGGGGACTACCCGGCGGGCCACCCGATGCTTACACCCGGTTGGGCAGATCAACGCAGCAGGGCATGGAAGGCTGGAGTGGATGTCGTGTGCTGGGAGCGTCCTTCGCAGAACAGTATCAAACAGGGAAGCTATGTCCTGGCCACTGGCGAGGTTGTAGAAAAGCCTGAGCTTGCATCCCCATCATGAATAGGAGGCTGATGCAGTCAATCTAGGCCTCTTTGCAGATACAAGCCGTTGATCTGTCTACAGCTTCTTGGGGTCTAGGTAAACAATTTCAGCAATTATTTTTCACTTGAAGCAGGCTTCGTCAACGCACGGCGGTCACGATCAAATAGTGAAAGTATGAGTAGAGTAGCAATAGCCATTATTTATTTACTAGTTACCCGAGCGCACCCATCATCGCATGTGCTCGTCTCTTAGACGCGGTTGATGAATACCACGGTGCTATTATAATCACCATCTAGCGAGTACTGCAGGCCGACGTTCTGAAGCGTGGCACCGGAGTAGGTCGCGCCACCGTCGATGGAGTAGGTCGCCGCAGGGTCGAGACCCTGAAGGCGGATGTAGGGCAGAGCCTGGTTCCAGACGGACCGGATCTGGAAGTAGAAGAGCACAGCCTCGGATCCGTCCTCGGAGACGAACATGGCAGCGGGCCAGTTGGACTCCTCGGGCAGCTGTAGGCGCCAGAAGTCGCCGGAGATGACGAGGGGGTTGACGCGCTCGGCGAGGGCGATGAGGTCCGGGATCTGCTCGCGCTCCTCCTCGGGGATCTTGGGCGGGTTGAGCTCGAGCCCGAAGCTGCCGCCCATCATGGCGACGTGGGCGCGGAAGCTGATGGGCGTCGAGCGGCCAGTCTGGTGGTTGGGCGTGGCGCTGACGTGGGCGCCCATGGCGGAGGGGGGATAGACGAGGCTGGTGCCGAACTGGATGTAGATGCGCTCGAGGGCGTCGGTGTTGTCGCTGGTCCAGATCTGTGGGAAATACTGCAGCACGCCCGGGTCGAAGCGCCCGCCACCGCTGGCGCAGCCCTCCCACAGCACGTCCGGGAAGCGCGTCGTCAGCGTGTCGAAGACGCGATACATGCCGAGCATGTAGGCGTGGTCGACGCCGTCGTAGGGTGTCTCGTGGAACCCGCGGTTGTTGTCCCACTTGACGTACGTGATGGAGGCGTTGCTGAGAATGTCGGCCACGGAGCTGATAACGAAGTCCTGCACCTCGGGCAGCGCGAGGTTGAGGACCAGCTGGTTGCGGCGCAGCGTACGCGGGTAGCTGCCGGCGCTCAGCACCCAGTCTGGGTGCTCGTTATACAGTGTCGAGTTGGGGTTGACCATCTCTGGCTCGAACCATAGCCCGAACCGCAGGTTGGTCGTGGTATTGGCGGCTTGCAGCTTCGTGACCTCATCGACGAGCGGGCCGAGGGAGCCGCTGGGGAACCTCTGTGTGTTGACCTCCCAGTCACCGAGACCACCGTCGTCAGACACACGAGGATATTCCTCGCCGAACCAGCCGTCGTCCAGCACGAAGAGCTTGACGCCCAGGTCGGCAGCTTCCTGGGCAAGCGTGTAGACGGTGCTCTGGTTATAGTCGAAGTAGAGACCCTCCCAGGAGTTCAGCAGGACTGGGCGTGTCTCGGCTCCTAAGTCGCTCTTGATGAGATGGTTGCGGTACAGACGGTGGTAGGCCCGCGAGAGGCCACCGACGCCCGTGTTGGAGTACACGGCTACTGTCTCGGGAGACGTGAGGGTTTCACCTGGTCCCAGGCCCCAAGAAAGGTGATAGGGATTAAAGCCAAGCATCGCGCGTGTGAGTCCTTGAGACCCCTTCTCGACGTCTACCTGGAACGAGCCCGTGTAGACCAGAGAAAAGCCCCATGCCTCTCCCTGCGTCTCGGTAGTACTTGGTGTGGCCAAGGCGAGGAAAGGGTTATGCAGATGCGATGAGTATCCGGTAGTGCTGCCGAAGCTGGTGCGATGACAGGTCAGTTTTGTGCTTATGAGAGGCCACACGGTCTTCGCCTTGATGGATGTACCAACCCTTGAACGCCATACTCGACTGATCTCCTCAACCTCATGGCTTCTCTCGCCCAGTCTCCACGGAGCTCGATCATGTCCAGGTCGGTGTAAGGCAAGTCAACGCTGAAACTAGCCAGCCTCTCGACAGTGATGTTGCCCTCTCCCAGGTTCGTGAGACTCACGCTCCTGACAATGGCATCATACTTGGGGAAGATGGAATACGTGAGGTTTGCTGCGATGGAAGAGTAGTTGTCGTAGAGGTGGACCACGATAGTAGAGACGTCCTCCTCACTGCCAAAGGTCGAGGGCAACCCCGGAAGCTCCGGCTTGCCCGGGACAACGGTATGAGACTGGTACTGGAGGTCGCTGACGGTGTATCCCGCGGTCTCGCGGACACGCACAGCCGGGATTCTGAAGTCACCACGGCCCAGGTCTGGGAACTCACGCCTCACTCTGCCAGGCATGCCGACCCAGCCGTTAACTTCTGGCACCGGCAGGGGCACAGTCTCGTAGGCCGAGCCGCCGAAGTGGTCTCCGATGAGATCACCGGTGGCATTGTCGACGTGGAAGCGGTAGGAGACGTGCTCGCCGTTTAGAGCGAAGTCTGTGCCATCAACCACAACACCTGGAGGGTTTTAGCAAACGGTTTGAATTTTTCCGAAGGTGAAATCTGTGTCTTACCTGAAGAGGACTGGGCATGAGCCGTCTCGGCCAGGAGCACCGAACCGAAGCCCAGGGCGACGGCATAACGGCCCAGAGATGGAATGCTGAGCATCTTACCGGTACCTAGGTGAACAAGGCACTTGAGGGTCTGGAGCAACCTGGCGCTTGGGAGGAAGACAAACGGTCCTCTGGCGACGAAGATGCCCCTCTTATATTTATTGGCGCACAAAAACAAACGCAAGCTTCACTTAGACCGGACTGACTGCATGTAGGTACGCCCCACAAAAACACACCAGATCCTGTGTGTACCCTGTACCCATGGCCATCATCTCCGCAGCCAGGGTTTCCCCAGAGGAGGGGTAGGTAGGTACACTGGGGCAACAGCGAACTGTGGAGGCTGGGGGTGGTCCCATCGCGGTGCCATCGCGGTGCGCCAAGGCCGTCGTACGTGAGTTTAGCAGTCAGTACTACTAATTAGGTTGGCCTTCTCCGCACCGAGGGAATAAAGAGAGTCGCTGATCAACAGGGCCGCCCCCACAGCCGCCAATGGCCTTTGCCGCTTGGCAATGGCCTATTTCCACTTTGCATTGCCCAACGGGACAAATTTCGGTCTATTCTCGTGACGAGAGAAGTGCTTGTGGAGGATCCAAGGTCTTCCACAGAAGCCTGAGTAGTCGAGGCCGGCCTTCCTAGTCGATAAGTGGATGTGAATTATTATGTATACTGTCGCACTGAACATTGACTCTTTTGCCCATAGATCTCTTGCAGCATCGCATCAGGGGCCCAGCAATCTGGAGCGCGGTGACGCTAAGAGTTTAACTATGCATGTCATCTCATCAACATCCGAACTTTCGCTGATCATCTGTTGAGCACACCATCCAACAACTGACAGCACCGCAAAGGCTCTTTTGTTCGCTCGAGATCTCGTAGCTTTCTGGTCCTGGACATGACACCTCTGCAAACGGCAAGTATATCCCTCGGTGTCTGGAGCCTTCACACCGACAAACCATATTCTTGGCGACTGCGGCGTCGGACTTGCCGTTGTATTTTTACCCACTGTGGTTCGAGGATTGGCCCCAATATATGGTCAGTCGGACCTGATGTCATCTGTTGAATTGCGGATACTTCGGCGATACTCTGAGAGCTTTGCGGCGTGCCTTGTGGGGAGCAGTTAAACCAAGATGGTCGGGATGTACGCGGGGAACACGGGTAAGTACATAGCCACTAATATACCTAGCTAGAGCTGGTCCGCCGGGCCACGCAAGGCGACGGCCGGCATTGGGGGAAAGCTACGAAATTAGCTTCAATTAAGCTCCAAGCTTCTCTTTCAACTTTCAGATGGGCCGAAATCCCCGGAGCTATGGCATCATGGGTTTCGCAATGGAGATCGACTGAACCATGTAACTCAACAACATTCTCAGAGAGATACTGGATTGAGATTCTCTTTAAACACCTTCATATGGACATGTAGTTCTTCGTACGTATTAGACCTCGGATGGCCACAGCAGGTCTGAAGGGTCAAAAGGCAGGGTCAGCTCGCCTCCGCAGCCAGTCGCCTTGTGGAATTTCAGCCAGACTCTTCTTCTACTGCTGATGACTTTGCCTGTGATTTCTTAAATCTGACGGGACAGTTTGCTGATATTGAAGCATCCTGGTTCCAAGTTGAAAAGTCTCCCGCCTTACTGATTTTCCTAAATTGGTAATGTTCAGGGATATGAACGGCCGGGGTGGACTCTTTTCTCATTTATTCTCAGGGGGATTCATTTGGGGTTGAATTTTGTAAATGGCCTTTCTCGAGTTCAACTTCTAGAGCATCATCAATGCCTTGAGTACTTCTAATATTCTCTATGCGTGTTTGATAGTTGACATGAAGTTGAGAAACTCGAGGAACTTGAAGCAACCCACCTTCTCGCTGCAGTGCGTGACAAGGCCGAGCGCAATTCAATAGATTTTTTTGTTTATGCATGGATAGCCATGGAAATTGGACAAATCTTAGAACCACAGGCTGGCTATGTTAAGGGAACAGACAAGCAGGGGCTATGATAAGACAACGTGGCTCGACACAGAAAAGGCCCCAGCTCTAGAAGCACAGCAGTTCTGTGAAACGACCTCTCCATCGACAATATCATCATATCTTTTTCATCTCTGAGTAAAATCAGAGACTACTTCCACTCGAATTCGTTCTTCAGGCCATCAACACCGCTCTTGTCACCATCATCAAGATACCCACAGATCCTCCCCTCGGGATCCCACTTCCTCCGGATCTCCATCAACCGCTTCGCATTCTCGTCTCTCCAGAACTTGGTCCTCCGGTGCTGGAAGTCCGAGTCGCCCAGGTAGCTGCCGTCGGCGGAGCGCTCGACCTCACGCGCGACGCTGTGCGTCCAGCTGACGCACCTCTCGTCGTCCTTTTCCTCCTCCCACACCGTGTACAGAGCAAAGTAGTGGTCCGTATGCATCGACAGCGCCATAGAGCCCTCGTCGCTAACGTCGCCCGCCGCACTGTGATAATGCGGCCGCCGTGACGTCGGGTACATGCTGTAGTACAGTGCGAACGCCTTGCGATGCGGCAGCGTCGTGAACGCCCGCTCCAGCACCGCCGGTACATCCGCGTCGTTGCTGACGTACGCGTTCTCCGAGCAGTAGCGGTGGCCCTCGGGGTTGGCGACCGCCTGCGGTGCGTATTGGTCCGGCAGGGTGGTGGGTTTCGCAAAGTCCTCGACGAGCGGGTTCGGCGGCCGCCCGGGGTCGTCATGCAGGGGCTTCAACGCGGCTTCGCCCTCGACTTTGTTGGACTTGAAGGCAAGGAAGTTTGCAATTATCACGGGGTCCGGGTGATTGTCAATGTACTGCCCAACTGCGACCATCTCGGTGTCGTTGTCGCCTATCTCACACATCTGGAAGCAGTCAGCATTTAGATTGGGTTTGAAAACGATGCAATCTTGACGCCCGACTTACATCGATAACCCATTTCAGCACCTTGCGGTACTCTGTTATCGGCCAGATGTAAATGCTCTGGTACATATCTGGCAGCGGTCGAGTGAGGAGGTGGAACCTCGTCACAATCGCAGGGAATCCTGTACACTCACTCGTCAGCCACTCATCCATCCAGAAACAAAATCTAAGTCACTACCGCAATTGCTTGGCCAGGAAAGACTTACCAGGCCCACTGCCCCTCGCAGCCCAGAACAAATCCGCATTCTCAGCCTTACTGCAGTATATCTCCCGCCCATCAGCCGTGACGACATCAATCCCAACAATGCTCTCACAAGCCCATCCCCAATTCTTACAATTCCACCCCATCCCACCCTGCAGCAAGAACCCACCGAGCCCAACATCAGGACAGTGCCCACCAGCAAACATCCTCCCCTTGGTGGCAAGGAACGCATTCGCCTTCCTCCCCGTCGCACTAGGCGGGCAGCTCAGGATCCGCGTGCGCGGGTCATAGTCGAGGCCCTCCCCCGGGTTCCCATCGGTTGGGGAGTGGTGCTTGCCGCCGGGCAGGGCGCCCAGGTCGATGCAGATGGCGTCGTCGCGCACGCTCCACCCGGCCCACGAGTGGCCGCCCGACCGCACCGAGACGCGGCAGCCGAGGTCTCCTGCGAGTCGCACCGCCTGCGCGACGTGCGCCGCCGACGTGGCGTGCACCACCGCGCGCGGCACCCGTGTCTCGGTCGCGCGCCGGTGGTTGAAGACGTGGCCCCACGCCGACTCGAGGAACTTCTCCCTGGGCGTCGAGTCGCGGAAGACAATGGGCAGGCCGGCGGGGACGGCGGGAACTGTCTTGCTGGTCCCGTTGGCCGCTGCGCCGTTGAGGGTGGTGCTTGAGAGTGAGGCTGTCATCGCTTCCATTTGTGTGTGATTGTGTGTGTGCCTTGTCTCGATGAGAGTGTCTGAATCCAGTGTTATAGATCCGATGTCAAAGTTAAAAATAAAACGGACCAAGTCGGAATGTCCAAGCGCAAACCACAGCGTGCCACCTCTCTAAGTCGACAAGACTGACTCGAGCTCAAGTGGGGACGGATATACAGGTATTTGACTTGGATATACAACTTCTTCAGCTCACAATACAGCCATTCAAGGACGTACTCAGTCAATTAAATATCGAAGCGGTCACAGAAGTGATCGTCACATAGCCGACCCCGGATTTGCGGATATCAGCCCGAAAGCTGTCTACCGAGACAGTCTTGAGGCAAAGCTGCAGATTCGACCCCACGTTCCGTGTTTAGAGCCCTGCGGGGACAGGGGAGGCCATTGTTCAGGGCGGTGGGTGTTCCCCCGGATCAAGGGTCTGTCGCCCATCGTCGGCCGGGCCCACCTTCGGAATGCGGGCGGACGGACTTACAGCTTAGCAGAAGCTGGCTGTGCTCATTGTGGTGACGACAACGGCGGCATGCACCTGAATACAGGTGTAGCAGCCAGCTAGGCGGGGAAACAGGCAACGTAGAGAGAGCATGTAGCTCCAAGGCACTTTCGAGTAGGTAGAATTATCAAGGGCAAACGCTTTTCTTCTATTAGTTGGACCTGATACCTGATCCAGCCTAAGAACGCTCTGTATAACACCTGCCTATGTCTTGCCAGCCTGGGATTGTAAAATGCAATGCCTGCTTCGTATCATACATACAGAAGAAAACTCATCCATTGTCGGGATCGCAGGACAGATGGCCCATCTGGAAGTCACGAAAGAGTGCAATTCCATGGTTCCACGCGTCGTTTCTGGGTCGGTTGCGAAGAGACGAAGTGAAGCGTGCCGTCACCCAGGGACGTCACATGGCTGAGACGGTCTGTATCTGCTGCCAAAGACTCCCGATTCATGACCACGATACATTTGTGATAACTTTCTTGGGGTGCTTGCGTCAGAAAGACGGTCTTCAATACATTCCCCGTTGCTGTCGTCGGGGTCCTGTGGAGGAAACAATCTTGCCGAAAACGAACGCAGCCTGAGGACTCAGCACGAAAATACATTTGGCGTTCTGGCGAGCTGCATTGATTTTTGGCATTCTGCTCGGCCTCTTTCGCCGCAAAAGCTTTGAGCGTTGAGATTATTGCCGGTTGATGCGCCTTTCTGTGCTTTCTGTGCCCTCTGCTGTGTTCTTTTCCCGCTTCTTGGTAACGACTTCCCCACCTCTGGGCAACCTCAGTACCTCCACTGAGCGACGGCGTTGTAGGTCACCCACACTTCGTACACTTCGCATCCCCACCCGATGTTTGACTGTGATTGTTGTACGTCCAGATTGTCCGTCTTTGGAGCGACTCTCTTTTGACGCCTTATTTTGTTCTTTCAATTCATCGTCGACATCCGCGGACTGTGCACAGTCGACTTGATGACCTCCTTCAGGAGAATCTGTTTGCTTCCATTTGCCTTTCGCTTCCCAGGGTATTGACCCCGAGCGAGCAGAATTGTCTCGATTTTCCAACGACAAATCAAGTATAGCACCTTCTGTATCAATGGCCTCTCTGTCGGTCGTGGTAATCTCGCCTGTAGAGTGCCCTCCCTCCGCACTGTCCCTGATCACTGAGCCTTCTTGGCGGTGATCCTCGTGCCCTGCAGACGAGAGCGTCTTCTTCGTCATGAGTTTTCCGATATATCGACGTAGATTAGTATAGGAGCAACTCTAGTCCTCCTCCGAGTCGCTATCGTCCTGGTCCACGAGGGCTCGGAATCGTCGGCTGGCCAGATCTTCCTCGAGCCCGCCTTCGCTCTCGGGGTCGAGGTAGCCCTCGCCTCCCATGAAGCTGAGAACAACAGGCAGGAAGATCAGAGCATGCGTAGCTGCGAAGACTACAAGTGCGACCCAGATACGGAAGTAGTAGATCTCGAAGATCTTGCTACGCGTGAAAGCCAGCACGGACACGCCCAGGATCTTCGTGACCGTGATGCCGGAGAATACGGAGCCACCGACATTGACGAGCGCAGTCCACGCACGCGCATCACGCCCTCGGAAGCGATTCTTAGCGCGCTCCATAAAGGTGCGCGAAGGGAACATGAATGCCCTCGCAATGTGGGCGCAGAACTCAACCGCAATACCAACACAGATGATCAGGTTGACCAGCGAGACAGCGTTGAGACTGACGTCAAACACAGCCATCGCGCCAATTATGTCCACAATAGTCATGACTACCGAGATAGCGACCGCCGCACCAGTGAGCGCTGAGCCCAGGAGGACGGAGGAGATGACGAAGATGATACCGATTGCAGCACAGAGGAGACCCGCCGTGAGGCCGACGATCGTAACGTACTGGTCAAAAAATATGTAAAAGACGCTATATGGGAACACTTCTGCGCCTGTCGAACGGCTAACGTCGCGGGCAATTCGCCTGGCGGAGGTGTAGGCATTGATGAAGTCATCTTGACTGCGCAGAGGGGAGTGCATCGTTCGGAAGTGGCTGGCCGGGATGGTCTCTTTATCCTCGTCGATGACAACGGCTGATCCATAGGATGCTTGGCCACCAAGCGGACAATCCTCAGTGGTTGGCGAGGAGAGGAATTTTTGAAGGTAGTGAAGGAACTCATCTCCTTCCGGCATTCCTGATAGTGTAATGTTCCAGGCCGGATCTCTGTTTTCAAAGCAGGCAGATCCTTTCTCGACACAGCACTCCTCGAATTGGGGGTTGAGCCAGAGGAAGAAGTCATCAACCCAGCTCGCTGCTGGGGATGAGATGTATGACACCTCAGTGCGCTTGCGCTCTTGCTCCAGGACGTTGGTGAGCGATAACGTGTCGCAAGTAGTGAACCTGGCGCAGATCTGTCTTTGATGCTTTCTTTTGGTCGCATCGACGTCCTTGGCCACGAAATAGACCGGGGGACCAGAGTCGAAATAATCGTAGAGGTCGTTGAAATACGGGATAAGATATGAATCATCAGGAATTGCTACTCTCTGATCAAGTCCCAGCTTGACTTCAGGGATGAGAGCCACACCTGCGGCGAAGAAGCCAAGGAAAATTGCGACAACGGCCACCTTCACCTTCTTGCCCAACAAAGTGGGCGCATAGTAACGAATTATGAACCGCTGCAGGAAGCCCTCTTCAGGCGCTTCGTACAACCGTGCGCCGAAATTGCCGTTGCTGCCGTTCAGATGGACTCTAGCCGCCTTGATAGTGATGCAGGGGATGCAGTCCATTCTCGAATCCTCGACCCGCTTCTGGTTGTACGAGAGTAGGGAGATGAAGAGTGTGACTTGCAAAAGGGCATTTATAAACACAGCACCTGCTGCATAGACGGCGAAGTTGCGAACAGCTGGCATGCCGACAAAGGCACCAAGTGCGAAAGATACCGTCTCGGTAATCGCAGAGAGAAGGATGGAAGGACCCATGCGCCCCAGAGCCTTGGCAACTCGCAATTCAACGTCGTCATCGGGGTTTCTGATGTTCACTCGTTCGAACTCATGGACAATGAGGAAAATATTGTCGACGCCGACGGCGAGCACGATGAATGGGATGACATCGACAATAATGAGCGTGGCCCTCAGGTTCGCCCAAGAGAAAAGACCGATAGATGCACTGATCGACATGAGGACGATAACAATACCAGCCACACCGAGAGAGAACTTGGACTCGACGATGCTGACGGCCGGGTTCCTGATCATATCCCTGAGGGACAGCGTCGTGGAGCCAAGGGCGATGGATGCATACAAGAACATGATAATGTAGCTGATCACAATGATCTTGGCGTCGGTGTTCGTGGTTTTGTTGAGCTCTTCCTCCAAGCTGATTTCCGTGGAGAAAGAGAGCCTTAGCCCCTTGGCAGCCGCCTCTTTCTGAACCTCAAGAAGGCGGTTCTTCAGAGCCTTCTCCCAATCCATAGCTCGAGCAAGCTCGGGTGTCCCTTCTGCAAAGTTGTTGACAACCCAAGTCACCGTCGTCGCAGGAGCGTCGGCCACGTCGTCGGTGTCGGAGTAGCCACCGAGGATCATGTTTGGTTCGAGAGGCTGACCGTAAGCCGGTCGGCATTCCGCGGGTGCTTGGGCACATTGACGTAACTTGTCTTTCCAGCCATCCTCGTCTATGAGGGCCGGCTCATTGTCGAAATATGCTGCAACCGACTGGACAACACAAGCAGACCCAGTTGGCTTGAAGCACACATCATTGAGCCTCATTCTATAGGTCTCACTCTCAAGCTGCGAGATGCTCTTCTCGACCTCGATCCACCAGAGCAAAGTCTCATAACTAAGGACCGGTCCTGGTCCCGAGCTGCGTGTGTCGTTGACAAGGAATACTTTCTCTGCTCGGTAGAATGGGCCGAAATGAGAGTCAAAGAATTCCTTCTCCTGAGCGGCAGCAGATGTCGGGGCGACCCATAACCTGGCGGGGTCTTTTTCAATCTCGAATCGGACCCAGCCAGCACTGAGGACAATGATAACAATGAGAGAGCTGAATATCGTAATAGCTGGGAAACGTGCTGCCCAGTGGCCAAGCTTGAAGAACGCGGTATCGCACCAAGTGTTAAGCCGGTAAGGCCTAGTAGGTCGATCGAGCATGGCGCCGTTCTGCACAAGTCGGCCCTCGTCGTCTTCGTCATCGCTGGCGTCGATTCCGCCCTGGAGCAGGGTTCTCTCCTCCTGAAGACGCGCAGCCCGCTTACGGTACCACACATGGCCAACGATAGCCACGACAAGTGTCAATAATAGGATGCTATAGACAAATATGGAGGCGAATGAGAGACATGGCAGCACGCCAACCTTGCAAAAGCCGGCCTCTTCGACCTGGGGTAATTCGGGGCACACTTTCGGGCAGTCAACGCATGCGCAGCGGAAATTGGGATCTTGGTCGTTGCACTTCTTGGGGATCATCGGTAGAGGATCCATCTTCGGCTCTTTGTACGATGTTGGAAAGTTGATCTGAAACGGCGAGCCGACCAGCTTCTCGTCGCCCAGGTACTTGAGGAGTTGCGTATAATTCTTCGCACCACCACCAATAAGTTTCATGGCTTCGCTGTTGCTGGGACCGAATTTGACATCCTTGCAGCTGTCGTAGAATCCTGTACCATAGTCGGCGGATATGAGCTGGTCAAGTTCTGTGACGAGGGTCTTGTCGTTTTTGGACATGGTGTCTGTGACATTTATGAAGAGCGACTGGTCGGGAGAGCATGTGAAGGTACAGAAGAGGTTGTAGAAGTTGTCCTTGCAGGCCGGGCATGACGATACGATGGTATTCGCTGTGGAAAGTTCGTCTTTGAGAGAGGTAACCTGGATACAAATCATGTCAGTAGGCTGGCTGGACGAGAGAATGCCATCGCATCAGGACGAAGGACCGACCTGTTCTGTGGTGCAGCAGACTGGGCCATCACTCCATTTGGGGCCACACAAATCTACCAGCTGCTTCCTCAGGTCCTCGTCGGGATCCTCGGCGAGACCGTTGTCGACACATGGAAGCTGTTTGCCGAAGAAACTCTTCTTTCCACAGTGGTCCCGGATGGCGCAGCGTCCTGCCTCGTGTTTCGGAGTGTACAACTCGTTTGCCAGGCCCAGGCCGGCAAGCAAAGCCAGGGCGGCGATTTTGGCCATGTTGACCAGGAGTGCCGCTGGGCGGCGGTGGGTAACGGCACAGTGCGGAGCGCAAGCGACAGACAATATCTCCAGCGCCTGGCGGATAGGTCGGTGGTGATAAGGATGAGGGAGCTCTTGGTGGTAGTTGACAAACGATGGCTGGTGTTGTGACGGGACGAAGCCGCGAGGTAGGGGAAGCTGATCCCTGTCTGTAGTTACACTCTAAGGGAGGCGATTGTCCTGCGTCATCATGCGGAACCGAGGCGCTCCACAGAACCTATCGCTACACCAAAATTTGGTCTGTGCGGATGTATCGCTTAACAGAAGCGCTCCCGTCACGCGTCCACTCATCAAACCATCACATGGACGATTCGAAGTCGAGCTTCAACCTCTTGTCTAGATACCAAATCATCTCCTGATCAGTTCTGCTGAGCTGTTTATTGACTTCTATTTGCTAGCCTCTTACGATATCCTATAAATATTCTCCTCCACAAGTTGAGCTTTCCCTGTCTGCGTTCCCTCTCTCTCTCTCTCTCTCTCTCTCTCTCTCTCTCTCTCTCTCTCTCTCTCTCTCTATCTCTGTGCACTGCACTGCTTTGTGTCGACTTCGAGGATCACATGCAGTATATCATGGCAGAAACAAATCCGAAAGACGCCACTCTGCGTCGTGCAGAGCGAACATTTTGGGCCGCAACATCCCACCCCACCTCTTTGAAAATCGCAGCCCAACTGAGGTGAAGATAGTGTACACTATGAAGACTGGGACAGAAAGCAACCACTGCATGTATACGGTCATCACCGACCACACCAGCAAAAGCACGAAGCCTCTCGTTATAGCTGTCGCTCTCCAAATATTGACACGGCTGAGCACAGTCTTCAGAAGAGTAGGATCGGCATCAGGACCACGTTGTCGATACCACACGCTCCAGTGGGGATAAAACCACCATTTGAAAAGCAGGCCGTCCTCGAGTATGAGAAAGCCCGCCAATGTGCTCACCCACAATGCCAAAGCCAAGCGGCCGAGTCGAGGCTCTATCATATTGAACCAGTGCAGCGCCAATGAAACGACGGCCAACATGTGAAGGTTGAAAGTGACCACGCAAAAATTTGGCAACCTCGGCTCACAGCCTATGCGTCGCGCAACACTCTCCATGAAGGCGTTGTAATCCACCAGCGTGTGAAGGTCCGGGCTCAAGAAGTAATACTCGCGCTCGGCAAGCTGATCATTCTGGGCCAAAGATGCATAATTCCCTGGGAGGCTCTTATCGTCGCGCAACAACAGTCCGATGTATCGCGCAAGCATCTCGGCCGCACATGGGATGCCTCCTTGATGCGGCCTCGCATAGCCTACGAAGAAGAGGCAATGACCTAGACCCGGCGGGAAACAATGTAGATACCAGTCTCGCGGGCTTCGCGAAACCGGCACTTTGATCCATGGGAAATCTGTGCGATACCCGTGGCAGAGGACAATGGCGTCAAACTCACGCTTCTCGACAGTGCCGTCGGCCAGAATGAATTCGCATACTTTATCACGTGTCTTGATTGTCGGAGACACTAACACCTCGATCTTTTTCTGGTGAAGAGCTTCGCACATCCTCTGGTTCTTGGTCACGTACGTGGCTTGGTCGTTCAAGAACGGAGCTGGCCGCGTACTTTCTAAGCACATCTGCGACAAGGTGGGGTTCAGAATGGTTTTCGTGCTCCAGAGAAGTCTCCGGAAAACACCATAGGCAAACGCGTTCTGTAAAGCACTCATCCGGTTTGTTGTTGCGGCCTCCAGGAAGGCGTTTGCCGGGAAGTCGCACGTCTTGTTCGCCTGCATCTGCTCCACCTCCGAGGCCTTGTTGAGGTATCGAGGGCCGATACAGGCTGGTCGTCGAAGCCACACAGTCACATGCGGCGACAGGTCGCCGAGCTCTGCTGAGACGTCGGCGCCGCTCTCACCACCACCAACCACCAGCACCCGCTGCTTCTCATTCTTGACTTGGTGCTTGAAAGTTTGGCTATATTCACTCGAGTGAAGAATTTGTCCAGTGAACTCAGAGAGGCCGTCCGGTGTTTGCTTAGGGGCTTGGTTTGCCCCCGTCGCGACGATGATGGCGTCTGCTTCTAAGCGTAGAATAGTAACCTCTCCTACCGATGGAGACCTCTGCTGGATCTCCAGTGACCAGCGCCTATCTTCCTTCAATTCCGCGCTGCAAACTTCTGAGTGATAGGTGATATGGTCATCTAGTCCAAAATGTCGGGCATAGTTCTTCAAATACTGGAAGTATGCATCCGCTGATGGGTAACAAAGTCTTTGCGGATCGGGGAAGTCAGAGAATGACATGGCCCAGTTCGAAATTGTGAGATGTAGATCCGGATAAGAGGCAGCGCTCGCAAAGACGCCGCCGAGGCTGGATGATCTTTCGAATGCTCGGACTTCATGCCCGGCTGCTATCATTTCCTTGACAGCCACGAGTCCACATGGACCAGCACCGATGACAACAATTCTTTTCTTCATTCTGTCAGTATACGAAGAAGTTCTCAAGGCTCAAGTGTCGATTTTTGCGCACATGGGAGTTTTAACGGCTTCAGCCCCTTACCTGTAGGTCGGATTCCGAAGATTACTATATTACATGCGCTAGTATGTAGAAGGTCTATTGAGATAGCACGTGAAGCCAAAGTTTTGATACTAGATCCAGAAGTTCCTGCATGATGTGGAATACTTTAGTAAAGATGTTGCCAATTACGGGATGATGCCGCCCTAGGGGCGGTCAACCCGTATCTCGCCTGATGGTGTGGGAGGAAGGACTCATCGCCCACCCAATCAGTAGACCTGGCCTCAACCAAAAACGACCAGTCGACTAATATCGTCACTTTGTGGCTGTTTGCATTTTGCCCAATTAGTTAAATAGGGGGCATTCGGCTATCAGCTGTGCGGTCACACAATGATCTGGCAGCCGGTACGTGCACGGAAGGATTGATATCCCATTCACCGATAGATGGGACTCTGAATCTGTGACCGCATGTTCAGATGTGCATTTTATTTCAAATGCGTCGACCTGAAGTCCGACCGGCCTGAACCTCAATAACTCACAATAGTGCCAAATTCCTCGGCAACGCAGTCATGGCGGCTCTCGAAATCATCAAGGACCTGCAGCAGCTTGCTGAACGAGAAGCACATGGAGAGAGCTCCGCCCTGGTTCACTCTCAGCTCCTCCAAGGTATTCAGAAGCTCCACGCCTCGATAACTACGCCAGTTGAAAAGCTATTTCGCATGCGCTTTGATATATGCCAGACAGTTTGCGTGCGATTAGCCCAAGAGCATGGGATACTACAAAGTCTTTCTAAAGATGGATGCGCGACTGTCGCGGAGTTAAGCGTGGCCACGGGGGTCGATGAGCTCTTGATAGGCAGGTTGGCCCTACACGTCCGGATGAGAAGGATGACTCACTAAGACGCTCGTTAGTACGAATTCTGAGACCCCTGGTCATCACAGGACTTGTGATGGAGCTTGGGCCACGACAATACAAAGCCAACCTGACGACTCGCTTCTTCGCAAGTCAAGGCATAGTAGGCGGTTGCAAATATTAGTAAATCAGAACAATTCCCGTAACTTTCGACCCCCAATCACCCGTCTGACTTCATGCCATAATAAAGTACCGACCTCATGGTGAGGACTGGGAGCCAGATGGGACCACTGGCCGCACAAGGCTCGATTCCAGACCCTTTCGAGGCAACCTTTGGCATGCCGCTCTTCGAATATTTTCAAGCAAACCATGAATACGGCCAAGCGTTCAACGACTTTATGAGGGTGCGCCAATCAAGATCTACAAGATGGTTCGATGTATACCCGGTACGAGCCAGGATGGAACAAGCCGGCGTGAAAGACTCAGGTGTGCTGCTCGTCGACGTCGGCGGAGGCCTGGGTCACTGGGCGCAGGAGTTCCGAAAGGCTGTTCCAGCCCAGGAGTACCATGGACGTGTGGTGGTTCAGGAGCAGCCGGACATAGTCGACAGGATAAATCTTGATGGGATTGAAGCTATGGCTTACGACTTCTTTACTCCACAGCCGATCGTGGGTGCACGATTCTACTTGTTCAAACAGGTAATCCATGACTGGGACGATGGAAAGGCAACTAAAATTCTAGAGCATGCGGCCGCCGCCATGGTGCAGGGACAGTCGACTCTCCTCATTGACGATTATGTGCTGCCAGAAGAGAAAGTAGGAATTCAGGCCGCTTGCATGGTGGGCTAGACCCCCCGGAAGATGACTGGGGTGTTCTTACTGACAAGCGACTTCAGGATATCGGCATGATGATGGCAAACGGTGGATGCGAGCGCACCGAGACGCAGTGGAAAAGCATAATCTCGGCTGCTGGACTGAAGATAGTACGGATATGGGTTCCCGGTGATAGCAAGGAGGGAAGCGAAGGCGTAATCGAATGTGAAACCTGATAGGTACACATCTACAGTATTGCTCATGAGAGATTACAGTCCATCTGTTATACTGAATGAACGAACCTCACATGGCTGGTTTTGCAACGCTGCGCTTTTCGTCTATGTTTGGCCTCGGTTTGCATTCCGTTTAACATCGCAGCCACAGCCCAAGGGTTGTAGGCACGACAACCAGCTGGGACTTAAAATTTCTGTGAAGACATTGCTTGAATTCATCAGCACGAATTTTCTGTAATCTTCTGGAATCGTTCATTAGGTGGAAACCTCAGCATTAACCTCGCTGATCTTCAGTCCAGCTCGACATTTGACTTGTTCCTCTATGGGGGCATTTTCTTCCTTCTCCATCACTCCCATTTCCTAGCTTGGTGCTCCGCTGTCTGGAAGCACGATACATCTCCTAAGGTATGTCTCTGGCTTTGAGCGCATGGGGAAAACGTCCTTCCAGGCGGCTGAGGCTTTCCTAAGCCGAGTTTGAGCTCAGAGTGAATTGCCTGCACCGCAACTCCGGCCACGTCGTCGTCGGAACAACGTATCCCCAGCATTGAATTGCCCCGTGGTGAATCATGCTTTAAGTGCAGCTGCTCAACATAAAAACCCTCAACACCCAAAGGCGGGCGACACATTCGACCTTCCACCACCACCACACCTACCACACTCCACGAGCAACCCACCATCAACCTCACCACCTCAACCCAACATCAACCTCCTTCCCTAATCATCTTCTCCTCTCTAATTGATCTTGACAGTCTTCCTTGTCCAAATTTCCTACAAAAAGTCACCCTCGTCCGTGCAACCAGTGAGGCAAGTCGCGACTCTCCTTCCTGGCCGTGGCGCGTTGACCTCCATCAACCCCACTCCAAATTTGGACGCAACCAGTCCACAGCCAACAAGCCTTTTCAAGATCTTGTCGACTTGACAAAATGGTCACACTTTTCACTCTGTACCACCCACGGTCAACTGTAAGCTACCTCCTAACACAGCTGAAAATGCCTCTGCCTGCTGCACCCCCTCAATCCCTCCTTCATCACATCCCACCCAGACCAACACTTTACACCTAAACGAAAACCTCCCTTCCAAACCAAAACAAAACACCGCACACAAACCAACATCTTACAGCGTCGCCCTCTGATACCCAAGAAACATTATCACGGTAAGAGCCCTCATCACAAACGCATCGAAATGGACCCCTTCGCACAGAATCACATTGAATAAACTTTTCCCCGTCTGTTACTTCAAAATGCTCATGGTGCCCTCCTTTCACTCACACCAGTCGTGTTTGTTTCAAGCTTTCCTTGACTTCCCTTCATCTGATTTCCTCGTTCTGCCCCACCTGCAAACCTTTTCCCTTTTCCATTTGCGACCTTTCCACTTTTGACCTCTTTCATTTGCGATGTTTGCCACAGCAACTTTTTCCACTTGTGTCCTTCCACTGTCAACAAAACAACCCACACACTTGGACTTCCCCTTCTACCACCACCATCTTTCCACCAATTGTCAACCTTCAGAAGTCTTCTTCTCTCACTGTCCACAAACAATCCCCAAACACCATTCTCAATCAAACCTCGTTTGCTCAATTCTAATTCAACTCCTCGCAGTCATAGACTGCCAGCGACAGTCCCAGCATCAGTTTCGAATGGCTCAAATTCCATTCTGGCCAAAGTCCAATCATCAAGACCATCACTTGTTCAACCTTCAACTTTTCAATCTGTAAGCAGTAACTGACTGGTATGTTTTCCCTGTCTTGACTTTTTACACCTTCAGCTTCCCACTTCCTCCTTGCTTCTCGTTCGTTTCTTACATCATCCCTCCTACCTGTCTCCCGCAGTAGCTTCTTGCACTACTTTCCCATACTCGTTTCCCACACTTCGCTACCACCTGTTTCTCGCCTGTCCCTCAATCATTTTGCACATTTTTCTTACACTTGTTGCGCAGTTTCACGTCAATCAAGCATCATGCAATATTTTCTTGCCGATGGTGCCTCCATTTTCGAGCGGGGCGAAAAGGAGAGCCTGCGGCATCACCTGCGTATGCTGTGGCACGGGGCAGACTACTTTCCCGTCTGCTTCATCTCCATCGATCTGGAGGGTCCTTTCAAACACATCACTGAGCTCGGTCTCGCATTTCAGCGAAAAAACCAGCCTCGCATGGGCCGACATTTGGTTGTGCAGAGCACACAACACGAGAAGTCCAGACCTCCTCTGCCTCTTGGTTTCGGAATGACATCCGAAACCATTGACGAGCCCGAGCAATTGGACTCCGTACTCACTGACTTCTTCAATCGCCGCTGGAAGGAGAATAAAATCGTTGTTCTGACAGGCTTCGATGTCAAAGCGGACCTGGTGAAGATTAAAAACAGCTGTGGCTAGGGGCCACCAATCGACACCCCCATCCTTGACTCCGCCACCATCTTCAAGACATTCACTGGAAGAAACAGGCATCCAACTCTAGGAAAGACCTTGGAATTATTTGGATACGATGGCCTTCCTTCAGCACCTTTCCACAACGCGGCGAATGATGCTTGGTATGCTCTAGAGCTCCTGTTTCGTGAGGCAGATCAGGCCTGGAAGCAGGTCATGCATCCTGACGGAGAAGACACCATCGACTGGATGGTGACACCTGGAGGACCACCCAATTCGCCTACCAGAGGCACAACTGCACAGCAGGCTTACGACCGTTGCCTCTCCATTCCTACCCTACCCTGTCCATCCATGGGCAAAGCATCTGCTCGCAACTTATCTGGACAAGCTCCACCGACCCCGCAAACACCTCAAGACGACAGCACAAGCCTTGGAAAGAACCGTCGCAAGATCCGCAAGAGAGTGAGGACTGAAACTTCCACTGATGACAACATGACCAACTCCACCTCGGCGGTGAATCCAACAGGCAGCAGCCCACCAGCCAAGAAGCGAAAAACGACACATGAGAGAAGCATCACTGAGGAGGAGCAAGGAGAGACCAATTGTGTGAAGGCAGATGAGCGCAATCACAACGATGAGGGTGGTCTGGCAGGCAAGGCAGAGGCGGAGGGGCAAGAGGACATGGTGGGGCAGGAGGAGGTCAAGGAAGTGCAAAAGGGTTCGGTAGAAGGAGAGTTGTCTGTCACCTCGGGTGCACCCTAGGCGTGTGCGGAGGGACTGTAGCTGGCTTAAGGGTTTGAGTCCTCCTTTGGAGTCGACTTGCCTGCTGGCGAAAGACCCTTACGGCGCTGTTGGGTGTCCCATGTGGGGAGGCAGGCATAGGCAATAGAGGTGTGACCCAGGCGTGCTCGGAGGGACCTGTGACTGGCTCAAGGGTTTGAGTCCTCCCTCTTGGGGAGTGATTTGCCTGCTGGCGAAAGACCCTTACGGCGTTGTTGGGTAGCCACCTTGGTGGAGGAGGCAGAGGATAAGAGGGTCAGGAAAGAGAAGGGGTGTGACTCGGGCGTGTACGGAGGGACTGTAGCTGGCTCAAGGGTTTGAGTCCTCCTTTGGAGTTGACTTGCCTGCTGGCGAAAGACCCTTACGGCGCCTTGGGTAGCCGCCTCAGGAAAGAAGGCAAGAGAACAAATGGAAATGGACCTCTGGATGTTTTCACCCGGGCGTGGACGGGGGGACCGGAGCTGGCTCAAGGGTTTGAGTCTTTCTCCTTCTAAGGGGACTGACTTGCCTGCTGGCGAAAGACCCCTACGGCGCTTTTGGGTTGGATCACCTATGAGGGACAATGGACAGACAGGATAGAATTTGGCGCAGCCCTCCGGGAGCGTGCGGCCCAGGCGTGCACGGGGGGACTGGAGCCAGCTCAAGGGTTTGAGCTCTCTCTTCTTCGGAGGGGCTTGCCTGCTGGCGAAGGACTCTTACGGCGCTGATGGAGCTGCTGCTTGGGGGACCGTTGCTTGAAGTGGTCGTGGCAATGGAGAAGTAAGCAGGGCAATACTGACTGGATGTCGTTGTTTTGTGAAAATGCTCCGATTACCGCCGACTGAAGTGCCTCGTGATGTGAACGACGCTTTCCTCGCCATCACGGCCTACATGAGCAAGACCAACGCGTAGCGACTTGGCTAACGTAGATGGAAGCACGTTTCTCTCGCTTTCTATTCCAAATACTGTAAAACTTCAAGTCTGTCCAAGTCGCCTTCTTTTTGAAGTGACACCGGTTTCAAATCCCGTATGCAATAAGCATTCCCAAATACTCCGACAATGCTGTCTTCTCCATGCCATATTTCAACAGAAATGCATGTGCAGATATCCCAATTCTACACCAGACACCATATGAGCGCCGACATCAACTTCGTCCTGACACCTCACCACCCTCCCTCCCTACACCTTCCCCGTGACGACAAACTGCCCCGTCTCAGTCCTGACCCTCCACCCAGCCCGCTTCAGCGCGGCGCCGACGTCCTGGCGCAGGCGCGACACGCCCTTGGAGCTGTGATTGCCCAGGCCCGTGACGACGGTGAAGCCCTCGTCGCGGGCCCTGCGGGCCCTGTCCTCGCCGAGCCCGGCCCACCAGGCCTGCGTGCGCTCGAGCGCCATGCGCACGCCGTCGGCGACCGGGACCCCGTGCAGGTCGATGTGGCCCGCCGACGAGTTCTCGTCGACCAGCGCCTCGTAGCTCGCGCTCTGCGCCGCCCGCGACCGGTCCAGCTGCTCCCGCGCCCGCTCCGCCAGCACCCCCGCCACCGGCCGGAACAGCGCGTCCGACTTGCCGCGCCGGTAGGCGGCGTTCGCGGCGCTGAAGGACTGGGACGTCAAAGCGCGTGCGGCGGCGGCGTCGCTTGCCAGCTCGCTGTATGTCTTGCGTGGCTTGGCGGACTGCACCGTCTGCCATTCGGTGGTGGACTTGGTGGCCGGGGTGTTGGGAGCGGAGGTTGAAGCGCTGGATGATGGCATCAACCGTGGAAGCGAGCTCCGCCGAGTGAGAGGGCGAGACGCGGTCAAAGCCGGTGAGACCGGGCTGCTGGCTGCTTTGTCCTCTGCGTCCAGGTCTAGCGGCTTCAGGCGGTACCCGACGTCGAGCCTGGCCTTTCCGGCCTTCTCCTTGGGCATTTCTACTCCGGAGCGACCTATTGGAAGTCAGCTGATTGTACAGGCAAATCAATGAGGATCTGGACTAGAGAAATCAAACCGTTGACAAGGTCCACAAAGAGGAAGGCCTTGATCAACTTGACGGAAAACTAAGATTCTATTCTTGCCTTTCTTGTAACCGACGTGGTCGTCTTGGCGGAAAGCTCCCTCGATGCCCTTTGGCCGCAGACCATTTTCTTCCAGGAACTGGGTGCTGAGGAGCTCCTCACAAGCCTTTGTGAAGTCCCCATCGGCTTTTCTCAGGCAGAATTTGATGTCCATGTCCTTGAGAAGCGGGAACATGGTCTTCAGCTCGGCAATCTTGCCATCCTCATCCAGGGCCAGGACATCAACGTCCTGGGGGAGGTCCAGCAACTCGAACTGCTCGGATAGGGTGTCGCTGAAATCGGTCCTGGACGAGACGTCGGTACAGGGCTTGGAGCCCGAAGTGGAATGCGAGGAGTTGGTGTTGGCATTTCCCCCGAGTGCTGCGAGGTCATCGATCTGGCCATCTCCCCCACCGGCAATGAAGCGAGACGCCTCCTCGGCCTCTGCATCCTGGGAGAGGCCTTGGAGGATGCCACGGGCCTCGTCGAACTGCAGGGTCAGGTCAAAGTCACCGACAATAGCAATGATTAGGGACTCATCGAGTGCGGAGCGAAACTCGTCCTAAAAGGGTATTAGTTGAGCTTCATATGTGCAACATGAGCAAGACAACTTACAATGAGGTTGCCCATCAACGAGGCCGCATCAGGGACTGGGTCATTGTCTCCCATCCTCCCACCCCTGATGTCTGGTTGGTGCTCAAAACGGAAGCGAAAGATACAGATGCAGGCCTTGAATGGGTGCAGGTGGGTGGAGACAGTGTTTCATTTCTGTTTGTGGGCCAGCTCATGTCCTTGCGGTGGTGCTATCTTATTATAATCAACGGCTCGTGGTCATGGTGTTTTGGCGGTCATGCGGGTGCGTCAACGGCGAAAGTGATGATTCAATTTTGAGGACGGCTCACTGCCGGGCGCACAGAGCCTGATCAAGTTTAGCGCGGTATGATCATTTAGGTGCTGGTCTTGCTGGGCCTTTTTGGCCATTTTTGGCCCTGGCTGGTTGTCTGAGCTCTTTTCAAATTGATGCATGATGTAGAACTTGTCGTCAGCTCGCGTCCGTATCACTAGGACTCATTCACTTCAGCCTGCCTGATCAGTCACAATAATCAACGGATATTTAGGATCTAGTCCTCAGAGATTCGGGACAGCGACTAAAATGCCAAGAGTCCGAACCTCGGGAGGCATGCGAGCCTCAACCAAGCATTGCTGCCATGGGCCGGGAGACCCCAACCTGCATCCGGCCTACGTGGCAGCCGGTACGGGTTTAAGCTCTACAGCTCCTCCACACCATATACCTAGATTACGAGAGACCTGCTCAAGCATTTCAAGCCAGCTGGGCGGTTCTGGTTGTTCCGGGCGGCAGTGCTTACTGCGTAGATGGGTGCCGATCCAGATATGGCCAAGGTGCAGAGTACTGTACTCCACCTTGAGATTGTGTTGGAGCCTGAATCTCGTGATGCTCACAGGTACTGGCACCATGGCCATGCGAGCCCAGCACGCAAGATCACACCAATTTGGGGCTGTACTTTATTTACTTCCGTGCCTGCCCATGCCTGCCCATGCCTTCCATGCACCGAAGCGGTCAGGATAGGCTTAGAATGAGTTTGCAGGCCAGCAGCAGGATGAACGTTCATCGCTGACTGACGCGGTCTTACTGCCAGGGCCGGGCAGATCCAGCCGTGCCCAGCGCCGCGGGGACCGTCCAGAACCGGCCACCTCCAGCCCATCTTGGTGCAGAGACCGGGGCGCCTTAGCCAACGGGACCCCGCGGACGTCACCAAGATCTACACAGCACCCTTGCTCTCCGTCTGTGATGTGTGGGATCCACCCAGACGACTTGTCCGAAGCTCCCGAAGGCGACGCTGCCTGTGCCTTATGTCACTTTGTTGTGGTAACGGACACGAAGGAATAGCACATAATGAAACGCATTGCTAGACTATATGATCTGACCTGCAGCCCGTGGCTGTTATGGAACGGCTCTCGTTGGTCGAGGTCTACAACATTCAAGTGCCTCAACTGACTCTGCTTCGGCCTGCTGACACCTGGTGCTGCTGCCGTAACTCACCACATCAACATCACCACTAACATCACCAGACCATCACCGTCATCAGTCCTGCAGGTGCCAGCACGCAGGCCCTTGACTCGTTGGGCGCTACACTGCATCTCAAGTAAACAGGTTCACAGGTGCAGGCTGCAGACCTCCAGCGAGGACAAGGACAAGGCTTCCTCCTCGTCTGCGGGATCCAATCTCACGGGTTCTCATTCGTATTATTGGAGCTGAACAGCCTCGCCTTGACAGGGAAGCCGTCCGTTTGGTGGCACTTAGCATCGAGTTCCCTGCCTGCAGCAACTTGCCAGCCCGACAGACATTCCAGAAAACCCTCCTCCGGACGTGGTCGATCGGCCCCGAACCGCCATCAAGCCTGCACGCCGCAACAAGGACACTCCCGCGATAGTCCTATAAGCCGAGCTGGCCGCTGCCGTTCTAGCCTGTGCACATTTATGCGTTCAGCCTTCCCGGCTTGTGATACGGGCAGCTGCTAGGCTCAAGGTGGACTACACGGGTTCTCACTATTTACGACTCGGCCCTAGTTCTGTTTCAGAAGCCCTCACACCCACGGATTTGCGCATTGAAGGGAGCTCCCTGAGCTCCGTCGCCTCTCGCCGCTGGCAGCTCCTGGATGCTTGCATAAAGATCCGCCTCCCCTGGTGCCTGAGCACCTACCAATAATCCCATTCTACAAAAATCCCATCTCTGCCCTCTCTTTTTATTTGTTTACTAGCGGTTCGCGTCGTGCCGTTATTGAGTCTCTCGTTTGGGTACGCCGAGAGACATCCACGGCGTCAGCAGAAGACTGGCTAGCTAGCAACCAGCCTGGGAGTAGGGCACGATGGCGACCGACAACAAATACCCATTTTGGGGCTACCCGGCACCTATCAAGGGGTAAGTGAGAGCCGCCAACCTGACGGTTCATGGCAGACAGTCTCACGTCATCGAGGAGTCTCGGTTTCCCAGAAACTTTGCGAATGGAACAGGCAAGCTAACAGGACCCAGGCCGGAGACTGCATACAAGGGCGAGCGAAAGTCGAACCCTGCTATGCGAGGATGGATTTTGATGCCAGCAGCATACCTGCTCGAGCAGATTCGTCCTCTCAGGGAGATGATCTGGTCAAATGCCGGCTTCTCGTCGCTGCGCAAGCTCCGCGAGAAAATCGAGGATTATGAGCCTCTCCACGATCCCACAGTTGTGCCTCTCGACCACAGGCTTCTCTTCGCGGTCAATGGCAATGGGGGCCCCCACATCAATGGCAATGGCAATGGCAATGGACATGTGAACGGTGTGACGCCAAGACCGGGCTCGTCGGCCTCAGCGGAACTACCATCTCACACGGACTCGTCTCCTCACACTATCTCACTTACCAGCTACTACTCGACGAAAACTTATCGCGACCTGTACCTGAAGGGTGATCTTACGCCTACTGACGTCGCAAAAGCCATACTACCACTCATTCGACGAGACATTGAGCCCAAGGGCTCCCACCATCTCATCTTCTTCGACAGCAAGGCCGAGCTCGTCCTCAATGTAGCCGAGGAGTCAACCCAGCGTTACCGCGAGAACCGTTCTCTGGGACCGCTCGACGGCGTGCCGTGCGCTATCAAAGATGAGTACGACCTTGACGGGTACAAGTGTTGCCTGGGCTCTTTGAATGACTACACCGCGGAAATCGTCGACGAGAACGATAGCATCACTTCCTGGTGTGTCAAGAAGCTACTCGAGGCGGGAGCCGTCATCGTCGGGAAGACCAGCATGGTCGAGTTTGGGCTGGACACACCTGGCAACAACCCCAACTACGGAACACCGCGGAACCCTTTCAATGAGGACTACTACACCGGCGGGTCATCCTCGGGCACAGCCGCGGCCATCGGGTCGGGGCTGATCCCGATAGGGCTGGGTAGCGACGGCGGCGGCAGCATCCGGATCCCGTCGGGCTTCTGTAACATCTTCGGGCTTAAGCCCACGCACGCACGGGTCTCGTTCTGGCCGAGCGCGAACCACTCCAACACGTGTGCCGTCAATGGACCCATGGCCGCGGACATGGAGTCGCTAGCCACGCTCTTCGAGGTCATCGGCCAGCCGCACCCGGACTCGCCCTTTGCTTTCCCCAGCGTCCCGAGACTGCCCCCGGCGGCCAAGATGCTCGAACAGACGCCCGGCAGGCCCAAGACCCTGGGAATTTGCCGTGCCTGGTTCAACGACTGCGCGCCCGCGGTCAGGGAACTGTGTGAGGGGATGGTGGATACCCTGGTGGCTAAGCACGGCTACAAGGTGGTTGACATACAGATTCCGTTCTTGGCGGAGGGCCAGTTCGCACACGCCATGACGGTCTTGACGGACGCATCTACGTTGTTGCCCAAGTATGACAACCTGACATATGCGAACCGGTAAGCTGTTTTCCCCCCATGCAGCCAGCAAATTGGTCCCCTGCTGCTCTGTGCCTGGCTTCAAACCATGCGAAACAAACACACTGACGCAAATTTCCCCACAGAATTCTCCTAGCCCTGGGACGCACAACCCCAGCGACAGACTACCTCCTCGCGCAGAAACTCCGCCGCTGCCTGATGACGCACCTGTCGTGGCTGTGGCGGCAACACCCGGGCATGCTGATCATCACGCCGACGACGGCCTGCGCGGGGTGGCGCATCCGGGACGGCAAGACGAGCAGCAGCGGCGAGCTCAGGGTCGGCATCTCGGACGGCGACAAGACCATCGAGACGATGCGGTACGTGTGGCTGGGCAACTTCTGCGGCCTGCCCTCCATCAACGTCCCCGCTGGCTACGCGAGCCCCGACGCCGGCGGCAAGGGCGAGAGGGTCGCCGAGAAGGGTACCGTCGGAAAGGTTCCCGTCGGCTTCATGGCCACGGGCGAGTGGGCGTCTGAGGAGAGCCTGATTGAGTTTGGCGTTGAGGCCGAGCGGGCTGGTGCCGAGTGGCGGGAGAGGCCTAGGGGGTGGGTTGATATTGTTGAGTTGGCTAAGAAGGAGAGGAGCACGGAATAATTGGGGACATGGGCATGAAAAGACTGCGATGTTCATCTGTGTTGGGCGGTTGAAGATATCCTGTTCCTTCTGTTGTCTTGTTGTAAAAAGAAGGCCATTCCTTTACAGATACCATGGGGTTTAGACGATGGGCATCGGTGGAAAGATGTGGCTGCGTTTTACATATACCACGATCCTTCCTCCGCTGATCACGAGCATGATCAAGGAGTTGCAAATTAGACAGAGGGTGCATTTGTGCATCAATGCTATTCAATTATTTCGGCATGAGCTGCGACCCTTGTCCCTACACGTATGCAAAAATATAACGCTTTCAGCTCACGACAATAGTGTGCTCACCACCCTCCACACCCTCAACAACAACCGTATCGAACACGACACCGGTCTTCCTGAACCACTCCACCTCCACCTCCTCCCCGTCCACCGCCACGTTGGGCTTGCTCCCCTGCTCCACAACAGGCAACACGAGCCTCCCCGCCGTCCCAATAGGCGTGCTGACACTAGCATTATATCCGGCGCCCTCCTCCGCCACGTCCCAACGAGCCTGAAACTTACCAAGGCTCGTCATGAACCCGCCCTCCGCAAACTCCAACCCGCCAAACTGCGGCGCGAACAACCACGCACTACCCACTGGCGCCGTGACGCTCAGCCCCAGCACAAACTCAGTCAGCGCGCTGGTCGGGCCAGAAGACCATCCGTGCGCGTGCGAGACATAGCTGAAGTCATTCCCGTACCCACGGCTCCAGCGGTATCCAAACGTCCCGTTGACGAGGTACCCCTCGACGACGGTGCTCTGGGACCCGTTCTCGTTGCCGAGGTACCAGCCCCAGCTGGTGCGCACGAGGTCGAGCGCGCGCGCCGTCTCGCCCGCCGCCAGGTGCGCCTGGATCTCGAACGACGATATGAACGGGCTGATGTTGCCCGGCAGCTCGGGCGCCTCGGCGCCCAGCGGCGTCCAGTTGTCGGTCAGGCGCGTCGAGATGGAGCGCGCCGTGCCCGTGTCGCTGCCCACTACCCCGAAGAGCACCGCCATTGCGTTGGCGTCCTGCGGGTGGAGGGTTGTGGCCGTCGCGTTGTCCCGGAACGCGCCGTAGCTGCCGTCGAAGCAGTGCGCCAGCGTGGCGTTCTGCAGCGCCGCGGCGCGCTGGGTCCACAGGGATGAGAGGTCGGTTGTGTTGCTGCTGCCTCCTGCTTGCCAGGTGGCGAGGTCCGCGCCCGTGGTGAGCGTGCGGTAGAGGATCATCTGGGCCGAGGACATGTTGAAGCCCGTCTGCCAGCGGGCCCAGTCGCGCGTGCCCGTGACGTTGAGCAGGCCGGATGCTGGCTGCACCTTGGCGTAGATGTAGTCCATGGCGGCGAGGTAGCCGGCCCAGTTCTGCGCGAGGAAGGCTGTGTCGTTGGTGTACAGCACGTAGTTGTACGTCCCGATCATGGTCCACATGTGGTACGTGTCGCTGCCCTGCTGCAGCAGCGGCGGGCCCGCCTCGGGGAACGAGCCGTCCTTGTTCTGGTAATTGTACATCACCTGTAGTGCGTTCCTCACGCTGTCAAGGTCGCCCACGCTGACGAAGGTAGATGGTACTGCGATCCCCATGTCGCCTGGCCACACTGCGCGGTCGCGCTTTGCGCCGTCGACGATGATGGTGTCACCTGGGCCCAGGGTGCCGTTGTTGACCCAGCTTGTGTTGACGAAGGGCACCCATCGGCCAGTATTGACCGGCACCGCGTTCGTCTGGAGGGTGTACGCTCCGCTGTACCAGATCTTGTTGAGGAGCGAGTCCGAGCTGTGGAAGTAGCCCTGGTATGCCCTGAGGTTGGACCACGTGGGCTGGAAGCCGATCTCAAGCTCGATGGAGGATATGTCTACTGACGCAGACTCAGAGATCAGGAAGAGCGTAAGGTAGCGGAATCCTCCACGCAGCTTCTCGTCGGGCATGGTGTAAGTGACCGTCTCTGTGCTGGTGAAGTTGGAGTACAGGGCTCCGTCCGGTCCAACAAACTTGCCATTGGAAGAGTCGGACCACTCTCCTATCCAATTCTTCGCTTCCGTAAAGGCCAGTCCAACAGCACCAGTGCTACCCCCTGAAGGAGTGTACTTGAGCGTCACGATGCCGCCAACCTCCTTGCCAAAGTCGAAGACGAGTTTGGACCCATTGGTGGCCAAGTGGGCTGACCCGTTCCACGATGCGATGATGCTTCCGTCGGCGGCCGACAACACGGACCTGGGAGAGACGGTACGTGATTCTGGCGCGAAGTTGTTGGCGTCCCATTCTCCCGGAAACGCAGCTTCGGAGATGGTGCTGCAGGTGGTGTCCCTCCAGCACGACTGGCCGAGAGCAGTGGAGGCCAGGAGGCCAAAGAGCATGGTCAGGGCCTTCATCTTGGAGTACCGACAGCCATGGGCGTAGGAGATGACACCCTGAGGCAGTTTCGGTTCCTCTCCATGTTGTTATAACGCACTTGTCAACCTCCAAATTGGCACCAGTCCCCTGGCAGCCAATTTTGGCGCTGATTTTCGCGTTGCTCGGTGCATTTTGGGGACCGAGTCGAGGTTAAAATCCCGGAATTAAATGGTGCTCGTCATAGCTACTGCGCCGTGGTTGACAAGGGGAGTAAAATGAGGAGTCTCTAGACGGTCGTCGGGTAAGTGGCAAGCTTGGAGAAGCTGGGGAAGACCCCTGAACTGCGCGGGGAGTTTGTCAGGCTGGGGTACACTCTCGCTCCAATTGTGCCGAGACTGAGCACTGGCCTAGTGGACATTCTTAGACGAAGGTGAGATTGTCCCCGACTTCTACAGGATTTCTTAGTACTGATCCGAGTAGGGAATGAAATCAATGGGTTTGTCTATGGATGACTGGCCCACTATTTTGTCTACGCAATGGCTCTCTTGTTGTTTGAATCCTTTTGAACACCCAGTAGGCGGCATGGTAGGCGACGTTAAATTAGACAGCCATTTGTTCGCATCTCGACCAGGTGCAAACTTTACAGTCAAGGTCTGTCGATCATACAGAGCAATTTCGTGCATTGGATCTCGAGGTCAAGCATCGGCTAAGCTTCGGGCATGTCCGAGCACTTGGGGATCTTCCTTTGTGACCATCACAAGATCTCACGGTACACTCATACCTCTGTCAACTGGATTGACAGGCGGGTCATGTAGTGTGTGTGTGTATCTCGTGAAGTCGCTGCTTGGAATTTCCTAGAGTGCATCAGGTACATGAAGAGAAGTGGCATAAGGCCAGAAAGTAACTCCGTCTCGAGATCGGATTCGGTAGATCATCCGCACTACCACCCAAACCTTGAGAAGCGCCATGCAACGCCTTGACGGGATGAACACCAGCTGGCTGGTCAGACCCGTGGATCCGGGGCGCCGAGGTTGCGGTGAAGGCGTCTTCCACCTCGGTTTCGCAAACGCTCCAAGCGTATCCCTACCAACCTAATGTGCACATGAATAATTCGAATACGGCTGCACGCCAGCTAGCCTATACGCACCTCTCTCGGCCGCGTTGTCTTCCTCGGATGCTTTTGTCTAACTTGCGCATCCCTTAATGTTTTCAAATTGTTCACCGGAGCTCCGGCTCAATGCCTTTCTTCTTATCTGCTTCTTCGAGCATGGTCTGGGCTTGAGATCATGCCGTCTTCCTTGATGAACGCTGGAGCGGATGTATGCCAGGGACGAAGTGACACGAAACTAACAAAGCATAAGAAGCACATGGTGACTGTTCTTCCAAATAACAATGATTTCGTCATCAGGTAGCCAGGGCAGCTGCTTGATGACGGATTTCCCAACAACCTACTGTAGTTGGGGAAAGGAGATCAATTTCCGCTTGTATTAAAGACAGAATTTCTTTCGAAGCTAAGATTATATATATTGTCTCATAAAGATACTTCTTTAATGCTGGTAGTATGATTCTATCAGACACCGCAATCTGGCGTTGATATTCGAGAGTGATCCAGTCGTAGCTACAATGGCACATCATTTGTTATTTTCGAGAATGGGTGCAATCTATTACAGAGGGAAAATGCTTCGGTGTGCCCGTTGCCTTCCTTCGTCTCATCTGAACATGCCCATGATAGTCATATGAGCACCCGGCAATCATATAAGCTGCGGACCCCAGACTAGACTATCAGGTGGTGGTATTGCCAAGGCCCGGATCGACGAAGAGCCAGAGTTGCTCAACTAGTCAGGCCTATCCGACGGGAGTGATCGCTTTCGTCCAAACTTCTTACAAGCCTCCCACCGAAAATTCATGGTAACGGCGTTTCCTGGTTCCAGCGACGGTCCATTAGTCTAGACCACGATGAGCTGACGTTATTGCCAGCTCGCGACTGGCCAACTCCAGCCCACGAAAATACATACATACGAATTCGAGTCGGACTCAAGATATTCCCTCGAATTTCGAAACCGCAAATGTGCGAAGCCTGACTCTGCGTCCGGGCGTCCCTGCATTGACCATCCCGTCTCAACAGTCCGAAGAGCCTCAGCCCCAGCGTTTCCAGTCCCATTATTCCAGAGCCAATCTGGGCGTACATCCGCAACCTTATTTTCAGAACCGGCACCCACAGCCCATAGGGCTGTTAAGATCCAGGGAAGCTTTTGACTTTCAGGCCGCAGCTCCCGCGCGCGCACTTTCTCTGCAAGTGCATCAAATCGCATTACTTCGAATTGGCTTGCCATTGATGCGGCCTATCGCATTTGATCCATCTCCGGAAAGTCTAAAGTGCAAATTTGAAAGAGCAGTTCTATCTCATAGAAGGAATCTCGACTCAGCCATCTCATGATAGCAGCCTCAGAGTGGCCCCTGAGCAGCCCAATAGGACTGGCTCAAACAGCCAAGCCACCTAGAGTTATCAATAGCTCAGGACAAGTGAATTGGTAAGAGCAGACAGTGAGGCTGGCCTATGTTGGCCAGCTTAAGCCCTGAACCTTGCCTCCCATGTGCGGCCAGCTGAGGCTGCTTGAACTACGATTTTCAGATTGCCTGACAGAGATCTTGGCATCTGAGCAAAGTTCACCCCTTCGCCCCCTGAGCACTGAGTCGGTAAACATCAGACGTCACTTCAGACAACGACGAAACCCGGTCTTGAAGTCAATATCGACTTCCTCATCCGGACTTGTAGGTGTCCCAACGGATCGGATCCAAGACTTAGGATGGCATATCGGAGAGATCACATAGACCGACGGACTCTAGCTAGCCTTATTGTTTGTATATAAGAGCGATGGCCTCAAGTCACCAGAATGAGACTATACTCTTTCCATCATCAGCTTCATCTTACATTCTTTCTGAGTGCAGGCACATACATTCTTTACTAAAATATTTGATATTTGTTGCGCGATTGGACGGTCTTTCTGTTTAATTGATATTATCTTCAACCCTCTTTTGACAAGATGAAGACTACCGCAATTATCTACGCATTCTTGGCTATGACGGCCAATGCTGGTCCTGTCAGTAGGCGCCAGGCTGCTGGAGGTATGTGGATAGTTCTTACTTTCAAGCTCACATGCGCTTCTGGCTGTACTGTGATGTAACCATCTTGGACAATGTCTCGGGATCAAACGAGGGCCAATACATGTGGAATCCCTGTTCTGACAAACAATAATAGGCAACCTGCAGACCTTCACTGGCAACGTCGGAGGAGCGACCGCCCCTGCTGTAAGCTATTTGTCACTATCCCGATGCGTCGAAACCACGACCACGGCATGTTATAATTTTACACAAGCTGACCTTACATCTATAGGTCACCAATGTTGGTGGCGACAGACCATTCAGGGTCGACGGCGTCGCGGACACATTCAAAGCCGCCGCCGGCGCTCTTGACCGCTCATGCTCCATTCAGAAGAACGCCTGCGCTACAGCAGCCAACTCCGGCACCGCCGCCGACATCGCTGTCTCGGACTGCGATGCCCAGCAGCAGGAGTGCTCTCAGGCTGCTAAGACTGCCGCTGCTGCAGCTTCGCAGGACGCTCAAGCTGGGCAGGCAGCCCAGAATGGCCAGGCCGCCGCTGGAGCCGCTGACAACAAGAACAATGGCGGTGCGGCTGCCAAGGCTGGCAAAGGACAGCAAGGTGGCCAAAGTAATAACGCTGGAGACAACCAAAACAATGCGACTGCCAGCGCCGGTGACAACTCCAAGGGGAACCAAGGCCAGAATGCAGACCAAGGAAATGCAGCGGCTGGGTGCAACGCAGCAGCCGGACAGGCCGTAGGTCAGGAGAATGCCGCAGCAGGAAATGCAGCAGCCGGAGGAGCCGCAACAGGAGCAGCCACTGGCGCCGCGGCCGCGGGCGCCGTCGTGCTCCCAGATGGCCGCATCAAGCAGGACGCCGTGCCGGAGGACTTCAACGTGCTGGCGAGCCCCTTCAAGTCGGCCGTGGTCAAGGGCGACGGACTGAACTTCAGCGACATCATCACATTCCCAGACATCCAGCCTTCGATTTTCGACGCAGCAGGCAACACCAAGGCGTTCGAGATCAGCATCAACGACAAGTCCATCTTTGTGCCTCAGGGTCAGGCGCCTCAAGACCAGTTCCGGCGTGCGGATCTGCTGCCCAGCATCGCGTCGACACTCAACAACGTCTCTACCACCGGCAAGAAGACGATGCACTTCTCTCTCCAGCAGGACGCCGCCAAGCCGCTCGCTCTCACTACCAACGAGTACCAGGTCGCGTTCCTCGAGACGGCCGACTTCGCAAGCCGTATCTTTGACGTCCGTGTTGGCACCGGCACAACAAGCCCTAGCCTCACGGGTGGCAACATTGTTGTGCTGGGCCGGTCTGGAGATGCCATCCAGGAAATGTTTGTCGCGCCCTTCTCGGCGGACCTGCAGAACTTCGCCGTGACCCTAGACTTTGATCAAAAGTAAGCTACACTCTCACTCGCATATCTCAATAATCACAGAGCACCAAACTGACTCTCGACCAAAAGCACGATGCAAGTCTTCCACAGCACAGGTCAGACACCTCTCGCCCAGGTCAGCGAGGCCGTGGCCAACGACAACTCGGGCAACGGCGAGTACCACTTTGCATTGCTCAAGCTGGCCGACGCGCAGGGCCAGCAGGCGGCCAATATCGACGAGGGCCTGGCCTTTGCCGGCATTTTCATGGAGGACTCGGCCGATGGAACTGTCACCTTGCAGTAGATGAACTTTGGGCCGGTCATGATGCTAGGCACAATACACACTGAGATCACCGTCATGGATCGGAGATACTGGGTGAAGATCTCGTAGATATAAATCTAGTCCCTACGTGGTCAACCCAGGTTTATATCAAATGTTCAAATCTTTGCAAATCTGATGGGCGAAATTAATGTGTGAATGCAAAATAAGACAGTCACCCGATTCCTAAGGCTGAGCTATGTGCAGTAGAAAAGCATGTGCATGTGTCTCCTGGAGACCTCTCTGCTTTACGAGTAATGGTCATTGAAGCGGCTGAGTTCTGGCATCGAATCACGCGGGGCAACAAAACATCAACACACACAAAGTCCAGCACATTCAGCTTTCAAAATCAGCGACCCTTTTACTTACAACTTCCCAGTTGAACCACAGGCATCTCTGTCAAGCCAAGGCAAGAGAATGACTCCCCTCGTCATGGCTGCATGGAGCTGAGCCGGGGAACCTCCCGAAGCGGATCGAGCAGGATCTAAGTCAAAAAGCACTGTAATCTGGTCAACCGTTCCTGAATTGCGTTTCAGGAGTCCACTGGTCTCGTTACATTCAGAAAAGAAATACCACGCAACAGCAATGTTGTTCCACGATCCGCCTGAGCATGAGGCAGACCGACTGGCGACTTCTTTGCCCAAGCAGCTCTATGCCTGTTTCTCTACTCCGACACACTGGAATCAGTATGAGGATCCCAACTTCCGAGGGACTCCGGGTTACATCCGGGGTACATCTACGCGGACTCTGACAGGATGAAATTCGAGGAGCAACAGATGTATGTCAAAATGGCTGGGATCCGAACAACGTGCATTCTGGGGCTCATCCCCCCCCCCCCCCCAAAAAAAAACCTTTAAGCGACTCCAGGCGCTAGTCAAAGTTGTTATTCAAGTAGTGGAGACCGTCACCAGTTGACGGGGGGGATTGAAGCAAGAGAATGGCCTAGAATGAAGAGAAGCTGTATTTATATTTGATTCTGTTCTATTGCGGTACTAGTATAATATGTCGAGCAGCAGAGCAAGCAAGTATAGTTTGTCTCTGGTCAGTCTTTGATTCCCATATGACGAAGTGAAAAGATCATGTCTTCATTCAAACATGACAAATTATCCCTTTTCCCATCCAAACGCCCCTGGACAGTGCTACCAGCCGCGTCGGTGGTGTCGCTTGCAATGCTGCCTATTGCGAATTCGATCAGCCGCTTCATTAAGATGATTATTGCACCATTGCGTCGGGGTTCGTGAAATTTGCACCCAGTTTCTTCTCAGCCTCCTGTCACGCACTCAATTTTGCTCTTTCCCTCCTCCTGTTATTTTTCTTCTTTCCCCTTCCTTTTTTTGTTCCTTGTTTGTTTGCATGTTTTCGTTCTTCATACTGCGCTCTCGGCCATCCCAAAAGCAGGCAGTATTTCTGTATTTCCTGGTGTTTTCCTTTTCTTCCTAGCAGCAAGGCAAAGTCAAGACCACTGAGTATTCTGCGCGTGAATCGAATCTCAATTTGGCTGAGTTGTGAGACGTCTCAAGAGTGCTTGGAATGCTGCTTCACGTGCTTCTTGTTGGGCCGGAGAATGCTGAGGTAAAAGGCGTGTCAAGAGTGCTCGATATGATGCTTCACGTGAGATCTGTTGTGGCGGAAAAGGCTGAGCGAAAAGACGATTCAAGATTGCTCCAGGTGATTCGTCGCCTCGGTGGTTTGTCTCCTCACCACGCCAGAACCGGGCCGTCTGCTCCTCGGACAAGGGGACCCTCCTTAGCACGATGCGTTGCCTCTGACGCTGCAGATGCTGGTCTTGTGGGGTCCAATTGTTGTTTCCGTTCGGGTTGCGCCCGTGATACCAATCTTCTTGGGTGGCGAGCTGGACCAGGCGCTCGCGGGCGTCCGCCGAGTTCGCGATGCCCATGTCTAGCGCAGCCTCGAGGACCCTCAGGGTGGCATTGGGGCGGAACGCAAAGAGCAGCAGCTGGTCTCTGAGGCTGCGCAGATCATCTTCGTCCGTGAATTGGGATTGGATGTTTGCTCCGGCTTCTAGGAGGGCGAAGAAGCACTCGTCTGTTCTCTTGTGGTGTCTGTGGGCCGTCACGAGGCGCAGCGGGAACTCGAATCCGGTGTATTCCGCCCAGTGGCACGCGCGGTTTGGTGAGGCGCCATCACGGAGCATTATTCGTAAATCCTCCGCATCGCCTAGCTGTATTGCGGATCCCACATTAGAGATGATGCATCTATGCTGGACTCGCAAGATGTGCAGTTGGTACCAGGCGTCATGGAATGGACACCGGCGCCAGTGATAGGGGCTGCCAAGGGGCAGATAAATCGAAGTGATTGACTGGTCTGCCATTGCTGATGACTTGTGTCAGAGATCAGGTTGAGAAGTGTATGCGAGGCGCAGGGAAGGCGGCTCTCTGTGGATAGAAGTAGTGAGATAAGTTGTGGTGTTCTGAGTTCCGAATGTATCAGATCCAAGTTTCTGTATCCGGCAAACGCACTCAGGATGATGGAGGAAGATGAGGTCACAATTGTATGAGTAGATGTTCATATTCTGAAAGGGGAACAGACTCAACACAGCAACAGGGAGAGCGACTTTAATCACAGGTACACAAGGCTTTTCATGGAATTCTTCATTTTGGCCCAATTCTTTGCAGACGAGCTAAGAAGTCCGGTTGAAACTACAAAAATGCTTGCGCAAAACAGTATGTGCTTAACGCAAGTAAGGGAGTGATTGTTGTCAATATCCAATTCATGGCGTGATAAGCTATCTGACAAGAATTGAGATCAATTGTGTGAAGCGCACTGTGACCAACACCTTGAGAGACAATATTTGAGCATAGCACGGCTACTTACAGAAATTACTCATGAATGTATGTCCGGCGCTCGTATGTCCATCCGGGTTGTTTGTGGGTCAAAGCAAGCGAGCTAGGAAGTCTTGACTTTGGTACTGACAACTGTAATGCATGGCCTCACTAGGTGACTTACTTACTATGAGGGGACGTGTGGCTAATGATGTGGATTGTTCACGTGTGAGGGCACTGGCCAAGAGATAATGAACCCTACGTGGAAACCAAGAGGTTGCTGGGCCTGTCGTCTCGCATGGAGCAGAGGAATACGAAGGTGGACATTATGTGAGAAACTGTTTCTTGGGCCGGCTCAGGAGTGTAGCGTTGGCTCTTAGAATTCCAAGATAATTTGCAAACCGCTAAATAATAAATTAGCAGAAACCTCGATTTAGGGCAGAGGCCGGATACCAGGCTCCACCGACCCTCCTGGGAAGGCTTAGATGTGTAACCCGACACTGGCTAGGTTCTGAATGTGGCCAAATATTTGCATTGAAGATACGAGCCGGACTGCCTACCTAGGTAGGCTGCGCTGCTGACCAATGTGAGTAAAATGGGATTACGTCTGAGCATTTTTAACCGTGTCTATTCAACAAGGAGCCTGAGTAACAGCCCCAGTACTGTGCAATTACAACATTTTGATTGTGTACTTTTATAGACTTGACAGGCTAGGAATGTCGCTGAAAGGAATGGCCACTTTGGCTTGCTTTACTCGACACCTAGAGTCATTATGCCTCGATAGCTCCAGGGAAATGGGTACTAGGTAGCCTTCCCGATCCACTTCAAACGGGATTGCTTTTGTAGCTCGGTCACACAACAGTCTTACCGACGGAGACATACGAAGGCGGGTATTGTTTTGGAAGATGCGTTCAAGCAGAGCTGAGATTGATCATCACCTGCAAAGCCGAGGAAGAGGCTTGCCTGTCTAGCTCATGTAGTGGCACCGGGAGCAGAGCCGCACCGGAAAGGAGTGTATGACAGACGAGGGCTGCGTCACCAAGTGGTGGGATCACGAGACACAAGGAAAAGACTCGCTCAACAAAGCCTGCGTAAAGGGTCACAGGCTGTGCGAATAATTGACTACTGAGTTTGTGGCCGCAAGAAAGGATGTTAGTTGAAGGAGATTGACAATGCAATGGCTCGATTTTGCACTCAGGAACACAAGTTCAAAGCAGTACTGTAAATTCAACCATCCAATGGGAAAGCCAACTTGCAAAGCCTTGGCCGATCGCGTCAGCAGCCCTTGCAAAGGCTACCAGTCCGAGTTGTCTGTGTTCAAGGTGCCACTGGAGCTCACTCCACTTACTCACTGGAAACTACCTATAGGTTTACAGGCAATGGAGAACGCTGACTGCAATCAATGCATCTTTTGATAAAATGACATCTGAGGCTTGACCTTAGGTCTCAATCATGGTTTCTAGCGTACGCCGGCATAGGTGAGGTCTCGAAGAGAGCTTTTCACTTCTTTGGACTTCAAAATTGGGTACCTGGAATAATTTAAATGACGAGGCGTTAACTAGGCTTCGAACCCAACCGTTTCGTTCGCGAGGATATTTGTGAACTAATACGTCACTCAAATACAGGACGACACAGCCACGCGGAGCCGAATGCTGGTCCCAGGCCGCTTTGATGTTTGAATTTCGGAGACGGGGCCGATGCAATCTTGGCACGGCCAGGGTCCTGTCAGAGGCTCAAGTGATGCCATGCAAATGCATACGCATTAGATGCTGTGCTGTACTGCCCACTATGCATCTTGACAGCGCTACAATAGCGGCTCGCAACCTGTCAACCAGCTGTTGGGCTGCGCCAGCGCAGATCAAATGAAGTGGCTGCTCCCTCCTCCCTCCACCCTCTGTGTGTGTGTGTGTGTGTGCAGGTGGCTGCCGTCGGCACAAAGCCAAGATCCGGAACCAGCTTCTAGGAGAGGGGTTCGGGGCTTCTCTAGATTGCAAAGGAATCATTCAATCAAAATCGCTCATCATTGATCGGGACGGCGTTAAGGGACCGCACGTGATAATCCCCCAGGGCGCTAATGCAGGCGGTCCAACGTTACCTGAGGTGCAAGTCTGGCAAGTGCACCGTTTCTGGCGCCCTCAGACCAGCAGAACGGTCTGGGGGGCCTCCAGGGGGTACCTGGGTCTGGGTACCAGGCAGCGCCTATCTGGGCCTACCGTGTGGGTGGGTGCTGCCCAGCCCAGCGAGTCCAGCCAGTAGGCCCAGCAGGAAGGCGGGTGATGACCCCCCCTGGCCCCTACCCCCCTTTCAGAACTGAAGAAAGGCGGATGGAATAAGAGAACAGGCTTCCAGATCAAATGGGGCCGAGAGATCAATCCACAACAAAGTGACGGCCATGACACTTACCGAGAGCCACTACCATTACCACGACTAAGATCTCGACCACGACTGCGACTCCGTCTCCTCCTCCTTCAGAACACGAGTCTGAAACTGCCGTCTCTGATCTCCAGACGCGAGCTCATTCAAGCCACACAAGCATCAGCATCAGCATAGCACCAGCAACCAGCACCAGCACCAGCAACCAGCATCAGAATCAGACGCAGACGCAGACGCACCAGCTTCTCCACCAGCAGCAGCAACAACAAGCCCGCCTCGCCTTGTTCCCGTCCCGCTGGCTCGCGCGCCCCTCGAGGCCGCACAGGTGGTTGAAGGAAGACCCCTGGTCCACTCTAAACCCAAGCCCAAGCCCCTACCGCTTAAATCGTCCATTACGCCCCTCCACTAGAGCCCGATTCCGATGCGACGAGACACGCCGACAGCCCGGTCAGGTCCACTCAATTGTTCTTCTCCTGAATCGTACCCTATCCTATCGCTTCAATCAGACGGCACTGCTGTGTTCTGCCCCGTCCTGTCTTGCTGCCCTGCTCGTGCCCGTTCGTGTTCGTGCCGGCTGGCTCACCTTCGACCTCGACCTCGACCTCGACCTGGACACCTCTGACCGACACGTCCGCTTTCCTCTTTGAGAAGTCGCCACCAGCCAACGAGCCTTTTGCGACATTCTCTCCCTCAGCCCATACTGCCCACCTCAACCCAACACACAGCAAACCACACGAGCACCGGGTAGGATCTGGGATCTGCTGCCTAACGAACGGGCCTGATCGAGGCCTCTCCTCGACCCCAGATGATGGTGCGTATCACCCAGAATTGAGTCTGCATTGCATCCCGCGGGGAGGACGCCATTATGCCTCACGAGACGGTCCCAAAGTCCCGCCATGGTAGGATCGAAGAGACAAGTCTGCGGAAACTTTGTGGCTGTTCGGACGAGACGCCCACAGACACCGTCACATGAGCACAGCTGACTGACACATGTTGTTCACTTCCACAGACCTCATCTAGGCCCCGCGAAGTTGGCGCCAGCTTTGCACAGCGACGTGGCCATGCCAATACGCTTTCGATATCTGACCCGAGCCATCACGTTACCGAGGCGATAGGCACCCTATACGGCTCCGACGATGACTCCGACGTCGAGACCCGGGATCACCGCAAGAGTCGCCCGCTGAGCTTCCTTGGGTATGGAGACGAGCAGCTGCCGGGTGCCGCCAAGAATCCGGGCGATGCCCAGGACTCGAGACAGCCACTCCAACGATCGATCTCGGACAACACGCACGGGGGTTCCCACGATGGAGGCCCAACACCAACCCTGTCTCAGCTCAAAATGCCTATACAACAACGAAGTCCACCGCACGAGAACGGGCCCACGTCGCCGGGTGGTTCCATGGGTCCCATGTCGCCGACGCCATCTCTACGGGACATGCAGGCCGCAGAGTCTTCCATGCCCATGACCAACATCGATAATCCCAACGACATCGCCCAGGAGCTCAGCAACCTGCAGGCGTTGCGCCGCATGTCTATGGATGTTGGACACTCAAGTGACCCCGACCTCATGCCATTCCAAGGCATAGTTCCCATCCCTGCAATAGCACCCTCTGGTGACGATGACGAGGCCGATCCCTCAAGGCTGCTTTGGGTTCCAGCCAATGTACACCCCGAGCTGGCGCCAGACCAGTTCAAGAATTTCTTGGAGAGGAGAGTTAACTCCATGAAAAGAAGATCTGGTGAATCGATGCTGGCAGGAGGAGATGGCTTGCAACGGAGTAACTCGTCCGGCTTGAGGCGGACTAAGTCCAAGCTGTCCAGGCAGATTGATAATTCTGGCGGCCGTGGAGGCGAGGGTTATGTGGATGGTTCTGAAAGGCTGGTACGGCAAAGATCAACCGACCGCTATGCTACACCAGAGCTGAGCCTCGACGAGCTGGTCAGCGACCCTGCGGCAGCTGTGCAGAAACTGGCACAAGACGCAGCCGAGGGCACCGGACCCGGTGACATGCCCATCTTACCGGTTGCGCCGGGGATGGGATTGCGGCGCTCGACCCGGACACAGTATCGGAAAAGCGGCAGTATGCGCAGTGATCGTGCTCCTTTCTCAAAACGCATAGCCCACAGACAGGCAGACAGCCAGGACGAAGCTTTGCCGCCGATGCCCAAAGCCGATGCACCCCCTGGCCATGGCCTCTCGAGAGTGCAGTCCGAGCCTCCGAGGGCAGAGAATTTCTCAAGACCCCAAAGATCTGTCAAGAGACAGCAAGGTTTTACACGGGAAGCAGCGTCGCCGATCGAACCCCCGACAGAGCAACCTTTCGACGACGACTCGCGTCAAGCTCATGGCCGAAGCTTTTCCGACCCGTCAGAGGTGCCAGAGATAGTCGAGACTCCGCCCCCGGCGGAGCAGCCAGAATTGTCAAGCCAGTTCCCCGAGAGATCCTCTTCGCAACACAAGGCCCAACTTTCTCAGGAGCAGCCACCGTCACCACAACAGTATCATCCTCAGGATAGGGTTGGAGAGCCTCAGACGAGTCGTGCCAACAGACAAGCACCACCCGGCCGGCAGGCGAAGGCGCCTATCTCTCTTGACAACGTACCCGGGCCTACCCAGACGATGAACGATATTGCAAACCATCCTTCTGCGATTCCCGGAGCTAGTGGAACCCGGACTGACAATCTCACTTTCATACCGACCTTTACCGATTCTGAAAAGAAGAAGAATAAGGACAGCGATAGCGAATCGACCAAGTCAAGTAAGGGCTGGAAATGGTTCAAGAGCGAAGATAAGCAGAGAAAGGAGAAAGAAAAGGAACGGGAGGAACAGGCGAAGAAGTCCAAGGCCAAAGCAGCCGAGAAGCCACACGAAAATGCTCGACTGGATGTTCTTCAAAGCTCGATCGAGAACGTGGTCACCAAGGGCCGAGAAAGTCTGCTCCTGGACCGGGATACCATTGACAACAAACTCCAAGAAGAGCGCAAGAAGGAAAGCAGCCGCAAGTCATCCGACGGAAGGAAGGACAAGGATGGATTCTTTGGATCCATCTTTGGAGGCAAGAAGAAGTCTGACAAGGACGCTCCCAGCAAAAAGCACCAGCAGCGCGCACTTTCACCCGAACCACCCCCAAGAGTGCTTAAGCCCGACGTTGACTACCCCTACACGCGATTTCCCATACTCGAGGAGCGAGCTATCTACCGCATGGCGCACATCAAACTTGCTAACCCCAAGCGAAATCTACTCTCCCAGGTCCTGCTCAGCAACTTCATGTATTCTTATCTGGCCAAGATCCAGGCTATGCACCCTCAGATCCAAGTGCCTGCGTCGCCGCAGCAAAAGCGCCAGGAGGAGGAGAGGCGACGCAAGGAGGAGGAGGCGCAGCAGCAGGCGTACCTGGAGCAGCAGATGTCGCAGCAATCGGCCCAGAACAGCATCGACCAATACAACTTTGAGTACCATAGGGTAGGCACCTAGCGCACATTTGAGGACTCCACAGACAAGAAGGAACATCCGCTAACTCACCGCAGTCTTCCAACCAGTATGGAGACTCAGAGAACGATTACGTCGATGAAAACCACGACCCGTACGAGTACGATCAGGGTCGGGGCCAAGGCTATGATGGCCAGGACCAGAATGGTGGTTATGGGTATGGGCACGATGCTTATGGGCAGCAGCAGTATTACGATGGACACGACCCGCAACGGCGCCAGGACGACAACGACATGTGGTGATCTGGTTAGCGGCCTACGCATGTACGCATATACCACTGCTGCATTGGGCGCAACTCGCGAGAATGTCCTGTGCGCCATCTGTGTTCGAAGCGAAGATGTTGCTTTCAAGCGACGGGAAAACGGGTGGGAAAAAAACAAATACTGCCATATAAAAAATAATATCTGCATGAGCAAGGAGTTTGTGGGACGCGCGTGACTGGCTTGGTTGGCTGCTGGGATGGAAACTGGGAGGCCGCGCTTCTTCATTTTCAACACCCTAGATGTTCCTTTATTTTCCTTCTTGAGATCTGTATACCACCTCATATACATGCATAAACGCAGGCCTTGCGAGAGTAGGAGCAGTCATATCAAGCAGTACATAAGAATGAGGCGAGCAGCGTCATCCGCCGGCATTGATCCGGTTCTACGTGGAATTCATGTTCTGCGCGTTGCTCTAAGAACGTACCCAGGGGTCAGCTGGGCCCGAGCTCTAAGATTGCCATCGCTTTGCGTGTATAATGAATGTGCCTGTGCTATGAGACGCGAGAGGCGTCGAAGAGCTGACGAATTGTTGCACGATGAAGTCTATGTGGGCGCAATTTGCCCCATCGAGCTGCGCTCCCACTAAGGCTATATAGACCCCCCAGCTGGAATACCTGCCCACGCCTGCTTATAAGACCGGACCCACCCGCTCTACGCTCCCAGTACGGTTACCCAAGCTTGGCGCAACATTTGATAGCTCCGGACAACTGCGATCCTTCGTGGACCTGCCGCCTATAGGAATGGTCGGGTCGGACTGGACCCCGGGGCCAAACTTCCACGCTGGGAAAGGCTTCTCTCCTCTCTCCTGGTAGCATGGCTGCAGCTGGTGTGCTTGATATTTGGTTGACTAACGACTATCTGGATTCAATGAGGCCTGGGCTGCGGCTGACGTTAAGTCGACTGATCTAGAGCTGCTTATGGGCCGCCAACCCTTCACGCCGTGCGGCAAAATACTATACCAGGGGCAGCCTAAATGATGGGCAAACGCTGCCGAGCTTTCTGACGCGTGGGGGAGGGTGTTGGATATGTTCTGGGGTGAAGTAGACTACATAAGCACGCAAAATCGCAAACAACCCATCGACCTACTGGCTTGATATTCAGTGGGCTCGTACCTCTCAGTCTCTCAAGAAGTATAGGCAGAAGATAGCATCACGATGGCGCTCACCAACAGCACGTGGTCGTTCACCCCCATCGTCGAAGCGTTTCCCCAGACGGTGCTGCCCAACGTGGCCTACTGGAATGTCACGAACGGGTCGGACCTGCAGTACCAAATCTCGCTCTCGTGGCCGCTGGACTGGCCGGCGTCGCGCGAGGTGGAGAACAAGACAGCACTCACAATGTACGCGTGATCCGGGAGACTACTACAGTGATATATAGAACCTTACCTTTGCTGACATGCTCACCATGCACCGCAGGTACGTCCTAGACGGCAACGCCCTGGGCATGACAGCAACAGAAGCGTGGCGGCGGCGCGACGCGGTGGAGACGGGCCAGCCGGACTACATCGTGGTGAGCATCGGCTACCCGGTGACGGACAGCGTCTACGGGGCGCAGCGCAGCATCGACTTCCAGCCCGTGACGCCGGGCGAGGAGCCGCCCGCCGTGCCCGGGGTGCGGGAGGGCGCCGACGACTTCATCGCGTTCATCGAGGGGGCGCTGCGGCCGTTCGTGCGGGAGCAGGCGTTCCCCCCCACCGGCAGCGGCGTGCAGTTCGGCCGCGAGGCGCTCTACGGGCACTCGTTCGGCGGGCTGTTTGTCGTGTACGCGCTGCTGCGGCGGCCGGACCTGGTCGACACGTTCCTCGCGGCCAGCCCGGCGCTGTACTGGAATGAGCACTACATGCTCAACCACACGGGCTGGCTCGACGAGGCGCCTGCGCCGCCGGGGGACGGCCCTGCGTTCAGGCTTGCGTACGGCAGCCTGGAGCAGGATGCTGTGCGGCGGCGGACGGAGACGCAGGAGGAGTTTGAGGCGAGGGTCGCGCTGCTGCGGAGCTTTGGGCTGTTGCATATGGGGGAGGAGTGTGCTGAGCTGATGGAGAAGTTGGGCTCGAGTGAGAGGCTCAGGGATGCTGAGCTGAAGGTGTATGAGGGGAGTGACCACGCGTCTGTGGGCGCTGTGGCGCTGACGGATGGGCTGGATTATTTCATTGACTGGTGAGGTTATGGTGGAGCCGTTGAAAATTGTATATGTAAATATAACTCGACCAGCTCGAGGTTCAGTCAAGTTCGCACGGGCAGACTCACACACATAGACATTATCTGTATCTACCATATCAAGTACCCGTCTCGAGCCAGTGTAGCCTCCTACCCCAACTACAGAGAAGCAGGAAGGGACAGGTGGGCAGGGGGGAAGGAAAAGAACCATCTGGCGCTAAGCCGCAACAGGCAAGAGTTGTTGCTTCGCTGGCAGGTGGAAGGTTCAGAAGGAGCAGGAGCTCTCCAGTGGACGCTAGACGCTAACAGCAACAACAGGCAGTTCTGCAGACGGTACGATACGGTATCGTTGCCGGACGGTGACTGGCTGTCGCGACCTGGGCACGCTGGGATCTGCACCTGGACCTGGACCTGGGTGCTGTGGTGTGCTGTGCCGTGCCCGTGTCTAGGCAAAAAAGACGAGAAACCAAAACCTCACCTCCCAAGTTTGACCGTCGCTGCCGCACCTCGTCGCGCAGATTTGTATCAAACGCCCATCTTCTGACGTTTTCTTTTGATACCCCCCTGTACTCCCTTTTACTTCATTGCCGACTGTCGACTATCGATTGTCGATTGACGGACGACTTGACGATAGAAACCAGCACAGCATCGATCGCATCGCAGCCTCAGCCTCAGCCTCTGTGTCTGTGTCTGCGTCTGTGTCTGCTTCTGCTGCCCGCCGGTCCCACACTTTTCCTCCTCCCCCAGCACCTGTCGTCGCGACATCTGGACCCACGAACGTCGACACCACAGCACCTGAGCACACAGCTCCGACTCAAAGCCAACGGTTCGCACCGCACAGCTCAGTTCAGCACGCTCAAAGGTCCCACGCCACGGTCTACGGTCCACGGCCCACCCGTCCAAGCTCGACAACGACCGCCACCTCTGCATCGACCGCAGCTCCATCCACAGCAGCACTCGTCCGCTTCACGTCCTCAACCCCATCCCAACCTTCCTCCCTGCCGTCTACCTGTCACTCTAGAATGGCCAACGTGAGCTCGCCCCTGCAACTACAATTCTGATTTGTTTGCCTGTCGCGATTCTGCACACGACCCCCATACCATACATACCATACATACCATCATCTATCCTCGTCTCGCCTTGCCTTGCCTTGCTTCTTGCAATTGTTTTGGACCTTGCCCATCCACACATCTCCCCTGCGTTTCCAACCCAACCCCACCTCCATCTTGAGCTTGCTCGACCATCCTCTTCTGTTTACTCCTGCCCTGACCTGTTTATCTATCCCCCTTGTTGCGAGGTCAAGATGCCTTCGGCTGCTCCCCCAGCTATCCCCCCTGGTGCATGGCGAAAACCCCTTCCCTCAGCCAACAGCTCACAACCTGTCCAGCAACCTCCCCGCCACCCCTACAACAACCCCGGTGGCTACGGCCTCGCCAACGGTGCACCCGGCAGCACTCCTCAGACCGTTCCAGCTCCCGGTGCTACTCCCCTGCTGCCCAACCAGGGCCGCGTCCTCCAGTCTGGTCCCATTCGAGTCCTCTGCGTCGCCGATGTTCGAGGTAAGCCTGATCGCCTGCCCTCCCTCCCTGGTTCATCGCATTCAAGCTCACCAAAACCTCGACAGGTAACCTGCGATCCCTGAACGACCTCGCGAAGAAGGCAGGTGCCGACTACATCGTCCACACTGGCGACTTCGGTTTCTACGATGATTCCTCGTTGGAGCGCATTGCTGAGAAGTGAGTGCAATATACAAGAGTCGCAACCTTTCCGCGCGTGGCGCATTGCTGAAATTGACATTGGACAGGACTCTCAAGCATGTTGCCCAATATTCTCCTCTCATCTCTGAACCCGTGAAGAAGGCCATCGCCCAGGGCGGTCCCGGCTCCGTCAAGGCACGATTCCCGGCAAACGAGCTGCCGCTCTCTGAGCTTCCCCTCTTCATTACGCCGCAGAACGGAGGCAACGCGACTTTCGAGCTGGAGGTTCCCGTCTACACCGTCTGGGGTGCATGTGAGGATGTCCGGGTCCTGGAGAAGTTCCGATCTAGGGAGTACAAAGTCAAGAACCTGCACATCATAGACGAGGCCCAGTCCATGTTGCTTGAGGTTGGCGGCGTCAAGCTGCGGCTGCTCGGTCTTGGTGGAGCTGTTGTTATGCACAAGCTGTTCGACAACGGAGAGGGTAGGACGACCATCGCAGGCGGCCAGGGTACTATGTGGACAACGCTACTGCAGATGGGCGAGCTGGTCGACACGGCCAACAGAGTCTACGATCCCACCGAGACGCGCATTTTTGTCACGCACGCTTCACCCGCACGCGAGGGTATCCTGAACCAGTTGTCGGTTACTTTGAAGGCAGATTTCTCCATATCTGCTGGTTTGCACTTTCGGTATGGCAGTTCGTACAACGAATTCAGCGTCAACCCCACTTTGGATCACTACCGCGGGAAGCTGGCAGCTAGCAAGGCCTCCTTCAACGATGTCTGGGAGACTGTCAAGAATGAGGTCGAGCCTGCCATCCAGGCGAATGAGGCGCAACAGAACCTGCTGAAGAACGCACTCGGAGTGGTTGAGAAGATGCCAACCCAGGCTGCTGGCGGCAACCCATTCGGAAACGCTGGAGGTCCTGCCACTTTGGGTCAGGTGGATGAGAGCGCGTTCAAGAATATGTGGAACTTCAACCTTGCGGATGCTGCTTTCGGTTGGCTCGTACTAGAGGTGCACGACGGCCGCATTGGAACGGAGATGAAGGCTCAAGGCTTCAACTTTAGTCACCGTGGAGCAAAGCAACAACCTACCGTGCCTTCGGCTGCCCCATCTGTCGTCGGCGCTGCACCACCTTCCGCACCAGCCGCCCAAGCACCCGCACCCGTGCCTCAGAGACAGCCCTCGCAACCTCAAGTCAAGCCTTCTCCTGTTCCTGCCCAAGCGAAACCCGCGACGCCTGCACCTGACGTGCTTCCTAGCAAGGAGAACGAGAAGCCTGCAGGTGCAAACGGCCACGCTCCCGAGTCTGCACCATCGCCCGCACCAAAGAGGGATGAGATTATCGGCCTATTTGTTATGAACGCAACCTCAGACGATGAGCTGCGCAAGCTGTTCGCAGAGGAAGACCAGGCCAAGATCTCTGAGGTGACCAAATGGGGCCAGATGAACCGGGTCGTCCAGTTCAAGACAACCGAGGACCGCGATGGAGCCTTGGAGCGACTGGCCGACGAGTACAAGACGCGATCACAGGAAGATCGATCAAAGCCCCTCATCAAGCTTTTTGAGCGGCGCGAGACCGGGGCAGCCCGGAACTTTACGAACCGTGGAGCAGGCACCTGGGGCAGCAGCCGGGGCGCTTCTAGCACGGGCGGGCCACGGAGCGGATACCAGAGCAGCGGCGCCGGCGGTACAGCTTCCGATAGTGAAGGAGGAGCGGGCCGTCGCGGTGGTCGTGGTGGACGTGGAGGACGGGGCGACCGCGGTGGCCGTGGAGGCAGGGGTAGAGGCGGACTGAAGGGAGAAGGTGGCGGCAACGGTTCACCTGCGCCTGCGGCTGCTACGCCTGCCGAGTCGTAGGACTGCTCCCAGACAGAGGAGTCTCGAGCTAAGAGACTACGGCTGCGTTGTTGAGGCGTTGCATGGGGGCCCGGAGCCCAAAAAAAAGGGCGTCGGGCTGGCTGCTTCTACCGAAGGAATGAACGGCAGAGGGACTAATTTTTGCAAACCCCTGCCTTACTACCTTTGCTACCACACTGTCACATTATTTGCGACCTTGGACTTGAAGAAAACATTTTGACACACCACGCCACATGGCTGCTAGCAGATCCCATTCCATAGGTTAGGTTTAGGTTGTTGTTGACCTTTGACATTCCAAAAGAGAGAGGGAGAGGGTCAGACAGACATAGGAAAGAGAAAAAGGCACGACGTTCTAATTTTTTTTTTCTACTCTGTACTTTGTTCGGGGTCGTTTTTTGTCTGTCCTCTTGTTCGGTCTGTTTTTCGTGATTTGATGATTCAAGTCTGGCTATCTGTCTGTGCTTCTGTCGCTCTGCCTGCTCTGGGACTCGTCTTTCCGCCGCCTGTAAACATACCCTAGGTATTTGTCAAGGGATCTTTTCTTGGAGTCATAGATGGACGGGGGGCTTGGTGGTCGGCATAGGAGGAAAAAGAAAGGAAAGCACTTGAGATTTCATGGGATGTCTCCTGCCTTGGCCTGATGTACCGTCTTGCTGTGTATGTGTGTGTGTGATTTGTTGTACTTGTCCGTTCGCCAGTGTGGGTCTTGAGTATCTTGGTGTGGGCTTGTTGGCCTTGTTTGGTTTGATGCTGTGTGGTCGGATAGACTCTGACGGGTGGTGGCTGAGGGGTGGGAGGGAAGATTGTACTGAAAGGGGAGAGGAATTGACTTGTTCTATAGATACACCGTGTAAATGCAATTCTTCCTTGATCCAGTCGTGTTTTCATCGTGGCGGTGGCATTGTATGTCTTTCTTGTGGGTGGCCGGGCACCTCGGCTCCAGGAAAGTTCTCCTGCGGCCTTCGAGTTGGCGACATTCGAACATTGTTAAAATTTACACGAGGCGTGTAAGCAAATGTGTCTATTGAGAAACATGTCACAGACGAGGAGATCAGGCAACGCGCACCCAAAGACAGTCCGCCCAGGCATGTGACGAAACATGGGTGCTCCACCCCCCCCCCCCCCCCAATTTGGGAAGGACTTCTACTGAAGTCTGTCTTCGGTCTAACTGGAGTACCTTGGTGACGAGTGGCATGTTTTACAGTTCTTCTCTATTTTATGAAAATCTCCGTACGAGAGCCCCTTACGCAATGCAATTCGTCGTCCATCGTGAAATGTAATGTACAAAACATATCTGGCATCATACAGACGCCGACGTTGGTCTATTTCGCTAGCGCAGCACTGATTGAGGCCAGACAATTAGCCCTGAAAGCGCAGAGAAGCGGCTGAGTTCCACGAAGCCCATCAATCCTTTGGCTTCATGCCCCGATGTATAGCCGCCACACCGCCGGTCAGGTTCTCGTACCCCTCCCCGCCGACCACAAAGCCAGCGTCGAGGATCAGGTCGCGGAACTCGTCCTGGGAGGGGAAGCGCTCGATGCTCTCGACGAGGTACTGGTACGAGTCCCTGTCGCCGGCGACGAGCTGGCCGATGAGGGGGATGGCGCCGAAGCTCCAGCGCTTGTAGGCGGCGCTGAAGAGGGGCGTCCAGCGGTCGGCCTTGCTGAACTCCAGCACGGCGAGGATGCCGCCGGGCTTGAGCACGCGGTGCGCCTCGCGCAGCGCCGCGGGGATGTTGCTGAAGTTGCGGATGCCGAACGCCACCGTGTACAGGTCGACGCTGTTGTCGGGCACGCCCGCCGCCCGCAGGTCCTCCGCGTTCGCCTCCAGGAACGACAGCGCCGCCTGCTGGCTCGCCGGCAGCGACTGCGACCGCTGCTTGCCCACCGCCAGCATGTTCGGGTTGATGTCGGAGATGGTCACGCGCACGTTCGGGTTGCGGTTCACCGTGTGGGCGTGGTGCAGGTGCCGGAAGGCGATGTCGCCCGTGCCGCCGGCTATGTCGAGGATGTGTTGTGCTGGGGGGTGGGCTGGGTCGGAGGAGAAGCCTGGGTTGAGGGAGGAGACATAGTGATCTCTGTCAGAAGATTGTCAGTATTTCTACCTCTAAGAGGTGGCGACGAGGACTCAGCGAGGCAGCTTAGCCCTCTGAGGGATTGACGAACTTCCATACGCGATGCCAGCCGACGGACATCAGGTCATTCATGCGGTCGTACGTCTCTGCGACGCTGCTGAACACTCCAGCCACGCGCTCTCTCTTCTCTGCCTCGGTGACCGTCTCAAACCCGAAATGGGTTGGACGATTGGATGTATCATTGGGAGTTGCGTCTCTGGCGGGAGGAGTCGTGGAGAAGGGTCGTGATGATCGTGATATTATGGCAGAGCCGGAACGCAGATTTCGCAAACATGATCGTACAGTAGTAGCACCGAGACCCAGGACGGGTCTGGGAGCAGCCATTATGGAGAGTTTGGCTGCCTCGAACAACAACAACAGTGAGGTAGCTGTGTGAGGGTGTAGTGAGAGAGGTTAGCCGATGTCCAAGGCTGAGGAAGATTTTCGGACTCGAGGGTGGCTGTGCTAGCTCATCGTCCGCTCGGGTTGCTTGCCGAGCTCAGCCTTGCCAGCGGTGGAGCTTCTCATGCACGTCATCGCGTCGCGTGTCTTGGGAGCTCCACGCCGAATCGGCACCGAGTCGAGAAACCCAAGGCGTGGGAAATGATTGAGAATTGTGTCACCTACGCACCTTAGACCGCGTTGCCACCTTCGGCCTGCTTGGCCTGGACCATGGCAAGAGTGAAGGCCTTGATCCACTTGCGCCCAAAGTATGCGCCGATGCCAATCACGAGGAAGATCAGGAAGAGGGTGAGGATGACGGCTAAGTTGTTGTCAGGCATAGTTGACGGTATGGAGCAGTATTCAATGGAGTTTGCTTCAAAATCCTATGTTGAAAATCGCGTTGCTGAGGACGACGTGGTGATTTTGACGGTCTTGTATGATGCTGGCGCCCAAAGGCTGGGGCGTTTGTGTTGTTCCCCAAGGCCGTCTAAAGCGATAACCAGTCCCACAGGCAGTCAATAGCTACCTAATTACCCACCTAGGTATGTATCTAGGTAAGCACTGTCCTACTCTCCTCACTGCGAAGAAGGCCAATTGCAATCATTGATTTCGGATGGCTCCTTCTATCTATGGCTTTAATGTATCTTTACCTCCTTCAAACTCCCCCACGTCGTATTCGTCTGGATATTTGTCGAGATGCTCCTTCAGCTCACGCATCTGATTCTTCAGATCCGGTGTCAATTTCTCGTACACATCCTCAAACATCGCCCGTATCGGCGGCTTCTTCTCCTTCTCTGCCTCCTGAAACGCCTTCAGCAGCTCCCTCCTCGTGCTGTCCCGCGCCTCCTTCTCCTTGTGCTCGTCCCAAATCCCCTTGGCCTCCATCCACTTCCGCAGCCTCGAGATTGGATTGTCCCTTCTCTTCCAGTCTTCAACCTCTACACGTGCTCTATACGCGAACGAGTCGTCCGACGTGCTGTGATGCCCTACTCTGTAGGTCAAGGCTTCGATGAGCACAGGCTTTCCGCCGTCCTGAAGAGCCATCTCCCTGGCCTTTTTGGTGGCCTCGCGGATGGCCCAGATGTCGTTGCCGTCTACTCGAATGGTCTCGATACCGTAACCTACTCCACGGCTGGCGATGCCATCTCCACGATACTGTTCCAGCACAGGTGTGGATATTGAGTAGCCATTGTTCCGGCAGATGAAGACCACAGGACAGGAACGTGTCGCGGCAATGTTGAGAGCCGCGTGGAAGTCACCCTCGGACGCGGCACCCTCGCCAAAATAGACTGCGACCACGCGTGGTGGGATGGCAGGGTTTTGCAGGCGTTGCATTTTCAAGGCGTACGCGGCTCCTGATGCGTGGGGTATTTGTGTTCCTAATGGCGACGAGATGGTGTGCTACGTAAGAATATCGTGTTAATTTGATCTCGGGGCAATACAGACTGGAGGCAAACGCATGTAACAAGGAGTGGTGAGTGTAGATTTTACGTACAATATTCAGCTCCTTGCTCCCATAGTGAACTGGCATGTTCCGCCCCTTTCTAGGATCCAGCCTGTTGGCAAACAACTGGTTCATGAAGTCCTTGGGGGTGAATCCCCTCTGCGCAAAGACGCCCTGCTCCCGGTATTGGCAGAATATTACATCCTCCTTGGTCAACGCGGATGCGGATCCCACACAGACAGCCTCCTCACCAGATGATACCATATAAAAGCTGATGCGGCCCTGCCGCTGGGAGTCGAACATGATAATGTCCATGATTGAAATAAGCAGCATATCCTTGTACAGCTTGATCACCTCTTCGTCGGCAAGGTCTGGCTTGAAGGACGGGTCGACGACGTTCCCGCCCTGGTCGACGGCGCGGTAGGTGGGCATGGCATCGTGGGAGGAGGGCTGCTCGAATTTGAGGGTGGTTGTGAATGCGGACTTGACTGCGCCGGGGAATTGGACATATTTCGAGTCTGGCCGTTGCGAGAGCGAGGCAGCAGATCGTCGTGTCGAGGCGTTAAGAGAGGTAGGAATGCTGCCCCTTGCCAGAGGGCCAGAGCGAGCACCACGGATGGCCGGGGCGAGGTTGAGGACCCGCAGCTTCATTGCGATGGAACAATTGCGCCTGGATCGAGACTTGACTTGTATGAAAGGCAATCTTGAGGCTGTAACTCAAGTTTAAGAGGAATTCTTCAGTAGAATTCAAATCCATGAAGGAAGGGCACTTCACTTGACTGCCATCGTAGGTAGACTACCTGCGGCTCAACCCCTCAGCCCGAGGATGAGCGCAGTGTAAACCCGACACAAGCCGAGCCACCTGACCCTTGGCAGGATGGAGCTTTGACTGAAGACATGATAGAATGATGATTCCTATCAGGGGTTACCAATTGGTTATGAAAAGGAATTTCGCTGAAGATGTCACCTCTGCTCAACAAGCAATGAAGCCATAGCGAAGGCTAGAATGATGGAATATGCAGACTGGACTAAGAGTGGAAATGGATCCCTCTTGGATCCGATCTCGGATTTGTGGCATGAGCACCAAAACCCCTTCTTTTCGAAACTGACACGAAAGAAATCGACTGTGCCGTGTCCAAATCCTATTCTTGACGAGAAGCCAGACGAGTCCTTGGTTGTATATTCAGCCGCTGAGCCCGTCTGCGACAGTAGCGAGAATAATATTGCAATCAGTTGTTCGTTGTTGATTGAGATCCATCACCCGGAACCAATTGTTTACATGCAAGGGTCCCGCGGCTCCACCATTGATACCTCCAATGCCGTCATCATCATAGATACGTGGCGGTGCGTGAGAGAAGACTGGAACCAACACCGGAGAAGACAGTGCGATGAAAGCTGCAGTGGCGCACGCACATATCGGGGAAAAGATTCAGATAATTCCACAAGAGACAATGGTCCTGACCTTGGACGGGACGAGCAGTTCTACTCTAGGTTTTCCAGTGTCTGTCGAATCTCGACAAGCTTCGCTATCTGATTATCCTGAGGCGGACGGGAGCGATGGAATGTCACGGTGTGGGATCAGGGGTCCAGCGACTCCCTGGTCTGCTTACCTCAACAGCGCCCCCGGCCTCCCACTCGCCTGATGACTGGAGGGGGTCGAAACGATCTGCCGGGCTCATGGGGCAATTTAGGCGCCGGCTGGCCATTCAAGAGACATGATTAGGCCTGGATGAGGTGCTGGGGCTGGGGCGGCCCTGAGGACTGCTTGTGCCTGTGCTTGTATCATCCACTAGGCCCAGCCTGACATGACATGACAAGCCCAAGACGGCCGTTGTCTGTTCCTCCCCGTGATCTGTCTATCTAGTAAACTAAGTCAACCTCGACCTCATCACCACCCGGATCCCCGACGACGGCTCTGCGACGACCCGACCCCGGCGGCGACGACGACGAACACCACCACCAACACGACACCAACGGCGAGCCCCCCCTCATCCCGACCGGCTCTGTCAACCCACACACACATATACACACTCGCACAGTGTCACGGTCTCAGCCTGCGACCTTCTAGAACTTGTCAGGATCGATGAACAAAGCCTGCCAGGGCCCGCCCCTCACCGATTAAACCCCAACGTTACAACACTGTACTGTAAACTGTTGTCGCCAATCCCAATGGCGGCGTAATCCATGGCAGAACGAAGCACGGCAAGCTGGAACTCGCGCTCGTCCAGAAGTACAGAACCTGCCTCGTCGGCCTCTACCGCGACCTCGACCTCCTTCCCTCCCATCTCCCCCTCTGTTGCGACGGACATCCCGCCGCCGACGACCTCGACCTCGAATTTGAACCCGAGCCCGAATCCAAGCCCACGAGCGAGAGCAAACGCACACCCGGCAACGACAGCGACGGCGACGAGAGCAGGCGCTCCCCTAATTGCATCAGGCGCGATCAACACCCGGTCCCGTTACTCTTCGTCAAAGACAACAAGGTATATACAGGCGTACGTGCATATACATCACACACACACACAAGTCCATCCCGTCCCTTATCACAACATCACATATATACTACCAGACTCGACCCCTTCCATACAATATACAGACCTTCCTATATACATCCGTGTATCACCCCATCAGGCGGGCAGGTGGGCAGGCAGCTAGTAGGGTAGCCACATTGCAGGCTGCTCGTGCTTTCCTGCCGCTTCCTCTCCCAGATTCAGTCCAGTCTGGATATCAAGTGTAAACTGGCACTTGCTTGCCTTTGCATCGCAGAGCATCACTGTGTGTCGTGTGAGAGGCTGGATCTGCCCGTCCTGACTTCCCAAGAGTTCCCAAAGTGCTTTGCTCGTTCCTTCACATTTTTTAGACAGCAGTTGCCTCTCCTCTATCAACATCCTATCTCATCCCGCCTCCCCTGCTCTCTCCATCCACAGCCATCAGTCATCTGTACCTCCCCGCCTTTAGCGGACCTGGTCTTGCCGTTCCTGCAGCCTGACAGGTTGAGAGGTTTGCAACCTCGGGGATCCTGAACCTTCATCGCTCCCTCTTTCCCCCAGATCACCAAGAAAACACCCCGATTGATTTACCACGGGCGCACTACTAGACTGGCCTACCCGCCGTCTCCCAAATCTGCCGTCAACCTGGGCCCAAATCTGGAAGCTCCACCAAACCGGCCAGACGCTACCAGCTCAGCACAGCACTTGCACCTGCACCAGCACCTACATCCGTACACCCACACCACTTCGCCCCAAGCACTTTTAACTTCACGCAACAACAACACAGCACCACCAAGAAATCAGTCTTAGGCATCTGCTGTCTGCGCAGTCAATCGTGTTCAGGCTTCCCCTTTCCCACAAAGCAGACGGCAACGTCAAACACTGCAAGAATCCTGTCACCTACACACACTCTCTTTCTAGCATCCCAACCCACCGCAAGTCCTCGTTGCGCCTCACAGCCTGGCCACCCGTCCAACGAGTCTTGACATCTCCACAACTGCATCAAACCATGGTCTCTGGTCAACTCTTTACTCATGTCTTCGTCTAATAGGCCTGCCACTCGCTCGTCAGCTCGCCAAGCAGCAAGGCAGGCAGACCCGTCCCGATCTGCTGGCGCTTCTGCTGCTGGGTCCCCGACCGAACCTGCCCCTCCTCCTCCCGCGCCTCGACGATCCGAACCGCGGAAACGTAAGGCCACCGCCGATCTAGAAGCTACACCTGAACCGACTCCCTCGACTAGGCGTTCCAAGCGAGCGAAGGTTCCCGATCAGCAGCCTCCCCAGCCAGCCGCACCTCCAGCACAGCCCTCCCAACCCGCATACTCTCTTAGGAAGAGGAAGGGAAAACAAGCTCCGACTATGTCGAGTCCAGAGTACGAAGACTCCAGCTTGCCCACATTTGATCCTCACCTGCTGACAACCTCAAGATCTGCCGCAGGTCCGTCCATACCTCCTTCGGAAAACGCGCAGTCTGCCTCGTCGAGTCGAAAGTCTAGTCGGAGCAAGAAGAATGCACCAGGTAAGTTTTGCAAATCGCGGACACGGCCAAATGTCTGTGCTAGCTAACACAGATGTCCTTCAAGCAACTGCTGGATCCTCAGCTTCGAACCGACGGTCGCGGAAGAAGACGAGCAATGTCGATGAAGACACTCACATGACTGGCACTGACGAGAGCGAGAAGACGTCTGCCCCACCACCACCTCCACCGCACGAGGACAACTTCGACGAAGACAGCGAGGAGCACGATGATGAGGATCAACGATACGATGAACACGACGACGACGATGTCTTTGGAGGATTTGGCGGCCCCCCGGGCGGTCTTCACTCCAGCCTCGCTCTCCTCACAGGAATGATGTCTGGCATGGGGTCTCGTCTTAGGGAGATACTGGCCAATCTTCGGCAAAAAGATGACCCCAGTTTGCACCTCATTGCGCTGAACGAGCTGTCTGAACTCCTCCTGGTATCCAACGAGGACAACCTGCAGGGACATTTCTCGGCGGATTCCTTCGTTCGAGAACTGGTTGCGCTGATGAAGCCGGACGATTTCATGGAGGCTAACCCCGAGATCATGCTTCTCGCCTGTCGTTGCCTGGCAAACCTCATGGAGGCTCTGCCTTCCAGCGTTACTAACGTTGTGTACGCCGGCGCCGTGCCAGTTCTTTGCGAGAAGCTCAGGGACATTCAGTTCATAGATCTGGCCGAGCAGGCCCTGAGCACCTTGGAGAAGATATCGGTTGAGTACCCCTCAGCCATCGTCAAGGAGGGTGGTCTCGCGGCCTGTCTTGAATACCTCGACTTTTTCGCAATGAGCACGCAGCGAACTGCTGTGACGACCGCTGCAAACTGTTGTCGTAACCTGCCTCATGACTACTTCGATGTCGTCAAAGATGCCATGAAGATCCTCCGCGACGTACTCAAGAATAGCGACCAGCGAGTGGTGGAGCAAGCATCCATCTGCGTTTCTCGCATCGTGGACACCTGGCGGCATAACCCCAACAAGTTGGAAGCTTTGGTGACGGAGGACCTTCTGTCCTCTATTCTGCGGCTGCTGCTGCCCGGCAGCACCAATTTAATATCGCCTAATATCCACACTCAATTTTTGCGAGTTTTGGCATCGACGGCGCGAGCAAGCCCTAGGCTGTCGGTGGAGCTAATGAAGATGAACGTGGTCGAGACGCTCTATCAGGTCTTGACGGGTGTGTCACCTCCTAATGGGACAGACGATATCGCCTCGAAACTCGACAGTGTGCTTATCATGCAAGCCCTAATTCATCGACCACGGGAACAGATTCTTGAGGCTCTCAACGTCATTTGCGAGCTCCTCCCCAAACTACCGGCCGGCGCTGCTGATCCCACCAAGGGCGGCCTCAATGAGGTGGCCCCACCTGAAGCGAACACTGGGTCATCCTCAACGTCAAGACGCAGGACCTCGGACGAAAAGCGCATCCAGCTGTTGGAAGGCTGCAAGACAGAAGTTCGGCGCTTTGCGCTGATTTTATTCCCGACTCTGACGGATGCCTTCTCCAGCACGGTAAATCTCAGTGTGAGGCAAAAGGTTTTGTTGGCCCAGCTTAAGATGCTGTACAACCTGGACGAGGCCATTCTCACAGAAGCTTTGGCGCCAGTGCCATATGCGTCCTTCCTCGCATCGATCCTTTCCCAGAAAGACGACCTCACCCTAGTGACAGCAGCACTACAAGCCACGGAGCTCCTCATGACACGACTCGGAAACATCTACCAGTATCAGCTCTACAGGGAGGGGGTCATCGCAGAAATAGCCAAGGTAGCTGAGGAGACGGAGGCTGACGCGAAGGCAGTCATCGAATCTCAAGACTTGCAAAGGCGTTCATCTGTGGCTTCTGAGGATCAGTCTTCGCACAACGATTCATCTGACGATGACGACGACGATGCTGCTGATGAGCACGATGATGAAGACGACGAGGATGATGAGCCATCGCATCATTCATCTGACGAGGAACACGACGAGGAACACGAAGATGACGAAGACGAGGAGCATGAGAATGAAGGTCGAGCTCAAGTGATGTCTGGGTCTCCTGATAGCTCCGGAGGATCTACTATGTCAATCGACGGACCCCCACGGCCGCCCCCATTCACAGGCACTCAACTGTTGCGGTCGAAAATCCACAAGGACGCGAAGGAGTTCCTGGAGACCCATGAAGCGGAGAAGAACGCCAAGACAATGAAGAAGAGGGCTACAAAGATATTGACAGACCTGACGGAATTGGCGACTGAGATTGAAGCTTTCTATCTTCGCCCGACCTCCTCAGGCAGTATCGCTGGTGAGAATGGAAAGAGGTTGTTCGAAAAGTTAGCAACCTATTTCGATTCTGATTTATTTGAGAGCGCAACAAGTGCAGAGCTGCTTGCTTCCGGCGTTGTTCGAGTTTTGGAACAGGTCTTCAGCAACCCTGACGAGGATCTCGCAATGGCTGCTCAAGCAGCGTTCATCGAGGTTTTCATGGGGTACACCGTCAAGTCGAAGCCCAAGACGGCGACAGCTGACTCGCCTGCCACGCCCTTCAGCATGATGGTCCACAAGCTGCAAGACCTGCTGAGTCGATCAGAGCACTTCGAGGTCCTTACTGTGTCCAGTGCTGCACACGGTGACAGCCATCGTAGCAGTCCAGCATCGATGCTCGCCAAACAGATTCGCCTCAAACTCACCGCCGACGATGATTCCGACATTCCCAAGGTGTACCGCAACATCATGGTGTCCATACATGCCATCGCAACATTCAAGTCCTTGGAGGACTACCTGCGTCCTCGCATCAGTCTATCTGACCGCCCGCGGCCACCGCGGGGCAATCGTGAAAGCCTCACGAGAGCCTTGGCCGCGATGACAGGAGGAGCATTTCCTTTTGGCGCTGGCTCACCTTCTGGGTCCGCTCGCCTTCCTTCCCGCCTGCCACCGCCAATTGGTGGTGCAACACCCCCGCCTCCTCCTCCACCTGCTCCACCAACAGCTTCCGGATCTCGATCATCACGAAAGTCAAAAGGCTCCAGGGCGGCCCCAACAGCTGAGACCCCGGCCACACCGGATCCTGCGTCCTCAGCATCAGGTGCAAAAGTCATACTGCGTAGGTCCAGTCGACGCAGCACAGCGCCAACAGACTCACCGCAGCCAAGCAGGGGGCCACCTGCTGACGAAGACGACCTCGAAGATGCGCTCGAGTGTGCTGACGAAAAGCACATCACCGAAGATGAGGACACACCTGACCGCAGCGCTCTGGATACAATTGTTGGCGATCTCGATGAAGACATGGGTGACGCTCCGACTCCTGATCCGTCTGCTGTGAACCTCGAGGTTGCAGCTGGCGGCAAGATAACCGCAAGGAAAGAAGATGGAACCCGCGTACCCACTCCATCGCAGGGAAGCAGCAGCAGCAACAACCTTGCTCAGCGTTCAAGTCTCCTTGCCAATGCTTTATTGAACTCTCCCTCGCCTTCATCTCCTTCTCGTTCAATGTCTTACGCGGCTGCGATTCAGTCTGTTCCGCAGGATTGGCATTTGGAATTCAGCCACCAAGGCAAGGTCTTGACCAACGACACGACAGTATACCGAGCAGTTCAAAAGCCGGCAATTGACTCCAACGACTATTCGAGCCGGAATGTTTGGGTCCTGACTCACGAGATCAAGATCCGACGTGTTCCCGGGCCTCCGTCGGCGGAGAGGCTGTCTTTTGGTTCGGCCTCTGCTGAGGAGAGTGAAAATGGCGAAGGAAACAGCCCAGCATCGTTAGCCAAGCACCCCAACACTTCGTCCATCCTCCGATTGCTGAAGATTCTGCACAACCTCAATGCGAATATTGATGACGTGCTTGTCGAAAACAAGGCTACTCTCAAATTGAATATGGAACCCTTGTCGCAATTCGTCAACACCAAACTCACTTCAAAGCTCAACCGACAGCTAGAAGAGCCCCTGATTGTTGCCAGTAACTGCCTCCCAAGCTGGAGTGAAGACCTAGCGCGGCTGTATCCTTTCCTCTTCCCTTTCGAAACTCGCCATTTGTTCCTCCAGTCGACTTCGTTTGGTTATGCTCGATCCATGAACCGCTGGCAAAACGCTCAGTCCCAGGAAGAGTTGAGACGCAATCGCGATGACCGCCCATTCCTTGGTCGTTTGCAGCGACAGAAGGTGCGAATCTCGCGGGCCAAGATCCTCGAGTCAGCTTTGAAGGTTATGGATCTGTACGGAAGCTCGCAGAGTATCCTCGAGGTGGAATACTTTGAGGAAGTCGGTACTGGTCTGGGTCCAACCTTGGAGTTCTACTCTACGGTCTCGAAAGAATTCGCCATGAAGAAGCTCAGGCTTTGGAGAGATGCGGATCAGAATGAGTCCGATGAGTATGTCTCTGGTCCAACTGGTTTATTCCCGAGGCCACTGGGCGAGGATGACTTGTCCACGCCCAATGGCGAGCGCATCCTGCAGCTTTTCAGGACACTGGGCAAGTTCACGGCTCGGTCAATGATTGACTCTCGGATCATCGATATCAACTTCAACCCGATCTTCTTCCGCATTGGTGATGAGACCTCGGGCATCAAACCCTCTCTTGGGGCCATGAAGCTTGTGGATCCCATTCTTGCCAGGTCTTTGGTCCTGGTCAAGAAGTTTGCACTTGCCAAGAAGACAATAGTCGAGGATCCCAACCGGGACGCCACACAAAAGGTCAATGACATCCAGAACATCACCGTCGACAATGGGGTGCGGATCGAAGACCTGTCACTTGATTTCACACTCCCAGGCTACCCAGAGATTGACCTGGTGCCCAATGGCTCGCAAATCATGCTGACAATCGACAACGTGGACAACTACCTCGACCGAGTGATAGACATGACGCTGGGCAGCGGAGTCCGCCGTCAGGTCGATGCTTTCCGTACGGGGTTCTCGCAGGTTTTCCCATACAATGCGCTAAGGGCATTCACCCCTGACGAACTGTGCACTCTTTTCGGCCGCACTGAGGAGGATTGGTCACTTACAAGTAAGCTCAAGCTGCCCAAATATATAGGAACTCAGAACTGACAGCGATCACAGCTCTTATGGACTCGATCAAGGCAGACCACGGCTTCAACATGGACAGCAAGAGCGTCAGGAATTTGTTGCAAACCATGAGTGAGATGACGCCGGTCCAGCGACGGGATTTCCTGCAATTCACTACCGGAAGCCCCAAGCTTCCTATTGGGGGTAAGCATTACCAGCGAGCCCAGAGGTTCTAGAAGGATTCTAACATTCGCGCAGGATTCAAGAGTCTGACACCAATGTTCACTGTCGTCTGCAAGCCGGCCGAGGCTCCGTACACTTCAGACGACTATCTCCCCAGCGTCATGACCTGCGCCAACTACCTCAAGCTGCCAGACTACACTGACGTCAAGATCCTGCAAAAGCGCCTCTCCACAGCCACCAAGGAGGGCCAGGGAGCATTCCACCTTTCTTAAAGCTCTTACTCATCTCTGGGTTCAGACCCATCTTGCTCTTTTTCCCATCACGTGGTCCGCAAGGTTGCAGCGGAGAGACGCCTTCAACAACCTCTATACCCACATTAGTTCATGACCTCCACTTGCTAGGAATTCGAAGGCGTGTTTTGGCGGACTAACAGCACCAATCAATCAAGCAATCAATTGATCAGGCGGGAGTAAGGGGCGAAAATGGATTGCATGGAAAGGGGGCTCAGGGGGCTTCATGTCTAATTTTTGTTGTTTTCGTGGCCTGGCGGGCGGGCCATCGGCGAGCGAGTACATCATCCTTTCAAGGGAAGGACATGGAGGCGTATATCCCAGATAGATTGGTAAAATCATTACACGCTCTCATTAGACACAGTTCTGGATGATAATGGCTTCTGGTGATCCGTCCTGAAGCACGTAACTTGCTGCTCCAGGCGTTGTGACTTGCCCTCTCGACCTCCGTCATCACTACGGCAAAGTATTGGACTCTGGGAAAACAACCCATCTCCATCGCAAGGCTGGGGGGGACGATTCTATCCAGTCTTTATTCAAGTATGCATTATGTAGTAGTATTTGATTCTACGCAGGTGAATTGAAGAGGGGGATGACATAAGCAAGACTGATGTCATTTAATTTGATGAGCGAGCTTGACGCGTCTCAGTGAGAAGTCGCGTCTGGGACCTGCTCTCACCCGCGCTAAGTGGTGGGGATCCACAGGCAAGGGGGCACTCCTGACCCTCGTAATGACTGCCTAGACGACCTCAACTTAGGCTTGGGTACCTCGGCAGATACTCTCCTCACCAGGGCCATCCAAGACAAAGTTCACTCGAGTTCCAGTACTTCCGAGTCAATAGCCAAGCAAAGCTGCTTGTTCTCAACCCAACTCACGTCACGCTATACAGCACTCTCGCCTCGCCACCGTGCGACCGCGACAATGGCGCCTCAAACCCGTTCTCGCACATCAGGCGGCCCTGCGCAATCGTCAATGGACGATCTGGTGACCCGAGCTGCTTCTGAGGCGCCTTCAAAGTCATCGGCCACCAAGAAATCGAAAGTATACAAACGCTCCGAGCCAGCCCCACGACAGCTTCATTTCCCTGCGCGCAATAAGACCGTCCGCACATATGGCAAAGGCAAAGCGCGCCGAAGCCTGCCCTCAAGAATACCAGATCAGTCGACCTTGACGCAGATAGGGTGGATACCAAGTACTTACCAGGAAGAGGAAGACGATATGGATGGGCTGATCGATCTGACCATGGACGACGAGGACGACGCACACGAGGCCGAGGACAGGAAGACGACGAGGAGGAGCAAGAGGAGGAAGACTGATGGCGACCTGGAAATCGTGCCCAATTCCACGGCCGGCTCCAGCTTTCATACCCAGACCTTGACCCAGATGCCATCGTTCATGTCTAGACAGCAGCCGGAGGACGACGAGCTCGTAGAGGATTTCAAACTTGACGACGAAGATGGTGAACACAAAGATGCGGCCAAAGTGGCGGACAGCGAGGAGGAATTCGAGCCTCTTTCGCCGCTAAAGGAGAGGAAGAAGAGCTCTACACCTTCACCGCACAAAGCCATCTTGAAGCCTACACATGGCACAACCCCCTCGAAGGTTTCGCAGACACCACGCAAACAAATCGTCGACCGAGAAGTGATTCCCTCGTCACAGCCATCGCCTTTCACCCCTAATCTGGGCATTGGAGAACGGTATTGGTCGCAAATGGACCGGACGCCACTAAAGGAGAGGTCGACGAATGTTGATGCCCCGACACCAACTGTGAGCAAGAAGAGGCCCCGTACGCTGGAGATCGCAGACTCGTGGAGTACGGTCAATGGCGGCATGAGTTCAAGCCCGTTGAAGGGTAAAATCCATCGGACACCTTTGAAGGAGATAAATCTGGATGACTTGGCGGAGAGGAGTATCGTTTTAGGAGAATCCCCGGTTCATGGCGATAATTCTTCTAGCAGAGGGGAAGTTGGGAACACCAGTGTGGATTTGGGAACACAGAACGCTCTGAAGATTGGAAGTCCCGAGAGAGGAGAAGGCAAAAACCTCTCTCAGAAGTCTACGCGGTCAGAAGGGGACATCATACTTGACTCCGAGGACGAGTTTGATTTTGAGCTTGAGGATGACAGTGGAGCCAACGACGAAGCTCCTGGAACACCCACACCAGCAGCTCGTGCATACACCCAGGAGAATACGGAAGTCGTGGCCCAGGAGACTGAAGCACCAGTGCAGTCCCCACAAAAGTCAACCATACTACCTTCTTCACGACCTGCCACTCAACGTCATCCTACGCCTGATCCTTTGCCTGAGAATGATGAGGCAGAGCCGGAAACGCCCAGTCCTTCGCCGCAGAGAAGACCGAGTATATCGAGTATCATCGAGGCTGACAAGGAGACGCCCCTGTCGTCACCGCAGAAGACGTCGCCTGCGCTGCCGCCAATGACGCAACTTGGATCCAGTCACAGGTCCCATGCCTTGTCCTCTCCACAAAAGAACTCGCCAGCAATGCCGCCAGTTTCTCAACTTGGATTCAGGTACAAATCGCAAGCTTTCGAGTCACAGCGTGTGCCGTTTGAGCGAATCCAACGACTGGGCCCACAGACTGACCGGTCTGATATTATCATTTCGGTTCATCCTGATCATGCTGAGCAGATTGCAGAAGGCGTCAAGACCCATGAGTTCCGCAACTATCGAATTCCTCAGACGGTAGGGCGAATCTGGATGTATATCACGAAACCGGTCTGTGCCCTCAAGTACATGGCGACCATCAGTGGCGCCAAAGAACCCGGAGAGATATCTTCTGAAGATTCAGGCGTTGGCAACGAAGAGTTCAACCAGGGCAAGGGTCCAAAGTTCGCATATGAGCTGAAGCAGGTATACCAGCTCAACAACCCAGTCTCTTTGAAGAGAATGAAGGAGAACGGCTGGGTGGAAGAGGCGCCAGCCAAGTATGTCTACGTGCCACCCGCGGTATTGGGTGAGTTGATGGGAAACCTCAGATGTGCTCTTTTTGTGGAGCCGGGTGAGCCCCAGTCAAGCCAGGTCGACATGTCGGTCTCACAGGAGGTAGAGATGCAACTGCGAAGTGACATTGCGCACTCGACGCAGCTGGATCATATGCGATCGTCACCGCTGCAAAGCCAGAGGCATGAAACTGGAGACGTCAACATCATCCCGTCCAGCCAGGGGAGCGGGAAGGAGCCAGCCAGCAGCCCACCTCACGAGACGATCGCCGCGACCAACAAACCGGTCTTCGCTAAGCCCGCCGTGCCGGCCAGCCGGTCGCAGCGAAGCGTGCACTGGGTCGAGGACAGCCCCGTGGGCAAGCGGACACTATCGCCGCAGCGCGCCGCCGACAACCCCGCTACCGTGCGCCCGTCCCAGGCCACGACGGCCAGCGCACCGTCGAGTCCCTCACAACATCTACCGCCGTACCGCGGGCAGCAGCCCATCGTGGTCCCGTCACAGAGCCAGCCATCAATACCAGTCTCACCGCCCACAACAAAGGCCGCGCCTCGGTCACAGGTGGGCCGCCAGTCCAGCGGCCTCCTCTCGGACTTTGAGGTGGACGCCGTCGTGGGCGACAGCCCCGTGCGGAGGCGCGGGGCCGCGACGCACAGCTCTGCCCTGCTGCCCGGCTCGTCGCAGGGCTTTACGCTGGGGAGCGGGGAGATGGATAGCCTGCTGGATGACTCGAAGATTAGGCAGCCGCCTGAGGTTGTGTGGGATTCAGAGGGGGAGATTTGAGTGACTTTTCTTGTTTTGCTTGGTAGGGAGCGGGCTGCGTGTGATGAGAATAAGCACCTTGAGCCGGCAGTGCATGGTGGAATTAAGCATCAAGACAGGTCGGCGTTGGGGGTTACATCGTTTGATGACTACTAGCCGCGGGTTCGACGAAATATTGCGCTGACTCTAGTGGTTTGTAGCTCTTCGTGCTTGAGCATGGGTGTAGGGAGGGAGGTAGAGGCTCATTGGGCGGACGGTTTGATTGGTTTCGTATAGGTACTCATGGCATGGGCACGGAAGGTGGACTAGGCGTTTGATAGCATGACAATCTTTTTATTGTGAAACTCATTTCTGCCCTGAGTTGTCTACATGTGCTTGCGGTTGTAAATGAGATGTGCCAAAACAGCCATGCTGACTTGTGCTCTGCATCGACGAGTGGCTGAGAGGTCCATCACGGAGGTATCATAATTTTCCCAGGTGCTCGGTACGATGAAAAAGGGATATAGGATTTCCTCCTTCCGTGATGCTTTTTGAAAATTTTCTTTCTTTTAGAAAAGAACTAGAGTCTACCCAATTTGAGCTTTGCAGCCGAGGGTTACTCCATACATAAGACTCTTCTGTGGAAGGATATTCTATACTGTGTAGAAGGTTTTCATGAAGGAGGTTATCCCAGAGGAGGTTATCCCAGAGGAGGTTATCCCAGAGGTGGTTATCCCAGTGGAGGTTATGACAAAGCAGGTTATCCTAGAGAAGGTAATAACAGAGAAGGTCATCACAGAGAAAGTTCTTATTATAGTAGATTATTCTATAGAATTATTTTATGTAAGAAAGGTATGGTAACTGGCTGAGTTGCAGCCTGACGTTTTACAACGTCAGGGGGGTTCCATATTGTGACAGGTCTTCGTGGGTTTTAACACAGGCACGACAGGACGGCTGGCTTTGGGGCCAATTTAGCACTGACCGCCCTAGGTGAGGGGGAGGCTGGCCACTAGAAAAGCAGCACAATGACATACGAAGAGGTGCCGGGCAGCCGAACAGTGGTTCAGTGTGGCAGTGTCTGGCACAAGAACAAGCCTTGGCCTGGACGCATAAGGAGACGATTTCCACAGCACGGGCTGACAGGACGAGACAGCACGTTAAAAACCGGTTCGCACCCCTCCTGACCAGGCGCTGCTCCACCAATTGCACCGATCTGATGGGTGGTGGAAATCTGGAACTGGCTGTGCCTGGATGTAAGGGTTTTGGAGAGAGTGGGAGATCAACAACCAACCCCAGCGTGCTGCCGTTTCACGCAACGCGGGTATGACCTCATCTCACAGCTCCACACCAGCTTCCCGCCCCCGTCACTGCGGCCGACAACAGCAGGCCATGACGAACTGCCTCCCCATTGCTTGTACTTCCTGTGAGTAAATATGACACGCGACCACCTAGCTGGACTTGGTGTGGCTTGAATTGACTGTCTTACGAGACACACTGCTCTCACTAGCCCTCACCTACTCACCCCTCTCCTAATTGCACGACTGTCACCATTTCGAAGCCGAGTTGAGGCTTCATCTAAGCTGTCAAAAGTCTCTACTAGACTTACATTCGTTTTATACCCCTTACCTTGGAGATCAAGACTCTATCTTCAGCATGGCGGACCAACCGCAGGATGTTGAAGAAGACTACCCACGGAGGTCGCATCTGGGGCCTCATTCTGGCAGGCACCCCATCCCTACTATCCAAGGCTACAAGGAGCATAGGAGAGATCTGAATGACCAGCAACAGCAAGCAGAGGCAGCTCAGGAGGGCCCCGAGGACGAGTCAAAAGCCAGGAGGGCATATGACTCAGTCAAGACCATCTTCAAGGGAGAAGATGACCCCAAAAGCCAGCATGAGCCCTACTCGTCGACTAACCGACATTATGTCGTGCCCCCCGGCCAACAGGCCCAGGAGCAGGGCCAGGAGCAGGAGCAGGAGCAATCACCACCAGGCGAGCAGGGTGTAGATACTCGCCAATTCGGCGAGACAACCCAGGATGGCGACGAGCAACAGCAACAGCAACCGCAACCGCAGCAACCGCAACCGCAGCAACAGCGCGATGACTCTAAAGATGGGGGTCCACAGGAAAAGACAGCTACCGAACAAGTGGCCAGCACCGTCGACCCTAAGGAGAAGCGCAAGGCCATGAAGAAGTTCAAACGCCAGACTGGAGGTCGCGAGGTCACCGACCCAGTCACCCATCTGCCCATCATCATCCACGACCAGACCGACAAGGACCTGAAGTCTGCACCGGAAAACGAACCAGAGCCCGGCGAGCACCACACCACGGCGACAGGCCCACAAGGGGCGTCTAAGTCGGAGGAGGAGCTCCAGAAGGAATGGGAGATGGTCCAGAAGGGCCACAACGGCGTGCAGAGGCTCTTCCCGCCGCCCAAGTTCTCCGAGCTCAAGGAAGAGCTGGCTACGGCGTACCAGTCGACTATCCGGGCAGGCCTCTCGGTGATCGGCGTCGTTGCCGCCGCGCCGTTCCTCATCTCGTCCCTCCAGGGCCGGCTGCTGCCGCACTGGTCGACGGTGCTCAGCGTGCTGGGCTTCCTCTCCGTGACCCTCGGCACCGCGTGGGGCATGGGCCAGTGGATATCCAAGAAGGTCGAGGAGATTGTCGACGACGAGACGTGGGACGCCTCCAGGCGGGAGGAGGAGGCTACGGTTGAGTCTGACGCTGAGCTGCCCGAGTCGGCGCAGTGGCTCAATAGCTTTGTGGCTTCGATATGGCCGCTCGTCAACCCTGATTTATTCTCTTCTCTGATAGAGTAAGTGGCTTCCAGACACTCTTTTCCTTTTTCTCTTCTTTTTTCTCTCCCTGTTTAGAGATCCACCGCAGTATCTGTCCGGCTGACCTTTTTTTCCCTTGTGAAGCATGGTGGAAGACATTATGCAAGCATCTCTTCCAAAAGGTATGTATGAGATTACAGGCTTTTGGTGTCCCGTCTGATCCCTAAGTAAACCCGCTTAGTGCGATCGTGCCGGGCTCTGTAATATGCAGCAGCTAACACACAGCAGTCGTGAAGATGGTTTCGATCGATGATATGGGCCAAGGAAACCAGTCATTGCGGATACTAGGAATCCGGTGGCTACCAACAGGTGCCGCCAGCCGGACTGTGGGCCCAAATGGCAAGCTTGAGAATACGGACAAGGACAAGAACAAGAGCAAGACGAGCGACCGCACGGATCCACAGGCCGCACAAGAGGAAGGCGCCGACGACGAAGCGTCTGACGAGAACCAAGACAGTCAGGGCGATGAAGACAAGAAGAAGACCAAGGAGGAAGAGCAGTCCGAGGCTGCCATGCGCGAGGGCATGGAGGCCGAGGAGGGCGACTTCGTCAATCTGGAGCTCGCAGTGGCTTACCGCAGTCGGGCCACGGGCAAGTCCATCAAGGCCAAGGCCAAGAACGCACACCTGTTCTTGAAGTTCTATTCGGTAGGCGGTGTGGCATTTCCGGTTTGGGTAGAGGTCAGGGGCTTCATCGCAACTCTGCGCCTACGACTACAGCTCACTGTAAGTATCTCAGGTGATCAGCGAGAAAGAGCGCTCTACGTTGTTTTGTATAGTGTAGCTAACTCGATCTAGCCTGACCCACCCTTCGTCAGCCTCTGTACTCTTACCTTCCTTGGGCAACCCAAGGCTTCCCTATCGTGCGTTCCGCTGTCAAAGCATGGGCTTAACTTGATGGACGTACCAATGATATCGTCTTTCGTCCAATCAGCCATCGATGCCGCTCTAGCTGAGTACGTGGCACCCAAGAGTCTAACCCTAAACCTCAAGGATATGCTCGTGGGCGAGGATTTCAAGAAGAACACGACCAATCAAGGCGTCCTGTATATTTTCATCAAGCGTGCTCGTGGCTTCAAACAGGGCGATGGCGGGATCGGATCCTCAGGAGGGTCAAGTGACGCATACGTGACAGTCGGCTGGGGCAAATTCGGCAAAACGGTAGCCTCGACCCGGATTATTGAGGCAACGCAAGAGCCAGACTGGCACGAGAACGCCACTATTTTGGTTTCGGCGGAGGAGTTGAACGCCGAGGAGAAGCTGCGATTGCAGCTCTGGGACTCGGACAAACACACAGCAGACGATGATTTGGGCCGGGTAGAGGTCGACCTCAAGGAGTTAATTCACAGGCCTGAGAGCCACAATAAGATGCAGGACCGCGAAGACCGCTTCACCGGTCAAGACCCCGACGAGAAGATGCCCGGAACGCTACAGTGGTCAGTCGGGTATTTCTCCAGGGTGAGGATCACGCAGCAGCAGCTTGAGCAGCAGACTGTCGACGAGAAGATCCGGACAAAGGAGCAGCTCAAGGAACACGTCGCTGAGCAGTCTGCAAACAAGCTGAGGGAGGCCGGGAAGGCGCCAGACGACGAGGAGCTCCACCAGCAGCGTGCCCAGGACTACATGGAGCTCGAGGACAATATGGTCATTTCTGCACCACCCCCACAGGACTATGTCTCTGGTATCCTTAGCGTGCAGATACACAACATTACGGGCCTAGAGGTCCAAAAGCTGCGCAAGCGAGATAAGAAGAACGGCGAATCCGATATCGAAGAAGAAACAGAGACGGATGACGATATGCCTGACAGCTACTGCAACGTTATGTTGAACCACAAAAAGATTTATCGAACCCGCACAAAGCCGAAGAACTCAAAGCCGTTCTTCAACGCTGGCACAGAGAGGTTCGTCAGGGATTGGCGATCTAGTGAGGTCATCATCGCTGTTCGTGATGCCCGCGAGCGCGAAGACGACCCACTCATCGGTATAGTGTACCTGCCGATCGGGAAGCTACTCAAGGATAGGAGCCAGGTCATGCAGATGTACCCCCTCGTCGGCGGGATCGGGTTCGGCCGAGCGCGCATATCTATCGTGTGGCGCAGTGTCGAGCTGAAGTTGCCCCCGAATCTGCTCGGATGGGACTACGGAACGCTCGAGATTCGAGGCGGGATCCGAGTCAAGGGCTCGCTACCGCAGAAACCTACCAAGAGCCGGCTCAAGATCCGCAGCGACCTTGGCAGAGTAAAAATGTACCCAAACGACGGGCAGGGAGAGTGGCTGCTCAAGGGTAAAGACAGCAGAGACGGGAGCGCATTCCTACCTGTGCGGAAGCGATACAGTTCCCCGCTGGTTCTCGAGTTCCGTGAGTCCGCACTCGGGCCGGACAAGTCGCCTGCTTTTGCCGTGCTGTGGCTGCGTGAGCTCGTTGATGAGGAGAGCGAGACGAGGGTGCTGAAAGTTTGGCGAGGTGGCAAGCAGCAGATTGCTAGGGCCGAATCAAATTGTGATTACAACGGGACGGAAGAGGGTGAAGAGCCTCTCGGCGAGGTCGAGGTGGAGCTCAAATTCTGGCGAGGACTTTCCGGATACCACAAGCGGTTCGCTTCCGGGTCCAGAAAGGGCAATATGAAGGATGTGATGGAGTGCCTTGACACCATAACGGACGAGACCCTAATCCAAGACGAGGACGAAGTCGAAGACGACGAAGACGAGAACTCGAGCTCTAGCAACTCGGGCAACTCGGGCAACTCAGGGAACTCAGGGAACTCGGGCAGCAGCGGCGACAAGGCAGCCAAGAAGCGGCTCAAGGTCCACACGAACGACTCGTCCTCCTCAGACTCAGATGGCTCAAGCGACGGAGAGGAGGGGGCCAAGTCGCGCTCGACCTTCTCGTTGGCGAACCTGAAAAGGGCGCCCAAGAAGATCCTGCGCAACCCGGTCGAGGGCACGACGTCGACTGCGGCGTCGGTTATCGCCCCCGGCCACAACGACTCTGAGGATGGCTCACGCGGTGTGCGCAACCAGCTGCGCGACTACAAGGACCACCACAAGCAGCTGCACCGCAAGCACCGCGGTATCATGCAGTGGCGCGCCGCGCGTGAGGTTGACCACCTCGGGAGCAAGTTGAGTGATCTGAAAGGAAATGTTAGTGGGCTTTTTAAGCACAGTGAGAAGGACACTGGGGTCGAGACGGAGGTGTAAGTTCGTATTTGGGGTAAGGACATCGGGTGAGGAGTACTCGTTAGCTATTGTGACCTCGAGCTCCATTCCAGACGAGGTCGCAGCTGGGACGGCAATGGGAAAGTATTTACCCTTGTTTATGACTGCGGCATTTGCAACGTGTTACCAATTAAGATTTAATGAAGTTGCAATGAAGCAGACGAAAGTTTGACGAAAAGGAAGAATCTCAAAAGTCAGCCCACGCTGACATTGGTATATAGGAAATTGATGAAGTCAACGTCATTTGTTGGATAACTCGTCATGTGATAACCTGTCGTAGGACAGTGCCCTTGATGGCCTTCTCTGGGATGACCTGTGGGATAATCTCCTGTGGGATAACCTCCTGTGGAATAACCTCCTGTGGGATAACTCCCTCTGGGATCGCCTCTCCAGGGTGACCTCTCCAGAATAACTTCTCTGGGATAATCTCCTTTGGCGTAACCTATTCTTATTCCAAGACAACCTCTAGTGGGGTGACCTATATATCCTTTAGGGCAACCTACCATCACTTGTAGAATAATCTCAACCGAATCCTGTCTCGTTCCCTTGCAAATTTGAAGGCGCCTTGGAGGTGGGGAACTTTGGAATACAAGTACATTTAAGTTCAGAAGACCACATGGTTGACTCGATAGGGTATCGGGCTAGCAGTTGCGTCTCCGAACGGAAGATCGGCATCTTGCAGCATCCTACCTCCCGGGAAGTGTGTGCTATCGACCTGCTACTTTTGGCTTAGTAAAGCGGTTGTGGCAGCGGGCACTACCCAATTCCTGCTGCCACCTGCAGCACGTTTTCACTACCAATGCAACCACTTTATGAACAGCCGATAGACGTTGTTCCCATCGCCGGGTAGCGAGAGACTCGCGGCCCATCTCCAAGGGGTGCATCATAGGGTATCATCTGGCCTTTTAGTGCAAGGGAGTCCAGCACATGCCATGGACTGGAATGTCCATGAGGCCCAAAAGGATGGAGTCTCGTCAGAGCCCTCAAGGGAGCCCTGGGCCCAGGGAGGCCGTTGACATTAATAAACCACGCCAATTTTCGTTACAAATTCTCGGTGTGGTCGACAAGAAGATCATGGCTTTCTTCGCTTTTGCTGCAGTGCTTTGGCTCATCGCGCCCTCGCTACAGGCAGTCTTGCCAGCGATATTCCCCGCACATACCAGCAGCGATATTTTTGGTCCTTTGAAGTTTAGAGACGATGGCACGTTCCAGATATCCATCTTCGAAGACCTTCATTTTGGTGAGAGTAAGTAACATATGAGGAGGACATGATCTTTGTCTCTGAGAGCCATTTGAGCTAACATGGTAATCTCCTCAGACGCATGGGACTCTTGGGGCCCTCAACAGGACGTCAACTCTGTGAAGGTCATGAATCAGATTTTAAACAATGAGTTCCCACAACTAGTCGTGCTGAACGGCGATCTGATCACTGGTGAGAATACTTTCAAGGAGAACAGCACCACGTACGTGGACCAGATAGTCGGGCCTCTTGTCGAGCGCAACCTGACCTGGGCATCCACGTACGGCAACCACGACAGTGACTACAACATCTCACGCGAAGGGATTCTGCAACGCGAAAGCCTCTGGCCCAATTCACGCACCACGAGCATGGTGCCAGGGCCCCAAGCCGGCGTCACAAACTACTACCTCCCAGTGTACCCAGCCAACTGCACCCTCGTAGCAGCAGCGCCGTGCGCCCCGGACCTGATCCTCTGGTTCTTCGACAGCCGCGGCGGCCACTACTATCAGCAGCTCGACGCCGATGGAAACAGGGTGGGTATGCCGGATTGGGTGGACACAAGCGTTGTGGCCTGGTTCCAGCAGACGAACGCCGAGCTTGTCCGCAACAACGGCAGGGTCATCCCCTCGCTGGCCTTTGTGCACATCCCCACGAATGCCTCGCAGGCCTTGCAGACCGAGGCAGGAGTGGACCCAAATCGCCAGCCTGGCGTGAACGATGACTATGTGCTGGCGGCCCAGGGGCAGGGCTGGTGTGCAGATGGGGCCAACGATGGGACTTGTGATTATGGGGGGCAGGATGTCCCGTTCATGCAGGCTATTACCACGACGAAGGGGCTCATGGGGGTGTTCTCTGGGCATGATCATGGTAAGTCTAACTTTTTCAATATTCAGTCCACGATACTATAGTCTTGGCAGTATGGCTGACCCAGTGCGTGAATTTCAGGTGATACGTGGTGCTACAAGTGGAGAGGTATATTGCCAGGCATGACGGTTGCTGGTAATGGACTGAACCTCTGTTTCGGACAGCACTCGGGCTACGGCGGATATGGCAATTGGATCAGAGGCTCGCGGCAAATCCTTGTGTCTCGGGAGCAGCTCAAGGACTTGGCTGTTGAAACCTGGATCCGAACTGAGGCCGGAACCGTGGTTGGGTCTGTATCTCTGAACGCCACCTACGGGACGGATTTGTATCCTGCAACGCCAAACGATAAGACAAATTGCCCTACTTGTGACTATTCATGATATCAATGTCATTGTCGGCACCCGGCAAAGACTGTATTTAGACCGCGCATTGTCTTAGAACTGAGGCCGAGCCAAATCTCTATTGTATATATGCTTGAATTGGTTCAGCACCTTAACTTCAGAGTCTTGTCTGCTGTATTGCAACCGCGAACATCCCTCACTTGCGACCGGTCCAATTCGTCGTCGAGATAGGAAGACATCCTCATTTGGAACCCGGGCGGGGGGGGGGGGGGCTGAGACATCAGTGCATAATAGCACTGTAAGCCACGCCTGAGGAGGGCCTCAACATTAGAATATGCATATCCAACATCCAAGCAAACACGCACTCTGCTGGAGTTGATGGTGACCAACGCCGCCTGTGAAGCGGAAACCGATCCGAAGAAGCTTGCCTCGCGGCAGTTAATCCTCACGCTAGCATTCATCCACACATCAGTTATGACCATCTTCTACGCCCTCTTCGATTTGCTTAAATATCCCAAGTATATCGAGCCGCTGCGGGAGGGAATTCTCGCGCTCGTCAAGGACAATGGTGTTGATGCTGTGCAGAATCTTTCGAAGCAGTCGCCCCCCAGCGCAGACTCCTCCAGACCCTCGCCCTCAAGGATGGCACAGTCCTGCCCAAGGGCATTCGCATCGGCCTCCCCTGCAACGCCTTCACTTGGACCCGGAGGTGACCTTCGACGGCTACCGCCTCTACCGCAGGCAGGTCAAGATGGTACAGGCCCACAAGGACCACCTCCTCTTCGGCTACGGCCGCTGCACCTGCCCGAGCCGCATCTGGGCCGTCGGCGAGTTCAAGATGATCCTGGCCAAGATCCTCGTCGGCATGGACTTCCGCCCTGTACGCGACGTCCAGGACCTACCTAATCAACATGCTATCGTTTCCAGACAGGCCCAAGGTATCACACAAGTAGAGGAGCGACTGATCACTTGTAGAGAACGGCGGGAAAACTTTTTGAGTCTTGGGTGTTTGGCATGCTCGCGCATAGTTGAGAGTCGAGGCAACAAATTGGAAGGGACACCAGACATCCCTTAGCCAAAAGCGATGTGGATCATATTGAAAGATCTCAAGTAACAGCAGAATGATTTCAAAGTAGTACATACCTCGAGCTAAAGCTCATCAAATTGTAAGGAGTAGGACAGACGCTGCGTTGGAAAGCACAGAAGGTATGGGAACACAAAACCCTGCCCTGAGTCTTTACAGCCATGTTATACGCCTGGATAGTTGATGACACGCAAGCGACTCGCCGATCATTACAGTCATTAGATGATTTCATTACATATTATCCGCAGCTGGAAGAGCCAAAGCACCCAGCTGACAAGCAATTAGTCGCTGCTGGTGGGCCTTTCAGTGCTCGCAAACCCGCAAGCTGCATCACATGTCTCGCTCATCAAGAAGCTTGAACTGAGCGTCGGCCTCCATGAGAAAGTCAAGTACCTCCTTCCGTAAGGAAAGCCTCCCATCCTCTTTCGCCACGATGGTCGTTGTGTAAGTATGCCACATATCCTTGTCCACAGAATCCTTCAGCCTTCCAAGATTGCCGTTCATGGTGTTGCACTTGCCGCCCACAAGCCTTTCCACCCCCGACGAAATGCGAATAAACATGTCTGCGCCTTTGTCTTCAAGGAAACGCTCAATCATTTCCTGCTGTTTGTGAAAACATCCGGCACCTATATATGCCAGGGCTCAAATTAGACTTCCCTGCGTGCGTAGACTTCTCATGGGAAGGGGTTTCGCACCTGTGATTTTCGCGCATGTCTTCCAGGTGTTACTCATCTCGCGTTTCAACTCGGAAACAATCTGCTTTCTTATCATTGGACGGGTCTCATCGATCATCTCTTCCCGCATGCCATCAACCACCGTGTAAACGGCCTGGATTTCAGCCCTCATCTGACCACGCAATTTCCGGCGCGCAGATTCCGTCATATTGAGTTCCATGCGCTTCTCTGCTGCATTGCTCAAATCGCTGATTGCTTGCGCAGAATTGTCTCTGAGAGTGTGGAAAGCGGTGGGAAGGAGGCTGTCAAATGCATGTTGCCAGTGGTGCTCGATAGCGTCGAAAAGCGGCTGGGCAAGCTCTGAGAGGGAACACGTTAGTCAACCTGCGTTCTTAGTCCCCGAATCGCCCCCCTTCCAGTGATCAAGACTTTAACAAGCACGTTCAGATAGCAAGCTACTCGATGTCAAGAGCAGTCTCCTATGTAACGGGACACATGAATGGGGTTGATGCCCAGCAGAGTCACGTGTGGCAGGAAGAGCGATGGGATCAACGAGAAATGAGCCACGAGCTACTCCTTCTCATAGAAAGGTTCGACCTCAGAAGCGGGTATCGTGTTCGCTCAGAAACTGGGACATACCTTCGTTGAGGCACCACGGACTCTTCTTTTTGATACGAGCCCTGCCCTTGTAGACTCCTCTACAAACCATAGTTAGTGTTGTATAGCTCTAAACCGAAATCTCATAAGAAGTATTCACCCATTACGGCAGGCGGAGCGGTATGACCCGGCCGCCAACAGCTGGTCTCCTCTTTTCCGCGACGGCCACGTGTTGGCAACATCAATGGCGGAACTGATGACTTCTGGAAGGGCGTTTTTCATCCTTTCAGAGAAAATACGATCGAAAATACCACGGCACTCAGTGAGGAATGTTTCGAAATGATATCCCAGGCGCTAACAGCAGTCAGTAATCGAGAAGGCACCTGCAAAATGTAGGAACGGAGGTCAAATACCTCAACACACAGCTCCAAATCTGTCTTGTACTTTGCCAACTCTCTCTTTTCTTGCTCAGAGGTCAGACTAATGCCTGAGCCGTTGTCACACCATATAGACATATGATTGAAGCATTTCAACACAGCTTTCAGAAGGTTTTGACACTTTCGCCGTCGAGCGGGCATTGTCAGTTGCTTGATATGGTCTCGCCATGCCGGGATGCCGGACAGCTCCGTATTATCAGGTGCCCAGAAGTCTGCCTTCCTGCGCCGTTTCAAAGACTCGAAGTAGCCACGTGCTGAGACAGTGTGGACTGTGGGAGCCTGGAGGTCCGTTCTGCCATTCACGCCGAGAATTGGCTTTTTGTTCCCGGATCTGAATTCTCTCCTATGTGAGAGAAGTCTGTTCAATAGAATTAGCATACAAATACATCAGTATTCAGATCAATGGTGTCAGCTATTCTTCAGTGAGGCGAATCCAAATGCGAAGGACTTACTCCTTGGCTGCGTGATTAAAATCTCGTTTGATAGCAGAGCTGGTGCGAGTGTTTCGGGCTTCAATACATGATATTTTGAGAAAAGACTCATCATGAACTAGTTGCTTTTGCAGTGCTTCACGGTGCGTCTCTAGACGTTGAATCTTAGCCGCAAGCTCTTCGGCCTCAGTGATCCCGGCTTCTGGCATAAGAAATTCTCTTGAGTCCTCACTCATTTCTGGATCATGGTTCGTCGTGTAGCTACCTTCGTCTGGTGAAGAGGATGCAGAAGTTCCTCTCAGCCTCTTGTCGCGTTGAAATTGAGACGTTATGCTTCTTTTGCGTTTGGCCCCTGACATTCTGTATTGTGAGGAGCCCTCTGGAGCTTGCACCTCGTTGTGGAGGGTATCGAGTTGTGCACGTGTCTCGGCCAGAGCAACCTCGATAGCATCCAGCGCCTCTTCCAACTCCGTGAGGTCATCGAGTTGCTCCACAAGCCCAAATTCCTCGGCGTCTCTGTCGATCTCGATACTATCGTCCGTCATGGTACAGACATACGTGATGTCGTTGAGTCTACCGTCGAACTTGATCCAATTTCTGAACGTACTGGCATCATTGAAAGGCTTCTTCACAATTTGCTCGCTGATTGCACGCTTGATAGGGACGAACACGCACAAATGATCGCACCTGTCCCCATCCGCAGCTGCACGGGCAGATCTTGCGGAATTTCCATCTTGGCCACCAGGCTGTTTGAGGAAAGGTATAAGTTAGCAATACCATAACGAGACAGAGTGTGAGTTATGAGAGAATGTTGAGGCACGCTTTGGGGGTGGGAACATAATTAAGAGAAAGACAGAGCGATTCGTGTGAGGTGGAAGAGGGGCGATGAAGAAGGCCATCCTACCATGTCCCTGATCACAGCACCAGTAGAGAGCACCTCAGCCTTCACAAAAATATTGACTTTCTCCACCAACGGCCAAAACTGCTGCTCAAACTCGAACCCCTCAGCCTTCTTCGCAAGGGCGACATTGTCCCTGTTGGCGATGAATCTCCACAGGTCTCTGCTCAGGCTCGCGGCATCTGGATGACAGATGTGAAGAGTCGCGCCGAGATAGCGCCTGATGAGCGGGTCCTGTAGCAGGTTGACCAGCTTAAAGCTCGGATCTGCCATCTCAACCTTGGTCAGATGCGGCCAGACGGCGTGAATCTTGGCCCATGCGATCTCGGCTGGGCTGTCGTCGGCTGCGGTGCTAACGGCCATCTCGCCGGCGGAGAGAACATCCCCGCTCAAGACGAGTAGCTCGCGCAGTAGCTCTTCCGCGGTAATGAAGGTGATTTCGGCTCGATATGCCTCGTGTGGATCCGTGGAATAGTTGTAGCGGACCTCCGTCGCTACGGAGGTGCAGGCGTCGTACCCGCTGGTGGGCAACAGGCGCGGCTCGTCAAGCAGGGCGTTGATGGCTGTGCTCTTGCCTGTTCCCATACTGCCCACCATCATGATCAGGGTCTCAGCGGGTCCTCCTTGCTCGTCATCTGCCAGCTCGGAAAGCTGATGGTGCCAGTGGTGGGTGTCGTCTGTGCTGTTTGCTTGGGCGAATTGGAAGCCGGAGAGAGCTTTGGCGAGTCTTAAGGCGGTCTCTCGATGTCTCTCCAGGGATTCAACGTTGTTGTCTGCGGCCGCAGCCTCTAGATGAGGGAAAATTGAGCTCATGTTGTGGCTGATCCGTGGTTAACGAGCTTCAGGTGAGTAGGATGAAGAAGACAACGTATGATATTGGGAAGATTTCTCGAACCACAGAAACTGTTTGAGCCAAATGGTGGGAGGAGATTATATAGAACAGAAAAATGTGCTTGTTGTTCCATGGCCATTTCTAGAACATCTCCAATGAGCTGTTCTATCAGCTCTACTTCTTGAAAAGAATCTACTAGGTACGCTGAGTCAATCGGGAGTCAAAACAAAGAGAAGCAGCGGCAGAATATGTACAGACTTATCCATCGTCTCAGATGACGCGATCTGAACGACCTTGGACGTTGTAGACATTGTCCCATGCTTGGTGCACGCCGTGTTCCTTGGCTACACCGCTCTAAGGTCAAGAACGTGGTAACTGACTGGTCGTATATCACTTGTTCATTCTCTTTGTATGTTTCACCCCATTCGCAAAGGCTCCATTTTACCGTCTGGGCAAATGCAATGCTATGGGGTGTTCAAAAAGCACGAGCTTAAGCTCAGGTGTGCGCTTCAAGGCCACAGTATCTCTGAGATAATAGTGTATGACATATGATGTGTACATTTACGTTCCCAGCGATAGTGAGCACTCAGTTCCGAGAAAATGAAGGGAAGCAGGGCGAACACGATGTAGGTGGGAGCCTGGTGGGAAAGCTCATCAAAGACCCAATCATTGAAAATACTCCGCAGGCATCCATGCCGAAAGAGATCGTGTCTATTTTCATGTCAAGCACTATTGACAGCAGATGAAGGCAGGAACGTCGTAGAAGAGTTCGAAACCCGATGTCTGCTTGCCTCACCAGTCCACGCCGGAACTACCTATTTAGGTCAACACCCAGAATCCACACAGCGAGGACGAAGGGCATATTAAAGCAAGCAAGGGGAGTCGCAAGCGAGGCACGTGCATAGTCGTACAGATCCTTCACCGTCTGCCTCAAATTCATTCAGTCCTTGCGGTTCCTCGATCCTGTGTAGTTTCCCCCTGAGCCTCGGTATCATGAGTCTTCCGTTTCATTGCTCGTCAGTATATCCTGTACAGAAGAAAAGAAAAAGGGTCGATGCATTCGTTTGGAAATGAGATCCACATCATGCGTAGCCGTATTCTGACTTCGTAGGAGTGGCGAAGTCCTCGAAGTATGGGTGATTGCAGGCAGCCTTTGCAGAAATGCGGCCTGCTGGGTCGTAGACAAGCATCATTTCTAGCAAGTCTAGGCCATGGCGGTCGAGGTTTTGGCAGAGAGGCTGAGAGAAGTCACGGTTCCACTTAGGGAATGAAGACTTGAAGTCAGGGTAACTGGTCACACCGGGCCATACGTCCTCCGTTGGTGTGCCGAGAACTCTGTAGATAATGGTTTAGTTGGAAGGACACAGTCTGAGAGCTGAGGGAGGCTCACCTGAAGATCTTGAAGATCTCGTCAATCTCAGAGTCGCCTGGGAATAGCGCCTTGCGCGTGCACATCTCCGCAAAGATACAACCCACGGACCACATGTCCACACCTGTAGAGTACTGTCGACCACCTAGCAAAATCTCCGGGGCACGGTACCACAATGTGACGACTTCGTGAGTGTACGTTCTAAGAGGGACTCCAAAAGCTCTAGCGAGACCAAAATCCGCCAGCTTCAGGTTGCCCTCGCGGTTGATCAGCAGGTTCTGGGGCTTCAGGTCGCGGTGCAGCACGCGGTGCGAGTGACAGAATCTGATGCCATCACAGAGCTGCTTCATGAACTTCTTGATGATGGCTGATCCGAGGCCCAATGTGGCCAGCTCGCCGCTTGTACCCTCGGGCAGGGCCCTGCCTCGGCCGCCGTCAGACACTGGTAGAGCCTCCATGTACTTCTTGAGGTCGAGGTCGAGGAACTCAAATACGAGGTAGAGCTTGTGGCTGTCGGCGTGTACGATGTTGAACAGACGGACTATGTTGGGATCGCGCATTTCCTTGAGCAGTGAGATCTCTCGAATGGCTGTGGAGGGAACGCCTTCATCTTCGGCTTCGAGTCGGATTTTCTTCAATGCGACGATTCGGTTGTCGTTGAGGAGATCTCGAGCCTTGTAAACCACACCGTACGTTCCTGGCGCAGAAAAGGTCAGCCTTGGATTTGCGGCACTGAGGCAGCGACAAAGAGTGTATGTTTACCCTCTCCGATCTTCTCCAACTTCTGGTAATTCTCCATGTTATTTTGTAGATTCCTGCCTCAGATTGTCAGTCACATGTCGCCATCATCGTCATACAAAAGAGAAGTACATGATTGCTGTCGCGGCACCCAGAGCCTGGGAGCGGTCTGAAATGCGAGAGGGGGACCGAGTCGTGCACGATTGCCACCGCTTGATGTTCCTGGTGCAATTCGGTGTCTCGAATCCTCAGGATGTCTTGCTCTCTTGCAGATTGCAGCTGTCGCAAGCTGTGTACCGAATTGAGCCTTTTCGCAAGGGGGGAATTGCTATTGCTGGTTGAGATGACCCCTTTCTGGCAGCTCTCGCTTGCGTGCGTACCGTTATCTGCCAGACTGTGGCAAATGGGGTCTTCAATGTTGCAAATAACCGTTTCTGACACACAATGCGAGGGATGACGACTGGAAAAAGGCGAAAGAAAGGCGTTGTGCATGTACCTTGTGGTCCTGTCGAGTGTCGATTCGGCGTGTGGCTAACCTCCCTTTCGGGGAAACCACTGGGTGCAGGTACGCTGTCCGAATGCCAATCGAGGGGTTGATTGACAGTAGGAACGGGCGTTCGAGACACGGGGGACGTCAATCGTTCGGTGGTTGCTGCAACAATGGAGCCGTCTGCAGCAGTTGAGGCAGAGGAGCGGTGCGAGGGGCTGTCGGCGGGATGGAATGTTTGGCCGGGGACGCGGTCGAGGTTTACTTTGGCTGGCAGACGCGTCGCTGTTAGCTGCTGAGACTTGGGGTTGGCTAGCTGGCTTAGCTGGGCCTTGTTTTGGGCGACTTCAAGGTTTCTAGGGTGATGGTGGGGTCCTCAGTCCTCAGGGGTGCTGGGGCAGCAGAAAAGCTCTAAACCTTCTATCGATAACATGTGAACAGGGGCAAGGGGTGGTGCAAAGAACCCTAACCCATCTGAGCAAGGGACCAAGACTGACTGACGCCCCTGTCTCAATCATCTGTGACTCTGAGGACGAGCACATGTGATAGATGTGAGACTTGATCGACATTCCCCAGTGACGTTGCCCTTCTACATCGCAGATAGCTGACACCTTTGAAAGGCTTGGCTGCACTCGAGCTATATTGTGAAATTTGTTGCAGACCTCGGCACAACCTCTGCCAAAGTGCTTCCCTCTGAGTTGAGTCGAGAGAGCAAGTGGCCTGACAAGTCAAACGCAACAACTCAGTGACTTGTCCTGAGCGAGAGGCATATTAGACAAGGCTATCCAGTCTCAGCTATTTCAGCGCAGCGGATGAGGTGATGACGGTGGACCTCACGACTCTGGATGCTCACGAGCAGCCTTCAGAGCACCTCAGAAAGATATGGAAGGGCTACTCTCGAACAGACAAGACCAGCATACTCAATGGCGGTGACATTGACGACCTGTCTGTGCCTGGGAAGCTTGCCGAGTTCCAACAAGCAGGCATAATACCAGCCGACAAGATTCGCACGGCGCTCTCCCGCCTTGCTGAGGATGACCCGTCCATTGCTCTGGTGAAGGAAGATGCCGTTATCTACCATCATCCTCTGATACCAGGTGAGTCGGAAGGTTGAGTACATAGAGTCAATTGTACTGACTGAGATCCAGGCCTGCTCATAGTCCCATCGCTGTTACCGCCAACGATTCAAAAGACTCTTCTGTCTCGCCTCATTCACAGAGACTTGAGCCTGCCTCACCATCAGACTAACATGCACTTGCACTACGACCTTCCGTACCCTGAGAAGGATGCTGTTACCAATGAGCCGCAATCTTTCTTCGCGTACTCTCCAGAATCAGAAACAAAGTTCATACCCAAAGACCCTTCCGTGCACAAGACCCTCTCGATGAAGCAGGTCATGGAGCGGCGGCTGCACTGGGTCACACTGGGTGGGCAGTATGACTGGACGAACCGCATCTACCCAGGCGAAGAACCACCAAAGTTTCCTGAAGACGTGGCTGGTCTTCTAGAAACACTGTTTCCAGAGACCCAGGCTCAAGCGGCGATTGTGAACTTCTATACGCCCGGCGACACAATGATGATGCACCGGGATGTGTCCGAAGAGACGGACAAGGGGCTTGTGAGCCTCAGCATGGGATGTGATGCATTGTTCAGTAGGTAATACCGCTTCAGCGAGATTTCAATTGCTAATCGTTCTTAAGTGATTGCACCCAACGATGTGGGCAAGATGTCTGAGGCAGACAGGCCTGCTGAAGGGGAGAAGGAGTATTTATTACTGCGTATCCGGTCTGGAGACGCCATCTACATGACACAGGAGGCACGCTTTGCATGGCACGGAGTGCCGAAGGTCATCAAAGGAACCTGTCCTGACTATCTGGCTGACTGGCCTGCGGAAGATGGCAAGTACGAGGAGTGGAGAGGGTGGATGTCGAACAAGAGAATCAACTTGAACGTGAGGCAGATGAGGGACTGATACGGGCCTTGCCTGTCCTCGTCACTCTCATTCGTCTCATTTCACCTGAGATATCATTCGCCATGGCATCGAGAGCAACTCAGGGTCTTGCTATTGTAGAATCTCGGCGGCCACGACTAGCAAGGTCATTGAACTGATTGCCCCGGTCCTTCACGATCCAGTTCATTCCGTGGCTTCCGAAACCTTGACGGCAGGTTTAGCAAATCCTCCCCGTCTTTCCCACAGGGACTGACGCGGCTTTCAACGTCTGCTCAACTCCATCCGGTGGAGTTCTCGTGACGATCTGCAGCACAGCTGTCGCATTCGTAGCACAGCGCATCGTATACGATACCGCAAGATCCACCCTCAACCGCAGTGTCCTCAGCAGTGCTCCGCCACGACGTCGACATGCGAATTTGTTGGTGTGGGGCAAACACCACGAGATCCACGTGGGATCCATCTGGCAACCATGCAATGCCACGATAAACATTCGTCAGTGACTCCATTAGCAGTTGGCTAAGCACATGTCTCGTATTCGTTTGAATGTACGACGACCAAGGCAGATCGTCAGATTATACTTTGCTCGTAGTTGTCAGCACCATATCATGAGAATCGACAAGCCTTGTGTGATGAGTCTATCGTGACAAGTAGCTAGACTGCGCCTCCTCCAGCCGTAATATCTGGCTTTCTGGCCCATGACGCCGGGAAGTTCGGGTAGCAACGGCATTTTCGAGATCTGTCAATGAACAATTTGTCAAAATTCCAATGGTCTCGGGTTCAGCGACTATCTCTGTCAAAATAGAATCGCCACTAAGTTGTTTTGATAGAGATCAAGTCTGCGATGTCAGGATATCTGCCTCGGTGCGGCTCAGGGGTGAGGGCTGCGCCACATCGCCCCTTGCGCCACACAAGAGGCAACCCAGCGAGAACTGGTGAACATCTTGGCCCGTTTGGGCAACTCAAGTCGTTGTGTACAGACGAGTGCCAATAACCAGCCACGTTCAACGGATTACATTTCCTAACGCGACGCGTACAAGGCCCCCGCGATGTAAGCGCCAATAAAGCTGTAGTTCAGCAACTGCCGGTAGTCTCCCACCTGACCTGTCAAATAACCCGCTCCCTGGCATCCGTTTGGCTGTCCGGCCCGTGGCAGTGCTTGCGTATTGATCGACCTGGCCCCCAGACACAATCCGGAGCTGCATTTCGCAGCGGATCATGTCAGCTCGCCATGGATTGAACAATAGATAGTCCGATGCCTTCGGACCCAAGGCCGACCCCATTTTATTCGATAGATCATCACTGCAACATGCAAGGGCGGGAACCGGATCTCGACCCGCCCCGAACGGGGGGCATTGAACCGACGGCTTACACCGGCGCGCTCACTCGGAGGATGGGCGATGGGATGGCTGCTGGCGAGCACACCAATCATCCACGCAACGAGGACACAGGGTGAGCAAGTGCCGATATAGCTACAGTGACTGCGCCTGGCGCAGGCACTCGATGTCAGACCGGTCTGCGACCCCAGTTGTGCGATCCGCGCCAGGGGACATCAGCTCCCGAAGCTGCCTGGGTGGGCCAAAAACAACCTCTTCACGCCGCAGGCTATCGAAATCGAAATCTTATTCATGCCCATATGTTTTTTTTTGACGCGTCACTGCAGGCTCATCACTTGCGATCTGCCTAGGTAAGCCGTGGTAAGCTCACTCCCATAAGCCACATATATCGACAACCTTATTCCTACGCCCGTCTGGGGGTGGATGGGATCGCCTGTGCCGCAGCCGTGCGTCGGGGAAGGCTTTGGGGGATCAACGATCCTACCTGCCCCCTTCCAAGGGAATATTGATCTGGTATCCCAATCGGGTGACCCTGCAGGCCTGACCAAAGAACGCCTGGCAGGTACCTACCAACCTGCTAAAATCCTACATTCATGCGGCGCTGCACACGCAAAGGGATTGGCCCATGAACGAGCTGCGGTGTGTCGAGCTCAGCTGGGCTGGATGGGTGAGGTTGTCTTCTGCCCCAAGTGGACAAAAAGACCAAGATCCCATGGCTGTGCCCTCATAACCAGATGCGGACAGGGCGATACCGGCGCAGTGGTAATCGACCACCTACTAGGCAGGTGTCAGAGTGCCAGACAATAGGGATGGGATTCTGGCAAGGGGAAGAACAGACCGCTTCTCTTGGCCGCGAGGGATCCCGGGAAGGGAGCCCACGCAACCATCGAGACTCTTTTTTCAGCCTTGCGCAGGCCGGATCTGGAAAAAGAAGGATCTGGAGCCCAAGCCGTCGGCGTGCTAGGCTCGATCGAAAGGAAGCGTTCAACGCGGTTGGGACTTGGGGCGCTAGATCCGCCGCCTAAACAAGAACGAGAACAAGGAGTCAATAGTCATCAGTCCAACAACAACACCCCTTAACCAGACGTGCCAGACTGCCGGGAAGCCCTTATCCCGCACCGCCGGCGCCATCGGCGGCTTCGATAGTTTGCTCGACCACCCCGCCCGTCTGTCAGGAGCGACGGTCCCGAGGAGTCTTTTTTGGCCGTGCGCTCGCTGCCCGTGCCGACGCTGGCTGGGCACTACCGTCTGGCCAGACCACTGGAGACCCTTCTCTCCCCAGATCCCCGGGTGCAAAGTCCAGGGCTGCTGATCCTGTCCGGTGTCTGTGTGCTCTTAGTAGGTCAAGGCATTCCTCGCCGTATCCTTTGTTCCGCGCGCATCCTGTGGGCAGCGGGAAGGGGCCACGCGGTGATCCAGGCTGCTGGGAGCGCCCCTCGTCCATCGCGCACTTGTCCTGGCAAGTAAGTCGGTCAATTCGGTGGTTGGTAGCCTAGGTAGGAGACAGTCCAGGCTGTTGGGAGCGCCATCTCTCCCTGATCCCATAGCTTGATGCCGCTGTCTGTGTGGACTGTGGGGAAAGTTTTTGGGGCCTGCCAAGCCCGGCGGTATGGACTCGGGCTGCTGCAAGTCATCGGGTACTGGCGATCAGGAGGATCATCCATGTAGGCTAGCTAGATCGCCTGGCTGATCGATGGGGGAAGAGGTCACGCACCGGTAGGCGCGGTTGCCTGCGGAGTAGCGTTGTGTTGGATGTATTCATTCACCCATCCGTTCATCCGTCGTCTCTCCCCCTTCACTGACCGCCAAACCCGCACCCGTTTGTTACCAGTGGGTCGCGTGATGCGATGCGATTGCGCGACGAACAAGAGACGGTGCCAAGAGGGGTCAGGCCGCATGTGTTGCGTGCCTGTGTCCAGACCCAAGTCATGCTCGCCTCGAGGTTCTGCGCGTGCATTCATCCGGGTCCCTGGCTCCGTCATATGGATTGGGCCCCCGAAGAAAACCCGTTTCCCCCAAGGTTATCGATCGGGTGCCGGGCTCGGGGAATAAAAGTATTGTGGGGAGAGAGGGAGACAGGGCGGGCGGCCGAGCCCTGTCGCAGTAGCTGTTGCATGTGTCGTATGTTGACTGTCGCATCGATCTGTCGGTCTGGCCCCACGAATCGAAGAAAGCGATTTCTTGCAGACAAGTTTGCCGGGTTCGAATGTTCTGTGTGCTGCGCTGTGCTGTCATCCAGCGTGTTGTGTTCAAGCACCAACCCAGCTGGCCCCGTTGCCCCCCGGCCTGGGCCAGCCACCCCGGCCCACTTGATCGACAGCCCTGCCACATCGCGACCCGACATCGCGACCGCCTCTTCTGGGGGGTGATTCATGCTCGACGCGGGGTGGCGCATCATGACAGCACAACACAGCATGGGGAGAGAGAAAAAAACAAACACTAGGCTACTAAGTGGTTCGGTGGCTGGCTGGTTGCCTGACAGCGAATATTGGGCTGTGATTGCAACCGTGTGTGACGAGCGGTCAATTACAATGGCTGCCCGTCACACAAGTCGACCATGTCAACAACAGGCATGTCAAGGAGTCACTGAGACGCATATCACTCATGTCAGACAGGGGCAAAAAGCTTCTGATAGTGTTTGTCGCCAGACCAATGGAGGTCTGGCGGTTGGTCTTTCATATTGATGATTTCTGCCTGAGCTCATCATTGATGGACAAAAGAACAATGCAGATGGTATCTCGACGTTGACAGATCCAACTCTCTCATGCCGTCCTCGCTTCATGCCATGACCATTCCTCTCGTATCCTGTCTGATGTAGACAAGATAAAAACAAAAAACATTCTGATTCCACACTTTTGCCCCTTCCATGTTGAGTGATCACTGGTCTCCCCAGCAGTGATGTTATTAGGAAAAAGTAGTTATCGGTCGTACCAAGATCCAGACCCCCCATGAACGCCGTGCGAATCCGCAGAAAAAGCAAAACGTAACCTTCCGTCCCTGAACACCTGTGTATGCTGTGCGTGCCGTCTATTCGTATCTCGCTGCAAAATAAAGGACTCCGCGCTTTTCGTCGTTGAGATTGGTTGCTCTCTTACGAGGCAAAAGTGATCATCGCGCGCTGACGCCCGAGCCGCCAAACACGCGGCCTAGCATGCCTCTCATCCTCTTGACCCTGCTGCCGCCCTCCTGCAGGTCCCTCAGCTCCTCGGGGCTGATCTCGTAGGGCAGCAGAGACTTTTGCTTCGTCAGGGCCTGTGGGGGCGGCTGCAGCATCTGGTGTTGCTTTGGCTGCTCGAAGACGATCTCGACGGGCGGCTCGTAGAGGCTGCCAGTGTGCAGCATCCCGTCGTAGATGTAAGGCGCCTCGCCGTCCGATGAGAGCGGCGTGGTCGCCTCGCTACCACGTGACGACGAAAGTGAGGATGCGTACGAGTGAGAGCTGTGAATACTTCGAGATCCGTAGCTGCTGCTCAGTCCGGGCAGCGAGTCGGGGCTCTCCTGTCTCATCTGCCTCGAGGAAGACCTCGACCTCGAGCCTGGCGTCGATGGTGGCGTAGCGTAGAGGTTCTTGCTGGCGGTCTGCGCCGCGAGCCATGCTGCCGCCGCAGCATCCTCCTCCTCTCTGCGCCTCCGCTCCTCCTCCGCGGCGATGGCAGCCTGCTGTGCGGCTTTCCTGCGCACCCTCCGCTCGTGGCGTGCAGCCACATCGTCCCTGAGCGGTGCCAGAAATGGGTCCAACTCGCGATACAGATCCTCCTCCGAGATGCGCAGATCCCAGTCGAGCAGGAAGAGGAGTTGCTTCTCCATCAGATTGACCTCGGTCCGTGAGAAGCCAAACGAGAATCCCGCGCAAGGCATCACTGAGTAGTTAGCCCAGTGCTTGTTCTTGGGCGAGCTGTCGTTCAGGTACTTTGCTGCCAGAATTAGTGAGGCCAGGAAGATCCTGTGGGTGGTGCAGCGGAGGCCCTTGGCCATGGGTTGCAGGCGGGATCGGAGGCGGTTGAGGTAGACCAGGGTTGACATCAGTGTCGGAACCTGCACATTGGAGGAGACGACGAGTTGTGTGATGAATTCCTCAAGAGTTGGCAGTCCAGCGTCTTCTGCCGGTACGGCTCGTGGTGGTGGGGTCTTTGGTGGCGTAGGTGGTAACCTGGAGTTCTGCGGTGCCGCGGTTGGTGGTGGAGGCATCATCGTCGGGTCGCACTGGATGACACTGCATGCTGCCGAGGCAAGGTATGAGATCATACTCCTAGACACGGGCGTGTAGATGAAGTGGTCCAGAGCCGCGGCGTTGAGCTCGTCGATGCTGAGGGTGGAGCATGTTGAAGATGCTCGTATTTGTGATGCCATGATGGGCTGTGAGGTGGTGGTAAAAACGCAAAAACTGGGGGGCCCGCGTGGTGCAGGTCCAAGTTCAGATATATGGTGCCTCTGACGAGGTTGTGCGACGAGGCTGCACTTTTTCTCCTTCTCAAACTGCAAGGAGAAGAAAGGAGAACGCTCGGAGAATTTCCGCGGAAAGCCCTTGGAGTCGGGACTGCCGGTGGGGAAATAGATACCAATAAAATGGAAGTGTGGAAAAAAGCGTCAGCAATCGAAGGATTTCCGGTTGCTATTATTCTCAGCAGTGGATTTATGCGGGTGTTGGGCGGAGTACGGTGTGGTGGTACTGAGTGCCGTGCCAGCTGATACGAGTCAAGGGTCGAAAAAGTCTAGGTGCGGCAAAGTTTCATGTGGCTAAGGCGCCGGAGTATCTGGTGTGTCCGGTGAGTGAGATGTGAGATGTGGGCGTGAGATGCGTCCTTGGGCGGCGGGTTGGACCGGCTGATGAAGTGCGAAGAAGGGTCAGTCAGGTGTGCCTCGAAGTATGGCTTGGCTGTGGACTGATATGCCTTGGTGACTCGACTTCCAGGTGTCGTGGTTGGGAGTCAAGGGGGGCGGGCAGGGAGGCTGTGATGGGGAACAAAGAAAGATCGAGGCACAGAGGCACATGCAGATGCAGCGGCACTCGAGGGTATATGACTTTCTTGGGAAGCTCGAAAAGGGTAAAATGGGACAATGAATAAACCTCGAACAAGAAAATAGAAGGCCGACTTACAAGTGACTTGTCTTGGGCCTTGGCCGGTGGGGCGCTTGGGGTCAGGCGTAGATGGGCCTCCTGAGCTGGGGCTTGTACGGCTTGTTCGTCAGAGGGTGACGTGCGACTCGCTGGGCCCACGAGGCTGAGTATGAGAGGGGGGTTGATGCGAGTGTACAGGGGTTCCCTGAAGTAGTCAAGGCAGTCGGCAGGGAAGAGCGATCCCGAGGTACTATGGCCGCACGGCGCGCTGCACCAGGGCAGGGGTGGTGGGGTGACGGGTGGTGGGTGACAGGTGGTGTGAAGGAGGGATGGGCCTAGTCAGCGATCGACCGTTCTGGCTTTGTGGGCTGGGCTTCTGGACGCCTGTAGCACCGGTGCTTCGATGGTGGTGCAGGCTCAACCTTGGCGAGACCGGGTCGATCTCGTCGGGGGCAGGGAGAGATAGACAGAGAGTCGGTGCTTCTGACTGGCTCAACGTCCTTAACGGGCTACCAAATAGGGGGCCACGAGAAAAGTAGGCCTGACTCGAAATGCAAGACGGTCTGGCCGTAGATCAAGCAGTGATTCGCTCTCAGGTGCTCAATCTGTCTTGCGCCTTGTCTCAGTCCAGCGAAGTCAAAGTCCACTCAGAACACTCTGAGATGTTCTTGTGCAAGTCTGACAGCAGCCGAAACTCTGTCGGTGGTCCTGAGACGAGCAACCTGGCCTGTGACTGAGTGCGCCTGTTTGTTGTGTGCGGTCGATCGCAGGTGGTCTGCTATAGAGCACACAGGGTATGAGCCACGAACGAAACTTGGTGGTGGCAACGGCGAATGTCGTATTATGAACTTGACCTCGGCCGCTGGCGGGGAAGGGATTCTTGATTCGCAGCAGTGGCTGAGACCGATTCCGAAAGCGGGCCCTGACCAGGAAGGGGGAAAAAAACACAATTGATGAATGCGAAAGGCTGCTCCCAAGAAAAGAACCAAGCCCACAACAGCCACTCAAAAAGAGGAGCAAATCAAAACTTTGTTGTTTCAACTGGAGGGTCTTGGTGTTCTGTAGAGGCTCTTGACCCGGGTTTGCAGTGGGGGTGAATCCGGGGTTACTGGAGCGGCCGGCGACGACAGTTTCGATAGTTTCGGGTAGTGGGCGAGTCAGATTTCTAATTCGAGGAGCGTTCGAGTGCCCCGTGCTCTATTATTCTTCAATGCCCGCCGGGGACAAAACCAAAAGAAGGAGGTTGAAGGTGATTACGAGAAGATTGTCGGCAGAATTCCGGTCCAGCGGAGTCTCTGTCGGTGGTGATAGGAAATGGAGATGAAGAGGAGGAAAGAAGTTGGCCGAGGCGATCCAGGTGGAAGCTGTCGTGGACAGGTACGGCTTTCAAGAGGAGCTCCTCGATGAAGGTCAGGGTCCGCCTCCAGCTTAATACACGACCTTGTGGACAGGGGTATCAGGCGAGCTGCCTCAGGATGAACTCGTCGATGCAAGTCCGCGCGGGTAAACTGAATTATTTCCAGCCCTCGAGATCCGCCGGCGACGGCTGCTGTCCCGCTGTCCTGCTGGCGTCTAGAGATTGGGTGAAGCGCTGCATTAGAGGAGACGCTGGTTCAGGGGTCCAGCGAGCCGTGGGGGCAAATGATTCGCTACCGGCGCTTCGTGGGAGGATGCAAGCTGCAAGGCCAAGCCTGGTGCGTCTCCCAACTTGGGTGGCGCTGTGAGAATGGTTGGCTCGAGGAGAATAGGAGAGGCTCCGGATATCCCTGGGCGAACACAAGGCCTCTGAAGCAGGTTGATTGCGCTGAAATAAGAGGATCTATGCCTCTCGGGCGCTGGATCTGGAAGAGGCAATCCAGATGCTGATGACGTCCCGCTTTCATACGGGTACGACGGACGTACTGTATGTGCTTTACTTAGCTTTTGCAGGGCCAGGGTTGTATTCGGGATGCGTACTGCGGGCAATTGAGGCTGGTGGGTTGCAAACATGGCATTCCCTGGTCTGAAAGCGGCCATTCTTGTATGCACTGCACACTGCCTCTCCCGTCGACTCGTTGGGCGGAGTATGCGGCTCGCTGAGGACAGGGGTAGTCTCTGGAATTCGAGGTTGATAGATTAAAATCCAAATCCCAAAAAGGGAGCCTCTTGGTGAGGGTGGTCAAGCCAAAGGGGTCATATGCAGGTCAGTCGGACACAAGGGATAGTAAGCACTCAAGTCGAGGATCGCAATTCCAGGCGTGTCTCTTCAACAACTGATTGACTGGGCTTGTGACGTCCAGGGGGCCGCCAACTCTATAGCCTGGTAGCAATGAAGCGGTTTGGATCAATGAGGCTATCGTCGCTCTCCATTCCAGTGAACCTGGGATATTCTCGGAATTATCCATTACCCGCAATTACTGGCCCCCCCGGTAGTAGTGTTGTCCACAGCCAGGGAGGAAAAACCAGCAAGCACAAAGGGTGGCATGTGCACGACCCTGCGTGTCGCTTGATTCTCCTCCCTTCCTCATGACCGGCAGATGCTTCTGTGCGAATCACTGGCTCCAGGTTGAGAATGGCCGAATCCAAGTTGGAGGTCCAGACCGAGGCCCTTGGATCTGGAACTGGTCAACAACCGAGAACAGCTTTGCAGGTGCACAGCCTGGCAGCTGGCGATAGACCCAGGACCGTTCTGCCGGTTGCATATCTGCATGGCTGCATAGCTGCATGGCTGTCAGGCTCACCGACACATGATGCTCAGAGCGGCACTTGCGCGTTGGTGGATGATGAATAGCTTGTTGCATGACCTCTCAAATTGGGCCGCCTCGAGGTTTGGCAATGGTTGGTGGGTAGGCTCTCGATACATGAAACATGGAGGGGAGGGGAGGGGACCAGGGTGTGGTGCGCTGTAGACGGCCGAAAGCAGAAAGAACCATCGACGCGACGCCTAGATCCGGCTAGTGGCCCGTAGGTACTTGTCAAGCCAACTCTTTGTTGCGGGTGGGTGGATGTACCGGTCTCGTGGCCCTGCAGCCGGGCAGGACAGAACATCGAATTGACTGATCATGACTTCCGTTGCGAGCAGCAGCCAGGCAGGGGAAGGGCGCAGGCCGCCATCAAACCGACCAAGAGACACGGAGCAAACACGAACACGCTCCACGCCTCATACTTCTCTCAGCCGCGAAAAGGGCCTGTTACAGCTTTTAGGCAAGCATCACCACGAAACAATCGTAGCCATTCATTCATTCAGTCAATATCCGAGTGCCAACGATACCTACTGTGTTGTGTTACGAGCACGCCTCAACCAAGTCCTTTCAGCCATCGCACGTGCAAAAATGGGATGGTCAGCAGCGGCAAAGCAGGTCCCAACGTTGCGGCCACCCATCGCCATGCTGTCTCCCTACACAGGTGACTATCCCGAGTGTTTGTGATACAGCAGCTTATCCCACGGAAGGATGTCCCTAAAGAGGTTGTCCCACAGAGGTTGTCCTACAAGAGATGATGCCACTGCCACTTTACTCGGGCCATGTGTTCGACTGCTGGCCTACGACCTGAAACTCAGGCAGGCTATGCTCTGCATCCGGACGGAACGGTACCAGACTACAGCCCTCCAGATGCATGTGTACACAGCATCTAGATCGTTGACATCTGGTCAGATGCCATGGCAAGCTGACGCCTCTTTGAACCAACTGGTGGTAGTGGTGGTGGTGGTGCCGTCCCGAATGCAGCATCCAGATTGCCTCTAACAGTAGCCCGGAGCGAGCCACAATTGGCTAGCAGCGTGCCGTCGATGACCCCAGCCGATTCGGAATGGCTGGATGGCATGCAAACATTTGATTGACAGCCACGCCAGCACACCACCCGTCAACTTGCCCGCCGGCCGAGGCTAATGCACCCCCTGCGTGTCTTGGGACTTTAGCCTGCCTGCCTGTGCAGGGCGACGGGAGTCCAAACAGGGACATCCCCCAGATATCTGAAGATTTGGTGATCCCACTGCGGACATCGTGAAACGAAACAGCGCCCATCTCAACGGTTCTTGTGGATCACGACGCCTGTCCTTCAGGGTCCTTGTTCGGCGATCAGCAGCATGCATGAGATCTAAGGACCAGCCCAAGTCCGCTTATCCTCCAGACAGCGCGCTCATCGACTGCCTCGGCATATGGCCATGATGATCTTGGCGCCGATTGCGACGACTCCGAACAGACCTCACGCCAGCGTTCCGTAGGGCTGGGTCGTGAATCGGCCCATTTGTCCAGCGATTCGAAACGAATCCTGGCGTCGACGACCGTAGGATCCTCACCATCGCCCATCGGGT